TTCTTCGTATATTTATAGTTCTTGAGGTCTTGAATATGTTAATTTATGCTGTTTTGGCTGTATTGTTGTTAAAACACAAGTTTTTTGAGAATCAAAAGTATTAGGGTGTTGTTTATATTCTGTTTATATCTATTTAGCTAGTATTAATTCCTCACGTTTTGTAAATAGTATTGAAGCAAGATATCCGATTTCATGAATACCTTAATATACAATCTTGTGATGAGAAGATCGACCCAAAACATTACAAAAACTTATAAATATCTACAGTTGTAATTATATATAAATAAAGAGTTGTTACAAGTTCTCCAGAGAAGTGATCTTTATTTATATTTCAAACCACAGTGCTAAGAGACCTGTTTTAATAAATAAACAACAATAATAATATTTGTTGATTGTCTAACTTACAAATATGGAAAAATTATGCTAGGCTCTAAAGGTTCATTATGAGTACTTATTTATTAAGTTGTAACTATTTAATCCTCGCGTGTGATGTTCTGAAACATGATGAGATAAGAGAAATGATGTTGTCAATAATACAAATTAGAATGTGTGAGTTTTTGTAGTCGATTATCAAATAATCCACGTAGGAAATTTTATATCAAAGCTCACTTAAAGAGGTCTTTGATCCAGTTTGATAGATCGTAGGGATAATTATCAACATTGGATTATGATATAGTTGAGTCCAATATAATATAATTAGACAATATATCGTATGTTCACAAGATCTTTTTTGTTAAAAACTGATTTTGGTAGATCGTTGGTAATTTTTTTGAAAGAAGTAAAGTTGTGAAAGATCAATATGTATTTAATAATAAATACAATATATACTATTTGCATGGGTTTTCAATAAACGAGAAATCCAATTTACTAAATACTTAAAACATAACAACGTTAGACTTTAAGTCTACTATAGTTCAGGAGATACCATATTAGCATCCCTAAGACTCTAATCCCAAATGTTAAATCTACAAAACTATATTTCCATAAACAATTAAGATTATTTAAATTAAATATCATTTTAAATATTTTCATAGGATAAATGCTTGATCATAAACAGTAGAAAGATGGTATAGTGTTTAACATAAATCTATTTATCAAAGTCTTCTTTGAAATGAAAAACGTAAGCAGATTTTTCAAATTTGTGGCTTTCACTGCATATAGAACATGTAGATTGTTTTTGAATCGATCTTGTTTTCTGGAAAATAATTTTGTATTATTAGGCATAGAATATTTCTCATAATTCTCTAAAAACTGTCCAAGATATCTTTTCCCATGAGTAGAGCAAAAATTATTTCCCATGTCAAATGATTATATGAACAATTTATATTTAATCCACCAACTATACCAAGGTAAGCAAAACAATGAGCTCTTTCTAAAAAGTTTCTGAAACATATATATCACTATCTCTTTCTTTAAATTACAAAATATGAGTGAACCACAATTTTCGAAACAATAAAAATAACAACGATAGAGTCATTTGTTTTATGATAAATAGATCAATAAATTTTGACCATTCTCTTTTCATATGTAGAATGTAGAAAAGATGTAAACAACGTAAACTTAATACACTGGATTAATCTGAATCATCAATGGTTATTCTATTACATCTCACATATATGGTCACATTTCTATGTTTATTATCGTGATATCATCTAGTAAATTTTATTGCTCTTTTAAACCTATAACATACAATGTTATTCACAGTATCTGCTATCATGATATTAACATGTATCTTTACTATAGATTTATACATAGTAGACTAAGTTCATATCAACCACTATTTCTTTCAATTATGTCTTTACTCTTAAACTGCTTACTTCATTTGGACATTAATAACTGGTAGATTGTATGGTATCACTCTTAAACTATGAACTCCTCATTAATATACAACTTCTCTTGATATTATGTCTTAGACAAGGACGATACCACACAAACATATCACACTTAATTACTCTTAGCATCAGCTCTCATGATCTCTTCACTATCCACCAATCTCATTTCATTCAAATTTCAATTGTCAATTTTCCTTGTTTCAAAATCTGAAAAAACAGTTCGAAAAAAAAATTAACAACAATAATAGCCACTCCCATCGACAACCATATAAAATACAGATCCATATAACCATAAATAAACAGTTACGATATGCTTACTATATGGTATAACTTTGAACATTGCTAAACCACTATTTAAGATGGTATAGTTACACCACTGTATACTTAATAATCATTCATAAGTAGCTATAGAGAATATTCTCAAAAGAACTTACTCCATACATATATTGTAACTAGGGAAACTATTTATTAAATACCACTTTCATTTACTGTTATACTACTACTTTCATAATAAATATGACTATTTAAGAATTCTCCAATAACACATGAACACTATCCCTTACTAATATTTTCAATATGAAAAATATAATTATATCTTCTATATCACTTCATTATCCATCGAATGATAGTGTTATAATAATTTATGATCACAGAAAATAGCCTTTTGAAATTAGCACATCATGATAACTGTTATAAACATAGATACAATTATGCTATATCCATAAACAAATTTACTATATCATCTTTTTACTTATATCTTACAGGATATTTATCCTTACTAATTCCAATCTTATTATGGATGTATTTGATTTATGTTTGATTTTCAATGCTTATGGTAATGATGATAAAAGACACATTGATTTGATATAATGAACAATATTTTGATTATATCTTTATTTCATTCTACTGTACTGCTTTCCCTGCTTAACAATTTTGTTCTATCTTTTACTCAAATGATCTTATTTTAATGTTTGAAAAATAACGTAATAAAAAGAAATTTTATCTCGATCTTTGAACATTGAACAACATTTAAGAATATACTATGGTGGAGTATTAACATGTTAATCTATCAATTTACTATTCAGGAAATTTATTCTCTTTAAGAGTTAATCTGACATTATTATAGCTGGATGTTTAATACTGTGTATGGATCTCTAATTGTAACCAAGAGTCATGAGAAGATATTGAAATTCAAAAAAAAAAAAATAGGAGTTTAATTCCATTATAACATTAAAATAACAAGACATACTATAATTATGGATCAACATTTGCAAAAATATGAATGTGTTATAACATTGTTACATGTTCCATATTTAAAAAGAAAATTCCTATATTATTGAAATCTTAGGATAATTATTATCACGATATTTTTCAAGTGTGGGAGAGAAATTCTCTTGTCTCTTTTGAAATTTTGAAATCTCTACATTCAGTAAAATACAGGAAGAGATATGATACAGTAATGGATCAATAAAGTACAACTGTTACCGTATGCTGTGTATCTACATTTTTGTGTATAATATTCTTAACATATATAGTAAGTATAATATGTCATCAGTGTGCAATTCTGTACATTTGGGAAATAGTGTCTTATTTCTCTTTTTTTCCCTTTGCTACTTAAAAGAAGTTTCCATTTCTTTAAATATTGTTAGAGTAATTCTATAGCATGTCTCTACTGTTCATGTGAATATAATAGTTATTGAATATGTTGGCTTACGTACAATTGAATACTATATTACAAAAAAAAAAAGAAATAGAAGTATAGCCATAAGTTTAAGCGAGTTAATAACAGTGACCATATTAACACAAATATATATATATAGTTATTTGACCTAGCAATATATAGTGGTATTTAATTAAAGTATATCCATGTATATATGTATGTATTATGTGTTCCCTATGGATGTATTTGTATATACAGAGGACAGAAAGAAAATAATTAAGGAATGTGGGAATAAATACATTTATCTAGTTAACTTTTCAGTAAATGCAGGTAAAGAAAGATTGTAACTGTTTTTAAGACATGTGTCAAACCTTTTATTATGATCTTTGAATTAAACTAGCATTAAATCTTCATAATTACAATTTTTCTTAATTAGAAAAGGCTTAAAGACCTTATATCCTTTAAACCATGATCAATCGATATATACAGAAGTAAATTTCCTAATCACAATCTCTTTATTAAAAATTGCCAAAACATGTAGCAAAAATATACATGTATTAAAATGTCTATATAACAACTATTAGATTGTATAATTGTATTGAATAATCTAAATTACTTAAAATTGGGAGAAGATATTATCGGTTTATTAGGAATGAGCAAATCTATTTGTGCTGTACAAGATATTTGAAAATCAAATAAATAATAAAAATACACAATATAAAAAATATTAGAATACTATGTACTTATATAGAAATATTTAATTATTAAATTATTTAGAATTCTTTATTGTAAAATTTTTTATCTTTAATCAATTTAAATTACCAAGAATAATAATAAACTAATGCAATGGGCAACACTCCATTTCACGTACATAGTACCACCCTTATCTTCATATGATACAAGAGAAGGTATACCCCCATGAGGTATTGTAACAGCAGTCGATGATGAGGATAATTTCTCAGGAATATATTGGGAAACTTGCGGCACCATTGAAGGCATCGATGTTTCTGATCTTCTAGACTCATTATTACCGATTATAGTGGTAGATATTCTAGGATTTCTAGATGTTGGGTGATTTTTACCATTGGTAAATGCTGGACCAGTGGTGGTAGAAGCAATAGAAATAACTGGAGTTGCGTTCGAAACAACCGAAAGTGAGTTAGTCTCTTCTTGTTGGTTCTTTGAATAAACTGACTCAATAGAACTATGTCCAATAATAGTAATCATATTTGTTTTGGAAGTTGCAGATGGTTCAGGACAATAAGTTGTAGTCATAGTAACTCCATTAACAACCGTAGTCAAAACAACTAGAGTGCCAGTCAAAGCAGATTCAGTCATTTCACCAGAAATAATGGAGTTTCCGTAGAGAGGAGATGGTACAGAAATTGATGATGTCATAAAGCTATTAAATGGAGATGGGGTGATCACAACAACAACAATCTCTGGATACGAAGAGCCGTCGCTGTCAATAACAGTGGTTGTGTAAGTAGTTGTGGTTGGAGCAGAAACTAGACTTGTAGTTGTAGTGTGGGAGGTGGATGGAGAAGGTGTGACCACAACAACTTCGGCAGAAGAGGAGCCGTTGCTGTTAGTGACGGTGGTTGTGTAGGCAGATGTGGTTGGTTCTGTAACATCTGCAGTAGAAATGGTGTAAGAGGTAGATCGAGATGGGTTGATATAAACCACAACAACTTCTGGAGATGGAGAGCCTTGAATATCAAGAACTGTGGTAGTGTAGGTAGTATTAGTTGGTTCCTCGATGTCCGAAGTAGTAGAGGTGTGGATAGTGAGTGGAGGCGGGGTGACAACAACCACAACAACTTCTGGGGATGAAGAACCATTGTTGTCAACAAGTGTGGTGGTATAGGTAGATGTTTTTGGAAATGCGAATCGACTAGTAATAGTGGTGTAGGAAGTGGATGGAGGTGAGGCGAGAACAATAACAACAACTTTTTCAGTTTTAGATCCAGCTGTATCGGTAACAGTTGCTGTGAATGTGGATGAGGTTGAGCAGTAACAGGATATGTTATAGTTGTGTAGGATGTAGATAATGGTGGTGTTTGAACAACAACTACAATCTCTTCAGTGACAGATCCTGCTGTGTCGGTAACAGTTGTGGTATATGTTATTGAAGTAGAAGTGGTGACCAATGTAGCAAAAGTAGTGGAGATAGTAGATAATGGAGGTACAGCAACTTGATAAATAAATTCAGGTACGGTATGGAAGTACTGATTGCGTGTAGATGTTGTTAAAGTTGAGATAGTAATAGCTTTAGTAATAGAATCCATGGTGGTAACGGATGTTGTCTTGGTAATTGGTTCAGATAGTGATGAACACTCTTGATCTTCATGTCCACTCACAAATATAGAAGTACCATTGAATTTATAAAGAGGATCAGAAGTAATAATACGAATATTACTCACATACGTTTGTGTCCAGCTAAATGTACAAATTCGATTTAACCAGTAACGGTGACCATATAGTGCATAATTAAGCTGCCCAATGTTCTTCAACGTGCCCGTATTTTTGGAGCTCCATGTCTGAAAGTCTATATCCAAGAAAACAAAATCTGATCCGATAATATTCACAACTTTAAACGAACTTGGTACAACTTTTGGATTAATAATATACATATTCTCGTTGACACTGAACGTTTGTCTCCCAATTATGTCCGTATTAAAAAAAATTATAGCCCCTTTAGTACCAGTGACTTCACCTTCACCTTCTATAGGATTATTGAAGACAAGACCTTTCATATTGTATCTACTACGAGCAGGAAATCTTGGGTTAGGTATCAATCCAGAAAACCCACCAGAATTTATGACACCATTATTTGTTATGGTACCAAGATAAAGTAACCCATTTGTAGTACCTCCTTTGCCAGCTGTATCATAGTCAATAGTACTTGTATTAATGAAGGAACCAGTTGGATCTAGAGTAAAATTAGTACCTGGGATGGTGGCAGCACCATTTAATTGTGAGATAGTAAATATACCAAAGTTATCTATACTTGCAGGTACAATAACAAAATCATTAGCGGAACCTGTTGATCTAATATTCTCAATGTTGACGTTACCACTGTTTGTAATTGTTGTAGTAGAACTAAATTGTAGACTAATCAACCCTTTTGTTGAATCTCCAACAATGTTTAAAGAACCTTTAACATCAATACTACTATTGAAGGAATATGATGAACCAGATACTAATGCAAGAGTAGCCCCTGATTCAATTACGATATCATCAGAAAACGTTTGATCACCAGACAAGGTTGTTGGTGTTGAAATAGTTGTAGTAGCAGCACTTACTTTGGTCACAAGTAGCTCTAATAGTGACCATAAAATTAATATCTACATTCTGATTATAACAAAGATGAGAAGTAGTTAATTTTTGTTTTACCTCACTTTATTTTTTTTTTGTTTATCTTATCCGATTGATATTTTTCGTTGAATTTTTTTTTTTGAAGATTTTTCCGTGGAAAACACACAAGAACGAAAATCACGAAAAAAAAAATAGGAGAAAGTACGTTGAAATTTAAAAGGTGTGGAGTAATAACCTATAAGTTATAACGGAACTTTATGAACCGTATTTTTATAAGTGCTCGCTCACAGTATTAAATAATACATATATTATATACAAAATTATGCATTACGTATGTAAAGTCGTGAGTAAAAGAAATTATTTCTAATTTCTATATCTTGACTATATGTACTTTTCAGAAAGTTAATTTTGAGAAAAAAAAAAGTTTTTCACAAAATTTTCATTGAGTCTAGGTAATATCTCAACATCATGAAAAAAGTTCACTATTCCCCTTTTATTTCTCCTGTGTTATTTCAGTATATATTATTCACTCTTGAATACTTCGGTAGAATAACCATATAGGTTCTATTTATATTTATTATAAGATATAAAAATGTTCAAAGTATATATCTTATAGAAGTAACTGTGTTACAGTTAATATTCATACGAACTTTGACAAACAGTCTCTGTTTTCTTTTTTAAAAAAAAATAAAAATGGCAATAATTTATCTCAAGAAATTCAAAAATAGTGTCACTTTACATTTATTTTTGTTTTTTAGTTTCCAATTGCTCAAAAATATAAAATTTACTAGCTAACTGTTCCCTTAATTGGATAATATTCTCGATTTCTATACTTCCTTCAAAATTTCCATGTCTTTTATAATTTTTGATAAGAACATTTTTTGAATCAATATCTCCTGCACATTTATTTAAATTTGATTCTAAATCTTTTTTCAATTGATGAAAATAAACCTCAGAAAGAATGAATTTCTGATTTTCCTTCATTGCTTTGAAAGTACTAATGGTATTTTCGATTGGCGTACTATACCCTTCTCCACTATTTAGTATAATACCAGAATTAACAGCTCTTTTTAACTTTCCGATCTTGTGGGCACCAAGCATACCTCCATGTTTTTTCATGATATGCTCATAGTATTCCTTCTTATACAATTCATAAGGAGTTTTTTTCAAACCAGTCCATCCCAAATTTTTGTATAACTTTTCAATAAAAAATTTTTTACTGGCTTTAAGTTTATTTGCATTTCTAATCTTGAATAAATTAAATGATACTGGATTAGCCATTCCGAGACCTAGAAAAAGAGTTAGGAAAAGTATCTTTAAAATATGTAACACAAAGAAGATAATTTGGGTATTGTGACTGCTAAAATTGGGTTGGATTTCTTTTCTTAATTTTTCACTTAGCTGTGGTTTATTTAAATAATTCATTATTGGGATTAATGCCCACGAAATATAATTAGTTAGGCAATTCCCAGGAGTAGGTGAAATGAAATCTGGCAAATCTGTATATAGCCATAAAAAGCAAATTATTGTATAGTAGATAATATTCTTATAAGCAACATCCCAGTTTGGTACAATTAACTGGCCTGGCCATAATTGCTGAATTAAAGGTACATTAGAATCCAATTCTTTTAAGAATTCATTTTTTGTTGAATCAAAGTTGAATAAAATAGACCCACCAGGTGTTAAAATACCTGGATGAACAGATTTATAGAATTTTGTTGGTGTTTTTTCATGAAATATAGATGGTCTAAGTGGTAAGATATTTGCTAATTCACCATCTTTATCAAAAATTCTTCTTAAATAATTGTTAACTGTAAAGTCTTTTTGAATCTCAAAAACATAATCTTCCTCATAATCATCATGCAGTCTGATTGCTATATCCATTATTAAAGTAAAGTAAAATATAATAAAGCAGTTTGTTTGATGTAGTAAGCTCAAATATGCCTTTTTTTAGTGATGGCAATAAGGTAGATACTGTAAGAAATATTCCAAAAAAAGAAAATCATATGATCTCTTATTCAAAAATATATAGTCACATCATTCGAAGTGTATGGATATTTGTGCTTTTATATTATTTTTCAATGATCAGGAACTGTAGGTTGTATAGTTCTAAATGCTTTTAAGTTGTATTATTTTAGTAGCAAGTAAGCAATTGTTCGAACTTTCTCCACTTTTTATGTTCTGTTAAAGACACATAAATTAAAAAAAAAAAATTAGAAAAGAAAATTTTTCGGGGGTGATACAGAGAAAGATTATTGAAACTTAGATTTGTTTGCATAGTGTAGACTGTTGCTTTACACACAGAATCGATTAGAGAGTGGTGAAAAATATTTGTTTAGGGAAAGGCTGGAGCATTGGGATGTAAAGGATTTCTATACTGTCAAAGTGTTAAAGAGGGGGTGGAGACTATTTTGAAAATCTATACAAGACAAACTCCTTCTTTTTTCTTTTGTTATTATTCCACTATTCGACTGGTTTTTGCTTTGTCAGTACATTTTATTCTGTGTTGGCAAACATTAGAAAAACAGAAAAAGTAACCAATTGAAGTAGGATAAATAGATATCTGCATCAAGTTTATTGTGCCTTTTAAATAATGATCTTATCACTAGTGTACTTTATAACATAGAATCACTTTAATTTGAAAGTAGAATGGATAGAAATCGTAGGCAGAGCTTCAATCATTCACTTTTTTTCTTCTTCTATGTTAATTATTGTATTGATTTGTTTTACTTTTAAGCAAGATAAAACCGACGTAAGATTAAGTGAAATTATCGTAAAAGATAATAAGGAATCCTTTTATAACCAGAGTAGATTATGATTGAAAGGAATACATAGTACTTTCCACCTTTGATTTGAAATTATATATCTGATTTTTTTAAAGTGTGTGTAGGAACAGTAAATTAAAGATTACAGTTTTTTCTCCTTGTATACATGCACAGCAGTATAATTAAATTAAACCTTTTTTAAAATGCTAATTTGATATCAAAAAAAAAAAAAATAAATAAAAAAAATAAAAAAGGATATAACATTAAGAAGTTAAATACATCTTAAGTTTGTGGTGTTGTTTCATGACAATGTTGTGGAGCTATATAATGTATAATTTTTTAAAAAAAAAAAATATATGATCAGGTCAAGAAATTTCATCTTTTCTTTAATTTGCATTACGTAGATAAGTCAAAAAGGCGTAATTAGGAACTGAAAACTAGTTGTTTTTTTTTATATGAAAAATTGGACTAAAATGTACCTCAAATTAACTTAGCTAATAATGCACACAAATCAGCTTGATTAGATTTTATGAGATAGTCAAATAGTAAATTATGAAATAGCCAAATCATATGATTCAGTGATATTACTTTTGTTATATAATTACAATAGATATGCTTTACATATATACTAAGAATATAGAGAAAGAGTATTATTAAAATGAAATGAAATGAAATTTTTTGCATGCATAACTAAAAGATTTTGCCTAAGAAGGTTTCATAGAACCACTCCCAATTTTTGTGACCATTCTTTATTCTTTCCTTTAACTCTGCATCAGCAATCTTACCCTCTTCTTCCTCTTGGTCAATAGCGGCTTTGAAAGTGTATAAATCTACCTCTTCAGGTGGAATAATCCTTGTCTTTTTCAAGTATTTATAACCGAAATAACAAGCAGCAAAGATAGGTAGAACAATGTAACCGGTAATGAAGTTTTTGTAATCGAACTCATGATTCAAAAAGACTGTGAAATTCTTAATTAATGCTATTAAACAACAGAAGAATAGCGCAAAATAGGCTCCATATGGTTGAAGTGGCGCTACATAAGCAAAGGTAGATTTGTCTATTCCCTGTGCTCTTACAGCTTTATCGAAACGAATGTATGTAATTAAGACGGTAATCCATGTTAGAACGCCACAGATGGATACCACATTCACGAAGTAGTTGAAAATCTTAGAAGAAGCAGAAGAAACACTCATATAGGCTAAGAAACAGAATAAAACACTAGCACCCAACGAATAATATGGAATACCCCACTTGTTAGTCTTTGCAAATATCTTAGGAGCCTTATTATCAATAGCCAATGAATATAAAGATCTGGAGGCAACATACAGATCAGAATTGCATGCAGAAAAAACAAACATTAGAACACAGAAATTGAATATATGTGGTAAAACTTTAATACCGGAATTCTCGATAGCAACAACAAATGGAGATGCAGCGGCAGATGTACTCTTCTTTCTAGCTTCTAACAGTTTTGGATCATTATATGCGACACACATGCCCAACAGCAAGATAGTAACCACGTAAAAAATAATAATACGATACACGGTCAATCTAATAGCTTTTGGAATATTTTTTCTTGGATTCTTAGCCTCAGCTGCAACAATACCAGTTAATTCAATACCAGTGTAAGCAAATAAAGCATAAACGAAGCATGCGACAAAAGCGACAAATCTACCAGTGTCACCAGAAATGGTATCTGAATACTCTTTAAAGGCACCTGGATTTTTCCAGTATCTAAAACCTAATCTATCATGATTTGGACCACCACCTAACATAATAATGAATAAAAGAAGGATCAAACCTAACATGACAAGAACTTTAAAACTTGACAACCAAAACTCAAATTCACCGAAGAATTTGACCCCAAATGTATTAATTAAGACAATGACTGCAAGGACAATAGTTATCCAAACACCTGGATTGACTCTATCTCTATCGACCCAGAATTGAAGGACCATAGCAGCAGCCGTTAATTGATTTGGGGGTAAGATGAAATATTTTATTAAGTACGCATAACCGACGGCAAACCCTAAGGCAGGATCGCAGTATCTAGAGGCATAACTTGTAAACCCATCCAATGGAATATATGTTGCCATTTCACCAAGACAAGACATTGTGAAAAATGCCAGACTACCAACAAAGGAGTATGTGATTAGCATAGAAACAGGACCAGCAGTAGCCAAAGAAGTACCGGTAGAAATCAATAAACCAGTCCCAAGAGCACCACCAATGGCGATCATGGAGACATGACGGGCTTTCAAATCTTTTTTCAATCTTTCATCATCTTTTTTGCCATCAAAAAGGTAATCATCAGAGTTATCATGTATTTTAGAAGAGATATTGGAATTATTTCTTTCCAAGTCATAGTTTATAAGGTCCTCTTCTTTTTCAATAACCAAGCCATCGAATTTCTTATCATTTTTTTCTATAGAATCTAAATCATTGGATGATCCATGTCTTTTAACAAAGCTGTTATTGTCGTCCATCTCATAAGTTTCTATATCAGAAGTGTTATCTGGTTTGATTTTTCTACGTGGCATTATTTAATTGTGTGAAATTTTGTGATTACTGTTTTTCTTTCACTATACAACAGAATAGTTGGATATTATTTAGTAAGTTTGAAGGGGTAAAATCAGACAAAGTCAAAGTTGACAGATCCGAAGAAGCAAAGCTATCAACAAATATTCATGCATGCATATATATATATATAGGTATATATTCTTAAAGAATATATGTAAAATGAATCCTGGTAGAATGTGTGATTATTAAAGTAATACTATCGAAAGGTATATAAAGATTCAGAAGGGAAAAAAGCTTGTGAACAAATAAGAAACGAAAACAATTGGAAACAGTGATATTATGATTTGAAGAATAGATAAACCAGAAAACTATTGTTACCATTTATTGCTGTTCATATTGTTCATGTTGTTGTGGTCGTTGTTGTCGAGAGGAGTCAAAAGTGGAGAAGAAGGGTCATCTGTTTTTGATTTTGATTCCGATTTTGATTTTGATATGACTAAAATAAAACGGCTGCTGGATTTTTCCGGATGACTAAAAAATTATACAATACGCCAAACACAGAAACAAAGAAGACCAAAATATGTAAATTTCGAATAGCATAAATAGAAATCCGCATGCTAAAAAAAACAAAGAAATTAGCAGGTCAATAATAGAGAGCATATAATAGCACATTAGTAAGATAGAGAAAAAAAATTGTGTAATTACGGAAAGAACCTCCTGTTAGTATGCTGAGAATGCTAAGATTATGGGTTGCCCTGTCGTCAATAACAATACTTATCTACTAGAAAGTTCACCTGAGTCGTTTTCGAAAACGTTTCTTTTGTTTTTTTTTTTCTTTTTGTCATTGTCTCAGTAATATTTTATTGAGAAGAAAAGAAATAAAAAAAACAAAAACAAAAAAGCAGCGGACGTGTACTACCGCACTGTTTCTTATCATTTTCCCCTCTTTCTGTCAATCTCGAAACAAAAAAAAACAAAAAAAAATCAAAGCAAAACCATGAGTTTTTCATAGAAATTTTTCACATTTCGTATTTCTCGAAGAATTCCTCTCTTTTTGTTTTTCTTTCTTTTTTTTTTTTTAAGAAAAGAGGGGAAAGGCACCTCTTTTATTTTTTTATTTTATTTCTGAAGCGGCATTAAATTTCCCAATTGATCTATTTCTATTGTTTGTATGTCTGTGATCAAATTTTTTTCTTTTTTTCTTTTTTTCTTTTTTCTTTTTTTCTTTTTTTCTTTTTTTCTTTTTTTCTTTTTTTCTTTTTTTCTTTTTATTGCCTTTTAAATTAACTTTGGAAATTCCGAGTACAAGAAAGAAAGAAAAAAAAGAATTGCAAAGGCTACAGTTTTTCCCCCTCTTTCTCCACTCACCCGACAGACTCAGTTCAGTTATCTATCAGCCGTGCAAAGGCCGTTTAGTATTAGTTGCTGGTTATTCTATGTTTAACTTAACACTTATTTTAAGTGGGGATGCAAGAGAAAGAGAAGAAAGAAAAAGAGCAAGAGAAAGAGAACAGAGAGGGCCAGAGAGAAGAAGAAGAAAGAGTGGAAAAAGAGAATATTGTAATGGAAGGGTGTCTCATGTTTAAACAAAACCAAATTGTCTATCAACAAATAACATTCATGTTTTACATAATCTTTGTTTTGTTAACACAAAAGATTCACAAATTGATTGTATTAAATGTTTCAAATTGCCATGAACTTGAATGATGGATATTAATTAATACTATCTAATTTATATGAATTATGTGTACATTCTGATTAGATTGAAGTATTCATATATTCTTTGTTTTCTAGTATCTGTGTATTGTTACATCAGTAAATATTCCAGAGATATATTTACAAAATTGTAAAATTATATGGGGTTTGATATGGATCTTGCTTTTTCTTAAAAATTAGAAATATCAAGTAAGTTTCACTGATCAGTTGTATTTTATTTAACGCTAATGTACATATCTATAGTTACTATTATGTATATATATGTGAATTAATCCGGTTTTGTTTATCGGTATTATTGATTATTCATCATTTCATTTACGAAAAATGGATGCCAACTTGATGGAATGCATATAGCAACTTTAAGAAATCGTTTTGGTCACATTTCCCTGCTCTCCTATCACCCATACCAGTTTCTTTTAAAACTGTGTCAATTTTGTTCTTGACTATGTCTGTCATAGTACCTTTACTGTCATCTACTATTTCATTGTTCATGGCTAAATACGTCTTATAATTTTTCTCTAAAATCTCTAGAACAGTACTAGATTTAAATCCAGCCGATATGGTACGGTTTTTTCTTACAAAAACGATTCTAAGTAACCCATCCCATTCATTGAAGTCGATCTGCGGTCTTGGATTCTTGATTTCAATTCTCACCACACTAGACTCCACTTTTGGAGGTGGTCTAAAGTTATTTTTCCCAACTTTCATGATATGAGTAACATTTGCCCACATTTGCACATTGGCAGATAGACGGCAATATAATGAGTCACCAGGTTTCGCTAATAGTCTAAGTGCAAATTCCCTTTGAAACATAAGTATGGATACTCTTGGTGGTCTTGGTTGATTAATTAGTTTAAATACCAATGGTGAGGAAATTTGGTATGGAGTGTTACTAATACAAATATCAAAGTAAGGTAATTCAGTCTTCATAAAATCACCCAATAGAATCTCTAATTTCTTTTCGCCAGGCGTACCATGAACTCTTTTTGTCAATTCTGCCGCCATTCTAGGATCCATTTCCACAGCAACAACTTTTCGAGCTTGTTCTAAAATCCTTACAGTTAAATTACCTGTACCTGGACCAACTTCAAGAACTACATCTGATGGTTTGATTCCTGCTTTATCTACAATCCCCTGGGCAACTAATGGGTTTTTTAAAATATGCTGGCCTAAATCAGTATTAAACTTGAAAACAGAACTTAAATGCTTTTCTGCAGCGACTTGTTTATTGGTAGTTATACCAGAATATTTCTTTTTACTACTAGCTTTTGCCATTATGAAATGAGGGTGTATTCTTCTGTAATATGTACTGTGTATGATTTTGTATTCTTTGCTTTTAAGTAGATGAGATTCGATGTGAGACCTCTTTATTCTGTTTAAATGATGTGTTTTTAATCTTCGTTCTACAAGAAAAATTTTAGTATTATTTATTTTGTTTTTCTTTTTTCAAAAAGGTAAAGGATAAAGAAGAAAAAGAAAATTATACAAGCATGATAGAAATATCACAAAGACATAACAAACAGTTATGGCAGTTTAACAAAAAAGCATATAAGACAAGATCTATTCTTTGTTGAAGCATATGTACATATCACATTATTTACTTATATATATATATATATATGCAAAAAGCATAATTTCTTTTTTTGTTTTTTTTTTTAGATAATATTATGATTCATACGTCTAAAAGTCATCCCATTTATCATCTTTCGTTTTTTCTGGATTAGATCGTGTTGTATTGCTATCTTTATTATGGCCATTGCTGTTGATAGAATTTTCGATGGGTTCATAGTTAGAGTTAAGTTGTTCCCTTGTATTATAGTACTGGTCTTGCAAAGTCTTAGTAAATTTGCTTAACGCAGCGTAACCATAACTACTGGTTTCATGGAATTTTTGACCAAATTGAGCAGCAGCTCTTTTGGTTTCTTCAGATAATTCTCCTGATTGCCATTGCTCATATTTTGGTTTAATGACAGTTTCATTCATATCGTTAACAGACTTAGAAACTGCTGAAGAAAATAGGTTCCAACCTCTCGATAATGTACCTAGTGGATCTGCTTGTAAATTTTCTAAACTTAAAGTGTTATTTCCACCATTTTTACTGGTATTGTTATTATTTGGGTTTACTGGGGTACTACCGAAGCCTTGATACTTACCACCTTGTGATGGAGGTAAATGTTCTGGTTTAGCTTGATTTTGTTCACCTAATCTAGCAAAGAATGCCTCATTTTTTTCCTTTTGATTGTCAGCAATCTTTGGTGTAACTGAACGGCGATTTTCTAAAGGTATTTCTGATTGACTTGAATTATTTGTGATGCTAGTCTGGCCTAATTTAGATGGATCAAAGTTTGGATGTTCAGGTTCAACAAAAGCTTTACCTTCAACTTCGCAAGTTAATTTTTCTTTGTAATCTTCTGCAATAACGTTATTATATTTAATAGTTTGCGGTAAAGTCAAGTCAACACCATGTGCAGACATATAATCATTAAAGTTTGCATTACCACCTTTTTCCATTCTAAGTAATTCATCGTCCTTGAATTGATCCATAGTAATTGATCTTACAAAGCTTATGTGAACACCTAAACTTCTGTGTATACCAGCACATTCTAAACATATAAATATACCGAATTTTGGGGAGGCCCATTGGGGATTTGGGGCGTGACAATCAACACATTTCTTATTATCACCAATTTTTTGTAGTTGTAACAAACGTCTACGATGGTCGGGATCAACTTTCCAATCAGACATGATTATTTTCTTAATTTATATTGTTATTATTTATTTGATTTATGTTCGCAAATTATTATGATTATTTTGCTTGTTTACTGGGTTGAGTGCAATTAACAGATTGATAAAGTACGCAAATATATGTATAATGGAAAATTATTTATTAACCCCTTCACTTTTTGTCAACTTTGGTTATTGGATCAGTAACAGAAAGGAAGTTTAGTTTATCGTCTACCAAATGTTTGTTTCGAATGGTTCTCTATTAAAACAAAAATTATTCACGTTAAGTTTTTTTTATCTTCTATACTTTTTTTGCTTTTGGAAATTTTCTCCGCCAACTTTGATAAAGAAAATATACGAATGTGAAAAAAAAAAAAAGATTTATAAGAAGCTGGGGTCTTCTTTATATCACTAATTATTATTTTTTTGATTATAAGGATATTATCGGACGTGTGCGAACTTGGAATATTGTGTAAATCTCCTATAGGGTAGTTTATTCATCATATTCACAAGAGTCATTCTTTCCTCTTAGGCAACTACACATAGTAATGATCTCTAAGGTTTTTCTTTCTTGATTATTTGGAATAAGAACTTCTTGGAATAAATCCTACAATCAAAACTTTTAACATGTGAAATTATTGAGAATGAGCGTTTGTAGTCATTGGATATATAATAAACATTCTCAATATTATATTAAACAGATTTGGTACACAGAATTATAATAAAGCTCTTTGCTTTCTTTCTCTATATACAACATAGAAATAATTATATACAAAGATTGTAAATAAGATAAAAATAATGTATGGTGAAATCCTTGGCTTTATATATGTTAACATTAAGCCATTTTCCACTGCGAACAGTAAGATATTTAATAAACAAACTCAACAACATTTGGTGACCTTTCAACGATTATTACTCAACAATTTATCGTTTAGTGTCTGCTAAAATCTTATTGTTCTATCTATTTCATTATAGAATATTCCATTTCAACAGAAATATTATTGATAAATAATCACAACTAAGAAGAGTTACGAAATAATGTTGTGTTTGTTTGATTAATTGTAGATTTTTTGAGTTAAATAGAAAAGAAGGTATGTTTGTTATCTATTTTTTTTATTGTTTAGTTTAAAAGAGCTCTCTCAAAAAAATTTCTGAAAAATTACTCTTCTTTTACCCACATTTCTACCAGAAACCTAATAATAGAAATAATTATTTTACATGGAATAAAAGGAAGATCTTACTCAAAGAGCATCAGTTTATACAACTTTTATTAAACTATCCACCAATACCAAAATAAAAGACTAAGTCAAAGTTTTCTGAATTTTAAAATTGAAGTATGTTGTTACCTAGTTTTATACAAATTTAGTAATTTCCTTTTATAAAAATTATCATATCATATAATATCAGATATATATAATTTCAACATGTAGTGTCTTGTTATTAAATACTTTAATTCTTTATCTAATTACTTAATTTAAAACAAATTATCTAATAAATCATTAATATTCTCCTAAACATTGCCAGTATAATACAGTTATTATTATTATTAATTCTCTCTTTCTCTCTCTTTATCTTTGATTGTGCTTAAAAATTGGTTACAATCAAAAACTCAATTTATAAAATCCCACTTTCTTCCTTATCAAATCTACAAAAGACAAAGTCAAGTAAAGACAACCTTTCTTGAAAAAACATTTTTGGTTGAGTTACTTAATCATTTAAAAATGATGCTGTAACAATAACAAAGTTAAGTTATAATGAAACAGTTTGAAGATAAATAAATTACTCTAATTTGTAAAGAATTACACTAGATTCATTAAAAAAAAAACTTATACTGAAAAGAAAAAAAAGATTCTTATAAATATTTAATTTGTCCTTATATCTTTACAAAGGCTTAAAAATTGTATTTTTAATTCAGTTTCTTTTTATGTTTACGGCCTTTTTCAAGCAAACCTTTGAAACAAGAACGTCAAAATAAAGGTTTATTAAAATATATCTTGGTCAGTTTTCACAAGAATAACTTACTATTGAAAGAAAAGTATACATTTCTATAAAAATGCCAAACCAAATATCAAAAAAAAAAAATAATAAAAAAAAGAAAGATTTTTAAAATAAATCAACAGTTCCCCTTGATTTCCTGATAAAAGCCATTTCTAACACATGATTCAGCCCACTAATGTAGGCCCAAATTTTATATCTTCAGATATTAATGTCTTCTATTGAAACCAATATTTTATTCTCCAACAACACTCAGAAGACTTTCTCAACGAGAACGAAGAAGTCGTGAGGAATTTAACTGCGAGTTGTTTGTGTGCGTATTTTTTTTCTATACCCTAATGTGTAAAAACATTTATTCCGGGAAAAAAGTAGCAAACCCTCATTCATTAAAAAAAAAAGGTTTATTTTTTGTTGTTGTTTTTTTTTTTAAAAAATTGAACTATTGGCAAACTATTTCTTCACTAATCCAAATGAGAAGATATTGATCAAATTTAAAGTTGAAAGGTAATAACGATTATAACATAGGCTCCCATCAATAGAAAGACTACAACATAAACAAACACAATCGACATAAAGTAGGAAATAACTTGAGAACTTGTTTATGCTCGTTTGTGGGCTTGGCGTGTATAGTTATTGAGAAAACGGAAGTATCTAAAAGATAGCCTCAATTCCAATATATTATAAACATGTCTGATTTGGAAAAAAAATCAGATATTGTTACTGTGCAAGACATCTCTGTTGACACAAGCTCCACAGATGAAGGCAATTTTCCAAGATTTTCAAACTTCAGATCTGTGGCTTCACACACAGATGCTGGAAAAGTAAACTATATAAATACTACCGCTGCGACGTCTGATAATCAGTTGTTAGCTGAAATTGGTTATAAACAAGAATTAAGAAGACAATTCACACCAATTCAAGTCTTTGGTGTTGCATTCTCTATTATGGGCTTATTACCCTCAATTGCTTCTGTTATGGCAGGTGGTTTAGCAGGTGGCCCTGTGACTTTAATTTGGGGTTGGTTTATTGCAGGTGGGTTTATCCTTACTGTTGGGATAAACATGGCAGAAAATGCCAGTTCTATTCCCACAGCAGGTGGATTATATTATTGGACACATTATTATGCTCCAACTGGGTATAAGGAAGTTATCTCGTTCGTCATTGGATATTCAAATACTCTAGCCTTAGTCGCTGCTGTTTGTTCAATTGATTACGGTTTTGCTGAAGAAATCCTTGCGGCTGTAGTTTTATCAAAGAATGGCAATTTTAAAGTCACTACCGGCATGACATATGGTGTGTTTGCTGCTGCTGTTGTTGCAATGGGATTTTGTGCATGTTTGGCCTCTAAAACTGTGGGTCGGTTACAGACATTAAGTATCTTTGCTAATTGTTTTATTATTCTTTTATTTTTCATCACTTTACCTATTGGAACAAAGAAGAATGTGGGCCATTTCAACAATGGAAAATTTATATTTGGTAAATTTGAAAACTTTAGTGACTGGAATAATGGTTGGCAATTTTGTATTGCAGGGTTAATGCCTGCTGTGTGGACAATTAGTGCTTTTGACTCCTGTGTGTATACATCGGAAGAAGCTCAAAATGCAAGGAAATCAGTTCCAATGGGAATAGTAAGCTCCATAACATTATGTTGGATTGTTGGCTTTTGTATTCTTATCTGCTCGACTGCGTGTATGTCTACCGACGTAAACCGCGTTATTAACAATCCATATGGATTTGCAATGGCACAAATAATCTACGATTCTTTAGGCAGACAATGGGCCATTGCATTTATGTCTTTAATGGCATTTTGTCAATTCCTGATGGGTGCATCGATTGTTACATCAACATCAAGGCAGGTATATGCGTTTTCTCGTGACAATGGTTTGCCGTTCTCCAATATATGGAAAAAAGTTGGAAAGAAATACCCAGTACCTTTCAATGCTGTTATATTTACATGTTTTATATCTCTAGTACTTGGTTTGCTGTGCTTAATTGGTGACGCATCTGCATCAGCTTTGTTCAGTCTTAATGTTGCAGGTAATAATTTAGCCTGGGGTACACCCACTTTTATGAGAATAACATGGGGAAAACAATTATTTAGACCAGGTCCCTTTTACTTAGGCAGATTTTGGTCTCCAGTAATAGGTTGGACTGCAGTAACATACCAAGTATTTCTGGTTTTAATAGTAATGTTTCCAACCAATCAGCATGATGTGACTAAGTCAACAATGAATTATACATGTGTGGTAGCTGGCAGTGTTTGGTTTCTATCATGGCTTTATTATGTCATTTACAAAAAGAAATTTTACCGTGGGCCACAAACAAATTTAACTGATGAACAATATAGGGAAGTTGTTGGACACGATTTAATTGACGAAATAATGTCCAAGAGAAAGGTCTAATTGCATATGATTTTTTTTTGTTCTTGAAAATATTATTATTTATAAAAAAGGTTTTCTTATTTGACACAAAGTACCTGTGAACTGTTCTTCAAACCATGTGGTAAACTAAATGACAAAATAATAAACCTGAAACATTTATTTTCCGGGTGCAATGTGTGTTTTCCATCGCTCTAAGTTCTATAAGTTAGGAACTTCATGATTTCTATGAAAGAAGTAAAAAAATAGGCTACAAGTATAATATATACATTGTACACCTATACTATCTGATTTATTAATATGATAAATACTTAGCCAAAAATTGCAAATGGATTTAAATTTCGATTATAATTTGCTAATATATATCATATGAAGTGCATTTATCCCATCCTTTCAAACAAAGTTATAGGTGTGGGTCATTTAGAATATTCATAATGTACATGTAAAAATATATTTATGTAATGGAATATGTAACATATTTTTCACTATTAGGCATCTTCTAAAACCATATAGTCCTTTACATAAATATTATTGTAATCAAATATATTTTAATAAAGAATGAAAATAGAAAAAAACTTATGAACATAAGCATGATTTCCTTTTAAATGTTTATCGTTCTTGTTTTCACACAATTTTGAAGAACTGGCTTAAATGCTCTCAATACATCATTATTTTTATATCATTACCCTATTTAGGTTCATTGTAACGTTTATATCAAATCACATACACTCTTTTTGCTTGTAATTTCATTATTATTTTTTATTTATTATATCAAATACAAAATTATACAATGTTCTGAAATTAAAATAAATATATAACGAATATATAATATAGTTGGACCTAAGTTAACATATAAAATAGTAATAAAAAAAACAAATGAAGAAGCCCCAATAACAATTAGGGAAAGAAATGGTTTTGAAGACATTGATAATTAAATATGTGAAAATGGAGAAAAATTTACTTATTTGTCATATCCTTCAATAAATTCCTTACACATCCCATATCCTCAATCAGCATTTTTCTTAACCACATTGTTTCCTGTCTTTGTAAAGCTATCTCATTTTCTAAAGATCGAATTCTTTTGTCTTTTTCATCTAAAATAGTAGAATACGAATTTTTCACTTCTTGTAAAATGTTTAAATCAACTGGCCCCATTGTCTTATTACTTGTTTTCAAAGCAATAGCATTTAAGTCAGGATCCATTTGCTGTAACATCATACTGGTTTTTCCATAAGACAATGCATTATTAACATCAAGCTTATTAACGATATCATCTGTCATACTTGTATTATTTGTATTATCAATTCTGTTTAGTTGAGTTGAGTTGTTTGTGTTTGTAATAGTTGCTGTACTTACTATGCTATTTGGTGTATTATCTAACAATGTTGACATTTGCTTGTTTGTTTGAGGCATTTCATTTAGTCTCTGCCTTTTATTAGCATTAGTATATTTTAATATATCATTCATTCCAATGGAATCTAAAGAATCTAGATTTACAGAGCCTAGAGACCTTCTTTTTCGATGATTAGTATTTTGTATTGAATTATTTGTCATTGTAGAATCCAAATTGATACTAATCATTTGATTCTGTTGGTGAAATTGTTGTTGGTGTTGTGACTCTCCAAGATTTGTATCATTGTTTATGGTGTTTGACTCAAGAGGAAATGTAAAACTATTCAATATATTTGGACTGGTAGGCTGTGTATAAGGTCCATGTATAGACCTACTTACATTTGTAGTTATATTATTACTATTATTATGAATGTTGTTGTTAGCGTTAGTGTTATTACTGTTGTTGCTGTTGCTACCATTAATGTGGATATCATTTCCATTAGACAAAGTGTTGTTTAATTTTTTTTGCAACGCCAAAATATCATTATTAGCACCATTATCAATACTATTCGTGGAGTTTAGTAAGTCTGTGGTCATATTAATGAATTCATCTTCTAAAGTACTATTTGTACTATTAGTATTTATATCTTGTTGACTACTGATATTACTCCAATTTGCATTATTATAGTTATTAGTAGCAGAGTTAGAAATACAATTATCAATGACAAAAGTTCTCTTATTTTCCTTATTAATCCTGTTATTGGCAATAATCTTATTATTATTATTAGCAGTAATAATAGTATTATTAGAATTATTTGTGGTTGCATTATTTTTCTTTCTACCTTGATTTATCATTCTACCTGTTCTTGGATTATAAACTGATAATATTTCATCTGATAAAGTCTTCCAATGAAGATCGTCTCTAAGTTCCCTACTGTTTTTAATTTGGAAAAGGGTGTCATTTATTTTATTAAAATATTTCGAAAAGGGAGAATTATCAAAACTCAATTCTATTTCTTTAATAATCTGCTGAAACCTTTGAAACAGTTCAATTGAGGATTTGGTGGATATTGTATCATCACCCATGGTACCTTTACTCAGGAGTGAATTAAAAATTTTAGAAATTTTATCAAAGGTATTAGAATATTGAGGATGCACAACCAGTCCTCTAATCCGATTATTATTACTATTACTATTACTATTACCATTATTATTATTATGATTCTTAGAATCCTTTGATGATACATTAGATTTGGTGACTACATTTAGTGATTGTTGGATATGATTGCTGTTTAAGATAGATTCCTTGGTGATTATTTTGTAAGCTCTGATAATGAAAATATCTTTTTTAGAAAGTGGATAAACAGGTTGAAATAGACCAGCTATATGCGTATTATTTGTCAATTCCATCAGTTGAATAGAAGCTCCATTATTATTCATACTAGTACCATTGCCACTGCCACCACGAGTTATATCAAGTTGTTGTGATTGATTAAGTTCCAAAGCTCCAAAATCCATTACACTATAAAACCAAATTGCAGTGTTTACCAAAATTCTTCTTGTAACAGAAATCCATATAAATATAAATATATAAATGAGACAAAAACCAAAATAATAACTAATAATAACTAATAATAACTAATAATAACTAATAATAACAATAATAACAACAACAATAATAATAATAAACCTATAATACTATATTACCCTATACACGAATGTATATAGATGTAATACTGAACCAACAGATTGTTTAGTAATAGGAACAAATGATTGACCAAATGGCTTAATCTTAGGAGGCTACTTCGTATTTTCACTAATATGGTTATATGTATGTGTGTATGTTTGCATATATGTATGTACATATAGATCTACACACAAATAAGCATATATATCTTATATATATATGTAGACCAAAAACAAATCAGTCAATATCAAAAATTTTACGATCTCCGCAGTTGAATCGGATTGTCTTTAGCGATTTACACAGGCAAAGCCATTGTGAGTTCAGAGAGTTGGTTTAATTTTCGCAAAAAAAAAATAACAAACAAAACAAAACAAAATGAATAAAAAATGAAAAATAAATTTGTTTCTTAATCATACAGACAAACGAAGTAATCATCCCCTTTTGTCCCAACGTATTTTTTCTCGTTAAAATTCTACCAAGAATGAAAAAAAAAAATGAAAAATTTTTTTTATCTTTTTTTGTATGAAAGAAAATAAAAATAAAGAAAAAAAAGAAAAAAAACTAAAGAAGTGTACCAATAGAGAAAATTATTCAAAAGAGGGAAAACATTCCTGATAAAGTAAGACTTTATTAAAGAGGAAAGACATATAAGCCGGAATGCGGAAAGCTATTTTCCGTAAAAGGGATCTATCAGGAATTAATTCCGCATAATTCCGGTTTTTTCTAAAAAAAAAAAAGAAATAACAAAAAAAATAATAAATAATGATGCAAACTGGAAAATATGTCCTTTTAGGGCATTCGATCATTTACCCTTGAATAAACCCTTGGACACCGTTAGGTCTGTGTTTGCTTTCTTTTCTCTTTTTGTTTTTTTTTTTTAAAATTTTTCTTATTTCATAGAAAAAAACAGTTTACCCTTTATAAAAATTTCAGTAATGTCGTTTCAAAACTTGGTAGCCCTAACATATTACTGTTTCCCAGTTGAAATAATGAAATTTGTTAGGGTTTCGAATTCTTCAAAAAAGACAAATCCAGATCTCTTACAAATTATTTGAGATTAAACACGAACAGACTGAAATATTTCAGATTATAGCAAGAAACAGATACAAACAATATTCTAAACACATATAAAACATGCACATACACACAGACACACATACACACCTACGTACAGAGAAGAGGGTATAAGAGAAGCTCACTGTACCAGACATACGTACACACACATACATACACTTTCTCTCTGTACATATATATATATATATATATTTTTTTTTCTTTGGTGTTTTGTTTTAAAGAATGGATTCACCTCAAGTCCCAGCTGCATTATTCCGCAGAAAAAAGGAATATAAACGTGGTATCTCGTACTCAATTCTTTTGCTGGGTAGAAATGGTACTGGTAAGACAACTTTTGCTAACAATTTACTAGAGACCAATATATTTTCTCATCAATACGAATCCGATATTAACTCAAACAATATACCTAGTGTAATCTCAGACAGGATTAAGGTGACAAAGCCGACTAAAGTGGTCTCTTTCACCTCAAATGACGGTTTACCAAACCAATTTAATACTAAGTTTGATCCATCTAGATCCCAACTGGAACCTGGGATCACAATAACCTCCACATCAATAGAGATCATCACGAGTGCTGGTAGTAGTGGACCAGGTTCTGGATCTGGACCAAATCCTGGATCCGACACACCGTCCCCTTCTTTAATGGATGACGAAGATGATGATATTATAATGTTGAATTTAATCAATACGTATGGCATAGGTGACAATTTAGACGACTCCATCTGTTTTGATGAAATTACATCCTTTTTGGAACAACAGTTTGATTACGTTTTAGCAGAAGAAACAAGGATCAGAAGAAACCCACGGTTCGAAGATTCCCGTGTCCATGTGGCGTTATACTTCATTGAACCTAATGGACATGGGTTGAGTGAACTGGATGTTGAACTAATGAAAAGGGTTTCACGTTATACAAATGTCTTACCGATAATTTCAAAAGCAGACAGTCTAACAAGGGAGGAACTAAACAATTTTAAAAAAATCATATTGGAGGATATTCAAAGGTATAGTGTTCCTGTATTTAAATTCGAAGTTGATCCAGATGAAGATGATTATGAGTCTATTGAAGAGAACGAAACTTTATCTAGATTACAACCATTTGCAATAATTTGTTCCGACACCAAGGATAATAAGACAGGCCATTACTATAGGAAATATCCTTGGGGGTCAATCGAGAATGTTAATGATTCCAAAGTGTCAGACTTATTGATACTGAAAAATGTCTTATTTGGATCACATTTACAAGAATTTAAAGATACAACCCAGAATTTGTTATATGAGAACTACAGGTCTGAGAAACTGTCAAGTGTCACATCGGAGAGTCATGTTAATTCAAACAACACCAGATTCAATGAAATAACTAATTCTACAGAAGATAACATCGATAAAAGAGCCAGTGCAGTACCAAGTTTAAGTAATTTTGCATCGTTGATAAATACGGGTACTATACCATCGTCGCAATCCTTAGCGAATAAACTGAATGAAAATGGTAATCCAACCACACCAAAGCTGAAAAACTCATTCGAAGAGAATGGTGGGAATTATAATGAAAACAACTATGCTACAACAAGAGATGAAAATAAAGAACGTGAAAATAATAATAATGATCAACAACAATCACCAATTAAACAAATGTCAGAGGAGATTAAATTAGAGAATCAAAACATTATCAATTCAATTAAAAAAGATGCTACAAGGGGATCCATGTCGCCAGATATTAATGAAAGAAACAAATTAAGAAATATCTCAGAGACTGTACCATATGTGTTACGACATGAACGTATCATTGCAAAACAACAAAAACTAGAAGAGTTAGAAGCACAGTCAGCGAAGGAGTTACAGAGAAGAATTCAGGAATTGGAGAAGAAGGCACAAGAACTGAAATTAAGAGAAAAACATTTGAAAAAAAGAAATGTGGCAAGTAGCGAGAGAACAGATAGCCAAGTAAGAACAACATCAGTGAATTCCATAAGTCAGTTGAAGAAAAATGAAACGTATTCAGATTTAGCATCGATTGTATCGGGGTCGAACATGAATTAACCCTAGCTAAAGTGTTGTTGAGATATATATGTATTTAGTGTAGTATGTAACACAAATAACAAGAATTCAATAAGTTCTATATATATATATATCTATGCTATACATACTTACGTATATTGTTTTTGAATTGTTATTAATATCAGCCTTTTGTTTTTAGTTTTTGTTTTTGTTTGAAAAAAAAAAACCGAAATAGCCGGAAGAAGGAAAAAGAGGTTTTTAGTTGTAATATTTGTAACACACAATGTGCGATATATATATATAATATGCAACTTTAAGCTTTGTAAAAAAGGGAAGAACATATATACATCCACGGAAGCAGCCGCAGAAGGAAGTGATATGTTTTCGGATCAAGCGGAGAATGTGAATATGTATATCCATTGTTCTTCCTCCCCTCCCCCGTTAATAACACCGGTAGCAGAACTTTGCTAACAATATGACAGTGTGTGTTCGGGCCATCGTTCTTCTGTGCACAATCAAAGTTTTATTCGGTTGATGTATAAGTATCGACAAGTGACAAGTTCTAGAAGCACTGTATTTCAAGTTTTCGACTTTCAAACGGTTTCTGTTTGCTTTCTCCGTCTTCTCATTGTTGCCTGTCTTGATGAGTTTTATTGTATTTCCTTATCTCTTCATCGTTATTATTGTTATTATTGTTATTATTGTTATTGTTATAGATTACAAATAAGATATTCTCCTCTTATTCAACAAGATGTTTCCATTATTCGCCATCAGAAATAGTAGCAACTAAAAGTAAAACAAAATAAAATAAGACAAAACAAAACAAAAACAAAACAACAAGGGAAATATTTTACTACACACCATTTTTATCTTTGTTCAGATAAGAAGATTACACAGTTCTAGATAGAATGATGGAGAAGAAAGAAGATAAGAGGGTTATATTGAAGTACAAACGATTTTTTCAAACACGTACATCTATAATCAGTTAATTAATTTGCTAACAATCGTTTATTTTTTTTTTTTTCGATTGAAGAATATTGGCAAGAGAAAGAGGATGAAAAGGAGATAAAGATATTTAGAACTCTCTTACCTGTTGTTGCTGTTGTTGCCATACAAGAATGTCATTGTTGTCAATAGTTGTGTAGAATACCTTATTAGCTTTTTCTTCTTTTCTGTGGTCATTGTTGCTACCGCCGGTGTAATTATTACATACTGACATGATATTGTTGTTGGTAGTTGTGTAGTATACTTTGTTAGATTTTTTTCTATTTCAATTGCTACTACTACTACTACTGTTGTTGTTGTTATATACAAGAATAACATTGTTCTTAGTAGTTTTGTAGTATACATTTATTAACTTTTTCCTCTTTCTATTACTACTGTTACAACAACAACAACCACCACTACTATTATTATTATTACTACTATTGTTGTTATTAGATACAAGAATAACATTGTTATCAGTGGTTATATAGTATACTTTATTAGCTTTTCCCCCTTTTCTGCAACAATTGTTGCTACAGATGCTATTGTTGTTACCCACAGGACTAATATTGTTGTTAACAGTTGTGTAGTATACTTTATTAGTTTTTTTCCGTTTCTTATTACTACTAATATACTACTACTACTATCGTTGTTATTAGATACGGGGATGACATTGTTATCAGTAGTTATATAGTATACCCTATTCGTTTTTTCCCTTTCTGGTATTGGTACTGGTGCTGCTTTCGATATTATTGTCATTGTCAACCTTTAATATCTATTAACGGTTGTCCCAAAAAAGCAACCTTCTCTTTATCTCTCTCCCCCTTTCTTTCTTTCCCCCCATCTCTCTCAAGAAAGGAATAGTTAAAAGGCAACAGGGCAACTCATTAATTGCAAATGTTATTATAACTATTTCTTTAGATAGCTCATAGTTAGGACAACAGTTGAAAAAAAAAAAATAAGATCGAAGTACAACACTCATGATATATAAGAAGGTAGTAATGCACCATATTTACCTCGCTCTTCTTAGCTGCAACTTTGCTTTCTATCTTCTTGTTCTTTCCAACCCTGCTCTTAACCATATAACAACATATTATTTTGTTCTATCATAAAGAAACAAAAACAAAAGCAAAAACAAAAATAACCGATTTTCCATAATTTTACTTTACTTTTGAGTTTATCCTACTTTTACTTTTATATTATTTCTTTAAATAATATCTAAACAATGAAGTTCTATTCATTGTTATTACTGTACATCAGTATTATAACCAATCTACTTGTCGCTGTTGCTGATACAGAACCCAATCATCTCCCTGGTGTTGACGTATGTGCTAAAAATGAAATTGTAAACGGTTGTCCAAACTTAAATTTTCAGCTCCATCAAAAAAATAATGGAATAAATCCAACTTATCAAATGGATCTACAAAATGTTCAATATCTAACTGGCAATATTTATATGATTACTGTCCATGTCTATGCAAGCGAAAATATTCCTTTAAGACATTTATCTTCTTTAAAGATCACTGGTGTTCAAGGTCCACGGGTAACCATCCCATTATGGGATGCAAATGGAGGTATCACACCACCTAATTTCAAACCATCTGATTTTACAACAACATTCACTGTGTTTGGCAACCCACACGAGAATCCATGCTATGTTTGGCTACCACCCTTTCAAATCCATTACGAATATATCTACAGCAGTGACTGGATCAGAAAGGGTTGGGGAAAAACTAACTTTGATTTAACATTAGGCTGTAATGGTAACAGCCAAGGAAATCCAAATGCTGATTTACCATTATATTATTGGTATAAAAAATGTGATCACAATTGCAAACCTCCATCCCCATCACCTTCTCCATCACCAAGTCCATCTCCTAGTCCAAGCCCATCACCATCACCATCACCATCGCCATCACCATCACCATCACCATCGCCATCACCATCACCATCACCATCACCAAGCCCATCTCCATCGCCATCTCCTAGCCCAAGTCCATCACCATCTCCATCACCATCGCCATCTCCTAGCCCAAGTCCATCGCCATCGCCATCTCCAAGTCCAAGTCCAAGTCCAAGTCCAAGTCCAAGTCCATCGCCATCTCCATCGCCATCTCCTAGCCCAAGCCCATCACCATCACCATCGCCATCTCCACCGCCATCTCCAAGTCCAAGTCCATCACCATCTCCATCGCCATCACCATCTCCATCACCATCTCCTAGCCCAAGTCCATCGCCATCGCCATCTCCTAGCCCAAGTCCATCGCCATCGCCATCTCCAAGTCCAAGTCCAAGTCCAAGTCCAAGTCCAAGTCCATCGCCATCTCCATCGCCATCTCCTAGCCCAAGCCCATCACCATCACCATCGCCATCTCCACCGCCATCTCCAAGTCCAAGTCCATCACCATCACCATCACCATCACCATCGCCATCACCATCACCATCACCATCACCAAGCCCATCTCCATCGCCATCTCCTAGCCCAAGTCCATCACCATCTCCATCGCCATCTCCATCTCCATCTCCAAGTCCATCACCATCGCCATCACCATCGCCATCTCCATCTCCATCTCCAAGTCCATCACCATCGCCATCTCCAAGTCCAAGTCCATCACCATCTCCATCGCCATCACCATCTCCATCACCATCTCCTAGCCCAAGTCCATCGCCATCGCCATCTCCTAGCCCAAGCCCATCGCCATCGCCATCTCCAAGTCCAAGTCCATCACCATCTCCACCGGCATCACCATCTCCATCACCATCTCCTAGCCCAAGCCCATCTCCATCACCATCGCCATCTCCACCGCCATCTCCAAGTCCAAGTCCATCGCCATCTCCATCGCCATCTCCTAGCCCAAGCCCATCTCCATCACCATCGCCATCTTCAAGTCCAAGTCCAAGTCCAAGTCCATCGCCATCTCCATCGCCATCTCCAAGTCCAAGTCCATCACCATCTCCATCTCCATCACCATCGCCATCTCCACCGCCATCTCCTAGCCCAAGCCCATCGCCATCTCCATCGCCATCTCCTTCTCCATCTCCAAGTCCATCTCCTTCCCCATCTCCATCGCCATCTCCATCTCTTTCCTCATCACAGTCTAAAAATATATCCTCAATTTCGAAATCTTCTTATCAGCACTCTTCCATTTCAAAGTCTTCTTCCTCAATTATCACCTCTAAATCTAATGGTCATACTTCTCTTTCTTCAAGAGTGAGTAGCCATGCCATTACATCTTCACCAATAGTTAGCGTTACTACTATTTGTGATGAAGATAATATTTGTACTGTCACTACAAAAACCGAAACTAACATTGTAGATACAACTGAAACAAAAACAATTACTACTTGTGATGAAAAAGGATCATGTAAGGTAACTACACAACATGAAACCCATACTAAAGAATTGCCACCCATAACAACTACAGTTACTACCGTAATTACAGATTATTGTGATAATAAACCTTGTGAACCAATCACAACAATTTTTACCACAATATGTCCGGTAACTTTAAGCACCTATACAACAATTTGCTCCACAACAACAAATGATGAACCATGCCCACCATACACCACTGTTATTGTCACTACAATCCCAAAGTCTCCGATTACACATCCAGCAATTATGGTACCACCTACTGTTCGTGAAACAAAGACAATAACTACAGTTATTTCAACTAGTCCAAATGGTGAACCATGCCCACCATACACCACCGTTATTGTTACTACAGTACCAAAATCTCAGGAGGAACATTCATCTGAAACAAAGACTATAACCACAGTTATTTCAACCAGTCCAAATGGCGAACCATGCCCACCATATACAACTGTTATTGTTACAACAGTGCCAAAGTCTCAAGGGGGACATTCATCTGAAACAAAGACTATAACCACAGTTATTTCAACCGGTCCAAATGGCGAACCATGCCCACCATATACAACTGTTATTGTTACAACAGTGCCAAAGTCTCAAGGGGAACATAGTTCTGCTACAACTACTCTTAGATCAGATATATACATTTCCAAGAGTTCAATTACAACTGTTATTTCTACAGGTCCAAATGGTGAACCATGTCCACCTTATACCACAGTCATTATCAAGTCTTCAGAAGCATTGGAGCGTACCACTATTATATTACCTCCTGCTATTTCAACTTCTGCCGTAGAGCAAAATTCTCCAACTAAAGAAAAAACAACACTTTCTGGCAATTCACCAACTGCTAGCATTGATAAGAACTTCGAGGGAAAAGGTGCTAATGTAAAAAATCCTTTAGTGCTAATTTTACTTTCTATTTTACTTCTAATTTAAACATTTCTGATTATATTTTGAGTACACATTATTTTTTTATTATTATTTCGACTGCCAATCTTTTTTAGTTCTATACACATATTGTGTTTCATTTAATTTTAATTGAATTCTTTTTCTACAACCCAAATTAAACTACTATATATGTTTATTTTTTTAATAACAATATTGAATAAGTAATTTATTTTAGCTGTTTTTGTTTAACCTTTTTTGTTTTTTTTTTTAAGAGCGGTATCTTTACAATAAGCTCCTGTAAATTACCCATACTAATATATATTTTCTTAATGGTTTTGAAAGACACTAAAAATAGAGTAAAGAATTTATAAGATAAATTGCCAACCTTGAAATCCTTCAGTTTTTCTATATTGTTGACAAGCTAAATTCCTTTCGTAACAAGACAAACGAATTTTATTACATCATGTTAGAAAAATGTATACATAAACATTTAACATAAAACTGTTATATAGATATCCTAAAGAATATGAAACCATAAAACATGTCTATATTGTTGATTTTGTTATGACTTGTGTGAATTTGTCAAAAATATTCAAAGCATTACTCTTTCTTCTTGGGCTTGGTTTACGAATTGCAGGTCTCTGTTCACTAACCAAACCATTGATGAATGGCCGTGGAACAGTTCTTTCCAATGGGTTTGGTGTTGAAGTATTTATGATATCGATTGATTCAGCAGATGCCATTTCTAACTGAGATTCTTTATTGCCTGCTGTCTCACCAATATTAAATAAACCAGTTGGCGAGAGTTCTTTTGAAAATGATAATCTTTTCTTATGAACTTCGGTAATAGGATTACTGATATAATATTCATTTAATGCCAATAAGCCCAGATGATCTATATTTTCATTAAAACCATAAGTAGGAGTATCAGGATCTATTAAACTTGGATAATATCCCGCCCCTTCTGGCTTAGTAACAGAGCCTAATGACTTTCTCCTAACTGCACGACCATCAAAGCCTACATGTAGATTGTTCTTTCCAGATATCTGTTCTTCAGTAGCCGGCCGTCTTGAGCCTTGTAGGATACGGGCACGTCCAGGTTCAGAGGTAAATGTCCAATAATTACGTTTGCTTGCTAACTTACCGTTATGCTCAGAAAATTTAGCTTTGAATGTGGTTGGTTGGGTGTTGAGGGCAGAAGATTTATTTCTTCCAGTATTTCCTATTTTTTCAAATAGCGAATCTAAGGTAATTATTTCATTCTTTTTTGGCTTAATTTCCAAATTTAAGGGATACATTTTTTTGTTTAATGGAGCCTTATTATCTGACTCATCTACTGTCGACAAAGAACTTAGGACAATAAGATTTCCTTGTAATCTCTGATTTTCACTAACATTTTTATTTGCAGTACCCTTTTGATCAGTATACATATTCAAAAGAGGTACCAAATTAGTTTTTTTTGAAGTTACTAAAGTAACAGGTTTTAAGGGTTTTAGATTTGAACCAAATATATTGGTAGTTATTCTTGCATTATGTAAATCATCAAATAATAGGTTGTATTTTCCATTAGTAATATGCTCAGTTAAACTGGATTTACTGTGTAACAGTATATTTCCTCTAAATTCTCTAGCTAATATCACATTAGGCATAAATGCGCCCTCTAAAGGTTCTTGAAGTTCATTTGAAATGTCTTTGTCTGTATTTATATTTAAAGGCGAATATATCTCTGAAAAAGATTTTACCATCCCTTTTATTCCTAATGGTGGATAAAATTTGAATTGTGATGGACCTTGTGCAGCAACATTGGCACCAACAATGTTTTTCAAACCAATAGACAAAATGTTTTTATTCAACTTTTGCTCTTTGTCAGGATTATATATAGTAGAACCCAAAGTTAAAGTATTATGCGGAAAATAGACAGTTTTATCTCTGTTTGGTAATATCTCCCTTAAACTAGAAATAGATAGAGGTTTATTATCAAATCCCATATAGTGTGGAGAAACAAAAGGATTTCTAGGACCAAGATTAGCACCTACCATTAATGGAGCCATGATATCTCTATTTTTCAAATCATTATTTGCTAATCTATCTATATGCATTTTTTGTTTCATGCAGGTGGTGTTAAAACCTTGAGAACAATCCAATACAGTGCTATTTGACCTTGCAGATATTTCTTGAATACTTGAACTAGTCATTGGCATATTATTGAACCCCATATCATTAGGTGTTGCTAAAGACATACCACTACCAAAACCCATCGACATTGCATCAACACCTACTGAAAACATTTTTGTCTTTCGAATAGGCAAATCCATATAACGAAGGGTATTTTTTTTGACACGATAATTTGTTTGAAAACCTCGAGGTATATCAATAACATTGAGTTTAGATCCATTTGATATTTCTCTAGCTGTTGAAGTAGAAATTGATCGATTGTTAAATCCCATTTCCCATGGATAACTGAAGGAGAAAAATGCACCAGCATTAGATGAAAATAGATCAACATTTGTATTTAGCATATGACCACTAATGGGTGAAATAAAAAATTCATTAACTGATGAAACTGGTATGTCAGAAACTGTTTTGTTATATTTGGTGGAAATTTCCCTCACACTTGAAGTAGATAATTTTTTATTATTGAATCCCATTTCCCATGGCCTACTAAAAGAACCACCTAATCCAGTCTCTGATGATACTACATTAATACCTACATGAAATAATTGTGGAAATTTGTTTGTCGGTTCCTTGTTTCTATTAAAATTGAAAGGTATATCCCTTACTGGCATTTTAGTCTGATAGGAAATTTCTTTCAAACTTGCAGTAGACATAATTTTATTATTGAAACCCATTTCCCAAGGTGTTGAGAAAGACATGCCGGCACCAGTATTTGAAGAAACTAAATTTGAAAAAACATTTTTAAGAGAGATAGAGTTTGGTGGTATTGATGTAGCATCATAAAAGATATCAGGAGAAATTTTTGACGGGTATAAAAACGATTGGGGAATACTTGTTGTTGACCTTATTGTTTGATAAGAAATTTCCCTTGCACTTGCAGTTGAGATTACTTTGTTGCCAACACTTCTTTCCCATGGATAAACTAAACTTGTCCATTTTCCTGCAACTTCTTTACTGACACCTATAAAAACTTTAGGCTCGAATTTGGAATAGCTTTCTGACGTATTTGTTGCTAAATGTTTCTGAGTGGAAATAAATGTTTGGTTAAAGGATGAAGAGATTTCTTTACAACTAGAGGTAGAAAGATTATAATTTCTTGAGCCAAAATCAAAGGCTATTGTTGAATTATAAGTGTCATTGAAACTAACAAAACCAGCCGATGCCTTGTGTAAATTGGAATAAGACTGTAATTGTTGCACAACACTAGAGTTTTTGAAAGTCTTATAGGGAATCGATATAGATCTTGGTGTTTCTTCCCTTGTTGTATTAGACAAATCACTAATAATAACATCTTTATGAATTTCTCTTTGATCACTCTGTAAAATAACCATTTCCTCATTTGTATCTTTCATAAAAGCACCTGGAATATTGATATATCCAGCCAATTCATTATTGGTAAATGGACTTTCCTGTTTAGGAAGAGAAGAATAAATGTTAGTTGTGTCATGGGGGATATGCTGATGATTTAAGTTGTATAAGAACCGATTGTCAAAATTGTCACGATAGTGAGGCGACTCCAATTTGTTGTTATAGTCATTAGTAGGAATCCCACAACCTGGAATACCAACAGATCTTTGCATGATAACTTCGTTAATATTACGGACTTTCTATTTGGTACTTAAATATTTGGAAGTTTTTTTTTTATCTTTTAAAATATATATATATATATATTACGAGATAGAGAGAATTAAGCATTGGCAAACATTCTCAATGGAAGTGCTAGAAAAATATTATGTAGTTTATACATACGTACATATATATATATATATATATACAAACTAAAATCTCAGTCCTATACAAATTCTACAAAAGACTTCATGAGCATAGTATTTATTTTAAAAACTATGTGACTAAATAATCAGAAGTAACCCTTCAAAAATTTGAAAATCTAAAATAAAAGAAACACCTGGAGATAGGCAGAAAAGGGTACTGAGGATAATTGCTAGAAATACGAATTTTGGTTCAAAGTATTCTTTCCAAAGTCTTATCTACTACCAAAAAAAATATTACAAACCATTATTCAATTATATCATGCTTTAGTATAGGTTTAATAAAGAAAAAAAGACAAATTTGAAAGTTTATTGGTGGTTCTTATTTAATATATATATATATATATATATATATGTAAATGGAAAAGTAATATTAAATATTAAAATAAAATGATATAGGTAATATAATTATTATGATACGAATATTAAAAACAATGTGAAGTTGTTCAGAAAAACAAAACTACAAATATAAAATTGAATGGAAAATTAAAACTGAAATCGAATAAAACCGAATAAAGTAAAAAATGAATGATAAAATATTAGATATGTTATCAATGTTTGACCGCTGCAAAGAAGATTATGTCAAAAATAAAATAAAAAAAAAAAGAATATGTGCAAATTAATTGTAAATACTTTATTTATACTTCATATTCTTCATCTTCTTCTTTAGTAGTAGGCAAAACTGGTCTATTAATAGTATTATCAATATTCGTTTTGTCGTTGTTATTATTGTGCTTTCTTGTTTTGATCTTATTAAAAAGTTTATGTTTCGTAGTTGTTGGGTTTGAGGCTGTACTATTATCAATAGAGGCTGATGGAATAGGTTTTGCTACAGGTGCAACAACATTTGGATTTCTTGGTAGCTGTGAAGGTTGATTTGATATATCCCTAACTTCATAATTCCCACCTACTATTTCTGCTGACTGATTGGTTACAGGAACAGTTGGATGTGCATAGTCATATTCATTTATATCTTGTGAATGAATAACTGGTGTTGCATAATAGTTAGCGGATTTTCTCTTTTCCCTATTTTTTAAAAACGTTGCTACTGCCATCCAAATACTTGTACAAAGAAGAAGAAAGACTGTGGTCCATAGTAAAGCAAAACATTTTGCACCCAGCTTAGCATGCCTATTCTTGGAATGAAAAGCCCTGATGCCCTTTGCATAACAACCAGTAAGCAAACATGCAGCCAAAAGAATGAAAAATAGTGATAGCCAATGGAAAACAGTAGCAAAAATAGACAAGCTTCTAATATGCTTAAACACACTGATTATTTGTGGGACTAGGGTCATAACTTCACAAAAAACTGCAATCAGTAACATTGCCCAACCCACACGTGACAGATAATAGTACGCATCTCTATCATTTAAGAAACTTGTTGGCATTAATGGGTTGGACCCAAAATTGTCTTTTGGCGAAAACGGTTTTGCTGGTGCCTTTGAGGAACAATTGAACAATTGATCATTTGAATAACCACAGAATTCGTAATTGAACCATCTTGTCATGTTTGAAGCATCATTAAAGCCAGCTGTGTTTGCTTCAATCCAATAAAAGTTTTTCAGTATACCGGTATTTCTTGCACCCGACAATATTAAAAAGAAAGTCATAATCGTGGCCCCAAGTAAAAAGAGTAAAGAAACGAGACTGCCAATATTAAACCAAAATGACATGTTTACAACCGTGAAAAACTCTAGAATAATAATAAAAAAAAAGTTGTTTAGTGAATAAGTAGCTAAATGTACAGATAGTTCTCCAATATACCTATTTCTTTAGTTATATATAAATAAATTATATTTGCGTCAAAGTCTTATAGTAAGTTTTACCCCAAATAATAAGCAAATGTTTAACTAATATAGGAGAATAAATAATGTGTGTGTGAGACTATATGTGGTAAATATAAAATATTATCTAAGTAAACAAAAGTAAAACTTAAAGTATATCAGGAGAAAGAGAGATACAGTATAAAAACAAGCAAGCAAAACGGGAAGACATGAAACATTCAACAAGATAGAAGCAAATACAACAGTAAAGGAATACAACTAAGAGAAATGAAACAAGGCATTATATAAAGTATAAATAGATTTTTTCCAAACATAAAAACGGAACTAGTTTATCAATCAATCAAAGCCATAAAATAAACAAACTAAGGAGAAACATACTATCTGATACATAAAGGGTTACTATTACCTTTTATAATATAGACATACATACACACAAGCACACACAACCAATTTATATATATATATATATATATATATATATATCTTATGAGTATATATATCCTATAGGCATGATGATTCACATTTCAACCCACTTTTATTTTAAAATCCCTTATTTTATAAGGTGTTGAACCTTTTTCAAAAAATCCACAGATGGCCTTTACGTCTTCATCCAGCTGTTTCAACTTCTTTAGATACTTTCTACTTACTTAAAAGCCTATTGATACACACAATGAAACCAACAACCATTCATTCTCCGATTTCGTATTCCTACCGTTGACCACATTGACCCTAAGAAAAAGAAGCCGTGCAACTAAAACAAACAAACAAAACTAAGAAATTCCAACATTGAGAAGGACAATTTATTCTCCTACCCCTATTTTTTATTTTCCTTTTTATTATCTCCCTTAAATTGTTGCAAGGGATCATTAAATCAAATCGGTACATCTTATTATCTCTTTGGTACCCTTTTTTTTTGTTTTGTTTTTTTCTTGTTTTTTCCTGCAAAAACCATATCAAACTATTGTGTGTGGTATTATGTTACTATAAGTCCCATTAATAAGGAAATGATGACGTCATCTACAACAACTGTTGCAACACTAAATCACGGGCCTCACGAGTGATGACAGGGAGGTGTAGCACATGTGGTAGTGCCACTGCCAGGTCCGTTATCGTCACTTCATTCACACTTGGTCTATTTCTTAATTTAGTGATAGTCTCTGTTAATATAGATCTTCTTTGGATATCTTTACTATCATCCCAATCACCATCATCAATATTACTAACATCATTTTCACTACCCAAAAAAAATAAATCTGGTGTGTTAATAATTATCCTTGTCAATTTTTTATTCTGTTTAGATTTTGAATCCAATAATTCACCTTGACATAAAATCTCTATTCTCTTATCTTGTTCACAACCAAATTCTTTACCCCCGTATGTTAATAATATGTCTATCACTTTTGTAACTTTGAATGACTCGGTTTTCATAATGTATTCATCTGAGTTTATTGGATTAGACTTAAAAACAGTTCCTTGATCCCTTGCAAAATATTCATGCTTTATCTCTTTACATATTGTTAAGATACGTGCTGTTCTGGCCATCAGATCTTCATTTAAACTTCTAGGCTTTCTGGTAATACTAGAACCACTGCATGAAAGTATCTTATGTCCCCGTACAACGAAATTTAATATATCTCCATAGCGTGTAACTCTTAATGTCAATTCAACAACGATCCGTTGGTGTGATATATTCCCTGTCATTCCAGAAGTTAAGTCAAATATGGATTTACCCTTATACTCCCCTTGTATGTCTTTATCGAATTCTTTGAAGAAATTCGGATACATTATTACCCTATAACCTTCGTTTAATTTTAATTTGTAACACTCCCAGGAATCAATATATCTATCAAACAAATACTTAAGTCCTTCCTTCTCATTTATCGTAAAGTCTGTAAGACACAATGATACAAACTTTGGGTTCTCATTTGTAATAGAGACACAGAGTCCAACAATCCTGACAAATTGTTCATTTTTATGTTGCAATGTCAATTCTTTAAACATTATTAATTGGTCATTAAATTTCGACACGGAATTATCATTATTTGTTTCATCTTCATCTAAATTACTAGGATTGGAAGTGCTAGCTGATATTGAATTGCAACGAATAATCAAATATTCTATCATTTCAAGATCATGCTTTCTTTGCCAGGTTTTACAACTAAACTCATATTCACCAATTTTCAAGCTATTTTGTCCATAAACTTCAATAAAACCTTCTCCTGAGGCAATATCATGTTTTTGACCTATTAAAATCGTATTGTAACGGTACCAATCTGGAGAAACCTTCACATAACCAATTATATACCCAATGTATTGGAACTCAGTTCCAAGCTCATTGAATGCCCTTAATTGATCAATATTTTTAATATATTTATGACTTATCTTCGAATTCTGCATATCCTTAAAAAATTCATCATCATCATCATCTTCTTCTTCTTCTTCTTCTTCTCGTTGACTCTCAATAGAGGATATAGGTTGGTATTTGATTCTTTTATTGATAACAGGCAGGAATCTTTGAGAATTATAATCATCTTGAGAATCGGATATCCTTTTCAAATTAAATAACGGATTTGTATCATCTGCTAGTGTCATAGCAGTTGTAGTCATTATGTTGGGAACTGTCCCCTCAGAATATTGGCTAATAACGGTTCCAATTGAATCAATTGATGATATAGAACGATGACGGGTCATAATATTTTTCATAGCATCATTTGATGGATCATAATCTAATGGAGTCATATCAGATAGAAAAATACCACTATCACCATTTAATTTAGATACGTATTTGCATTGGCATTCTAGAAAGATTGGATTACCTTGACTGATATTGGTAATAGAAAATGGTTGTAATGGGTCGTTTGACTGTTGTTTAATAGTAAATAATATCCATTTTAGAAGTATGTATAAATATTTTCTTTGATGATCTTTATGAAGTAATTTAATATAATATAACCTTTCACCCGGTGCTTTCTGTGTAATACCAATTAAATAAGATTTACCATCAAATTCTATTTCCTCTAATAAACCAATAATTTGTATATAATGTATCACATTTGCCGGTAATTTTTGTAAATCATGATAACTTTCTATATTCATAGTATTTACAAACAAATGCGATGTTATGATGAGACAAATAGTGACAACTACGGCAATAGATAGGTAAATAAAAAATAAAGAGATACAGAAAGATAGACAAAGTTACTAAAATTTTTTTATTTTGATCAAGATAGAATTGCTTGCATTCAATATTTCATACATATAGTTGTTGTGTATAGGTCTTTCACATTGTAGAATGTGAGATTTTCAGTTTCCTATTTTTCTCCATAAAGATAAAGATCTTTTTTTTTGCTTGGTTCTTTGGAGAAATATATTATTCCAAAAAAAAAAAAAAAAAGAAAGAGAAATAATAATAATAATAATAATAGTGGTGGTGGTAAAAAATAATAATAATAAGCAAACATAGTATAAGTGCCAAATCATATCATATCATATTATATTTTATCGAGTTTTTTAATACTATAACAGATTTTTTTATCATAATTAGTAAGGTACAAGACATAGTATTAAATCTTTTCATATTCTACAATCTTGTAAAAACGTTTTTAAAGGAGACCAAAATTACGCGACATAGGAATACTGGCTAACCAAAAACAAAACTAGAAGAACTTGTAGAAAAGCTGAAAATAAGATCATATTCTTCGATATGTTTAACTAGTGGATATAAAACAAAAATATGTTGTCTAGATTTTTAAAAAGAATATAATATACTACTATATACAAAAATAATTCTTCCCTCGTCGTTTGTAATGTTTTCACTTATTTACATACTTGTGATGTATGCACCTTTTTTTCATTGTTATTTTATTATGTTGATGGATTTGAACATATAAAATCTTAGAGGTTTGCAAGACTACTTTCGAACCATACTTCATCAATAGAATAGATACAAAATATGGCTATTAGCATACCCAAGACAAAATTAATATTTTCCCAGTAAATTATTTAAATTAAATATAAATTTCGGAACAAAGTGTGTTCACAAAGATGCATGCTGATTAATTGAAATCCTGCATAACAAACACACACACACACACATATATATATATATATGGATATATTATGTTGCCTGCAACTTTTTTCATTATACAATTCCTGTTCATTCAAAGCAAGATATTTTCCAATCTTAAGGAGTTTTATTTCGTATCTCAAACCTTTGTTTCTATTCTAGAGTGAGATCTCGATGTTATATATAGAATTTTTCATTATGACAGTACTTTAAAAAATTTCCATATAGGGAGATTTGTCGAAGTACTGATTAAACCAAATTAACCTAGATCAGATCATCAGGTCAATAATTTTTTTTCCTTTTTTTCTTTTTTTCTTTTTTTCTTTTTTTCTTTTCTCTTTTTCATTGTTTTCGCTAGCATTTTTTTTTTGTAATCAAAAGATTGCAAAAGGGAAAAAAAATAATCAAGATGACTGTAACGGGTTGATGTTTACTTAGGTGCGCATTCAATATATTTTGACTTGTCAATAACTTTTTTTTCTTGATGTGTCTTTTATTTATTTATTTATTTATTTTTTATTTCTTATCAACTACCTTCATTTTGATAATCATGTGTAAATGTATATACAAGATAATGTTAATATTCTCTAATCCACCTTGAAATCAATTAAGCAATTTGAAAATTTTTCACAAAGAAAAAAGAGATAGAATTGCCTTCAAATAAAATAATTTTCTGATAATAATAGAAAGAGAACAAAAAAAGAAGAAATTTTTATCATAAACCGGTTAACAAACAAACGACTTATACATTGAAATGAAGATTGTTATTCAAAAGGTGTCCCAAGCTTCTGTGACTGTTAATAATAAAATAATCTCCAAGATCAGTAAAGGTTATATGTTGCTTGTTGGAATCTCTTCCGAAGATACCATAGAAGATATCAATAAGTTATCTAACAAAGTGTTAAATTTACGTTTATTCGAGAATCCGGAAAAGGAAGGAGATTATTGGAGATTAAATATCAAGCAAATCGATAATGGACAAATTTTATCAGTCTCACAATTTACCCTATTGGCCAGGACCAACAAGGGGTCAAAACCGGATTTCCACATGGCTGCGAAGGGCCACATCGCAATCGATCTTTATAATGAATTTTTAAAAAATTTGCGCAAGGAATTAGGGGAAGACAGGGTTAAAGATGGCCAGTTTGGTGCAATGATGAGTTGCCAATTGATCAACGAAGGACCTGTCACGATATTATTGGATAGCAAGAATTAGAAATTACTAGACCTAGGTACAATGAAATTACCAAAAAAGAAAATAAAAAAAAAAAAAGAAAAACTAAATAAAAATAGAAAAAAAAAATTAGGGGAAATGGATGACTTGAGATGCTCCCCTTATTTACACATACAATATATCTTATGCAATTAGCAGGCCAATAGAACAATTCGAACATTGTAATTAGAACCTTCTAGACATCCAAAGGGAGTGACCCCTTTGTTAATATACTAGTATCAGCAATAATTCACAAACATTTATGCATATAATCCCTTTAATTTCCACTACTTTTCTCCCCTTTTTAAAGGGAATCTATTGCGGATCCAATAATCAGAAATGGAGCCAAGATCTAGAATTGAAATAGGAACCTAATATGGAGTTATGAAAATAACAGTAAAAAAGGAATAAATTGGTGAGATTTTGGATACAAACATATACATATATATATGTGTGTATATTTCACAAACTAATTCCAACTTTCAAACAGACTTTCTACACTTCTTACACTTCTTCTTACACTTCTCTTTCTCTTCTTTTTTTTTTGTTTTGCATTCTCTTCCCTTTTTACGATAGAGCGACAAGTTTATTTTATAATAAATACCATCCAATAAATAAAACATATAAATCACTTCTAGTTAAAAGTAAAGCCAAAAAGTAATAAATAAATAAATAGCAAATAAATAACAAGGTATAGAGTACATTATGAATAAAACAAGTGGTGCCCCATGGGCAATTTTAAGATTTTTCCAGTTTGCTTCGGCAGTATTGGTTATGTCGTTACTGGCCTATGCTTTACATAATTATGATTTTTTCGGTTCTAAAAAGGCTAACTTTGGTTTGGCAGTTGGTGTAATAGGCTTGTTTTACATCCTTTGTGTCATTATTTTAGTGGCTATAATACCCAAACTGGTAATGGTCGGTCCATACTTAATTGCTGAATGTATTATGTGTTTGTTATGGCTTTGTGGGTTTATCGTAAGTGCAGATGTTTTTGGTAAACACTCATGTGGTAGTTCTTTTGTAACATTAACATATAATCCAAAGTATGGTTCTTTTATGGATTTTCAGGATGCTAATGGTCGTGTGAATCCATTTACTAATAAATATTCTTCTAATAACCATAAGAATGCATGTAGGTCTGCTAAAACTTCTATTGCCTTTTCAGGTTTATCATTCGTCTTATTTGTTATAAGTTGCATTGCTTTGGGTGTTAATGTAGCAATGCCAATTGTCCATTCATTTGGTGGTTCAGGGATGTGGAGGACAGGTGGTGTTCTTGGCACAAGATTACATCGTTGGTCAGGTCTTGGTTTAACTGATTCGGTAGTAAATAATCCTCAACAACCAGCCTATGGTCCAACCGATCTAGAACAACAAGAAGCTGCTGCAATGGCTGGGAATGGTGGTGTTACTCATATTCCTGACCAAAGAACGGTATCTTCAGGAGAATCTGCCAAATCCGAGTCACCAGCAAATGTAGAACCCAAATTGTCTACTCATCCGGATAGAACAGCAGGGATGACTTAAGATTTTTACAACAAGAATAAAGAAAAAAACCAAAAATTATGCTAAATGAAATTACCTTTTAATTTTTATACTTTTTATCCATTTTATTAATTTCAAATTTGTGGTGTTCTCATATTTGTATCTACCACAACATACCCTACTCCTCCTAATTTAAACATAATAATAATCCCCCCTTACATTTTACATTCTAGTTCCACGAATTTTTTTTTATTCTATTACTTCCTATGTTTTCAATAATTAATAACTAATAATTTATATAATTTATTTAATCAATATTCTTAATATTTTATACTTAATTTTAATATATTTTATTCATGGCTATAGCTTTTTAATTGTTTTTTTTCCTTGTTTTCTTCTCTTTTTTATTCTGCTGCATGGTAGCCTTGTAAAGTTGTTAATTTTCAATCATTAATTGAAAAGTTTGTATCTATACATATGCTAAGTAGTTTTGTTTATTCGTATTCTACACTCTTCTGACGGTGTAGCATGTAATAATACAGCTTTCTACAACTAAGCCATAACATCTTTTTATATATATACTACTACCACAACAATACAAGACTTGTGATCTATGACTCTACATATAATATACGAATACATTAAGCAATTATGTGGCTCGACTCAAACCAGGCTGCAGTTTTATTTAATTAGCCTTTAACGCACAATAGAATCCATTGTCTTTTCCTTGCATTAGCCTCTTTTTGAGAACATGTATTTTTTTTTTCTTTGTGGAAATTGTCAATTAAACAATTCAAAAACAAAATGTGCTCCGTGATGCTTTAAAGATTGCATGATATTGTATGTAATTATTCATAAAACAAAAGCATATATATACAAAAATTACAGACAACTTTATTGTTTCTACATATATCTTTCTTTTAGCTTTTTACAAAACCGGACACTTAACTAGTTAACAAATCTAATACAATCAACTCAAAAAAAGTACATATATTTTTCTATATACATACATACATATATATATATATATATATACATTAGTTTTGATATGAAAATTCCTATAATTTTCACTCTTTTTACAATTTTAGCATTAATTCATTCTCTACCATTAACTGAAGATGAACAGTTTGAACCTTCAAGAGAGCTGAAAATATGCAATTATGTTGATGATCAATCGTTAATCGGTGCTTTTACATGTTTCTTTAAAAGAAGGGGTGGTGGCCATACCAGTAGTGGAGCTCATGTAGGTAGTGGTAGTCATACTGGCCATAGTGGTGGATCTACTGTTAAAGGTGGTTCCAATGACTCTTCTTCATCAAGGAAAGGTGACACTGGATCTTCTTCAAATTCTAATGGAAAGGGCAATGATAACGATCCACCACCACCATATTCTCCATCTGATCCAAACCCACCACCAAGTTATGCTAATTCAAATAACAATAATAACAACAATAGAGGGAATAATAATATCGATTCTTCCTCTAACCAAAACAATCAACAACATCCAAACCCAAATGCAAATGTTGGTTCCAATAATGGTGGAATATCTCCTGCTGTGGTAGCTGGTGGAGCCGCAGCAGCTGGTTATATTGCTGGATCACATTCAGGGCATCAAAATAGTAATGGTACAAACTCTCTTAGCAACAGTTCAGTCTCCGCCTCTTCTTCTTCTTCTTCTTCTTCTTCTAAAAATGGTGCAATAATTGGATCTCCTCAATATTCTAATAAAAACATACTTGCTTTAGCTATAACCATATCAATCTTGGTCTAGGTTGTATAGTATTTTTTCATTTATTTATTTTGTTTTTTTCTTTAAAAATATATATATATATATAATCACCAAGTATGTATTTATATATATATGTACAGTTAATGATGCATATTTGATTAAATAATTTATGTCTAATTCATTCTTTCTTTGTTCTTCTGGACTCTCACGAGTAAAACAAAAGCAAAAACTAAATATATTAATCTCACAAACCATAAAGTAGAATATTAAATGTTGTTAAATTTTACCCATTGCTAATAAGACTGAATATTATTATTATTGATTATTACTTTATAATAACAGCATATATTATTATGATATATAGATAAACGAATTAAAAAATTCTGTCGAATTAAGTAGGATCTCTAAGAAATATAAATACTCACAAAAATCTGAAAATATTGTCCAATCAATTAACATTCGAAACTAGTATTTACATCTATTTGCTGCCTTTTTAATAATGATTACATTATTAAGTTCAATCTATCAACATGTTACTACCATTAATATATATTCTTCAAACACACAAATCATTCATTAAAATCATTTTTTGGTGGTTTCCCATCCTCACTTTTCATGTATAGGTCAATAGCTGCCGAAAATGCTGCGAAACCTAAACAACCCATTAATGCAGCTTGTGGTCCACTCTTGTAAGCTAATCCACCACCAGTAATACACCCTGCAGCAAGACCATTATATATATCGTTTTTCGCCCTAGTAGATTCTACTACACATTCCACACCTGAATATATCATACCAATATAACCAAAATTTTTTGCGCTTGAATAGGCTCTCTTACCCATATCTGCAAATTGTAACTTAATCTGTTGTTTCAAAGGTAACTCTGCCATCTTTTGAATAGCATTCATTCCACTTGCAGACGGTACATGTAGTGGTGTATCATATGACATGGAAGCCATAAAAAGTCCAAAGACACCCCCAAGTGCAAAACCTGTAACACCACTAATGACTGATTTACCAGGACATGATGTCATAAAGTTGACCATCATCTCAGCACCTCTTTCACCTTGTTGTTCAGGTGTTAATTCACTGAACGGTTTGTTGGCATGCTCTGGGGGATTTATGTATTCTAATCCAAAACCTCTATAAACCATACTTATTTGGAATTATTCTAATAATATTGAATATATTTACAATGTGATTTGTTTTTATTTAAGTTGCCACACAACGAAAAAATATTTTCTAAAGTGTTGTATCATAACAGTTCTATTCAATACCTTATTGTATGTCTTTAATGTTATAAGAACATTTGCATATGCATATATTCAGCTCGTCTTATTACACTTTTAAACCAAAACAAAAAAAAATTCAGACAAGAAAAAGACACAGTAAAATAAAAAGAAAAAGAAAATAGTATGCGATGTACAGATTTATAAAGTGAAAACATCTCTATAAAACCTCAAATCTCTATATGCCTGTAATTTGAGTCTTATGATTAATCTTTTAGTAGCTACATATGATAGGTATTCATGTTCTCGTTCAATAGCGATTGATGTGGGATTGATATGATCATTTTTTATAATGTCGGTGTTGTTATGATCATCATCATTATTACTATTATTAATGGTGTCTTTTATGATATTAGTTTTATCGACAGACGGCGTTTGAAGCTTACTGTCCTGTTGTGGTTGAAGTTGATGTAAAGTTTGATGTGTTATTGAGCTAAATGATGTTTTCTGTGATTGCTCATTATCTATAAGCATATTTTCAGTTCCAAAATAGATACTACTATTAACACTTTCCATTTCAATATCTGTCTCATTATGCATAAACTCTACGTCTCTATTATTTAACATGGAATTTATTGACACCATGGATTCATATGGACTTGCGTCAAAAGTAATCATATTTATTATATCGTTATAATTAGGGGATTTTTCACTATTAATGCTTATACTTTCTCTGTTGTCTTGATATTGCTGACATTGTAATACATATTTATCATTAATATTCTGTGTAGTGACAGGGCAATCCTCTTTCTTTACATAGACTGTATTAGATCTTAAACTGTTCATATTTTTAATATGCTTCATATTTTCTAGTAATGTTTGAGCCAATCTACAAATCTTGTCTCTTCTACTATTATATCTATCAATGTCAAATTTAAATGTTAATTTTACCTCATTAATACACTTATTCAACTCAGAATCAAACATAGATATACCCAATCTATAAAATGATAATTCTTCCACATCAGGTTGACTAGACAGATTCTTATCTAATTTTACTGTTCTAAACGCACCAATAAATATTTTTTTATCTTGTATACTTTTCAATGGATCTACCACAATAGCCAAATATGGATCTTGAAATGATTGATTTAAATCCTGTGTCCTCATATCAATACTACTTAACCAGCAATCATAGCCGGGGTGAGAATGATACCAACCAACAACTTTCTCGTTCCCATATATTTCATCTTGTTCAATAATCTTATCAATGTATTGTACCATATATTCATAAGATTCAGATTGAGCATTAACACGAGTCTCAGTCCCTAATACTGGTAATTCAAAAGTCCTTGTTACAATAAAATTATTTTTTGAAACAAAACCCAACAATATCCCCATAATTTCCAATCTATCTCCCTTGATTGCATGATTCAAAATCTGTTGAGAGGCCAACCGTGATATCAAAACATTCGAATAATAATATGGATTCATTGAATAAGCACAAAGACCTGAATTTTCATAATTCCCTAAATGTTTGGTTTGCAAAGAATCCTGATAAGTATACATGAGTCGACTATCTTTGACACTGTTTTGACCAAGCCGTAAAATGTCTTCCTGAGTTGTACCATACATTGATATCTGTGTTACTGAATCTCTACTATTTAAATAATCTGTAATAGGAAATTCATTCCAATCCTTCTCAGCATTATGTTCACATTGTTGCAATAAATTTAAACTTGAAAGGGAAGTAACTGAAGATAGCGCTTTTGATCCAATATGCAGTTTAATGCTATCATGATTTTTTTTGATGCATTGCTCCAGAATATAATCCTTCTGAATAAGTTTATTTAAATCTGATATTACAATATCGGATAATTTTAATATGTCCATAGTTTACAGTTAATATCACTTCTGCTTTCTTTGCCTCAGTTTCTTGTTCTTCACACATTTAGGGGTCATAATATATGGCATGAACTTGAAGTAACTGTAAATTCTCCCAAAGAAAAAAAAAGTAAAAATTAACTTCCCAACGATATTAAAGAAAAACATACTTTCAACAAAAAGAATATATTATAGTAACTATATATATGTATTTAGAACATATACAACTTTTAAAATAACAGTAACAAAATATAGGATATTATAGAATTTTATTTATGGCTAATATATTGTAAAAAAAATTCCCTTATTTTTTCAATATACATTATCATTATCATTTTCATCAGTATATTTGGGATGTGATATATTTACAGTTTCATTAACAACAAAATTCTGAATTGCCCAACCTTTTTTAATCCAGAGTTATGCTGTTTGAGTTGAAATTCGCTTATTCTTTTCTTCCCTTCGTAAATATCCAATATATTCAAGGAATTTACCAATGTTAACATCAATACCTTCCTTGTAAACAAATGAACTGGATAAGTAACTAGATAACAAAACTCTCAAATAGGATTCCGGTATGTTTTGTAAAATTTGATCTGGACCAGCAACATCTACCAACAACTTAGGAATAATTTTCTCCAATAACAAATAATTTCTTAATTGAATATCATTCAACCATAATTCTTCAGAGTATACTAAATCATCATTCAACTTGTTAATAGTTTGGGATAGAATGTTTGATAGATCTGAGATTGGCTTACCTGTAGATTGGTTTAATTCCCATAATTGTTTAAATTCTGCTTCAGCATTACTAACAATCCTTTTTTGTACCTCAACTACATAATCCTTGTACATTTGTGAAATACCTTGACTTTGATAATATTTACCAATGAATTTATTGAGAAAATCATCATCATTTAAGGCTAAAGATGCTAAAACTTCTAATGATGATGATGTAACACCACCTTTATTGGCAGAAGCGTCTTTGAATAAAATACAACCATGTGACTCCAATGCCACTTTAGCTGGTTGCGAAATAAATAAATTGGCGCCTTCGACAATATATGGGATCAAAGATTTGTTAGTTTTTTCATCAATAAAACAGTGTAAGTTGTTCAAGTTAATCGAGTTAGGTCTACCACCACATGGAACAAATAGATCCACACGATCAACAAACTTGAATATTTCTGTGTGGAAAACATTTCTGAAAGTAGTACCATTAGAAACAATTGCACCATTTGGTAACATAACATCCATGTCTTCAGTAGATACAATAAAACCAGCTTTACTTAATTTCTTCTTATCGAAATTAATGATCATCTTTCTTTGTTTAGCAAGCCTAATCAATTCTTCTTTATCAATACCCTTTGGATCGCAGATTACACCAGAGCCATCAAGTAATCCAACGTATACTTCATTATCTGTCGATAAGAGAATTTCATTAGAACCCAAATCACCATCAGGACCACCAGTTTGGAATTTGTAGATCGTCTTACTGTGCAAGTTCAAAGTATCATAGATCTTCTTAACATATGCACGTACACCAAGGGAAGTCATTCCAAATTCATCATGTGGAATACCACCTAATTCTTGACCTTTACCAGTCAAGAAGGACTTCCACCATGGACAATTACGTTTTCTCGCGTGATTTGTAGCCCAATCAACAAATGACGCAGAACCTTCGTCAGGACCAAAGAATAAAATCTCCTCAGTGCCTAACAAATCGATATATTTATCCTTTAACGGGTCCTTGATTAAAATATCAATCATAGCATCCACGTACTGAGAGAATGCAATAAAAGTCTGTTGTTTATCGACAAGGCCTGGATGCAATAAAATAACACCTTTAGAACCACCTTCTGGGATATCTTTATTCTTACGTTGCTGAGTTAATGCCAAGTTGTAGTTTTCATCGATAACGGTCTTAGAATTGACGTCAAAGATATCCTGTGTCCTTGAAGTGACGATTCTGATACCACCACGAGAAATATTTCTGAATCTAATATGAAAACCTTCAAAAGTGTTGCCAACCACAAAGAAAATACCATATGGAATTTCTGGATATTCCACTTGTGGTATGATTAATTTAGGATCTAATCTGAAGGAAATAGCAACTTTTCTAGTGATAAAAAAATTGGTCTTTAAAATAGATTTGTTGAATAAATTCAACGTCTTCAAAATTAAATAATCTGGTGAATCGTTTGGAATGAATTTATTCAAATGCATTTCAAACTCTTGATCGTTTTGGAATGGTTCTAATTTAGATAATCTTTTGTATGATAAGGTTTTTTCTAAAGTAGTTGAATTTTTATAAATATAATGAACCTGTGCAAAATTCTTGTATAATTTCGATACAATCTTATAATTTTTCTTTAAAGATTGAATTATAACATTTTCAGTGAAAGTTTCAGTTCTCAATTTTTTCTTTAAATTATCAATGACTTCCAATAATGTAGTATCATCTTCGCGGGGATTAAGCTGTGAGATCAAATTCTTATAATCAGAACCCAATCTATTAATGAAGTGGTTGATAAAGATTGTACCGATATAGGCATAAATAGCTTCTTGTGGAGAAATTTGTCTATCCTTGTACCAATTACCAAAAGTACTATTGGGAATTGCATATAGCAAAGAAGCTTCTCTTTCAATTTGTTTAATATAGACTTCGATTTCATCAGGTAACATGTCAATACTTTGTTGCTTTTTGTTTAGATAGATAGAAAAGATGGTGACTGGTGAAGTTGACTGACCACCAAAGGATTCCATGTAAAATTTGGAAGGTTTTAACTTGTAGTAATGTAATAAAGAATTAATAGCAGAGTAATACTTCATCGTGGTATTTGACTTGTAAGCTATTAACAATCTAATTTCGTCACGATTTTCACTGGACTGGGTAGTCTTGATGATTGGCCCCTCTCTATCTTGTACCAATTTGATTAGCAGACCGTACAGTTTCTTGGATTCAGGTGACAAGATTTGCCAAAGAGTAACATCACTAATAGATTCGATATCGCCAGCCAACAAATCTGGTTTAATCTTACTGCTTAATTGAGAATTCAAAGGAGGAAAATTACTCTTGTAAACAAAAGTCAACTTCAAATCACTCTCAGGAGCACAGAAAGAGACCAATCTGTGAGAAGCATCATTTGTGTCGTATAAAATATTTCTGTCTAAGAAAAGGTCATCAATCTCTGAGTCCAATTCATAGGAAGTGTTAAAATAATTATTAGATTCCATAAAGATTGCATGATTTTGATCTTTAATAATTTTATTTTTAATGTTCAAATTGGTAGAAGTATTAGTGATAACGGAAGAGGTGACATTATTAGCGTTGCTGTCATTTGAATTTGATAAGTTTTTCAAAGTTTGATTTAAAAATTGTTCTTTTGCAAAAGAATCCAATTTTGATGCATAGAGAGTGTGAACAATATTTGTTATTAATTCAGGAGTCTCCCTTGAAAAGAATAGATCATCTATACCCAAAGAATTATAAAACCAATCAACTTCCTGTTCAATCAAATCTTCAGGGATAAATCCTTGAGAATCTAATAAATCGATGACTTGTTCTCTCTGTAAATCTTTACCAGGGAAATTGAACAAATGATAATCTGACATTGAAGAGATAGATAAAGCAGAAATGTCAGATAAAATATTTTTCATGTCTGGAGACATGTGAGAATGTGCCATCACCGAGGAAGCAGTATGTTGGTAGGAAGGGAGATTTTTGCCATTTGTAGTTGGAATACTGTTTACAGCGATATTGGCATTTTCCGGTATCACCATCAGAGTATCATTATCCATATGAACCATATTTAATTAGAAAAGGGAAAAAAAGAATAAAAAGTTAAATGAAGATATTAATTTATACAGGTGTTTTTTTTTTGTACACGTAATATTTTTTTTGTTATTAATTATGCTTGTAAACGGAAAGTTGCTTTAACCAGTCCTTTCTTATTAAATCTCTATTAAATGTAATGACAATGATAATAGTAGGTATGAAAGAATAGAATAAGAATTTTTAAAGTTAGAGAAGTATATATATATATATATGTGTGTGTGTGTGTGCGTGTGCGAGAGTGAGTATGTGTATGTATATGTATGTATTAATAGAAGTATTTTTTTTTTAATAGATATGTTCTATTTAACAAGAATCAACCAATAAAAGCAATGAATGTAACCAAAGAAGAATAGAAAAAGAAAACTAGAGAAACCTATGTTGTAAAATAATGGCTAATGCTAAAGAATAACAATAACACAAATAGGCTAATAGGATATCTATTGGATGTTGATGATGATGATGATGATGATCCAGGAGAAATTATTAATAGAAGACTGTCATTATTCAAACAGAAGAAGGAAAAAATGGATAGAATAATAAAATCCCCCCCCAGTAGTAATGGTAACTATTATTAGTTGTAATGTCCATTTTAGAAAAGTTTGGGCCTTTAAAGGAGTGCTTTTGAAAGGGCACAAACTTCCCTTTCTGAGAACCGTAGCTTTTGGTGCGGCTGTGCACCGGAATATTTGATTTGTCAAGAACGAGCCCAAGAAAATGAGGGAAAAAAAGGAAGAAGAAAAAACATTATGATTTTCTTTTGGAAGACCGGAATAAGACAAATGTTAGAAGTGATATACGTTTCTTTTCTTTATATGGCTGGCTTGGAGAAGCTGAAAGTTTGGAAAACCAGCACACCAAATTTGCAAATGTCGATGCAATAATCATTTCCCTTCCCCACCTGGCACGCACACAGTTGATACATGATGTGCTCATAAATGTTTTTTTTCTATTTTTGCTATTTTTTTTTTTTTTTTTTGGAGGGAGGGGAATCACAGGGGAAACGTTTATTACCATTATGTTGACATTGTAAAAACCTCACTTGTAGAAATTTGTCTCTCTCTGTCTCATAATTCATTCAATAACAGTGAAATCTGAAATGGTAAATCTACATAGCGTATTTATTCTTCCCTTTAAAAAACATTTTGTTATGTATAGTATAAAATAATTTTTTTTTTGGTGAATTTACAAGATTGTTGATGTAAGTGGATTATTATTAACGCATCTGGACAATGTTTTATTTCATTCTTAACGAATATTTTCTAAGAAATGGGCGATGGCTGTTAGGTGTTGTCATATGCAAATTGAAACATCGTCACAAAACGATGTAAGGTGCTAACCTACACTTTAAGTTGCAAGAACAAGAAAAAAACAATACGAATAGGGTAAGTCTTGCTGCATTGAAAATTCCTTTTTTTTTTTTTATTTTATCGATGTTTCTTTTTTCTCGGGGCCTCGAGTGGCACTAACACACTCAGCAGTCGAACCAAGAAACATCTGTAGCTTAATGAATAAACCCTTCCAAGTAATATATCCATCTATAATGTTTATTCCTTCTTATTTTATTTATTTTTTTCATATTACAACATGTTAAGATTATTTATCAGAAACATTTACATTATTTTTTTTTGTTCGTAAGATATGTCGATATGTAAGTAAACTAAAAAAAGTATAAACCTGAAAAAAGAAGACAAAACAAAAATAGACGTATTTTTTTGTTCCTATTCTAATTGATCAGTTTGTAAATTTGTGATTTATACTTTTATACTTTATACTTTATAATCTAATATACATGTGTGTATTTATATTTATGTATTTGGATATGCCAATATTACATGTAGTTGAATAATTATTTTTATAATAATTGTGTGTATTTCTATGAAAGGTAGGTGAATTCTAATCCTTCAATAAACGTAATCTATCTGGATGGATTGAGGCAGTCAAATTAGCTGAAGAAGTATTATCTTTATCACCAGTAGATGTACCAGCACTGGTACTGTTAGTTGTATTGGTTGTACTCCCATTATCATTAGCCTTCCCTTTCATTCTATCTAGCCTCTCTTTTGTCTCCTTCTGTAATTTTTCATTCTTTTTGCGTAATTTTTCTAATCTCTCTTTACTGTTACCACCACCACCGACTGTTAATTCAACGTTAAGCCTTTTACCATCACGCAAAATTGTACCAGTTTGTAACAATGCTAAATCCATTCTTCTTTGTATAGAAGTAGGGTCTTTGTTACCATCAAATTCCAGAAATGCAATATGTTTTTCATTACGTATTCTAATATGATCTGGTGATGCACTTTTAAAATGTGCTTGCAATTCATTTGGTGTAACATTATTGGGTAATCCACCAACAAACACTAAAAACCTATTGCCATCAGCTTTCTTACTTTTACCTTTACCACGTCTAGTCTTTCTTCTCTTTTTCGTTTGGATACTTGCATCGTCAATATTGTCATTGCCATACTTTTCTACCTGATTGTTATCAGTTACACTAGCACTTGTATTTTTATCAGTGTCAGCATTAACATTACTAACCTTCTTCCTAAACTGTAATGCCTTTTGTTGTTTCTTAGTTAATTTCTCACTCATGGTATATCTATCTATACTACTCCATATATTTATGAGCAAAAAGGATACATTTACTTTAGTATTTTATATCTTCCTATGAAGAGTTTTCTTTTTCCCTTCCTCTTGATGAAATATTAGTCGTTTAATCCAATTTTATCTAATCAAACATATCTTTTGCGATAACAAATTTTGTTGTTTTTAAATATTATAAAAAGAAAAAAAATTTTTTTTTGTCTTTCTCAAATTTTGAATATACATATAAGAGATAAGTAACATAAAGTTGGATTATGTAAGTGCATATTATCAATCTGCATAATAAATACATTTTACACATATACTACACACTCAGTCATCATAATTAAGTGAATTGTTACTAGGATTCTACATATAAACACAGGCACATAGGACTTTTTTTATTATTTCATTCTTTACCTTTTCGCCATGTCATTTACTTATAAGGATCTTTGTTCTATATCTTCTACAATTATTGTTATGTCTACCTGTTTCATAATGGGTGTGTTTTATTCCAACTTAAGTTATGATTTTCGCATCTTATTTAATTCAGGTTCACCAAGCGCTCAAGACTATGACTTGGTACTAAACCATTATCAAGCATTACACTCTACCTCCCCATACTTATTGTATGGGCTAGCGTTCATCACATTATTGGGTATAATCGGACACTTAATTAGAACATATAAACCAAATCCAGATCTACAATATTTCGAATATGGGTCCTTGATCATGTACGTCCTTGGTATTTGTGTCTTTATTACAAATATCAAAACTGGCATAGAATGCAGTGTTACTCATATATGGGGGGAAGTCGATGAACAACAAGGGTTGGCCGTTTTGGGTTCTTCCAATATCATCCTTCTATGTATTTTCTCTGGTGTGATTTTCTTACAAGCTGGTCTTTGGTGGTCCACATTAGATTATGAGAAGAGAATGGCTGAGTTCATGCAAAAGGAAAGAGAAGAACAATTGAAGAAAATGTTATCAAAGGATACAAAGAAGAAACAATCTAAAAAGGATTGAGCAGTGTTATCTACGTTAAACTACTACATGTTTATATATATATGTTTGTCTATATGTCTATAAATACATATAAAATCCATAATTTTGTGTATACTGAGTCTTTAGTCTGCCTCTTTGGGGCTCTTTTTCTGTGCTAATTGCTTTTTGCTTCTTTTTTCTTTTTCCTTTTTTTTTTGTATTTTTATATATCTGATTTAATTTCAACATTGAGGTAAAGCTTGTAAAAACATATTGGATAGTTAACATCATCTTTATTATTATCACTATCATTCTTATGATCTATGAAAAGATTGCATATGTTTTTTTTTTTCAGTATCAACAGTGATTCACTTTAAGAAAAAAAAAATAGAAGAATAAGAAGAAGAAGAAACAGAAACAGAAGGGCTATATCTACATTTACTGAGGAATAACGTGACTTATTGTTAGTGTATGCGATGAATGTTGAACATAATGACAGCACTAATACAACCACAACCATTGCCAAAGTATCTAACGGACAGAAGAAAACAATAAAACTGCATAACAAAAACAAGAATAAGCATAAGAATAAGGATAAGATACAACACAACCGTAAAGATACCACCACCACATCTGCAAATAAGGATAGTAGGCACAAACGTAAATTTAATAAGCCCAAAAAAACAACCCCCTCATCTGTTTCACCAAGTACTAACAATTCACAAAGATCAAAAGCTATTAAGCAATGTCAAACTCTTTTATCAAATAAACAATTCAGATTATTTAGGGATGACAAACAATCTACTCAATATGGTTTTACTTTGAATAATAAAATTAACAATAGATACGTAGTAGTAATTCCAAATGATTATCCTAGTCATCCAATACGGTTACTAAATCAAAAAAATGATCAAAATGTATCAGATTCACTTGAATATAGTTATTTAATTAATAATTTCAATAAGAAATGCAAATTAGATGATCCTGAGAAAACATATATAGTATCACAATTAAATTACTTAGCTGTGAACCATGACATTTTAACGACTCAATCCCCCAAAGATTTCAATAACTATATGCATCTTCATAAAACTTTCTATAACCAATTTAAATAGCATATATATAAAACTTTTGAATATATAAAAAATCACAACAAAAACATAATACACTTGTATAGCTATATGGTTATTTATCTGTTTGCATCATCTCACTTATAAATATTGTAGAAAGGTGGGTTCTGGGGAGTAAAAAAAATCTACACCTTAGAGAATCGAAAAAAAAAATACATATATTTATATTTTTTTGTAAATAACCGCTGTGGTTTTGAATATATTACCACTATACAAGACATACAAAAAAGAGAGAAGAACCAAAGGTTATACATTCCCTACATTAATATTTGCTCAAATAAATCATTTATTTGACTTTTTGCTTACATTTTTATCTATCTATCTACACCCACATATCTACTGCATTCAAATTGTCTCAAAGTGATCTGTTTCATATACATATAGATAAATATAGATATCATATTGTTCTATGACAAATGAATGACAAAAAAAGATCAACAATTATCAATGAGATAAATACAGTACCATACACAAATAATACAAAGTTTAAAAAGAGATTATATTCATTTAAATTAAGAAATAAGTCCGATTCAAATTTGTTGAAAAAATCAAATCAAATAGAAGACATTAAAGAAGAGAAGGGTAACTCTACTATAAATAACGGTAGTATACATAATAATAATAAAGATAATAATAGTAATATTAATGAGGATACTTCTCTATTTTCATCTGATACAGTCAATGGTTGGTTATGTCGAGAATTGGAAGTAACTACTTCTAATTGGGATTTGTTTAGCGAAGATTATATTACTAGTTTTTTACATCAATGGGAAAGACAACTAAGATATGAAAGTAATGTTCAATATTTTGTTCAGAATAATCAAACTGTGTTACATAAATTTATCAGTGAATTAATACCGTACCTTATTAACAATATGAAATGGGAATTTATTGTATTAAATTGTTTTCAATCAATATTTAAATATTTTTTAAAATACCCTGAAATTATGAATATACTTCTGATTAGAGATGAGACAGATTCTAAATATCCCTGGTTCCAGTGGATTTTATCAATTATCAACCGTGGTGATAATTTTCAATCTATAAAATTGAGATGTCATGCTTTATTGCTTTTATTACAGTTATTTGATTTTAATTTTATTCCTAGAAATTTTAATGTCAATGAAATAATTTGGAATATCATTCAAGATGATTTATCGTTGTGGATTCAACAATTAAATGAGTTGTTGGTTATTGCTTCATCTCCGATATCAATTAATAATAGTATCAATAAAATAGTTCATCTCGGCAGGGTTAACGAATTAATACCTAAATTCATCTTATTATCATTAGATTTATTTATAAATTTAATTAATTCATTTCATTCCATAACTACAAAATATATCATATTGAAACAATTAAAAATAAACAAAATACATGACTTTTTTTATCAGCTTGATTCGTTAAGAGATGCATTGACATTTGATCTGTCTCAGATTAATCAAAAGATTCGATATTTCAAAGATATTGAGAAGACGATATTACTACAAAAAAATCAAACTGTAGATGATTCATTATTCAATCAATTATCTACATATAATAAAGATTTAACATTTTTATTGGAAAGAACAGATAATACACCTTTACAAACACATTTAAATGACATATTTGATCATCTAGTTAAGTTTATAGATAAAAACCCGTATGATGAATCAATAAATTTATTTAAATCTATTAATTACATATCAAATTATTTCAATCTCGAAAATAATGACAAACCAAATTCAAACCTCAAAATTGCATCAGATAAAGGCTTTAAAGATTATATAGAAAAATTAATGGATAATTTGCAATCCGATGAAATTGCCAAAAGAGCTATGGAACAATTACGTCAATCAAAGGTAAAAATTCAAAAATTAACTTTAAAATTAGAATCTTTGCAAGATTTAACCATCCTACAAAATGATAATAACATGGTATTACAAGAATTAAAACAAGCTAATCTTCTACTAGATGAAAAAGATAACGATTTGGAATCCTTGACTTTACAAAATCGAAGATTAGAGGATCAATTACGAAAATTAAATAATGAAATCGAAAGAATAAATACCCATCAAAGATGGTATACTGATCAAGTTACCAATAATATGAAAAATCATCATAGCGGCAGCTATAATAGTAACACTAAGAGTCATTCCACTTTGTTTGAGACAATGAAAAACCCATTCAACAAGAAAAGAGATATTCAAGCTCTACAAAGAAAAAGTTCTATGAAAAGTAGTCAAAGAATAAATTCTTTGTCCTCAATTTTAAAACAATCAGACAATAGAACTCATACTTCGACTAGTAATGACAATCCCTTTCCCCAAACACCAGTTAATTCTGGCCACCATGATCTTAACAATCAAATAGGATCTGCAAGAACAGACTCAACAATTTTAAATACAAATATTATATCACAACCAAAATCTTTTATTTCTACTCCTTATAAAACATCTTGTCTTACAAGTGTGGATAAAATATATTTGGATCCAAAAAATAAGTCATCGATAACTACTATTGATACAAGGTTAAATTTACATACAAAAATGTCAAGAAAGCAAGATGTTAACCAACATAAGGATTATGAAACACAGGATTGTATATCTCCTACTTTGTCACGTTCTCTGCCAAGGCTATCTCTACCAACCTTGTCAGCTGCATTAAATTCTCTTCCACAATCAACACCATCGTTAGTCAATGAGCCAACAATTTTTGGTAGTCGATTTCTCACTTCAACTTCTTCGTTACTAAGCACAGATTCTATTAATGATCTATCTATGGGTGATAATACATCACTAGAATACAGCAGAGTAAATAGTAATTCAGTATTCAATAATGAAAACAATATGCCCTGGACAAATGGATCTCCAATAAATGAAACATATTACCTCCTTAGAAATTCTACATACGGCTTGGTCTCTAATAATATATTAAACAATGTATCTCCCTCTATTAAAGATAATACAAAGGTACAGTTACTAAACATAGATAATAATACTAAGACAGAAACTAGTCTGAATTCTGATTCTTCAAAGACGCACATACCTACTACTGTATTGTCTGCACCTCCTTTACCATCAAATTTAGCAATTTTTTCAAATACCGAAAAGTCTGAGTCATTCGTTATTTCCAGTACAATTTCTGAATCTCCAATATCTCTTCCTTTTGCCCCACCTCCTCCACCTCCACCCCTCCCAAAAAACTTGTCAATAATATCACTTATTAATGAAGACACTAATGAAGAAAAAACAGACATGTCCACAGAAACGCCAAAAGGCAAGAATACAATTAACACTGAGATAAAGACATTACCAGCACCACCTCCATCACCGCCCCCATTGCCTCTTTTATTTGCCAAAGCTGTTTCATCGTCTTCAAAAAATTCAAATACATTAATAAAAGAAGAAACAAGTCAATCTATACCATTACCTCCTCCACCTCCACCTTTACCGTCTTCATTAAAAAAATCAGATATGAAGGAATCATCGTCTGTTAAATCACCAACTAAAAGCCAACCCAATCCAGCTGCATTATCTATGGCTTTGATTAAGCCAATTTCAATAAGATTGAAACAAATACATTGGGATAAAATAGAAAATGTAAGCGGCACATTATGGGAGGATTTCAATAGTAGAAGAGTTATATCAAAGGAACTACAAATGAATGGGATCTTGACAGAGATTGAAGAGAAATTCAGGATTAAAGAAAATATTACTTTAAAAATGAAGGGTAACAATAATTTAAATAACGATTTTAATAATGGGAAAGATAGTAATGCTCTGAATAATAAATCAACTGTGTCATATCTGTCAAGAGATTTGCAACAACAATTTGGTATAAACTTGCACATGTTTTCTAATTTAACTGTGGATGAGTTTGTGAATAAAGTAATGAATTGTGATAATGCAATCATTAAAAATGTATCTGTATTAGAATTTTTTTCAAAGGAAGAATTGACCAACATTGCGCCTAGTTTGGTTAGAAAATATGAACCATATATGAAAGATGAGGTTAAGGAAGATTTACCTATTTTAGAAAGAGCAGACGAAATATTTTTGAAACTCTGTTATAGAATGCGGTCGTACTGGGGGATTAGATCCAAATGCCTTTTAGTGCTGTCTACTTATGAAAAAGATTACTATGATTTGATTTATAAATTGCAAAAAATTGATACTGCTATTTCACAGTTAAAAAAAAGTGAAGCGTTTAAAAATATATTGTATATGATTATGGAAATTGGGAACTACATGAATGTAAAAAGAGTGGAAGGAATTAAAATCAGTTCATTGAACAAATTAATTTTTATTAAATCAAGTGTTGATAACAATAATTCATTTCTACATTTTATTGAAAGTTGTATTAGGAACAAATACCCTGAATTAATGTCATTTTTAAGAGATTTAGATGCTGTGGAAGATATGGGTAGAACTACAATTGATCAACTTGAACTAGAATGCAATGAATATTGTGCTAAGATTAATTCTATGTATTATAGTGTAACGAGAGGTAAATTATCAAATCCTGATGATTTAGACCCGAGAGATCAAATATTGAAGAAAGTGAAATATAAGACTAATAGAGCAAAAAATAAAAGTGATTTATTAAAGGATCGACTGGAATTAACCTTGAGTGATATGGAGGAGTTGGTTAAATATTATGGAGAAGATTATAAAGATGTTGAGGTTAGAAACAAATTTTTCCAACAATTTATTGAGTTTATACAATTATTTAAGAAATGTAATAAAGAAAATGTTGAAAAAGAAGAAATGGAAAGACTATATAATGAAAGAAATAAATCTCAGATATTAATTGATGGTGAGGAGGTAGAAGAGGAGAAAGTGGGTGAAAAATCAACAAAAGAAGGCAATGAGATTAGTATAAGGAAAATTGATATATTATTAACTAAATTACGCGATGTGGAGAAAATTAAGAATAGGACTAGTAGACATGATATTAGTGATATTATTAGTAATAACAAAGTAAGTGAAAACAATAAGTTGGTTACTAGAAAGAAAAGAGACGAAAAAAAGCTTACAAGTAAAATCAAACAAAAAGATGCAAATTATAATGGTAATAATAATGAAAAGCATCATAATGGTAACGATGCTGATGATAAGAAACCTGCATTATTAAAAAGAGCACAGACCATGTTAAACAACATTCAAAACATATAAATATTCGCTGTTGAATTATTCACGTATATTCCTATGAATGCATCTGTGGCAAGAATGTGAGTCCATATGATAAGTGATTTAAAATCACTACCACAAATATAGTATTAAAAGCAGGAAAAAGAAAATAAGAATATTAAACGCATCCAGATATATAGAAAAAAATGTTTAAATTTATTTTCAATTAGATAATAAATATATATAATCACAACCATTACTTATGTGTTTAGCATTATTTATTATAATAATAACAAAAACTGAATATGATCAGAGAAGGAAAGATCAAAAAGACATTGGAATACTGGCACAGATAAGGAAGGATACAAAAAAAAAATAGTATTATTGGCACAAATTAGGGCTTTCAAAAAGGTAAATAATGAATTAGATGTCAAAATTGAGAAGAAAGATATTTTTTCATTGATGAAGACACTGAAGACATACAAAAAGCCATATATACATATACATATATATATATATGTATACTTATTTATTTACAAAGAATAATCAAAATAATAAAAAAAAAAGATCAAACCAAATGAAAAATGATGGGGGGGGGGGGGGTACGGTAGAAGTACAGATAAAGCCATTTATATATATTTTCTATAAGAAAGAAGAATTTTCCTCCAATAAATCGAATCGTTGTCCATCTACAGTTAAGGACCATTCATGAATCAAAAATTCTTGATCCTTATTTGATCTATCTGCAACCAATTTAATCTCACCTGACTTATTCTTATTCCCCTTAATATAGAATCTAATATTAACCTTACCGGCCATTGGGTTCAACTGACCATATACCCAAGGTATTAATCCATCAAATTCTATATTCTCCCCGATCAAATCTCTAATTTTCTCAGATCTACGTAATTGGTATAAAGTGTTAGTGACGATAGCATTTTCAGTCTTTTCATAATTGAAGATGACTGCTAATGCAGTGACCATGATACCACCAAAAAGAATAAAACTGGCCATTAGTTTTCTCTGTTCTTTAGTTGGATCAGGTAATTCTCTATCTATTCTTAATGGCTTACCATATTTTATTGTCGGTGGGGTAGATGTTGAGTTGTACCTAGTATTAGATATTACCGATTTGTTAATTAGAGGGTATAAGGACAAAAAAGGAAATGAGGAAGTTTTGGTGGATATTGTAATGAAAGAGGAGTATGATCTATTATAAGACAAATGCTTCATAACATTTTTAGAGTTAACAGATACTAAAGATTTCTTTGAGATTGATAGCATATTTAATATGGTGTTATGTTATTCTATGATTACACTAACTTTAATCCTCTTCTTATTTTATTTTCAATTGGGTGCTACTTATTGGCTGGATTATAATTATTGTTTGCTGTTCTATATACCTATATACATGTATATTCTGTAGTTTCTCTCTAACAGGGGGATATTTTATTATACAAACTTTTTTTTTGACATTCTAGTATTCTGAATATTCTTTTGATTTCTAGTTTAGCAGATGTTTTCCCCTTCTGGAGTTTTCATTCTGAAAATTTCATGGTTACTCCTTTACAAAGAAATCATGAAATTAAGTTAGAGTGGAGATCACTGAAGTGAGAGAGAGAGAGAGAAAGAGAGAAAGAAAGAAGTAGAAGTAGAAGCAAAAGAAGATTGAGTGAAGAATAGTGAGATCATTTCTGCACATAAATATACATAAAGGATTCCTTAACAATGGCTTTAGTATGTAATGTTCAATGAATTAACTCCTTCTTAACGCCCTAAATATGGACTCTAATTACTAACATGTATAAACAAAACAAAAAAAAAAAACAGAGTAATCTAATATCATATATGGCATGAGATTATGTTTTAATTAAACTAATAAGATATTTATAACTAGACTGGAAAATTAATACATATTGGAGTTGATTTCCTTTTAGTATCCACTTTACTAGCAGGCATTAGACGCAACACAGGTTTACAATTCGATTTAAATAGACTAGAGCAATCTACAATAATATCCAATAAAACAAAACATAACCAGGATAATGGAGATTGGCATCCAACAGCCAAAAGATATTTGGCCAAATATTTCAGTGTTGGTGAATCATTTTATGATTACTTAGTAGCCACCCTAGGTTCATCGAAATATTTTGAAAGAAGATAAGATGGTTATTTTATCTGCATTTATATTCCTATATATATGTATTTAAGTGTGGATATTTTACATAATATATTCTCTATCACACCTAGTCATCCATTTTACCATACAGGGTGAAAGTTTATCATATATTACCTACAGATCACCTGTGTCTTGACAAATCGAACAATTTTGTGTGTTCAATATTCTAGACGCTACCACATGATACAAAAAAGAAGATCTCGGGTGTATGGATGTACTTCCGATGCGTTTCTTTTTTTTTATTTTTGTTTTGTTTTTCATTCAACTCTCTACGTTTATTAGAAGATCTTTCAATTGGTGTGTGCGAGGGAATGGTGAACAGAAACAGAAACAGGAATAGGAAGAGGGGGGGGGGGGATGAGCGAAGGAAAGGCGGAAATCGATGACTTATCGCATGGAACATCCTCTGATCTTCGAGCAATTATTGACTGGCACCCTCTAAAAACTTTAAAACGTCCTACGAATAGTACCATATATACATTGTTATCTCTTAATCTCTTTTTTATTTATTTATTTATTTTCTCTTTTTTTTTTTTGTTACATTTCAACTAAGGTCAATTGATCTCGCTATATACATCCTTTTCTATTTTCCCACTGCAGTTGCTACTATCCTCATTCTTCCAATATATCTGTTATTTCACAAAAAAAAAAAAAAAAAAATAGTTATGTCAATAGTAGACAATTTTGATTTGAACGATCATCATGTTTTATTTACACCAGAATATTCGGATGTATTATTGAAAAGGGTACGAGAAATTTATAATAATGACATTTTGCATTCCTATCCACAATTGAAATTACAAAGATTGATTGATTTATTAGAACATACTGAATATCTGTTCGAGCTGTATTTGAAATTTTTGTATCACTCAGATAGTAACAATAGTAACACCATAAGCTCTACTTCTCAAAATGATGCTTTACATTCGTTTATAATAGGCTGTTTCTATATCTACTTAATTATGCCACAGTCTATCCAATTCCAATCAAAAAATAAATCTTATACTATCTATAAAGATGTTAAAACTTTATATGAGTCTCAATTGAACATGACTAACGTGTGTTTAATGGTTAAAAACGAAGTTGAAACCATTTTAGAGAATAATTTTACTTTATCAACAACAGACAATAGCATTGCCAATAATCCTTATTGCAACAATTTGATAACTAATTCTAGGAAAAGATCATATTCTGTACCGTACAATCAAAATAATCATTCACCCAATGTTACTCCTTCTAATAATAACGATACTACTACGATGACAACAACAACAACAATCACTACTAATACAGGTTTATGTCATAATGAATCCAGTAGAGGTACTGAAACTGTAAATAATAACCTTAGAAACTTATCAATGGAATCTGATTCAGAAGATTCAGAAGACCAAAATCCTTATCTTTGGAAAGCTCCAAATTTAGAGCCAAATGATCAATTGAAAGTAGCAGCCTTTATATCTTCCTCGGATTTCGATAAAGATACTAATGACTATGAGCTAAAACTTAATAAAGAGATAGATAATTCTATCATGTTATCTCCTCCATCTCATTCGCCTCCACCTATACCTTTTCAAGGACCTTCATCATTCCCTGGGAAACAAGAAAATTTTCTTGATAATACATATAATGTTCACAATGTTGTAAAGAAAAGAAATCAAAGTCTATCATCCTTTGTTCCTCTTTCTTCCACTGGTCCCCCTATATTTAATCCTACTTATACAGATAATTATAACGTCTCGCCAAACGCAGACACAAATACAGATCTTTCATTTACAGCCGATAGATCTTTGACTCATAGAAAGAATTCTTACCATTCGGTTTATATGTTGGACACAGATGAAACTTCAAAGAATAGCAAGTTTTATGATGAATCTAATAGTTTTATACAATCCTTAGATCGGCTACAAAAGCAATCTATCATTACAGCACCTGAACTCTTCTCATTAATCTCAAATAAAAATTATAACAAAAAAATCCTATTGATAGATCTTAGAACAGATGCAAGGTTTCAGTATAGCCATATATTAGCAAGCTCTTTGGTCCATATCGATCCACATCTTCTATGGGATCATACAACCAATTTACCTATTTATGAAATGGAGAAATTAGAGACAATCTTGAAATCAAGAAATGTTCCAAACTTAGATTTGTTTGAAAGGAGAGATCAATTCGATTATATCGTATATTATAGTGACATGAAAACTTTTATGAAATTGAAATTTGATTATCATTTTACCTTTTTCTATCTGTTGATTACATCAAAATTAAGAAAATTGAAATGTGTACCCACTAGTTTATTAGGTGGTTATGAAAAATGGAAAAAAGTTATTACAACTTATTCCAAGAATTATGATATTAAAATATCAGATTATCTTTATAGATCACAGGTCTCTGATAATTCTGCAATTAGTAATTCTACCAAAAAATCTACTACACACTCTGTTAAAAAACAACCTTTCCCACCTACTATAGATAATCAATGGAAACCATTGGAAGTTCCAATAAGAATTAGAAAAAGACCTCCGCCTCCTCCACCTACTTTAGTTCCTAAATCTCCAGAAGTAGTACCAAAAATACCACCAAGGGTACAAATTGACAGTTCTCTTGTATCTAGGGAATATCCTTTCTTCTCTGGAGGAACTATTGATAATTATACGTCTGCTATACCGTCTCCATCACAATCACCTGCACTGTCCATTACATCAAATGATACATATACTGTTCCATATAATCAATTAAATAAAGGATATTATGGCCAGGAAAGACAGTTATTGCAAGTAGAAAAAAAACTAGATAATATTCCTTTAGTATCAACAACATTGGCCAAACGTTATACATTGCAGAAGAATAAACAAATTCCTAAAATCAATAATAATAAATATAAAGATACTGATAATATAACTACTGATAATACAAACATTATTCAAAGGACATATACTATTCCAACTATTGAAAAAAATCCAAATATCTATGTTTCATTATCTATTACTGGGCTAAGAAATCTTGGTAATACATGTTACATTAATAGTATGATACAATGTTTGTTTGCTACAAAAGAATTCAGAAATCTTTTCATATCGTCAATTTATAAAAAGTTTTTAAAGTCAAATAAATCGAATTTACCACAATTGTCAAATGGATTTTATCTACTATTTAAAAAAATGTATTTGAATGGTGGTTGTTCGGTAGTTCCCATATCCTTTTTAAAAATTTGTAACATTTTCAGACCAGATTTAAAGATTCCGGATGATCAACAGGATACTACTGAGTTCTTAATGCTAGTATTAGATAAATTGCATGATGAATTATCAAATCAGGATGAAGTTGTCAATGCATATCCAAATTTAATGTTATATGATGAGAATCAATTAAACGTAGAAACAAAAGACTATAAAAGGTGGTTTGACAAAAATGTAATTGGAAATGGGCTATCACCCATTGATGATATTTTCCAAGGACAAATAGAGCATAGTCTACAATGCCAAAGATGTGGTCATTCATCATTTAATTATTCTACTTTTTATGTGTTATCATTGGCAATTCCAAAACCTTCAGGTTCCACTTTTTCTAAAAATAAAAGGGTCAAATTGGAAGATTGCTTGAATATGTATACAAGTGATGAAATTCTTTCAGGCGAAAATGCTTGGGAATGTCCACATTGTTGTAAAGTAACAAATGATTATAAAACAATGGTAGAGAAAAATAAAATCACGAAACAACTGATAAAGGAGCAATCAAATTCTTCATCCAAAAATGCACTTCTATTATCTTCTCCTTTATCCTCATCTTCATCTTCTTCGTCATTTCGTAAAAGTGGATTATTTAGGTTTTCCCGCCACCATGATCACCACAATAATTCTAATAATGGACGTGATACGTTAAAATCATCACACAAGATAAGTCGTTCATTATCCCCATTTAGTGTCCTTGGAGGTAATAGTAGTACTGCAAATAGCAATAACCATAATGGTAAACCCATTACCAATAGTAATGATAACAATGCTGGAAATAAAAAAAAAGAAGAAAAAGAATTTTTGAAGTTGGAAAAAATGGCACAAAAGGAGGAAATGAAAGAGATAAAAGAAGAAATGAAACAATGGAAGACTAAAAAATTAATCACAGTGAAAACTTTAAATTTTATATCATTACCAAAAACTTTGGTGATTCATTTGTCAAGGTTTTATTATGATTTAACTAAGAAAAATGATACAATAATCACTTATCCATTAATATTGAAGATTCCAACTAAAAATGGTAAAACAGTAAAATATAAATTATATGGACTGGTTAATCATACAGGTAATCTGATATCGGGGCATTACACGTCATTAGTCAATAAAGAGGTTAATCATAGTCTTGAATCCGATGAACAAAAATGGTATTATTTCGATGATGAAGTTGTCAAAGAAGAAACAAATCATGGTGATTTGAAGAAAGGCATTACTAAAATATCCAGTAATGATGTTTATGTGTTATTTTATGAAAGAATGGGGTAGAAAAAAGATGAATTATATACTGATAAAACATTGGATTATGCCTTTTACATTTTTCTGCATGCATATTAATTTTACATACTTATAATGCTATTTTATATATTAATAAAGAGAACAAAATTTATTTTAATGATATATGCTTTAAATGTGAAGCGATTACTTAAAATAAAAAATACTTGTAGCCAGTAAGAATACATAAAACGTATAAACAATACAATACGAGAATATTAAAAATAAAACTTTGATAAGAATAGTAACAACCATGGTAATAAGTGTGCACAATAAAGGTTCGGGACTGTCAACAGAACCAGATACATGAATTTATACCAAAAAAAATAATAATAATAATTTGTTACTCCCTTTATTTAAATGCCAAAAGTAAGAATGTGATTTTTAGCTCTTTCAAATTCACGATTTTTCATTGATGAACCCCAATTTAACTCTTTAGCCATGATATTTATTGTACCTTCTAAAGCCTTAAGTGATTCGTTAGCATCTACAAAGGTGAATCTTGTTCTTCTTACTAAGAAATCTAATGGAGTCCTTGTATATTCGTTATGGATAGAATATTTCAATTCACCTATTGTGTATGGATAATCAAACGCACTGCTATCACATCCAGTACTACCAGCCATTGTCAATGGTAATTTATTCTGTGGATCATTTTTAAATAATTCACAGATTATCGGTGAGTGGTCACCATAATTATTTGATAAATATTCAGCCATGACTGGAGAAATATGGTAAGTCTGTTGCAAGAAAGCCTCATAATTAAGATCCCAATTCTGTGATCCAATTAATTTTATATTCTTTGTATGACATGGTTGCAAATTTTGAATTGTATTAAATTCACCTACTTTGATTACCTCATCAATGGTCTCTTCTGCCATTTCTCTAAAAGTGGTCCATTTGCCACCAGCAATTGTGATCAACCCACTAGGGGAGGTAAATAAAAAATGTGATCTGACTAGGCCTTGAGTGGCCTCTTTACGGCTTGGGATATCAGCTTGATCAGTGCTCAATCTTGGATCCTTAACTAATGGTCTAATGCCAGCCCAGGCACTTAAAACATCTCCTCTTTTTACAGGAAACTTAATATAGTGCTGTAATTCTTTCAAAATATCTTGGATATCCGATTCTGTCGGAGTAGGATCACTTGGGACTTGTTTTAATGGTATGTCTGTGGTACCTGCAATAACTTTACCCATCCATGGTAAGAAAAACATGACTCTACCATCTTCAGTGCTTGCATCTAATAGCCCCATATTCTTGGGACAATAATAGGATGGTAATATTATATGAACACCTGCTGAAGGAACTACCATTTTAGGGTTTCTAACAGCGATTGTTGGTTGTTCATCCAGTATATTAATAGCGGTATTAGTAGCATCTGAAATAGTGTTTATTTTGTCGGGGAAACCATCTTTATTATTATCCATTTGTAGAATTGCATCACTGAAGGGACCAGTAGCGTTAACAATAGTCTTAGCTTTAACGGTAAATATCTGACCTGTTTCTCTATCTTTCAATTTTGCACCAAGTAGTTTACCAGTAGTGGAGTCCTTTAGTAATTGAACCACTTGGATATAATTCATCACAGTTGCACCATAGCTAATTGCAGTCATAGCCAAAGATAAGCAAAATCTAGAGTCATTGAATATTCCATCATGATAAACAAGACCTAATTTCAAGTTAGTTTGGTCTAGCATGGGGGCTATGTGATTCATTTGATTTTTAGATAAAGCGAAGGATTTTCTAAGATTTTGATTGCCTGCAAAAAGATCATAAAATTTGCAACCTAGATAATAGTAAGGTATTTGCCAATAGTTGTATATAGGGATAATGATTGGCAACACTTTTGAGAGGTGAGGAGCGGTGTTTAAAAGATGAGCTCTTTCATTTAAAGCTTCAATGACTAAATTCAGTTGATCTTTGGAGAACTCAGTAAAAGCTTTCTCTAAGTATCTGACACCACCATGAGCTAGTTTAGTAGATTTTGAGGACGTGCCACTTGCAAAATCGTTTTGTTCCACCAGTGCGACATTAAGTCCTCTACTCTGAGCATCCAGTGCACAGCCTGTACCAGCAGATCCACCACCAATGATTAGTACGTCAAATACAGTAGATTTGTCTGTTAACTTGTGTAAGAGTTCTTCTCTAGACGGTAGTTTGTGGATGGATTGTGAGACATTTTGATTCTGTGGATTATAGTTGGTAAAATTTGTAGGTACTATATGTGGAGACCATTCACTTCTTGTTTTATACCAAGTGACTGTGGTAATTGCTCCTATCCCAAGAGTAGTCAAAAGTTTATGTCTGCTTAGTGATACGATAAATGTCATGATGTGAGTTTGACAAGTAAAAAGATGGGCACCCTAAACTTTTTTTTCCAATGTTCAGGTCAATTAGATGTCTCTGTCTTGACAACAGAGAACTGTATGATTGCGCAAAAGAGTACTACAGCTAACAGTTACTAATAAGCGCAACAATCACAACAACAATAATAACAATGAGCAATAATCAATAACCAATAATAGTGAGGCAAATTTAATTGTATATTTAGCTGTTTTTATATGCATCAAACCTCCGCTGAAAACGATATTATAACCACTTCTGTTAACAAGCTGGCGTTTTAAAGGGAAAGGGGAGGGTTCCTTCTCTTTCATAAAATTCTTATTTCAGTTTCAGCTTTATTTTATTTCGAATATTGGAAGTATTGGTTATGTGGTGTGCGGATGTTGTAGTACAAGTTTCTGTAGAGATGATCGAACGTTAATACATTATTACAATATATATATATATATATATATATATATAGAGTGTGTGTATGTATATGTGTAGGTAGTATAAAGTATGGCATGTATATATTAGTTGGTTGGTTGGTTGATTCATTAAATGGAGGAAAAGGGGGAGAGGACGGGAGAGATTAACAAACAATGATATGTATATATTGGTTTTGATAGATTACTTTGTTTTGTCTAATCAAAGATACCTTTCTTCTTAGTTCTTTTCAATTTCTTTCTAATTATAAAAGTTGGCACACTACAGATAAAATTTTGCAGGCCACTCAATGTCATTGATAGAGAACAACAAAGTGCCAAAGGTTGCAACCCATTAATCATCTCGTTTAAGAGATGCTTTGGGTAAGGATGTGTTAAAGACAATATTATCACATCCAAATTGTCTACTGTGGCACTAATGCAATCAAATAAATGCAATACATGGTTTCTTAATTTGATGATATTGTTGACTATACTTTCTTTCTTAACAAAATCATCTCTACCATCCGAATGCCAATGAACTATGTATACCGTATCACCATTTTTCACTAATGTGCCCATAACATATGTTATGGCATATATGGATTCACTAGTTAAATCAACATACAATATATAACTATCTTCATTTATATTTTCGTTTTCTATAGTTTCGGTATTGTAATTAGTTGTTTTTGCTTCTGCTGTTGTTGTTGTTGCTGTTGTTGTAGCATTATTGTTTGAATTAAGGGGTCCTCTTTTATTCAAAGTAAGTATACCTCTAAGATATCCTCCTTCTAAAGAAGAGATATTAATATTTGGATCATTGTTACTAGGATTTTCAGTTTCATATTTATCAATCCATGGCTTACTACTCTCTAGTACATCATTGATGCTACTACAAAAGTTTGGTAACACTTTTGTACCTAAATCATAATTAAATTGCTCGTTAATTGAATTATCATTCTCAATATCACTGACTTGTTCTTCGTCAGATTCTTCTTCATCCGTATCATCATCATCTTCTTCTTCTTCTTCCTCGTCTTCCTCTTCATCTTCTGTGTCATCACCTGTATCTTCACTGTCTTCGGTATCCTCAAAAGCTTCCTCTTCATCTGTATCTTCTTCCTTGTCCTCATCCTCGTTCTCGTTATTATTTTTATTTTTTTTCTTCTTACTACTTGCACTCTTACCACTATTACTATACTTAATTTTATAGTTATGTAATCTCATTGAAGGATCCTGTCTCAAAACAGTCCATTTCAAAAACTCCTCATCCCTGATCCTTGAAGCGGTACGAGACCTAGACCTAGATCTAGACCTGGAGAAGGAACGTGACCCACTTCTTGAACCACGATGGCTTGACTGACTGCTATTAGCATTGTTGATTCCAGCAACATGCAAAGAAGAAGAAGCAATATTTACTGGATTACCGTTTGTATCTACGAGGTCTCTACTCCTGGACACATTGTCGTTTCTTTTTTTGATTCTACTTCTACCACGCTGCAACTGTTCAGCATCAAATTGGACACCCGGTGATGAATTGTGATTATTTAATGGGGTATCCAAGTAATGCAAATCTGTACTCTGAGGTGATGGAGGATCATCGTGTAATGAGTTGTGATTATTATGAGAATCTTCGACAGATAGAGATGTGGAGTTGTTAATGATGGAATTAGTTCCTTCTGGAGAAGTTAATAAAATAGGTCTATGTCGATCCATTGAAAATAAATCAAATCAAAGCGAAAGCAAAAAATCAAAGCAAAAGGAAGGGGGAGAGAAAAAGATAGAACGTAATCAAATAAACTAAGAAAAGATTGACACAAAGATTATAAGTTCTTGTGGATATGCAGGGATATATATCTATATATATATATGTGTGTGTGTGTATGTCTATGTCTATATGTCTATGTGTATCTGTGTGTTCTTGATATATTCTGTTCAATACGTCGGTAAGTTTGCTGAACAGTTATCGATTGGATATATTGTATTAAATCATAATATAATATATTATAATCATTTGACGTATCCCACAATTTTTCATCCCCCCCTCCCTCAAATGAAAATAAGAAAAACAAAAAAAAAATTGTTTCTTTCTTTTTTTTGGGATTTTCGTTGTGGTAGCGCCCGTGAAATGTAGATACATGAAGAGAAAAAAAGAAAATCTACCAGTCACAATTTAAAATGACAATGAAATATAAATAATGACTATTGAGTCTCAGACAGAGACTGTCGTTATGAGGTGAAGACATGTTTATTTGTTGTTTGTCATTCGTTGTTGACTGTGATAATAATGGTAATGGGTAACTAGTTTCAGTCATAAACGTTAATATATTGTACAGAAATATATTTCTTGTCCAGTCGGTCTTCGTTTTCCCGTACTAATGTTAGAACAACAACAACACCAACAAGATGTGCTAAACGTATTCTTCAGCAAACCACAAAAAAGAATATTTGATTCACAATCACTGCTCTATTTTCAACGATCCGTGGCTATCCAGAGAATAAGACACTATTTGAAGAAATATGTCCAGCTGATGACTGGAAGACCAATTCCAAACATCGATGGATATGTGCCACATTATAAGACCACACATAGGGTTGTCCATCTTTTAGACACCCTATACAGTTTGTTTTTGTCTACTCCACCCCTGAAGGGTCCAAGACGGTTTGGTAACATGGCTGATAGATTATGGCACGATAAAAAACACGAAGTCATTAGATTGTTGATCAGAGAGATTCTTGTTGATTTATCCACCCGATATCAAGATGGTAAAAATGAACATCTGATTGATGAATTGCAATACTATATTGAAAATTCTTTCGGGTCAAAGGTCAGATTGGATTATGGTACTGGTCATGAACTCTCCTTTCTAGCATTTATCGCTTCATTGGATATGTTGCAACTATGGGGTGACATAGATGTCTCTACAGCTCCAAATTCAAAGGGAAATGACAAACTGACAAACTTTGCAGATGATTTGATGTTCATTTGGTACAAATATTACCATCTGATTAAATCGTTGATCCTTGTATATAATTTGGAACCGGCTGGTTCTCATGGGGTATGGGGTCTAGATGACCATTTCCATCTAGCGTACATATGGGGTGCATCTCAATGGTCTAATCCTCATAATTGTTTCCTTTTGCCAAGAGATTTATTAGTTGATCAACAATATGGGTTTTACAAGGACCAGAATTTTTTCGCTCAAGGTATAAGTTTCATATGCCAAGTCAAAACAGGTCCCTTCAAAGAACACTCTCCGATACTGTTTGATATTTTGCATACTGTTAGATCATGGCAAAAGATTCAACGAGGGTTGTTAAAAATGTACGATGATGAAGTATTGAATAAATTCCCTGTAGTACAACATTTTTGGTTCGGTGATGGGTTTTTCCCCTGGAAAGATCAAATAACAGGAAAAGATCTACCTTTAGTTGAGGCTAACCCTAACACAAATACAATTACAAATAATGATCGCGAATTTTTTACATCTGTACCGACTGCTTCCAATAGGTCATTTGATCAGTATCATGTGAATAATATATACAACAGTACGATATCTTCTTCATCAATGTTTAGAAATGTTCATGTAGGAGCTAACGATCCATTAACCAGGCTGAGAGATACATCATTATTATCGTCTTCATCCACTAATATATCCACTACCATCAGACCACAACTTTCATCCGGTAACTCAGTATCGAATTCAACAAGAGCACTTACAAATCTATGTTCGAGGAAAGGTTCAGGGATCATGGGGCCTCCGAGTATAAGAAATGTTAAAAATATTTTACCGATGAATCAACAGAAAAATTCTTTAAAGAAATGATAGAAGTTTTTTATAAATAATATATGACTTCTCTATTTTGGTATGATTTTTAGACGATATGTACTGTAGATCTTAGTAGTAATGATAGTAGTACTAGTGGTACATATATGTATGTATGTATGTATGTTTCTATGTCTAAGCTTATATAATGAATGGAGAAGATCATCTTTATGTGGGAGGGAATGTGATTTTAGCTATAAAAAAAATTGTAAATATATATATATATTTATCTGTTAATTGTACAGTGTGTAAAAAAGAAAGATAAGAGTATCGTGCTATTAAACACCTCTTTCTTTCTCTTTCTTTCTTTAAGTACAGTAAAAAAACCACGTACACATTACTTGGACATACATTAAGGTGAAACAGTTTTATCAGGGAAGTTGTCTTATGTGATGGTGCGAACCTTCCCGCTTAAAATTTATAACGATAAATCAAACAAGGTTTACAAACGAATAGAACAGAAACAGCAAAAAAACAAATATTCTACTAAGATATCTGATATATGGAGTATCACAAATCAATCTGATAATGTGTTTAAACAAAAAGATCAAAATATAGCAAATTTTTTTCAAATTAGTAAACAATCTAGAGGACAAGGTAAAAATTATGGTCAACTTTTTAATCAATTACCTAAATCTATATCTAAGAAACAAAGATTATCTATTACAAATGTTGCTAAGTTACGAAATTTTAATGTTAATGTTAATGTGAAGTGGCAGACCGGGTATAAAGGAAGACTACGACATTCCCATACGTTATCTCAATTTAAAGATCATTTAACTGACAAATATCATACACCTTTAGTCACTCAATTGAAACAATCTCTCTCCAATATAGATTGTAAAATACAAGTAACAAAATTAAAGCAACAATATGATACATTACTAAGAGTTAAATCAATGGAAAGATTATCTAATCATGAATTATTAATTATACCTTATACATCAAAACATAATATGAGTAAATATGTCTTACATATAAATAAGAATATGTCCATAAATTATAATTCTATCAATCAGCAAACTCAACATTTACAATTAGCAATCTTGGCTAAATCAGCGATAAAATTGTCCAATAACACTTATTGGTGTCTCTCATGGAAGTTAATCCAAAAATAGATGGAAATTAATTCAAGACATCAATCAAATTTTAACTGGCAATAGATAAGACAATACATAAGTGCTATTAAGTATTCCAATAATAACGTATATATATATATATATCCAGACTAGTCTATTAAATTATTTCTAAATCACTGTCCGATTCTATATCATTTTCTCTTGATTTCTGTTTATCCTTTTTAGTACCAAATACTTCTACCCACGCCGCTTTTCGATGTTCTTTTCTTTGCATCATATGAACTGCAGAAGATGTAAGATTAACTGATTCCTTTTTAAATGATAAAAGTTCTTTAACTACATTTTTCTTATCATTCTTAGAATTATAATGTGGATCTGAGCTTTTAAAATTGGATAAATCATTGCTATTAAAATCCTCATTTTTTATTGGAAGAGATGTAAATTTCTTATTTTGCAATACAGATGCAATTTTACCGTGAGTTGGATCAAATCCTATATTCTGGATTATTCCACTTTGTAAAATAGACTCTGTAGTATTTTTTAGTTGATCAATCTCAATTGAACTTCTTTCATCAAGATCAAGTTCTTTATTAAATATTTTTTTTAACATCTTATCAAATTTTTTGGATTGTGTGATCTCATCAATCTTTCTTTTTTTATCATTCTTTAAATTTTTTTTAAATGCATCAGGATTATGGTAATCATCGTCAAAGAATGCCTTTGCTGCATTACCACTACTAAAGTGTCTTGCAGTTATGCTTTTTTCCTCAATTCTTCCTCATTTTGATGATTATATCCAACAGTCCGTGACATTAAATTAAATGATGGGGCATTGGAACCATTACCATAGTTTTTTGGAGTAAAATTTTTGCCACTAATATTTTCAGTTTGAACATTATTTGATAGTATCCGCTTGCTATTTGAAGGATTTTGCTTTGAAACATTTTCACGATAAATACTTGGTTGAAGGCCGACTTTTGTTGGAGCTCCCATAGAAAAACCACCATTTAAATCAAGACGTTTTGCATTTGATGACCTCATTTGAACTTCACGATGATATTCACAACATTTTTCAACAGATACATCAATGCAATTTCCACATTTACTGTTACTTGATTTATTCCATACAGGACAATACCCAAGATCTCTACTTTTGCCAATCTCCAAAATACAATTATAATTATGTGCTATTTTTAAATTAAATGATTTAATAAGATGCTGACCTCTTGATGTTGAAGATAGTTTCCAAGGTAAAATTTCAGGATTTAAAATTGCAATAATATCCCCTACTCGAAGTGTAATATATTTCTGAACACCAGAATCTCCAAAGATGAATATATCAATCTGCTGTTTAAGGTTTGTTAAAGTTAACTTAATAAATTTTTGCGGTTTAGCACTTGTGGTGTATTTGACTTCACTCTTTTGAGATATTATCCCTAGTGTTACCCAATTAGAATATTGTGGTTCTTCAAATTTAGGTGGGCGTACTTTTGCAAATAGTTTATTCAATCTTAATATTTTAATATTTTGTAAAGTCTCTTTTAATTGAGGTTCAGGTATATATCTTTTGCTTATCCATAAATTGGAATATTCCTCTAGTTCATTTACTGAAATATGCTTGTATTCCTTAGAATTACTGTTATTACCAAATGTATGAATTCTAGAGCTCATCATACTCTCATGTGCCTTTATTCTTGATTTTTCTCTCTTTTTCGATTCTTGGAACCTATTCACAAAATAAGATGTAGTGGATTCAGAAAGATTAGATACATTTTTACTTGTATATTTTTCTTTCAATTTTATTTCATTTAGATTATCTTCCCTATTGTTGAATGCGGCTTTAGAATCTTGTAAATTTACTTTAAAAGTTGTCATATTAATATCATGATTAGGAAACTTATCATCTGTGGATTTCTTCTTTTCTGGAGTTTTCGGAACTTCAACAGATACAAAGTTAGGATCTACCCTCTTTGAATTAACTTTTTTTGTTCTAGTCTTTTTAGAAGGTCTTGTTTCTTTCTCTCCATTTCTTGTATTTCCTTTTCAATTTGAATTTGTTCATCTTCATCTGATGTCAAGTTAGCATATGGATCAGCAGTTATAATATCACGTGGATCGAGATTCATCGCAGTGAAACAGAGAGTCTTTGATGGGATAGTTTTGACGAGTCAGTTGGCTCCATAGAAAACTGATGGATAAATTACTTCTTCATAATGGATGATTATCTCTATAGATATTCCACTTTTTTCTATTTATATCCAACTCTCGAGGCTGTTTTTTTATTTTAATCAAACCATGAATTTTAAGCTTTCTTCAGAATTTCGAAAAGGAATTATAAAAATTCATTGACAGTAAGTGAAAATATATATAGTAATATATTCAGATATAACCATACGTACATGTATAGAAAGGGGGTGTGAGTATTTAGCAATCTGTAGTTATTTTGATACTTGTATAAGAAAAAAGCTGTGGAATCATCAGTATTTTGATGTTCTCAGTCATGTTGAATATTGTTTTTTGTATTTCTACAACTATTACTAGCATGTATATATATAAGATATAAAATTGAAAATTTCTACGGTTGTTAAATACTAAGTTCAAAGAAGATTTCAATATGTTGATGTCGTATATATGTGTATAAGATAATTGACGTTATGAAAATGGTTGCGTGATTAGAATCATGAAGAAGATGGGTTCTTTTGATCAAATTATTTTTGCCAAAGGCTTACGTTCTCATATATGTTAAGCTCTGAACATACTGTGACATTTCTTCTTGGGAATTATTTATGTAAATAGCTAAATTGAGAAGATAAAATCAAAATTTTGCATATTATATATATTTATTTTCATAATTGCATATCGATTTTTTTTAAATGAAAGTTAAGCAATATAAGTTAGAAACTAAGTACTTTAATAAGTAACACAACAGATTGTTGTAATATTGCTAAAAATATTGAAGGTGAAATTATTTTGAATTGTTGGGATAGATTTGTTTTCTGTTTGGTTTGTTTGTTTTACACAAAATATGAGTTAGTTTAGTTCACGTACAGTTTCATACTACTGATTAGCATATGTTATAAAAACGTTTAATAAGTAGTGAATATATTTCTATTACTGGAACTTTTAAATTATCAAGTTATTGTGGATATTAAGAATATTTAAAAAACAATTATACTTTATTTTAAAACATCTAATTCTACTTTGATTTGTTCAGAACATTGCCAATTATTCGTTTGAGGATATAACTTTGCAATATTAAATAAAGCAGTAGCATTATCCTAAAAACTGGTTCACTATACAGTTTATTCTTTACCATAAAATATTTTATCTCATTTAGAATTTCAAGAAGAGTATTGTCCATCAATATATTACTATTATCTATTTATAATCACAAATAATTTAATTATGACATTATTTGGGACTTCTTATTTTTACGAATGTTTGTAACTCCTCATCTACACTAAAGGTTTTTACATGTATGAGTTCTAACTGAATCATATTAGTGTCCTGCAGCCTCCAAAATCATGGTTATTAGCATTACTGTGGGGATTTTTTTGTTCAATTCAGAACTTTAAAAAATATATGAAGTTAAATTTATTGTAAACAATAGAAGCAGTGAAAAATATGCAAAATTATTATTTACTCTGTTTAAACCTCCATTGAAGAACTCAAGTCTTGCAAAGAATGCAGTTGTGTTTTTCCAAGTCTATTATATTTTATTCTTTTATTGTATATTGATAGTAAGATGTACATAGTAAATTGAAATGTGTAATTTATGTTAAAGATTCCTATCTTAACTTGCAAAAACTTTCTTTCTTCAAAGTTAATATTTTATACATGTTGGTTAATCATAATAATTTTGAAACTTTTGTCTTTAAGTTTTATTTCTTATACTATTTTTGGAAAGAAAGCAATAAGATAGAGAAGTTATTTGGTTCAAACCCTGTCCTATTTTACCCAAAAAAGTAAAAGATATCATATAGAACTTTATGTTGAAGTACAAAGTAATATTTTAAAATTGAGTTTTTAAGTCATTTAATAAAATAAGCATCGTCTCCTCCTCCCATCCAGAAACATCATTGTTTTAATTTGAGGCTAGATTCCAAATTTTTTGTATTGACTTTTAGGATTTTGAAATACATTTTATTCAAAGTAAATTGAGATAGCTCAGGCTAAATATAAAATATATATTCAAAAAAAGAAAAAGAATATGAAAAGAGATACTAATTACACGCAGACATTTACAAAAAAGTACTATAATCCCTATTTTCTAGTCTTGTTATTACTGATATCTTTTAGATACAACCTGGTAAATATAATACAACAATTCATACTGTTGAAATAGAATGTTCTATAATAAAATAGATAGAACAATAAGATTTTAGCAGACACTAAACGATAAATTGTTGAGTAATAATTGTTGAGAGGTCACCAAAAGTTGTTGAGTTTGTTTATTAAATATCTTACTGTTCGTAGAGGAAAATGGCTTAATGTTAACATATATAAAGCCAAGGATTTCATCATACATTATTTTTATCTTATTTACAATCTTTGTATATTATTATTTCTATGTTGTATATAGAGAAAGAAAGTGAAGAACTTTATTATAATTTTGTGTACTAAATCTGTTTAATATAATATTGAGATTGTTTACTATATATCCAATGAATAAAGGCGCTCATTCTCAACACATACTGATAACTACTTTTTGTACTTTTCCATCTATCAGTAAACTGTCAAATAAACTTCATAGTAATTTGTTACTAATGATAATTTAACAATCTTTCAAATACTCTCACAAGCTGAGTTCACAATTTAAAAGTTTTATATCCTTTACTTCAATTTATATATAGACAAAATTTTTTTCCTTTAATGCTATATGCATTTTTATGTAAAGCACGTAGTGTTTTAATGGCTGGATACTTCACATATCAACCTTTTTGAAACTTACTTTGGTAACCTCCAGAACTTCTTCAAATTTTACACTCTCAATAATCCCTCCAAAAAGTATACATAAGATAAGAAATAAAAAAAACACCCTTTATAAAAATATCTATTTACACAACTATCAATAAAAAAAGTGGAATTTTTCAATATCAATATCCTGTTATTTTTTAATTCGAAAATATCAACAAAAAATATGATTTTCTTATATGATTAATGAAGATATTTTGTATGGTTTCCTTAGTTCTCCACAGGAGCTAAGTATATTATTAAATGCAAAATATTTTAATATATAGGCATATAAATTTTTCATGCAAGATTAATAATTATCTAAATGAACTTTCTGTTATCATTTATTATTCCAATTATGAAATAATATTACTTCATATGACAATTACTTGCTATATTTTCGAGAGAACTCTTTTGATAAAACCAGGGATCTTCAATTAAGATTGAAAAGCACAAAATGTATACTCCATTTACTCTAAAGGTTTTAACTTTTTTAATGGAAGATCATCCAATTTGTCCTCGAGTGGTTTTTTCTTGCTCTCTGTATCATCTGATGATTCAACTGGTTGTTCCGAATCCAATAACATATTCATAGGAGTTTTAAATTCTGATTTCCCAAATTTTCCAAAGGGAGATTGTTTTGTGGATACAAAAGAAAATATACTATTATTATTATTATTATTATTATTATTATTATTATTATTATTATTATTATTATTATTATTATTATTATTATTATTATTATTATTATTATTATTATTATTATTATTATTATCGCCCGTAGTTTGTTTAAAAGATGAAGTCGTTAAAGAAAAAGGATTTTTTGGACTTTTCTCGAAACCGAAAGGACTGCCCACTGCACTGAGAGTTGATAAAGACTTAGAAGCTAGATCCAATTTTGGACTTGCCAGTTGAAATGGTTTATTAATGTCAATTTTGGACAACCCTGATATAGATTTACGTTGTTGTGACCCTAATGATACTTTATTGTCAGGGGGTTGTTTTCCTTCTAATTGTGCTTCAAGTTTCGATATTTTTCTTTCTAATAGAGTGGTTCGCATTGATGCTTGATGCTTGCCTTCTTCAAAAGCCTTCTTCTTTAAATTACTGTTAAAATCTTCTTCTATCCGTTCCTTGATCTTTTGTTCTAACTCTTTAACGATATCTTCAACTGGCTTCTTTAATTCATCCGAGAGCTTTAACACTCTAGCTTTCTCTTCAACTCTTTGATCAAATTCATTTTCCAACTGACTTTTTCTTTTTTCTATTATCTTTTTAATCTTTTCTTCAGTTGGTAGTCGAATATGCTTCTTTAGGCCTTCTTTTGCCTGTTCTATTCTAACTTGAGTTTCTCTCTCCCATTCATCTCTCATTTTTTTAAGATTAACTGATGAAATGTTATTCTCATTAGTTGCATTTTCATACTTAGATTTCAACTCTGCAGTAACTTTTTCTATAGCTTCTTTCTCTTTATGTTCGTATTCCTGCTGCATATCTTTTAATTTTTGCTCCAAATTAGTATACGCTCTATGATTCTCTTGTAATTTCAACTCTGATATTTTTAACCTTTCAGTAGTTTCATTAAGTTGTGTCTGTAACTCAGTAAATTCATGCTGCTTACCGTTATACTCTATTTCCATTTCTTTATATCTTGCAATTATAAGCTGCAATTCTGCTTGTTTAGTAGTCAATTCGTCTACTTCCGAAGACAATTGAGCGGATGCGACCTTTGAAGCATTTAATTTTTCATGTGCTTGTCTCTTTAATCTATTAAATTTATCCTCTAATTCAATATTTTCCTTAGTTTTAGCCTCAAGTTCTGCTTTATATTTTGCCAATTCATCAGACAGTGTTTGAATCTGTTCAGAATTTTTCAATTGTTCTGCCATATTTTTCCATCTATTTGATTCCTCTTTATGAAGCGCAACATTCTTTGTAGCCACCAACAATTCACTCTTATATTTCTGTAATTCCGATGTACTAGATTGATTTGTTTGATTTAATCTCTGGTTTTCAGTTTCTAACTCTGCTTTTTCCCCAGTTATTTGATCCAATTCTTCCTTTAAACTCTTTATCGTATTCTTCATCAGATCTAATTCCTTTAACTCACTCATAATATTTATAAATTTATCATCTGTTAGCTGGTCAACATCATTAGACTTTTTAATAACACTCAAATTTTCCTCTTTACAATACAATTCAAGTTGACTCTTTAGTAAGCTAACTTCAAGATTCAAAGCAGTTATCTTGTTCTCATATAAATTTTTTTCCTGTTGCAATTTAATAATAGTAATATTTGCATCATGCCCAATTTCTTTATTTAACCCGTTATCTTCACTGTTAACTTTTTCGTTAAAGTCAAGAGAGTCGCTAACTTGTCCTATATCTTCAGTATATATATCTTCTATTTCATTTTTTGGAGTTGTTTTCATATCTTGATCACTCAAAGGAATAGACTGAAGTGGAGTTTGTGCTTGTAGCCATATAATCTGCTTATTCAATATTTCTATAGTAGTTTCCCAATTTTTTTCTTTTTGACAATAAAGATTCTTATATTCTTGTAATTTTTCAACAAAAATTTTTTCTTTTTCTTCTAACTTTTTCTTTAATCTTTCAATAATTACACTTTCGTTTGATGGTGATTCTTTCCTAATGCTTAATAACTTGACTTCAAAATCATGCTTTTCTTGTTGATATAAGCGGATCTCTTTTTCTAATAGTTCCTTGTCCTTTTGTAACCTTGTTACTTCATCATCCAAACAATCTACTGTGTTACTATTTTGTTGACACTGGGTCTTATATGACAATAAATCACTTCTTAGTCCCACTAGGTCATCTTCAAATCCATTACATAGATCCTTCATGTGCCTATGTTCTTCTCTAAGTTGCTCATTTATCTTCTTTAATTCTTTCAACTCATTTGACAAAATTTCCTTTTCCTTTAAAAGATAATTTAATTTATTATTATTTTTGCTCAAGGTAATTTCTTTTTCATTCAAAGTTTCTGTTATATCTGCAATCCTTTGTTTGTAGTTGTTTTCTTGTAAAATTAATTGATCATTCAGCTCTTTCATTTTATACTCATTTTCGCGATGTTGTGTAATCAACTTATTGCCATCCATTAGTAGTTTGAAAGAGTCGTTTTCTGTCAATAACACTTGGATTTTATTACGTAAATTATAGATTTCACTTTTCAATTTCTTTTTCTCACCGTCATCCTTGGAATTTTCTTCAGAATTATTCTCAAACTTTTCAGTTAGATTACGCATAGCTGTTATTAACCTTAAATTTTGTTGTTGTAACTCTTCAATATTAGTAAACGATACCAGTTGAGAAGATATTACATCTTGAGAGTTAGAATATTCAACATTATTATTACTTTCATAATTACTACTATCCTTTTTATCTGTGTACAATAAAGTCTGAATTTGTTGGCACAAGTCTCTTTTTTGAGATACTAATTCTTTAATCATTTGAGACGCACTTTGAAATTTTTGAGATAACCTCATATTTTCTGTAACTAATGTTTGGTTTTCGTTAGACACTGAATCCAATAAATCAATATTTGAGATTAATCTTGCTTCAATGTTTTTATTAGTAGTTTCTAAATTTTGAACATGCGGCAATTCATTCCTTAACTTTTCTACTAGTTCTTCGACTTGCAACCTGAGTTCATGATTCATTTTTATATATTCTGGTTCATCGTATATATTACTGTTTTTCTCATGTAAAAGAATATCACCTTCTTTTTTGTCATACATTAAACCTGACTCTTGTAGGTGATTTATTCTCTCCTTCAATAAGTTGACAATTTCATTATTTTTATTCATTTCATTCATAAAAGAGACTTTTTGTTCTGTAATTGTATACTTTAATTCTTGAATTTCCTTCAACTTCCCGTACAATTCATCTGTAAGCGATCGTATTTGATCGATTAGCTGTTGGTTATTGGTATGAAGACACTCACCTTCTATTGATAGATTATCGGTCTTCATAATAATTTGCTATATTCTCAACTTGTTTCCTTATTTCCTAGAATTCTTTTCAATCTCAATATTTGACAAATTACAATGATAATAATATATAGATTTATCTAATTATAATAGAGGAATAAAATACGTTACTTTCACACTCGATAGTTGTTCGTTACCTCTCAGCGTTTCAAATTATTTAGTTTCTTTTCAGTTTTCTCTTGAGTAATGAATGGTTTATTTTTACCGAAATAACCTCAGTACACCACATAATATAGAATTAAAGGTATCATAAATCTAGCTACCAACTTATTTAAATTATACCTATATACCATAATGAACACTAATGTCATGGAAGGTATTAATGAAGCTCCTACATCCATGTTGCTACTGTTATTGTTTTGTTTTGTTTTTTTACCCTTTATTCTTATTTTTTCTTCTATATATACTGCGAACTCATTTAAATACAAAAGAAATAGACCATATGCAAAGTCAAATAATGAATATCTGTGTTTATTAAATGGAATATAAATGCTACAATTTGTATTTTAATGTTATCACAACTTATGTTTATATATATATATATATATATGCTTCCTTAAAAGTTTCTAATTTATTCGTTAGAAAACTCTTTAATGATTGTTTTTAATTTAGTTCTTTTGATAGGTTTGGATAAAAACCCATTCATACCAGCCTCAAGACATTCTTTAATATTACTATCATCTGCAAAGGCTGTTAATGCAACAATTGGGTAGCTATAAGACAAATCATTTCTTATCATTCTAGTAGCAAGTAATCCGTCTACATGTGGCATTTGCACATCCATAAAAATTATTGAATAATGTCGACCATCAGCTTGTAGAGCAGAGACTTTATTAAAGGCATCTTGACCATCGCATGCTAAATCTATATCTTTAATTCCTTCTAACTGCAACATTCTTTTTATAACTTCTTGATTAACATGATTATCTTCTGCTACCAGAATTTTGATACCAGGAGTTCTCTTATTATCATCAGTTGTAAATTCTTCAGTATCATTCTTCTTCTTCTTTAAGTCAGTCGTATCGATATGAGTACCATTATTAGTTCTAATGTCCTTTTTATCATTATCAGTAATTGTCTTCTCATTGTAAATTGTTTTATCTTTTGATGAGTCCATGCTGTATTGTAAAATATTACGTGCAGTACCTGTACTTTGCAAGAAAGGTCTATCCAAATTAACCTTACATCTGTTTTTCTCGGTACTTGCTGTCTCCTTAGCATAAGATAGAATACTTTCTGTAGCATCATCACCTTCTGCTGATGATTCTGTACTACTTTCACTTTTATGGGTATCTTCTCCCTTATCATCATTGTCTGATGTTCTACTATGATTCTTATCTTTATGCACTTTAAATTTAATTTTACGATTTTTTTTACTATCTGGGTTAAATTCATCCTCGAATGAATTCTTAGACATATCATAATTAATTACACGCCTTTGTGTTAATGGAACTGTGAAGATAAAACGACTACCCACGCCAAGTTCACTTTCTAATTCCATGGTACCATTCATCATAGTTGCCAGTTGTCTACAAATTGATAATCCTAAACCTGTACCACCGTATTGTCTTGACAAAGTCTGATCACCTTGAACAAAAGGTTCAAAGACAGCTTCTTGCAATGATTTATCAATACCAGGACCTGTATCCTTCACTTCAATCTCAATAACCCACGTCTTCTCCTTGTCTAGTGGTACCCCAAGTCCATCATCCGAATCAGAATCATCTATATCGTTCTTTTTCTCATTTTTAAATTGATTACTGAACAGAGCATCATCATAGGAACTGGATGATGTAGACACTAAAGACAGTGTGTCATTTGCTAATGACATATCAGATGCATCTTTGATATTTTCTAGATTTATACTAGAAGGTTCATCAACTACTTCTGTCCCCTTTTTAACATAAATTTTCTTATGATTACACTGTTCACTTAAAATTTGATCGTATTCACCCAAAACTTTCATAGAAACATCAACATTACCGTCTACAGGGGTAAATTTCAATGCATTAGAGACTAGATTCATCACAATTTGAATAATACGATTAGAATCTCCAAATAGTACCAATGTTCTAATAACATTTGGATATAAGATGATAGAAAGCTTAACTCGTTGATCTTTTGCCACTTTCCCAAAAATTGATTTTATCTGTAATGCCACATCAGTAATACAAAAATTTCTTTTCTCTAATTTTGTTCTTTGTAAAACGTTTTTAGAAAAGGTTAATAATTCTGTTAAAATATGCAATAATAATTCACCAGATCGGAATATTAATTTTAAGTTATTTCTAATTTTATGAATATCTGTTTCCTCCATCGATATTGTTGTCATACCTAAAATACCACTTAGTGGTGTTCTTAATTCGTGAGAAATATTGGCAATAAAAACTGTTTTGGCTTCATTGGCAGCTTCTGCCTCGATTTTAGCAGCCTCTAATTGCTTTGTACGTGCACGAACTCTCTCCTCTAATAATGCATAATGTTCATCTAGTGCATCTGTCATTGTGTTGAAAGTTTCGGTTAATACAGATAATTCGTCTGAAAATAATCTTCTATATTGAGGTACTCTGGCTTCTACCAAATTAGTTGGAGCAATATAGCCTCTAGAACGGCTTGCATATGTTATTTCGTCATCATTACCTTCTTCTACCCTTGATAATTTAGGCGGCGTTAATAATTCAGGATTTGGCGGATTTTTAATTTTGTAATTGTCACAAGACATATTACTATGTGTATCATGATTATTTAGAGATGGATTAGGTTTAGACTTTAATACCATCGATGATGACAAAGAATCCAGTTCATGCTTTTCGCCAGTGTTATTGTTGCTATATGAACTATCAGTAACATCATGACCATTACTATTACTAATATTACTATTATTATGTTCATTAGCACTGCTTGGACATATTAAATCAATTAAAGGTGTTACTGGAGCGAGCGGGCGAACAAAAGCTCTATCTTGCTTTATGGAACTTGTTCTACTCATGGAACTTGGTGTTGTAGGTCGTAACCCTCGCCCCTCTGTAATCAATTCTGTGGCTTTTTGTAGTCGAACGATGGGCTTAACAGCCCAATAAGCTAAGGGGAACGTCATAAACATAACAAAAACACCAATAGCTACCACTGTTCCAGCAATAATACGGGCCAGTCGTGTTGATGGTGACAAAAACACGGATTCCACTTGAGTAACCACTGCTACCCAATTAGTTAGAGTAGATGTACAAGGGGAATAGCCTACTGCAACTTTTGAATGGTAAAAGAAAAAAGTAGATTTCAAACTACCCCCTTTACCTAGTTTTAGGGCATCACTCAAGAATGACCCATTAACTAGTAAAAATGTAGAATTTATGATGCTGGTAGGAGCACCATACGGAGGAAACACAAATTTGTATGAATCTAACATAGAGTAATTGGTATATTTTGCAGAAACAATAGCGACATTAGATTTTGCTAGTGCTGTTGTGTCATTTAATACAGATAATAATCCATTTGCACTCATTACAATAGTAATATAACCGTATACCCTAGAATCTGATAAAATAATAGATGGATTTGCAAAGATGGGTAATGACATTGACATCAAGTATGATGTCCCGTTCTTAACTGGATCTGTCAAAATCCCTGTAGTTTCTAAAGAAGATGGTAATGGATTATCCATAGACAAAGGTAGCAGTTTATTCAATACAGACTGTGGAATTAAATCTCCGGTTCCATTATTTGTGGCATTTAAAACATTATTAAATAATGCATCATATATTCTTACTACTGAAAAAAGATCTGAGGAACTTAAAAATTTTTCTAGAATACTTTGTGTATCCACCCAGTTAGCTTCTGTATTGTTACCAGCTACATAATTTGTCAAACTTGTTTGTAGTGTATCTCTTGACGCCACATAGTAACATTGATAATATAGATAATTTAAATTTTGATCAATTTGAGAGGATTTTAGTTGAGCTGCTATGTAAAGACGATCCGATTCTAAATTCTTGAAATTGTCTGTAAAGTAAACACCTGTTGTAATAGCCAAAATTACCAACGAGACTATAGCAACAATACTTACTAGGACAGTCAATTGAGCCCTCAGACTAACTCTATAAGGTGGTCTTGGAGGAAATTTACGCAAATTTGTCATATTAAAACAATAATTTGGAACATATACAATCTAATACCATCCGACTGAAAATACTACTCTTTTCTTTACAGCCACACTACGTTGTAAGTAACTAACGCTAATAAAATCTTTTATCTCTCTCCCTCTATTTATATATATATGTATATATGTGTGTATACATATATGTGTATTTGTACTTTTTTTATGTATATTCCTGCTATTCTGCAATGACACTTCTATATCTCATCGATATCCATTTTTTTAATCGTGTTATTTTTATTTTATTTTCTTTATTTATTTTTATAGTATAAACTACACCAAGAAAGCCAGAAAAACAGAGAATGAATTAAAAAACAGCTAGACAGTGCAACTCAGCATTATCATAAAAATTTAAATAGGATATGTAAGCAGTTTGAGAAAAATAGGATTAATGTGAGAAGTAATGATATACACAAATAATTTAGTTAGAAAATTTATAATCAAAAATAATCTAATTAAATATTTGCTACGATATAACTAGTCCCAAATAATTTTTTTTAAAAAAAACTTGTTAATAGATGAACTACTTAACTATAAATAATCTATGGTAAGAATATATAACATATTTGTATTTATATCACCGCTAAGAAAAAGAGATTTTATTAAAAAGATAAAAAATGTAAAATAAATAGGAGACAGTTCTTGTTTTCACCTTTTAAGAACATATAAATAAAAAAGTTAAATAGTTGTATATGCCAACCTGTAAATTAATAATTATTGATAGTTGTGATATCAGTGTAAATAACTAATAAATCAATTATTCGTATTTTAATAATTCCACCACTAATAATAATGGTAATTTCAAAAACAAAAATGAATAGGTACTAAATGGTAATATAACTTAATGTAATAAAATTGTTAGAATCGTCAACATTCCAATTATCGATCTTACTAAATTTTTCTAAAGGAACATTATAACATTTTTTTGTGGCTACAATAGTGTTTCTAATAAAATTGTTTACTTTTATTAATGGATACTTTATGAAATTAAAACAGTAGTTTAACACAGGCTTCAATGTGTCCCTAATGCTTGTAGAATTAGTATTACTAACTGATGTTGATGTAATAGGGTATTCCTGTTGTTCCATACTCTGTGGTTTGGCGGTCGGGAATAGTGAACCAACAATTTTTGTTAATGAAGTTTTCTTTAACTTCTTAAAAAATTCTGCATCTAAAATAACTCTGATAAATGGAAACGTGTCTTTATTAATATTATAACTATGTTTAATATAATATGCTGCACTAATACCGGCTGAAATTGATATTCCCCAAATAATCCATTTAGTGGAGATATAATTAAACCATTGTTTTCGTTCATTTTTTATACCTTTTTTACTAATATTATTATTTATACTACAGCTTTTTTCTTTCTTAGATATATTAGCTCTTCTAGTTATTTCCTCAGGTCCTTGTCTCTTCCGTTTCCTTCTTTTCTTTAATCCATTATTAAAATTATCCTGACTTTCAAAAGATGATGACAATGCACTTGATAGGGATAAATCATATGAATCTTGCTCATTAAGTGACTGCATTTCCCCTAAATTTATCTCTGTTTGTTTTTCATTAGATAATGACAGCTTAATCACATGAAATAAGTTATTCAATTCTTTTTCATTATTGATATCAATAGGTGGATAATATAATGAAATCAATTGTTTCCTTAGAAATGACTTGATGATATTCTTAACTTGTACTCTTTGATCATTATGATACAGAACTATTAAAGGTGGACCGCCACCATCAAGTTTTGAGACTCTATTTAGTAACGTGATTAATTCTCTCAACTCTTTCACAATAATTATGAGTCCATAATACTGTTCAAAATCCTTTGGATCGTGACTAGTTGGTAATTGGAAAAATTGTTGATATTCCATGGGAATAGACTTAAAAAAATGTAAACCGTGTCTACCTGAGATAAGAATATAGTGTTTTTTATCATATCGTTTGTTAAATTTTAATGTTAATGAACTTGTTTTATTCTTAAATGATAATTTTGGCATTATAAAAGAATTTGAACTTGAACTCAAACTTTTTGTAACAATATTATTTAAATTTAAATCTTCATCAATAATGATGTCTTGAATGTTGTTATCACTTATATTTACCACATTTGTTGGGTGAGGCAGACTCGCTGCGGAGAAGCTAATTTCTTGATGTGAAACTATGTGTGAAAAAACCCTTTCCTCATTTAAATTAGAGACTGTCAACAATGAAGGAATAGATAATTCGCGTTGTGATTCTTCTTCAGAGGATGTATCAGTAGAAGACAAAATGCCCACATTATCATTATTATTACTATTATTATTTTTGTAATGACCTGGATTGAAATTAAATTTGACCTTATCTTCAAATAGTTCATTCTTCTCTACGTTGTGCCAAGAATCTGATATAGGGGTATTATCATTTAAATATTTTAGTGCAGACACACTAGTATTTAACTCACCCAAATGAGAGGATGTTTGTCGCTCAACAAATTCGTCTTGATCTTTTATTTGTTCAGCTGTCTCCAAATAATATAGAAAGGACAAATTCGGATCTAATACATCAGCATTAGAGATTGATTCCCTCTGGTTAGTGTTATGATTGTTATCTTCTGAATTTGAAACAACGTTAAAACCAGATTCATGTGTTGGTGAAAGAGAAAAAGATGAAGAGATAAGAAGTGATGATCGAAGAGATGCTGGTGTAGATAGATCTGCTGGCTGTTCCAACACTGCTGATGAAACTGAGCTTTGCAGTTTTGCTTTATGTTTTAGTCTATCTGAATTAGACATAGTATTTTAGCTGCTATATAAATTTCCACTAACCTTCCCTTACACCTTTGGGAAATTTCCGACTAAGTGTCCAAATTGTTTATAGAATACACAATCTTATATAATATGCATTTACAATGGATAAAGTTCGAATTTAAGTTTATCAAAAGAATGATATATGTAACCATTTATAGAAAGTAAAGAAAATTATGTATAAATATAACTATATAATTCTTGAACAAACTATTCAAAATCCTGCATATTAGAAAAAAGGGGAGCACAGTAGAATTCACAAGTGAATTATTGTAAATCATTAGAAGAAAGGAAGTAACTTAGTCAACGTTAATAGACTATATATAATTAATCAGTCTATATATACACAGATACGTACATGTGTACGTATACCTGCATATAAATTCTATGTATAATTGGCAGGTATCTATAAAAGATACTTCTATCTGCTACCAACTACTAAACAAGAACGTTATCAATTAATCTGACGATAACATTAGGGTTTTTTCTATCCTGTACATACACAGCACAACTTATAACCAATGGAACATCAGCATTACAGAAATCCTTAGGATCGGTAACTTCCATTAAAGTGGAACGATATGCAATAGATAAATAATCTACTTTAAAATCTTTCGATTCAATAAAGGGGTTCCAGTGCTTCATTACACTTTCTTCCACAATGGTACGACTAAAATTCCCACATTCCTTAGAACAATTATGCTTAGATCTACAATCTTGAATCAATTTAGATGCTGCTTCTAAACCTTTGTAAATGTTGGCTGATATTTCCTTTGATTCGTCGCTTAAGTATTTGTTTCTACTACTCAAAGCCAAACCAGTAGGGGAACGTGCTATTGGCATCATTACTAACTTGGTATTAACAAACAATTCTTTACACATGGTATCAAGCACTATAAATTGTTGAATATCCTTTTGACCAAAATAAGCGGCATTGGGTGAAACAATATTCAGTAATTTTGTTACCACAGTAGCTACCCCCCGAAAAAAATTTGGTCTAGTCTTTCCTTCTAACATTTCACTGATACCAAGAACACTAACAAACGGACCACGTTGATCTTCAACAGTTAACGGGATTCCTTGTGGGTACATCTCAGAAGCATTAGGAGCAAATAGGACATCACAATTTAATAATTCTAATAACTTAATATCTTCATTTAATGTACGTGGATATTTGTCCAAATCCTCGTTTGGTGCAAATTGGGAAGGATTGACGAAGATGCTACATACAGTGATATCATTTTGTCTAACAGATTCACGTATTAAGGATGAGTGCCCTTCATGCAATGCCCCCATTGTAGGTACAAACCCAATTCTTTTTTGGCACCGGTCACCAATTTCAGTTTCACGCCACTGAACAATGTCTTTAACCGTATGAAACACTCTCATATTTAGTATTCCTGAAGAATATTCTCTTCTTTTCAATGTTATTTCTGAATTTATGTCAACCCAGTCCCTATAAACTCTCAAAAGTGTAATACTATGCACTGTCTTTAAATTTGTTAAATACAAGTATTAAAATAAAAACAAAAACAAAACACATCGCATACCTGACAAACATGTTTACTTATTTCTCATACAGTTGTTCAGTTTAGCCTCTTGGATTCAACTCTTCTATGACCTCCAGCTTTCATATTTTTCCGCCATTATGTTTTTAATTTTTTCTTCGATCTTAAAGATTTGAGATAAAAAACAAAACAAAGATACAAAAGGATCTAAAAAAAATTATATACAAATAACGATAAGAGAGAAGTGCGCAAGAAGTGGTTTCTTCAGTCCTGAGCTCCCTCTTCCCTTTCTTTTTCATTAATATTGCATACTTAAAAGTACGATAACATATAGATAGAGAACCAAAACTAATAAATAAAGATTAGAATATAACTCAACAAGTTAGGATATGTCACAATCAGGGATACCAGTGTTGTCTGGGACTCGTCGAAGAAGTAATAGTACTAGTAATGCAAATAATCCATTTAATAGGGATATAAATAGAAGTTTTAGTACCAATTCAATTACTAATTTGAATAAAGATAACGGTCATTTTGTGTCTCAAATACCATCACCATTTTTTTCCAATTCTCAACCGGCAAACGATTCACAGCATGCTCCCTATGCATTCCATAATAATAATAACAATAACGTAAACAATAATGCTGGAACTAGGCGAAGAAGAAATAGTGTTGGGTCTACAATAAGTGATATTAATAAATCGTTTTTGCTTTCAGCTCAGGCAGAACCTAGAAAAAAAAAATCTAAGTCTATTGTTAGTACTACTAATCCACAATACCGTAGAAATTCTACTATCGGTAGTACAATGTCCAACACAGTAATGAAATATAATGATCATAACATGAGAGAAAGTAGGCGGTCTTTGCAATCAAGTTATAATCTATCAATGATAAATAGCTATGACAAAAATAATATCAGTTTACTCAGGAAAGATCTTAGACCATTAAGAGATAAAAACTTTCAAAATGCTATTCAACAAGAGATTTTGGATTATCTCTTAAAGAATAAATTTGAGGTTCAAACGAATCATCCAATATCACTAAAATCTCTAAGACAACCAACACAAAAGGGATTCATAATCATTTTCACATGGTTATATAAACGCCTAGATCCAGGTTATACTTTCCAAAAGAGTGTAGAATCTGAATTATATCAAATTTTGAAAAATTTAAATTATCCATATATAGAGAGCATCAATAAATCACAGATTAGTGCCGTTGGTGGGTCTAGTTGGTATAAATTTTTAGGTCTTTTACATTGGCTTGTAAAATTAAATGAAAAGATGGACATGATTTCTAGTGACCTGGATTCCACATTATTGAACCAACCCACACAAGAATTAATTCAAATGAATCAGCCTGTCCCCGACTCACTTGAACAACAAGATAAGATCAAGCTAAAATACGAATCTATGATTGAATCATTAGTCATTGAATATACCATGGATGCTTATAAATGTTTTTTAAATTCCAACGATGACTTTAGTGTACCTATGAATAAATTCCAAGTTGGATTTGAAAAATTTATTAAAATCATCAATTTAGATATAAAAACTTTAGATAATCAAAATGAGGTGATATTAAAACAATATGAATCTATTTTACAAAAGGCCACAAAATTGAGAATTGCAAAGGAAAGAAACACTGCATTACAGAACGATGTTAAAGCATTTGAAAATTACATATCTGTTATGAAAGAAAAATCAAAATTATGGCCGAAAAAATTACAAAATATGAAGTCTGATAAGGAACAGAGACAAGAGAATATAGCTGAAGTTGAGAAAGAAATTAAACAGCTTTCAGATCAGTTAAATGAAAAGAATATTTCTGTAGAACAAATCGAAACTAAAAATAAAACTCAGGAATTTTTATTGCAGAGTTTAGATGATATATCTGATAAATCAGATCGAATGATATCTACCTTACAAAGTAAAAGAATCGAAAATAAAAATGTAGCGAAAAATTTATTAAATGTATTGGATATATATAATCAGACCTTGCAATCGATATTAAAGGACAGGTTTATTTTAACAGGCAGAAATTCACCAAAAGTAGATGATTTTAAAATTAATATTGGAGATACTTTACAAACATTGAATGATAATATTAAGTTAAATTATAATGAATTATTTAAAAACGTGAGTACAGATCAATCATTTTCGTTAAAAAATTATATCACCGAAAAATTAATTAAACTAATTGAAGATATTGAAAACAACTGTAATAACATCCAATCCGATATTACTGATTTAAATAAAGAAATAGAGTCATTCCAAAAACAAGTGAAAATGAATAGTGAAGAAACTAAAAAATTGAGAGAAAGTGCACTACAAGTCCAATCAAATATATTTTCACTTAAGCAAGAATATGAGAAGTCCCTAAGTTCACAAAGATCTGAGATTGATGAATTAAGTAAAAGAAATTTAAATACAAACAAAATAATCGACAAGAAATTGGATGACGCCAAACAAATCATAATCGATAAGAAACATCAATTGTCAGAAGTTGAAAATACATTGATCTTGCAAAAGCAAGACTTGCAAAATAAGATTTTTGACATAGTTACATATATTGTGGAATTTAAACTTAAAATTCAAGATTCTCTCGAGGAAAACAAAAAGATTATATCAGGAGAACTACAGAAATTAAACATACAACAATGAAACAAAAACAGAAAAAATCAACTTGTTAGTTTTCAAAACATTTGTAATAATAATAATTAAAAAGTGAGATAAAACCATTAATGTAATGATTTTTAAGTATAGATTGTAAAAAAGAACAACAAAGGTAACCAAAAAATAGTAAATATATTATGAAAAAAATAAGAAATGCATAGAATGGTGTGGGCATTCATATATAAATGTATGAAAATACATACATCTAGATCTATATAATATCAGTAGATTGTAGAGTTGTAATTAATAATAATACCATAAGTCTAAACAACTATAAGGAGAACCCATATTAAAACTAAAACGAAATAAAAAAAGGCAACGGAGGACTAATGAAGAAGTATGAAATATTATTTTCTTACATTCTTGTAATACATTTTACGGATTAATGGATGGTGTTCCTTCAGATCTTTATTCTTGTTTGTAGTGTATTCCATATAGGCCATATCTTCACCACCAGCAAGACCAGCCAAAGAACCTTCACCTCTGAAAGCTTTGGATTTCAATCTTTTATGAGAATTACCACCACGACCAATTGAACTATCCGCATCATCCCCAATTTCAATACCTGCAGCCTCTTCATTTTTTAATAACACTTCTTGTAATAATTCTCTTCTTTCTCTGGCAGAAGCATAGGCTAAATTTGGAAGGTTTTCCATACCGTGTAGATGTGTGATAACTTTAAATGCATAACCTTGGTCCACCAAGAAGGCCTGTCTTTTTGTGGAATAATACATCTCTTGTGTATCCTTTGAAACCAAGGAGTAAAAAAATGCATTAAAACCTTCATCATTACGTCTTTTAGCTCTCAAAATTCTACCCAATCTCTGAGCTTCTTGACGACGAGAACCATAATGAGAAGAAATTTGGATTAAACAAGTAGCTTCTGGTAAATCAATAGATGTATCACCCACTTTAGATAGGAAAATAGTATTAATTTGATCATTATACTGAAAGTTTTGTAAAATATTCATACGTTCTTGTTGTGGTGTAGACCCATAAATGAATGGCTTCCCAAGTTTTAATGCATATTCTTGTAATGCATAAACATTATCTGAGAAGACAATAATCTTATCACCTCTCTTTTCATGATATTGAATCAAAAATTGGCATGCTTGAAACTTTGTTGGATTCATAATGTATAACAACATTCTTTTTCTAGCTGATTCACGTAAATACTCCTGATAAAATTCTGCTGTCATTGGACACCAGACCTCTGCACATTGGACATTTGCAATATGACCTTTTTGAGAAAGTTCCATCCAATTAGCTTCGTATAACTTGGGCCCAATTAAAAAATTCAAGTCACTAATCTTATCATCTTCTCTAACTAAAGTAGCAGTTAAACCTAGCTTAGCATGAGCAGCAATAGCAGAAACAACTCTACGGAACATAGCAGCTGGAACAACGTGTACTTCATCCAAAATAATAAACCCCCATTCTCTACCAGTTAAAAAATCCATCACTTTTTGAGAATCATGAGATCTATTTCTTGTATTAGCAACCATGGAATATGTAGAAACAACCAACCCTGATTCAGTTTGAAACATTTCTTTATTATCTGATGTGAACACTGCACAATTCTCGGGTTGTAGAGTACACCATTGTAAGAACTGCTGCCTCCATTGCATTACAGAAACAGAAGAAGTACACAGTACAATCACTGATTTTTTAATTGTACATGCAGCTGTAATACCAACTAAAGTTTTACCTGCACCACAAGGTAAAACAATGATACCACTTCTAGCACGACCGTTACCAAACATTTTGGACAATGATTTTTCTTGGTATGGTCTAATCTGTGTTGATGGTTTCAAGTCAATATCTAAATCTGGGTTACGATGATCGTTCCTAAAATCATATTCTTCTAAGACAGGGTAATCTATTTCTTGACATCTTTTCTTCACTATTTCGACCGATTCATTGGCGATTTCAAATGAATGAACTATGTCTATATCATCTTCCTCTTCTTCTCCTTCATTGTCTTCGCCTACAACGGCACTAAACATTGCTTCAACATCGTTTGAGTTTACGTTCTGATCAGTTATACCATTTTTATTATTATTATTACTATTTTTCATATTTTTATTCTTGTCATCCGTATTAGAATTGTGTTGTTCACTGTCTATTCTTAATGGACCAATAATTGAATCCTTTAATAACATTTGTAAAATATCAGCTTGTGTTGTTTCTACAAAATATCTGTTATGTTTAATGACTAGTTTAACTTTACCATAAGAAACAGTTGCACTTTTGATAAAAGTTACTATCGATTGCGCTACAGGAACTTTTGATAATCTATCTAAAACAGATATAATATCATCAGTCTCTAAACCAACTGATACAGCAGCGTATAATGAATATGCAGTAATTTTATATTCATGGATGTGCGAGGGTCTACTTATAGGTTCTGCAATAGTAACTAAAAAATCTTGAGCTTGCTCAGCCAAAGGTGAAAAACTTTCTAATATAATCCTACCATCACTTGGGGATATCCATATAGGTCTTGAAGCATGATCAGGTCTCAATTTCAAATAACTGAAGTCATGTGATCTAAACATCCCTGAGACTGTATCTGGTTCAAAATCAGCAGGAATATCTTCATTTGCTGTTTGTAACAGCGACTGATCTTTAGCTGCCATCCTATCTAATGTACCGGTATTTCTGCTGTATCTTGACCTTCTTGAACTCCCACCGTTACCATAACGTCCGCTGCCATAATTTGTGGACCTTCTGGGTTTTGGTGACTCTGGAACGTCTTTATTTGCTTCCTCCCCATATCCATAGTCATCTTCACCGTCTATGAATTCATCATTTTCCGCCACAGAGTCATCAGTGGCAGCAGATTCATCATCTGAAAAAAAATTTTGACTCATTTCAGGAAATATGCTTGCACTTCTACTTTTAACCTGAATTTTTGGGGATTCTGGTGATTCTTGAGATTCTGTCATAACGATATATATATAGGTGTATTGTGATTTATATTTTAAATTTGGTTAAAGAAAAATGTAAAAAGATAATAATATTGTAGACAAAATAAAATAAAATAAACTATAACAGAAGGTTATTTAAAAGAATAGTCTATCAGTTTTGTTTCTATTAGGTTGTTATTTTTTTTGGCGAATATATATAGATTAAGAAAAATATAAAGGTATATTAATTAATAAATGTTTAAAGGTAAATGGATATAAACTGATAAATATAATATTGCATTATTACAGGGAATGATGACTGATAATATGCACTTTTTCTTTTTTTTAAAGTGTATATCTGGAAGGCATGAGGTTGTAGTCCATATTTTGCTTACAAAGACACTATTATAAGATCAATTTTCTTCATATTGATTTCTTTCTTTTTTTTTCTTAAAATTGAAATTTTTTGATAAAGAGGAAATGGAAAAAAGTAAAAATTATGAAGGTACAGAAAGTCGAACACAAACTAAATGTTCTTTTTAAACAAGAATTATGGAATTAAAATTTAGACCCTTATGACTGTGTAATGAATGATTGGAGGACAAAGAAGAAAAAGAGAAAAAATAAAATTGCTGATATTTTGCATATATATATGTCTTAATTACTTTAATATTTTAATTATAATTTAGATAAAGCAGATTTCGAGTAATCAATTATTCTTTCTTTGCAATAACTTTCATAATTTTTGGTAAATTGAGTTTGCCTTTGAATATTACTTAGATCATTCGATTTCAATTTAAGTTGATCGTGGTTTTCCTTAATATGGAAGGAGATTCTCTCAATAATCTTATTAATGACAATATCTGGGATCTCTAAATTTAATAAGTGGTCTCCATCCTCAATTATATGTGTTTCAATACAAGATATCGAAGTTTCAATAACTTCTCGATTTTCTTTAGGTGTCCAATTTGATACTCCACCTAAAATACAACAAACAGAGGAAGTGATAAATTTTAAATTATCAATCAGCCATGCTGCTCCTGGATTTAAAGTCATATAACATAAAGTATTTTGTAATTGAGTCATTTTAGTTCTAATTTGACCCTTCTTATTAATGGGGATCATCTCAAATTCAATTATTCTATCACGTATGTCCGATAAAACTCTTGTATAAAAGCTGTCATTCTCCATAAATCGTATGTATTCTGCTTCACTGTTAAAAGTGTCCTTTGTTTTACTCCATATGGAATGGAAAAACTTTGAATGCATAGATGTGGGTGATTTGTAATTTTTTATTTTTATATGTGGCACTAATACAGGCTCAACAGTGATAATCAAATTGAAAAACTCAGAACAGAAAACCCCACAAGAGAGTGCTTGGAACCCACCCATTGAGTGCCCAATAACAATATTTATTTCATTTTGTTGAAATTCCTTTAATGATACTTTACATGCATCCTTGGCTCCATCATTCCAATCAAAATCAACTCCTAGTTTAAATCTGTTCAATTCAGCAGAATCTCCATGATTTACTTGATCCAGTAAAATGACTTTATTGATTTGCCATTGTAGACTTGAATTATTCGAATTAATTATTTGTGTTATTCGAGCAATATAATATTCCCAAATGACTCTATTCATCCCACTACCATGGAGAAATAAAAAATTGATCAAATATTTATCATTAAATGAACTCTTATCTAATATTTGTGTATATAAGTCATAAACAATATATAAAGTATCGATGCCCGGTACTAATACGCTCTTTAATTTTCTATTTTTGGCTGCTTCAATAATCTTTGTTTCAACTTTAAAATTCTTTGCAATAATGTCTTTCTGATTCATTATAAGATAGCGGATACGTTATAGCTAAAAGCAATATTAATGGATTTTTTAGTGTGTTTACCTAGCAGTGGAAAGAAGCTGGGAAAATATATTGTATAAATGTGTGTTTAGCTAAAAAGAAACAGACAAAAAAAGTAAAAAACAAGTAAAAGATTAGAAAATTTGATTGTCTCTAACATGTCATATTAATGTCAGTCTTTATTTAGTTGTTGTTGCTATTTATATAATATTGTGCCACGAATATATGTAACATCAATTTAAAACCCTTTAGTTATTTACAATTTTCTCGGAACCAAAAAAAAAAATAAAATAAAAATAATAATAAACTCCGAAGACTTCAAAATAGCTAATGACGTAAATTGTGTTAATAAACAACAAATGTGATGATATAAATACAGCATGAATAGTGAACAGTATACAAATACATCTGTGAACATCTGATATTTTGAAGATAGTGTCATAAAGATGAATAATAAACATACATGAATGAGTAAAAGGGTCCATATGAATAATAGAGAGAGAAAGAAAAATCAAATTCTCTCCTATTTAAGTTCAAATTCGACTGTTATCGTATGAACTTTATTGTTTTGTTTATTCAGTATTAGAAATTAAGAACATTGTCGCTAATATTACAGTTTTGAATGTCAAGTAATATTTGTTTTTGCTTGCTTTTATCTTATAGATATAAATATCTTAGTCGTTATCACTTTCAGTTTCAATATCGGTTTCCTCTGGATTTGTATCATTTTCATCTAAACTTTTTGGTTTTTTTTGTTTTTGTGGCGAGGATAAAGACATTAAAGTTTCAACTACCTCCTTTTCACCCTCAACAGGTTTACCATATCTATCTAACTTTAATGTTTTCAGTTTATTAAAATTACTCTGATCATTATTGTCGTTGCTATTGCCCCACTTCAAAGGAGATGTGTTTTTTGGTATTTCTCCGTTCTGTGACTTTTTGCCAGGTGAAGCCAAAGCTTGTAGAAAAGCCAAATGTGCCGATGTTGTACTGTCTTCCATAGATATACCTTTACTGTTTTCAATCGTACCAGGTAAGTTAGTATTATATTTGTTGTTAAATTGCTTTATTGAATTAAATGTTTTGCGACTATTCTGAGGTTGATTTGATGGAATAAAATCATCACCATTTCCATATGCAAACTGATTTACATATGAAGAGGGAAATGCGTTATTGTTAATGGATGTATTTGATGGTTTTCTCTTAATGGGACTTTTAAACTTTTCAGGACTTTTAACCAATTTTGTTGTTATTCCACTATGATTGTTGTGATCCAAAGTTTCTTCCAATTCAGGTAAAGTTTTATCGACCCAACCATTTTGTAATTTGACAAAAGCATAATTTAATCTTGTTTTTAAATCATTAGAGATTTCTCGAATTGGTTTTGTGTCCTTTGTAATTAATGAACTATTGCCATTTGGTGATTTCAATTTAGGAGAAGGAGATAAAAACATTTCAGTATTTCTTGTCTTTGGAGTAGTAGGTGGTAATAATCTATATTTATGTACAGGTGAAAGGGTGTGACTATGGCCATGGTTATGATTATGTGTATATGTATATGGAGATAACATACTTTCTGGTTTATGGGAATGTGGTTCTTCCGTATTATTATCTTCATCCTCTAGGTGAATCAAACGGGTCTGTATAGGAGTAGCTAAAAAACTTGGATTATATCTGGTTTGGCTTTGCTTATCTCTTGGAGGTGAAGGTGTAGATAAGAGGTTCTTCTTTTCGTGGATTGACAAGTCTGTCTGCCCATCACTTGAATTTTGTTCATCCATTGATATCCTTCTTGATCTACTTCTTTCCGGGGTAGTAATGAGATCCATCTTTTTCTTTTTTTTTTATATTTAATTATTTTTATATTGAGTATTGTGTGTTAATAATAACAAAATTTCCAAGTTTGTAATTAATACACGTATAATAAAAACAGTACTTTTAATTCTTATGATTACTATAAATATCGTACTTTGTTTGAAAGTAATGTTTATTAGCTTATATTTCTTTATTCTTTTTTTTATCAATTCCAGACGAGATTAAAAGAAACAAAACTCAATTCAGTTCAAAGTAAATCAAATCAATTCAGTTTTATATATAGAAGTTAAACATTTAAATGTAGGTGCTTGAAATAATAATAGACTGAGACAACACCCACTCTCAACAGGGATATGACAAATAGAAAAGTACTTTTAAAAGGATTTTGGACTAACTAATCCTTCCTGTATATTTTGTTTACAAAAGTTAATCTATTCGCTTTCCTTTCTTTCCGTTTGTTTTTTCTTTTTTTTGTCCTTTTTCCCTTTATTTTTTTTTGTTTTTTATATCACATGTTTTGATTTCCTATTTAGGAAAGTATGTTCCTTCTTTTTTCCCGCTTACTTTTTTTGTATTTACAGTGTCACAATATTACAGCGACATAGACAGTTTGATGGATATTGGTATAGGTTATATTGATACATAGCATGACACTCTGTCAGAGTCTATACACATACATACATATATATATATATATATGCTTTTACAAATAGATGGGATATATATATTGTTACAAGTTTAATAGTCTGGTCCTTCTTTTCTTTACCGTGGTAGTATTGATATTTGTTGCTGACAGGGATTCTTGTTCCTCATTGTTCCCAAGTTTGTTTCCAGTCTCACCATCAGACATTAATTGGTTGATATCGTGTTTATCACATACTGTTATATTATCATTGCACAAGAAGTAATCATTTCTGATGACTTCATGACATAGAAAACATGTTAAACAACGAACATGGAACCTTTCTTCTTTGTCATTTTCAAGACATTCACCTTCAATAAAAATATCACATATCTTACATATTGTATTATTAACTATATGATAATCCATTTGACAATATGGTTCGTCATTCAATATGTAACATGGATTAGATTTGTTGAATTTTTGATTGCACTTAATACACTGGAAACAATCACGATGCCATTGTCCAGTCAATTCTTTAGCAAATCTCGCATTGAATGTGATTTCCTTATGGCACATTCTACATGGTCCCTCTCCAGTCTTATATTCAACCTTTAATGGTGGTACTGTCGTGGGTGTCATTGTTGTTGTAGTTGTTATTGGTTCTATAGCCTCTCGTATTTCTTCTATATCACTAATAGGTAATCCAGATAAATAATAGCTTGACTTTTTTGGTCTTTCTGTATTACCAATATTATTATTAGCCAATAGTAACCCAGGAGACGAAGAAGAAGAAAAAGAAGAAGTAACACTACTTAGTAAATTCAGCTCATTTTCTTTTGGCAATGCGCTATTATTTAGTTGGTCAATCAATTCATTTATTTTGTTAGATTTTGTGTTTTGTACAGTTAGGCGTAGTGGTTTAACAGCCTGTAATTCTTTGGAACTTTTATTTATATTTATTAATGATAGCAGTCTAGTCTCTGATGTATTACTCATATCGTTATTTAATGAATTTTCATCTATAGACTTCTCATCCTTGATATCATCAATTTCTCTATTATTTGAAGATGATAGATAGGTAGAAGTAGAATGTGAGATATCAGCATCAACGCCATTATCATCATTATCGTTTTTTTGTTTTCTCTCTACCACGCCCTCACCATTTTGTATATTTGATAATTTAGAATTAATATCATCAATTATTAGATTATTTTGTTTACTAAATTGATTCTGTAAATCCTTCTCCAATTCAATTTTAGAACTAGCATTTACATTTGGATTAGGGTTAGGACTACCACCAAACGCTTGTTTACTATTTATTGAAAAGTTTATTTTCAAATTAGATATTTCATTCTCCAAATCTGAGGTATTTCTAGTATCATTCAATTCATTTGAGCAAGAATCGTTCCCAGAAATATTTTTGATATCTTTATCATCACGATTATTCTTATTACTCTTAGTATCAGTTTTATATTTATTATTCTCAAAATCAAATAAAGAGTCATCATGAGATGTATTTATATTTGAATTGTTTGCAGAATCAGAGTCAATATTATTTGAACTACCTAAAGAGTTAATACCGTTAGTAATTACAATATCTTTATTATTACGATATTTATCAGTGTTATAAGGGATGTGATCATTTGTGAAATTTTTATTAGAAAATTCAAATTTTTTTTTGTTCTTCGACCTCAAATTTGGTGTAGATTTACTTGTTCTTAATATACCGTTATCTTTATTTTTGTTTGTGTCATAGATAACATCAAAGCCTGCTCTCTCTAAGACTGTCTTATACCTAACATTGGGATTTAATTTAGGAAATGGCGAACTATACATAGACACATACATGGTACCTCGTAAAACTCATACACACGCATATATATATATATATATGTATGTATGTATGTATATGTATGTATATGTATTTATGTATTCTTTTTAATATGTGTATAAGCTTACACGTGCTTGAAACTATCGGATATTCTTTAAGCCTATAGTCAATTACTAAATAGTATGAAGAACCAGCCAATACAAAGAACAAGATCAAATAGGTCTAAAGAAAGGAAAGAAAGTAAAAAAGAAGAAAATCAAATATGATAACTCACTGGACACTAGGTTTATTAAATGTCGAGAAGGGAGATGAGGAAATGGACAATTGTTGAACATTCTCAATGAGTATTTAGCACTTTACTTGGAAGATCGCTTTAATATCTTTAGATATATTCTTGTATTTTTATCGGTTTATGTATTTCAATTCGTTCTCAACCACGAAAAAGCTAAAAAGTAAATACCAAAAGACAATAGCTTTTCAATAGTAAATAAACACGACGCGAATGACAAAAAAATTTTTTTTATCACTTTGTTTTTTTTTTTGTTTTGTTTTTGAGAGAGAGAGAAAGGACAAATAAGCAGAGATATAATTATCAATACTTAGGTATTTTAATTACACGTGCTCTATAGATATGTCTGATAGGTAACACAAATGTTTAGAAAGTATGTATAATTTTGATAGTAGTTATTCTATGCGTATCAAAAGAAAGAACAAATCAGGCAAGAAATATTTGTCTTAAAAATAACATGATTAGAAGTATTAAAAGCTGAAATGCCTGTCCATACCAGTGCTTTATCAAATTGATTGTTTATTGTCTTTCCTTAACAAAGAAAATTATCAAAAATTGATAAAATTAGATGGATGAAACAGCAAAGTCATAAGTAGGTGAAACCTTATTGTGGATGAAATAAATTGAAATTTTATAATGGTTGTCTTGTATTACCTGTAGGATTTCAGTTCGGCATTGGAACATCGTTATCCAGTTATAATATAATTGTGGATTCATGATGTTCCTCTCTTTTAATATTTTCTCTTGAAAAATATTACAACCCTATTTTATTTGTAAGGGTAAGCTCTAAATATTTGTTCCTGATATTCTAACCCTAGATGGTTATCAGGAAAATAAGGGAAGAAAAAGAAATTTTTAATATTTCTTCTTTTTTTATTTTTACTCTTTTATTTTCTTCCCCTCTTAAATGTTTATTGTTGCATACAGAATTGAATGTGATATTGGATTAGGTAGTTTAAATACTAATGTAATAGTTATCTGCAGTAAGTAAAAAATTATACTTGATGAATGCTTTTAATAACTACTTGTGTTTCAAACCGGTTGTGTAGTATAAATCATATTTAAAAGAAAATACAAAAAAAAAAAAGCAAATACTTATGGGTATATAGATTGTATTAATGTGTCATATAAAGGTTAACATCACTATACTATAATTTATTTTTAGAAAAAGAGAAAAGAATCCAAGTGTATTGTTGGTTGAAAATCAGGTACATAGAGAAACATGTTTGAACAAAATCAGAAAAGTTCATATCCTGTTACACAATATCTTATCGAAAGATTCTATTCTTCCAATAATGACTTGATACCCAATGGACCTAACTTGTTGGATCATCGGAATAGTGACCAGTTGTTTAAGGTCTTAATCAGCACGGATAATATAAATAACAACAATACTAGTACAATCACGACAAATGATGATATATGTGAGGAGGAACAGGAGGAAGAGGAATTCAATGAAATAATTTTACCCTCAAATTCTAAATTATCTAGATTTCTAGTTAAATGCAATGAATATTTATTCCTTGGTAAAAATTCGTATGGTTTTGAAAAAGATCTATTGATTAAGGATTTGCAATGGGAAAGACAAAATTCTATTTCTTATGATCAATGGAAATTAACGTCTCTAAAATTAGATGAATTAACAGGTAGAGATCGATGGAAATTAAACATGAAATCTGATCTGTATGATTATGAACTTATTAATCAATTGACTGAATCTATGAAGAAATTTAGATTGGATAAAAATTATTCCGAATTATTGTATTTAATTAGAACCAATTGGAAAAGAAATTTGGGCAATTTGGGCAACGTAAATCTGTATAGGCATTGTAACATTGGAACTAAGAAAAAGATTGAAGATTATTTAGAAGAGTCTGAATTAAGTATCAAATGTTTGTTGGAACAAAATGAATTGGATGACAATTATCTTTTAGGCATATTACAACAAACAAAGAGAAATATTGGTAAAACAGCTTTGATGCTTAGCGGTGGTGCTACATTTGGACTTTTTCATATTGGTATTCTTGCTGCTCTATTTGAAGCTGAATTTATTCCCAAAATCATTAGCGGTACTAGTGCAGGTGCCATTGTAGCCAGTATATTTTGTATTCATACAAAAGATGAAATTCCATCACTGTTAGCGAATGTATTAAACATGGAATTCAATATCTTTAAAGATGAAAGAGATAAGCCAAGTAGTAGTGATTTTTTGTTGAAATTGTCAAGATTCTTGAAAGGTGGATCATGGTTCGATAATAAACATTTAAAAAATACAATGATTGAATTTTTAGGCAATTTAACTTTCCAAGAAGCTTATTTCAGAACAGGTAAAATTTTAAATATTACTGTATCTCCTGCGTCCATATATGAGCAGCCAAGATTATTAAATAATTTGACTGCCCCTAATGTTTTAATCTGGTCTGCTGTATGTGCATCTTGTTCTGTTCCTGGTGTTTTTCCTGCTACCCCCTATTTGAAAAGGATCCACAAACTGGTAATATAAGGGAATGGTTGGGTAAAACATCAGCTAAATTTGTCGATGGTTCTGTAGAGAATGATTTGCCTATCCCTCGGTTGTCAGAGATGTTCAACATTGATCATATAATCGCGTGTCAAGTGAATCCACATGTATTTCCTTTATTAAAATTATCAGTTTCATGTGTTGGAGGTGAAATACAGAATGAAATCAGCGCAAAATTTAAACAGCATTTGACTAATGTCTTTAAATATATGAATAATGAAGTTATTCATGGATTAGATATGTTATCTGAATTTGGTATAGCAAGAAATGTTACAACCAAATTAGCATCAGTCCTCTCACAACAATATTCGGGTAACATTACAATATTACCTGACTTTTCAATGTTAAATCAATCATATGAATTATTGAGAAATCCATCACGCTCTTTCTTATTAAGAGAAACGACTTTGGGAGCTCGTGCAACATGGCCAAAATTATCTATGATTAAAAATAGTTGTGGTCAAGAATTTTTATTAGACAAAGCTATTACCTATTTACAGGCAAAATTACTGATGTCTTCTTCGATAAAAAATCCTTTGCAATTTCAGGATGCATATAATTTAATTAAATTGACTGATAAAGCTCACATTGTACAAAATCAGGCCTCGAAAATAGGGCTCAATCAAGATCCGAATTTATTAGATGATAGTTTAATAGAATCTGAAAATAAAGATTCATTATTATTTATTCAAAACACTAATTTAGAAGATTTATGGAAAAAACATAGAATAAGATCCATGAGCTTAAGGCTAAATTCAAATGTTCAACCATTGTCAACACAAAAAGGGAAGTTGATGCTATATTATCCAAAAAGGCCTAGATACAATAAAGCTTTGTCCTTCTCAGGTAAAAATAATACATTTGTTGATAATCGTAAAAGAGCAGATACGACAACTAATACAATTATCGATATCCGTGATTACCAATATTATCATGCTAATCATAACTATGCAAGAGTAGATTCCGCATCAAGGATAAAGACAAATATTGATGATCCAGATAGTTCATATTCAAAAAATATTGATGGTAATACAAATAATTTGGCTCAGTATGATTCAACAAAAACAGGCTACGTTGATCGCACCGTAGATTCGTTTATAAATAGTAAAGGTAAAAATAACTAAATACGTATATTTATATAATGAAATAATTTGATAGAGATATGTTATGTTTATAGATGGAACAATGTTATTTTGTTTTCTTTTGTCTATTAGCAACACGATACATTCATACATATAATAATTATTTTGCAAAGACTATTTGTACTTAAAAGAGTTGACACCAAATTGTTTCCATGTTTCTCGTTCGTAAACACAATCAATTTTTTTAACATAACCTAATGCTTTGATGGAATTGATTGTTATATGTGAAATTGAACTACATCCATCTACCACTAAATGGTCTAAGGGTTCCTTATTTTTAATTTCATATAATTTAGATATAAATTCATAAACGGATACCCCTGTAATTGACATATTTAAAGACAAATCTAAAAGTTTCAATTTTTGTAAATCTGGTACTTGTAATGCTAACATATGCAGTGATTGATCATTCAAAGAACTCAATTGCGGTAATCTAAGTTCTTCTATATTATCAAATTCATGGAAAAAATCAAAAGGTGAAAATACATTTGAATTGTAATCATTTGGATATTGTTGCATATGGATATATGGGCAATCTCCAATGTTTAAAGATCTTAATGTTTTAGAAGATAAAGACGCTACAAGTCTATGTAATCCTGTCCCGCTAATTGATGTACCCATTAAATCTAGTTTTCTTAAGCTTGACAGATTATGTTTGTAATGGTATAAATTTTGAATTGGAATTGCTTCCATATCTATCTTTGGAAATATTTGATTTTCTCTAAACACTAATACTTCTAATGAACTATTTTTAAATATATGCTCTCTTTTGAACAGATTTAAAAGATTTGATAATTTACTATTATTATTATTCTCCAACCACAATTCTTTTAAAGAAGGGAATTTTCGTAACCATTTAAAGTCCTCAGTATTAGAACAAAATGTGACACCAGTTATATATAACTTAGTCATCAAATCATATTTGATGTTACTAATGGACGTAAAAAAATTTTTTGTTGGAAAATTCTTAATCTTTTTAGAATCACATATAAGTGTATAGCTTTGTAAATTTGGAGACCAATTATTATTAAGTGATTCAAGATCGCTATTTTCACTGTTATTACTATTATTTTGAGTTGGATGATTAACTGGAACAACGGCAGAATCAAATATCAATTCCAAATTAGTTAAATTATTAAAATAATTTAATAATTTAATTTCATATGGTTTATCTGATCGAAGACTTATAGTTAATGATAACTTCATTATATTTTGGCAAAAATTATCATTTGGCACAATATACCTAACAATATGTGACGTTGCGCAATTAGGTACAGATAGGATTAATTCATCACATCGATAATTTTGTAGCATTGTAAACAGTTTTTGTAATAATTTAGGTTCATCAGATGCTAAACGGCTTGATAGTTTTAAAGAGCGGAGCCATGGTGTGGCATTTTTTTCCGATAGAGATTTGGAGTACAGTTTTGTGATAAAATTATGAAATTGAAGAAACAATTTATTTGTTACTGACTTCAATATAAAATCTTGAAACCAATTTGAATAGTTAGTCATCACAATCCATTTATAATTATGAGATACTTGACACAAATGAATTAAATCCTTTACACTTAGACAATTCAAAATGTACTGTAATAATTCTAAGGGTAAAGATTCTATAAAATCAATTGTTTTACTACGATGTTTAGTATCTTTTGAATTGATTATGGTAGAATATATGTTTCGTTTATGAGACAAAGACAATTGTCTTTCTCCTTCATATATGTTATCTTTTTGTTGCTGTTTCTTTAATAATGACTGATGTTCCTTTATAGGATCAATAAAACTACGTTGTGAAAAAGTCTTTTTATTTTCTTGTTTTGATGCATCTGTTCTCTGAATTCTCTGTTTAACTAAACTCATTTGATATTTAACAATATTAACTAGTCTTTTAGACACATTAATATTGTATTCTTTGGATACTTCATTAAGTTCTTTTAACCCCCTTTGATAATTTTGGTAAGCATCTTGGTCTCGAAACAATTTCTGTAAAATTTTACCATGTCGAATATAACAAATCAAATTAAATGGTTCTTTCTTAATCATTTTACTACTGATCTTTAATGCTTTTTCCAGTTCGCCTAATTTTTCATAACATGCAGCAATATTGTCTAATATTTTGATTAATTGTGGGTGTACAATTGGAACATTAGGTATATCATAATTGACCAAACCATGCTTTGCTCTAATCTGAATAATATCTTCTTCTGAATATGATTTGATCAGCCAAAGAGTCTTAATAAATAGATTTTTTGCTTCCTTATACTGTTCATTTTTGAAGAAGGTGATACCAAGTGATATAGCATTGTCTATTGGACTGCTCATCTTTTCATTATTCATATCTCTTTCTTTTCTTTGGTTTTTAGTCAGTTAATGCTTTTTTTATGGTTATCTACATGCAACTGTGTAAGAAGTTATTGGAATACACTAATGAATCCGTTCTAACCCTTATTAATTTGTGAATGTATGTCTGTATCGATGAATAGATTCCTGAATTCGCTTGCGTAGAGTTAATTAAGTAATTATTATGTATTTATCTAACGAGAAAATTGAAGACGCAGACAATCTTAATGTTTACCAAAATGGTTAATGTTCCTATGTATGGCAGATACACATGTATAAAACCCACAGAAATGTTCATTTTATGATTTGATAATCTCAAATTAGTGATTATTATCAAAAATTTAGACGCTAACGTTTCTTCTTAAATTTGTTTTGTATCAATGTGTATAAATTCACTATCAAGATACAAAACAACGAGAATAAAGTTAAAAGTGATATAAGTCGACTAAGGTAGTAATAAAATATAAAAAATTTTGTTTTCGTGAATTATGGTTGGCATTGGTGATGGTATTTTTAATGCATTAGTAGTTTCAATATTATTGTTAGTGATCACATTCGTTATAGGTCTGTTACCATTATTCTGGCTTTCAAAAAAAGGTTTGAACTTTGAAGTTATCAATAATGATAATATCAATATTGAAAATAATACTCCCCTAGATCATCAACAAGAACTATATGTTCAAATATTGTCTTATTTTGGTGTCGGAATGTTATTAGGAACATCTTTTATGTTGGTTATTCCAGAGGGTGTAAATGAATGTTTGGCCAATGACGGTAATGTTGGATTGAATTTGTTAATTGGGTATCTAATAGTGTATGTATTAGATAGGTTCACTGGGCTTATCCTAAACAGAAATGAATTGTCTATTGAAGAAAGTTATCCTGGTTCTATCAGTAATATAACAAATTCGATAAGATTGGCTTCTTGGAAAGATATCTTTAAACATCCAAAACAAGTACTTCTAAACATTGTGAAAAATAATGTTGTCTTTGCACTCTGTATCCATGGGTTATCAGATGGGGTAGCTTTAGGTAGTAGTATTAATAACCAATCAGTGTTAATTGCTATGTTGTTGGCTATTGTAATACATAAGATTCCAGCTGTTTTATCCTTGAGCAGTTTAATGATTTCAAGACAAAATCTGCCTAAATGGGAAGTTATAGTCAATTTATTTGCATTTGCTGGTTCAACTCCCATCGGTTATGTAATTCTATCATTATTCAATTTACAACAGTTAGAGACTATGAATTGGTTAAGTGGGAATTTATTATTAATGAGTGGTGGTAGTTTATTATATGCTGCCTTTACAGCTTTTTCCTCTTCTGATGAAGAAAATGGTCATACTCATATTTTTAATAAGTATGGGTCACCTTCATATGATAATACTATCAAGAATAACGACTTTAAAAATGATAATATTCCAATTGATGAATTAGTTGACGTAAGAAATTATAAGATAGTTGAAAATCAATCATCAATTCGATCAAGTGATCAAGTTAATACTAGATTTTATGATTATAACCATGATAATTGCACAAATATGAACAATAATTCAAAATTGAAATATGATAAATCTGTTTATATATTATGTGGCATTATATTGCCAGTCATAATATCCTTTATTATAAGAGAATGATGATTAATAGAGAATTAAAATGAGCATGAAAAAATTAACTCTAATGGATAATAGAGCTTATATAGTAAATATGAGAAATTAATGCATTAAAAAAATAAATTTTGTATAGATGAATATCATTGATTCTAGGTATATATAAAAGAAAGACACGAATGAAAGTGTATCAATTCATATAAAATACTTATTTTCTATTTAATGATTTTCTTTTCAGCCATCTATCCTTTGTAATCATAACTTCGGTTTCTTTCTTTGGAGCCATGACTTTAGATTCAATACCAGAAGACAAAACTTCGACAGTGACAGGGCCTTTCTTTGCCACTTTTTTCTTAAATTTCTTAAAGTCTTTTTTTACCTTTTTTCGTTAATTGATCATTAATTTTTTTAATTATTTTTTCTTCTTGTAGACTTATCTTTTTATTCTTCATATATTCATCCTTATCACTCTCAATATGTTCTTCTTCATCATTAAAATTGATATGTCTTGACCTATTTATTGAGTTTATTATTTGGGGTTGACTTTCTTTATCTAAATTTATGTTATTGTTTATATTCTGAAGGAATTCTTCAGACAATTCTACCAAACCACCTTCTTCCTCGTCCTGCTTTTCTTGTGCTTTCTCCTTTTGTTGTTGCTCGATTTTTAATTTCTTTTCTAATTGTTGTTCCTTAAAAATCGTGTTTTGTTTCCTCCTTTTCTCCTTTAATAATCGTTGTTCTTCTTTAATCAACAATTGTTGTTCTTTTTCTCTCTTTTCTAAATCAGCTCTAGCTTCATCCATACCTTCTTCTTCTGGTGCATCATTGTCACTGTCGCTGTCACTGTCACTGTCATAAAATTTCTTTTTCTTATTCTTATTCATATTTGTATCTAAATCAGTAATAGTGGAAATGATATTACTGGATATATCATCATCATCATTAAACTTAACATGTGTCTTTTTTGAACCTGACATCTTTTTTTTTCTTTTTTTTTTTGGAGGGGAGGTTAAAAATATTTCTATGAATGTATGGCTATTCGTTGCTTAACGAACCTAAATATACATTCAAATCAGTTGTACCATAAAGAATTCGATTTAATTATTCAAATATTATATATTCAATGATTTATCTACATATTCTCTCTTTTTGTATGTTAGAAGGTTAGATTGCATCAAAAACGAAGAAAAAAAATTTTTTTTTGATTTTTTCAGAATTTTGCGATGAGATCGAAGAAATCCCTCGAGGTATAAAAACAGAAAATAAAATAAAAATGGCTGTATACTGTCATGCTATCTAAGATAGGAAGGACACGATGGTATTAGCTAAAATGTTGGATGATGCTTAAATTGATGGCAAATAATTTGAGAACTCAGATAGAATATACATAATTGGTACGGTTGTGTTAGCTGTTTAATACGTTCTTAATCAAATACATTTTTTGCTGCTTTGTGTTTCCTCTGGTTTGGTTTGCTAACTTTCTTTGCATTAGTTGGTCTGATTGACAACGACATTTGGATATTATTGTCTAATATTATTTCATTATTATTATTAGTGACAGTCGTAACGTTATTTGTTTGATTATCTCCTTCTGCTTGTTCTTTTCCCTTTTCTTTTCTCTTTATTTTTTCTATTTGTTTTTTTAGTAACATACTCCTGATTTCCTGTTCATCTTTAGTATTATTCTCTATTTCATTGATTCTTTGTTGTCTGAGTATATTCTCTTTTGAACGATCTACATAACTAATTTGTAGCTGGCCCATGTCTATATCATTATTATTATTATTTTCAAACCTATCATTTTCTTCTTCGTCTAGTCTTACCCTAATTTTACCATTTTTGCCCAAATATTTAATAAACTGACTTAGTGATTTAAAACATGTAGAATTCATATGGATATGATTCTTATCTTGGATAAATTTATTATAAAATCTATTGGCTTCAATCCATTTTTCTCCATGTGACAATTTTAATAGACTAAGAAAACTTGATTCAAATAACTTGCTGAACTTGTCAATATCTTCTTGTGTAACATTATTGATTTTCTTTAAATGCGAAGATGACTTGATATGTGATCTAAATCCATTATCATCTCTGCATTGTTTACGACATACTTGGCAATAGTATTTTAATTTCTGTAATCCACGTGATTTCATCTGTTTATTCAGATATTTGGCGGTATTAAAATCTGACATCTTGTGTGTAAAGTTCTTGCCGTTTTAAAAATTAACCTTTATAAACTTATCTTTTGGTTATGGTGGAAATGAGTGTGTGTAGGTTTCTTTACACTCATTGATATGTATAAGTATTGTTATTATTATCACATCTATCATTTGTAAATCAGATTGGAATCTTTATATATATTAGAAAATCAGGGAAAAAAAATACAAAATACATATATAGACAAAATACACAAAATATACAAACATTTAAATTTTTGACGTTGTTGAAAGAGTGAAATTGTTTAATCCTTATGGTGACTAGATGCATGAATAAATATGGAAATAACAAATTTATGTGATCACATTATAATTTGTTGTTCCAGATAATTATAGAATAAAGGTTAAAATTATATTCATAATGAATGTTGATGATATGAATAATTCTAATCCCCCTCCCATGTCAAAATTGGAACAATTGGCAAGGAAGAGAGCTCAACAAAGACAACAACAGCAACAAAATATTAATCAAGTAAATAATTTAACTGCTATAGAAAAAAAACTGTCGTTAAAGGATAAATTAGTTGCTTTAAAGGAAAAAAAACTAGAAACTACTCAACAATCAATTACAAAAGGATCCACACTTTTACAAAGTCTAAAAGACAAAAAAATATTAACTAATACTATTGGGAAGACTGATAAGACCAATAATTCAACTATTGTAATAGAACAACGAGCATCACAACCAAAAAATGAATTCAGTTTATCTACAAGATTACAAAAAAGCACTGTAAATAATATTCTCACTACAACTGATAAGAATGATAAATTTTCAAGAATAACTGGTTTAAAAACATCTAATTCTTCGTTGAGTTCCAAATTGGATCATATTAGGAAAAGAAAACAAGAGGGCAAATTGGAGAAAAATATATCTTCATTGTCTAATAACCAAATAGCCTTAACTGATCAAACTAATAATAATGAAAATAATGAAAATAATAATTATGACAACAACAACAACGACTCTATATCTGGAAACTCACAATCTAACTTATTGATCAATATAAATTGGAGTAAATTTGATAAACTAACAAAAAAATATTCCATATCAGCTGATTCTAACTTATCTTCAACTACCAATAAAGGTCAGTTTATAAACTTTATTCAACAGAAAAGTGATGTAGCAAACAAGAATTACATAACTATGACCCAAGCAATTAAGAGGAAATATACTGATATCTTTTCTATCTTTGAACCATTAGATTATGTTAAAAGACAGAAATATAGGCAAAATTTCATGGAATCAAGTCCAGATGATATAATTCTTGAAGTGCAATCCAAAGCGTTTGATGATATGAATAAGAAAATATCAAAACTAAATATTTCTAAAAAAAATAATATTGACGATAATGATACAGAATTACAGTTACCAATTAAATCAAGGACAATGTTAGATATTCATCAATATTTATTAGTGAGACCTAATAATTTAAGAATTTCAATACTAGGTCATCATCTATCAGGGAAATCGACGCTTATGGGAAGACTACTAATGGATTTTAAAAAAGTTGATATTGAAACGATAAGAAAATTGAAAAATCTATGTAACAGAAACAAAATTGAAAACAAGCATACCTATTTAACTTGGTTATCCGATGATTTATCTATAGAAAGATCAGTTGGCTATTCAGAGATATTACATAAACATGATATTTGCATTAAAGGTTATGGGAAATTTACCTTTTTTGTGAATCCAAGCAAACAGAATGTTAACTCAGAATTGATAACACAAATGTTTAATAACGATATTGTTATAATGGTTATAGATTGTTCACCAGATGGGTTTGAAAAAGGTTTTAATTTAAATGGACAAACAATTGAATTTTCTATATTAGCTAAATTTTGTGGTTGTAAACACATTATTGTTGTTTTAAATAAGATGGATACTGTTGATTGGTATCAAGGTAGATATGATGAAATTGTAAATGAATTGAAGACATTTTATGATACAATAGGATTTCATCAGGAAGACATATCCTGGATACCTATTAGTAGTGTTACTGGTGATGGGATAGTTAATAAAAATACCTTATCAGATTGGTATCAAGGTTTGTCTCTTGTAGAAACCTTAAAAAAGAAGATTAAAGAATTTTCAAAAGAAGATCACAAAAGTCAACAATCAAAGCATAATAATGTTTTGGATATAAGTAACACTAACGTCTCAGTGGGGGATCAAAGGAGTCCTGAAGATGAGTTTTATTCTCTTTCGATTAAAGACATCGACGTATCTAAGAATGAAATAACAGGATGGATTATAAACGGTTGTATTCAGGCTGGTGAATCTATTAGAATATATCCCTTATCCAAAAATTTCCTAGTTGATGAGATTAAAAATGATACAGACGAAAAGCAAATTGGGTTCCCAAGTTCATTTGTAACGATGAAGTTACTTTCGTCGACATCTAGAAATGAAAAAGGTTTACTTGATAACATTGAGATTGGAGATTTTGTTACATCACTTTTGTCACCAGTGACATTAATGAACTCAATTACTATAAAATTAGAGATGATAACTATTTTAACAAATCTAACAATTGGTATGAAGTTAATTATTAACAGACAAATGTATACTAATACAGTAAAAATATTAAAGATGAATAAAGTGAATAGTAAATCCATAATCGTTATTGAATGCGAACTTTCAAGGCAAGATACGATACCATATTTCGAATCAGTGAATGAAAGAGAAAATCTTATTATCATTAGAGTTTCAGGGACCAATAAAATTATTGGTTTGGCCAAGTTAATTAAATAGTAATACAGATAAGTATTAAAAAAAAAAAAATTAAAAATTAAAGATTCAAGAACAATGAAAAATATAATTGATTTCTTTTTTTTTTATGAAATGAATTATGTTACAGTGTATTTTTAGATATATATTTTATCTATTTATGCAAGAATTCTATATTTATGTGATAATCTATATAAAATTTTATTTATTTACTTTTCTCTTTGGTACATTTAGCTTTTACTTTCTTAGTATTAGTTCTTGATTTATCTAGTAAATCAAATACAGATAAATCATCATCACTAAATCTAAAACTAATAGTTCTATTTTCTTTATTATTATTTCTGGGCTCTTGATAATGGAAGGATGAGGATAATGATCTAAATGATGCTGATGATGAAGCAGAAGATAAAGAAGGGCTTGTTGTGGTTTTATTCCATTTGTCATAGATATCTAAATCTTCTGCGTCATTGTACAAATCATTAATAATTGCAGTTTTTAATAATTTTTTTTTATTATTTTTAGTTATTTGTTTCCCCGGTTTATTTTTGTTTGTAATATCAGATAGTATTTGATTGGAAGAATTACTATTATTATTATTACTGGAGCTTAATTTACCTGATGTAAAAGGTTTAGACGAGGAGACAGAAATGGAGAAAAAGGGAGAAGAAGAAGGAGAAACCAAATTTTTATTAGATTTAAGATCAAAAGTATGTTTCATTTTTAAACATTCACCTTTGGTAAGATTTACTCTTTTATTAGTATTGTTTTTTTTATCTCCCATATTATCTAATATGCTATTTATATCTCTTTTTTTTGATGGTTTATTTGTAGTAAGTTTATTTGATTTTACCTCTTGAGTTATAGCATCAGGATCTTCAGAGAATGTTTCAGCAGAATCCTGCGGGAGATCGTTGTATATTTCAGTTTTCTTTCTCAAAGCTGTACTCTTTGGATTTGAGGCTATAAGTTTATGTTTATCAGGATTTATAATCACCGATTGATCAGTACAAGGGATACTTTGTTGTAGTTTTGTACTTTTATCCTTAGAAAAATTAATTTCCTCTTTTTTAAGTTTATCGTTAGCTTTATATTGATTTGAATCCGAAACTATTTCATCAGCCATATGTTTCAGAGGTGGAGTTGTTGGCTCTTCTTTAACTATTGTATTTTTGTTCAAACTTACTTCATATTCGTGTATATCATTAACAATGGTAGCATCTACTAATTTTTCTGTAGGTCTTCTCATTTTGGCTCTTAATGAGGGTAATTTATAATTAACAACTTTCCCCCTTGTGGACCTTCTTAATGATCTACCTTCTAAGACAGGTTGTCCAGATGAAAACGAGTTTTCTTTTGAATGTTTAATTTTATTTATATCTATATCAGTGTCAATATTAGGTGTTGTATTGGGCATTATATCGTCTTTTGAAATTGATTTTTTTGTAATCTTTTGAGTCCTTGGAGGATGTTTCTTGGTACGTTTGCGCTGATTTTTTTTTGTAATAGATTCAGATGGAGTGGCAGGTTGTTTATAGCTATCGTTTGATTGTGCTATGGGAATGGGGATACTAACATCTTGTACTTTTGTGTTATTTTTCTTAGTATCATTCTGTTTACTATTATCCAATTTTTCTTCTGGTTCTTCTGGAATTGAATAATCCAAAATAGAAGGACTAGATCTATCACTACTACTATTGCTGTTACTGCTATTATTATTATTATTATTATTATTATTATTATCAATATTAAATGCATCTTGATCTATTGAATTATCTGGATGTTTCAAGATTGGAATGGAAAATTTCTCAATATAATTATCTGGGGATTGTGAGATAGGATTATTTTGAATATCATTATTTATTGAAGGTAAGTCATCGCTTTGAATAAACATAGATTTTCTTCTATTTCTTTTTTTTGAAGGAGTCAACAGAGAATTAGATGGATTAGGCATGCTATGGTTATTATTATTATTATTATTATCAGGATGATATTTATTCCAAAGTGGGTTTAAATTGATAGATAGATGCTCTCTTTTTCTTATATTGTCAAACATGAGAATAATTTCATCGAATCTTTTAAACATTCCATATTCCAAGATATTAATCTGTTCATTTAATGTTTTTTTATATTGTAATTCATTGATTGAGTTTTGTTGTTTTAAATTTAAATTCTCTCTTAACAGATTATTTAATCTTGATTCCAATTCATTGATTTTAATTTTGAGTAAATTATTTTCTTTGGCAAATTGAATATTCTGTTGCAAATGATTCATGAATTTTGTATCTTTTCTTTCCTTTTTTATATGAAACAAGTTTTCTAGTTCTTGAATGGGTATATTTGTGGGATATTTCTTATTAGGGGTAGTAATAGTGGTAGTAGTATTACTAGTATTACTAGTAGCAACACGACCAGTATTATTCTTTTGTTTGTCATTACTTTGTATTGAGAATTTATCAGGACTTAATTCATCTGGAAAGGAAGTTCTTCTAGGTCTCATATACCTTACCATATTAGAATATATTAGATTATATTATATTATATTATATTATATTATATTATATTGTATTTATTTGTTCCTTTATTTATTAATATTAATAATAAGTAAAATAAATTCAGATCAATTCAAAGACAAGATAGATACACCAGAAGCTCATAATATTTGAGCGAATGATGATATCGATGATGGTGATGATAATGAACCAACTTTTCAGTCTTAGTCTTTGTTATTTTGTTTTGTTTTGTTTTTTTTGTGGTTTAATTATTGATTTATTTTATTTCTTTACCTATTTTTTTTTTGTGCTTTGTAGTCTGTATTTCCTATTTGGGAGGGAACTGTAAACAGATCACGTGCATACGCGCACATTCCCAAAAACAAATATACAAAAACATTCAGAGAGAAAGAGAAAGAGAAATAGAGAACGTCTGTTTTTTCCGTATGTATTTTTGTGTATTTGTGTGCAGTAAGAGAACAAATAAAGTCAGTCACGTGCAATTCTTTTGTTGTCGTTTCTTTGTCTGCTAGAATTGAATTTTTTACCAACATCACTGGAAAAGTCTATTGTCTAACGTCTATTGTTTTTCTTTCTCTTTTTTTTCTGTTTTTTCTGTCTTTGCCGCCGAGTAATATTTTTTGTGTGGGTGTCTGGGTGGTCGTCTGAAAAAATTTTTTTTTTTTTTTTTTTTGTTTTTGCGATGAGTTTCAGATTTAGTCTTTTTTTTTTTTTTTTTTTTTTTTCTACATAGTAATTCTCTCTCTCTCTCTCTCTTTCTCCAGTTTTATAATACTATTTATTTCTTTTCGTATACCGATATCCATTTTTATAACTTATGTTTAAATAGTTGAAAGCACATATTATTATCTAAAGAACAAAAAGAAGAAGAAGCAGAAGCAGATAAAAAGATTACAAAAGGAAACACTAGACTATTTTCTACTTTTTTATTTTAATAATATTTTCTTCCCCACCAGTTATGATCAGAACAGTCAAGCCAAAGAATGCTAGGTCCAAAAGAGCCCTTGAGAAGAGGGAATCTAAATTGGTAGAAAACGTGAAACAGGCCTTATTCATCCCTGGACAAACCTCAAACAAGGCCTTACACGACATCATGGTCGATCTAAGTGCGTTGAAGAAACCAGACATGAAAAGATTCAACAGAAAGAATGATATTAAACCCTTTGAGGATTTCTCAAATTTGGAATTTTTTAGCGAAAAAAACGACACCTCTTTGCTTGTGCTCTCTACCCACTCAAAAAAACGTCGTTACAACTTGACCTTCGTTAGAACTTTCGGGTACAAGGTGTACGATATGATCGAATTACAAGTCGTCGAGAATTGGAAGTTATTACAAGATTTCAGGAAGCAGACTTTCAATCTTGGTCTGAAGCCAATGTTTTGTTTCCAAGGCTCTGCATTCGAGACACACCCTGTCTATAAGCATATCAAGTCCTTGTTCCTGGATTTCTTTAGGGGTGAAGTCACAGATTTACAAGACGTCGCCGGTTTGCAGCATGTCATCTCGTTGACCATCCAAGGCGATTTCCACGATGGTGAGCCATTGCCAAACGTTTTATTCAGAGTCTATAAGCTGAAAACTTACCGTAGTGAGCAAGGTGGGAAAAGATTACCGCGTGTAGAATTACAAGAGACCGGGCCAAGATTGGATTTCAAGATCGGTCGTGTACATACCCCAAGTGCAGAGATGGTTAAAGAAGCCATGAAAAGACCAAAACAATTGGAAGCTAAGAGTAAAAAGAATGTGGAAAGAGATGATATGGGTGATCACTACGGTCGTATCCATCTTGGTAAACAAGATTTAAGTAAATTGCAAACAAGAAAAATGAAAGGTCTAAAGAGTAAATATGATCAAATGGAGGAAGATGAAGAGGACGAAGAACAAGACTATTTGGATGATAGTGAATCTGAATTAAACACTGATGATCATGAACAGATGGAAAACAACCACTTTGAGAGTTCAGATGAAGAAAGTTACACAACTGCTACTGATATTGAAGTTGGTGAACCAACCAGAAAGAAAGCTAAAATTTAATTGTTAATGCTATCATACACTTAATACTATCACTATTATTATTTATATTATTTTTGTTATACTCAAATTAAATAATATTTTATTGTACACTAGCTTAAATTATATATATATGTATGTATATTATAAAAATTTTATTGTTATATGAAGTTGTTACTGTTTTTGTTTTATTTCATTTACGTTTTGGAAGACTTTTCAAATGTCGATACATCTTTTTCTAAGATACCATTACGAATAGTAGATTTCCAACCAACAGCTTTTTCAAACCCATTTATGCCATATTGGAAATTTTCAAACACCTTAATTAATCTTTCTTTACTAGTCTCAACAAATGGACCATGTTGAATAACAGATTGATCTAGGTTTAAACCACCAATAAGAGCAAACTCAGTGTTATTGTTACCAGTCATACCCTTGACACTGTCACCATCGGTATTATAGAATATAGTAGAATATTGTGGATAAACCTTACCATCGATGATAACGGATCCGTTCATGACGTATAGGAAGACGTTGAAATTGGTTGGAACTTGTTGCTCAAACTCGGTACCCTTTTTATCTGATTTAAAATGATAGAATTCCACAGGTGTATAAGCCAATTCTTTCAAAGATTCCACACCATAGGACTTGCCACTAATGACTTTCACAGTTAAATGTTCGTTTGGTTTAGCAATATGAATCTCATCGCGTCTTAGATCTCTGTAACGTGGAGCACAATCCTTCATATCTTTAGGTAAATCGACCCATAATTGTAAGCCTATGGCAGCGTCACCATTTTCCATTAAAACAGGGATCTCAGAATGCATGATGCCTTTACCAGCGGTCATGAATTGTAAATCACCAGGTCTTAAAACACCTTTTGAACCAGTGAAGTCTTCATGTGCAACCATACCTTGATGCATGTAAGTGATAGTTTCTTGACCGTGATGTGGATGATCTGGGAAACCATCAGGGTGAGAGACAGTGAAATGGTCTAGTAAGAGGAAAGGAGAGAAATTCTTTTGTTTCATGGATCCAATAGATCTTCTAACGCGAGCACCCACACCTTCTTCTTGTTCTAAAGCAATGAAATGTTTTTGAATAGTTCTGTAAATTGGAGACATGTTAGTATAATTATTATTGTTATTGTTATTCAGGATAAGTAATTGAGTTTTAATATCTTTATTTGACAGTTTAATCGTTTGTAATTAATTTTATTGCTACTATGATATATTGTGGAATAGTACCATGAGATAAATTGATGGATATAAAAAATAATTTGAATATATTAATCTAGTTCTAAAAAACTATTCTGCTTTTATATTAGATTTCCTTTCTTTTTTTTTTTTGGTTTTTTTTTTACTCATTTTTCCTTTATTTCTTAACCAAAAGATAAAGTGAAGTTTACTTTTCCAGATGACTAAGACACCAACTAGATAAATAACGGGTTTATCAAAACCTTGTCGATAGAGTTGTTATTTAATTGTTTAAACATACATTCTTTTGAATCATAGTGTTCATTAAAATGATATTATATAATATCTTAGTAAAAAAAGAAAATCAAGAAAAGAAGTTGGATTACGTTAATCTTAAGTAAGCAATTGGGGCAGAAAAAGAAAAAAAAGAAAACAAGAAGCGGGGAAATAATAACGCCTAGTGTTCTATTGTTCTGATAAATGACATATTTAATTTTTTTAAACTCCGAAACTTTTGTTTTTTTGTTTGTTTGTTTTGTTTTCTCTTAAGATAAAACACCGACGCTTAGTAAGCACTGCTTACTAATATTTTCAGCAGTCATCCTTATTTTTTCCTTTTTTTTTTTTTGATTATTAATATTGGTAATATTGTTATTATTATTTAATGATTGACTAATATAAAAGAATCTTTCAAAAATTTAAGATATATACACTTTATATAAATCAAAATCCTAATGATTTATTTGTTTTTACATTTTTTAGAGGAGATACCGATTTTTCTTGATGTTTTTCTTTTCCTCTAATTGAAATATATATTTTTATAATCTATATGTTTCTTATCTTTAATTATTTTTGTTTTTTCTTTTTATTAAAATAATAAGGGTATTAAATCTATATAATAATATTCTTCATTAAGAAATTGGTGGTGCTTGTAAATAACTTGTGTGTAGAGGTCAAAATATACAGTAAATATACCACTTTGATTGTAGATAAACAAGGTTGTTACGAACAACTTAATACAGACAACACACAAAAAAAAAAAAATAAAAAATGAAAAGTTGAGGATATCTCTTGGCTCTTGGCTCCTAACCACAGGTTAGTAGTAACTCCATATATCTCTTTGCCATATCTTTATTTTTGTTTATTCCAATACTCAGGTGCTATTTTTTTATCCACTTGGCTTTTAATATACATATTATTCTGTTGAAATAGAATGTTCTATAATAAAATAGATAGAACAATAAGATTTTAGCAGACACTAAACGATAAATTGTCGAGTAATAATTGTTGAGAGGTCACCAAAAGTTGTTGAGTTTGTTTATTAAATATCTTACTGTTCGTAGAGGAAAATGGCTTAATGTTAACATATATAAAGCCAAGGATTTTATCATACATTATTTTTATCTTATTTACAATCTTTGTGTATTATTACTTCCATGTTGTATATAGAGAAAGAAAGTGAAGAACTTTATTATAATTTTGTATACTAAAATCTGTTTAATATAATATTGAGAATGTTTACTATATATCCAATGAATAAAGGCGCTCATTCTCAACATATTCAATGTGTTACCCATTGTTTGTTAATTTATATAATTCTTCCTATATTTACGACTCTACTATTTCTTATTTTAATAAGTCTTACACATTCCTCTTTTTTATTAGTACACTATTAATTGTGATTTAAATTATTTTTTTGTTCAAAAAGAAATTCTTCTATCCAATATGATAAAAAACTTTTATTGAAAACAACCATGATAACCATTATATTTATTTTCTATTTGCCAAGGACTGCCAAGTGGAAAACAATTGATCTAATTCAACTACAAAGATCAATGCAGAAAATAATATTTCTCTAAATAATTCAATATATCCAATTTCTATTTTGTCGACGCAAGGCTTCGGAATCAAAAATTCTAGTAGGGTTCATTTTAGACTAATATAATAAGATAATGTAACTTACAATAGGATATTGGTGGTATTATAAGTTTTATTTTTATTTATAGTAGGAAATTAGTGGTACTATAAATTATTATTGTATTGCTTAGTCTTTTTCTTTCTCTATAAGTAATATACAAGATACAATATTATACAGTATACTCATTTTATCTTCGAATCTTCTTTACTATAAATTTTCATCACTTTTAATCACTTAGTACGATGAATTTAGATTATCAAACACAACTCTAATAATCATATTTCAACATATTTCAAGAAAATTATTATCTAATGGATAAGATATATTGAAGAAAACCATTTTATATTTTTTGTTTTTTTAATAATGAAGATATTACAAATGAAAAAAAACCTATCCCCACAATATCATTGCCATCAACAAAAAGTGCTACTAAAGGAAATAAAATAAAGTATTATTCAGGATTCAAAGTAATACATGGCAAAAATTAAAGGTTATTTAAGTATGACTTTTAATTGTTCAAAAGTTAGCATTTTCTAAATGGACGATTGATATCAAAAATTTCGTTACAATTAATAATAATTTAATCCCTGAAGAGCCTTCTAAGATAGAATGAGTTAATATGTGGTTACAAGATAAAACTCATACTTAAAATTATGAAGAATTAATCAATTGTTTAGAAACCTACATTCAACCATTAAACAAGTCTTAGTATTTTGGGTTTTTTGTTTGAATTAAACGAACAATACCAAATTTATACAATTTCTACAAAAAAAGTATATATAATTAATCATCCAATTCATCTTAAGAGGTTTTTAAAGAAAGAAAATTTGAACAATTGAAAAGAATAATCCAAGAATGCATCTCTTCTTTCAAATAAAAATAAAGAAAGTAAGGAATGTCAAAAGTTATAATATCTCCGAGTAGCTTGTGGCTTTGAAAAATCATTTAGTAATTTTTTTTCAACAGTAGCCCCTTATGTATACAAACCACAACTAAATGGCTTCAGTTTAAACTTCTTCTCTCTTTCTTTCTCTCTTTGTATATGTAGTTATTCAAATATACTGGAACTATAATATTTTTTTCTTTTCCTTTTTTTTTGTAGTGTGTATAAATTTTTATTTTTACAAACTGTAATAAGATGAATGAGAAAAAAAAAGTTCAGAAATTTATGAAAAACCCATTATAATGATAATGACTACAAACATCTACTTAATGTAGTGATTGTTACTTACCAAATAATATGTTTGAATCGGTTATGAATATAAAAATAAATTCATTTGCTGCTTGTACTAGGAATTCTATAACATACTGTTTCTCAAATGTTTAAACATTTTGTATGAATAATTAATGAAACTGCGTGAAGGTGGCCTATAATTAAATAAATAAGAAACTAAAACAATGAGCCGTAAGATATTGATGTTACATGGATTAGCTCAATCTGGTGACTACTTCCACTCAAAGACTAAAGGATTCAGAACAGAACTGGAAAAATTAGGATTTACTTTTTGTTATGCAACTGCACCCAATAGATATCCTGCAGCAGATCTGCCTGATTTTGAATCTGATGTTACATCAGCAGATAATCAAATATTGGCGTGGCTACAAAATGATCCTATTAATAAAACATATTTTCTACCTCAAACAACCGTCAATTACCTACGTGAAATCATTCTTAAAGAGGGACCATTTGCTGGTATTCTTGGATTCAGTCAAGGTGCAGGCCTATTGGGTTATTTAGCTACAGAATTTAATCATTTACTCAACTTAACCTTTGAGCAACAACCTAAATTGAAATTTATTATACTTGTAAGTGGGTTTAGATTCAAGCCGGAAATATATCAAAAACAATATGATGAGCATCCTATAACTATTCCATCTTTACATGTTCAAGGTGAATTAGATACTGTATCTGCACCAGAAAAGGTACAAGCCTTATTAGGATGTTGTAAAGAGGGAACCAAAACTCATTTAATGCATTCAGGTGGCCATTTTGTACCCAATTCAAGAGGTTTCTTGAAGAAAGTTATTGCGTGGTTAAAAAGTGTTGATTCGACTTTGGAATAAATCAACCTACAATATTCAATACACAATATATATTATTTATCATGTATACTTATAGACACATATATTTAAATAAAAATTTGCTACCACTCACTATTTTTTGTTTATTTTTTTTTTATGAGAATTTCAGATATTAATAAATAAAAAGGTTGAAACATTGATTTCTTTATCAAAGCTGTAAGCATGTGTGTATCAATATAGTGATACCAAAAAAAATGAAAAACCATGTAACATTGGGAATATATGTTAAAATGAATGTGACAATACTATTCAATTCCATATTTCTTAAAGCGGTAAATGACAAGAAACAAAAGAATGTCTAATTCTTCTCTAAAATTATTACAAATAACATGTGCCACAATATGGTGCCTTTTTTCTTCTGGAATAATTTTTGGATTTGCAGCCTTTAAGACTATATTAGTAAAAGATGGTGTCTGCTCAGATTATTGTCTATCCAATTTAACACAACATAACGATGTATGTATTGAACAAGATTTGAAACTCAATGACATGTTTGTAATCAGTGTTGCTATAACAAATCTTATAGCTTTCCCAGTTGGCTTTATTCTAGATAAAAAGGGACCAAGAGTCTGTGGGATTATAGGTTCCATCTTACTAGCATTGGGATCTACGTTTTTTATTATGGCCAGACAATGGTATCCCATTATTGATTGCTATATACTGGGATATGTATTTCTTGCGATGGGAGGTCCCTTCGTATTCATATCATGTTTCCAATTGGCAAATAGTTTCCCTAAAAGATCAGGGGCTATTTTAGGTTTATTAACTGGTTGTTTCAACACATCCTCTGTATTATTTTGGTTATATAAGATTATTTATCAAATGGTGATAATAGGGTTATCATTAAAAAATTTTTTTATTATTTATATGGCAATCCCTGCATTTATCTTATTCTGTCAATGTACATTCATGCCTCAAAAAACATATAAAAATACTGGAGCCGTTGCAAAACTTACAGAAGAAGGTTTAGATAAGAATGGACAATTATCTGAAGGTGATGATGGCTGGAATATTACATCAAGTAATCTTGAAAGAATGTCTTTATTAAATAAAAACGAAATACAAAGACATTCTTGCAATTATAAAACCAATAGCACCGGAACCAACTCTTTTTCAAGATCTAAGTCTATACTAGAGACATACGTAGAGAACAAATTGAAGAGAAAAAGTGGAGGTGTATTTGGTATATTACATGAAAAAGATATGTGGACCCAATTAAGGAGTCCATGATTTTAGTTGATGTTAGTGTTTGCTGCTATTATCATGGTTAGAATAAATTATTTTATCGCAACTATTAGATCTCAAGAAACTTATCTATTGAATGTCATTAACAGTGCAATAGAAATAAATAAATTATTTGATTGTTTATTACCTATAGGTGGTCTTATATTTATCCCATTTATTGGGATCATACTAGATAATTTGACAACATTAACTATCCTAACAATACTATCTGTGCTTTCTGTTATCATTGATATGCTAGGATTGATTCCCAATTCCTTTTACAGTAACCTTTTAGGAATTATTTTATTAGTTGTTTTCAGACCTTTTTATTATACAGTTCTTTCAGATTATTGTTCAAAAGTGTTTGGTTTTAAGACATTTGGAACAGTATACGGCTTGCTTATGTGTTTATGTGGCTTATTTAATTTAACTCAAAGGTTATTTGATAAGTGGACCCATACCACATTCTCGATGAATTCAACTCCAATTAATTCTGTATTGGTGATGATGACAATGATTACCTCATTGACTTTAATTAATTATATAAAGAGCCAATTACATAGAACTAACAATATACTAATTTGAATAGAACACAATAATATATATAATAATATGCATCGAAACAGATTTAGTTAGTGACTATAGCCATATAAACATAAACAATATATATATATATATATATTTATTAATTAAATCATTTTAAAAGACCAATCTTTTTCAATTCAGCTTCTAAAGTTCCATTATCTTCAAAATTATGCAATTCTTTCTCAGTACCCCAGATTTTACCATCCACTAAAATAGTAGGTAAGTTTCTGCTGCCAGTGATTTCTTGAAAAGTGGATCTCCATTTTTCTTGGTCTGCTTTTGGAAATGAACCAATATCAAAAATAAACATTTTTTCAGTCACACCAAATTTAGTCCAAATAGAATTGGTGTATTGACAGTCCGGACACCAATCAGCAGAGAACTGGAAGTATTTATTATTGGAGATCAAATCTTTTATAGTCTTTTCTATGTCTATAGCAAAATCGGACATCCCTTTTGGTTTACAATGCTGTCACTAAATAGGAAGATATGTGTAAGATCAGTGATCAGATGATATGAACCCAGGGCTAATTTTTAAATATGCTCCTATTCTAAGTACATCTTATTTCTGCCCACATTCAACCATCTGTAAGTTTTAATAATGAAACTATTTTCACATATCCTTTCCTGAATTTTTTTTTAACAGTAAAAAAAATTTGTTGATTCAGAAGACCTAAGAAATACGCATAGTAAGACAAACCAGAATAAAGCAATCATTGTAATTTAAATAGATAAAGATACATGTACACGCTCTCTACAATGATACTCCTTAAAGCAGACATTTAATACAATATTATTAATAAGTATGTGAGCCAAGAAGCATCTAAAAGAATAATAGAACATCAATAGTGAAATATATATATATATCAGTGTTATATATGGTTACATACTTTTTACTTTAAAGGCTATCTGTCTTCATCTGATTCAAGGTCTTTATAATATTCTGCATTCTCTTCCTTTAACCCAACCTGTTCTTGTGTAACATCCATCCAAGTGACATTCTTAAAAGATGGATTACCAGCAGTAATTTTCTTAATATTTGTTTCTTCAGTCATAACTAAAGAGATAGCATCATGCCCACCAGCACCAGGAACTACACCACCAATCACACCTCTGAGACCTAAACATGCGTTCAATAATTCTGTCTGTTCTAATGGTTCAATAGCAGCACCTGACTCTTGTGTAATAGTTCTAAATAACTCTCTAATCATTTCTATCGATTCCGCCAACACTTTGATATCAGGATCATCGTTCTTATCATTGTTTAAACCATCAATCATCTTATTATAATAATCAGGCCTTTCTTCACTTATATGGTATAACTTAATTAAAGTATTAACCGCAACAGTGTTATTAAAATTGATCTCTTCATAAATTTCATGACTTCTTGGTAAATTTTCGGCATACCATTTCTGTACAGTACTTACTAATTTAACAGTCTTTGAACCACTATGAACGTCACCCATAATAACTTTTAATCGTGGTGGTAGTTTTACAGGCTCACAAGTAATGTTCCAATCCAAATTATCGATTAAAGTTTTCAAAGCGACATGATACTTATTAATATCTTTAATATCCATCACAGGTAAGTCTGCAATGATAGCTGGCTCAAATCTTTGATAAATAATAGATCCATAAGTGGCAGCAGCCACATCGAAACCACTTCCAATCTTTCCTTGTGCTTGACAATGAGCCACTTGTGCTAAATTATGTATCATTTTCAAATGATTAGGATTTGAAATATCTAAACTATTCCCATTCATTAAAACATAGCATAAAGCAGTTGTTAATACTGTGACTAATCCTGCAGAGGATCCTAATCCGGTTTTATTAACTTCATCGATATCCTTTTCATGGAAATTGAAGGATTTAAATTGATTTACTTTACGTTTACTGCCCTCAGACGAATGATAAGCAGGATCAGAAAAGATCTCAATTTCAATGTAATTAAACTTTAAATTTTCTGGTGCAAAGTAATTGAAAGCATTAAAAACAACTTGTTCAACAAATGGATTGGTTAAATCATTAATTTCTAAAGGAACGTAACCATTATCTCTAGACACTTTATAGTTCCATTGATTGTTATTAAATTGGGAACTTTTCACATTTAAATAAACGCCCGAAATATCTGATCTAGAAGAGGCTTTAACAACAGCATGCATTCTAGCAGAAAGTGCCAGAACAAATGCCTTATATTGTGGATTTAAAACTAAGTACCCACCAATTAGAAGGGCCTTACCTGGTGCACTAAAAGCACGTGGTTCCAATTCCACCATTTTAACAATAATTAAATTAAAATTAAAAAAAGAAGTAATAACAAAGAATTTTAAAAAAGCAAATAAATGAACTCTATAATGTTTGACCTTTTGAAATAAAACAAAAATACCTATTCAAGGTTGGTTAGAAATGCCAATATAAATAAATATAATGCCTTAATCAATAGCCATAAAAAAATCAATAGTGGGTCTGTAAGCTCCAATAAAACCTGATAGACACAAGAAATAAGGCGATTTGGAATAAAGTAATTTCACATTTCCACGATTCAAGATGCGCTTATTCTGTTTGTATATAAAATTGTCTATTATGATAAATTTTTGTTTTTATCTAGTCTTCTTAATGTTTTAAATTTGATAAAACTCGTTTCTCAATGGAAAAAATAAAAGAAAAAAAGAAAAACGAAAGTGCTAAAAGAATTAAAATAAACATTTACGAATAAAGCAGTTACACACCTACTTACACATACGTATGCAGGTACTCTTTACAAGAAAATTTGTTACCCCCTGGAAACAATCTATATATAATATTATATATTAACATACATTTTAGATTAAATTTAAAACATTTGGAAACTTAAATATATATATATATATATGCATATATATACACAGATAGAATATTATTCAAACTTTCTAGCATCATGATTAAAGTCATTCTTTTTGAACTTTTTATGTTTTTGCTGATTATTAGCATTGTTTCTGTTATTGCTATTATTCTTGTTATTGTTTTTATTAGTTTCATTCTTGTGAGATCTTCCTGGAGATGTTACGTGAGAACCTGTAATAGGCACTTTTCTCTTCTTACGGTGTCTGGATGATTTTTGTTTTTGTTTTCTCTTATTTTTATTTATATTTTCTTGTTTTGTAGGCTCATCTAATACAGTTACTGATGATACAGCCTTTTCAAATGATATATTTTCATTATTGTATGTTGGTTCTACAATATTATCATCTGATAAAACACTATGGCTATTTTTTGATTCTATTTCATAATTTTCAGCATGATTAGCTTTAGATACATCTGTATCTATACTACTCTCCGATATTTCAGTTTGATTGTCTAAGGTTTTTTCATTCTGATGATTTTGTATGGGTACATTCTCTGTTCCTTGATCTTCAGATTCAGATATAGATATATGCAATATGGTGTCATTTGATTTCTCCTTTTTACTTACAATTTTATTTTCCTTGACAGTTATAATGTGTTCATCCCCTTCATGTGCTACTTTGTCTTGACTTTGATTATCACTATTATCATCAGAAGGTGGATCTGATGGTAATTCATTTGAAGTATCTAATTGTGAAGATGCCTCATCAATGGATTTATTTTCTGTATGCTTATTATCACGCAATCTTTCTACGTCTTTATGAATAAACTCAAGTGATTCTTGTGGTACTGCAGTAATTGTGGTTGATGCAATAATACTACTAGATGAATCAGTTCCTATTCTACTGATATATTCCGGGATGCTATTGATTGGATAATTTTCTAATTCAGATCTCTCATCTTTTTCAATAGCTTGAATTTTGCTATCAGTATCAGGCTTAAAATCGTCAAACCCTGTCTGTTGCTTAGTAATTTGCCCTTTATTAAATACAGTGGTGTTTTCATCAATCTCTTTAGCTAATTCGAATAATTTATTAGCTGCAAATAAATCTGAAGAATGAATTGAAGGAGTAACTGTACCATGAGATGTAATCTCTTTTCCATTTTCATTACCATTAATATTGCCATCAAATTGATGTGTTTGTTCCTCGGCAATATTTTGTTGTGATTTCTCATTATTTAGATTATCTAGTAAACCTTGTAAATTGTCATTGGCATTGATTTCTATTTCTTCTACATTATCCTTTTTATCATAATGCTCTTCAGAAGAAAACTTAGAATTATTCTGTTTTTCTACAGAAACATCTAAAGATGATTTAATATCATAAGTTGTGGAATCCATATCAAATTCGTCCATACTATTATTCTGTATCAACATATTGTCATTCGATAAATCTTTATTAAGTTCTTCAGTATGATTATTCATATTTTTTATGTCGTTATTCTCGGTATTTCTCTCTTCAATATCGATCATGCTATGTGCAGCATTAAAATCAGATTGGTTTTGAGTCCCTTGTTTTTCTTGATTTTCTTCATCTCCATCTTTTTCTCCAACATTTGGAGACGAATGAATCTCTATAATTGATTCGTTTTCGTCTGAAGAATAACCTACATCCAAGATTTCTACAAATTTATTAGCCACATTGCTTATCTTTTGAACACCAACAGATAGGGCATTAATAGCTTTAATTGGTGAGGATATGATCTTGTTTACAACAAATGGTTGACTCAAATTTGTTGTCTTAGACAAAACTTTGGTGTTACAACTTTTATTTTCTATTGAAATATCATTTTTACTTTCACAGGATTCAAAATTAATTGTTCTGTCAGTATTACTTTGTTCTTCTAGCTCAGGATTCATATCCATATTCTTCAGATCAGTCATATTTGTATTTGGTGTGATTGATTCAGATGCTGCAATAATAATATTCTTACTCTTGTTATTTGTAACACAGTTAATTTCACTTTTTTCCAATAACATCTTTGAACGTTGATTAGAATTGGCTAAACTGTCTTTTCCTGATTGTAAGACTTCATCCTTATCTAATTCTATACATGAATCTAAATTCTTTTTGACTATTTCTGGGTTTTTATTTTGAGGATTGGAAATTGTCTTAACTTTCATATCAAAGAGTTCTTCAATATTAGATAATGTTCTACTTTTAACACCATCTTGAATAGCCTCTGAAATCTCAGTTGCTGAATTAATTCCCGCTTGACTATGTTCATATTGTTGCACAGCAGCTTCAGAATTGATTTTTTCAGAGCAAGATTTATTAACAATCGAACGCTCAAAAAATTCATTATTAGGCATTGTTAGATGTTTTTCAATATCCAACAAATGTGAAGTTTCATTATTTTTGTCAATATTGATATTTTTTTGTCTTGTATTTATAGTTTCAACTCTGGTATTTAGTTGTGAATCATTATTTAATATTTTATTCTCAATGATTTCCTTATATTCGTGGTTACTAATACTATACTGTGAGAATTCCCCAATGGATTGTTCTAATGTTTGATTATCTTTATTTATTTTTTTTTTTTTAATATTATCTATATTCTTGTTATTTTCTTTATCTTCTTTTGGAAAAATATCATTATTATTATCCCTGTTTCGAGATTCAGATTCCAGCTTATGTTTGTGTCTATCAGTTTTACTCAAAAGAGTTAAAGTTTCCTGTAACTTCAATTTTGATACTTCATCAATTTCTGCTGGTACAAATGGATCATCACTAAATGGAGAAACATATGTGACGTTTGATGGAAAGACTTCTCTATTGTCTGTATCTGCTGAAGTATTACTATAAACAGAATTAGAAATGACTATCTCATACTGATCTGTATTTTTCATATTTATATTGTTACTAGGTACTTTTACTTCTGTCAACACATTGTAATCAGATTCATTATTCATTGAATGATAAATTGACATATTATTAGTAGAGGAAGATTCACTATCGTTCATTTCTTCTTCATATTTCTTCTGTTCAGTTTCTGGTATTTCTTGATGATCAGACGTTTCTTCTTTGAGTTCATTATGTTCACTCCCAAGTTGAACAATATTCTGACATTGTTCTGATGCATTTAGATCACTTTCATGTTCTTGTATCTCGGAATTTCCAACACCAAAATGCAAAAATTCTTGACCATCTTCTTCATTCTTATCAGATCCGGACTGAACATCTATAGGCAACTCATGAACTGAATCAAAATTTTCAGCAAACTGTTGATTCTCCAAATGAGGATATATTTGAGATATAGCGTTCTTAGCAATATTTTTTAATGATGATGCTGAATAGAAAGTTTCTGGTTCAGAATTATCACTATATATGTGTTCTTCAGATGTAGCTTGTCTATTATATATTGAATTTGAATTCTCTAAGGAGTTTTGGTCAAGGGACTCCTGTCCTTGTAGATCATCTGCACTAAAGTCGTCAATGATAGTATAGTGAGTACCATCATGTTTGCTTTTCTCTTCATCATTACTTTCCTGATCACCCAAATCTTGCTCAGGTAATAAATATTCATTATAATGATCATTTGTCATTTCCTCATCATCATAGCTTTTCTCTTGACTTTCAATATCTTCTCTATTACTTACCTCTTTTGTAGAAAGTGACAATTCATCTTCCTCCAATGATATCTCATCTTCTTCTTGTGATTGTTCCAATATGTTTTGTTTGCCATTAGATTCGTCGTATTCACCATCTACTACATCTTTTGTAGCAAGTTCAGCTTGAAGGTTAGTATTATTCTGATTTATATTGTTATCCTCAGATTTATTACTATACTCATTTGACATAAAATCATTTAAGGACGGATTGCTGTTTTGGTTGAATTCATGATTTCTAGGAATCATATATTTTTGAAAATCTACAGTCATATTTTCATAACAATTATCATCATTATCTTCTATTTTATTATCATCCTCATCATCAATTACATTATCCTTCTCCTCCTCTTCTTCTTCATAACTTTCACTTTCACATTCATCTTCACCATAAGAATTGCTTTTATCACTCTCATGTCCTCCAAACATATCATTATTGTATTCTTTATCAGTATGTGATGACTCCAACTTTTCTTCATCTTCATCTTCATCTTCTGAAGTCAAAATAATGATTGAGGGTTCAGAGTCTTCACTCACTTCAGTATCAGCAAAATCTATATTTTCTTCATCTTCTTGTTTTTGTTCATCGTCCTCTTGAACTTTTTCGTTCTCTTTATCCAATTGACTTTCAATAGCTAAATTTTCATAATCTTGTTTTTCGTCAATTTCTATTGTGTATATATTATCAATATTGGTATTATCATCATCATAACTGCCAGTTTCATGTGTTTTTTTATAATTTTTTAGTGGTTCAAATGAGTTTCCATCCAATGTGTTTTTATCAATTTTTTCCTGTTCTTCATATCTTTTAAATCTATTATGAATTATTTCTTGTTCTTTAAGCCTTGATTTGTTCAAAATATCTTTGCCTCTTTGAATCATATCTTTTATCCATTCACTGGTAACTGTATCTAAGGCTGGTTGATCCTTGAATTTATTTAATTGCTCTTGACTTATTTGATAATCATAATTCTTAGTAGTCTTAGTCACTTTAGCTATCGATATACTCCTTAGATTTAAGGGTTGTATATAATATTGCGAACCAATCTGATAACCATTCCTTCTCTTTAACAAAGACTGATATGGTTTCCATTTTCTTGTTGGTGTTGTCAATTTATTACTCCAGGAAAAATTTCTGGAAGAATTATCAGTATTGTCAATATCGTTGTTTGTTGCTGTCATGAAATATTTATGCTATCAGTTAAAAAGCTAGTTGGTAGGACTGACAATCAATAAGTTGTTTAATATCCTCGATATTATTTCCCTTTTTCTTATGTGATGAAATTAACCTAATGTATACTTCAAATTAGAAAGCTTGAAATATCTATTTCTCGTAACATAAAAGAGTATTATGTCGTGTTGTTTTCTTTTTAACATCTTCTTTATTCTTCTTGCTTTTAAAGAATGTGAAAAAAATTTTGGAATTAAAAGTAAAAAAAAATAAACTAACAGAATAAATCAAAACTAGAAAAAAAGAGCTTAAGGCTTATTTGAACAGACACAATAGCCACTTTTAACATTGTTACTGTATTATAGTAGTTTATTTTAAGATATAAGTTTTGTAGCGTTGAATGTATTGATTAGATAATTCTAGGATAGTAAAAAGGTGAATTGACCATTAAATGAAGAGAGACATTAATTCAAAAAAAAACGTATTTGAATAAGATAGAAAGATAAATTATAGAACAGGAGAAAGAATTTTACAGAGATCGTATTTGTTTATTTTTTTCCAACCAAAGATGAAGCTTGATTCGTTTGATGATAATATAGGAATCAGTTATTTTGATCCATTTTCTCTTTTTGACAATGTTAAGAATGAATTTTTAAAATTATTTCCACTAACTAATGTTCGGTGGAAATCACAGAACAATCTAACTAGGACCAGATTAGTCGAAAATTTACCCATCGATATATATTCAGAAGATAAGTATAATAAAATTAACGTAAATGATTCTGACAATCCTATCCAAAATCAACCTTTATTAAAATTGATTATTGTTACATGCCAATCTGTTGATGAATATAGAGCTAAGATACGTCCTCTTTTAAGGGAATGGTCATTCAATGAGTTAAATCAAGTAGAATCAGTAACTAAATTACCATTTAAACCATTAATTTTGTTTTACAGCAATTCAAAAGTCATTGAATCGAATTTATTTACTTCAATAAATATCCTCGAAAAGATTAAGAAAGATTTTCCAACCAGTGAAGTCTTGGAATTAAAATCTGTATATAAATCACCAAAAGATAAGCAAATCTTTTGGACACATTTACAAGATAGTATTAAGAAATATTTGTTGGACATATTTGAAAGAAGATTGACGTTTTTAAATGAAAGTTTATCAAAACTTACAAATGATAATATCAATAGTGCTAATGGTGATAATAGTAATAGCAGTACTAGCAGCAATAAAAACCAGCAATTGTATCAAAAATTGAGACTTCGAGAACAAATATTGATTCTTTATATGCAATTTAAATTGAAAGATGAATGTCAAAGACAACTTGATACAATTAAGATGGAATTAAATTCTTTCATAGAAAATACGACAGAATATGGTAATCTTGAATATCCGTTCTCGTTTAATATATCCTTCCTTTTAAGTGATTTACTGAAAACAAATACATTAACTAAATTTGATTGTTATAAACATTTTCTCATATGGGATTTGAAATGCTACTCAATGGATAACAGTTTTAGCCCAATTAGAAGAATATATTACAGTACAAAACAGTTTCTCAGAAACAGTCAACTTTTATTCCCAGATAATGCCAATTTGATACAATTTAAATATTCAATAATAGATACTTTGTTAATAAGATTTTTTCAATTACCATCTTCATCACATGCCTCTTCAACGGTGGATAAAAATGTTATTGAATGTAGAGCTGATTTATTATTAATGAAGCGTGATTGTTGGCTGGAAGGTATTTTGACAATGACGAACTTCAAAATGTTGTATAAACAATATTCAAACACAAACAAGATAAATTTCGACATTATTGATCAGGATGTATTGGATGATGAAAACAAGTTCCATGAAGGCTTCATACGTTTCAATCAAGAATTGATTGGCTTGTACAATCAATGTGATTCAAGGAGACAGAGAATTGTGGATATTTTGTCTTTGGAAATCGGTGTGGTATATTACCAACGGGGAGATTACGAAAATGCGATCATATTATTTTTATCATGTTATGAATACTATATTCAATCGAACTGGAAAGTGATTGGATTACAAATTTTGAAAATGTTTGTAGATTCAATTGAAAAATGTGGAGAAAATAATATTAAATCATTGGAATTCAACGGATCTAAAGTATCATTAGATGTAATTCTGAGTCATTCATATTTGAATCTATTGAAGCTAAGTGATGATCCGAGGGAAAGAATTACTTTGTGGAAGAAATTTATTAAATTGGGCGGTTCTCAACATGGAACAACAACAACAGCAACTGTTGCTGCTGCTTCGAATAATAATAATAATGATAATGATAATAATGATGATACAATGGAGAATGTTTATTCAATGGATGGAATAATTGGGTTTGATGTTGGCAAGTATGTAACTATGGAACAACCGAATCTATATTCTATGAAATTATATCTTACAGATTTCAGCATCCCTGAAACCGTAACAATAGATTCAATTGAATTAACTTTACATAAAAGAATCTCTAAACTGAACAAAGAGACGGTAACATTCCAAAGACAAAACGTTGAATTAGGTAAGGAAGTGGGGAACAATAGAAATGTAGTTCAATTGAATACCAAAAAAATAAGTTTTGGTAAATTTGAGGCATTTCAATTAAAGATCAAAGTTGGTAATAAATTTTTGTTGCACAGGTATAGTAAACAGGATAGTAAACCTATATATATTGAGCCGATCTTTGATCAAAATAATGTAAGTGTAAAAATTGAACAAGAAAGATGCTTAAAATTAGGTGATAATAGATTAAACATTGAATTTTTCAATCTTGACAAGGTAGGCACGTTCATATTAAAAGTGATAATTGAGAAGGATGATGAGAGTATTATCTACCCGATAAGGTTCCATGAATCAGATACAAGCGATGTTACTTATCTTATTGATTCAAAGGATGATTTGATTGTTGATTCCTCTTATGGGTATATAACTGTACCATATTATTTGCAAGATTCTTTGACAACAGCCTTTTTCATTAAAACTATTTTCCAATATGAAAAGGTAGATAAAACGGAGAAAAGTTTGAAGTCCACGGAGATTTATCAAGAGATCAATCATCATTTGGTACAATGCTATTTGCCGGTGTCTGTATCTGTAGAAGATATCTTTAAGAACGAGAGGTTTTATTTTAAGTTTTTATTGAATTCATCTATCAGAGAGGAACCAGTGATGTTGTATGACAGTGAGTTGAATGGTGTTAGTACAGTGGAACAAGTCTCTGGAGGGAAAGTAACAGAAGAGGATCCGTTATTGGATAAATATGAGATTTTAGGGCGTTTAAGAGTTGAAGAGCCGATATTATTGACATCATCCAACAATGATAGTTGTGTGAATAGTTATAGAATAATGACTAAAGGACCGAATAAATATGATCCAAGGGATATATTTTATTTACATGTTAGATATAGTACATTGAAGGAGGAATTAGACAATATATTAACCTATCGAGTGTTAAACAAAGAAAAGAATAGAGATGGCGATACAGATAAATGGAGAATATTTTGGGAATTAAATATTTTACCGAGGTTGCAATATAATTATGAAAGATATTATAGGGAAGGTATATTAATATTAGAGAATGACTCGATAAATTTAAATTTTATTGAGAATGATCTATTGAGAAGAATATGCATGGAAGATGAAACAAGATCAAAAATCGTTGGATGTTTAAAAGGATTGTGTGATACAGGGTTCAAAATGCTCGAATACAATAGCAGAGAGAAAAATAAGAATGAGAATACAGTGGTACAAAGGGAATTGATAGTGCCAGTGGAGCTGCAATCACCGAGACCGTTTTATTTGATTCAGTTTGAGAAGGATACGTCTAGTGATTCAAATATGTTACCACCTAAAGAAACGTATGCTGTTGGTGAGAGTATACCATTCAAGATCACCATAACGGATATAAGTGACCAATGGGAAGAAAGTCAGGAAGAACAGGAAGAAGAACAGAAGGAACCTGCCCTCTATATATTCGAGATAGCCTCATCCAACGACTGGTTACTACATGGTAAGAAACGGTTTGCCATCAGAAGAGGCTCCACCCTACAAGCAGAATCCACATCAACGTCGTCAACAACATCTGCCACAACAGAAGCGAAGGCAGTAGCAGTGACAGTGGTGAACGTGTCGTTGATTCCACTGAGAACAGGCCATCTGAACCTGCCGGGAATACAAATTACCAGCCAAGACGAAACGCAGCCGCTCAAGACGCACCAGCCGAACGAAAACGACACCATCTTGGTTTTGTCACACGCCGGCGGTTAAAAGAAATAAAAAGATAAAAAAGAAAAAAAAAAAAGAGCGGGAGGGTAAACTGCATGTGCATCCCACCCACACACCCTGCTTTGATAATTTTGTTTCTTTTTTTTTTCTTTTCTTTTTTCTTTTTTCCCTCCCAGCAAATGTTTTTGAAATTCGAGACGGCAGTTGTGACGTGATGAGTGGAAAATCCTTTGTTGGAGACCATGGATGCATGTTATTGAGATGGGCAATACTTGATTGATGGAGTGATAATAACTTATTATTATGTGGGGGTAGGAAGCCAGTTGTGAATAGAACGGTTTATAGTAGATTGGGTGTACACTCTACATACATATCTTTTTTCTTTATCCTCATCCTCGTGCTACAATACCTCTGACCATATTTTACAAGTTATTCATATTCGAATACACATACTACATACACGTATACAAATAAAATATACCTCTAATATCCCACTTCATATATATATATATATATATATATATATATATGTATATGTATATGTATATATGTATATCTATCCATATTATTACTTACTGATAATATTTCATTTACAACTCGATTAAATTATATTTTTGGATTGTTTAAAATGGGTTCTTCAATCCATTATTTTGGTGGACTTATTGGTGGTAAACATAACAACACAAACAATAATACAAATAATAATAATAATAATAATAATAATAATAATAATAATAATAATAATATCTCCAAGGTTAATGAGAATAAACAACCTGTTAACTCAAATAATATATCTAATCAGTCAACTTCAACAGGTTCATCTTTCTCTACAAGAGAATTGATTCCAATTAAGAGATTGATAAATAACAAATCTAAATTGTCTATTGCTCTTCAAAGTAACTCTAACTCCACTATGAATCTGCATTCCACTCCCTCTTTGTCTGTTCATACCACAAATCACATAGTCACTGACACAGCTGCAAACACACTAAATTCTTCCTATGATTACGATGATCTTGACTCCGATTATTCTTCCTGCGATGAAAAAAATGAGGAATCTCTGACAGACTATAAACCTGGTGGCTACCATCCAGCCTTTAAGGGAGAAACTTATAAGGACTCGAGATACATATTGATGCGGAAACTGGGATGGGGCCATTTTTCCACAGTATGGCTGGCAAAGGACATGAAAACACATTCCCATGTCGCCATCAAAATAGTCAGAAGTGACAAAATCTACACTGAGGCAGCATTGGACGAAATCAAATTACTGGAGAAGTTGAGACAGGAATCTGTGGATCAATCAGAGGGCTCAAAACACATTTTAAATCTCTTGGATAGTTTCTTCCATAAAGGTCCTAATGGGAAGCACGTGGTTATGGTCTTCGAGGTCCTGGGCGAAAATCTGTTAGCTTTGATCAGAAAATATGAACACCGTGGAATTCCCTTGGTCTACGTCAAACAGATTTCAAAACAACTACTATTGGGGTTGGATTATATGCATAGGAAATGTGGTATCATCCACACCGATATTAAACCAGAGAATATATTGATGGAGATCGGCGACGTTGAACTGATTATACAAATGGTTGAGATGCTAGATAAACAGAAACGAGAAGAGAAAAAATTACAAAGAAAACTGTTAATGAAAAGATCAGAGACTGAAAATAGTCTAACTCATAAACATTCCTACGATTCAAGTACAAGTCTACATAATATCAAGCTGAAAAAAAATATGCCCGTATCCAATTCTTCCAAGGAATCTTCTAAAGATATCAATTACAGCAACAACACCAAATATAAATCTTACAATCAAAATTCCTATTTTCAATCCAGTTCTGTATCTAATGTGCAAAGAATCCCATCTTCTTCCTCCTCATCCTTTAGAAGACCTCGAAGAAACACAATCATCACCGGTTCTCAACCGTTACCATCACCACTAAGTTCATCCAATTTTTTTGAAATGAAAAATCAATTACTTAGTAACAACAACAATTCTACTGGTATTGCCAGCAATAACATGGGTAATGATTCTTTATTACCGCATTTTTCTTCAAGTTTCAAGAATAATGAGACAATGGATTCAATACTGTCTTCTAATTCATTTTCACCAACTATCCACTTATCCCTGTCATCATTTAACCCAGGTATGCTACAGTCACAAAATATATCAAATACTCTCTCAAACAACAATAACAATAACAACAACAATAATAATAGTAACAGTACCAATAATACTGACAATAATTTCTTTTTAAGCGAAAAACAACTGACCCATTCGTTATCGTCATTCGAATTAACAAACGATGCAATAGCGTCGAACACAAGTGATCACTTAAGTGAGACCATGAGTAATGATCTAAGAACACCTCAAAATATTATTCAGATCAAAATCGCTGATATGGGAAATTCATGTTGGTATAACGAGCATTACACAAATTCAATACAAACAAGAGAATATAGAGCTCCTGAAGTTCTATTAGGTGCCTCCTGGGGTTGCGGTGCAGATATTTGGTCTACTGGATGCCTGATCTTTGAACTTATTACGGGTGATTTCTTATTTGAGCCCAATGAAGGGCATTCTTATACTAAAGAAGATGACCATATCGCACAAATTATAGAACTACTAGGTGAATTACCACCATATCTATTAAAAAATGGTAGATACACTAAGAATTATTTCAACTCACGTGGTCAATTGAGAAACATATCAAAATTGAAATTTTGGCCATTAAAGGATGTGCTTATTGAAAAGTATAAATTCAGTGAGGAAGATGCAAGTGAAATTTCGGATTTCTTATTGCCAATGTTAGAATTGGATCCCCGTAAAAGGGCAGATGCCGGTGGACTTGTAAACCATCCATGGCTAAAAGATACTGTTGGAATGGAAAACATATCAGTACCAGATAGAAAGTTATATGATTCCGGAATGAATATACCTGGTTGGGCTGAGGAAGCTGTAGATAATAGGAAGCATTAGATAAAACAATGATATATAATTGTGTATATTCAAATGAGACCAGATTACATAAACAAGAGTTATATTTTGTCGTTACTTGAAAACCTTCAGAATCCATTCAATCATTCTTTTATCTTTTTACTTTGAGTACAGGTGCGGATATATATTAAATTACATTAGTAAATATATAGACATCTCAAGATATATAATTATAATAAAGCATAGTATAAATAATACAACTTATTAAAGTGAACAGCAAATATAATATGAAGAAATTAATAAAACTTTTTTATAAGTGAACATTATAGTAGAGCATATAATTAAAAGAAAAATTTAAACAAGTAAACAAACATAATGAACTCTTGAATGTATTCACAACAATAATGAAAGAATCATGGTAAAAATACCTGATTGAATAAATGATGTAGGTAGATTCATAGAAACAGCTTCACCTTTGCTCTTAGAAGAGGAAGACTTAGTCGAGGAAGTCTTTATAGAGCTAGAAGATGTAGAAGATACAGATGTTGATGTTTTGCTTTGTGAAGAACTAAAAGTCAATGTAGTTGTAATATCTGCATTTAATTCGTTTATGGTATTGGCAGATTTGTAGACAATAGCAGCATTAATCGTGTCCCCATCTTGATTTTTAACGGTATATTTCAAAGTGGTTGGAACTGTATAGTTTGAACTGGATAAGATCTTTCCTACAGTAGCATTTTTAACACCATTGTTAATTAAATCAGCAATTTCTTTAGATTGAACTGGGATAGTGAAATTTGATACACCGAAGTTAGGATAGATTTTTAAAATTTCACTGGAGTCACATTTGTAAATTGTATTGTTTGCAAGAGTATCTTCATAGATAATGGATGTATTGACTTTTGCTAAACGGTCTTTTAAATTAACAAAATCTTGCTTATATGTTATAGACCCATTATCGTCATCAATCTTAACCAGTCCATAATTGTTAGCTTCCTCAGCATATTCATATACTAACCCACCTGAAAAAACCTTTTCTAAACCTTTGTTAGTATAAATAGCATCAGTAACTTCATCAAATGTACGTGGAATATTCTTGTTACAACCATATTCAGAGAAAATTACAGGGATGACTGCATCACTGAAAGTAGAGTTTAGTACATTAAAGCCAGATGATTGCCAATTAGAAGTACCAGAACACCATTGGTATGAATTTAAACCATAGAAATCCGATCTGGATTCATCTAATGCTTTGTTTATTGTCTTACCATCAAAGGAATTGCACTGTAAATATTTGAATGTAGCCAATCTTAAATCAGTATTGTCTGCAGCAGAGTAACCTACTGGGATAGATCTATTAGAATGTTTAGCAATATATTGTTTCATATCTCTTTGAACAGCACGAATATATGGTGGTACAGTCTCAGCATAGTTACTTTCATTATTAATAACCTCATTACCTGAGAAAAACCCTATTAAGTTTGGATAATCCTTAAAGGCTTCAATCATCTTAAATACTCTTGTCAAATATTCAGCATTATAAGAACCCTTTGGATCAGCACGGTTTAGATTCTCACCATAGTTACCAGAATTTACACCCAAGATAACATAGATGCCGGCGTCATTTAAGATTGTCATACATTTATCATGATTCAAATCAGGGTTGACTGAGTAAATTCTAATGGTATTAATACCTAGTTGTTGAAATGCAAATACATCTCTAGCACAAATATCTGGATCAGATAAAACATCTTGATCACTAGAAGAATCATAACCTGAGGAACCACCTGGTTGATAATCTATACCCTTTACAAAAAAAACTTCATTCTTTTCTGGATTATTATCAGGAGAAGCAGGCTGGATGAATCTAAAACTTTTGACATGGATAGGCAACATGGCCTCCACAAAGATAGGTGAAATTGATAATAAACTTAACAAAACTTTTTTCCCAAACATGCTTCAAATTATAAAAGGTAAATAAGATGAAGATAAAATAAAATACTTTGTAAAACTATATTTTATTATATATTTGTTGCTATATTTGTTCTTTACCTTTTCCCTATATTTTTATACTCTGGAGCTATGTAAAAATGTACCAAAAGCAATAATTTATAACTGTGTTCCATAGAACATTATATAGTCTGCAATGAACAGTGTTGGAAGCAGTATCAAATATGCTACTAATAATTAAAACAAATAATTATTTAACTGTAACGATATATGTTATATTAATATAATTATGAGATTAACCAAATAGATGTTTAAACAAATAAAAGGACAAGAAAAAATTTTTTCTTAAATATGTTTGTTTACATTTTTCAACAATTCGCGTCGTTCTGTTTATTATTTTTGTTTTGTCAAAACAACGCGATATGCAGAATGTATACCTTTGTTACTAACAAGGATGACTAAGCATTTTATGAGTTATAAAATAAGAATAAAACTATATATCATAATCTAATCCAATAAACTCACATTGATAGGTATCATGTTAACTGGTAAGTTACTTTAATTCTAAGTCTTTTTTTTTTATTTATTGAGGATAATATCTGATTGCTTCAAATGTTCTATTTTATTTTTTCTTCTTTTTGTTCATTTCTTGGTTTATACTTCTAGAGCGATTACGATATATTCTGTATTTGACAAAATACTCTTTTTGAAGTCTTTGTAAATATGGTAATTTATTAGTGCATAACTCTTTCGAAATGTAATTGTTTTGCTTGATAAGAGGTTCAATATATGATAAATTAGACTGTAACATTTTTATCTGTTCTCTTTTGTCTACTATATCTTTTTGCAATTTAACAACATCTGTAAAATTGCTATCATTCAGAGTATCATTAATCTCTTTTAAATATGAACTTAATTTCTTACTTCCATCTTTTGCTATCAGTTTTTTTATCTCTTCTTCAACATTCATGTAATTTAAATATTCTTCTGGAGTTATCTCATAATCTTCTTGTTTCATGGACTTTAATAATATTTTATTATACATAATGTCATAATCATCCTTTGGGTCAATTTTGAATGACGCAACTGGTAAGTTCTCGTGAATCATACTAGTTAAAGGAACTACAATTTTATCATTTGAGTACTCTTCTTTAGTATCAGATCTATTTTTGTTAACATGTTCATCTGTACCTTCTTTCTGAACTTCCTCTTCATTGCTTTCTTTCCCTCTGTCTTCTTCCGCTATGTTATTATCATTTTCTTCATCACTTATTACTAGTTCATAATCATTTTTTGGTGGTGGTAACATTGTAAACAACTGTATTAATTGTCTTTTTCTCATAAATTTATCAAATTCTGTATCATGATGTATGGTAACATTTAACGGTTCGTCTTCTTTTAATATTGAAAAATCACGAGTCTCATCAGGAATATTATCATTGTCTTGCTTGTGGTCTAATATAGATCCAATTTGTTTATTATTTATGACTTCATTTTGTTTATCTGATATCAATGTACTATTAGGAGCAATATCCCTAGCCTCAGGTTTGGACAAAATTAATTTTTCTCTTGTCATTATTTTTGGATGTATTGTAGAAATACTTTGCTCAGTTTTACTTTCATTTCGCTCCTTGTTATCTTTTTTTCTTTTCTTTTTGGTTATTTCTTCGTTAGCCTCTTTAGTTTCTTTTTCTCTTAGCCCCTTTCTTTCTATCATATTTTCAAATTTTACCAACTCTTTTATAGATCGTTCTATTTCCATTGAAGTATCATATATACCAGGTAATGGTTCTTGTTCATAAGGTATTTCTAAATTATAATTAATTTCAGATGAATATTTTTTCTTTCCATGTTTCATTTTAGTAGAGATACCGGATTGCTTTAATTCACGTCTTCTTTGCAAAAAAGCAATTCTTTTTGATTCTTCTAACATCCTCTCACGGACCTTCCGTTGAGCTTTTTTACCTTGTGTGGCAAGTAGTCTGGCTTGTGCTTCTGCTAGCATTTCTCTTTCCTCATCATCTAATACATCTTTATCGGGTATGGCAACTTGTGTCTCTGCTTGGGGATTGATCTCACCAATTTTCAATGTTGTTGATGGTAGATGAGTAGTCTCTTGTTTAAGTTGTTTGTTATTTGCTGATCCACCATTATTAAGCATCAATTTATAGTATCTTTCAATACAAGTTTGAGCCGGACGATTCATTAGCGTAGATATTGTCCTCCATTGGTTTGGCAACCTTCTAGCCAAACTCAATAATTTCAAATCTTCATCTTTACTAAACTGATTAAAATTTAAACTTGGTTTCAAATACTCATTCCATCTAATCTCACATTGTCTGGACGATTTTTTATGTAAAAGAGATGCAATCTTGCTCCATTGATGAGTGCCATATTTAGATACTGCAGCCTTCAAAATTTGATCTTCTAGATTTGACCATACACCACCTTTTACATAAACGGGTGCCACCATTTTAATATTAGTGACCTACTAACGGTAGATGCTTGTTTATTTTGGTACGATACCTTGTATTTATTATCCCATCCGCTTGCATTGAATGGTTAAGGTAATATTACTCTTCAAACAATAACTATTCTTACTCACTGATACTTTTATAATATTTTTGAAATATTAACAATTTTTTTAAATAAGAAAAATAAACTAAATAAATTTGAAATTTTAAAAGAATCAAAACATTTTTAAGATTCGAAAGATATCTCAAAATTAATAACAAATAATACTTTTCTATCAGTTTTTGTTATTTCTGTTTACATACATATCTAGTTATGCAAAATCAGGTTGCTATCTTTCATTTAAGATATCTAGATAAATATATATGGCTATAGTTTGTTACTCTTAGCGTAAGATCAAACAAAAAATTATTCTATATGGAATATTAAAAGATATAATAAACAAAAAAGAAAAAAAAAAAGAAAGAGAAAGACGGAAGGAAGGAAGAATAGATATATTTATAGAAGAATTTAGTTTTTTTGTTTTTATTATTCTAACATTGAGCCACTTGTCATGCATATGAGGTTTGTTTTTTTACCTAAACATCAAAGGTTGGTTAATCAATGTTATCCGAGTGGGAGTACTACAGATAAGAAACCTAAATCATCAGAGACTTCATATCTTCTATACTATGTTAATTCAAGACGTAGTAAGTTAGAAAAAGTCAGTTCGTTTCTTGTAAAGAGAACAGGATCAGATTTAAATAGACGTCGCGTCGGTAATGTTTCAGTCACTCTAGAATTGATGAATAAAATTGTTAAGAATTGTAAAGAAAATTTGAATGTTTTTATTAAGGATTTCTTTTCAATTATGCTAACTGTATTAAACAATGAAAATTTCAATAATGATTACTCTATTGTGGATTTATTAGAAGTTACATTTAGTAGTATTTGCATTTCAGTGGATGATACACTATATAGTAGTGATTCAGATTTTATTAAAAACTATTCCAAGTTCATCGATCTTTTCTTTAAAGTTGTTACCAGTAGGATACATAACGACGAATTGTTGTTAAGATTATGTGAAGATATTTCAAATACAAGTAGTATAGCCAATAACCCACAATTGAATCATTATATTCGTAAAGCAGTAGAATTTACATTAAATAAATTCCAAGAAGAATATCCCCAATATAAAATGGTTTCTTTAGCCACACCAACAGAAATACTTAATTTGAATAGAAGATTAAGCAAAGTGCAAACTAGAACTAATGGTACTGATATTAGCTTGCCAAAAGAGGACAATTTAACAGTTAAAATTTTACAATCTTTGTTTAATACTACAGAGACAGATAAACTAAATGTTTCAGTAAGAGCTTTATTATCACATTTACAATCAACACCAAATAAGGAATTGTTAACATATATTTGTAATAAAATTCCTGTGCAACTGAGATATATTGTTGTTTTACTTGGAATAAGAAGATTGACATATGATAAAAATGCTAAAGATTCAGAGTATGATCCTGTGACAGGGCTAAAATTAATATCATGTCTTTTAACATCTGATGTGTCAATTGTAGGATTAAGTGTTTTAGATATTATGAAAAAAATTTTGCAATTTCAATTAGATAATTATGATAACCATGAAATCACCAATCAATGCTGTTTCACTATCAGAGATCTAAGTTTTAAAAATTATTACAAAGGTCAAACCTTTGATATACTATATGAATTTTTAATTAGACTTAAAGGATTCAAAACTACCAACGAGATGTTAAAACAAGATATTTTAGTTAAAGATGTTGTTGAAGTAATAAAATATAAAAATGAACCATGTATTACTTTGGAGTTATTTGTTGAATTATCAACATTTTTAGAATCATCTATGGTTTTAACATTGTTTAATTTAGTCAACAATCAATCACCAAGTAATCCAATTATGTCGCAATTATTCCAAACAGTTTCAAAATTAACAGACGAGAGTATGCAGAAAATTTTTATGCAAAGAATTTTTGCAAAATATGAACATATTGCTTTGTTAAGTGGGCTTAATTATTTCTTAGAAACAACGAAAGAACCTGACAATATTTATTATTGCTATCATTTAGAATCGGCAAATTTTTTAAAATTAGATGACTATAGAGTTCAAACAGAATATAAAAAGGAGCACTCACTATTATTTTCAAGGGCAGATTTATTGAACTATTACTCTGATGCAGGTTCGAATAAGTATTCTTCCAGAGGATCAGAAATATTATTGTTACAAAAAAACAACTTATCTACAGTAGATCTAACATCAGATTCTCAACATAACCTAATTGAGCCATCAAATAGCATAGTCATAATAAATAATTCAGGATCTGATTCGCAAATAGCATTACAAGATAATATCAATGCTATAAAGGCACGAGTATCCAGAGAATCAACGATAGCAAATAGAGAAAATGTTTATAGATATGTTTCTGATGAACTTAGATCATGGAAAACAACGAAGACAAATGCTCCAAAAATAAGTGATTTAAAAAGTTACATTAGGTATACAGGAGATAAAAAGACTCCATCTTCTTCAAGTCATAAAAATTTAAAATCTCTTCGTGGATCTCAATCTGTTAAATCAAGAGTTACTAATATTACATTCTTATTAAAAGAGTTGCAAGAAAATTCAGACCAAGATGAAAAAATTCCAGATCCTGATGAAGAGGAAATAACAGGGTTAGATGGTGTAAAGATAGGTCGGTCTCATTCAATCATGTTACAAAATTCTTTGAAAACGGATAAAAGAACCTCTTTTACAGGCATGCATAAAGCTGAAGTATTTTCTAAGATCGATAGTGTTGAAAATTTTGAAGATGCTGAAGAAGAGGTTCCTAAGGTTGATGGTAGAGGTAAACTTTTTGCATCAAGCTAATTGTATAAATATTTAGATAGCATCGATTGTTGACCTTAATTTATGTCTTTAAAACGATAGAAGGTAAGATAGTTGTTCTTATTATATAGATAAATAATATTTTAACGTGTACTTTCTATATACATATTTAATAAATAATAATACATTGAATAGAAAAATCAGTATAACCTATAAATATCACATTAAATGTATGCTATTTAAATATATGGTCTTTTTTATATCCTATCAATAATCATCACCAGAATCTTCATCGTCGTAATACCCAAATTCATAAGCAGATACCAAATTAGATGCTTCATTTTTTAATTCTTCTCTGTCTTCATCTAGTTTAAATATTTTAGAAATATAGAAGTTCCAATTTTTAAATACATACCTAGATTTTTCATTAGTAGACATATTAATTGATGTCAGCTTCTTTTCAACAAATTCTTCAGGAATAGTATCAGATGGTTTAAATGTAGTTGTACGTAATTCTCTAAATTCTTTAAATTTATTTTGTTCACCCTCCTTATTTTGAGATGATAGTTCATCACTTTCACCCCTGATTATTAAACAATTTGAAAATATATGATATTCCTTTGATGACACACGAGATTTTGCCTCTTTGTTAACTTGAGAATAGAAAGAATAATCGTAATCATAGTTTGTATCATATAAAGTAGTTATAACATTCCGTAATTGATCATCATTAACTAAACATGATGTTATATATTCCATAGATTTTCTTTGTTCCTTATTTCTTTGTGATAATACTGAATTGATCGTATCAAGTAATCTACAAGTCTGACCACCAATTTCCCAGCTTGATAACTTTTGACTATTGGCAAATATAGGGAAAAATAAATCAGACTCCTGTTTTAATGCCAACGTACTTTTAATTTTATTCCTCATAAGAGTGTGATTAATTTTTGCACCACTAAACATGTCTGATTCATTAAAAGCGTATGTAAAAAAAGTTGATTTAGGTAGTTCATCTCTCACATCCTGTACTAATTGTGTTGCTAAACCACCCCACCCAGAATCTAAATCTGTAATGAAATTTATACCCTGTAAAGTGTCTGCTTGTTCCAGCATTAGTCTTAAATTATAATCCAAGAAGTCGTCCTTACAAATATTGAATTCTTGAACACCTTGTTCATAAGTGGTAAATCCATATTGATTTAAATTTTGATAGTCAGGAACATTTGGTGTGTCAACTTTATGATACCAATTTTGCAAAGTATTGAAACTTTTTGGTTCAAGTATTAATTTTGAGTAATCAGACCAATATTTAGTGTTTTCTTTAGTCAATTTTGGTAAATTATATGGATCTATATCTAATGCATTTTGGTATGCAGATTTTTCTATTTTTGGGTGAGTAGATATTATATTAGTGTTATTTGCAGTGGTAGATGGAGGTATTTCTGAATTATTGTTATTAAAATGATAATCTAACGATTCTGGGACATACTGGTACTTTCCCAAGGAACCAAACCCATTTTTTGCCTCCCATAATAAAGCTCTTGGGGAATAAGATACAGTTTTAGATATTTTATCTATAGTAGGATAAAGGAAAATGGATGGATCAATTGAATCATTTGGATTTGTATCCAGTAATGTCTCCTCTTGACAATTGAAGAATTGGGTGGTAAGATGGTTGGCTCTATGAGACAATGAAATTGTAATGATTTCATGCATCCTGGAGTGGAGAGAATAAAAGCTATGGGTTTGCTATTTATGGAAATATTTCTGTTTGCGTATATTTATGTATGTATGTATGTATGTATATCATTGTTTTTTTTTTTGCGTTCTTAGTTTTAATCTTCAAAAATTGATATATATGCTCTTAGATCTGCATTTTGGCACTACTATTTAAAGGTGAAAGCAATTTGTATAGAAAATTATATATTATTTACAATTAGAAAAGAAAATAGATAGATAGTAATACTAAGTATATTTGTAATTAAAGTGATAGTGTTCACTAATGGATATAATTAATGGTTTGAATAGATTAAGAACTACATGTAAACTAGAAATACGCAGTTTCATTTAAAATGATTAATGTAATTTTATTTTCTCTTCAGTACCATTTGTTATTCTTGTTCAGATGTCTAGATGAGAAATGAATGTATGGGATTTATGGAAGTGAAAAAAGAACAGAATGACAGAATATTTGCTTTATTCGTCTCTGTGTGTTAATGCGCATCTATATATATGCGCATATGTAGATTGGTTAGCTGAATTACTTAAAAAGTGGTTTTAACTTTGGGGCCTTTATATTCCGGTATATTATTTACAGGTTTTAAATCTTTCATTGTTATTCTTTCATGAAATGACCTAAAGAATTTGGTGATAGGTTTTGGATACCACCTTTGACCATAAACATCTTTGAACCATCCTAAATGGCCCCCAATATTAGTTTCTAACACCATAGTAAATGGGTTTGATTCAATTAAATCTTCAGGAATGTATGCTCCACCCACAATAGGATCGTCTAATGCATTAATTGAGATAAATGGTGTTCTTATCATGAGAATTCTATTTTTAGGAGATGCATCTATATAATAATCCGTAGCATCTTTATATTGAAACATTGGCCCAGTGAAAACATCATCGAATTGTTTTACAAAAGACAAATTTTTAAGTTGATTGTCAATCTTCTCTTTCCAGATTGGATCTCTCTTTAATACTTTTTCATGGTTTAAAACCAATGTACAAAGATTCTGGGTTAAAATGGGACTGTATATTTTAGAACCTATAGTAGTATAATTGATAAACTTAGCTGATTCTAATAGGTCCCATGGTGTACCCATAACCATAGCACATTTGATTATTGAATCGGAATTTTCTTCACCAATATAATTAGTCACGATTGATGCACCAAGAGAGAATCCCATTAGATATAGTGGCCTATTAGGGAATTGTTTATGTAAAAACTGGACACAGTACCTTAAATCATTAGTCCATCCGCCGTTATATAACTGGGATGTGGTGATATTAGACTGGCAACAACCTCTAGAATTTAATACACAAACTACAAAGTCTTTGTCTCCACTATTTCTTTCATTATTTGAATCTAGGAAACATTTAATAATTGATCTTAAATAGCTTTCATGAGATCCACCAGTTAAACCATGACACATAAGTAGCATAGGTCTTGAATCATCTGAAGATAGATTTGGATCATTGGGAGATAGATAGGAGTAATATCCTAAAAGTGGTGGTTCGAATGGTTTCTGATTAGGATATGGAACTTCTGTGTTTAAGGGTGAATTTATTGGGTCATTAAATGCAAAATCTAGTGCACCTTCTCCTCCATGTGGATATGATAAAATGTATCTTCTATAGTAAACTTCATCAATGTGGTCGAAAGACTTGATTCCAGTGTAACATGTCTGTAAATGTCCATTAAATAATATAGAAGATAATTGATCTGTAGCACCGGATCTAAATTCAGGAACATTGTTATCGATTAGTTCTGTAAGAGTAATTCTTTCAACGTTGTTTCCAAAAGTTAGATCATTCTCTTTGGATTTAATTTGTCTAACAGTTAATATATTAGTTAACAGATCTTTAATCATTGTTTACCTCTACAGTAATCCGTAAGTATATAAATGTATATATATACGACTTGTACTGTCAACTATCTTCGAACAAAGATTATTAGAACTAGAATTTTGCGACACTAAAAAGTAGCAACTAAGTCTATCTGAGGAGCATACAGATATTTTTAGTGAGAGACATACAAATATTTAAGAAAGTTAGCAAGTATATTATAGATGTTATCCTTATTCATATTTCTATACTTGGAGTAATCACCTTTCAGTCTATATGTTTGCATTAATGTGATGCATACAATAAATTTTTTTCTGGTTTAAGCAAGTCTTTAGATCCGATGTAATTAATAGAAAATAAATTATAATTCAGTGTTCCTGCATTGTCAAGAAATATTTGTGGTATAAGTAATTATTTTCGAATACCCAAGAGAATTTTGAAGAGGTTCTGAATACCTTGTTTATCTCTGTATAGGGATATAACGTTGAAACTTTTAATTATAAAAAAAAGTTTGGAAAAGAACAAATTGAGTAGTCTACTATTTGGATAGTTAAACTGATTAAAGTCGGGTTGACACTGTAGCTATCAGTTTTGGTGGATTTCAATGAATGCAATAGTTGATAGGATCACCATTATTTTAACAATAGCATTGTGTATGGTTTCTATAATTCAAAGATCTAGATGGTATAAAAGATGGATCCAAAATTTTATTGAAAATGGTATATTATTAAGAAATGCTGGCCACCATTGGTTTCGAATAGATAATGGGATTATACTGGAAAGTCCTGGTTTCAAGATGACAGAAAAGAAAGTTATTTCAAATTTTATAAACCGTGATAGTGCAATTTCATTCAATGAACTGAGAGAGACATTGTTTAATCTGAAAGGTTATAGGGATGCATGCATAAGACATAATAATACAAAGCTGACACGGTTTAAAGAATTGGATGAAAAGCAAAGAATACAACTGATTGATATCGGTTATATTAGGAAAATCCAAGAAGTAGAATCTAGTATTAACCGTGATTCGAATGTTGTTAATAAAATCATAGAGACAACCCTTCATCAACTTTATAAAGATAATAAGAATAATGAATCATCAGAATATATGAGACTTATCATTGAATTGGTTCGAAGTCTAGGATATGATATGAACTCAAATGGTGAAATTATTACATTAAAAGAAAAAAATGGAAAGCTACATTAAATCGAGACATTCCATTAATGAGAATCAGCGAATCTTTATCACATTTATGTAGAGATTGGAGTCCAGATTTTCAAAATGAAGTACGGCCCATAACGGAATATATTGAGTCGCAATTGTTATCAATTCCTAATGTTGATTCAGAACGTAATTTGTTGGTTATCCCTGGTAGCGCGGTTGGGTATATCCCATATCGTTTGTCGAAAAAATTTCCCAAGCTACAAGTCGAATCCATTGAATGGTCAAATTTAATGTATATCTGTAATCAATTTGCACTGAACTGCAAAGAAGATGTTGAACTCTCTCCTTTCAGTCAATATTATTCTAATCAGATTGATTGGAAGAGCCAAACAAAGTCCATTAGAATTCCTTTAAAGGATGTGACTACGGAAAATAAGAATTTGAAACCTTTATGGGGAGATTTTAGAAGTTATATGCCGGATAGAACAAATACCCTTATCAACAATATTATTGTAATATCAGTATATTTCCTTGACACCGCAGAGAATGTTCTTGAATATTTGGAGACGATTGAATCGTTATCAAAACATTGTGGAAAAGAATTACATTGGATTAATATTGGTCCATTAAAATACGGGACTAGGCCCATGGTTCAATTTACTGTAGACGAATTGAAACAATTGAGACAAATTAGAGGATGGAAAGATATTCACTCGGAGGTTATCAATAAACAACCTAACTTGAATGGGTATTTGACAAATACAGACTCTTTATACCAAGGGTACTATGGGCTATATAAATTCCATTCGAAATTAAATAAGTAAAGAATATAAGGTAAGTGTATATATATACATACATGATATTTTTGAAGATCAAACCTATGAATGAGACATTAGGTGCATCGTAAGCAAAATGCTACTAGTAATGATAATAGTTAATAGTCATTGATTTATATAAACAGATATGCAAGATGCCTTCGTTTGAATTACATAACAAAGACAAAAGTAAAATAAAATAAGAATTTAAAAGAGAGTGAGAGAGTAAGAGGATGAATGTATTGCTTGCGCAGTTACCGACCAGAGCCACTAACATCAATCAATTAAGATTAACGTTACAAATCCCTGGACAGTATGAGGAACGCTTACAACTAATCATACTACGATGACATCTGCTCTGGCCTCCTTTTCCCCTCTGATCATCTAACAAATTAACAAAAAAAGTAAAGATGGCACAGTGAATAGGGGGCGGTATAAATATGTATCGGTTCTTTTGCAAAATAGAAGTAAAAAAGAGGAAGGAAGGAACCAAGATATCAAAATATGGGCACCGCAAAAAGGATACAAAAGTTTCTAAACGCATCATTATAAGTTTTGGTTTTGATTCTGACAGGCCTATTTATATAACTGTATTTTTTTTTTATCAAATTGTGTGCAAAATTAAAAAAAAATTCATAAAATGGAAAAAAAAAGATCATTTTGGGTAAAAATGCGGGTAATAATAATTCTAATAGATTTTGGTTTATTTATTAGAGGGTTTTAAAAATATTTAACCAATACAAGTAAAGAATAGAGAAACATAGGAAAAGTACATAGAGAAGTAAAGATCGTGATGTATTGATGAAAACCATAATTTGGTACTGTATTTATTTGTTTGATAAGTATAGGCTTTTTCAACCTGCTAGGTCAGTTATAGATGGTATTTAATAATAGTATTTTCAAAAATGATAGCTAATATATATATATATATGTAGGTATATGTAAATCCTGGGAATGGATTGGGTAAAAAGTACTAAAGTGGTGTTACAGGGTAACTATTGAGTTATTTAAGAAGATTGCTTATTTTTCTTATAGCAAACGCTCAGAGTGGAGTGTTCATTCTATTGTTTTGTCATGTAATATGTCAATATTTAATTTTTTGATGATTCATTTTTAATTGATTTAAAGTTTTGTGATGAATCTACCAAAACTATGTAAAAAATAAAATCAAAAAAAGAAAATAGTCCACACACAGAAGAAAACAACAAAACAAGAAAAATAAATAAAAATTCAATAATCAAATATCAAGATACAAATGAAAAATTCTTATGCAACTATATATATATAGTACATATGAATATAAGTACCCTTTTAAACTGATCATTTATTTCTTTTCTTTTCTTTTCTTTTCTTTTCTTTTTTTTTTTGATAAAAATAAATCAACAAGAAAGACATAACGCCAAAAAAACATGGAAGAACAATAAGTCATTAGAAATGAATTTAAAAGGCAGAAGGAAGAGAGAAGGAAAGAGAAAATAACAAAGAAGATAGAATGAGTAGAACTAAAAAAAAGGAGTTCATAAAAAGAAAGTACCATGATCAAATAGATTTAGCTAAACCAACTGCATCGTTACCCAAATCATAAATAGAATAATACTTACGTAAGAAAGCATCACCAATAATAGCCAATGGACCTATAGGTTCAGGGAAATCCATTGGTGTGATAGCAGAGATACAAGAACCAGAGACTTCTAAAGTGTAATCGAATGGACTGATGGTGAAATTATGACCATTGAAATTAAAAGTGAGATCTGGTAAATTGGATCTAGTGTCACAATTTAAGGTGTACTGGCCAGACCAACCTTTCTTTGCACCGATCTCAGAATTGATGATTTCTGCCAAACCAGAAGGTAAAGTGATCAAAGAAGTACCTGTGTCGATAGCAGCACCATGCGATTCCAATTCAGCATATTCATCACCTAGAGCGATACCCTCGAATTTAACTTCCCAATAAGCTTTACGACGAACAGGTAACCAAGTGATTTCACCTTCAAATTTGGTTTCATCGATCCCACCAAAAGTGGCTACACCAGTCTCATGTTTAGAGTCATCTTTATCATTCAAATAAAATGCAAACTTAGGTTCATCTAGTAAACCTTCTTGGATGGCATTATAAAATGGAGGAACAACTTTATTAACAGATATGGTGTCATAAGCTAAACCAAGGATACCATCAAATTTACCGAAGGCAAAGGCCAAACCAGGCTCACTTGTAGCTTCAGCAAAATCCTGTTTTGGTATGGTTAGATCGCCTAATTGTACGGTGTCTTGAGATATATACCCGTCTAAAGAACCGGATCCATATTGAATAGAAAACTTAGTACCATTTTCCTTATAAGTGGAGGAAGAACTGTGATCATACTTAGAATGCAGGAAACAGGCCAAAGAACCACACTCTACATTTGGAACCCAAAGATTTGAGGAGCCGGTATCCAGAATGACTTTAAAAGGCTGTGGTGGAGTACCAATAGTGATTTCTGTATAATATTGTGCATTCATATAATTAAAAAGTGGGATATCATGATCTGACTCTGCAGAAAAGGAATTTTCTATGATTGGGTTGATGTCGTTATGGATGAAGGAACGTTTTTCCTTGGGGAATCTAATATCCGGGTAAAACTTCTCAAAAGTATTCAAATATTTTTCTCCTAGTTGTTGAATCTGTCTATACATGGGGATATTTTGTGCATTTTCTTCAATTGGTTGTTTTTTTAAAACAGCGGAATGGACTTTGGCATCAACTTGAGATACTGGATCTCCAAGTATCACTATAGCCAGTGATAGAAGGTATGGCAATTTCATTCTTCTTCCTAATTTTTTCTTTTTCTTCTTAAACAAACAAATTTATTAAATAAATTTGACAGGTATATATACGTATATTATCTCCTTTATCTATGACATCTCTAATGCTCAAATGTACAAACCAAACAAAGAAATGCGAAATCAAAAGGAAAGAACAGAAAAAAAATTTGAAATAAAATAAACTACGCCTATATATACAAGTTTGTCCCGTCCAACAGAACAAGGGTTTCTCACTTTGTGTTGTTTCGGTTGTGTGCGGTTAAGTTGTTTTTTTTTTCATCTTTCTCTTTTCTTTTTCTTGCAACCACACCAAGACAATACAAAAAAACAATCGTGAAGAGAGCAGGAGAACAAAAAAAACAGTCTCTCCCTTTTATCATCTCTATTGTTCAAGACGTTTTCTGTGACAATAGACACACTCCGGCCATACACACCCACACACCCAACCTTTTTTTATCTGTCCCCTATTCTCCCCCACTCAAAAAAATAAAATTAAAAAAAAAAATAAATGGAAAATAGAGCGTAAATCAAAATACACAGGAAGGAAAGTCATTATAGAGCAGTATGGGTCTATATAAAATTGTATATGTGTTTATATGACTGATTTACTGCCTCACTTTTCCAATCCATTCCAAACCACTATTAGTGCCATATATATCTATATATCTGTTTATTTGTCCATTGAAAATTCAAAAAAACAACAACAAAAGTAAATGAATATTTGATGAATGAATTTCCCATTCTAAAACATTTCTTCCCCTATAAATGGAGCTGATGACATTATTGTTGTATTGTCTAATTTAGCACGTTTTACTTTACGCATGTCAGAATCTCTTTCCTGTGATCTAGGTCCTCCATCCTTTTCCACATTGTTATCTTCATCCTCATTTCTATTTTGTACTATTGATGGTGTTACTGATGAGCTAGAATATGATGAAAGCATATCTGTATTACCCGTATAACCTGTCAATAATGAATCTTGATTCTTATTGGTTTGTAGATATTTCTTAGTTGTCTTTCTTGAAGTATGCGATGATGATGACGACGACGACGTTGCTGCTGCTGTCTTACATCCTCCTCTTCTCCTCATCCCATGAACTTTCTTAACTAATTCCAATTCATCTTTTGTTTGTTGAACTATCATTCTATCCTGTAATCCACCTGATGCACCATCATTAAATAGACCTGTCCAATCATTGATTTCTACTTTATACCCAATCATATAATCTTCTGCTGGATCATATATTATCTTGATTTCATCTCCATCGTGCAACAAAACCTTTTCTCCAGCTGCTAGCTTCTGATCATTTATATAACTCACATTACTTCCCGAATGACAAAACCACAAATCATCCAACCCTTGTGCTGGCGATTCATATATACTTTTCCCTATCGGGTGCCTTTTCTTTAAGATAAAACAATGCACTCTAGATAATCTAGAATCTGGTATTTGGAATGTACAATCTTCTGATCTTCCAATAAAAAATATGTTAATACCTTGCTTTATTACTAGTTTCCTCTTTTCATTACTTTTCAATAGTGGCTGTAGTGTTAAAAACTTACCTGCATTCTCTGTTCTTCTTTGAGATTGTATTCTCAACTGTTGTTCATCTATCCTTCTCTGTTTCACCTCTTTACCACTATTTATCTGTGATTGTGACTGCGACTGCGATTGAACTTGGTGCTGTTGCTGTTGCTGTGTAAACCTTATTGGTGGCTGAGTAGGTACTTTAAACCCTTTCTTTTCCATGATTTTATCTAATTCAATTTGTTGCAATTTTAATTCTTTTTTCTTTTTCATTAATTCATAATCCTTCTCATCATAATTTTGTAAAATAGACTGTTGGGCAAGCGACTCCATTAATGACACTTGAGAAGACTTCACAGAACTTCTACCCTCAACTCTATTAGACACATCACTCATAGAAGACCCCGGAGAATCATATTCATTATCATAACTATAACTATCAATCTGTCCCATCTTGATCCAATTATGTTCTAATGCCTTCTCTGCAGTCAGTCTGTTGCCTGGATTCACTTGTAATAGACAATCAATGAAATCTCTTGCCACATCTGATATACGACAATCTTTTAACGGTCCCTCATGATATGATCCACGCCCAATCTGTTTGTATAACTGCTGTGGAGTACTACCACTGAATGGTAAATGTCCTGTCAATATGACATACACCAAACATCCCATCGACCACATGTCCACTAGAGATGAATATTCATTATGTTCTCTGGGTTCACCAGTGCCACTATCATCATCATCATCATTATCACCATCATCGTTATTAATATTGTTGTTCCTTTTATTTGAATCCTGATTTTTCTTACTATCTGTATATCTCCCATCGATTACCTCAGGTGCGACGTATGCTAAAGTCCCACAAAATGTTTTCATAAAAGTTCCATTTCCTTGAACTTTAGCTAACCCGAAATCTGTTAGTTTAACCAATACAGGATCGTCTTGTTCAATTAAAATATTATCGGGCTTTAAATCTCTATGACTAATGCCCATCGAATGTATATATTTGACAGCTTCCAAGATCTGTCTTGTAATCTCTCTACCTGCATCTTCACCAACTGCCCCATGTGCAGCTACAAAATCCATTAAATCACCACCTGATACAAAATCCATTAGCATATAATAATTCTCTGCATCCTCAAAAAACCCTTTCAATCGAACTATCCTTGGATGATTCAATTTTTGCAATACTTCTAATTCTCTTGCTACACCGTCGAAATTACCCATCACTTTCCTTCGATTTATGATTTTCACTGCATATGTCTTCCCAGTGGTCCTTTCAACAGCTTTTTTCACCACTGCAAACGCACCTTGTCCAACCACTTCATCTTGAATAAAATATTTATCATATATTGATACTTGGGACGTCACAAGTTGTCTTAATACCGAGGATGCATCTCCATTAGAAGTAAGAGGTCTCCCACCATTTTTAACTAGTTTATTGTCATTTATACCATTCTTATTCCTACAAATTTCCTCTTTATCTTGTTTCTTACTATTCTTGTTAATGTTTTTACTAATTTTATTGTTACCATCAGTTAGTTGTGCAGCACCATGAAGTTTTAATTGCTCCAACTTTTGTTTAAAACGGTCATTAATGAATATGACTAAAGATACAACATCTCCAGTGACACCAACACCAACCGATATCTCGTCCCCCTGCGATAACAATTGGTTTGTATTTTTTTCGATCTGTTGACCATTCAACCAAGTCCCATTTGTAGAAATATCTTTCAATAAAAGATTCCCGTCTTCCCCCAACATAATCATGAAATGTCTATTAGATAACCTAGTAATATTACCTAAATGATACTCGCATTCTATGTTTCTGCCAAACGTCCATTTTCTTTTGATAGGTTCCCGCTGCGTCAGTACCGTCAATGGATCAACTTCAAAATCTCGTATTGGTATCTGTCCTGTCGTACAAATAACTCTAAATACTATGTTTTCATTTAAATGTTCTTGTGTGAATTTCTCTACAAGGTACCTCTGTGTAGCTTGTGTAGCTAACTGGGTCGGCTGTGTTTCATTCATAGTCTACCTATCTATATATGATTACCAGTATATCAGCTAAAAAGAAGAAGAAGAAAAAACAATAAAGAACAACAATTCTTGAGTGACCTTAGCTGTAACTTTTACTTTAGAATGTGGTAAGTAATATATTATTCTATGAGTTGATAGAACAATATTGCCACTTCCAAACAATGGATAATTTAATATTCTTAACGCTTTTCCAAAAAAACAAAGATACGGACTAGTGACTTACCAACCATTCAAATGCTCTATCAGTGTGATTAACACACTGATCTGAACATCCACTCATCCCATCTTGTTCTTCTATTCTTTTATGATTCCAAACGCGTTAGGAGTTTCGAAAACATCAAAAGAAGGTCTAAATGAAATTTTTTTTTGCCACTTTTGGATATTTACGCGTTCTGGAAATATTTCACATATTCAATCTTTATGTATTTGATCCTTTACGTAGTTTCTCAATTAGTTATACACAACTTGTTTCAACCCCTTTACAGATAAATATACCACCATTCTTAAACACTCTGCTTTAAATTTAACCTAAGTGTTTGTGAAATTGTCTTGAATATCAGATGAAAAGAATAAACCTGTGCATTGTGGAATAGTATCAGTTAAGACTTCGTTATTTAAAAGAGTGAAAGAAGCTAAGAAAAGAAAAGAAAGCAATTAGCTGTTTAAAAGTAATTAACAGAAAATAATTAGAGATTGTTAAACATGCCAGAAAAACGTCTGTTAACGGAAGATGATATAAAACTGTGGGAATCATCTGAGACCAGATCTCAACTAATCAACTTTATAGAGACTTTGGCAGAGAGTGTCAGAGGACATGAAAACACAGATTATGAACTACCTATCTCCGACTCAATAAATTCTTTAATGTCATTATTACAAAAAATTAACCAAATTATTGACAAATACCCAGTGATTGCAGATGCTAATACTTCAAGGTTTGGCAAAATTGAATTTAGAGACTTTTTTCATGATATTGAAACTCATTCTTCACAACTAATAAAGGAAAGTTTCCATCAATTAACAGACAAACAAGTAAATCAATTATCTACATATCTTACACAATCGTGGGGTGATAAAAGAAGAATAGACTATGGATCAGGCCATGAATTAAACTTTATATGTTTTCTCTATGGTCTGGCCTATTATAAACAATTCAACATAAAGAGAACAGACTCGACTAATTTAGTATTAAAGGTCTTTGTTGAATATTTAAAGATAATGAGGACTCTTGAGCGTAAATACTGGTTGGAACCTGCAGGATCTCATGGTGTGTGGGGCCTTGACGATTATCATTTCCTACCGTTTCTGTTTGGTGCATTTCAATTATCAACACACAAACACCTTAAACCTAAATCCATACATAACGATGAAATTGTGGAGATGTTTGCTGACCGATATCTATATTTTGGTTGTATTGCATTCATCAACTCTGTTAAGACTACTGCATCATTAAGATGGCATTCCCCAATGCTAGATGATATCAGTGGTGTTAAACAATGGAGTAAAGTAGCAGAAGGAATGGTTAAAATGTATATAGCCGAAGTACTGAATAAGTTACCTATCATGCAACATTTTTACTTTAGCAAATTTTTACCATGCCCCGAAGGTGTAACACCTTCAATTCAACAATCTGATTTTAATTTGAATGATAATAATGAAATTGAAACAAAATTACATTCTAACCATCTGCATACTGGCTGGGGTGATTGTTGCGGGATCAAAATACCAAGTGCAATTGCCGCTACACAAATGAATAATAATAAAAATCATCACCATCAACAGCCCAAACCTTTACCGTTTGACTAATATCCCCCTGTTTTAAGGTTAAATATCTAAGACATTATCCTCCTGTACCCTTCTCTGGTTGATTTGATTATACACATTTATACAGTATCATTATGCAATAAAATTTTTATACATTCCTTTCCAGTCTCTATATATATCCTTAAAGAATCTATCTAATGACATGCTTCTTATATAATTAATTCTTTATATCCCCCTAATCCTCCTACATTTGTTAAAATCGTTGTGATGCCAAAATTGGGTTCCATGGTATACCTGGATGTGTCTCAGGTGTTGCCTCTTCATCTTGTTTCCATATCTTAATACTCTTATCTACCTCACCAGTTATCAACCTTAATCCTGTTTGATCGAAACAACTGGTTAAAATTCCTTTTTCACTATCTAAAGAACCTGTCATTTTAACTGTATGTATAGATTGATATAAATGTCCTGATCTATAATCAAAGAAAGATAATACTCCATTATCTCCACCAGCGAACAAAACATTATCTTCATTAACTGATAATGTATTAATAATTCCTACAGATTCTGATAAAAAGTTAGTTAAAAGATCACCTTCGGGTAATTTCCATGACCTTACATCATTAGTACATGCAGACACCATTGAAAATTCTGTGGGATGAGTAGCTATCGATCTCACTGTTTTCTTATGATGTGTGATAACTTTCATAGTCTTGCCTGCTACAATATCCCATAACCTTATAGTTGCATCATTGGAACAACTAATCACTTGTGGATCTACAGGTAAACATTTAACTTTTTGTACTGGTGCCTTATGTCCAACTAACGTCACAACAGCCTTCCTTGATCTAATATCCCATAATTTAACTACACTATCCCTACCTGCAGTAGCAATTAAATCCACTGTTGGATGTATATCAACAGTATGAACCCCAGATAAATGCCCATAATAATCTCTAATAGCTGAATTTTTCTCTAAATCCCAACATTTAACCAATTTATCATCACTTGCAGAAAACATATAGGGATGTCTTTTAGATACACAAACATCTCTTACCGCCATAACATGTCCACTAAGTGTTAATTTCAAATGTCCAGTACCTAAATCCCAAACTTTTAAAGTGGTATCGTTACTCCCTGTGACAAACCATTCATTTTGAATAGGTTCCATAGCTATACATCGTACCCAACCTAAATGTCCATTTATTATCTTTGCCAGTTTCCACGGATGATGCCATTGCGGTTTTTGTGACATTAATGTCTCATATCTTTCTAATGGATTGTCTATCTTATTTTGATCCACTACAAAGGATTTCTTAAGATTTTTTGATTTCTGATATATTATTACGCTATCAGTATTTGCTAACGATGATTGGTCCCACTGAAAACTCGTGGATAATTTTTTATCAATCGATTCTTGTAAATGTGTAGGTAATTTGGCCATATAATGGAATTGACTATCCCATCTTAACCTCGAATAATAATCATCTACATCTTGTAATGCAACATTATCTGAATTATCGTCTGTCATGTAGATACTATTGTTTCTTTAAATGATAAAATACCAAAATTGTTTTCTTAATAATTGACTATACCCCAATCACTGAGTCCACTTGATTCTAAATTCCTAGAGAATTTCTAGCTGCTCTCACTCTCTCATAGTTTTGCTGGTTTGAACATTTTTCTATCACTTCAATGTTGAATATGTTAGTAGAAACAATCAAAAATTAGCAAAAAAAATAATTTATTGAAGAATTTGAAATTGCTCTTTCATGTGCTTTGTTAAAATAGAAATCTGATTCATCAATAAGAACACCCACCTCTATATAAAGAAGAAATATTATTTATAAATATTGTATATTACTTTAGAATATCAGTAAAATATCTGCTTTAAGTTTTATTTTTAGTTGTTCAAACTCAATACAGTCGCAAAAAATTAATTAGTTTTACCATTAATGCAAGAGGAAAGGAAGGATAGATATTAATGAAAGTTGTGAATTATTATCCTTGACAAGTCTAAAATATACTTTGATATCATCAAACTTTTTATTGGTTTATTTTATTATCTCTTTTTCCATATTTTTACAGATATATAACTTTTTGATTTATTAATTTAATGAATTGTGTGATGACTATTAGCTCCCAAACTAGAACTGAACAAAACAATATAAAAGCTGTCATAATTTCTTCGTATAATAAACTATACAGTGAATTTTCTACAACAGAATTAACCGAGGTTGGAAATTACAAAATCCTAGAACAAATTGGGGAAGGCAGTTTTGGGAAAGTATATTTAGCATTACATAAACCTACACATCAAAAGGTTGTGATTAAAACCAGTTCTAAAAATGATCCGAATATAGTGCGAGAAGTCTTTTATCATAGACAATTCACATATCCTCATATTACTAAATTATATGAAATTATTGTGACAGAGACTAAAGTCTGGATGGTTTTGGAATATTGCCCAAACAAGGAATTATATGATCATTTATTAAAATTGAAAAGGATACCCAATGGTGAATGTACTAAATTATTTACTCAAATTGTGGGAGCAGTATATTATGCACATTCTTTAAATTGTGTACATAGGGATCTTAAATTAGAGAATATACTGTTAGATAAGAATGGAAATGCAAAATTGACAGATTTTGGATTTACTAGAGAATCTATTCAGAAGACTACTTTAGAAACAATATGTGGTACTACTGTCTATATGGCACCTGAATTAACTGAAAGAAAAAATTATGATGGATTTAAGATTGATATATGGGCTTTGGGAGTTATTTTATATACTATGGTATGTGGTGTTATGCCATTTGATGAAGATGATGAGACAAAAACTAAATGGAAAATTATTAATGAGGATCCAGTTTTTGATGATAATCTAATGAGTGTGAACTGTAAAGATTTACTAATGAAGTTATTATCTAAAGATCCTGTACAAAGACCTAGTGTAAAAGAAATATTACTACATGATTTTCTTCAACCATATGGGGCATTAATACTAGAAAAAACTGACAAAATAATATCCAAACAAAGGAAGGGTTCTAATAATTTTAATACAAAATTAGAAAAAAAGTTATTGAAAAGGTTAAAGAGATTAGGATATGACACTCAAGCAATTAAACACTCTGTCTTTAAAAAGAAATGTGATTCGTTATCTGGATTATGGTTTTTATTACTAGCCAAAGAAAAAAACATGAAAAACGTAGCTATCCAAAGAGAAGCCGATCAGTTTTGTCTGTTAAAAGAGTTCTAGAAACATCACTATCCGGCGGGGATACAGTTAATTCACATGATGATAGTATATTTAAAACATCATTGGAAGTAACTAAAGTGGCATCTATTGGAAAAATTATTACCAAAAAAGTAGATACAGGAATGTCAATAACTCAACAGCTATCTGGCAGAAAATTATCTGAACCTACTATGAATCCAGAAAAACAATTAATTACTACCCCTGAAAGAAGTATTTCATCCACTCTTATTACAAAAACTACAAGAGAAAATGATACCTTACTTAAGAGAAAAAATATATTTAAGAGAATGTCAGACTTTTTCAAGAATAGAAAATACGACACCAACAATCGTTCCATCAATGGTCATATACCAACTAACTCACCTGCCACCCATATTTTGGGTGATTCAGCATCTGTCAAAAATAGTGTAGAGTCTATTAAAAGCAAGATATCACCAAATAAGAAAGTTAACAAAGTCCCTGGTAATTTGGGTAATAACATAGCCAATTTAACCATTAACAACAAACAACAGAATGAGCATTATTCAGATAGAATATATATTAAGGAACCTGAAGTTAAGAGATTTAAATCTACAGTATCCTCAAATATATCAGGACATGGCTCTGATAATAATAACCATAATAACAATAACAATAATTATAATGATGCAGACTTTGATATATTGACCTCGTCACCGTCTTTCAGCAATAAAAAATCATCCTTAGCTAAATTACCTTCTAGACCGTTGTCTAGTATATCACAGCTTTCCAATGAGACGTACACATCCGATTATTCCACTGATGGCACAATGTCAATTTTTCAACGAACTGTCACAGATTCCTCTAAGGGCCTGCTTTATTCTAATCCATCTAATAATGGGGTTTCTTTATATTCTTTATCTAATAGTGCAAATGGACATTCTGCTGATAAAATAAATTCTACAGGAAAAACACAAAGTCGTTTTATTGGAAGAAATGTTAGTATCAGATCAGAAACTTCTAGTACATCTGAACGGAGTTCGAAGACTGATTCATTTTATGATATTACGACTGCTTCCATGCCAATAATTGCCGATAAGAGAAGTACATATTGTGCCAATTCTACAAAAGATTCTGTCTTGCCTAGGTTCGGGTTAGCCCAACAACCATGGTCTATACAAAGGAACTATAATACCTCAAGAAGAAATGCATTTCAAAGAAGAGGAAGGACGCGAAAGTCAGTTTTTTTAAAAGGTAATTCTCATGATACTGAGAGTGTTATTAAGGAGGAAGAATATATTTCGTCTTCAGGAGGCGATGAAACAACTCCTGGGGCCGTGCCAACAGTATCACCATTCTCATATTTTAGAGAAAGCCATAATGATATTTCTCCTAAAATGTCTGACACCTTTGAGGACAAAACTGAAACTTGTAGTGATAAAAATAATGAGGACGAGTCAAATAATGAGGGTTTAGAGGAGGATACTATTTCTGCAAGACATATAGGTTCTAAAAAACCAGCAATTATAAATACAATTGCTAGTGGGTCGTATCCAGGGTCAGATAATGCTTTCCCCGGCTTCAACTTGGCAAAAAGCTCTAAATTTCCAAATCATGTGTCTGCAAATATCTTACCATCAGATACTGAATGGTCTGATGGTTCTATAACAGACTCAAAGTATTTTGTCCATTGTCAAGGTGGCAAAGGAGTCAGTGGTAACGAGCATGAAGATAATGATTCTGTTCATGCTGCCGATTTAGAAGATAATTTTTCAGAGGAGGACTTTGATGTATCAAGAGATTAAGCTCGATTCATATAAAGTTACTTTTTTAAACCTGCATACAAGGATACTACTGTTTTACTTAACAATAAATATATAATTTTTTGTCCATATATATTATTTGAAATATTGTAATACAATAATGAACCCGCAAAGATAAATTTAATTGGTATGAAATGTGCATTATCAATTCTTATCAAAACTGTTTGCTAAATGTCTTAACATATATTCAAATGGCCCACTAGCAACTCCATCGATAGTTAACGAATTAAACATATTTTCAAATGCTTTCATAGTATTTTCTTCAGAGTGTAAATGCTGTAAAATATCTTCTATTTCCCTATGAAAATACTCAGTTTCAGATCCTGTTCCAGTCTCATTACTATCGTCTCCATAGCCTTGTGCATCCATAATATCAAGGTCGGGCGTATCCTCTTTTATAAACTGTTCAAGATCACTATCTTTCATATTTAAAGCTTCTTTTAAAAAGAATTCAAAAAAGTCATCTTCATTGATACCTGAATTTTCTTCAGAAAGGTACTCAACTGCTTTCTCGTTTTCATCATCAGTTGTACCATCTGAAGCAATTTCTAAATCAAATTCATCATTTTTGTCAAAGTTTCTGTGGAAGCTATTGCCATTTTCCTTTTCATTAAAGAATTGTGTAAATAATTCCATTAGTTTCTCGTTCGGTTCTACTCCTGCTTCAACTTCATATTTTTGTTTGTAATCAAAGTCAGGGAACTTATAGGTTCCGTAAAAAAGTGCTTGATTCCACTTTGGTTCAGTCATTGATGCTGATGATTTGTTCCCCAAATTATCCACCTCAATATCTCCAGAATCAACAAGATGACGTAAACACTTTAACAAATATAGAGCACATACTTTTGCAATATCAAATTGTTCCACTTCTGCATTATTGACCTGTAGGTAAAGAAGAAGAAGATTGAAATGGTTTTTAGAAATAAGGAATTTAGTAACATTCTGATTATATTCCAAATTTTCCACATAGTTAACATGGATATTTTCATTTTCATTTGCACTCATAGTAAAAAGATTCTTAATCAAATAGTTGATTATTCGAGGATTTGATTTTAATATCTCTGCAGTTTTATTTTCGGGTAATTGCAACGATAAAAATCCCAATTCAGAGAGTTCCTTTGTAGGAAAATCATTTACTGGATACAGTTTATCCAATTTTTTTGAAATATCATCAACGTTAATACATTTAAAAGGCGTGAATAATAATGTATCCAGACATATTTGTGGATCAAGGCCTTTATTTGGTATAATTGAGTCTGGAATAATGATAAAATTACCATTTCGTAACCATAATCGATTATTACCCACAGGATATTCATAATTTCCAGGTATGATATCATGACAACTAGCTAATAAAAAATCACCATCTGTATCTACTATTTTAATAAATACTTGGTCGCCAGCTTCTTTAGAAAATTTCCTGAGAAGAGAAACTATTAATGTCTCTTCGTTTTGAAGATTATCTTCAACGCAAAGGTCTCCAAAAATGTATTTAATATTTCGAAAATTATCTAATCTTAAAGATACACCGTTATATTCAGTCCAAGGATAAAAAGTATTCCAATCTTTTAACAGTTCGCACAGTTTATGGTATAAAGATTGTAAGACAGGTCCTATGTCCTTAATGAACATATCAAGCACAAATATACCAAACACTAAATGTGTTTTCTTTGGAATATTAAAAATATCAAATGTCTCCTCATTTTGATCAGTTTGCCACAACCATTTACTATCAATTTTATGACATTTTTTCACCACTTGTAACATCATACAAAAAGTAAGTATTGGACAGTGTTTAACGAGCGGATAAACAATGCTTTATGCTTTCATTAATAGATGACTATCTGTCTTAGTCCTTATAGAAATTGAACATGATTTTTGATCTCTTTCTGTGTAATTGGGTCAATTTTTAACATGAAAAGGGAAAAACAAACTACAAATTTGGCTTTTACAAAAGAAATATAATACTAATTGATAAAACGGTAGGATGTCTTACATTAAATGTGATTTCTTCTTTGTCTTGTTGATATGTAGAAACTAATAGCAGAGACTTGTAGAAATAGATACAGACTGATCAAAATATCAGGAAGTGATTTGCTTATGCTTTTTTTACTATAAAGAAGTTCAGGCGTTCAAATAGATAGTATTTCAAAATTGATAGCCTCACTAATCGATAGAGCGTTTATTAAAAATAGACGTTAGAAGCAAGCAAGTTAGAACTCTACCCCAAGACGAACAGAATAAAATATATATCAAAGAGAAATTGCAAGTGAATTAGAATTTCGTAGATTTTTTATGAACACTGTGCGTGACTTGCTCTGGGAAGGTAAAATCAATGTTCAGATATACCTGCACAACTCAATATTAATTAGTAAACAACATAGTTCTTCTCAGAACTCTAATTACCATGTGTCAGATAAGCCATATTTAAATTTGAGATTGCCTAGAGAAGCATACTTACCTATGTATTTAACACAAATTCTCAAGTACTTACAATTATATTTAGTGTCTGATGATATTGATCATATGTCTTCTCGTTGCTGGTTCACCTTTGAAAATAAAGTATTACCATGGTTTTTGCCTATTGGTGTCATGTTTGATATAACAATGGCATCAGTAATAATATCTAGAGACTCTAAAAATTATGCCAAGTTTACAAATAATATAATTAATGTATGGCCTATTACATTACATTATATAGATTCAAATAAAACAAATGAAGAAATATCTAGTGGTGTAATTCCATTGATTGATGGGGAAAAACAAGTAGAATCTTACTGGATGCATAGGTGGAAGCAAGCGTGTTTCATCATGACAGGTTCTTCTAAGTTACTAATGTCTTTGAGTAGAAATGATACAGTTGCATTTTGGAATTCAGTAAAGAGTAGAAATAGTATACAATTTCAAAAAATTTCCAAGAGTATAATCCCTTCAACAATACTAGGATTTAGAATGGTTCCTATTCAATTTCATATGGTAAACTCTATAAATAATGAATTTATGGGTCCTATCCAACCTGTTCTAAAATTTAATACCTCAAATGATAGTTATGATGGACTTGAAGATATAACACTAAAGGACCCAGTATCAAAAGAATTCCCAGATTTATTTGATAAGAATGGAAATTTCAATGCTGTATTATTAGCACAAGGTATTATACTCCAGCTAGACGAATCTATTTATACACTATACACATCTTTATTAAGCATAGACGGTTTTCTTCACATAATAATTGCATATAATTGAATATTATAACATTACCCTTTCCCTTTTGAATCAAAGCATTTACGCAAATACGTAAATATATTATAGATCTATCTACATATTCATATACACGTATCTATTTGAAACTTCATTAATATATTATTAAGAAGCACATATTGAAGTATATGCAATCAAATATTCGCCATCATGTGAAATAGACAGCAAAATGTTAGTATCTTTTAAATATTTTTCATACAGCAGTTGACACTCAGTAGTCAATGGATTTACAATTTGAACTTGAGGTGCTCCTGTGATTTGATTATTCGACTTATAAAATAACTTAGTGTAAATCATTTGTGCTGGCAGCATATCATGTGGTGGAATGAAATGGGTCATAGATTTATATAATGCCTCCTTAGTAGCCCAAATACCAGCCATATATGTAACGCATTGTTGTTTTTGTACTTCACAATGGACATCCAAATTTCTCATTAAGTTTTGAAACTTTTCTCTCTCACGAGAACACATAACTTTCCTTGCAATTGCATTAAGAGTTGACTTTTTAGTTGAATATTTGTTTATTAGCTCTAATATTCGAGGGATATGTACTATATCAACACCGATTCCTTTAATCATTATTATTGAAGAAATCTAAAACTTATAGCTTTTTTGTTGTGGAGTAAGAATGACCTGATTATATTACTAACTATACATCTAATTATAGTACTATCACATAGATACCGTGTGAAATTGTTTCAGTATTTTTTTGATGTAATTTATTATGAAACAAGCACAATCTTATAAAAAGTTCAAAATCACATAGTATGCACATATAAACAGTATGGTATTATTAATTAATATCAACAACTAAGTATAAAAAATTATAAATAATAAAATTGCAACAAATTTCACGATCACAAGTTAAATTCATTGAAAAATCCACTGATCATTTCACATAACTACTCTTATAATTCTTTATTACTAATATTATGTTGGTACCTTTGATTAATTCACGATATTTGCACCAACAGTGTTATTTAGTGATTTCTTTCATCTTATCTACAATAAGAGTACAGATTCATATTTCCCAGAATATATAATAAAAAAAAGTTTTATTTATTAAAAATTTTATAAATTTCCTTTGCTTAGATCACTAAAGAAATAATCATTATCTCAGTTTAGAGTTAATAATAAACTCTATCTATAAATAGTAATTTATGTATGAAAGGTATATTTGGAGTATTTACCGGATAGCATTTGTTAACTGTTATCCTCATTACGTAATGTCTTAACTACATCCATTGATTTCTCTATAATCTCTACGGAGGTATCCATAATTATTGTTTCATGATCAGAGAAACAACCTTGCATAATACCTACATCCAAAATATTAGCATATATTAATAAAGTTAATATGAAATCTTAGGAGCCAATAACAAGTCCTATAATAATAGAATTTACTCTATTTTCACATTGAGAACTCTTAGAACTGCCAATAAATTCAATGATTTATTTGGCGTTTTAATATAAGGAACTGGTACCTCAAATTTTGAAAATTATTGATTAATTGGATTTAGATCATGAAACAATTTGGTGATTCCATAATTTTTCGTAGGTTTATAAAATAGAGGATTGTTAACAACTTCTCAGTCATAGACCCTATTGTGCTTAGTATATTAATTAATTGTGTTAGAGTGAATTCAAAGGTGATTTTATCAGAGTTATACTTGTGAATAATCCCTTTGAAAGGTTATATAATTACAAGTTGATAAATCTAGCTGTGTTCTTCTGCATATAATTTCCCAAAATGTAATTAAAATACCTGAAATATACACTCAGTTCTTAGTATGAGTTATAAATAACTCCTTTTAGGTTTAAATAATCAAGAATAGATCCTCTACTGTTAATATTATTCCTTATAAAGAAAAGAGAAAAAAATCGACAAATCAATTATAATATTCCTTGAAATGATTATTCTTTGATACAATGTCAGTCATTACTAATATACAAATCAAATAATATCGACGCATCAATATGCTTATGTTTTTATATATGCTTCAAGAATAACCTGTCACCTCCTTTAAATAACTAGTATTTATTATTTCACAATGTAATGTCATTAAATAGTTCTCTGACTTTCTTATATAAGTTTATTTTTGATAATGATATACTTGAATTGTAATTTACAATTATTTAAAATCTTTGTAAGCCCATTTTTCAGTAACCTTCTTTTTACCCTTTCTTCTGGTAATTGGAATACGTGACTCAATTTTGCCTGAGCTTTGTAGTTTTCTCACATTATCGTACAGAAGATTACCTTCCGGTTTTAATTTTCTTAATGAGTCAGATAATTCATCACTGAATTTAATCTCTAATCTTTCTTCTAGGACCCCATATTTTGTACCTAATTTGTTCCTATTATGCTTTCTTTTTCCTTCTATCTTTTCAATTGAAGAGCCAATGGTTGCCATTGATTTTTCAAGTTCTTCACTATATTCTTCAACCTTTTCTAACTCATGTAACTGCTTCCTTAGTTTTTTCAGTTCTTGATGCAATCTTACTTTCTCTTCATGTCTCTTTGCTTTATTTCTTTGATACTTAGTTTTCTTTTTATTCTTAGTTGGCGCATTCACAGATAATTTGGTTAAGTCCTCCTCATTATTTTGATCAACAGAATCATCTAGCTCTTCATCTTCATCATCATCCTCTTCATCTTCCTCCTCATTATCGTCAAGAGTTTCCATTAAATGTTTAATCTTTTCCCTATAAACTTCCATTTGTATTCTTTGTTCTTCTTTCACTTTCTCAATATTATATTCCCTTTCTATTAAAGCAGACCATTCTTTTTTAGATGGATTATATGATTTACCTGCATGTGGAATAGTTTCTACTTCTCTAATTTGAATAGGTTTTTGTTTTAAAGTATCTGGAACTACTGTAGCTACTGACCAACCAGTTGTGGATTTGTCTATAAGATCTTTAAATACTGGTTCAGGAGATTTCACTACAATACCAGAACGAGACACTACTTTCTTTTTGCTAACAATAACAGAAGAGTCGTTATCATTCCATATATCGTGTGGATCTGACTTAACCAAACCTTCCTTGTCGATTCTATTTTTCAACTTAGATTCACCAATTCGTTTACCAGCTAATGCCATCAATTTATTCAATTCTTTCTTAGAGACCCCTTGAACACTTTTTTTATTTTTAGTAATTTTTTCAGCAGAACTGTGTAATGGATGCAAAAGCGCATCAACTTTAGATTTACTTTTAATAGAATCTAAAATTTCAGAACTCTTCAAGTTCTTTTTAATTTGCTTTCTTTTAATCAATTTTGATTTTAAGATCTCATCACCTTCAGTATCAACTCGGAATAAAGATTGGTCATCCAGTTCTGCTATATCTTTTGTACCATGTGTTATCTCCAAATCAATTTTCTTTTCAATGGATTTTTCAATATCTGTCAAATCAATATTTTTTCTCCATGCTTTCTTTCCCTTTCTAGAAGATTGTTTATACTGTTGAGGTCTATCTGATACAGACATTGTTATATGCAGTGTGGATAAGACAAAGAAAATAAGTACTGATATGTAAAGGATAGAATAATATAATCTTGCAATTCACAAATGCAATATCTTTTTTCTTTTATTCTCACTTACTGCTTTATATCGTGTCTATTAGACATTCAACTACTAAAGGACCGGACAGATAAGAAATAATAGTGTCAAGACAAACACTAGAATATAACCAGCATTGATGGAGAAACAACTAAACATGGTATTAAGAAATGAAGCTCATCGCAAAAAGAAAAAAAACTTTTTGGTACATTATAACGCATAATAAAATTTTAAGTGTTTTCCATTTCAGAAAATTTTCCATATTTTTTTTTCTAGAGAATCTAAAAGACAATTTTTTTTTTAATTTTTTTCTAACAAAATTAATGAAAAGAGAAACGTGTTAATTTCTCGAGTAAGGAGTTAAAAGAAAAGAAATGGAATTGATACTAATTAACAATAGAACTATTTGAACTGCTTGAAGATATTTATGTATATATATTTAAAGGTGATATAGTTATTATTGTCAAATAACGTAGTAATAAACCTAAAAAAAAATAAAACAAAAAATAAATATTCACTTGGCTATACGTAAGCCTCAAACTTTTGAATTCAACATATATAATAGTGGTAACTTGAAATTCTATAACAACAATACTTAAATTGTTTCATTAAGATCTTATTTCATTTTCAATTATACAAATAATAAAATTGCTTCAAAGTATTACAAAAAGAAAATTCTCATAATTATAACACTACTTGAAAAAAGACAAAAGAAAAGATAAAACATGTTAGAAAATAATACTAAAGTGACAGAAATAACAAAAAAGAATAAGGAACATAATGAAAAACAATGCCAACACATCAACTTCCTTCATAATTTTTTATTTTTTTTAAAAAAAAATTAATCTATTAATATCTTTCAACTCCTTTCCTCTTGTTTCCTAACTTTACAAAACAATTTCTTGTTCATTGTCCCATAACTCTCTCTTAAATCTCCAGTGAATAGATTGTAAACCTTCCTTCTTATCTTCTTTATCGCCTATCAAAGTTCCACTTGGGACATTCTTAGTCGATAGATTGAATTTGGATGCCAATTTAATGAAAATATCATCAGGTTGTGGACGTTCTTTAACATGATCATTTTTGTTGCTTTCATCATCATTGTTTGTATTTTCGTCATTGTTTTCATTTTTATTATTTACATCGTCAGAGTAATCGACATCACTAAACCAACGTCTTTGCCAGCTAATACCCTTAGCTTCTTCTTGTCTTCTTAATTCTCTTTGGCTTTCTTCTAATTCAGTTTTTGCCTTTGAAATGCCTTCAAAATCATTAGCTTTGATGGCTTCTGCAGTAGGTAACCAAGCCTTTCTGGATTCTAAAGGATGTTGATCTTCAATTGGCTTAACGTATAAATGTTCGGCAACACACTTTTCAGCATCATAGAATAACACAGGATCAGTCTTTTTGCCATTTGGTAAGTTTTTAACCAAAGTAGATTGACCAGACCATTGACCAGAAATGGTATATATTGGATCTTTACTCTTACTTGACCAATCATCAGAGTTTTGATAGATTTTAGCCTTGAAGGAATTCTTCTTACCGGAGAAATAACCTCTACCAGAGAATTCGATGACGGTGAATAGATCATTTGAACCTTGAATGTATGATTTACCATCTAATTCAACAAATGGAGATGCCATTAAGATCCCTTCGATATGTAAAGGCGGTGGAGTCATTAAATAGTGCTCACCCTTCACGTTCAAGATAGTATGACCGTATTGTTTAACGGTCAACATTAAAGATTTTGTGAAAGAAGCTTTAACTTGATTATAACCTTGTAATTTGATGTTATTTTTGTCATTGAAGATAGTGTATGCAGTGACTGGAGGATGATGAGAGACCTGTTCACTTAAAAGGACAGTCTCACCAAAAGCTGGATTAACTTTATTTTCCCACTTACCAACAAACAATTCACCTAAAAATGGGTTTAAAGGCTTCTTTTCAGAACCCATAGTTTCATTTCTTGAACAGTATTGGGATTTCAAAGTTGAAATGAACCATTTGGTAACTAGAAGCATTCTTGCAATTTCTGGAGATTCAACATTTTCATCTAAATCTTTAACATAATCTTTAAAATTTGTATCATCAACAAAAGAAGGATTCAAAAACAAATCTGGGTGTTCAGCCCAATATTGAGAGAATTCTGTTAAAGAGATTGGAGCTAGAATAAATGGGGGAGCAGTTAAAGAAGATAAATCACCATTGAAGGATGCAATTGACTTCAAAAATGAAGTCCATGTAGAACTACTAGCATATTGAGACATGACGAATCTATGATAGTGAAAGGGATATTAATTATTATATTCTAGTGTATTGTGAGCAAATTCCAAACCAAAATAAAAATACAATTGAAAAAAGAAAAAAAGTAAAAAAAGATAAAAAGAGTAGAGGATCGTTATACTGTCTTCTTGTTCTTCTTTTTGTTTCTCTACTTGGTCTTTGGTATTATAAAAACGTTGACTTACTAAAAATTAACAGCAGTGCCAAATAACTGTAAATATACTAATATCTAATAGATTGGAAATCCCAGAAAAAAATATCCGATAGAAAGAATTAAATAACTGGTAAAATCCACACACTAATAAGTAAAAAGGAGCAAAGCAAAATATAAATCTTAATAAATCTTTGTTTTCTGTTTTCTTTTATTTTTTCTTTCTTTCTTTTTCTTTTTCTTTTTTTTTTTTTTTTATAATTATTATCATCAATATATCCGCTTGTTTTGATTTTGTTGAAATTCTTTGAAAACTTTCCTTCCTTCTGAGTGATTTAAGAAACAATTAAAAGAAATGACGAAAAACAAAACCCACACGAAAAAACAAACAGAAAAGAAATAAAAAAACAGAAAAAAATTGTTAGTCAGCCGATTTTTTCTCTTGGTGTTTCCGCCGGTTTGTCGACAGATTTCCGCTTGTTTTCCTTTCATTTTCCGTTTGTTTTGTATATTAAAATACACCATTAATATCATGTAACACGGCACACTATTTTATTTAATTTAATTCAATTTTGTTTTTTAACTTTAACGATCATATTATCATATTTAACGAATTACTTCATATTTGAACGAAACTCCGATTGTAAATTTTTCTTTTTTATTCTTTTTTTCGTTAAAATATTGGTGTATTACATTTATTTTTTGATTCCTTTTTTTCTTTTCTGTTTTATGTATTGTATTGTGTTTAAGAGGGTGCTTGTTCTTTTCTTGTTTAAAGTTTCTTATTGATTAATGTGAATGTATATAATGGTGTTGTTAGTGTATACGGATATATATATTCTATATTTACTATATTTTCATACTTCTACGCTTGAAAAAATCAATCACTTTTCTTGTTCTAGAAATGGTTTGATAATTATGTGGCGCAGACGTTACATTTATGGACTCATATGTTGGTGTCTCATCCTCAATTATTACAGGCTGTGTAACTATCATGGATGTTCTTTTAATATTATGTCTAACATTTGAACGCTTGTACCTATGCTTATTTATATTACTCTTTGATTTACTCATGTTATCATTTAGTTGTTCAACATTTACATCAATCCCATTGTTTTTCTTTGATAAAATGTTGTTAGATATTTCTTTGATGGTAGGTGAAATCGTCTTGTGTACTGATGATGATGTTGTTGTTGTGGTAGTATACATACTGCATGGTCTTCCAGATTTTGTATTTTTACAATTTTCAATTTCACTTTCCTTTTCCTTTTCCTTTTCATTTTCATCGATTATGATATGTTCTTGTACCCTTTTAATTAATGTTTCGATATCTCCATTTATTTTCATTATATCTCCACTAGCATTAACATCTGTATCAACAGATACCTTACTGAATATTGATGATGTTTTCCTAGCCACTAATTTTGGTGATTCACCGTTTATCTTTTTTATATCATCTAGTTTCTTGCCACAATCTTCATCTTCAGTAATTTCTGTCATTGAAGTCACAGCAGTATCTGTACCAAGATTGGGGATCGAATCAAATGGAGATTTATTTGCATTCGAATCACTTTTCTGCAAATGTTGTCCACGTAATGGTGTAATGGAGATCGATGAATATGATGAAGATGACAGTAATGAGACATGATTATTTTCGGAGATTAAACCTGGATAGTACGAAGTTGGTCTTGGTTTTCTCGATTGTGAATATGAAATCCTGGATTTATTTCCGTTGTTATATCTAATATAACTGGATACAAAAGCTGAATTCTTTAATTTTGAATCATCTAATTTTAAGGGACTTAAATTAATTTGCTCATTATTAAGTTCCGATAAGCACACTGGTGTAATGAAATTACTATCGGCATTTCTACTATTATATTGGCTATTGCTATTATTATTGCTGTGATTAGGAATATTAGTACTATTATTGTTGTTGTTATTAGTAGTATAAGAAGAAAAAGAAGAAAAAGAAGAAGTTGATGTAAAATGTTGTCTGTCAGCATCAACTACAGCTTGCAAGGCAAGTGAAGCAGCGGAATTGCTTCTATTATGGCCACGTTTCCCCGGAGATCTACTATTCATAGCTCTTAATTCAGGCGACGGCGCTGAAGGAATAGCTAATACATGAGATTGGTATTCTCTTGGTGGAGCTGGAAAAGCATACAATGTATTATCCATAATTAATGAATTTCTCTTTTCAGTATTACTATTATTACCATTACTCGTACCTTTTGAATAATTAGATGCAGTAGAACATATTGAGTGTGGCCGTTGGCTGTATTGTTTATGATGTTTTGGTATCCTCAGAAGGTCTTTAGATTCATATATTTTATCCCATTCTTGTGCGGTTATTGATAACATGGATAAATATGGGGATAGCCAAGAATGGTGGCATATTTGTTCAATAGCAATTCTTTTTGAAGGTTTTACTACAAGAATACGTCGCAACAGGTCTCTTGGGATTGGTGCAATATAATCAGGAAATTTTAATGGAGTGTTCACTATATAATAATATAATCTAGCGATATCTTCACCATCTGGGTTTTCTGAATCATCATCCCATGGTAAATAACCAGCTAACATCGCAAACAAAATAATTCCACATGACCATATATCTGCTTTCCTTGCATCATATGGCTTATTACTAATAACTAGTTCAGGTGCAGCATAGCATGGAGAACCACACGAAGTTTCCATCATTCCATTATTTGAATAATATTCATTGACAAATCCAAAATCAGTAATAATCAAATTTTCGTTCTTGTCCAATAAGAGATTCTCCAATTTCAAATCTCTATGTACCAACCCCTTTGAATGAATATACTTGACACCACTAATTAATTGAGAAAATAATTTGCATGCGACATTTTCTTTCAAGCATCTTCGCTTTTGGATGTATTTATAGATTTCTCCACCAGATGCATATTCTAATACTATACCAATATATTTTGAATTTTGCAACACTTCCTCCAACCGAACTATATTTGGATGACTAGATTGTTTTAAAGCGTTTATCTCTCTATATATTTTGATCTCTTTACTTTTATCATTAATTAAGGTATCTCGTTTAATCAATTTAATAGCCACTTGTTTTGATATTTTTGTATAATCACCATTACTACTATTTACTTTGGACCAACCCAATTTAACCTTTCCAAATTCACCTTGTCCCAATGTAGACCCCACGATGTATGGGCCAAAGGTTGGAAATTTTTGAGGATGTGATGATATTTGATTTTGATTATGCTTACGATTATGTGATACCGAAGAAGGTGAGGTTAGTATAGTTCCACCATAGTGAGTATGACGACAATTCTGAAACGTACTCATTCTCGATATAAATTTATGTATTATGTTTAGGCTAATATGCTATGCTTTAGTTATATTTTATTTTTTATTAATATCAATATTGTTGAATTTTTTATGTTTATTATATTACCTAAATAGGAAATAATGATTATGCAAAATGGAAAAAAATAAGTTAAAAATAGAAACTAATAATTAGTATTATTAATGCAATATATTAATATTAGATAAATAATCTTTATGATAATAATAGTGGTAGTAGTAATGATCAAATTATATTAATATACAAGGTGGTAAAATAGGTGGAATGAGAAAATAAATAAAGATTAGTGGATCAAAAGCTCTATTTATATGATTCTAAAAAATGTTTCCTATTATGGATGGAAAAAGCGATATCAAAGGACCAATGATTATAAATATGCCTCAAGGGGGTATTTGGCGGTCTTGATAATGGAATAAATCCAATACTGGAATAGCGAAGTATAAAGGATCAAAAAGTAGCCTGTGATTTATTTATTTTTTTATTTTAACTAATATGCCTATAAAAGAGATAGCTATTACTTTTAGTATGCTATGTTTTTTGGATTTATACCAAAAATCAAGCTACCACTGAAAAAGATTGATGTATAGATAAATACTGGGACACAGTATAAAAAATCAAAGCAAAAAGGTTCTTGTTTTCTTTTTTCTTGGGAATCAATGCTAAATAAGATGTTTCTTGTTTATTTTATAGTAACGTTGTTACTATTCTTATAGCATTAGGTGAATAGATCTCCCATTTAAGAGATTTTTCTTGCCTCAAAGAAAACAAAAATCAAAAAAAAAATTATAAAATTTCAAAAAAAAAAATTTAAAAAAAGGAATTCGATGATAATTTCGATGTTTTTCTGTTTTAGGTCATGTTGATATGTTTCCTGATTCGGGATTAATGGTTGAAATCGCGAAAGATGTTTCCCTTATCAAAAATGATGTCATAATTATTACCGTCGTTGTTAGGGCTACTGCTATCATTGATACTATTATAAAATAACTTTTGATTCTTGATTTGTATGTGCTATAGATAGTATATATGTCAAAATAAATAGTTCAACTTATATATATACATGCATACAAAATGGATATAGGGGATAGTTCAATCAAGGATTTGTTGTTAGGTAATATTATTGTTATTTTCCCTTTCGAATAAGTTCTAATTGACATTATCACTATTAAGATTATTGTCATTATTATTACTATTATCTTCACCATCTTCTGATTCTTCCTCTAGTAAATATCTTCCAATGCATGGTTTGTATACTGAAAGTGAACCATCGTTATCTACTGTTACTACAAAATCATCGATTAATGGATGGTAACTTACGGAATTTTTACATGACCCGAGACCAAATGATCTGCGTGCACCTCCAGTATGATAAAAAGTTAAGCATTCACTTTGTACTGCTCTCTGATTTATAAATTCACCTTCAAGATTGTCAAATCCTTCCCTATTTACTTGGTTAAATACATATTCTAGGTTCCAATGATATACATTACCTGATTTTCCAATGGAGAGTAATTCAAATGGAGAAACCTCAGAAAAAATTATATTTACCACAGGATCTTCATTTAATTGATTTAATTCAAATAAATAATTTTCCTTAACGTGTGATGGGTCTTGTGCCTTTATGTTTCGAATATCATAGAATCTTAAAGAACCATTTACAAATCCTAATGCAAATAGTGTTGGAATAAATGGTGAAATCGATATATGCAATATATTATTTTCTACTTTTAAAGTAAAATTGGGTTCTTGATTTTGTTGCGAAATATTGTTCCATATATATACTTGATTCTCGTTACCCAAAGCAATAAACCCACAGTTTTCCTTACCTGATGTATCATCATTTTCATTATTCAAGAATAATATTTGATTAATAAGAATGTCATTTAGACTTATAGAGACAACTTTATTGCCCCATGTAGTTGCATTATCAATAATTTCCACAATTGTTTGATGCGTAATTAGATTACTTTTAGTTTTTATTATACTCTTTAAATCTTTAGACACATCCATGTCAACAATAATATCATCATTCCTCTCAGTAGAAGTATCCATAACCGCCTTAAGAGGGGATTCAGAACCATCTTGAAAAATAGCAACTGAACCACTTTTTGATAACGCCAAGAATTTCTTTTCAGATAAAGGTACCAATTTTATAATAGTTTCCCCTGACCAAATCCATTTACTATTATATTTGGTCTCTTCTGCAATATAGGATATCTCATGATCATTATATTTGGGGTCAGGTAAGGGGCCATCACTATTAGTGGTATCATATGCGCCTAAGGGTAAAGTGAAATCAAACTCATATATTTTATCACCTAATGAACAAAATGCAGAAGTGGTGAGTGTCCCATTACCATTGCTATCATTAATAATTTTATCAGTAAAATTGATACATTTACATAAATTTTCAATTTGCTCAGTTGGGATGTCGCTGAAAATTGGTTTGAAGGTTATTATATGTTGGTATAATGAAGGAACTACTTTTTTCCAAATTTTATATTCTTCATTTTTAAGCTTGTTTTCAGTAATTATATTTGAAGACACTGTGGTCATTGGGTCTGCTATATTAACTGGGTATTTTCTGGCACTAATGTATTAACGATTATTCAATGTTGAAGCTCCTTGATATTTTCTTCTCTTGTGTTACAATGATAATTGCAAGTTTAAACATATATTGTGTAAGTATTCTTCTTTTTATAAAAGTCAATTCTTTTATTTTTTGTTTTCCTTCATGTTCAATTTTGGTAAATTCTATTTCCCCCCCCCCCAGAAAAAGAGACGAAAAAAATAAAAACAAAAAAAAAGAGAAAAGAAAAAAGAAAAAAGAAAAAAATAAATTCAGATACACAAAACTACGCAAGAAAATAGTTAAAACAACAGCTATATGCAAAGGACATGATCTTATAAATGTATATAGGATTACTTGTATATTCAGCTCTTTAAACCGTTATCAACTTAATTGCTGTTTTTATGATGAGAGTTCGGAGATTCTTGTTGATGATAGTTGTTCATAGTATTGAATGTGCAGTTGTTTTATTCTAGTCTTAAGAAGTATATCTAATCTCTCCTTATGATTTTCTAATGATCTTAGTTGCTGCTTTAGTTGATCCATTTTCATGGATGTCCATTCAGAGTGTCGATTACATTTTAATTTCACACATATACCATTTAGAGTCTCCTGGTTATAATTATCATCCACTTCCATTAACTTATGGTATTGTGTAATAAAATCCTCCGGTGTTATCGCCGTGATTATGGTCAAATCATGGCTGAACCCACATATTTTTTTCATTTTACGTCGTGTGTTATTTTTTTTGTTTCTTTCTTCTGTTCTTTCCTTGCTTGTTGTCGTTGGTTTTAGTTGGATCATCGTCTGTTTCATCAACTGCGGTCTCATTGTTCAACTGTTTTGTTATTGATTCTAACCATGCTATATAGTCTTGTAACACATCCAGCTTAGATTTAACTTCAGGATACATTTTATTTTTGTATTTCTCAATCTGTTCTTGTAATACTTGTAGATTTTTATCATTTTTAATCATCCTGTTAAACAAATCATGATCCATCATAAGATCTGGGACATCTTTACTTAGAAAATCTTTAGATGCCATTTCTTGAAATTTCCTCACATCATTTTGACATCCCCACATCATATCTCCAACAAACTTCTTCGCATCTCTTTTTGGAATAGACGCTTTTTCTAGCAAATCATGCATATACAATTTTCCATGCGCTTCAGAGCAATATTTACTATGATCTTGACAGGGGTCAAAACAAGTCTCTAATCGACATTTTCTTTTCCATTTAATTTTGGGTAATTCTCCATTTGCAGAAGGCTTCCCAGTGATACCAGCTTGACAATAAGGACAATAATAATTTAGTACTAAATGTGAATATTTTTCAGGAATTTTGACACACTTAAAATGGAACCAATCATCACATCCATCACAACCTACCATCAAATCACCTTCATCTGGTTTCTTACATATGCAATACAGTTCCTCTTGAGTGTCTGGATCTATTTTTAATGAAGAATATGGAGGACACCAGCTTGGAAATATAGACATTACTTCTCTTTAAAAAAATATACTTTAAAGTACTAATAAAATATATGTGTATTCAAAACTTTAATAACTATTTTCTTTATTGCAGTTGACTCCCTATAAATAAAGTTTAAAGTAATAGGTTTTTACTGATTTATTCAAATGTCATCATCACCTCGTTACTTTCTAGAAAATGATGTAATACTATTTAACGCTTTTATTTTTTTTTCTGTTGATTACTTGCGAATCTTATTTTTGTAAAATAATAGGTACGATACCTAGTCGAAGAAAGTGCTAATAACAAACAAGATACGTTTTAAAGGAATATCCTTAATGCATGATAATAATCAATAATAGTAGTATGATGTATAGTTAATACAATGATTTCTACAAACAGTGTTGATAAAGAAAAAACAATATTTCAAGATCATATTAGTAGCAAATAAATAATAGTTTCTTCCATAAATTAAAAGAGGTAAATCATATTTTTTTAGATTATGATACTATTTTCTTTGAGTATATCATATATACGTGTAATATACCTAGACTATAATTTGCAGTAAACTGATTGTTATTGTAAAAGTTTATGAGATCTCTGGTTCACCTAATTGTTTGTATTTATTGCCCTAGATATTTCTTCGATGTTAAAAAGGTAACTACTAGATTATAAACAGCATAATACCTCCACTTTAAAATAAAACATTATCGAAATTAAATAAAGAACATTGCTTAAACAGGCAAACTATCCGTAATTCAACATGAGAAAGTTATGTAAAAATAAAGCATTACATCCTTCAAACGAATTCATCCTCCTTAGACTCTTCTAGTTATATAGATATATAAAGTTTGAAAAAAAAGAGAGAAAATACTAAAATTGTAATACTTGATAAAGTCGTTAACATAATCCACAATTTGATAGTAATCTAATTATCACATATCAAAGTAAATACACAGGATAATATTAAATTGATCCTCATAAGAAATAGAAAGACACTGATGGATACAGAAAGCAAATTACCTTAGCAATAAAAGAATAATATGCATGTGGAAATCAAATTAATAATAAGAAAGAATACAGTAATATTAATTGAAATAGAGAATGTTATTGAGGCACAATATGTATAATACATTTCTTACTTACATCTTCTTTTTAAAAAAGTATGTTGAGATTTTTCTAAGCTATCTAGAAAACAAGTATCATCTTATATTCCTCCATATATTATCATTAATATTTTATTATTTACTGGGATATACATAATATCTGTAGTACAAGAGACATAATAAACATAAGTTAAGATATATCGCTGATATTCTACCTAGTAGATATATATGCCGTAGTTTTTTATTTAGCTGATCTATTTGCTGAAAGATTATTAAGAAGTTTATCATATGTTTCATTGACTTTTACAGAATCCCCATAGATTGACTCTAATGCAAGCGGTTCATCACTAACATTTTGAATTAAATCTTGAATTGAATCTATACCTTTAGCTTTCATAATTGCAGCTCTTAATTCATCACCAGATGGAACTTTAGTGATCAATCTCTTTCTTGTTTCCAAAGGAATATATAATGGAGTTGACATGCTTGTTCCAGGAGTTTCATTTCCTTGTTTCATAATCTCCTTGGTATTATTTGAATTAGATTCTATATTTGTAACAGTGCCTTCTGGATAAAGCATATTCTGTTGTTGAACGAAAAAACCCCATTTATGTAATTCACCTTCTTCTTCTTGTTGGACTTTCCCTTGAATTGAAGTAGTAGAACTGCGACGAAATAAAACAGGTTTACCAGTTAAACAATCAACAGTTCTGCCTGAGTCCGTTGCCATTAAATGTGGTCTAGTTTCTGGTACTGCATCAGTTGCTGGATTTGTCACATCGATTTCATGATCAGCAGTTCCGTACATACCAGTGGAGCCAGCACAATGTCTTCTTTGAACATAGTGTTTCACTTTCAGAGAATCAATAATTGCAGCTAAATATGGAGAATGATCAAAAATTTGAAAAATATGTGCGAGATTCTTTTCTAACATAACAAATCTTAACAGGTTTTCTTTCTCTTTCATAGTTAATTCACCAGAATTTCTTTTATCAAATAAACAATCAATTTTTTGGATAACATTCTCATGGACGTTATACAAGTTTTCAAAATACTTTTTCAGTAAATATTTTTTAGCATTAACGCCCGTCTTACCACTCTTTTCCCCTAGGTCACTAGCTCCTTCACCCTCAGAAATTAATTTATTTAATTTCTTAAAAATCATCTCAGCACCACCTGTGATCAATTCACCATCAAATAATAAGTCATCCTGTACAGTTAATTCATCTAATTGGAAATCAGCATCCATCTTCTTATTCATATTTCTCATTAAACATAAAGCGATTCTGGACTCAATTTCTTCAGGTGCTTCTTCAAAATTTACATCTAAACTAATCAAATTCGGCGAATCTCTTACAAGTCGATATAATGATGCCCACAACCCATTCATTGCAAATTTTGGTTTAGCTGAATCATTTGTGGTTCCTTCACTATTATTGGTAGTATGGTTATCTACTGGTTCCATAAAAGCATCCTGACCTTTAAAATGCACAGTTGGTTGCATCAATGATAGATTACTTAATGATTTGCATTTGATCAGAATATTACAAATGACACCCATTTGTTTATAAGTTAGATTATTATTATCGATATTTAATACTTTTAAAGTTGGAAATCTAGGGAGATATTTGTAAATATAAGGTAGTACATCAGGAAAAAGATGTGGTAAGTTACTCAAATCCAAAACTTTCAAATTTGGCAATTGAGATAGGTATTTTAATAATAAAGCCATATCATAAGCTTTTAAAATATTTGTACTGTTTAATGAGAAAAACTCCAAGTTTTCAAAGGGTAAAGATGATAATCTTGTAACCATAGATTTGGCATATTGTGATAAGTCATTAAATGAAAAATCAACTCCTTGTACAATTATACTTTCATGTGAATGTTGGTTCTTAGAAGATACCCAGTTAAAAATGGATTTAAGGCAATCAGAGGAAATATTAGAATTTGCCAAACCAAGACGGCATTTAACTATCTTAGTATTTTTCGATGATTGTAAACATGTTTGCTTAGTAATCGAATTTAATAAATTGTTAAATTTTTCCAATGGTATGTTATTAAATTTGATACCATTCAATAATAATTCTTCCAATGGTTTTCCTTGCCTTATAGTTATCACTTTAGCAAATAAATCCCAATCCATATTGTGTCTTAGACAATTTAAGTCATTATCGTTTTTGTCTATTTGATTTGTAACATGATCTGTCAATTTGAATTTCAGGTGTGTTTGTGACAAATCCAGCTTGATTAAAGATTTGTTAATTAATAAAAATTTACAGAGAATTGTCCAATTTTCTTTTGTAATTAGAACATTTTTCAATGAAAATTTTTCCAATACTTGCGATTTGACGATAGATTTAATCAAAATAGCAAACATTTCATTTGATAAATTGACATTATCAAAAATAATAGTGTTAATTGGTACGATCGATATGAAATCACAAAACGATAGAATATCAATTAAAGTAGGCTTTGGATTCAAAAATTTCAATACTTGTAAAGGTGCTGTCTTTCCCTTAACTTGTCTTAATGTTGATGGAATTGGCAAAATTTCTCTTAAATGACAACATCTAGTATATATGACATCAAGTGTTAAATTCTTCTCTGAAACTATTGTATCTTCTGTTTCTTGGAAAGGATGCTCATTGATATGTATTGGTTTATCTATTTCAAAATTCATTATTTTAGAATTTTCCTGATTATTTGCACTTGAATATTTATCATCGATAGTATTCCCTATTGAGGTATTATTTGTTGTAGCTTGAGATCCAGTATTTGAAAAATTCTCCACTTCCCTTGCTATTCTTAATGCTGCTGCATGCGCTTCTTGTTGATGTTTTTCAGTCTCTTGCAGCATTTTTTTGTAATTTTCCATGGCAATCTCATATTCTTTAGAATTTTTAACAAGTATTGAACTATTATTAGTGGTAGCATTGCCATGAGTACTATCTTTAATAGTATTTGAAATTCCCATGGAGATGGAGGGAACCTCAGATAAAAGATCATGGGGAACCAAGATATTACCTTGTTTAGGCTTTCTTGTTGGTAATTGTTGTGGTGGGTCACCATTAAACTTGTCGACACTGAAAGTTACTCTTTTCAATTTAATACTTGATAAATCTAGGACAGATTCATTAGATGATATTGAGGAATTTGTATTAGTTGGTGTAGTGCTCTTTTCAAAAGTTGATGAAGAAGATGAAGAAGAGGAGGAAATATGTGAAACTGAAGAGGACGGCTGTAAAAGTGACTGTATGGAGGGAGAAGCTACTTCATTTATAGGGGTTTGTTGTATAGGCGTCACTGTTTTTTTATTTATTGGATTTTTCTCAGAATTATAACTGACTGAATTTTTTGTGGTAGGAGTAGTAGAGGTGGTAATATTTGAAATGTTTTTAGTTGTAGGAGATGGAGTCTTTGAAGCTGATATTTTTCCAAAAAGAGAACCAAAGAGAGATTTCTTGGTGCTAGAAGAAATGGATATAGATGGAGTATTGGATGATCCATGATCTTCTGATATTGGGGAAGATCTTTTAATTTGTGAATTTGGTGTTGGTATAGATAGAACAGGCTTGTTTTTTACTGTAGAAGAAGAAGATCTACCTTTTTTTATCACTGGGGTCATCAAAATGTTTTGTGAAACGGAGGAAGACGAATCATTATAAGAATTTTTTGATTGTAATGCAGCATTAGACACAGATATCGATCTTGTTCTATTTTTCACACCATTTGAGGTACTGCTTACATTTGGAGATACCTTTGCAGATGAGATACTGCTGCTATTACTATTTAAGAATGACTCAGTGGTCTTTATAACAGATGAGGATATTTTATTTTTCTTCAATTTATTTGATTTGCCTTTGTATAACCAATCTAGGGGTATATCATAATCTTCAGGACTTTGGTTCAATGAGATTTGCTGGCTCATTTTTTTTTTGTTTGGTTTATAAATTTTTTTCTATGTTAGTGTGTATAAATGAACACAAATATAGGTGTGACAAAGGAATATAATTATGTATGTATATGATATGTATCAAACTCTACCCATTTAGCGGGAGCGTCAATTTATAATTATTATAATGAGCTTGTTGTTGTTTAGGTGTGAAAGAGGTTATTATCTTCTAACACATGAATTAATCTTAATTAAAAATAATCAAAAAAAATTTAAGATTGATAGATTGAATATTCAGAGCAATTGAAATCGGCTTAATCAAATAATGTTTATATTTTTTGATCCGAAGAGAGATAGGTAATACCGAAAACAGAAAAAAAATGCCAGTTCAATTAAATATTAGAATTTTGCAGAACGCGATGTTTTAATTACTATCACTTATTTTAATTAAATTTGTCTCTAGATAAGATAGTATTGCACATATATTTACAATATCAAGATATTTTTAATAATTTGAATCTAATGTATCTTTTATTCTTTTTTTATTTGTTTTTTCTTTTTTCTTTTTTTTATTTTTCTAGTTCACAGTTTGCAAGTCTCTCTTTATTTACTATATAATTCCGCAAACATGTAGAATGATAGCCTTGTTGTCTGTCATCTAACAGTTGAAGCAGGTATCGTAATAAGATTAGTAATAATGATGGTAACTATACTCTAGTAGACCATTAAAAAAAATAGCAAAAAATTGTGGGCTTGAACGGTTAAGAATTTCCTTCTATTTCAGTTTCTTTCTTTCTTTTTTTTTTCTCTTACGGCCCCCTCTCCGAGGATGTTGTTTTAGGTGTTCGACTTTGAACCCTAATTGGAATTTGCAAAATTTTCTCAGTTTGGTAATAAATGCAGAAAATAAGACAAAATAGGAAAACCAAAGAATGGAAACTGAGAAAATTAGAGCGAAATATTAAAAAAAAAAAGAAAAAAGGACATGAATTTTTTTAATACTGTTGTGTTAAAAAAAAAGTGGGGTAAATTTTTAGGTCGAGACTTTGGCGAAAGTATGTCAGGATTTATTGTTGGTCATAAGGGTATATGGTTAGGGTATTTTTCTATTTTATCCTATCGGCTCTTATCTCTATCAATATTATATAGCTAGGATTAAATAAGAAGAAAACTATCATCAGTTGAATAATAATAATGAGGAATAGTTTTATAATTTTTTTTGTTTTGTTTTGAAAGATATTTCATGAAGTTGAATATGAAGAAGGTTCATTAGGAATTCTAAATAGTCACATTGCTAGATAATAATGATAAATAAGTAAATAAATAAGTAAGAGGGAGGAAAACAAATATGAACTTAAGGACTCTCATAACGCACATGCATAATGTAACATGTCTTTCTTCTTGTTGTTGATTATATATACATAGTTAGTTTTCAATTGTATATTTATGAAGGGATTCAACCAACACTATATCGTTTAGCATGTTAGTAATAAACATTTTTCTTCTACTTCTTCCTTCTTTTTTTCTTTTTTTCTTTCTTTCGTCAAGTTTATTCTCTTAGCTTTTGAAGGAATTCAGTGACTCCACCGAATACAATTAATAGGATACCACCACCTGGGCCTAAACGTGCAATTTTTGGAACAAAACCTTTGTACAATGCAGCAAACCCTTCTTCTTGATATATTGTTTTCACAGCTGGCACAGACCAATTATATTTCTTGATAACTTTCAATGGGTTATTTGGATCTGTTACACAATTACTATCACTTTGGATACGTGATTTAACAACATCAAATGGTGTATTAAATATACAACCAACTGTACCACCTACAGTACCTGCAATCAAATCGTTTCTAATCTTATCTACACGACTCTCCACTTTAGGTAGCAAAGATCTGACCTGGAAAATGACACCAAAATAACCAGAATTCCATAATGCATGCCTCCAAATTGTAGCTTCAAGACCACTATACAAACCCAATATACCTTCCGTTTTAAGAATCTTTCTAACTACATCTATTGGACCATTAAATTGTTTTGATGTTACATCTTGCAATTTCACTTTGACTAGTTCAAACGGAACGATAACACATGCTTCTGTGACACCTGCAGATGCACCACTTAATATAGATACTGTTTGGTTCACTTCACCTTTCCTTAAACCAAATAATGAACCATATACTTTTTGAAATTTTTCATTAAACGCAAATTTAGTGGCACGTTTTGGTGCTTCCATGAAAATGGGAGAAGTTATACCTTTATATAGTTGTTTTGCACCTTCTCTTTTGACAATTTTTCCAAGACAATCGAACAGCCCACGGTATGCATCTGGACTTAGAGAATTCGTCTGTAATTGCATTCTTGTCTTGACAACATCTAATGGATACATTACTAATAATTCTGAGATACCTGCGACAGCACCCGCAAAGAATTGGTATGCGAAAGGTAATGGCTCCTTTGCATTTGTGGCATTTGTTTGAGACATCTTGGGACGATAACAAGTAAAAAGAAGAGAGGAAGATTATTAAATTTGTGTGGTTATCCCTTTATTGTATGATGTTTCTTAAGAGATTAGATCTAGTTATTCCCGTATAACTTTGTTGAGTTGTGTGATTGAAGTATATATACCCTTTCCTATTTGAGGGAAACGATTTTCTCCAAGCAAGTAACTTAGCAATGGTCGAAAGTTAAAGAGAAACTTACATAAAGCAAGAAGAGCAACGCGTTTATATATAAAGAGATTAATGTTTGGTGCACAGTTTGTATTTATTATGTTTGTTGCTCGAATTGAGTGTAACACTATAACAGCGTGTGTATTGATAAGAATGATTCACTATTATTAAACCGGCCTCCTCTCCGCCGGTTTGTCCTATTCCAAGGAAATTATTTGTTCAAACAACGGGAAAGCGAGAAAAACGGTAAACAAAAAAAAAACAAAGTCGAATAAAATACAGTGGAACTTGGACAATTACAGTGGCAATAGAGAGAAATAGAGAACAATCTTTCAACTTTAATGGAATATAATACTAAACAAAATATTACGATTGATTCATCTCTCTTTGAGAGTCAACAAGGTGGTGGTTTTCCATGGCTCCACAACAACTGATCGTAGTAGAATTTAAAGAAGTAATATTTATGGCGCTACCATAATAATTTTTCATCTCGCCCGTTTACCGTAACATAATAATGGTATATTAGTATTGTTTATGCAAAAGAAAAGAAAAAAACAAAGAAAACATGTTTAGGTTTGATTGATTCATTGATTTCTCTATTAGTTGTAGTCATGAGACCGGTCAAAAGTCATCCGTGTCTTTGAAGACTCATTTGTTATCGCATCTTTAACTTATATGTTATTGGATATACATAATACATAAAAAATTTGCGTGTGAACATTTTCAAGTGTCTTGGAATACTTCCATTTTGGAATTTGGAGGCAGTACATAGGTGTACAGAAGAAATATAGGTAGAATCTTCTGTCATTCTCATTTGTAGTTTTGTTTTTCCCCATGATTCTCTATTATTTTTCAACTGTCTGTATGATAGTAGACTTTTGAGAAGTTGTGACCAAAAAGAGAAGATTACATGATAATCTATTGTCTACAAAGGTAATCCAATGACCAAGTATAAAAGATAAAAGAAAAAGAATATATCTATATATATGTATATACATATTATATGAACGGGTAAGATAATCTAGTTGATTGATTTATTGTTAAATAATGATAAAAGTGGAGTCATGTGTTCCCTATTCTCTTTTCTTTTTTTTTTCTTCAATATACAATTTACATAGGTTGTTCCTGTGAATTGGTGATTATTTAACAACATGTGTCTATGTAATTGGAATAAAGTTGCCAATAATACATACTGGCATATTATATCTATCCCGTCTTATAGTGAAACTAAAACAACACTCAACATCGCTGCAGTTCTTATCCTTTAACGTACATGTAGTTAATACAGTCTTTTGACCTTTATCAAATGCAATTGACCCATATTTCTCCCAATAATTTACTGTACTGTCCTCATTCATTAATTCATATATTGCTAATTTTCCGTCACGTAAATCATCTACTGTGTATCCTACAATGGATGCAAACTCCTTATTAGCTCTGTATATCTCACCTGTTCGTCTCCAAAGGCAAGCAGGCATACTCATGGAAGTGAATACCCGATCATAACTCAACAACATTCTTTCAAATGCCTCTTCAACCAATACTAGATCCACATCTTTTAATGATCTTGCAATTGATCTAAATGCAGGTCTAATTGAGCTTAATGGCTGTAAGATACGTTTATGTGATTCAGGAGACATTGTGCGGTCCATATATTCTTGCAATCTTGTGTAACCCTTACCGTAATTGTATGGTTTCAACAAACCCGCTTCAACTTTGGCATTAATTACCAGCTTTAACTTTTCTTTCGGTGTGATCTCAATAGCTGGATCAGCAGCAGTAATGAAAAATTGTTCCTTGGCTGTAGTTGCATTGTCATTGCTATTTGCAACAGTGTGTGTTGTGGATGCCTGAGGTGTTGATAACGGTATTTTCTGTGGTAATAATGATTGTGTTGTCGTTGTCGTCATGTTAGAAATATTTGTGTTTGTGTCTATAGAACCATTATGTATATTAGGAGAGCTTGTATCTGAAAGAGTTAAATTTGATTGAAAAGATTCCTGCAGGTTAGAATCTGGTACGATGACCAATGGATCTTCTAAGATGGATAGGAATTCATTAATAGAGCTGAATTCAGATCCCATATTTTGTGATACAAACGACTGTGGAGGGAAAAGAAGACTCTTACTAACATTATTGCCTGGATGTTCTAGTTGGTTAATTTGAGTTTGATTCTGTGGTGATGGAATTAAGATAGGAGTCTCTAGATGTGGAGAGGAATTGTCAAGTGGTAATTCTTTTGAGGAACATAGATGTGCAATCTCTCTTTTTATACAACGTGAGCAAGGTCTTTGCTCATCACAAACCACATGGGAACGTCTACAAAAAATACAAGACTTGGCTTTTTTAATCTTTCTCATATTATACTGTTGATCATTATATTTTATGACTTGTGGTAAATCAGGCATACCCTACTAGTTTAAAACAGCATATACTGAATTTGGAAATTATTTCTGTTGATACAGTCTATAAACTAATATTATTTTCAAATTTGATCATAATTGCTCATAATAGGATCTTTTTTTTTCTGTATGTTTGTCTATGTGTGTTTTGATAGACTAAACAATTGTTATAATAATGATGATAATAATAATAACATTTTGATACCGAAAAAAAAATATCAAACTGAAATTTAAAGATCTTTAAAGGTTGAAAAGATATTGCGCTTTGAATAAAGGGGGGAGGGACTATAAAGATTCAATATAAACAGTAGTTAATATAATTGTCTAAGTTCTTATCAATCATCAAGATTAGTCGTTGAAGAAGCATTGTCTTCCACACACACACATATATATATATATATAGAGAGAGAGAGAGAGAACAATATAAGCGATTAGCAAAAGATGTTTAAGTATCTTCTTCCACAAAGGAATATTTTTAAATTTCAATCTACTTTAAGACGTACAAGTTTATTAAGAGTTAGGAACTATGTGACATCATCTAATCCAATAGATCTTTCAAAATTATCTAGAGAAGATATTAAAAGGTTGAGAGACTTTAGAATTCGAGAGAAGCGTAAATTTAAACAACAGACTATTGTATATTACTTCTCTAGTATTGCCATATTCTTTTTAGGGCTGACATATACTGCAGTCCCTCTATACAGGGCCATCTGTGCTCGTACTGGATGGGGTGGCATTCCTATTACAGATAAGCGTAAATTTACAGATGATAAGCTGATCCCAGTTGAAACAGGTAAACGTATTAAAGTGACATTTACTAGTGAAGTATCTCAAATATTACCATGGAAATTTGTTCCTCAACAAAGAGAAGTTTATGTTTTACCAGGGGAGACTGCACTTTCCTTTTATAAAGCAGAAAATAAATCAGATAAGGATATTATTGGAATGGCAACCTACAGTATCACACCTGGTGAGGCCGCACCATATTTTAACAAGATTCAGTGTTTTTGTTTTGAGGAACAAAAACTGGCTGCTGGCGAAGAAGTTGATATGCCAGTGTTTTTTTTCATCGACCCAGATTTTGCTAGTGACCCAAAAATGAGAAATATAGATGATATTATTTTACACTACACGTTCTTTAGAGCACATTATGGAGATGGATCAGCTGTTTCTGAAGCTGTGGCTAAAGGTGAACCTATTTCTAAGGAGGAAACAGAGAAGATGTTAGCTAATGCAGAACTCTTATCTCCTAAGGTTATTGATACTAGAGATCCATCAGTAGAAATAAAATAATGACTTTTTTTAGAATTTTATTAATTGAACATTATTATTATCATTTTCATGTACTTGACAGAATACTGTAGTTATGTTAACACAAGAAGCATGCCAATTGAATCAAAACTTACTTGCCTGTAGATATTATAATTATCTTTTATTATACATTATATTACGTAGTCTTTCATATATCATTTCCCGTTAAAATTTTAATGCAAACAGATAGAAAAAAGCACAAACATTTATTTTCAGGACTGTTATTTTTGTTCCTTCAGGCTTTCTTTAGAAAAAAAAGGATAATATCTAATTAAATCAAAAACCTGTACCTTTTTTGCATTTTAGAAAAAATACCACTTTCGGAATTTTTTCTTGGTCAAGTTGGAAATTTTATTAGACTCAACTTTGTTTTTCCATAATTTCAAAATCTATTTTTATTTGTTTTTGTTTGAAGTCAGAATCATATTTTCTCCTTGGAAAATAATTCTTCCGATTGCAGACAATGTAAGACTAGAAAAAACTATGTATGAAGCGATGAGTCTCTGACATAGTTGTAACCATTTGGCATATTATTTTGTTAACGTATGCATGTTAGTGGGAAAATTTGTGTAATGCTGCCTTATATATTGGATCTTTAACCGTTACTTTCTAGTTATTATGGCCTAATTGTCTCTCCTCTTCTTTACCCAATAACGAAGAACCTTGCTAGAGATAAGTTAAAGACAATTATATAACAAAGATGTTTATTGAACAAGTCAAGAACTCTGCCTACCACTCTCGTTTCCAAACCCCATTCAGAAGAAGAAGAGAAGGTAAGACTGACTACTACCAAAGAAAGAGACTAGTCGCTCAACACAAGGCTAAGTACAACTCTCCAAAGTACAGATTAGTTGTCAGATTCACCAACAAGGACATCATTTGTCAAATTGTCTCTTCCACCATCACTGGTGATGTTGTCTTGGCCGCTGCTTACTCTCACGAATTACCAAGATACGGTATTACTCATGGTTTAACTAACTGGTCTGCTGCTTATGCCACTGGTTTATTAATTGCCAGAAGAACTTTACAAAAGTTAGGTTTGGATGAAACCTACAAGGGTGTCGAAGAAGTTGAAGGTGAATACCAATTAACTGAAGCCGTTGAAGACGGTCCAAGACCATTCAAGGTCTTCTTAGATGTTGGTTTACAAAGAACCACTACTGGTGCCAGAGTTTTCGGTGCCTTAAAGGGTGCTTCCGATGGTGGTTTATACATTCCACACTCTGAAAACAGATTCCCAGGTTGGGATTTCGAGTCCGAAGAATTAGACACTGACTTATTAAGAAACTACATCTTCGGTGGTCACGTTGCTGAATACATGGAAGAATTAGCTGATGATGATGAAGAAAGATTTGCTGAATTATTCAAGGGTTACATTGCTGATGACATCGATGCTGACTCCTTAGAAGAAATTTACGCTTCCGCTCACGAAGCTATTAGAGCTGACCCATCTTTCAAGCCAACTGAAAAGAAATTCACCAAGGAACAATATGCTGCTGAATCTAAGAAATACAAGCAAGCTAAATTGACCAAGGAAGAAAGAGCTGCTCGTGTTGCTGCCAAGATTGCTGCTTTGGCTGGTTCTGCTTAAATAAATTCATAGGTGATCAAATAGCATCGTATATTTTATATTTCTTTTTATATAGAATTATATAGTTGAATTTATTTACACTTTGAATTTATAAGTTACACTCTCCTTGGAAGCCACATTTTGTTAAAGTTATGTTGTGGGTAATATGTCGGTGGTTTCCGCTTGCTGTGTGGGTGGCATATGCATGTTTTATCGAATTAAGTTTTGAAACTTTTTATTTACTCTATCCTTAACTTTCCTGAAATATCGATTAATGATAATAGCCTAAAATCAAATAGAAGTTGAAAACATTCCAGAACCTCTAAAAATGGAAAATATTACACGTGATAACTACATTGCCAGTAAATATATATATTTAAAGAAATAGACCAACATAGAAGAAACATTAAATATAGATATTGCAATAACACAAAGACGTTGATTTGGGAATTGAGAAAAAAGTATTTTGATCATGTCAACTGGAGATTTCCAAAAGGGCCACAAGAGGAAAAATAGTCATTTATTCATGGATCAAGTAACTTCAGGAGCATCAGTAAATTTATATGATATTGAGCTTGCTAACATTGATGGAAATTCTAGCTCAAGCGTGGCTAATCCTGCCAGTCTCTCATATATGAATTCAAAGACAGTTTCAACCGCGAATATACCTAAAATAGCCAGTGACTTGGAAATTCAATCAATCGGCGATTCTTCTGCTCTAAATATATGGGAAATGAGATATTGGAACGAAAAGTTTGCCCATGACAAAAAACCATTTGTTTTTACTCTCTTATTTGGTATTCTATTAATTATAATTTTTATTACCTATCCTCATACTTCTGATAATAATAGTACGTTGAATTCAAGTTCAAAATCACATATTAATTATTCAAATAAAGGTCATTTTACTATTGAAAATATATTAAATGGTGAGTTCAATATTGAACAATCTACATTTAATTTTATTACACCTCCAGAGACTTTAACTCGATATGATAAAGATCCAGGTCTATATTTCACTACAGAAAGGAATATAGGTGAAAGTACAATTAGATTTGTTGCTAAACAACTTTATTCACCTACATTTAAGAAAGATTTAGGGATAAATAAATTCAATTATGATGGTGTAGAATACGAGGTGGATATAATAAAAGTTAGTTACAAGTTAGATAAAGTTATTTTAGGAACCAATATTAGACAACGATTCAGATATTCTTCATATGGGCAATATTGGATACGAGATGTTGAAAGCGGTCAAATAACTCCATTAGTACCTTGGAAAGATTATAGTGATCCAATTGAGCTTTCATATGCAGACTTTTCACCTCATTATAATTTTATTTATTTCAATTATAAAAATAATATTTATTTGCAACCATTATACAACAATCTAAGAGGAACTGTGCAGATCACTTTTGATACAAGTGAAAATATTTTAAATGGTATTCCTGATTGGGTTTATGAGGAAGAAGTATTAGCAAATGACAAGGCTATTTGGTGGTCACCAGATGATTCAGCATTTGTGTTTGCCCAGTTTAATGATACCAATGTTCCATTATATACATTTCCACTTTATACAACAAATGAACAATATTCCCCATTCAATGAAATAAAATATCCTAAACCTGGTAGTTCAAATCCATCATTAGTTTTATTAATGTTTAATATGAAAACAGGTGTTATTAGTAGGATTCCAACATTGAATGTTGATAAAGACTTCATTCTTTACGATGTGCAATGGATTGATAATCGTAATTTTATATTTAAGATCACTGATAGATGCTCTAAAAAGCTTAGAGTCGTACATCATAATGCTGCAAAAGAAGAGACCACGTTAGTTAGATCTATGGATGCTTCCAAATTCAATGGGTGGATTGATAAAGCCAAGAAAGTTGTTCCGGTATTACCAGATAAACAAAAAAATAGAGTTGACTCCGGTTATTTGGATATTCATGAGGATTTCAATGGATTTAATCATATATTTTATTATCCTACTATTACTACTTCAGTAGGTATTCAATTAACATTTGGTAATTGGGAAGTTACTAATTCAGGTGCTGTCTGGATTAATTATGAAGATAATATTGTGTACTTCACCGCAAATAAGATTGGAACTATGGGTCAGCATCTGTATGCAGTTCATTTAAGCAAAACTGACATAAATGATAAAAGCGTAATAACTTTACAAAACCCACATAATGCAGATATGTATTATGATTTTGAATTTAGCTCTAGTACAAGGTATACACTTATGAGAAGATTAGGTCCTCATTTTCCAAAAGCTTGGGCAGGAAGTACAAATAATATAATTTCTATGGGAGAGGAAGAACTAGTAAGTAGTGATTTGGTGATTAATTTATTTAATGTACAAGCTTTAGAAAAATTATCAAAGAAATATGACTATCCTATAACAAGTTATAAAACAATGGAATTAGATGGTGGGGTAGAAATTGATTTTATTGAGATTAAGCCAGCTAACATTGATTTGAAAAAGAAATATCCTTTGTTAGTCAGTGTTTATGGTAGTCCTGGTTCTACAACGTTTACTAAGAAAGCATCTCTATCACTGGAGGAATCCGTTGTTTCAGGTTTAGATGCGATTGTGTTAAAAATTGAGCCAAGAGGAACCGGTGGTAAAGGTTGGGAGTTTCGATCATGGGTGACAGGGAAATTGGGATACTGGGAACCACGAGACATTACAGAAGTTTCAAGGAAATTTATTAAGCATAATAAAGGTATTATTGATGAAGATAGCGTAGCAATTTGGGGTTGGTCATATGGAGGTTTCTCAACTTTAAAGACAATTGAATTTGATGAAGGTAAAACATTTAAATATGCTGTTGCTGTTGCGCCTGTAACAAATTGGAAATATTATGATTCTATATACACAGAAAGGTATATGGGTTCATTTGAAGATAATCAAAAAGGTTATGAACAAACTGCGTTGGTTTCCAATATTGATGCATTCAAAAATCTGAATAAATTCCTGTTAATGCATGGGACTGCAGATGATAATGTTCATATTCAAAATACATACGACTTAGTGGATAAACTAATTTTGCATGGTGCTAGAAATTTTGAAATGGAGATATTCCCTGATTCAGATCATACAATTGCATTCCACAATGCACAAAAAGTAATTTTCGAGAGATTATATTATTGGTTTCATGATGCTTTTAGTGGTAGGTTTCAAAATAATATCTAGTGGTGTTATTTGAGAGGTGATTGTGAGTAAATAATATATTAAGCCTGTTTTATATATTTTATAGATCCCTATTTTTATAAATTTTTTTGGTATTCTAATTCTAGTTGGATATTTACATGCTTCCATTTTAGGAAAATTAAATTTTTTCTACAAATAATTAATAATATCAAAGTGTCACAAATTCACAAAATGAGAAAAAAGCAAAATAATAAATAATTTATTAAAATATATTAATATGATTTAATATATAAAGAATAAGGCTAAATTAAAATGTTTCTTTCTTTCATTACTTCTAAATTTTATTTCTTGTGAATATAGTATTAGAAAGAAACTTTTTTTCTTTTGAAACATAATATTTCTAAATAAAATACATAATTAAACATTACAATTAAAACAAACAACTACCATAATGTGGAAGCAATTAACCATTACTTTATTATCAATTTCTTGCCTTAGTTTAAGTCAAGAGTTAAAAATTCATTTAACTGAGGAAGGAACACAAGAGGACAATATTGAGACACGTCTATTAACAGTTAGGCTAGATAAGGAATTCTTACAACCTAGTGTTATGGAAAGATTAAGCAAGACATCAAATATTATCTTTGCTGATTTCCCTGAAATGCCAGAATTTGTAAACGCAAAACAGTATGAAGATATTTTGAATTCTTTATATGATGAAAAAGAAGAGCAACACACTTCAGAGGAAAATTTAAAAGACAAAACTGCCTATATCGGTAATCAAGAAGAACAAGAAAACGAGAAAAACATTCTTGACCAAACTGAAGGAGAGCAAAATAGCAAAAATAAAAAAGTGGAGAAAATGATTCTGCACAAAATGAAAAGGATAAATATGTTGAAGATAAATTGCCTGAACTAAAAAAAGAGGAAGAAAAGGAAATAAAGGAAAAGGTCGAGAATAAAGAAGATGAAAGATGGGTGAATGTTGATGAAGGTAAAAACATTAATAATGATTCATCAACTGACGATAATAAAGAAATCAACCAAGAAGAACAAACTAATAATAAAGAAAAAAATTGGTTAAAGAAAAAGAAGAAGTTACAGAGGAAAACGAAAGATACGAAGAGCATGTAAAAGAGGGTGATAGAGAATGTAAAAGTAAAAATAAAAATATTATCACTTCAAAAATACAAACGATTAAAAGAAATGAAACTGAGAATAAAACTACTACTATTGTATTTACTACTGAGAAACGAAAAATTAGTTCTTCGTGTACCCCAACAAATGTTACATTAGTTTCAAAAACAACAAGTATTTTAAGGTGCTCAAGTACAGGATATTTAAAACAACATAACGGAACTCTACCTAATTTCACTAATGTTACTACGGTGGTTGTAGAGGAAAGTAAAACTTTTAAAATTTCATCGTCTTTTACTTTTGCATTTATTGTCTTTATTATCTCTACAGGATTAGTAATAGGATTCTAAATAAGTTGATTAAGAATTTAGAAATAAATAACAGTTACTAATAACTGCTATTTTTTTATATTAGAGCCTTCACATTTTTTTATTTTCAATATATATATATATATCAGTTTTTATTATTATCTATTAAATTTGTATCAGTTTTTATTATTAATTTCATCAGATCAAGAGTTTCCAATAACAGTATATAAACCAGTAAAGAATGCTATACAGTTTGTTTTAATGGCTAGTGTCTCTTTCAAAAGTTTGTGACGTTTTTTTAATTGGAAATTGCATTACAAATCGTTTGTAGTGTAAAAGAACCTAGAAAGTCACGTGAGTCTCTGTTTTCGTGCCTTTTATTTTTTAGAAAAATATAAAAATCGCCAAAAAAATCTTTTTTTTTCTCATTTAAAGAGACGAAGCAGGGGACGGAAATTATTATTCTGAGTATTGAAGATTCTTAGTATGAATTTTTAAAAATTAAGAAAATTAAAAAAAGAAAAAAAAATAGTAAATAAAGTATAAACTTTAACATACACACGTAATAGAAAAATAAATTCTGCAAGATAGATTTTTGTTTAAAAACATAGTAGATATACGACCAATATATATAAAAAAACTATCAAGAGAACGTTTTATTGACAATGGTTGCTGTATGTACATAGTATTTTATTATGGAGGCTTTAAAGAAGAAAAGAATCAACTACTTCTTTAAAAATGTAAAAATAATAACATTTTATTTTTTTATCGATTCCAATTTTTACTAACAACCGTTTGTTCAAATCAAATAAAACAAGTGTTTATTGGCAATTCTACTTTAATCTATTATATATTGTTTTGCTTTGTTTTATTTTGTTTCTTCTTTATTTATTTCTATTCCATATAGACAGTGAAAAGAACTGTACGTATAAAGACTAAACAACATATTTTACCAGATGTTCCACCTGTAGAAAACTTTCCTGTTCGTCAATGGTCTATCGAACTTCTATTGTTGGATGAAGAAAATAAAGAGGTTCCAGCTAGTATATTTGAAAAAGTAACATATCATCTACACCCAACATTTGCTAATCCAGATAGAACGGTAACAGAACCACCATTTATGATCCAAGAACAAGGGTGGGGTGGATTCCCTTTAGATATCAGTGTTTTCTTTCTAGATAAAGCAGGTGAGAGAAAAATCCCACACGATTTAAACTTCCTACAGGAAGAATATGAAGTGGATCATGTTATTCAAGTACCTACTAATAAACCTGCACTTGTGGCAGAACTAGAGAAAAGTGGTTCTGTAGAGGAAGCTACAGGCGGTGGTACATCTACTGGAAAAAGAAAAGGCACTCTTGCTAGTGCAACGGAACCTAAACCTAAAAAAGCCAAAACTGGTAGTGCCTCCACAATTAAAGGTAATATTGATTTAGAAAAATTGGCATTAGGTATGACTAAATTGAGTGAAGATGATCTTGTTGGTGTGGTACAGATGATATCTGATAATAATACACCAGAAATGAATGTTACAAATAATGTAGAAGAAGGAGAATTTATTATCGATCTATATAGTTTACCAGATGGATTATTAAAAAGTCTTTGGGATTATGTTAAGAAGAATACTGAATAAAATGAGAGAAATATTGTGTTATATATTATTTTTTTCACTAGTATTTCCTTTTTTTTAATCAGTTTCTTTATTTTGTATTATAAAATGTGATCATATATATATGAGCTAATATAACTGATATGCATGTAAATTTTATACACTTAAAAAATACAATAAGATACAGTGGTTATACATCATCCTCATTGTTTATAACTATATAATGAGGGAAGAACTTTATCTGATATGAACCTTGAAAAAAAATTGTATGTTTAGATAAAACGAATGTTACATAATTTAATGTATATACATACATACACATATAATACAACATAAACTAAGAATAAAAATAGTTACATTTTAAAATTTATTATAAATGGTTAAATTGGAAGTATATCGTTTAACCACGCACATATATAAATATAATAATATTTTTAATTAATAAAGATAAAAAAACAGTTGGCATAATAAAACAACATCAAAAAAAGGGAAAGGATGTAGTAGTGGCGTGAGTATGAAGAGAATATAATTATACATTTTTCTATTTTCTTTAATTTTAATTAAAAAAAAATGACGATAAAAAATATATTATAATTCACATAGCAGTTTCAAGAGATGGATCAAATGCATCATTTGTGGTTGAATTATTTTCAAACAAAGCACCTGATGGTTCTTGAGATTGGCTAGCTTCGTTATTAAGGTTAGTATTCTGTTGAGTTGAGGACAATTCCATATTATTATTAGCATCGGAAACAGAAGAATTAGCAGTTGCATTTCTTTTCTTTGATTTGACCGATTTATCTAAAGTACCAGTGACCTTTACCAAATAGAATGGCAATGGTTTACCAGTCTTCAAATAATGTAATTTCCAGTTTCTAGCTTTATCCTTTAATTGAACTTGAGTTCTATTTTTTAAATCTTCAGAAATCTTACCACCTGGACCATACATGTCTAAAATCTTAGACCAAGATGGACCAACTTCCTTTAGACCTTCTATTAAAGCATCTTCTTCTTCTTTAGACCATGTTCTCTTCGATTTTATCTTCTTAATACGAGTACCAGACGAAGCTACAGCAGCATTAACAATGTATTGGGCCATTGCAGAATTGGCTGCAATTGTTGAATCCATCAATACACCTGAGCTGCCTGTTGGAACAGCAGCAGAGTTAAAAGTTGTTCCTTCAATACCATCAATTGCTGGTTCTTGACTGGACGTTCTTTCATTGCTAATTTGATGACCTCTACGCGAACTTGATAGATTAGATCTATTTACATCGGAATCCATTATTGAGCTAATTTCACCATTTTCATTGACAATATTAGCATTGTTTCTACCGGTTGAGTCGATTGTGGATAAATCTGGATTACCAGTTGGAGGCACAGCACCAGATGCTACGATAATCTGAGCATCGAATTCTTTAACATCATAGCAATAAAGTGGTGATTTACCGCGTCCCTTTTTACCCCAGATGATAAGACCCATATTTTTGTTACAATAATCTAATAATTCTTTAATAAAATGATTCCAATCGTAGCTTGAAATAAGTTCGTCCAAATTACTGAATTGTAACAAGTTTTCGCGTCTACGGGTACATCTTTCAATGAAATCTTGTTCGGATGGTGTCATTATAGTGTTAGTAGCAGTAGAATTACCACCGCAACGTCTTTGGATTAATTGGTCAGCTAAATCTTGTGGGAAGATTTCATCTAATAATTTCTCCAAAACAATTCTTGGGATTGAATCAGATTCATCTTCAGATTCCTTCAACCCAGCAACTAAAGCCTGGGTCTTTAAATCAAGATAAAGAATTGCTTGAGATTTCAAAAATTTACCATTTTGATCGTTTGTCGTTGTACCCGTAAATAAAGTGTTTGGACAAAAAATATCCAAAAATGTTGATTGCAGTAAATCGAACCCATAATTAAAACAATGTAAAGCGGTTAAAATGAAAGTCAATAAATTAGTCTTTCTAATTACGGTGATAATAAATGCTTCATGTCCTCTTAATAACATTGGAGGAGGAGAATTAGGGAACCACAATCCAGGGGCGACATCGTGAACATTTAAAAGTGGGGATTTAGGGTTATAAATGGTTTTAATTTGTTTGAATAATTGTAGTAAGATTTGGAAAGTCTCAGTCTCACCAGAAGCTAAATAATTGGATTGATCAGTAAAAAGTGCCAATAGATGTGGAGCATTAGAGTTAAAGATTAACAACCTTAATAATTGAGTAGTGACGTTATCCAAAAGACATAGAGACGATATAGTTAGTCTTGTTTTCAATGGTAAACTATTGATAATATTATTGAATCTGTTCAATGAATCAGCTGAATTGAAGGGATCAACAACAGTAGGTGTATTGTTTTGAGACGCAGCAGCGGCAGTGGCAGCAGCGACAATGTTATTAGAGTTATTTGTGGAATTAGAATTAGAATTAGAATTAGAATTAGAAGTAGTGGTCGTGGCAGCGGCAGCAACAGTGGTATCATTGGTACTACTATTAGAAGCGACCGATTCAGGTATGAAATTGTTATCCTCAGCAAATGTAGAAGACATATTATACTAATCTTTTTTTATTTTTTTCTTTTTTTCCTTTACGTTAAAGTGTACTAATTAATCCAATTTAAAGGGTTACTTCAATGCAATGAGAATAGTTGAGAAACAAGGGAAATATGAATGGATTAGTGTCCAGGTATTCAACACGAACAACTAAAAACAGTATTAATATCGAACCTTACTAGAATACTACAACTATTAAAACTAAATGTAATCATAAAATGGGAAATACACAACAAAGATATAAACATAAATAGAACAAATTGTTCAGGTCATGGAAAGTTTTATTTAGGGTTTAATAAAATAAAAAACCGAAAAAAAAAAAAAAAAAAAAAAAACAGAAATGTACAACATAACAACGTGGTGTGTGGATGGAAACAAGTTTATCACTATTGACGTACGTTGAACCATACATCGTCGATGAATACCATCATATAAACATAGGATGGTAACAAAAAATGATAAGATGGATAGGAGTTAAGTAAAACGGATATTAATATTATCGATATATTGATACACACATATATATTAATACAATTATAATTGATTAAACAGGATAAATAAATAAATAAATAAATAAAAAAAATATACAAATACAATCAGTGATGGTAAATTGTTTTCTCAACAAGAAAAGAAAATAATAAAATATATATATATATATAAAAGAAAGAAACACAAATTGGAGGTGCGAGCGAGCTTGTAGTGGGGAAGAAGAAATAAATAGAAAGAGGAAAAGGAGAATCAACTAAGTCTATCTTGTTTTATATATTCTTTTTTTTTAAGCAGCTGAGACGAAAGTTTTACCTTTCTTTAATATTTTGACTAAACCAGATGGACCCTTTGGTTGTGATAAATATCCATCATCGATTGCCTTTTTTATAGTTTTGTTAAAATTATAATCAAAATTAGAAGGTGGTTCTTTACCACCGGAATTCTTGATGTATAAATCTTTAACAAATTTTTTTAATGCAACACGACTGGAACCTTTCCCGTTATTTAATGAAATAACACCCTTTATAACCATTGTTTTGTAACTAGATGAAGAGGAGGTTGATGATGTGCTTGTCTTTTTAGTAATTTTCTTTGGAGCTTTAACAATAGTAGTTTTTGTTGTTGTTTTTTTAGAAACTTTTTTAGTTGATTTTGGAGTAGAAGAAGATGGAGAAGAGGAAGAAGAAGAAGAAGAAGAAGAAGAAAAAGAAGAAGAGGTCGTTGATTTCTTTTTCTTAGAGGAAGAGGTGTCTGAAGAGGCAGGTTTTTTAACTAATTTTATAGTACCGGAAGGACCCTTTGGTTGTTCAAATATACCATCAGTGACACCCTTTTTGATTGCCAAATTGAAAAAATGATCAAAATTACTATTGCTTGATAGATTTGGATTGCTTTCCTTTACAAATTTTTTCAAAGCGATACGAGAGGTACCCTTTCTACCACCTTTTAATTCGATTAAAGCGTCAGTTATAAGATCTTTATAACTCCTTGAAGGGGTTGTCGAAGTTGAGGTTGAGGTTATTGATGCTTTCATAGTACTTGGATTGTTTGTGGATTTCTTTTGAGATTTATATACTTTTTTAACTGTCATTTAAATACAGAAACGTATCTCTTTCCAGATAGAACAAGTAAACTAAGTTCTATTTGATTTACCAGAAGCAAGAAATATTTCTTTCTTTTTTTGAAATATCACTAATTCATTACACTTCGAAAGATTACACACGGTCACCAAATAGTGTATTCGAAAGCGAACAACGGTGATTGCGGTCCACGACGTTACAAAAGAATGGAAAAAGGACGTATATTAGTTGGAATAACTATCTCAATATTTATAGTCAAGGGGAAAAGGGGACAAACAAAACAAAACGACAAAAGACCAAACAGACGTATAAATTGAATTAATTGTGCCACGGAGCAGAGGACTCTGTGTGTTTTGCGTTTTGTGCAACGCGTAAAGAAAACAGAATAAAAATAGATCGATATAGATAAATAAATCAATAAACAAACAAATAGATGAATAAATAAAATCCACAAAACGCGGGTTGGAAAAAGGAAAAAAAACAAAAAAAAGAAAAAGGGGAAAAAACTGCATTGTCACACCAAACCCTCGAAAAAAAATAAAAAAAAATAAAAAAATAAAAAAAAATAAAAAAATAAAAAAAATAAAAAAAATAAAAAAAATAAAAAAAACAAAAAAATCTACCGGAACACACAGCAGATTTGGAACAAAACTTGCAATTACAACTGCAGAGTTCTAAGAGTTTAGACTGCTACTGCATATACAACACAGAAATCTTCTCAAGATAAGGGTGTAAGGATGGAACTATAAAGCCTTCTTATAACATACTCTAATGTAATAATAATATAACAAGATTAACCGACTAACCAATCATTGGTTATTAACCTTGCTATTAATCTTGCTACTAATTATGCTATTAGTCATGCTGCCAGTAATAGCATTATCATGCTGTGGTTGTACATATTCTCTTCTTTTTATTTAAACAATCATGAATGAATAAACCAGTAAAAATAAATACATATATCTATTTCACTTTCTACTAGTTATTAATGCATTGATGGTATATTAATTAGAGATGATAAACATTATATACGTATCTATATAATAAATGAACCCGTAGGTAAAATGGTTATGATAAACAATACTTATGATTATGTATGTATGTATATATGTATATGTATGTATCTGACAAATGTCTACGCGTAGATCTGTAGTATTGTAAAACAAAACAAGCACCTATATGTTTAATATTTTTTTATTTATATTCTCATTTGTGACTATAAGTTGACTCGATTTCAACTTAATCTCTCTTTTCTAATGGATTATATCTTAAGAACTTTTCTATTAAATCAACATGTGTTAATATCATCCTTCTACAACAATATCTCTTCAAACCCAATCTAGATAAAGCAGTACCTTCGTCTAACTCATCTTCTTGTAACATATTCAAATAACTTTCCCACTTATCACCAACAACTTTCCCACATGAAAAACATCTAACTGGAACAATCATCTTTGTCTACAAATAATTTTCGTATACTAAAAAAAAATAAAAAATCGCGGTAATTGTGCTTGTCTGTCTGTTTGTTTATTTTAACTTTATTTACTTATTTATTTCCAAACTCTAACAACACCCTCTAGTATTCAACTCCCTACATGTATGCATTCGTATCTATACAAAAATATATTATTGATATACACATCGCTTTCACTGAATATTACATTACTGAAAGAAAAAAAATTTCTTTTTATTTGGTTTTTATTTTTAGTTCTTTTTTTCTGTTCTTTCTCTTTCTCCGTATTAAGTAAAAAATGAGGGTAACATTTTTCCTATTTTATTCAAGCAAAAAGAGGTATGGGTGTAAAGAAAACTGTTTTTGAAGAAAACGAAGGAAAGAAAAAAAAACAAAAATTTTTTTTCCTTTTTTCCTTATGTCTAACTCTGCAATACTAAATTTTTTCATCTGGGCATCGCATCTACACATAGATAGGTATTCATAAACTTACTTTTTTGCTTTTATATACTTTCATATTCTAACAACTATCATTTAACCAATTTGTACAATTATTTAGCCAACCAAAGCTAAATAATACTACTTTATCTGCTTTTGTATTTAATTATTTGTTTTTTCTGGATTCTACTTCCCTAACTCTATATCTTTCTTTCTCTATCGATTTTACATCAAAGAAGATAAGGATAAATGGTGGAAATTCAAAATTATAATAGTTCTGTGGTCTCTGGTGGTGCACCAATTTTACCACTAATTGCAAATGGTATAAATTATGGTAATACAATTTCTAACAATAAAAATATTTCCATTCTGACTCATGATCAACTACATTATATTGTACCATTCAATAACCAGTTGAAAGTTTATTCCTTAGACACAAGGCAATGTGTTAAGACTATTAAGTTCTCTAATAATTCAATTTTATCAAATCTTTTTTCCAATAATAATAACACATTGATTGTTGACATTTTACTAAATGATATAACCATAGAAAATTCTACTACTACTACCAATAATAATAATAATAATAATAATAATAATAATAATAATAATAATAATAATAATAATAATAATAATTTAATTACAGTGATTACTAATAAGGGTCAGATCGTGGTACTTAAATACAAAGGTAAATTAGACGATGATTTAAAGATTATTGACTTAAATGCAGATTTAAAATTATCCGAAAATAATGGAAACGTTGTTAAATTGTTTTATAATACTGACTTGAACCAATTTAAAATTATGGTATCTTATTTAAATAATAAAAATTCCTCTTATAACTATAAATTATTTGATTTAAACCTTGATAATAATAATAACCACGCGGATATTAAAGTGAATTTATATAAAGAGTGGAGTAATGTATTTTTAATCAATTGGTCAAATGATAATAATATAATTTGTTTATTACATAAATTAATGGGTAAAAAAATTCAGAAAAACTGTCTGGTAAATTTTTTACTATAACTGACATATTTAAATCAGACAGGGGTTCATATAACATTGATATTCCATTTTCAAATGTTTTTAATGAAAAGAACATGACTTTGGCATCAGCTAATAATAATAACAATTCCTTGATGAATAGTACTAATAATCAATATACTATTAATAAGTTTGTCACTGCTTTAGCTATAGACAACTCAAGGTCCCAACTAGCTGTTGGTTTTGCCTCTGGTGTCATCACTATTGTCTCAATCAATGATAATATTGCATCTTTACAAAATTTGGAGTTGAGATACTTAAAGTGGCATATTGATTCTGTTTTATCCCTGGCATTTAATAATGATGGCTCTTATTTGATTTCTGGTGGGTGGGAAAAAGTTTTAAGTTTTTGGCAACTTTCTACAAATCAACAACAATTCTTACCACGTCTTAATGGGATAGTTATTGACTCAAAAGTGGTTGGTCCATTGGGTAAATATTACTCAATCACTTTGCAATTGACTGAAAATACTACAAACAATGACTATCAAATCTTGTTGTTAAATTCTATCGATCTAACTTCAAAGATTTCTATTATGGGACCAATGCCGATTTTTCAACAACAATTATCCAATGTGATTATTCCAACTTCAACTCAAAATCTAAATTCATCGAATGTTTCTACCATTAAAAAACATTTGAAAAAACTGAATAAAATGATGAAGAATACTGATGATATGGCAACTTTGGATTTCACTACCTCTATTGAAGTCCACCCAGTGACCAAACAATTGTATATTCCTCATGGTCAAGCATTACAACGATTCGATTTCTATAAGAATGAATCAACCAATTTACAATTTCTAACAGATGGTGTCCAAATGCATATGGGTAAAGTTAGAAATGAATTGAGAACAATAATGGATCCCCAGATTAAATTGTTAAAGATTACCAATGATGGGAAATGGTTGGTTACATACGAAGTAGAATATCCACCAAAGGATTTATTATCCTCAAATGATTTGATTCATGTTTTGAAATTTTGGTGTCAACCTAACAATGATAATAAAGATGGTGTCTGGGAATTGAAAACTAAAGTCATAAACCCTCATGGTATCAATGTTCCAATCATAGATATGATATGTGGTAACCATGAATCTAGTTTATTGACTGCTGATAATAACGGTGGCATTAAATATTGGAAGTTTGATGATTATGAAAATAATTGGTGCTTAAAAAAATCCTAGATTCAAATTTCAACCATTTTAATAATTCCGTAAATTTACAATGGTCAGATGATCAATCTTTAATTTTCCACTCCTTTGATGATAAATTACAAATTATTGATTTTGATACTTTTAAATTATGGGTTCCACCAAGCGAATCAAATATTACCAATGAGTTCAGTATGGATTCACAGATCCAATGTCTTCAACTGATCAATCAGACCAATCTGATTGTTGTTACAATGACAAGTCTTTTAGTATTAGACTTACTATTAGGAAAAATTGTTAATGGTTTTGATTTATATCCATATATTAATACAAACTTCAAGAATAGTCATTTGAAAAGATTGATATCGTGTGATTATAAAGATGGAAAGATTGTTCTTGTTATCAATCAACGTGATACAAACCAATGTGATGATGGTGATGATAAGAGGGCAAAGATGCCAAACATTCAATTTAAATCTAACATCCTAGTATTTAATGCAAATTTAACTCATCAGTTAGGCAAATTCACACATGATCAATACATTGCTTGGATTGGTTGGAATCATGATACAGATTTTTTCTTTATTGATATTGATTCTAGATTAGGTATAGTGTCTACCACAATGAATACAGAGATTGCTGATGAAGTTAATAAAGAGGGTATATTAGATGGGTTAAGTGTAGGATTGACACCATCTTATGTTACAGATAATATAATTGCTCAAAACAATTATCTAGATGAACTTCGGAAATTGGCTGCAAGCAAGAAAATACCATTAGAACAACAAATAAATTCAGATAGAAATAGGCCAAATATTATTGATGAAGATATAAATGATACAGACTTAGACGTAATAAATGGTGAAAAGACTAGTAGCATAATTAATATGAACAGTTTCTCAAATATGTTTGAAAACATTCAAGATATTTCCATGACCACATTGTTTGAAAATGTTATCAAAACTTTAAATTAGTTACAAAATAAGATATCTATTTGTTAATAGTAATCCAAGTAAACAAACCCATATAATTGTACTATAGTGGAATACCATTATCGCATATATAATAATAATAATAGAATGATATAAATATAAATACACACACATATATATATATATTAAAAAACGATTTATACAAGTTTATTAGACACTTTTGTTGAACTAATACTGTGTAATTATTAGAAAGTTCTTTTATGAATGTCCTTTGTTCAATTTTCTCAATTTAATAATCTGTATTTGTTTTTAAGAACCGATACTTGTGTCACTCGTATAAGATGATTTGACGCGACGCAAAAACAAAAGGAAAATGGAAAGGAAAATATATATATATATATATGACTAAATGTAATAAAAAATATAAAAATGATACTTTTTTACATCTACGAAGGGAAGATAGAGACACTATCCATAATAGTTTACTAAATATCATATCAACTAGAAAGTAGGTTGGAACAAAATCTATTCTCCATTGACCTCCAAAATATATTGTGAAGTTGTTTTTTTTTCCTTTTTCTTTTTTCTATTTTACTTTTACTCCTTTATTGAAGTGACAGATAAATAAAATAAAACAAACATAACATCTAATTAGTGGTATAAATATCCTTTGTATGAACAATGTCTGGCAAGCAAGTTATTAAGTCGTTATTAGATACAGATATGTATAAGTTGACTATGCATGCGGCTGTTGTGGTCAACTTCCCTGATGCCAAAGTGACATACAAATATACAAATAGATCTCAACAGTTAACATTTAATCAAAGGGCAATTGATTGGCTACAAGGCCAAATTAGTCTATTAGACAACCTAGTTTTTACTTCTGATGAAATTGAATATTTACAAAAGGAGATTCCTTATTTGCCTCAGCAATACTTTGATTATATCAAAACAGATGCTGTCAAATTAAATCCTACAGAGCAAGTTGATTTTACCGTAGAACCTCTAGGCTTTAATGAAGAATTTAATGAGGAAAGATTCAATATACATATTTTGGTAAGGGGGTTATGGAAAGATACAATTCTTTACGAAATACCTTTATTAGCCTTAATTTCAGAAGCATATTTTAAATTTGTTGATACTGATTGGGTATATGATGATCAATTAGAACAAGCCCAAGAAAAAGCTAGAAAATTATTTGCTAATGACTTGAGGTTTAGCGAATTTGGCACAAGGCGTCGTAGATCGTATCATACTCAAGATCTGGTCATGAAAGGTATTATGGAAGCGGTTAAAGAAAATCCAGAAAAGAATTCCAAGTTGTTCTTAGGGTCCTCCAATGTCTTGTTTGCTAAACAATATGGTGTGAAACCCATTGGTACTGTTGCTCATGAATGGTTTATGGGCATTGCATCTATTACACAGGACTACAGTCATGCGAATAAGAAGGCTATGGATTATTGGATTGAAACTTTTGGTCCTGAACATGCAGGTTTGGCATTAACTGATACTTTCGGTACAGATGACTTTTTAAAATCTTTTAAACCACCATATTCTGATTGTTACGTTGGTGTCAGACAAGATTCAGGTGATCCAGCCAAATATGCCGAAAAAATTGCTCATCATTATCATGATATTCTAGGATTACCAAAATTTTCTAAGTGGATATGTTTTTCTGACTCCCTAAATATTCCCAAGGCTATTGAGTATGCAAAAGTAGCTCACGATAATGGTATGTTAGTTAGTTTTGGTATAGGAACTAATTTTACAAATGATTTCAAAATAAAATCTAATCCAACTGTCAAAAGTGAACCTCTAAATATCGTTATTAAGTTGTTAGATGTTAATGGGAACCCGGCAATCAAAATATCTGACAATCTAGGTAAGAACATGGGTGATCCAGCTACTGTAGAAAGAGTCAAAAAGGAATTAGGTTATGTTGAACATTCCTGGAGTGGTGGTGATGAAGCCCATCGTTGGACTTAAGACAAACCATGACACAATAACATAAAATAAAATCAATGAATAATCTTCTTGTAATGTCTTATATCATATTTTTCCATTTATGTTTCATTAGTATTATTTATTTTCCTTTGACTTATTTTTTTGCTTTTTAGATCTGAGGATTAAATATCGTTTTTGTAACTTTATATAAATTTCTTTCCCAAATAGAAACAACAACAATACGTATAAGATTAACTAAGTCAAAAGTAATTTGTGTAATTCCGTGTATGTAATAAATGTATACATTTATTTTTATGAATATCCTGTTTCTTCTAATTGAATAGATCAATATTATTGTGTAAATTTCGATACAATCTTTTCAAATGAAAAAATCAGATTGTCTTGTAGTGATAATAAAAAAAAATGTAAAAGGAAAAATACAAAGGACATCAGAAGTGTTAAAAAAGAGAAAGTGGAAGGAAGGAAAAAACAAAAAAATTCGTAAGATCAGTATAAGTTACGATAATTATTCACAACAATATTTTTTTAAGGATTGAACTGAAACATTTCTCAGAAGTTTATTCAGGAACAATCGGATTAGAGATTTAATGGTATTTGTTCTGATAAATTGACCTTAAAAAATATTTTTTCAAAAGTCTTAGAAAACAAAATTAGTAATATAACAATATTGGTGTCGATAATAGTAAGCTATTCCACAGATTACACACAAGGAAATAATGTTCACAACCGATGCTGATCTGACGGAACAAAACATTATTCAAACATTAGAACAGGCAAGTAATCCACAACATGCAGGTTCTGATGTGCAAAAATTAGCAGAACATCAGTTAAAAGTATGGGAGACTCAACCAGGCTTTCACTATATGCTACAATCTATATATTTGGATCTATCTAACCCTTTACAGGTTAGATGGTTGGCAGTTATCCAATTTAAAAATGGTGTTGACAAGTATTGGAGGTCCAGTAGAATCAATGCAATTAAAAAAGATGAAAAAGCAACAATTAGAGCTAGATTGTTTGATTTGATTGATGAACAAAATAATCAGTTATGTATACAAAATGCACAGGCAACCTCAAAAATTTCCAGACTAGATTTTCCTGCCGAATGGCCCAATCTATTTGAGCAATTGGAAGCACTTTTAAAAGACGATCATGTCAGAAAAGATCATGTAAAACTTTACAATATTTTAACTCATATTAATCAAATAATAAAAATATTAGGGACTGCTAGAATTGGTAGATGCAAACCTGCGATGCAAAGTAAAGTGCCCTTGATATTTCCATTAATTGTAAGAGTTTATTTACAAACTTTTGAGGAATATACACATAAACTTCAGTCGAATAATGGAAATATGACTAATGATGGTTCGAATAATTTAACTAAATTACAAGTGTCATACCTAGCTTTAAAAGTATTAAGGAGAATTGTTAGCGAAGGCTATGAAAGACCTGAAAAAGACGAATCTGTATGCGAATTTTTAAAATTATCGGTTACTCATTTACAAAGTTTAATCTCACAACAAGACGTGTTAGGTAAATATGAAGTTTATGAGAAATTCATCAAGTGCTACGGTAAGTTGTATTACACTTTAGTCACTGAACAACCAACAACTTTTATTTCGATTCCATGTTCAATTGAGATCTTAATTACGTATACAAAGTTGTTATTTGAGAAAGCATCTGTGGTTTATAACGAAAATTCTGATGTTTCAGGTGATTTTTGGGAGCATGTTGCTATTAGAGGTTTTCTTTTGTTGAAAAGAGTGATAAATTTTGTTAAGAAAAAAGGTGTTATTACCTTAAAGGCAAGAAATGACAAACAAAGCATTGACATGTCTATTCAAAAAATTAACTTTGAATTCTTGAATGAAAACTTAATTAAACAACTGGTTGATATATTAGTGGATTGTTACTTGAAATTGAGACCTGCAGAACTGGAAAGTTGGTTTTGCGATCCAGAAGAATGGATGAATGAGCAAATGATAACTAGTTATGAATACCAAATTAGACCATGTGCTGAAAATTTCTTCCAAGATTTGATCAATTCTTTCCCTGATTTATTGGTCCCATATTTATTAAATAAAATTGAAAATGAGGCTACAACTTTGACAAACTCCTTAGAAGATTTTTTGAAAAAGGATGCTATATATGCAAGTTTCCAACTAAGTGCTTCAGCAGTTAGTAATATGGTTGACTTCGATAGGTTACTTGTTGACGTATTTCTACCAGAGGCAACAAATAATGCTACTGGTTTAGACCAATTAAAGATTATTAGAAGAAGAGTATGTTTAATTATCAATGAATGGTGTACTGTTAAAAGTTCTGAAAAAAGTAAGTCTTTATGTTATAAATTTTTCAGTGAATTATTAATGTCTGATGATGATAAAGTTGTTACTTTATCCGCTGTTCAGTCATTGAGAACTATGGTTGACGATTGGAATTTTGATAAAGATATCTTTCAACCTTATTTAATTGATATTACAACTGTACTTTTAAGAAAAGTGTTACCTTCTGTATCCTTAACCGAGACAAGATTGTATGTTTTAAATACTTTAAGTGATATTATTATACAAACTAAACCATTGATAAACCAAGATTTATTGGTTGAAATATTACAAATTGTTCCAAAGTTATGGGATATTGCTAATAATAATGCATCCGAATCAATTTTATCAAATGCACTTTTGAGATTGATTCGACATTTGGTTTCTTCCTTGGGTCCTAAATCATACTTGACATGGGATATAGCGTTGCCAATACTATCATTGGCTTGTGATCCATCTACTAGTCATTATGCTTTATTAAATGAGGATGGCTTTGACTTATGGGAATCTCTACTACAAAATTACTCTTCGAAAGAATGCCAACTTAGCGAAAAATTTAAGGATTTATTGCCATTTTTAGAATATGGTATTGATACTCGAACTGAAATTTTAGCAACATTATTGGAAATTGTTAAGAGCTATTCACTAATTTTAAATCAAACTGAATTTTTTTGCTTCCAACATTTGGTAAAATTTTTACCAGCATAGCATCGAATTTATTAAAATTAAGAGAGGACGCTCTTCAATTAGTCCTTGATACTTGGGAAATATTGGTACTTGCTGATGAACCTAACTATGATGCAGTTCTTATTCCTAATTTTTATCAAGCTGGTATATTAAATGCTCTTTTTGATGCTATTTTTAAAGAAGATGCTTTATCTACATACCAATGTGGCCAATTGTTACAAATTATTGCAAGATTAACCTATGTTAACCCAGACGCAATTATTGAATATTTGTCAACTTATCATAGTCAGTTGCCTACTGTACAAGAAAACATGCAATTATCTGCTATGTCAAGAAAATTGGTATTCAAAGATTATCCATTAGAAACACTGGTAGAAAAATTCATTGAGATTTGGATTTTTTGTTTTAAAGATATTTACGACCCAAAAATTAAAAAAATACATATTTTGGGGATATCAAGTTTATTGAGAACTAAGTTACCTATTGTGTTCAACAACTTAGATTCTATTGTATCCCTTTGGGTAGAGATATTGGAAGAAATAAATGAAAACAACAATGGTGATTGTGAAAAATACCACTTAAATGATGTTGTTACAGAGCAATCAATTGCATTTTTCCCTCTGACTACTGAACAGTTTAGACAGCATGAATTGTCTAAAAATAATGATCCAGTACATACTATTAGTTTGAAAGATTTCATTCAACAGACAATGGTATATGTTGAAACATATCTTGGTCCAAGTGGGTATAAAGAATTATTGAGTAGACTCAATCCTACATTGTTGGAAAATCTTCAATTATTTCTTTCTATGCGTTCATCCCAATCATAAAGTGACACCACAATATACAATCCTTAATAATTTCTGAGTTGCCTTTGTTGTTTCATCTTTCACTATTTGTAGAAAACCTATTATATAAGGATAATGTATAATATTTTGCATAATATCATTAAGACAAAATCGTTGTGATTAAACTTTAGGAGATTTCAATAGTTGGAGCATTGTATGATTTTCGTGAGTTGAAAAATGGAGTTAATATTGCTACTCTGTATATTGTGTAATATCCTTAATAACTATAACAACACCTCTAATTTTCAAGGTTTATTATTAGGAGTCAAGATATATACTATTTTTGATACTGAGCTATTAGGTGAAAAGTTACAAATAACACTTGTTTATTAAAAATAGTGTGACAAATTTATGAGAAAAAAATTAATATTTTTAGTCAATAAGATATATATCATATTTGTCAAATAACTAGGCAAGAAGTATAATCACAATTGTTTGATTGTTGTTGTATAACAATAGTCGATGTATTTGGAACAGGATAAAATGTACATAAGATTGATTTTTTAATTATAAATTGTCATAATTTTTTATCTTCAACATTTCTAAATAAAGGCAATAATTTAATTAATAAATTTCAAATAATATTTAATGATGTGTCACCACTTTATTTTCTTACTTCATATTAGGTAAACAGACAGGTGAAGGGTTATAAACATATCTAGATATGGATAAAGAACTACTTGATTGGTAAAGGCTTTTCATATTATCCATATAGTAAGTCAATATACATATCAAGGTATGGTTGCTTTAATTCAGTACTGGCCATTTTTATTTAAATTGTAAACCTTGTTTTCCAGTATAAATTTATTTAATCGTTGTTATCCTTATCTTCAGAAATATTAAATATATATTGGGATTATCAAATTCTTTAATTAAAACTGCATAATGTAGTATAATCTATACCACACATATATCGGTATACATATGCTTGAATACATCGAGAACAATCTGTTCAAGATGAATATGGTGTTAGATAGAATTACAATAACTCTTGGTAAATAATATTACTGGATTTCTTTTTAATAAAACATATCTTAATTTGGTCAACATTATATATATAGATGTTGTATGCAACTCTATAATTAAATTTTTCTTTAAAAGAGTTATTTATCGATATTCTGATATTGTTTACTTAGAAAGACACAAAAATTGATATACGTGCATATAATTTAGAACAAATGAAGACATGCAGAAATGTATCAATATATTATATAAATCTAGTCTGACTGAATTGTTTTATTCTTAATTAATGCAAAATATTTTAGAAGAGATTCATAACATGTAATATATTGACTTAAATTTTGAACCATTGACAATCTTTGTTTTCTTAACTCATTAACAATAATAAAAATCAGGTCATTGGGTATATTCCATACATCTATCTTATTGGATTGATTAGTAGACTTGTCCAAAATCTTGATCAAAAAATCCAATACAATAAAAACACCAGTTCTACCACATCCAGCAGAACAATGTATTAATAATGGAGTATTGCTACGAACTAAATTTTTATAATTCAATGAATCTGGTAAAAGATCAATAGTATGATTTATTTTCATATTAAGGATATCACTGCCAGTATTCATTGCATTTTGATTTTTATTTATAATCTTCTTTAGACATTCTATTGGGTTAGATATTAAAGCATCTTTTAAATTAAAAATCTTCAATAGTTCAACTATATCAATACTGCAAGAATCCAACCATTGTGTATACTGTATATGGAAGACTATTGAGTAATTATATTTACCCTTTTTGAAGACTTGAAATATTCGCAGAATACAGCCGTCTAAGCCGTTTACATTATTTAGTGTAATAATAGCATTAATTGAATACTTTAAATTTGTCTTATTATTCCAGTACACATCCCATTTCTTCATTTCTAATTCACTTTCCGAATTCAATGAAACAATAACTCTAATATCATTGGAAAGTACAACATTCCAGAAATCATCGAATGTAGTTACCAATGGTGCTTGAGTAGCTACATATTTGTAATCTTTGTTAATTTGAGGAATCTGTAAATAATTCGCATTAAAATAGTCGTTGAACTTCTCTCTATCAGAACTTGATATATTTCTAATGTACGGTGAAGACTTAGAGTGTAATAACATTGGTCTTGCGTGAAAAATATTCTTTTCTAAAGAGTCCTTTAAATCATCTAGGTTACCAGCTGATATAACAGAAGATCCTTTCCTTTTGCGTCTGGCATTATTATTGTGTATATCTGATGGAGTAGAGGAGTTAACAGAAAATGAATCTCCACTTATTTTTATAGGAGATGAATCATCAGCAATAAAAAATCCATTAGATGCATTATCGTTATTATTACTATTATTATCCGTTTGGCTGGGGAATTCTATTGGAGAGTAATGTAGTTTGACTCTTGAATGTTCATACGGTAAAATATTTGAATATCTATTCTTATTGAAGGATTGAACACCTTTGGATAATTCATAATTCTTTAAAGGTGTCAATAGAGACTCGGTGGAACTTGTAGTTTCAGCGTCGCCAAAATCAGTATCAGTAGATGGACCATTTGTACCAACATTAATCGAAGAATTATTTGTGTTAATTAGCAAGGGAGGTGTAACAATTTTTTTATCTTCCTGTAACGGATTATCGTTATTATTTTTTCTCTTTAAATTGTTTTTGTAAGAAAGCTAAAGAATAGATCTTGTGTGTAGGATTGATTGGAGTTGAATTGATTGATTTAGATCGCTTGACATTAGCATTAAGAGTATTATTATTATTATCATTATTATTATCATTATTATTAATATTGTTGTTGTTGATAGTGGTGGTAGTGATGTTAGTGCTAATATTATGTTCGTTTGGATTACTGTTATCAACCAAACAAGTTGATAATCTTTCAATTTCGAAATCTTCTAATAATTGGAAATTATTTTCTAATTTCAACAAGATTTGATTAGATTTTTGTTTATCACTAAAAAGTTTCAACCAATTGGGTAAACAAGGATCATTTTTAACTATATTACTTGGAATATTGAATTGGAAATACTTAAACAATGATACTGGAGAATAATGGACAGTATCCTTTTTAATTGATTGGATAAACAATTTTTTTGTTGATAGATTTATTTGTGGAATATTGATGGATAGATTATATTTTTGAATATTTTGATTTTGATTTTGATTACTATTCTTATAGTTTGGATACAATGAGGATGAGGATGAAGAAGGAGCAAATTTATTTGTGGATGAAATGAATATTATTTCTTTGTTGGTACCATATTTGGATAGGATAAATTGATTAAATTTCGTGATCAAATAATAGTTTCGTTTTGTACACCTTGTGAATTGGCTGTCTTTGTCAAATATGAAAAAGACAGAACTTAGATCGATTAAATTTAATAAATTTTCAACTTTATCATTTGATAGGGATACATTCAATAAATTTTCAAATTTGAACTTGGATCTTTTGATTAGAGTAGTTGGTAGATTTAAGTGAAGTTTGTTGATTGTTAAGGAATCATTTGAGTGCAGCTTCAAGGGATTGATGGAAAATGGATCCTTTAACGAGGTGTCAATAAATAAGACATATATAGTTGCTGAATTGAACTTATTTTGAATATATTTTAATATATTGTCACTTTGGAAATCGAAATGTTTTAAACTGTTTAATTCATAAGAAGGATCATTTAGATTTAAATAAGTTAGGTTATTGATATTGGTAGTGGTTGTGTTGGAAGTAGTAGCAATAGTGAAAGATGAAAGAGAAGAAGAAATATTTATAGATTGTGGTTTGACGTTAAATTGTTTTAAATTTGAAATTGAATCATTGTTTAATTTTGATAACATTGGTGATGAATTAAACATTATATATATATATATATATATATATATATATATATATATATTTCTTTGTGTAATGGATAGAATTGAAAAGGCAATTATTAAAGAACAGGAGGAAAAAAAAAGAGAGAGAAAGAAGGAAAGAAAACTAAAGCTTTTTTCCTCTTCAATATATCCTTAAGCCTTCTGTATTACAGTCACACAAGTGAATAGGAGGAAGTGGAAGCACTGAACAGATAGTATAGGTATAGACAAACCTATACAAAAATGAAAAAAAAAAAAAATAATTGAAGGAAAGAAAAAACCTTTCGTTAATGATTTGTTTTTTATTGATTGGTGGTGTATCCTGTAAATAGAAAGTATGTACTGTTATAATATACTTTGTACAAGATCGAATGATGTCAGAATCATATCATATCATATTATATTATATTATAATGTATTATATTATATCCATATATATGGTTAGATCAAAACAAATAATTTTTCAACTAGACAGGTGTTAGCTATTTCTCACATTGCTTTGTCCACTTCCTGTTTCTCGTCCCACTTTGCCCCTTATTGGAAAAGACAGATCTACAATCAAATGAGAACCCTAAGAAAATTCAACCTTAGGGTTTAGTTATTAAAAAAAATAAAAATAAAAACAAAAACAAAAGTTTCCCCTCGGGATCTAAAAATAGAATTCCCCAATATCAACGAATTTTTTTTTTCAAGAGTATGTTTCCCCTAATTTCTAAAAAGACAAAAAAAAAAAAAAGATGGGGGGAGGACGGTTGAAAAAAGAAAAAAACAGAAAAAGAATCGGTGATTCGTCAAAAACAATAGAACACTTTTTTTTGGTTTTTTCTTTTCTTTGTTTCTTGTTGATGTGCGTTTTTCGTCTTCGTTTCTGCTGCCGTGTTTTCTTTCTGTTCACACATCCAATATTGATTTTGGATTGAACTCATTCATTTGATTCCACGGAACAAAGAAAAGAAAAATTATTTCCACGAATGGTAGAAATCTGCTAAATCGAAAAAACTAATTTTATTTTTTATTTTTTATTTTTTTTAAATGTTTTCGCGTTTTAGATTTCTTGTTTCTTGTTCTCTTTTTTTTCGCGTTTTCCAAATAAATAAGTAAATAAACAAATCTTTTTGAATACACAAACAATCAAAGAATAAGTAGTTAATAAATTTGTTATTTTATTTTATTTTTTTTTCATATGTTTTTGCTCTTTGGGTTTTTGAATCTACTTTTTAGCTAATTCTATTCTGTTACTTATTTGGTAGAAGCTTGTACATGGTTTGTATCACAAACTTTTATTGCATTAAAATATATTGTAAAAATTTTTTGTTAAGTTTTTTACAAGAGGAAGCCAAATAAATATACAAACAAACAGACAAACAAACAAACAACTAATAACTAATAACCATAAGGATAGTGTCTGTGTGATAAATAAAAAATTTAATACATATATGACCATATAATGAGCAATAAGGAGTACAGTTTTGCTAGAAATTTCTTTTCAAGACCAGAAAATGATGATACTATCGAACAATTCAAGAAAGAGTATATGACTTCTATGAAAAATTATCAATTGGCAATGGAAAGTAAGAATAGAGATATTCAATCTCCAGCTAGATCACATATAAATGAAACTAATAACTATTTGGTAAATGGAAGTGTTAAAAAAACTAAAAATAATAACAATAACAATAACAATAATATATCGTCTAGATTATCTTCAACAGCAACTTTAAGTTCTGATGATCATCAAGAATTATTAATTTTGAAGAATGAGGTTAAAAGCTTACTTGATTCAAGAGATAAAGATAACTTTGATAAAATTAATTTAAAAGCCTTATTAAATAATTTTGATTCAAGGTTAAACAATTTAGAATCATTAATCTTAAAATCAAGAAATAACAATAACAACAACAACAATAATAATAATAATAAGTTCGACCAACCCTCGTCATCCCTACCTTCTTATAGACCAGTATCATCCTATGATTCAATCCCACAAAGTAAAAATTATTGGAATAAAGATGAAAGCTATGATTATATGTTAATGGATCAACTAAGAAAAAGTGGCAATAAATACAACAGCATTAATTATGTTAATAAAGAAGATAATTATTTTAGGGATTTCTATAGCCATAAGTCTGATCCAATTGTTTATTCACCAACACCGCAACGAAAATATAATTATAATCATAATTATGGGCATAATTACGATTACGATTATTATTATGATCATGATCATAATCATGCACATTCTAATTATAGTCGTCCTAACAATAGCATAAATAATAGCAGTGGTAGTAGACCGAACTATCAAAGAAACTCTTCTTTATATCGTAATAATATTAACATTAATAGTAGCGATAAGAACAATAGAATTGGAAATGATATGACATATGATGATATAAGCACAATAGATATTTTAAATAGAAAAATTTAGGTATTATCACACATATTCACATATATACATATATACATATATACATACATAAAAGGGTGTTCAGTGAGATATAACACTTATATTTACGTTGTAATATTATTATAATTATTAAATTAACACATTTGATATTTATTTTTTTTGTATATTTTAACTAAAGAATATTATCTACTTATTAATATTATATCAAGGAAAAAATAAAATAAGTTCATATAAGTGCATGTAGAATCTTGTTTTCTTTTTTTTTTTATTCTGTCTTTTCTGTTCCTTTTGATGGATAATAACCTTTTGGATAATACTTAATTCCTTCTTTCTTGCATCTAGAATAGGGTGGGTTTTGTGAGCAATCTATTGGAATAAAAGTTTCTTCTAATAATGATCCTTTCAAGTGATGGAAATACCAGATTTCATGTAATTCATTATCCTTATTACAATTGAAAAAAACCTCATGATTTTCAAAACCTTTCTTCAATGCTTTCGATATCTCATCTCTTGTATAACATTTGTCTAAAGAAGGAACAATATTCGAATCCTTTAAAATCTTATATGTGTCTAATTTTTGAAATAAATTTTTTGTTATATTGAAGTAATCAATAACTGCCCTATTCTTAAACTTATTCTTTTCACTGTGATTCTTTCTTTCCTTCTCGTTAATAATATTTTCATCACTTAATGACATTGCAGATATATTCTCCCAACGACTATAACAACTTGGTTTTATTGTATTAATACAACTACCATGCTTATTGAATTCATGTATCCAAAGTGATTCATCGTCTCCAATAACAAGACCTTTCCAAAAAGTTTTCATAAAATGGTATAAGGGAATAGTATCATTGCTTTCACGTAACAAGTAGTATACATCATCAATAAATAGTGAGGGATCACAAAATTGTTCATATGAACCAAAACAATTATTAGGCCATAATCCATGAACTGTAAAGGAGTCTAAGGGACCTATTTCACTGATGATTTCGGTTTCATTTAAACCTGGTTTGGAAGGTCTATAATTCCAAAATTGTGTCTGTAAGAAAACACCACCTGGATACTCAAAGCAACAACTATCTAACTGTTGAGTTGTGTTTTGGCATGTTAGCGGCAAATCTAACGGACAGTGTGGGGAAAACTCTTCTTTATTTGGCGAAGAATTTGAAAGAACATCAAAAGTAGAGAATTTGTATCTTAAAAGTTGTAAAAAATTTTGCATTATCATGATTTAGTACAAAAAAATAATAAGTAACGCTATTATATTGTAAGTACGCTTTGTTGCAAGAGAAAAAAAAACTATACAAAATGAATAACTTTAGGAAAAGTCTTTTTGGTAATCTGCGTGAGGTGGGACAAACGTTAAGATGTATCGAGAGATAGAAAATAAAACTCCTGATTGAACGACATTTATGGCAGAAGGGATTCTTTGAATCATAAAATTGACTTTGAAAGGATACCTTTGATTTTTATATCAAATAGGTTCAAATTTAGCGGTATACCGTTTGTCACATCTCCTTTGTGCATCCTTAAATTCTTTTTTTTTTCGGTTTTTTGTTTTTAAAATATTTTCCATTTGTGGTAATGTATGAATAGATAAGTGTTGACAATAAAATAAATCAAGTGGCTGAATTTTTAGATCTTAGAGTACCAAAAGTGGTATAAACTTTGCCGAAACAGGTTATTATAAAAAGAAAACAAAGAGGCCAATAAGAATTTAGCAGACATTAAACAATAATCGCTTGATTCTCCATTGTTTAATGTCTGCTAAATTCTTATTGGCCTCTTTACTTCACTTCAAAATATCTTGTTTTTTTTTATAGATTATTATTCTTTGTTTTTTAATGTAGAAATATATAGGTATTTAATATACGCAAACAAATATTTATCTTTTTTACTCTTGCTGTTTTTTCCTCCCTCAAGGCCCTAACTCTTGGAAGTCTTTTTCTTTAAATTTCTTGGGTACACATTCAGATGCGACATGTATTCTATCTTCCTTAATGATTTGTCTAATCCACAGAAATCTTTTTTAGAAGCATCGTAATCATAGGGACACTTCTGGTAAGAATTTTTTATCAAATTATACAATGAATGAATATGCTAGGAATTTTTTTTGTAAAAGTCTTAGAAAAAATGAGATTGATAGGATAAGGATATAAGTTACACACAATTGAATGATAATCATGTACGACAGGATAAATGTTCAATATTGTCGGTGTTTTAATAAAACGTTATAGCACAAAATCTGGTTGAAGAAAACGTTATTCCTTTTTACAGCTTTTTAAATTTTGCCATGATATCCTACCGAGTTTTTTTTTATATACTATATATAGCGAAAGCAAACTGATCAAAAGCTTTAAAATTATATGACTTGTTAAAATATTTTTGAACACTTTGTAAGAATAACATATTGCACAATTGTACAATTAACAATTGTGCATAAAATTGAAAAGTCACTTATACAATGAATTTGATCACAGATTGAATCTTAGAATGTTGAAATATAACATTAGGAATCATCACAAGTAGTATACTAAAATATGGATATTAATTATATATATAAACACTTGTAAATTATATAACTGGTTGATTCTGACTATTAATAGATTAGTCTTAGTTATTCGTGTTATTCTTTTTTTAGATTCAACCTATTAGATAGAATACGAATATTAATGTTGATAATCACCTCTAGCACTATCTCTCAATAATCAAAAGTCTCTTAAGTAAGCTTCTCAATAATTTGCCATTAATGTTCATCCGACGATCGTATGTTCGTTCGAATACACTCACAAATTTGGGCCTAGAGTTTCGGTTGTTCCAAGACCTTCGTCTTGGTATTTGGTGTTACCCACAGACAACGTATTTCAGAATTTCCAATTAGGGCTTCTTACACAACTATTCAATCTTTTGTCTTAATGGAGGAGTAATATACACCTTAATTATTAATTGTGGTGATTCAATTTAGTGAATTAGTGAATTAATAATCCACATCCCAAATTATTAATTGTAATATTTTAGTTGAATCTGTTGAGAATGAGCGCCTGTATTCATTGGATATATAGTAAACATTTTCAATATTATATTAAACAGATTTAGTATACAAAATTATAATAAAGTTCTTCACTTTCTTTCTCTATATACAACATAGAAATAATAATATACAAAGATTGTAAATAAGATAAAAATAATGTATGATGAAATCCTTGACTTTATATATGTTAACATTAAACCATTTTCCTCTACGAACGGCAAGATATTTAATAAATAAACTCAATAACTTTTGGTGACCTCTCAACAATTATTACTCAACAATTTATCGTTTAGTGTCTGCTAAAATCTTATTGTTCTATCTATTTCATTATAGAACATTCTATTTCAACAGAATCACATAGAATATTTAGGATAATAGGTTACAATAATGAATGATACAAATATTATAATAAGTAAGTTGTTGGAAAATGAGAAATGATTACCGTCATTTACATAAGACTTATTTTTAATATTATATAAAACACTTTATTTTTCACCAAATATGTTTTTCAAGGATTTGAAAAGAAATATAAAACTTTAAGAGAAGACTTGAAATAAATACAAAAATGTATACTGTATAAAACATATAATAAGTATATAAATGTATTTAGTACAAAATAAAGTAAGCATCTATACTTAATTATATCTGCCATTACCATGGATGTTGAAGGATCCATTTTCCAACAAAAACCATAATGAACACAGTGTACATGATTATGACATGTAATCATGGGATCATTTAGAATATTCTAGTTGCATGTAGTACATGACCATAATAGGTAATTCCAGATTCTTCTAGAATCTTCTAGAATCTTTTACGAGCATATACTATATGACCATAATTTCCTTATTTTACAACAAAAAGTGTTGTAATATGAAGTGGTCAGGGTTTTTGTATTATTCGCGGAAGCGCTAGAAATATGAAAATGATAATCTATTAATAATCGAGACAATAATTGATACAATCAATAATGCAATTCTTAATACAGTCTTATATATTAACAATTATATCGAGCTTATATAATTATTCTGTTTGCTTGTTACTTGCTTGGTGCTTACTATTTAGCCTGTTGTATTTTGCGTGATACTTTGCGTGGCTCTTTTATATATAATATATAAATTATGCATAAGAGAGGAGTGACAGAAGATAGTTTTCATCTTCAGAAAACATTGTCCTTTTATATGTTTTCTGGAGCTCAATCAATTATCCAGATTAGTACATTAATAATCTGATTGATTCAAACCCTAAAATTTATTACATTAATCTAGGTGCACTAGTGGATTAGAACCGCACCTCCATTCTCTAATCATGGTTATTATTATTCTATTCAACAACAGGTCGTGTTGTGGAATAGAATAGTTATAACCATCAAGATTACATAAGATCTTGGCAAATCTAGAATTTACCTATTGTTTTATTAAGTCCCACGTGTATTACTAATCACCATGATTAGAGAATTGGGATGCAGTTCTAATCCAGTAGTGCACCTAAATTAATATAATAAATTTTAGGGTTTGAATCAGTCAAGTCATTAATGTAGTAATCTGAATAATCGATCGAGCTCCAGAAAACATATAAAAGGACAACGTTTTCAGGAGATAAAAGATCATCTTCCATAATCGTTTCTTGTAAATAATTTATATATTATGTATAAACAAAATAGAACAAGCAAGTAACAAGTCAAGTAACTTCGAATAAGTACATTAGCTCGATATAAGCCGCTTAATATATAAGACCGTTTTAGTAATTATACTATCGACTATAGTTGATTACTGTCTCGATTATTTGAATTACTATTAATATTATTTGCGCTTCCCTGGAATACACAAAGAACTTCACCACACCATACTACAACAGGTCGGTGTACTTAAGAGCGCCGTGGCGCAGTGGAAGCGCGCAGGGCTCATAACCCTGATGTCCCTGGATCGAAACCAGGCGGCGCTACTTTTTTTGCAAGATTGAAATATCCTTGATACTACATTTTGTATAATAGATGAAAACCCAATTACGAGAGATATACTCTTTTAGACGCTCAAATAGATAGATATAGCTTGATTGGTTGTCTATATATGACATATAGATTATACTCTACATAAAGAGTAAACTAACATACACAGTTATACAAATACTTATACTTATCTAAGCAAGAAAAACAAGAAAAACAAGAACGTCGTCGCCGACCAAGGAGTCCACAAAATCGTTTATAGTGACATTCGGATTTCATATGTCACAGTTACTAATATAGTGTATTGGACGTTGAAGCCTTTAAGATTTTGACTAATTGTTTAGAGAAGTGAGGATCATTAATATTTTGCTAAACTCTCTCCTTTAAAGAATTTAATAGATTGTGATAATTGAAATATAAAGTTCGATAAAAATCCACAAACATAGAAGCAAAAATAACAAATAGGAAAAATGAGGAAATGCAATCAAGACAGGTAAGTATATTAATCTGTATTAGCTTAGTTATACTTTGATCTTACATTTAAAGGTGTAGAGTACGTCTATATCTTACATTAATTGAAATGAATTACCATTACTGTTATTGCAAATTTCCTGTCATTAGAATTTCATAAGCAAAGTATCATCACAGTTAGTGTGGTAGATGAAGATCTACTATGAGTGTCATAATTTTTTAGAATACATAATATGATAAATGATTGATGGTCGTTGTCTTCTACATTTAATACATAAACCATACTATCTATATGACGTGATCTAGATAGATACAAAATTGATAAATACAAAAGGCTCGAACATCATCATGAGCTAAAAAATTTGAAAAATCATTTGTTGTGAGATCAAGATAGCATATATCACGGATAGTATAGCATATCCTGATTTTCATACCTATGATTTTTTTTGTTTATATATATAGATATTTATCTGCACCACATTTTATATAAAGTATATCTTGCATACAATATCTAAGAAAAAAAGCAAGGGCTGTCTATTTTATTGCATACTTGAGGAGAGGTATTTTTTGTAGTAAATTTTCTTCTTTTAAACTACACTAAGTTTTTAAAGTGTTTTTTTATGATCTATATGAATATAATATAATTGGTTAGTGTAAGATCGTATACGAAAGTAAACAATTCTAATCATCTAACTAAAATATACATATTTAGTAATTAGAGTGTAGACTAAATGTATAATATAAATATTCTATTTATTGCATGCTTGTCTATGATTTTCTCTAATCCTTTCTATACTAGTTTTTCAAGATTCAAACATTTATTTCAGGCTCATTTGCCTGAAACAGACTTTTCTTGAACAAAAACACATTGCAGTAAATATAATACAATAATCATCAAAATACACCAGATTCATGCCTTATAATAATAGATATATTATTGTTAATTGTAGAATTGTTCATAGAGGAAAGTGACGCAAATAGTTAAAATTATTTAAAGACAGGTAAATCCAATTGGACTATAGCGGGATATATACGTGCTTTACCTTAAATACCTCTATAGAAGCTGACAATACGACAAAAAATAAATACGTTGAAACATACAAATATAGAACAATTAGTTTTCTATTATAAGTTGTTATACTTATTTAGTGTTTCATATAAAAATGCCTATTTCACCAGATATGTCAAAAAATTGTTATGTATATGAATGTACTAAAAGAAGAAGTAACAAACAAATTAGCGACAAGAGATATTAATTGTGATACATAACTATATGTGCTTTCTTGCTTAATTCTTGTTTTAACGCATTAAGAAGGAGGTACATATAGAGCATTCATACAAAATTACTCCACACTCTAATATTTTAGTATTACTTACTTCTTGTCTGTACTTTTCTTCTTTTGTTTTCTATTATTTTGTAAAATCCCCTAGGAATTTTGAATATATGAATAAAAAAATAATCATCGAGAAAATAATTAAGTTGACAAAATAAACACACACATATATATTTGACATCAGGCGCCAAATATACTTCAGATAGAAGGACAACTTGTGATATCACATTACATTCTTTCCGATCTATAATAATAAACACTAATTTATAATAATAATTTTGAAGATAAGTAATATATTTTGACAAATTACCAAAACATCTGTCACTGAGAATACAAAAATGAACAACAATACTCTAATGAACTCTCCAAGAAAACCCATTATCCTAGATGAATCTGATTCAAAAGTGCCACATGAAACTACAAATACTGTAACTAAAACTCCTTCGGTAGAAAATTTAAATCAATTCACAAACAATGAAATCAAACCTTTGATTCAAAAAATAGATATAATGAAACACATTATCTCTACCATGGCTGGTAAAGATAAATTAGCTAAAATTATTAAATGTATAATCGATCTAATAAGAATCTACATATTATCCCCTAACAAAAGTAATATAACTCATAAACAAAAATTCTCACCTTTCAAACTTATCATATATTTTGCAGGTTTGATTCGTTCTGTTCTGTCTGTTTCATCCAGTCAATGGGTAAGTCAACAATTAAGTATATTTAGATATGCATTGAGATTTGGGGGTACACCATTCCGTGTTATTGATTTTGTGAATCGCTTGGCAAATCAATATGAAAAGCATGGATTATCTTGGGAAGAATGGAATAAGTATCTAGTAAAGACAGATACTTTACAAAATATAGTTGACATTTATTATAGAGTGTTTGATGAATTAGACTTCCTATATAAATTGAAAATACTATCTAACAAAAAATTATATCCCATTGTAGTGAAGCATGAAGCCATATCATGGGAATACGATATTTTGTTAGGTCTTCAGAAAAATTGTAAACTATTAAAAGAAAATAGACAAAAACAAATTGAATTGAATCTCAAATTACAAACCCAGAATTTATTATTGGATTCGCCAGAAAATTCAACACAATCTTCTTTATCACAAGAGTTCGCTTTATTTGAAAAAGCAGGAGCAATGAAAAATCTATTAAACGAATTGAAGTATGAACAAAAATTGATTAAGTTAGATCTTGCTAGATTATCAATGGATCTTCTAGCAAATTCTTCTGATCTTTTCCATTGGGATAGATTTTTACCAAAAGGTAGTTATGCAGCTTTATCTTTGGTATCAGGTTCATTCAATATCTATAAATATTGGTGTGTATCCAAAAAACAATTAGAAAACAAATAAATTTTGATATTATGTAACAATATTATGTAGAATGACAGTTCGATCTTTTTTATTTTATTAACCCTGATCCAATATATAAAAGATATTAGATGCTTATTATACGTATCGCTAAAAAGTATTGACTTCTTCGTAAGAACCTATAAAAACAAAGCGTCATACCAAATTTGATAGTATTAGTTATCATAAACGCAATATACTAATTTAATGGACACAACACAATATTTAATAATACCTCGTTTCTTAAAGTGCCTTTTACTCTTATATCAGTAATTATGTTCCTTCATATGCCACCCCTCAATTTTCTTTGTCTGAAGCCGTTGTCGGGATGAGTATTTAAAAATCAGAGATAAAGATGATTCGAGTGATAAGGGATAGTCATGTTGGAGTACATATACAAACATCCAGACAAAACTATGTAAGGTATTTTTGCAAACAGAATATCAATGCAAAATGCTTTATTAAATTATTGAAAGATCATGATAAAATAGGATAAAAAAAAGAAGGTGAAAACAAGTTTATAATGGCAGGTGCACAGATCAATATCATAATTCCATATCGGTTACAGTGGGAATTAAATGATACGTTGCTGCTTTGGAAAGATTTGGAGGAATACCATAATATCAACTTTATTCGTTATAATATTACAACTGCGGAAATTTTTTCAAAATGGCTACCAACATCCAACTGTCATGGTGTATGGATAACTGAAGCGTTTTGTAATATTCTCGGTGGATCAAGTCCCTTTCTAAAAGATTTCCCATCGACTTTACGGGTTATGCTAGTTCTATGGGTAGACGTAGATTATGTTTTAAATTCACAAGAGATTTAATGGCTACGTGAAAAAAAAAATTTGTGTAGTTGTTAACGTTGGACCTAACTCAGCAGATTCTGTATGTGAATTGGTTATTCATTTAGTGATAAGTGTATTTAGAATGACATCTTTTTGGGAATATCTGATAAAACTTGTAGAATATGGTAAAATATCAAACTGTAGAGATTATTTAGGTACTGAATTAACTGATGTATGTAATTTAGAATTCATTTGCAAAAATGGTTCCAAGGAAACAAGAAACATTTACAAATTCCTTCAAAAACTTAAAATACAAGAGGCAGCACATCATAATAAAGAGCAAAAGGTTGTTAATGTTGTTCAAAACTTTAAAGTTGGTAGAAAACATATCATTTCACCTATGAAGAAAACTGTCTTAATCTCAGGGTTTGGTTCAATTGGCGGTACTATTAGATATAGATTAAATAGAGTATTTGACATGAAAGTTCAATATCATAAAAGGTCAGGTCTAATCCCAATAGAAAAATTAAGGTATGACGCTAAATATTTACCAAATTTAGAAGATCCTCACACATGGAATCAGGCGGATTTAATTGTGTTAGCTCTGCCAGGTAGTGACTCAACTAACAATATGATTAATGATCATACTTTATCTATGTGTAAGGATGGTGTAAGACTTGTCAATATTGGCCGCGGCAATTCTATTGATGAAGATGCATTGTTAAAAGCACTTGATAGTGGAAAAGTGGCAGGTTGTGGTTTAGATGTATTCAAATATGAAGCAATGGATACTATAAAGAAAGAACTATTACAAAGATGGGATGTCACGGCGTTACCACATATGGGAAGTGCCGTTACTGAGATGATGTCATTACAAACTTTAGTCACTCTTCAAAATGTTGAGGACATTTTTGTTAAGAATAGTAAGGGTGTATACCCTGCTGGGTAAGTAGTAAATATATATATTCTATAGTAAATATTTTTTCTATAATCATATTATACTCAAGATTGCCTTTTAGAAAAGTTTACTTACCGTTTTTTATAATTTTGGTTTTTTACTTTTATTTTTTGATATTACATAATTGCCTCTCTCTATATACATCTATCGATATTATATATGTTTTGTTTTGTTGACAAAACTGCAAATTTTCAAATAAAATTAATGTATATATTGTTTCCATGAATGAAATTAATAATTGATTAAACGAAAGAAAATTAATAAATGGACAAAAGAGGATAGAAGATGAAAACTTAGACTATTGATGTCATTCAAAATTTCATGGAATATTGAAGTTTAAACAATTACAATTACTAATTAAAATTTAACGGAAGTCATTCCAATTCAATATTCGTTACAAAAGAATACAGTGTGGGCGAAGTGAGGACACTAAAATAAACAAAAAGAAAGAAAAACAAATAAACAAACAACTAGAGATATAAGGGAGGAGGGGAAGGGAAACAAATAGGATAGCTAAATAGTTAAAAAGATCATTTATACCCACTCTGCTTCCACTTGTGCCTTTTGAAAGGTGTAATCTCTATGATTAATAGTGGCAATACCATCTTTTAAGGAACATTTCCATCTAGCTTTAGTTCTTGTGACTTTATCATAAAGACATAGTACCAAATTTTCATCTGGACCATCATCATCACCTTCAGATATTAAATAATCATCGTCTGAATCATCTAATTCAGACCCTACCTCATCTGTATCTAATAAAGCACTTCTTTTAGCTTTCTTTTCTTGCAACCGTAACTGTTCTTCGACTACACCATTTGGATTCTCCAAAGTTAATTCAATTTTTCCATTAGTGGTGATAAGTGGTGCATTTTCCAAATCTGTTGGTTTCTGTATATCTTCTGTTTTAATGGTTTCACTATTTTTAATACTATCACTAGCATTATTAGTATTAGTTTCAGTATTATTCTGTTCAGGCAGTGAATCTGGAAGAACACTTTGATTATCGAAACCTTCCTCCTCTTTTACTGGGGGAAGTTCCTCATTATGGGGATTATCATCGGTGGTATCGGTATTTGATACTGTCGAAGTTGGAGGAGCAGGTATTATATTAGAATCAAAACCAGGTAAAACTAAGCCTTGACTTAAATTAGGATGTAAATCATTGTTATTTTCTTGTTTTATAGTAAAATTATTTAAATTTTGATCAGATATTTCATTGTTTTCATTATTCAATATATCATTTGTATTAGTAGTATTATCATTACCATTATTATCTATATTTAAGTCCATCATGTTATTAGTAGAAACTGGGTTATTATTGAGGGAATATTCATCCCATGAAAAGGAAGACACTTTACTCTCAGATAATCTTAATTGCCAATTTCTTCTTAAATCTTGTAAAGTTTGTTCATCAATCCCTGCATTTTCAAAATCTTCTCGAACCTCATTGATAACAGATTCGACGATTAGTTCATAAATTCTACTTGCTTCTCTATTAGACATTGTTTAGTATCTGTTATAAAAATCCAAAAAAGAGATATAAAAGAAATGTAAATAATGTAAATAAATAAATAAGTAAATGCAAAAATGAATAACGAAGAAGGATCCACACCTGACAGGCTTAAATTCGAGGAAGACTTACTTTTTAGTTAGTTGCGTAAAGGGGGGGGAACAGTACTATAATTAAATGGTTAAACTGAATTTATCTATGATTAATGAGCAACTCAAGTACCTTTAGTCTTCTGAATTTCTAATGATCAATTATCTCACTCTTTTCTCTAGTCTGGATGTGTATACATTTCAATCTCTATTTTTTTTCTATTCTTTATTTTTGTTTCCAATGTAAGAGAGGAAAAATAACATATATATTCAAAAACAATATTACCCGGATTTATCAAAAAATTACGTGCTCTTTACCTGATAGGTTTAAATTTTGTTTTTCATCTTCTGAGAAATAGCGAGATTCAAAAAAAATAGGGTTGAAATATAAAAAAAAGACATATGCAAAACATTTCCGATGCACCCTTGAATATTTCAAAAAAAATATGTTAAAAAAAAATAAAAAAGAATGAATTAGGGAATAAATGCATAAAAATAAAAAAATGAATAAAATATTCTCTTAATTTTCCTCTAATAAAAAGAAAAAAAAAGAAAAGATAAAAGAAGAAAAAGCCGTTTCTTATGATCAAGCCACATGCTTCACTATCATTTATTATCAGTATTCGATTATTTTGCTAATGACTTCTTAATAGCTTCGGACTTGCTAAGATAAAAAAATAAAACACAAAAGAAACTAAAAAGAGCGAATTAACAGATTAATTAATTTTTACTTTGTCAACGGTTATTCTATTTTGTTTTTTTAATCAATTATTTCATTATGAAGTAATTGCATATTCAAAATTGATATTTGTCAGCAGAAGTTCATATACTGTTTTTGATTATTTCTTGTTACTGTCAACCGAATGAAATATTGATACATTAGCTTATTCTTTCCTTATTCAGTATTAAGTTCTTGCCTTAAATCTTTAAGGAAATTTCCTTTGAAAGCGTATTCAATTATTCATCCGAATAAGTATATTAAAGTTTAAAAAAATAAGCATATATAAGTCTCGAGCAAAGAATAATTATACTTTCATAACTTGAATGTTTAAGTCTATCATATAGCAAAAAATAACGACAACAAACAAGCAAATAAATAAATAAATAACCAAGCAAAGCTAAATAAAAAGTTTGCGTATTATTAACACATATTAAAAAAATAAGGAATTAATAATAATAATAATAATAATAATAATAATAATAATAATAATAATAATAATAATAATAATAATAATAATAATAATAATAATAATAATAATAACAATGAATACTCTTCCATTAGGTCGTTACGTTTTCGAGAGATTAAAACAAATTGGTATCAACACTATTTTTGGTTTACCAGGTGACTTCAATCTAGTTCTTCTAGATAAAATTTATGAAGTTCCAGGCATGAGATGGGCCGGTAATGCTAATGAATTAAACGCTTCTTATGCAGCAGATGGTTATGCTAGAATTAAAGGCATGGGTGTCCTTCTAACTACTTTTGGTGTTGGTGAATTATCTGCTCTAAATGGTATTGCCGGTTCCTATGCTGAGCATGTTGGTGTCTTGCATATTGTTGGTGTCCCATCTACCATATCACAAGCTAAAAACTTATTGTTACATCACACTTTAGGTAACGGCGATTTTGATGTTTTCCATAGAATGTCTGCTGAAATCTCTGAAACAACTGAGATGATTGTTGATCCTGCTAAAGCCTGTGACCAAATTGACAGATGTATTAGAACCACTTATATCAAACAAAGAACCGTTTACTTAGGCATTCCAGCCAATTTCTTTGACATTGAAGTATCAGCTGACCGTTTGAATACCCCAATTGATCTTTCCCTACCAAAGAATGATCCAGAAGCCGAAATTGAAGTTATTGAAACAATTCTTTCTATGATCAAGAATGCAAAAAACCCGGTCATTATCTCTGATGCTTGCGCTTCTAGACATGACTGTAAAGAAGAAACTAAGAAATTGATCGATATTACACAGTTCCCTGCTTTCACTACTCCAATGGGTAAAGGCTCTATTGATGAAACTCATCCAAGATATGGTGGTGTCTATGTCGGTACATTATCTGTTCCAGATATCAAGAAATGTGTCGAGTCTGCTGATTTAGTCTTGTCCGTTGGTGCCCTATTGTCAGATTTTAATACCGGTTCATTTTCGTATTCCTATCACACCAAAAATATTATTGCATTTCATTCTGATCACATTAAGATCAAAAATGCCATCTTTTTTGGCGTCCAAATGAAACCATTATTACAAAAGTTATTGCCATTTATTCCAGCAGTTGTCCAAGAGTACCAACCAATTCCAGTACCTTCACGTCCAATATTAGCTGGTGCCGAAGTCAATGATCCATCTGCAGCCTTGACTCAGAATTGGTTATGGACTCATTTAACCGACTTCTTACAGGAAGGTGATATCGTTATCACTGAAACTGGTACATCCGCATTTGGGATCAACTCCACTTTATTCCCAAAGAATACTATCGGTATCTCTCAAGTCTTATGGGGTTCCATTGGTTTTACTGGCGGTGCAGTTTTAGGTGCTGCCTTTGCTGCTGAGGAATTAGATCCACACCAAAGAGTCATGTTATTCATTGGTGATGGTTCTTTACAGCTAACTGTTCAAGAAATATCTACCATAATTAGATGGAACTTGAAACCATATTTATTTGTCCTAAACAATAATGGTTACACCATTGAAAAGTTGATTCATGGTCCAACAGCCCAATATAATGAAATCCAACCATGGAAACACCTAGAATTATTGCCAACTTTCGGTGCTGTTGACTATGAAAATCATAGAGTGGCTACAATCGGTGAATGGATTGCGATAACTCAAGATAAGGACTTCCAAAAAACTCAAAAATCAGAATGATTGAAATTATGTTACCAGTCATGGATGCCCCAGATGCCTTGGTTAAGCAAGGTCAATTGACTGCTCAAATTAACGCCAAATAATAGACCGATTGAAGCATGCTATTTTTACCATTTTATTTGGTATATTTATTTAGTTTAAGTTTATGAAAATAATAACACATAATATTAATATTTGAATTTCCAATATTTATATGGAATTACATCGGTTTCTTTTTGTTTCCTTCACTTATACGGATACATATATATATATATATATAGCAATAATGCATGATGCTTACGATGTTTGTAGAAACTTTTAAAAATATTTCATAGATGTTTTGGAATTTTTCTTTCTTATTTCAACTGTTTGTTACATAAGTAATCTTTGGCTGTTGTCATTTGTTTTTAATTAAGTTTTGACTAATTTTACCTTTCTTTCCAGATTGTCGACCCAAAAAAAATGTATCAATTAATCATTACTAATCATTACTATGGTTTTGACTATACAGATCTGGAAAAGTAGAAAAGGAAAATTTTATCCTTGGAGAAGAAAAAAAGCATCTAAAGGAATATTAAAAAGAATAAACAACACAATAGAAGAAGCACAAATTCGTCTATAATTATATTCACAAGTATACATATACACATCTATATATATATATACATTGAAGTGCCATCATTTATTGACTGGTCAATTGTTTTTAAAATAAGAAATTGCTTTTTTGATTTAAATGTCAAGGCTATTAAACCCCTTCCAAATTAAACATATTAACAAAACTGTTCTTAAACAACTATCAACACCTGATTTGCTCGAGCATTTACACTTTGTAAAAAAAACACAGAGTGGATTATTCCAGTATTTACCTCTGGGGAAACGAACCATTGATAAATTAAATAATTTAATACATTCAAAATTACAAAATGAGCTAGGTGCAATTCAGTTGGAATTAGGTACATTGTCATCTAAAAAATTATGGGACAAAACTGAAAGATGGACTAAGCAAGGTAATGAGCTGTTCAAATTGAAGGATAACAAAGGCAACGATTTCTGTCTTGTTGCTACATGTGAAGAAGATATTACAGATTTAATGGGGAATTATATTAAGTCTTATAAAGATATGCCATTTGTTGTCTACCAATTAAATAAAAAATACAGAGACGAGAAAAGACCCCGCGGTGGACTATTGCGTGGTAGAGAATTCTTAATGATGGATGCATATTCTTTTGCAACAACGGCAAAGGACTCGAGAGAAATATTTGACAGGACAAATGACGCTTATGATTCTATATTCAAAGCTTTAAAAGTTCCCTATACTAAAGCTTGGGCTGATAATGGTGATATGGGTGGCGATATTAGTAGAGAATTCCATTTTGTTGATAAGAATGGGGAAGATACATTATTTGAATGTTCTAATTGTCATAATACTACTACGCAAGAAAAAACTGAATCCTTCCCACTCATAGAAGGCCAAGAATTTGGTGATATCGATGTTAGATATGCCTTATCCAACGATCATAATTCACTTATCTGTTATTATTACCCCAAAAATCGTCAGTTGAACTGGAATCTTGCTCTTAAAGCAATGGGTCATGATGTTGATTCCAATTTGAAATTATTACCAAATAATAAAATATTAGATATCTTTAGAAATGAAAATCATGATTTGATGTTTGCTAAGTTTATAAGAGTTATAGATTGTAGAATAAATACAAGATCAAAATTTCCTGGATTTCCATTTAAAAATTACCTTAAGAACAACTTTGGTCAAATTGACGGAATATCAATAGTAAATGCAATCGATAAAGAAAGATGTGCTAAATGTAATGATGGTATATTGAAATCATGTCGGTCAATAGAAATCGGTCATACATTTGTGTTAGGTACTAAATATTCTAAACCAATGGATCTAAAATTTATGGATAAAGAGAATAACATTACTGACAATTACGTAGAAATGGGTTGTTATGGTATTGGAGTTACTAGAATTGTTGGATCCCTTGCTGAAATGTTAAGAGACGAAAAAGGATTAAATTGGCCTGTTGCCATTACTCCTTATTTAGTATCAGTATGTGGTATCGAAAATAATAATGCCTCTTTAACTTCGCAAATAATAGAGAGATTATCTTTTTCACCTACATTAAAGGATAATATATACCATTCGTTTGATAGCAATAGTTCTTTAGGTGCACAGGTAGATATATCGCATGCTCTCGGAATTCCACTGAGTGTAATTGTAGGGCCAAAATCGTGGCCTAGGATTGAAATCGAAGTAAGAAGACAACCAATAGCTTCTAGAGAATCTAAATGGAAAGACGTTTATAATCAAAAGAAAGAAGAATTTGACTGGGAAGTAATAAATGCTTCCAGCGATAAACAATTAGAAAAGCATATTGTGTCCCAAGACCATGCTGTCTCAGTGATTGAACTTCTTTTAAAGTACTTATGAACTTTGTCTAACCCCTGTAAATAATAGATATAAATAAAAAAATCTAAATTATTTATAAAAACATGCATATATATGTGTGGATTTTACATACTGGTTACATATTCTTATCATTCAATAGATGTTTCTTCAAAAGTCTTTTAATCTATTAAGCACATAATTCAGTTTATTCATTTTAAACAATTGTCCATACAATTTTATTTATTGTAACATAATCACTTTAGTTAATTGAATAAAATTTCGGAAATATCCAAAATTAAAGATAACAATTAAAAAAAAATAACGAAAACAAAACAAAACAAATTTGAACCTGGTATTAAGTTGAACATTACACATGTAATATTAGTAATTTTGCTTTAAAAATAAAATTTCACTCTTTAGAAATTCTACGAGAATAGATATTAGGCATTAAATCCTTTCGTCTATCATTATTTAAAGTCTATATTGTTCATAACTTATACAACGCCAAATTCAATTTCATCCTTTTTACAATTGCAAGTTTAGCTTCTGTCATTTGGTTAAGACTAAAACTAAAATCGAAAGGAAGTGTATTCAACATTTTTAACTCTATCTTCTTTGAAGTTTCACCTACTTTAGAATTTAACAAAAAGAGACCTTAAACGGAAAATATTGTGAGTACAAATCTTCATGAATAGTGGTCAGTTAGGTACCAAAACACTAGACCTTTTGGCTCAGTATGATAATCATATATCAGAGAGAGATAAATCAATTGAATATATCGAAAAGCAAAGTGATACTTACAATGATAGTACCAATAAGCCAGGTTATGATGATCTTTTTAAAGAAAATATTAGGTTGAAACTACAGGTACAAGAATATGAAGCAGAGATACGGAGCTTAAAAAAAGCACTTGAAATTTTAAGACAAAAGGATGGTAGTGAATCTGTTGATATGATTATCAATCAAGTACAGTTAGATTCCCAACACTCTCAAACATTTAAGAAGGAATTAGTTCTCCCAATTAGATCTTTAGATCGTAAGAATAATGCTAAAGAATTAAAATTACCTGAGATTCAAAGTTTACCTCAAAAAAATGAATACGAGATGAATATACCAAAGATAAATCTACAAGAAACACATGCAGCATCAATCTTTGAAAATGATGACTTAATTAATAAGAATGAAAGCTCAGAATCTTCTAATAACCCATTCTTAAATTCAAAATCTTCAAATATAAATTTGATAAAAACCAATACAATCAGTTCTAATTTGGCAAGTCCTGCAACTTCTGTTACATATACAACGTCTAGAATCTCTATTAAGTCACCCAACAAATCTATCCGTTCTCCAGTACAAGAAAGAATTAGTTCTCCCCAAAATTCAAACAGAGTAACTTCTGTAATAAATAACCATATTAGGTCTCCATTAAAGGATCGGTATGAAGATAAAGAAATTAATTTTAATATTTCATCAAGCCAGATGTTTTTAGATAAGGGATTTACAGTTGATAATGACCCTAATCATAATGTCAATTCTATAGATGTTGAATATTCCGATTTGGATGAAAAAAATGAGCTTATAAATATACATGAAAGCCCTATTAGATATGTTAATAATCCAGATAATAATGCTAATTCTGAGTTTTTGGATACTAAACTGGAATTTTCACCAGCCGCAAAAGCTAGGTTAAACAATTTTACGCAGCTCTTAGAAGATTCCTTTGGATCAACTAAATTAAATGAGAGCACAGACGATGTTAGTAACAACCAAAGTATTAGTGAGGACAAGGATGTTTGTGAAGGAGCACGGGCTGATGCTTTGTTACATCCAATTACTAAACAGTTATCAGCAAGTGCCAACTCTTCACCATCTTTAAAAAGATTAGGTTCCCCAGTGTTATTAGATCAGAAAACTCATAATAGTGTAAATAGTAAACATTCTATTTCGTCATCATTACAACAAGAAATTATTTCCAAAGAATCTAATATTGTACAGGACAAAGAAGAACATAATAAAGAAGTAGTTTCTCTTACAAGCTCATCAAAGGGTTATGACACCCTATTATCTGCACCTAGCATTCATAAATCTACAACTGATAATTCCTATTCAAATGACTTGCGTATGCCTAGTGTGGGTACAATTAAATCGAACGCAAATAGCGTCGTATCTGAGATTCCATTATTTGTTCAACCTGAAGATTTTGGTACAATAAAAATTGAAATACTCAGTACATTATATGAAGAACCAGAAATAAATCCAGAAGAACATTTGGTACTTTTAAGTGTCATAGATAGAAAATCCGAAAAAGAAATGTTTAAGTTTGCTAAATCGATCCCTAAAATTAGGGAACTAGATGTATATTTGAAATCTCATATTTCACTATTATCATTACCTAATTTGCCAGAGAGAACACTATTTCAAACCAATGTACCAAATAAAGTTGCTTTAAGACGAGAACAGCTTAATTCATACTTTCAAAGCATATTTAGTATACCTGACATTCCTTCAAATGTCAGTCTAAAAATTGCACAATTTTTAAGTACTGATACAGTAGTAAACCCAATGTTAATGGATGATACTATCAAGGAGGGAAATGTCATGGTAAGAAGACCCAAAAAGACATTAGGGAATCAACCTAGTTGGAAAATCAAATATGCAGTATTAAATGGTGATACCTTATATTTATCGGAAGGAGATCAAACAACAGAAATTATCAAGTTAAAGCAGTGTACTATGGAAATTATTCCAAATTTACCTGATGACAAGTTTGGTACCAAAAATGGGTTTATGATTAGTGAACATAAAAAAAGTAGTTTATCTTCAAGTTCCAAATATTATATATGCACTGAAACGTCTAAAGAACGTGAATCTTGGATATCAACTATAAATGAGCTTATTGATGGTCCAAATTATATGTCACACAGCCATTCTTCCAGTGTCAATTCTTCAAATCATTGGCTAAACTTATCAAATACTCATAACGATCAGTGTAACACAATAGCAAAGAGTGGGTCTTCAGCAAACACGATTGATAACAATATTGATTCTACTAGCAATTTATTTGAACAAAAATCATCTCTATTTGTAAATAACCAATATACTATGGGTACAACTACAACTTCTTCACCAAAACAAACAATTGATCAGAATGGTGGTTTAGACGAACGAGAAGCAAGAAGATTAAAAATGAGAAGCATATTTCCATTTAAAAAGTTGAATTTAAATCCGATGACATCATATGTTTCTACATCCTCCCCACATGTTCAAAATATAAATGACAACTTAGATTTTGAAGCTGTTACAATAATATCTCAAGATTCTACGGTAATGCCTGTCGATGACAAGCTTAAATCCATAACGATTGATTCTCCAAGTACAGAATCATCTGTCGTGAAAACTGTATTTGGATCTAATTTGGATGAATGTCTAAAGTTGAGTTCACATACGTACCAAAACAAATATGAAATACCTAGTGTTGTTTACAGATGTTTAGAATATTTATACAAGAATCATGGTCTGCGAGAAGAAGGTGTTTTCCGTTTAAGTGGGTCAAGTACACTTATTAAGATGTTACAAGAAAGATTTGATAAAGAATATGATTTCGATCTTTGTGCTTATGAAAATGATACTGAAGATACTTTTGTAGGTGTTAACACTGTGTCTGGTTTATTGAAACTTTATTTAAGAAGTTTACCTCACTTAATTTTTGGAGATGAGCAATACTCTTTATTCAAACAAATTGTTGATGAAAATTACTCAAGACCACATGAGATTGCATTAGGATTTAGAAGTATTATCGAAACAAATAAAATTCCTAGGGCAAATCTATCTCTGATGTACTCACTTTTTGAACTATTAAGCAGAATTGCTGATAATAATAAATATAACAAAATGAACTTAAGAAATCTTTGTATTGTATTTTCACCCACATTAAATATTCCAATAGTTATGTTGCAGCCATTTATTGTAGATTTCCAATGTATTTTTAAAGGAGAAGAGCCTACTCCTGACGAGGACAGGGAGCAGGTTGATGTTCATATTCCACAATTATAATTTTATCTGTTGAATAAATAATACGAAAATATATAAAGTAAAAAACTGTTTTGGATAATGTATTACAAGAGACATGTGTAACTCATATACAATCAATATGTAAAGAATATAAATAATTATTAATAATGATCTGTAATAATAAAAAGAAATTGATAATAAATTTTTAACTATTATACCATTAAATTATTCCATTATTTTTTTATAATTACAAATATATAAAATTAAAATGCGAACTATATGGATAAGTACATATATAAAACTAATATAAGATATTTTAAGCTATAATAAATAGTATAATATTTTCAAATTAATGAATAACCGTTAATGCTTAGATGAAGGAAAATACAAAAAAATCCTTTCCCAAGTGATGTAAAAATATAATAATTACCATTTTCTACCACTTCTTGTAGTATGTCTTCTGGTAGAGATATGTGAAATCATAGATATATCAGTGTCATCATACGGTTGTAAGGACGGATTTGATGTTTGGTCGTACCTTATTTGTCTTTTTGTAAAATTTGACGGAGCTTTATACTGATATTTTGTGGAAAAAGAATGTTTTTGTTTTTGTACTGTATCAAGTTTGCTATATTTTGCATCCGTCTCTTCATCACTTTGAATAATTTCCAAAGTCTCTAAATGTCTAGATATATCATCAATTGTGATATCTTCCACCGTTTGATTAAAAGTTTTATTCAATTCTTCATCATAAACATAATCTGCATCATCTTCTTCATCCTCACTAGAAAATTCCTGTTGTAAAAATGGTATATCTTGTTTTAATCTTCTTGATGGTTTTCCATTAGCTTCTTGAGATTGAACTTTATTCCTGCTAATTCTTTGTGCAATAGTTCCTTCGGATTTTTTTGAAGGGATAGAGGGATTAGCCTCTTTAAATATGACATCTTCAAATTCTGGGATCATAGCTCTACCTAATTTGATGACTTCTTCCGCCCAAATTCTAATTACATCTTTAGATTTTTTAGACTTATATGGCTTCCAATTTGGTTTGCATCCACGAGATATTTCTTTGACTACTTGTTCTGATCCCCATTCTTTAATCCAATCTTGATTTTGTAGTCCGATTAAATGTGCAAATACACCAGAACATATAGCCTTATCTGAATATCCACCTTCCATCAAAGAAATAACTTTCCCCTGACAATGCATTTGTGCCAATTTTAAAGCATCTTTAGTAAAAATAGTGTAAAATTCAGTGGGTAAATTAACATTATGTCTTTGCATTGAATGTTGTTCATATTCTGATGCATCAAACCCTGCACTAATAACCACTAGTCCCTTAAATGGTTTCTTTAACTTTAACATTTCTTGTTTCGAAAGTTTAAAAAATTCATCAGCTTTGGCAAATAATGTCCTATATTTCGAACGGTACAGTTTCATAAAATCCTCTTCATTATCCCATGGAGATAAATGAATATTCCAAATATTTAAATCATGTGAATTCATAATACAAGTGGATGCATTTTTTATGTTTTCACTTGTTGCATAGCCCGTCTCAGTGGGGAATGAATTAATATCATGTAATGAAAAATACCCAACTTTTGGAAATCTGGCCAATTTTTTACCAAAATCATTATAATTATCAATGTTGTCGTCATTATAATTTTCACTGGAATCAACCTTATTATCAGTGATATTATTGTTTAGCTCATCATATTTTATATTTTTTTTGCTCTTATAGTTTGAGATGTGTTCGTTTCTATCGCTGTCGTCAGGCTTGAATCCAGCTCTTTTCCAACATATGGCTTGAGATCCATCCCCGTGATGTAAATCGAAATCTAAGATGACTGCATGTGTAACATCATATTTATCAAAAGCATATTCTATAGCTATGTGTGCATTGTTTAATAAACAAAAACCGGAAGGAGTGGACACATGACAATGATGTCCAGGTGGTCGTATAGCAACGAAAGTTCTATTACATATATGTTCAGGAGATGGGCCTGAAAAGATTGTATCTATTCCTGTCTCTATGGCACCAATAGTACCACACAATGCATTAATGGTAGTTGGGCTCAAATAAATATCACCGGAATTCCAATCGTCAGGAACTTCAATTTGACCTTCCGATAGTTTGAAACTTGCTTCTTGACAAAGTTTAGTAATTTCATATGACCAACTCTTCGCATGAACTTTTGTTACATGTGGTGCTGTTAATGAACCCATCCTATTAAAAGAAGATTTTAAGGAGAATAATGCCGGGTACATGGTTATTGCAGCAGCAATACCTATCGAAGATGCTAATAATCTTTCAGGTCTCTCCACAATAGTCTTTTTATAAGATTTTGAGACCCATTGTCTACTAAAGATATGTTGTAACGATAAAGGGGATAGTATGATTACAGCTTTAGCAGCTTCTGGTATTTGAGATGCAGCTCTAGCAGCAGATATTACATTTGGATTATTTTCTACAAAACTTTGGAATTGTAAATGAAATTTCTCTAATGGATCAATAGACATTTAAATTTTTTCTATTGTTTACTTTTTTCAAAAAAAAGATATTATATATATATTATGTTAATATATACTGTTATCTTTAATAATAATAATAATTGTCTCACAGATAGATACGTATATTGAGAAAAAGAAGAGAAAATAATGTAAATTGGATCGTTTCGAAGTAATATAAGTTTGACTTTAAAGAAATATAGAATATCAAAAAAAATCCAATGGCTGATTTCCCTTATATCATAAAAAATTATTTTCTACTAATGGTTTCTGATATTTTTGAAAGATTCAACTACACTTTTACTAGTAACGATATCGCTTCTAATGTATACTATCAGAACAACAGTTGTTGCCATTACTGTTAAATGCTATATAAATTTTAGAAACAGACAAATATGGAAAACCCCTTCGAGAAAAATCTCTAAAATGTAAACAAAACGGAGAAAGATTTTTGATTCTAGGGCAATAGAAAATTTAGCTGATTTTTTATTTTTGGGAAAAAAAAATGAAAAAAATTTTCTAAACAATATTGTGTATTCCAAAGAGGAAAAATCTTTGAAATATCATAACAACGGAGTTTTTCTTATTTTAGTTATTTTTGAAAAACGAATTTTTGTAGGTTTTAAGAACCAATTTCTCAGTTGTTATGTGTTTTTGGTTTCCGTGTCAAATCTGGTTAGGTTACAAAAAAAGAAAAAATTCATATAAAAAATTTAGAAATATACATGGGTTTTTGATGAGAATGAGCGCCTGTATTCATTGGATATATAGTAAGTATTCTCAATATTATATTAGATAGATTTAGTATACAAAATTATAATAAAGTTCTTCAGTTTTTTTATTTATGTATATAATGTATAATGATAAAATATAGAAGATGAGCAAGGGAAGAAACATGATATGAAAAAAATGTTGGCTTTATATATTTTCATATTTGGTCTATCTCGTCTAAGTACGGCACTAAATTTATGATGAAGTTTGTTTACGTCTACTGATAAGCAAACAATACGTTTTTCACTTTTTGCTTATCAATTAATGTTTACTAAAATCTAATTGGTCTATTATTTATTCTAGAACGTTTGATTCCAGCAGTTTCTTTACACAAGTTTTCTGAAAATAGATTTATTATATTTTATGTAAGATTATTCATTGTGTTTATTAATAAATAAATCTGAAAACGGTGCCACTAAAAAGGGAAAGAGAGACGGTGGTTTATTTTTATATTTGTTTGGAGTTCAATATTTTAAAAAAGAAAGTATTTCATTTTAAGTTTGTGTTCTAAGAAGTCACGTTTGATAACTTATCTAAATAAAATTATAGAAAACCTTAAAAAAAGTAAAATTAAAATTATTATGTAAGGAATCTAACTGGAAATCCAGTGGATACGCAGTTCCAAGGGTAACGCCTAAGTGGCTGGGTGGAGGATTGGTACAGTAATGTGTGCAACGGCTCGTATGAGGTATTGAATCTGATTGGAGGATTTCCAGGGAGCGATAATCATATCTGATCTTGTCAAGAGGCCTTTGATTATTGAGAGATATACCAGGGGTAATCATCTTATTTAAATACATCTTAGTAATGATATTAAGAAGTAACTCTTAATATCATACAAGACTAACAACAACAACAAGAAGTAATAATACTATATCAGGGTTATTAATTGATGATATATAGAACTTACGTAAGAGTGTTTATACTTAAACTAATTGATATAATTTATCCACTTATATACAACAACTCTTACATATTAATACTCATAGAAAAATTATGTTTTATACCTTATAAATAACGACAATAGTGTTTTTTGGGACCCATCGTTTTTATATACATAAATCCAAAATTAAACAATCTTGTTTTTATTATTTTCAGAGAATGTATAAATTTTAATAAATATTATTTTTTATAATGGGCAGGAAAGTTCCCAGAATTTGCTACATAAAAAACCAGAATCAATAGTACGAAATAAGCTTTCAATTACCAAATAGTTTCAACAACCAATTAATCGATATCTATTTAGATATATCAACCTAAAAATTTTCTTATATAACATTTTTATTTTATTTACATGTTTTTATATATCATTATTTTTATACTGTGTATAAAGAAGAAGGAGAAAGAACCTTACGTTAATATTATATACTATTAAGAATATATCCAATTCACACACTTCAAATAGACCTATGAAATAAAGAACAATTATTCCAAAATTGATAAACAAAAAATTCAGTTATGCAAATATTGGTTTGATTGACAACAAACTGCTTTCATCTAGCTTACAACAAGTAGTACTTTTATCAACTATTTCTAAAGAAATCAAAAACTTTATGATAAAATAAATTACCTACTATAACCAAATTATTTCGAACATTTATTCAATAGTGATTCCATCTTTAGCAGAGCTAGTGGGAATGAAGGTTATTGTAGATATGTCTATTGTAGTTATTGTAATATACTGGTAATACGTTCATTTGTCTATTTTCAAACTATTTCGAAAAATGTTGGTAATTTTTAAATCCCATATACTATTTGACAAACTTGTTGTTTTGCTCACATGGAATAATAACTTTATGGTAAATATTATTTTCATTACAAGAAAATTGATGTTTTTCTTTTTTTGAAATCCAATCAAAATTCCAATATCGCAGGAATTAATTGATAAAAAATATCTATCATGCAATCCAAAAGCCTGTCAGACATTTGAACTAGGTCTTAGCCATTGTTGGTTACAATTATTATTACTATTATTATTAAGTACACTATCTATATGCTGCTTAGAAATGTGTATTTATTACACACCCTTAAGATTAAATAAGAAAAAGCACCTCAAACCTTTGTTAAGTACATTCCATAAAAGAATATATATAACATAACCTAATATTAATTTTTTAATCAATATCAATGGAGTAAAGTAAATCTGCAATAATAGTAGAAGAATAACTAATTTTTATTTTCTGGATGATCGATACCGTACCTTTTACATTCTTCTTTACATTTTTCTGCAACACAATAGGAAGCCTTTTGAATAATGGTAACTGTCTCTTCATCAATAAGTAATGTTTCCCTTACTTTCTTTTTATTATAAACTTGTAAAATATAATTCAAAATTCCTCTAATGACTACCCTACCTGAAATTGCATCTGCTTCACTAAATGTCACCACCATGTAGTCTTCAAATCGTTTGGTTATTGGATCTTGATCTAAAATTGCCCAGTTACTAATAGAACTTGGTGAAAGAACGTTATACCCACTGCAACTGGTATCTTTTAGATTCCAACCCATTATGGGTTTACCAAAATCAACATTTGGCGTAACCAATTCCAAGTGGTAGACCCCATCAGTTTCGACTAATACAATTAAAGTAGGCCTATAAAATCTATCACCACAACCACAATTATCAACATGACTCTTGGCGAAACCTACCCAAATATGCGTATTTTCTAGCTGAGGTAAAACATTAGGTAATGAAACATATTGAGTACCACCTCTAATGATCCCGAAGTAGCCTTTGCCATTATCAAGTCCTGCAGTTTGTGCATTAAATATCATTTTACATTTTCCTGTTAATAGTGAACAACGAATGATTTGCAATGGACTGTAGTCATAAACAAAATGTATATAACCTGGATAATTATCACTTGATTGTACTCTCTCAGGGACAAAAAATGGAGACCAATTCTTTTCAAACCCTTTCATATCGTAACCTTCAATATCAAACATTACACAAGGGTCGATTTTCCTATGTGGCATCATGGCATGCACCTTTATATCTTTGTGTGAATTCATATTAACAATGATGACCGGTTCTTCACCATCTTTATCCTGTCTTAAAATCACATGTGGATCCTCCGGGCCATTCCAATGCTCTCTCATAATAAATGGTATATTAACGACTGTTGGATATTTAATAGAATATTTATCTAATAATTTATCAATTTGCTCTCTAATTTTGAATGTATTCTTATTAATCTCAGTTGCACAATTTTCATACGCATCAGTACCGTGTCCTAAAGCATCACAATTTGCTGATATATCTAACTTTCTTTTAAGTGATTGAACCAATTGTTTCACTTCCTTTGGCATTTTAACATCTCTAAAAGGAATTCTTCTCCCTTTAATCTCATTCCAATCCTTATCAAACATTTGACCCACAACCACGGATATATAGGAACTACCTCTATTCTCATGCCTAGAATAGATCATTCTTGTATATGCAACATAACATTGTTCCTTTTTCAACCATACCGCTGCTGTACCGAAAGAAAACCATCTCTTCTCAATAATTTCCATCTCAGACATTTTTGATTCTTCTTCGTTTGTAGTGAATTCCTTGGCTAAAGGAGAGTCCATAGCCAATAACTGTCTTCTCATATTGATATAGTCAATCTGGAAATTTTGGTCAGACACAGAGTATTCGATGTTATTTGAATATTGTAGATCTTGGCACTCTAATAAATTTGCATAAGCTTTATTGAAAGGTTGTAATTTATTATCATCACGATTGGCACCATCCTTATGATTTTTGGTAATTTTATCGGATGAGTCTGAATATGTCATTTCAAGGTTTGGTACGTAACCGAAAAGGGTATTATTGCTATATAATTTAGATCTGATAGATTCATTGAAACCATATTCTGCCTCTAGATACTTATCATATGTCTTGGACGATGATAACAACATATCACTAATATCGACATTCACTAGCTCTTTTCTGCTGTGAAGTTTCTGTCTTGGTCTTCTTTGTTCATTGCCTAAAAAAGATAGTGATGATGTGACTTGAGTATTTGAATTAATATTGTATAAATAACTCAACGACACAAGAACAAACACAGAACATAATAAGAATAGACATAAATAGACTGAAGAATTTCGAGCTAAATATCTCCTGTACTTCATATTAAAAATTATTTGCTCTGTTTCAGCCTGGGAGAGATGCTTAACTCGAACGGTGTACCAAGACGCTACAAAACATTTAAGAAAAGTCTACATCAACACAAAAAAAGAGATCCCTTGGAACATATGAAAAATGTCTAATCATCTGTCAAACTTCTTTTTTTTTTCATATTCAAGACTCGTCCAAGCATTAAGAAGATATATATATATATATACAAATATAAATATATATATACACAAGTAGGTAGATAGGCAAATAAACAGTAGTAGTAGTAATAACAAGCTGATAAGCACGAAAAAAAAATTGTTAGGAGCGGGGGTAAATAACTTCACATGAAACAGCACAGATACATTGTTTTTATTCACGAGATTTTATTCTATTCTCTTTTTTTTTTTTTTTTTTCGTTCATCGTTCTTTTGTCTTTGTTGATTTAAAAGCTGCAGCAACGAAATTACAACCGACAATAGTAAAAGAAAAAAAAAATTTTTATTTTAAGATATACCACAGACAAGCTTTTGAAAATGTCCAAATTGTGTATATGTTTGTATGCAAGAGAGACAGAGAGAGAGGGAAATGCAAAACAAAAACAAAAAAGATTCAATACTAAACTGTGTTTAAATAATGTTAAGAAGGGGAAAAATAGTTTTTAATCTCCCTAATGTGGTTAATAGAGAACTATTCACGTGCAAAAAGTAGGGAACAAACAAAGAAAATAATAGCTTCCAATTAAAGGACTACAAATTCTGTAACAAAAATTCTAAATTTCATTTTTATTATCTTCTATTCATTCATATATCCTGTAGCCATGTGCCGAATCTTGTATTTAATGTATCTATATACTGTCTTCGATGTATCTGGATCCAGCAAGACTACTCTGTCTTATAGCATATGTAATGCTCTTTCTATAGGACAAACCATTTCTAATTATTGCTTGTAGACATTAGCGTTCTCACTCTCCCTCCCTCATACGAAGGATCTTACACTTTACACAAGTGTATAACTACACTGCCACTATCCAAACACTTGTTATGATTTGATTTGATTTGATACGATTTGATGTGTTTCAATATCTCTCTGTTTTCCAACAGACAACCATTTCGACATCTTCAGTTTGTTTGTTTGCTTTTTTGTTTGTTTTTTTCTTTTTTTTCTTTTTCTTCTTTTTGTCTCTCAACGCCGTCTCTCTCTTCTATTTTTGTCCGAATGCAAAACTAAAATAAACTAAACTAAATAAAATAAAATAATCTAATATACACTAAAGAGAACTTGTATCTATGTATATACATATGCGCATTTTTATAGACTTTAGTAGTTAACCAGTAGCCCTTTCTTTGATCCCCCCCCTTTTTTTATGGAGTTTGTTCGTTCTATATATTTGTAGAAGAACATAGTATTATTGAATAGATCAAAATCAACCAAATTATCAAAACAAAGAAACAAACGTTTTCATATCCTATACATATAAGCGCTTATATAAAACAAAGTTGTGTTAAAAGAAAAAGATCTTTTTTTTTTTTTTGCTTTTTCACTTTTTTAATTTTATATTACAGCCTATACCCTAGTATTCATCATTGAAGAACATTACTTTCAAATAACACATATACATATTGTTATACATATATCAATCGTAGTATGAATTCAAACTTTGTGTTTCCCCAAGTTACTGATACGACGACGACAACAACAATATCATCATCATCGTCAACGGATAATAATAATAATAATAATAATAATAATAATGATAATAATAATAATAATGATAATAATAATAACGATAGCAACGATAATAGAAACATGCAGGATACTGAAAATACATTTGTTCAAGAATCACAAAATCAAAATAATATAATACCAACAGATCAAAGTAATATTATCTCTGCAAATAACATACGGACTCATCCATCTGATTACTCTTATAACCATAGTTATCAATATCCTTTTATCCCGCAAAACAATAATACCAATAATCAGGTCAATGTTACAGCAACTACAAATACTAATAATGGTGAAATACTACAATCTTCTATTGTAGATTTTCCCACAATAAATATACCGTCACCTATTGAAGCACCACCAAATGTTAAACAGGTAAATAATGATGTTTCTTCTACAAATATAAGTGATCACCCTGTATTAGCATCCTACTCAAATGACCTTAATATACACCATAATCAATCACAGAATATACAATCTTCTCATTTTATCGCAAATGCACATTTCAATCAAAATAATAGTGACATAACCACTACTACAAATATTATTACTAATAATTCTGATATCATATCAAATGAGAAACCTATAAACAATGTTATCATGCCTATTAACCAAACAACCACCACCAATACTAATACTGATACTACCCCTACTCCAACAGAATATGTTAATAGTTTAAGACACGAACTAGCAACAGAAAAAAAAGCCCCTCAGAATATGCCTTACATATACTTTTCACAAAATTTGTTCGTCAAGCAGAGGAAAAATTAACTTTATGCTCGGAATATCCTTTAGATACTGAACCTCCTATAAACAATATTTTAAGTGAAGGTGTGGACCCTGATTTCGATAAAATTATTGGATCTCTAGGACATATTGCTAGAAAAAATCCTAAACCGGTTATTGATGCAATGATGTTTTGGCGAAAGACTAAATCTGAAATATCAAACTCAATCTCACAAGATTTTGAGAATAAACTAAAGCTTTTTGAAAATGAAATGTCTATGAATGGTTGCGCTACCACTAATAGTACTGTTGCTACCAATAACTCTTCCTCAGTTAATAATAAACCACGTCTAATAAAATCTAATAGTCTAAGAAAAATATCCACAAGTAGTTCTTTATCTATTCCAAAGAGAGTCGTCTCTTTAAAATCTTCTCCTCAAATCAAAACTTATAACGATACAACAAAATTGGTTGAGCTACAGAATATAGTGGAAAAAAAGAGAATAGAAATGTTACAGGCAAACAGGAAATCATTAATAAGTATATACATTCTTTGTAGAGTGCTCATTGAAATCGTTAAACAATCCCCACATGACTCTGATGAACACATAAACAATAAGTTGGAAGAAATCATCTTTGCACAGTTAAAAATCACTGATCCATTATCTGTTTCTTCAAGTATCATAAAATCTTCAAACTGGAATTCTTTCGCTAAAATTCTAGGTTGTATGTCAGAATACCATTTTGTATCTGTAAGTGATAAATTTATCGCTGAACTAGAAAAGTTCCCTAGTTTAATACCCATTGAAGACGAACCATATGTTCATTTACTAGTTTTAGGTATGAGGTATTTGAAATTGAAACATTATCCAATTGACAATTTTGAACAAAGTATGGATTTTTTGAAAAGTATATCAAAATTTTTTGCAAGAACAGAAAATGTTTCAATCAGAATAGCCTATGCAGATGTCACCACTCAATTATTATTATCTTTAGCTGACGTAGTCACCGTAGAAATAAATCATCCGACTTGGATTGAAGCAATGGAGCTTTTATATAAATGTTCCAAAACATTAATTTCAAATACGAAATGTTGGTCTGTCGGATTTACTCTGAGTGTATCAATCTTGTGTGTATCACCTTCTCAATTATTCACAGAAAGATGGATGAAATTACTTACCTCAAATATTGATAAAATCAAAACCAAAGATATCACGGAAAGAGCCATCTATGCACTAGGTCTATCTTGCTTAGTTTGGGTGTATCTATATCGTTCAACAGAGACGTTGAACAATACAATAAAAACGTTAACATCATTATTAAGACTATATTTAAACCCCAAAAAAAAGAAAATTGGTTAACTCCCGATTTCTCACTAATCAATCCGTTATCTGATAGTCTTGTCTTTATTGGGTACCCTTATCCAGAATTTTTAATGGAAAACGCCATGCTCCCATTACTTAAACAATCTTTCAATGGTGTAAACTTAGATATTAATAATTATGATAAATTATTATTGGCAGTTACAACTTATAGAAAATTATTAATAACAGATAAAAAACCCCCATTCCCAGGCGCCACAGCAAAAGAATACTTGACTGATTTAAATCGAATTGCAATAATCAATAGTGACCCATTGTACAGCACTCACGAAGAAATATGTTTATATATTTATAAACTTTTCTTACTATTGGATTCAAATATTGGGTCTGAGGTTTGGTCTCCAGAAAACACCCACCAAAAGCAACCATCTACCCCATTTGGCTCATTTTCTTTCAGTTTTTCTACTGATAATGAAGGTGGTTCTCAAAAGAATACTTCCAATGTTATATTATTTTCAAAAGTGATTGAAACTGTACCATGTTGCCTTTCAGTCACTAAAAAGATTCCTTATAAATCTGCAATTGAAATTTTAACAAGAAATGCAGTTCATGCCAATGAAGCCATCGCTAAATCCGCCAAAAGATCTTTAAAAGCTCTTGCTTCCAAAAAAAATCCACATACTTTCATTACATGGTTTGCTAAGTATTCATTTGATTTTGACGAGAAGACTCAATCAAGTTACAATATGCAATATCTATCCTCTAATGAATATTCATCTCTATTGTTATTATATGTAGAATTATTAGAATGTTGGTTAAAAGAATTTACTTCTTCGCAAACAGAAGAAAAACAAAAAACTATTGGGCTAGATGGTATTCGTCTATTAAGTCCTGATGTAAACCAAGATAATGTCAGTGATTCAGAGAAACTTGAATGGAAGAATACAGTTACTGTAATCGAAGAGGTAGAAGGAAATGGTCTTTTTTTCTATGTGCTCATAATTCAAGATTAAGAAAACTTGCAATTAAGATTTTACGAATCATATCAAAATTTGATGAAGCCATGACGGAAAAAACAGGTCGCTTGTCATCTGGTCATTCAAGATCATCCTCGCTCCATTTTGCAGCAGATAGAGGTAATAGATTAATTGATTTCTTAGGAGAAGTTAATGTGGTATCATTATTGGGACCACAAAAATTATCTTTAAGTACAGCAGAGAAAAGTCGTCTTTTAAAGTTGAGTGCAAAATATAAGAAAGGGTTAGCTTTAAAATTAGCCGAGTCATCTTATGGGATAGATGCTGCATTATGGCAAAGAATATTTCCCAAACTCTTGACTGAAATTTTCAAATCATCACCAATAACAATGGCTTTGTGCCGTTCTATAGTCTGTATTAGGTTAGTTCAAGTACATGAAGTAATCTTAAAGATCGCAGATGATCCTGATTTTAAACCAACTAATATTCTTCCAGAAAATATTGTAAATCAATGGAAACTTTATTTAATTGCGGCATGCACGTCATTAACTTCTACTACGGATCAGAAATTACATATTCCGTCACCCAAACTATCACATGGAAGGAAAAAGAGTCAGCAAATCTTCACCGTACAACATCAAAAAATTAAGTCAGCCAAAGCCATATTTAAAATGGTATTACCACTTCTAAATGCAAAAAGAAATATTGTAAGAGAGGCTATTATTGTTGGGTTAAGTGCAATGAACATAAACATATTTAGAACATTTATTGAGAGTGTTGAAGACACGCTTACTACATGGGATATTGATGTGACAGATAAACAGACAAGAATCGAAATATTCCACGTTATAACGATTTTATCTCGGTTTTTAAAGGAATCAAGTATTCTTAAAGATATTTGGATTTTAAGGAGAATATCGATGTTTTTGAAACTAGTTAAATCTCTACTGGAGCATGATGAAGTCCAAAACTCCTACGATTATCAATTTTTGAGGGGATACTTTGCCGAATTATTAGCAAGATTTTATTCAACCATTCGTGCAAATGAATACATTGACGACTTGTTTCCCTTTGAAGCTAGAGTATCCTGTTTCAATTATTTAAAAGAATGGTGTGGATACGGTAATAATAGCCGCATCGCTATTGAAAGGTATAATCGCATGATCAATCAGGCATATAATGTTAGGGAAAGAACTGCAGTTACAACTGGTATTGAATTCCAAAGAAGTCGTCTTGAAATAATTACATTGGAGGCTATGGTTATCTTATGTTCTGAACCAATTACTCACACACTATATGATGAATCAAACCATCCTATAGTTCTTTCCTTCAATATCAATGGTCTTTTATCTTGGGTTGAATCTCTTTTCAATGCAGAGAATGAAAATGTGAGAGCTTTAGGTGTCAGAGCTTTGGAAAATCTTTTACAAAACAATCCAACGAATGTGCAGTTGTTTAAAGATGTTTTTCTTCAATGCATATCACCACATGAGCACTCTTTTGTGTCTGTCTATTACTACATTACCTTATGTAAATCTATCATGAAACTAGACAATTTAATCTTAGAAGAACATGAATTAGTGTCGCTTGGGCTGTATGGATTAATATCAGATAAAGAAGATACAAGATCGTGTGCTATTGATTTATTATCAGCTGTTGAGACTAAAGTTCACAACTCCTCATATACAAAAGTTTTTAAGGAAAGACTTACCAATTCCTCAAAATCTGTTTACAAAGCAACAGCATTTGAAATATCTTCAATATATGTCGAATTACTTTCTCAAGATTTATGTCTGTGCATATTCTCAAGTTTGATCAAGATATTAAAATTCTTCCCTTTTGCTATTAAAAAGGACCTACTAATTTTAATGGTCCCATGGGTAAACAAGTTTACATTAAAATCAACTGATGATGCAGATACAAAGATGGTTTTGACAAATTTATTTTATGTAACTATTGAATTGAATGATCGTCTACCTAAGGAAGTCGAGCAGTTGTGGATTTCATTAGGTAGAGGTAATTCATTTCAAAATATCCATGTTTGTGTAGACTACATCATCATAAAATCGATGCTATATAAAAACCCACATTTTATTGAAAAAGCAAGGGATGTAATACTATATCTTGCCAATATATCTGGAGGTTTAGGTTTGACAGACTTACTTTTAAATAATTTAGAGCCTAAAGCCATGATTCCAAATGTTGAGGTAACAAATGAAGATACTACAGATAATGTTACCAAGTTTTGTTTTGTTGCTAATATCTGGGAAAGTCTGAATTATACTGGCCGTTCAATTATGTTCTCTAAAGCTCAATTGTCTATCATTTTCCTAGTAAATCTACTTACTGATATTAATGAATTTGTACAAGCCAAAATTCCAACATTGCTTCATGTGGCTATATGTTTGTTGGACCATTATGTTCCTCTAATTCAAGACAGTGCCATGCGAATAATTTGCAATTTGATCTTTGGTTTGGCTCCCAATCACGAAAAAACAGAAGAAACATTGTCTTTGTTAAGAAATAAACATGGTAGATGGGTTTATGACAATTTAGTAAAGGACAGAAAAGGTGCGAGATCCCCAAGGACCATGGATTTTCTCATTAGAAATATAATTAGTGTTTTACATGAACAAGACACCTTGCAAATTGACTGGCAAAGATGTGCTTTAAAATGGGCCACTACTTGCTCTGTGAGACATGTGGCTTGCCGCTCTTTCCAAGTATTTCGATCATTACTTACCTTTTTAGATCAGGGTATGCTCAAGGATATGTTACATAGGTTATCAAACACAATTGCAGATGAGAATACTGATATTCAAGGATTTGCCATGCAAATTCTAATGACATTAAACGCTGTTACAGCAGAATTGGATGCAAATGACTTAATTGGGTTTCCTCAACTATTTTGGTCATTAGTTGCATGTCTTAATACCATCCATGAGCCAGAGTTCATCGAAGCACTTTCATGCATAACAAAATTTTTTTCAAAAATCGATTTAGACTCACCTGATACAGTTCAGTGTTTAGTTGCTACCTTTCCTTCTAATTGGGAAGGTCATTTTGATGGTTTACAGCAGATTGTCATGATTGGTCTTCGTTCTTCAAACTCAATTGATATTACAATGAAGTTTTTGGATAAATTAAATCTATTAAAAGGTAGTCGTATTATTGCAGATCCAGAATCTCGTTTACTATTTGCTTTAATTTCAAATTTACCAAGGTTTTTATATGTTATGGATCAAAATGATTACTCTTCAATCCAGACATCTGCTGATAGCTTAATATCTTTGGCTGATTCAAATAACGAGCCTTCATTATCTCGACTTATTGATTCTCTATCTAAGAATAAATTTAGGTCTAAAAAGGATTTTCTGCGTCAAATTGTTAACTTTATAGCAAGAACATATTTCCCTAAGTATTCTGCACAAACATTAGTATTTTTATTGGGATTATTATTGAATAAATTAGATTGGGTCAAAAAAGAGACAGTAGAAATTTTAAAATATATTTTCCCTCTTGTTGACTTAACTGGCGAAGAATTCATAGGTGTAGGTGCTGACTTAATATCACCGTTACTGCGACTTTTAACAACTAATTATGAACAACTAGCACTAGATGTCATAGATAATATTTCAGAAATCTCCGGAAGCAAGTTAGATAAAGACATTCTTCGTATCACGATGGGAATTGAAAATACAAAGAAACCGAGTAATAACACAACCACACTATTTGGATTACCAGAAGAAAGTGGATGGTCAGTTCCAATGCCAACTATGACAGCAGCTATGACAAGACATAATGTTCATGCGGTTTTTATGACATGCTCTTCTAACTCAGAAAATGAAGAAGTTCCACAAGAACCAAATATAATTGAGGACGAACCAGTTGAATTTCACCAAGATTTGGATGATGGATTGAATAGAATGGAAACTATTGAATCTTATGCAGGTATATCAGAGAAAGATCCAACTCTAAGTCATATGTGGGCTGAACTAGATAATTTAGACAGTTTTTTTACAAAACCAAATAATCCTTCGATGCTGGTTTCTCACACTGAAACAAATATGCCACGCACGAGATCTGCTTCTATTGATACTACTACAACAATGACAACTACCAATGAATTAGGGGGAATTCTAAGATGAAATATATTTGGTTTTAAGATGTAACATTATATAGAAAGCAATCAATTAACTTATATAGCTATTAAAATTATAGAAAACTCTCAAATCAGTCAAACCCTCAAGTTAAAGTTTTAAAATTTGCATTTGATTTCAAGTGACATATTTCAATACGACACATTGACATATGCGAATATATATAATTCTCTCTATCATGCAAAGTCAATTCTTGATTATTAATTATTAACTATTAATTATTACATACACCTGTATATACATTTTAGTAAAATATTAAAATCATATTCTGCAAGCAGGATATACAAATAGAAGATAACTATAACCAGACGCCATTATTCTAGCAGTTAGCTGCGTTTTAACTTTGATCAAACTTAAAATTTGCAGGGTTTTGATATTGACTTTCTACATTATCTTTACCAAATAATTGGGCATCTAGTTTATCGAAAACATCAAATATTCCAATATTGTCATCACTTAATGGTTCTGATTTTACCGAACCGATATTATCAGTATGCTCGTTATTATTATTATTATTATCAACATTTTGTGAGATTAACAAAGATGTATCCAAACCAGATTGGGTCACAGAATTATTCTTTAAGCAACTAACTGTTGGATTTGTAATACAGGAATCTGAGAAATCGAAAATTTGTTCCTTCTTTATACTTGGACCTGACATATTGTTACTATTTGTCGGGGCTGTTTTAACAAAGAAATCATCATTATTATCGACCACAGCCTTAATGCCTGTAGTTTTAGAACTATCATCATTACTATAATCATTCTTTGTATTAATGACATTATTATCTGTAATAAGATCCCCACTACTAGCAAACTGATTAACTGAATTTGTGGATGATGTCCTAATACTTTTAACAAAATCAGAGGAGATATTTTGGTCCAAGTAGTCAGAAAATGTTGGAACATCTTTAACAAACTTCTCTACGTTATAACTAGAAGTTTGACTAATATCTGACGATGCAGTACTGAATGTCTCATTTAATGGAGGCTTTCGAGTAAAGGATGAGCTGTATTTTGCTGACAATTGAATGGTCTTGGAATTTAATTTTTCAAACAATTTATTCAAAATATTGTAGGTTCTATTTGCCGCCATACTAGTATCCTTTAATTGTATTAAAACGTTTCTACCGCATTCTGCATCTTTTAAAATTTCATAATATTTTCTTGCACTATCTTTATCTGGCAAATCAGCTTCATGGATATAGAATAATAAACCTGCTACTGAATAAAAAATTGTATAACATGCATACCAATATGAGCCTGATATCAAATTTTTATTAACCATATCTTGTGCCATCCTTACTACAGTTCTAGCGACTACAATTGAATTATTAGCTCTTTGTAATGATAATTTATCAGTATTAGAAGACACAAAGTTTCTTGAAAGGAAATGAATGAATGGTCTATATAAAATTATTTGAACATGCAAGAAAGATAAATGTAATAGTTTATTGGCTCTTTCATATTTTGGGGGTATTGTTTTGGCATTTGGCTTTAATTCCATTGGTAATGAATCTACCCAATTTTTTAATTTAATCTCTAATTGGGTAACAGTCTTATGCGATATGACATTATTTGTCTTTTTGATCGGGTATAATTCTCTCATAATTGAATCCAAAATAAATAGTAACTTTGTGTGATAATTGGCTATACCAGCACTCGATAATACATTATTTTGTCTTTCAAAGTATATTTTATCATCTGTAATATTATCATCAGATATATCTAATGGTAACGTTTGATCCCAATCTTCAGGTGAGATGGATCTTGGTAAACCTAACATTGCATTAACATAAATATCCAATTTATAAATTGTGAAAAATAATCTTTTTCTACATTCAATTTCAATTAAAGATAATGGTGAATTATCGGGTACCTTTCTATGAAATCCTTCCCTGAGTACACTTCTCATTGTAACACCAATATAAGAGTAACAAGTAGAAAGACGAGCAGAACACTGTAAAAAAATAAAAAGTGCTAGTACTGCTTGAATTGAATTTAGATCTCTTGTGTTCGTGATATCGAGTAATTTTCTTGCTGCAATAAAATATTTGTAACCTTCATCCTGCATAAAATTATTTTTATTCACTGTATTTGATTCTTTCCACTGTGTGTTAACGGAAGGTGATTCTTTAATGATATTATTGTTACTATCCATAAAAACAATATTATTATTGTTAATAACAGTAGTTACATTATTTACCTTATTGTTGTCATTCTTTTTATCATTGCCAGCGCTCTTGTTACTATTAGTATTATTATGATTATGATTATTGTTGTTTTGTTCAATTGATTTAGTAAAAAGAGCACCTACAGCCATAATGGCATAACATAAAGGTAAAAATTTCATTTGTTCAACACTGTAATTATTAGGATCAGTTTTATACAATTCATCTAATTGTTTTAAAAACGTTGGTCTATGATAAAATTTTAACAATACACAACAATGTTCCCAAGTGTTTTTAACAAATAATAATGCGACTGGTTTTGGTGGTAAAATAATTTTAATTTCTCTTCCAATAGATTGTAACAGTGGAGGGGAAGAGTAATATTGGATAGATTTAATCCTGTCATTTGGATCCATCATCATGGAGCCTACTAAAGATATGCTACTGTTGCTTCTATTGATATCGTTTTGATTATTATTATCATTGATAGTGTTCCTAGTAGAATTGGATATTGACATGTCATCTGGGTTAGAATAATTTGGAGTTTGATATGAAGGCGATGTTAATATATTTGATGTAGTGGTAGTAGTAGTAGTATCATTAACAATCATATAATATTCCTTGATAGCATCGTCTAAGAAAGTATCAGAATCATCCTTGAAGTTACGTAAAATTTGTAAAAATAGTGGTATATCAATAGTGTCTATATCAGGCATGTTTGGTAGCAATGTATTAAAAAGCTGTTGATATTTATTAATTTGTGATTGTAATTTCAAAGTTGTCACATTAGATTTTTTTACTCTTGTTTGTATTACTATTGTTGTTGTTACTAGTGACAGTAGAACTTTGTATATTTGAATTCAAAATAGTACTGGATGGAGAATCTAAATTGAAAGTGTCTACAGAATTCACAGCATTAGGATTCATATTCGTATCATTTGGTAAATTTTGAATGCTAGTTGAGTTAGTATTCAGATTGATAACATTTGTATGTGGGATAGTAGATAGCGTGGCCGCTACAGTTGCAGGTGTAACAGGACTATTTATATTTGAAGTAGAACTGTAGTTTGTTATATTATTATTAATAGTAGTAACATTGTTAGTTGTGTCAGTAGTTGTACTATTTATTATTGAATCTTGTTGTTTTTGTGTAAAAGTTCTCTTCGTCGGTTTATTATATGTACAGTTATACGAATAGACGGTACAGTGAATACATGGTTGTTGACCATCACATTTAACTTTTTTCTTTCTACATTCGTCACATGCACGTGTAACCCTTCTTCTTTTAAACTGATCATTTGACGGTTGTAGTTGCAATGCTATTTGAAGTGGTGGGTTAGTTGGAGATGGAAATATATCTTTAGACATTATTTAATGATAGTGTATTATATATATATTTTTTTTAAAAAAATTTGACTTCTTTATATTTCTTGTGTTTAAATCTCAGAATCAGGATAACTTTTCTTTGCACATATGCTTGTATATATATATATATATATATGAAAATATTGTTCTATATGATGCAAAAAATAACCATAGATAGACGTAGATACGTATTTTTTTTATGTCTATATGTATTTAGTAAATTTCTAAGATCACGTTAATGATGGTATTATATGCTAATCGATAAACAATAGATAAATAAAAATTGTGAGAAAAGAGAAGATGTCTTTGTTGAATATATTCAATGGTCAGTTGTCAATGATTTTAAACGATAAAAAAGTATAAAACCTAAAATTCAGATGTTGACTATCACTTCCTTTATCATCTGTTTTGTAAGGGCCACCTAGATGTACAGTTAAACCTCTTCTTTACAGATTTTACTAATCAAGAACTGAATCGCATGTGCTACTGACATCACTCTTATTCGCTTTTTTCTTATTTCTTCAAACCAAAAAAAGAAAAAAAAATATTAAAATCAAAGAAGCAGACGATGGAAAAAAAGGCAGTAAAACAAAAAAAGAAAATAAAGAAATTGTGTTCTAGAAGCATTGGAAGTCTGGATGCTATGTTGCTATGGGAAACAAGATTTTTCCAAGACCTGTATTTGCTTATAAAGGGTTAGCGATTATTTCAGTAAAAGTTAATAAAACCCTAAGCTACCTTAGGAATTATTCTTTTTCTCTTTTTTTTTTGTTTTTTTTTTTTTATTTTTATTTGTTTTTTTCTTTCTTCCTCTCTTTTGAGATTTGTTTCCTATTTCAGACACTAATTAAATTTAATTTAAAGATGAGTAGCAAAAGTGCTGAAAGACCACAAAAACTTCTGCTACCTGATCACCGAAGATGATAGACTACATATTTGTATTCAGTTAAACGTATCCTAGGATATCCTTTTAATGTGACTCTTTTTTTTTATTGGATAATATCATTCATATCCTTTTCAAACAGACTAACGAGGAGGTTTATTCCAAAAATCACATTCTTTTCTGACTTCTATCTGTTATGATCATTGTGAGATGGAAAGTTAACTTTAGTTGATCTAACCGTAAGAAGAGAAAAGAAAAGAAAAGAAAAGAAAAGAAAAGAAAAAGGTGAAATAACTTATTTATCTATTTATATACTCAGCCCATATATTTGCATATTTCCCACAAATATACACAACAAATATTGTATAACAGATGACTGACCCTAACACCAACAACAATGATATATCACATGCTCACTCTAAAGATGCTAAAGATGGTGTACCTCATGAAGTAACTGATTTATCCACATATACTCTTGATAATCAAATAGCTTTAATGAAGTCGATCAAAAATGCATTAAAACAAGCTAATCCTATGCCTATGGTATCTTATCTGTATCCAGATTCTAGAAATTTTTCATTTATACAAAATGATAACTCTAGTACCATGAAATGTGGTGATGGGATATTGATTTATGGAAAAAATTGGACATATAATTATGAAAATAACGACAACAATAATCCTAATAATAATAGTGGTAATAATGCTGTTGAAATAACCATTGGTAGAAATTGTGATAATACAAACCCTGAAACTATATCGTTACATCAACTAAATTTCAAAATAAAGAGATTACCAATAGATATCGATCTGGGTCCAAATAAAACTGTATCGCGTAGACACATAATAATACATAAGTTGAAAAATTCACAGAATGATCAATCTCAAAATGGTTGGTACATTACAGTGTTAGGTAGAAATAGTTGTAAAATAAACTTAAAACGTGTGCCAAATAGTAAATTGAACGTCCCCATTGGTCCATTAAAATCAGGAACTTCAATCGATGTTGGTGGTTCACAGATGATTTTATACATAAAGAATAATCCGTTTCCTATTTTATCGTTACCTATCTATTCATATTTAATTCCAAAATTGACCACCCTGTATGGATTAAATGGCAATAATAATCCATTATTGAAAGATATAATCAACACCTCTATATATGTTAAAGACAAGAATCTTCAAATTAATAATGGTCAAAAGGAACATCAAACTGAAAATAATAAGAATGAAGGAGAATCTATGGACCTCAATAATACTATTAATAGTAATATCTCTCCAAAAAAACAACCGGGTGATAAAAGTTGTAGTGTTACTAATATTTCCACTTCTCCTGACAGCAACAATAAAAACAATCATAAGAATGCCGTCGAAGTAATAGAAAATAATCAGAGTTTAAATAACAATGATAGTACAAACAATAGTAGTAATAACCTTAAAGCAGTTCAGTTTTACACTAAAAAAAATACGGCAACCAAAACTACTACCACCAGCAATACAATAAATTCTGCGGGTTCAACTGTTAAAAACAGTACTAATCAGATTACAAATAACAATTCCACCTTGAATTCTAATAAAATATTGAAACGTACACATTCTGATGAAAATCAAGATGAGCCTAAAAAAAAAATAAACAAAACTAAAGAAGCTACCAATATTATTTCCAAGACAAATACCTCAACAGCTACTACAGCTGCTACTACTAATGCTACTAACCCTTATAAAGATATAAGGATTAAAAGACCAAGTTGGCCATACACAATGTTGATCACACGTGCCATTTTGTCAAGCCCTGAAGGTTGTTTGCCATTATCAAAGATCTATGAATATATATCGAATTTACATCCTTTTTATGATATGTCACTAACAAGTTGGCAAAATTCCGTTAGACATAATCTTTCGATTAATTCAACTTTTGTTAAGACCATGAATTCTGGGCATGTATCATGTTGGAAATTAAATGATAATGTTATACAAGATTTCTTAGAGAATTGGTATCAAGGTAATTTGATTAAATTAAAGAAAACTGGTGGTATAATAGTTAGAGAATTGTGTATATTTATGGCTAGAGGTGATGCCAGATTTCCTGGACAAAGAGAACCGGAATATTATCAAGAATGTTATAGGAAAAGATTAGAAGCAGAGAAAATGGAATCAAAACAGAAAGAAGAAACAAAATCACAAAAGAAGAAGCTTTGACAGATATATCTAAATAGAATTATATGTATATATATATATATATATATATATGGATGGATAGATGAATATATGGTTATATATTTATATGTATATATGGATATAGTGTTAAAAATAAAGAAATAATGAAAACCAACATACAGACTTAAAATTTAAGAGAAGTAAAAGGTAAAAAAAGAATGTATCTACTGTTATATACATTATTTGATCAAGTATATCAGTAAATATATAATTTTTTGATAAGAAAGAAGAAATGTACAAATGAGAGGTTAAAAGAGATAATGAGAGAGACAATATTATCATTGTGGATTGCACCAGATACATCAAAGTTGGCTAAATCTATATATGAATACTTGAAATTGAAACAGGATGCTATAATATATTATATAGATAGTGTGAACTCATTCCCTTTGAATGAATTAAGAGAAATAACATCAGTAAATGATAATACGATATTTGAAAGAATCCATATTGTGACCTGTCTTGATTTGGTGGAATTGAAACGAACAATAATGAAGATAACAGAGGATCCAAGGAACAATAATTGCAAAATAATGATCCATGGGATTGATACAATGATGAATAATTCGCGTATTCAAATAAGTAACCAAGATCAAGTATATTCGATATTAAATAATATATTATTGCAATTAAGGATAAATTACAAAGGCAGTTTACTTATTACTGGACCTCGATTAAAGAAACGTCGAATAGAAAGAAATAAAAATAATAAAAATAATTTCAATCATAATAATAATACTAGTGGTAATGATGGGTCACACAATATGTTAATGAATGATGTAATTGAGTATATTAATAGGTTTTATTGTGATGATGTTGTATAGAAACAACAAATGTATATATAGAAGTGGATAAGAAAAAGAGACAGTTAGAGATTATTTACAGTTTCATAGATATAGAACGTTAAACAAGTCGATGGTACAGACTTCAATAAATTGGTAAATAAACCTTTATATAATCCAAACACACCATTTTGTCTAATAATTAATGGGATCAAATGTCTTATGTATTTATATTCTTTACAGTTTGTAGCGTTTAAACTTTGTTGGTTAGATTTAAGCAACTGTAACGGATAAACCAACGACATTGAAATCATTTTAGATATGGAAGTGATGGATAAGATCTCCAAAGTATCCAATTTTTGTTTGTTCAATTTATTAAAGCGATAACTCTTCAAACTATCATAGACCATAAAATATACGGCACCCTGAGATACACCAAGGATGGATGGGACAATACCAATTTTCCAAATTCCCCAACCATGATCTTTTTTAATTTTACGTATACTCGATATTATATTATCATAACCTACATTTCCATTCAACGATTTATTTTGTGCCATTATCCTAGTCTTTAAGATCCATATTGGATTAGTTAAGATAGATGTTGTGATTCCAGCTGAAGTTCCAGAGGCCAAATAGACCCATGATAGCGAAACAGATGAAGTGCCACCAGTGAATGAAATCAATTGATCTTTAAAAGATCGATAGATACCGAAGTATAAAGCCCATGCGATAGAATTACCCAATGCATTTATAGTTACACCTCTGTACAATGTAGACAACCAAAATCTATTTTGATTCTTCCATAATCCCCTAACTATGGTTATCCAAGACTGCTGAATACCGTTTGTTGCATTTAATTGTAACCTTAATTTAATTAAATCAAATGGATGAACCACTACAGAAGTTATAGAACCAGCAATAAATCCAGAAAAGAATTCATGGAAAGCACTAGGCTTAGAAGTTGAAGAAGTATTTAAAGAAGAGCACGATTCCTTTGGCATTACCACAACAAGATTTAGCTATATACACGATAATAATAAAAGAAAAGTATACAAACACAGATATGTATATATGTGTGTATGCTTGTATAAAAGTATCAAAAAGAAAAGGAGAAAGAAAGCAATTAAAACACAAAAACTCTTTCAGGATGCTTTAAAAACACATATAGAAAAAATTGATTTCCTTGAGACACCTTGGTACTTAAACGGAAGGAGACTCAGTCAATACGATAACGCAGTAATTTAATAATTGCTCATCATTTGAGTTTTGTTTCAAATTAAAGAAGATATTCTCCAAATAGAAGAAGGAAATAACAGAATAAAATACTACTGATGGCAATTGGACCACACCGAAACAGCAGCCTCTTCAATGTTATCACAACAGCTTTGAACACGAAATGATAACACAAGGAGCTGTAAGAAAGGAAGAACAAAAAAAATGAGTGAGGAAGGGGACAGCGCGAAGAAACAGAATTGACCCTGGAGAGACAAGTTGAACCAATTGAGGAAAACAGACTTTTCTTGTTTTGACTCTTTAAATAGTTTTTTTTCGGCTCTAGAAAATTTCCAAAGATTTCTTTTTCATAAAAACAAACCCTACACAAAAAAAAATTTTTTTTATTATAGATACCGCCAATGTCTGATATCATTACGTACGAGATTGTAGTATCTGTTGTTTTTTTTGTTTCTTTCTCTTTTTTATTTTTTGTGGTTTTGGAGGTTTTGCTATTGTTAAAATCATTCCACTCACTTCACACGAATGGTTTCTTAATTACGTAACAAATCTTACGTAATTGGAGGAGGTGATCGGATTATGATTACTCAGCAGCCCTTTTTTTTTTGGTTCTTTTGTTGCAAACAGTTTAATTATAAGAAACAGCCATAGGGAAATAAGTAATTAACTAACACTTGGTCATTTAAAAGCAGAGGCTCTCTGGCACGTTTGATACTCTCCACTCTTTGTATTTAGGAGTTTCTCTATTTATATAGTATTAGTATAAGGTACTTGTTAGTGTTCATAAATCTCTCTCTCTCTCTCTCTCTATATATATATATATATGTGTGTGTGTGTGTACATAAACAACCCAGTATCACCTCCTTTTCTTTTCTCTTTTATTTTAATTCTCTTTTTTTTTTTTTCCGTTTCTGTTATTACTCCAAAATAATGAGTATTCCAATTAGTAACCCAAATTCTGTGTCATACCTTTCTCTACTAAATGATCCACTAACATATTCACATCTACATTCACATCCCTCACATCCCTCTTCTTCTACTGTTTCTTCTTTTTCTTCCATTCCTTTATTAATTTCTAATACAAATGAAACAAATAACCAAAATAATAATAATAATAATAATAATAATAATAATAATAATAATAATAATAATAATAATAATAATAATAATAATAATAATAATAATAATAATAATAATAATAATAATAATAATAATAATAATTCGTTAATCTTTGAAAGAAATGTGGAAAGAACACCTCTATTTATAAATCAACCCTCTTTTACCAATAGTAAAAGCAATATTGGCAACAGAATTAGAAATAAAAGTTCTTCAAATAATTCATTATACCATCTTTCAAATACTTCTAATAGTAATACTTCTTCTCTTTCAAGTTCTAATCTATATTCATATTCTACTAACTCTCCAAGTAATCCTAATTATATATATAACTGTCGTAATACCAATAATAATTCTACTATTACTTCTCAAATAAATAATAATAATAATAATAATAATAATAATAATAATTCTAAACTGTCTTTACCTTCAATGGAAACTCATCATACATTTGAAAATTATATCCCACCAAATTTAGACGAAATTGGTGATCTAGTAACAGATACAGGTAAAAGTCTAGAAGATATTAACGTAAAATATGGTTCAAATAGACCAGCTTCTACAATAGGTCTAAACATTGCTTTAGGATATAACAACACCAGTAGCCCCAATAGTAACAGTAATAATTACACTTTTACTAAGCGTTCATTATCGTATCCCTTTATTGATGAAATACCTTCAAGTGAGTCAATTAAAGATTACGAACGATTGTATGATGTTGAAAATAATCAAGATGATTTAAATGGCCAAAGATTAATTAAATTATATTCCTATGCTGATATTTTATATAATGAATTCAACCATCCAAAGTTTATGAAATCTTGTATTCCTCCAGTAACTAGCGAAATTATTACACCTACAACAGTACCTCTTCATGTGAATCCACAATATCTCAGTAAGAAGAATAATTATCCCACATTTAAACAATTTCATATTGAAGATAGTGGAGAAGAAGAATAACAAGGAGAGGAGGCAGATTATAAAAATAAAGAAGAAGAAAAAGGAATAAACGATATATAAAAAACTGAACATAATTTGTTTGAAGAAAAAAATTAAACAATTGAAATTAAGTAATATATAAATTAAATAGGACATATGATGGTAATTATTTATTTTTGTTATTCTTATTCTTAAGTTCTTCATATTCTTCCTTGGCAAATTCTGCTGCATTTTCACCCCAACCTTCTAAATGTTCCATTGTAATTCTAGCTAAATCATTCTCATTTAAAGAATCTTCGATTGATTTTATAGTCCTATTGTTCAATGATAAAGAGGCAGCTTTATCTTTAATGCTATTACCAGTTTCCTTTACACTTAATGAATTATCTTCTAATTCTTCACGAGACAATTCTTTAGCAGTTTCACCCCAACCTTCTAGTCCTTCAGCCACAATTCTATCCACTTCAAGACTTTTATCAAATTTATCACTGATTAAACCACTAAGCGAATGATTGTGATGATCATTTAGAAGCTTGTTATCCGATGCTGTAGATAGGAAGGAAGAGAAATGTGTTTTTTTAGGTATCTTCATTTTTTCTTTTTCTATCTCAATGGCATTCCTTTTCCCAACTATACATTTCCATAAAGTGGAAAAGTCATCGTTAACACCATCAGAAAATTTATTGTACCATGGATGATCCTTTGTATCCCACCAACACAACTTAACTCCATACGCGGTCAATAAACTAACTGTATAGCTACATAGAGCTGTTGAAGAAATCATTTGAAGTCTAATTATTTATATGCATACATACACACATATATATATATATATATCTTTAAGAGTATGAAGGGTTTTTAGAAAGAACATATAGAGTTATAACTTTGAAATTATTCAATCACAAAAGCTGGAATATATATATGAATAATTATTATAATATTTTATAAAGTATTATTATTATTATTATTATTATTATTATTATTATTATTATTATTATTATTATTATTATTATTATTATTATTATTATTATTATTAGTCACTTCTATAAGTTTTAACATATTTTAAGGGTACATAGTGCTCTTTTTCTGACTTTCCCTTTTAGAGGATTGAATTAAGGTAACCCTTCACCCTACACTGTATCATTTAATGGAGAAGGTGCAATGGCATGAAAAGATAAAAAGATAATAGTGTAGCAAACATTGTAAACACTCTGCAAGTGGGTGTGCGCAATAAATATCCCTTATAGTTTTATTGCTTAGTTAGTACCAGATAATTACCAGAGTAAAGTAATATACTGCAATGCAGATTCAAGCCTGAAATTTCATTTCTCATAAGAAAAAAAAAGCTGATTCCCGACATCGTTGTTTTTTTTTTTTAGTGTTCTGACAGCAATGAAAAAAAAGTAACTTTTTGATATGCAAAGCATTTGTTTCGAGAAATAGTTCACCCAAAAAGTGTTCTTTACAGACTACATTGCACTAGAAGAGGGTGATGCATACAATCTATGTCTGATACTGTCAGTTCGACTACCTCAATTTGTAAATAACAATATTACTATTATTAAATAATAAAAGAAGAAGAAGAAAATTAAGCAAGGCTAGGCCAATTGCTCTTTTCCGTATCAATTTATTTATTTTTGATCATTAGTAATAATTATTATACTTTATCAAAATGTCCTTATTGATACAGAACAAATTGATCCCTAAATGTTATAACTTAAAATTGAAAATAGATCCAGAAAAAGATAATTTTGAAGGTGATTTGATAATAGATTTAAAGTGGAATAAATCTAGTCATAGTGATAAAGCTTTCTCTCAAATAATCTTAAATGGACATCAATTAATCGTTACTAAGGCTATAATCAGTGATATTGATTTAAAAGTATCTTATGATAAAGATTTGCAACGTATTATTTTACAAAATGATCGACTATCTGAGTTATTGCAATCTTCTCAAGACATTTCTCTTCATTTACATTATCTAGGTAGAATTCATACAATTTCTTCTTCTTCTGATAAGACTCGTGGTTTATTTAAAATCATTCAAAATGGTGATTTTATTTTCTCTACTCATTTACAACCTACTTTCGCTCGTCGCATTTTGCCTTGTATTGATGAACCCTCTTTAAAGACTTATTTCCAATTATCTATAAAAACTTTAAATAAATTCCGTGCAGTGTCTGTTTCCTCCATTGAATCTACTGAGCATCTATCTAATAATAATAGTAATAGTAATCATAAATGGCAAATTGTCAAATTTGAAAAGACTATCTTGCTGCCTGTTTCATTATTTGGTTTCACAATCGGTGATATTAAAAATATTCAACTTAAGACGTTAAATAAAATTCCTATCTCTATTTGGACACTAAATCATGAACCAATTGAATTAGCTTCCCATTCACTAAATGTTTGTCATAAATATTTACCTTTAGTAGAATCGATCTTCAAATTTCCATATCCTGGTAAAAAAATGGATTTAGTTGCATTACCATTTTTGAACGATATGGTTATGGAAAACTTTTCAATGATTACTGTCCATAAACAATTAATCTTTTTAAGTCCTCGTCATTTACCTATTCCTGAGATTAGATTTCAAAACATGCAAATGTTGGTACATGAATTGGTTCATCATTGGATTGGTAATTTTATCACATTTGATGATTGGAAACACCTATGGTTTAATGAATCCTTTGCTACATGGATGGCAAACTGGTTAATCTCGGCAAATGAATCAGAATATAATGATCTTTGGTCAAACTATGATCTCTATTGGAATTCAACTTTAAAACCTGTCTTAGATAATGATACTCTTTATAACAACACCCAACCATTGTCTATCGCACAATTGCAAGATTTGAAAAGTGAAAAATCTGATTTCAACTCCACCACAAATGAACTGTTTGATCCATACTGTTATCATAAGGGGATTGTCATTCTAAGAAATATGGAATTGACAATAGGTATGGAAAATTTGTCTAATGCCTTTGGTCAAATTCTGTGTAACGATCAAAACTTGGTTCATGAACAATCAATTAAACCAATGGATCTATGGAAATTGATTAGCGATAGATTGAAATCAGAAAATATCATCAATTTTTTTATCTCATGGACAAGATTACCTGGTTGTCCAATTGTTTCAGTGACAAAAACTTCATCAGATGATATGAAAAATATTAAATTGATTCAACATAAATATTTATCACCAGAGATCATTGAAAATCAAAATATGATCGAGGATGTACCATACCATGTTCCTTTATTAATGCAATTACCTGATGGTACTACAGATACCAAAAACGTTATCATGACAGATAGGTCAATTACATTAGACTACCCAATTACCTTAATAAATAAGGATAATCAAGCCAATGTGATTGTGTCATATGAGATAGAGGAATCTTATGATGATTTTTTGAAAATGATTACATTGGGTAAGATTAGTGATAATGATTTGTTTAAATTATTTTATGATTTGTCTCAAGTTATCGGTAACATTAACCATCAGAAGCCCATTCATATAGATGGGTTTTTAAGGATTTTGAATCATATTGGGTCCTTAAAGAAAGAAATTGATCTACACACGTTAGGATACTGGAAATCTTTAAATAGAGCTACAAAATTATTAGAATTCTTGACAAGATTTTATAATCTAGAGACAAATGAATCTAGATTAAAGCAAATTGAAAAAATTGTCAGTAAACTATTCAATAAACTATCGTGGGAAACTGTCGATTGGATTGAAAATTATGCGAATGAGGAAGAGTTAGCGATTAGATCATCGTTAATATTTTTGTCAAGACAGAATGAGACGACTTTCAGCATATGTGAGGAGATATTCCAGTATTTGAAGACTGGACAAAATGTAAAATTTACCAACAAAAGAATACCAATTCAAATTATAGGCAGTGTTTTAAAATGCATGGTCAGTCATTGTAAGGATTCTAAGGATTGGAAAAGTGTATTGGATATGCATAAGCCAAGTGTTATTGACAAGATTGTTCAAAATGGAAGGATTGAAGGGCTACCTAATATAGATACATCTTCATTATTAATTAATCTAACAATGGAATCTCTAGGTTTCATACCTGGATACAAAGAGACACAAACGTTGTTATTTGATAGGATGATAAACTTTATTTCCTCCAATATAACTACTTCATATATTGAAGGCACATTTCTCGGATTAATTTATCAATGTAATCAAAAGATTAGCAATAATAATTCATTAAATGAAACATTTGGTGATATGCTATGGAATATATTTGATAAACAATACAAATCATGGAAGAAGAAATTGGATAAAGAGATATTTTATTTAATCGAATTTGCAATAATTCAAATGTTATTGTTAAAAGGTAAAGTGAACAATCAATGGGTTTTAGATAATCCTCAGTACACTGCGATAGTCCAAGAGATACAACAAGACATCACAACTAAAAAAATGAAAGCATTGCAACAACAAAAGTAATAATAAGAGTAAGTATAAAAGTTGGATGAAAAGAGAAACGTGTTAATAGTAACAACTTTTTTTTCATTTTTTGGTTTATTTTACAAGTGAGGAAGGTGGTGTGTAATAATACTGGTAATAAAAGACATTGTATATACATACATATGTAGATATATATAGTTATATTATCTGTTGTATCTGAACCATAAACAAACCAAGGAGATAGCAAAGTAGAGATGAAAACAATGGTAAAAAGAGTATCGTCATTGGCATTGTTTTATGTAAATATTTTATGATCGATGCATCTCTTTTGATGAAAATTGCGGAAAAGCATTGCCATACTCAAATTGTATTCTTTTTTTCTCGTATGATTCTTATTTTTAGTGAGAATAGTCACTCTGTACGGTAATTTTCCATATTTCTTTTCTAGGGGGCGTTTCTTTCAAACATTCCGGCATTTAAACAAAACTCGCTATAATAAAAAGAAAAATAAAAAGATTGGGTGGAAAACAATATTTTGTGTCTTTTTTGATAAGTACAATTATTTAGGTTTAGGGTTGGATCTCATATATAAGAATCAAACTGAACAATTTGTATTAATATAACTCGATGATATAACTTGTTTTCTTTTATACATACACATTTTCTTTCTTTTTTTTGTCAAAGTGTAATGTATGGGTGAAAAGAGAAAAAGAAAGATATTCTAACAATAGCTGAGTGTAAATATTACATTGATCATGAGAATTCATATATAAATAACAAAAAAATGATGGTTGGTAGTAAGTTATGTCACTATCTATCTTTTTATACTCAATACTGTATATAAATGTATATATATATATATAGAGAGAGAGGCCTACGTTGGAAGTACAATTGCTTTTTGTGTTAAAACTAACATCATTAGAGCCAGACATAGATATATATTAATTTACAGTAGAGGCAGTAATGAAATTTTTTTTAAAAAAAATAAGATAAACATCTTTATTTAGGGTTAGATTTTTTTTATTTTTAACAGAACCTTTCGTTTTGCAAATATTTGATTTTTCCTAAGCCCTACGCAAATTCCTGCCCCTTTCAAGACAGATAATAACGAAAACGGAAAACTTCTATTTTCTCTTATTTATATTTCCTTTTTTCTTTTTTCTTCTTTTTTCTTTCTTTCTCGAGGGTTCTCTGTTGCCGTTGCCGTCGCATTTTTGTCTCAACTTTTCAAACTTTCAGTTTGACGTTGTGTTGGATCTTGTTTGTTTGTTCGCAGTTGTTCGCACCTGTTGATTATTCTTTTGGTTTGATTTTTTTTTTGTGGAGGGCTAAGTTTATTTAAAGAGATAGATCTTGATAATGTCATTCCTTTCCCCTCGTTTCGTTATTTTTCTTCCAATTACCTATTACTAGCCTCTTCTTTTCTGTTGTTTTACCTCTTGCCAAAAATTTTCTTTTAGACCCTCCTTCTTATTCTGTATATACTCAACACCTTACTCTCTTATAAGTAAAGCTTCACCTCAACATCCATCTTACATCTACACAAACACACACCCTCTCCTGTTCTCTTTAAAAAAGCAAATAAAAAAAAACAGACATCACAATGGAAAAGATCAAGGAAAAGATTGCTGCTTTTAAGTTAGAAGCTGAATCATGGCAAGACAAATATGAAGAACTGAAGGAGCAATTCAAGCAACTAGAACAAGAAAACATTGAAAAGGAAAACCAAATCAAATCTTTGACTGTCAAAAATGAACAACTGGATAGTGAAATCGAAAAATTAGAAGCTGAATTGGCTGAATCCAAACAATTAGCCGAAGATTCTAACACTTTGAGATTGACTAATGGTAACTACACCAGAAAGAATGAACAATTGGAAAATGACCTAGAAGAAACTGATGCCAAGTTGAAGGAAACCTTGGATAAATTAAGAGATGCCGATTTGAAGGTCGAAGAATTGGAAAGAAGATTAAATGCAGTTGAAGAAGAAAAGGAAAAAATGGAAGAAAAGAATGAACAATTGGCTGCTCAATACGCTGAAGCTAAACAAGAATTAGATGATATTGCTGCCTCCTTGGAAAATTTATAAATAGATTGAGCCAGCATACTATTAATATGCCAAAACTGAATAATCAACCGGTTGATAATAACCCCAGTAAAAATATTACTAGTAGATATAATCATCAGAATAATAAGAATAATAGTTACAGTAATAACAAAAATCATTATCATTATCGTAATAATTACAACATTAATAAAAATAATAATAAAAATAATCAAACTCATTTAAAACGTAGAATATTTTATGATTTTTTTATTGATTCTATTTATTTCTTCTCTATAACTTTATTGCTATTTATTTTATATAAAGTTTTTTTTAATACCATTTATAAAGAAATATAAGAAAAAAATAAAAAAATTCACTAACCTTTTTAAACTTTATTTTCTTTCTATCTATTTCTGTTCCTCCATTTCTCTCTCTTTCTTTATGTATACGTACGGTTATTTTATCCTTCTTTTTTTTTCCTTTTCTAACCCAAAGCAAGTAGAAGAAAGATGAAATGACTCTACTTATTGGAATACAGATTAGTGACAATAAGTAAAGAAGCCTGCTAACATACCTTATATGTGCAACCATTTCAAATGAATAAATGGGTTTATAAATGGATTAGAGTATATTTGAAGTGTTATATTAACCTTATACTTTATTACAGAAATGTTTACCCAAGGGAATCCTTTGACTTCACTACGTATCAAGGTTTTAACTTACCTCAGTTTATACCAGTCACAAGGCATCCAGGTTTACAGGATTATATAGAAAATTTAATTCTAGATTTGTTAACTAAGATAACACATATATATAAAATATCAATCTTAATCTTAGATCAGCAGTATGATATTTGTTTAGAAAAGTATACTTTGGATTTCACTGAATTTAAACATCTTAAGTCTCGTAGTAAATTTAATGATGATAATAATAAAAGTGAAGAGGAAAATAACTGCGATGAACAAATCAATGAAACTGAAGTATTCGACGCGTTCAGGTCGAGTCTTAATAGTTTGATTAATAAAGTGGAAACGTTGCCCAAGATTAAAGACGACATAGTAAAATTTAATGTGATTATAAATACAATGGAAATGGAATTAGGTCATGCTAAAGATATTGGATGGAACTTAAATAATAAAGAAGATTTGAACAAGTTTGAAAATGATACTAATTGGACTCTATGTCAAAATGAAGATAATGAAAATTATTTTATTGATATATATAAAGTACAACCAACCATCAAAATGATATCTTTGATTGGATGTGATATTGGTTCTATTATTATACATAATTATATGGAGGTAGCTCAATTAGATAAAATGGAAAATTTTCCATTACAAAGTAATGATATCTTTGATGTAGCTTCAGAAAATATACGATCTACACCATTTTAATGAAGATAATTATAGACTAAAAAAGCATATATATATATATATAAAATAAGGTGTCAATTATATTTTTATTATTTATTAAATAGAATCTGAATGTCTCTTAGTCTCGTACACCTTTCATTATATAAATTATTTATGTATTTCTCTTTAAATAATATCAAATAGTGGTAAAAAGAGGTAGGAAAAAAAGTGATTTGTACACGAAGATTTTTACTTATATCACTTATCTTCTATGATTGTTGAATGCAGTATATTATTTCCGTACGATAATTAAAGAATATTGTTATAAATTGATTTTATTTTTTGCTAATATATTTTTTGTTCAGCCTCCCCCTTCATTCACTGACCTTTGTTAAAATAAATTCTTTCTAAGTATTTTTTACAAATGCTTAAAATATATGTTGAGCTCAAACTATTTCTGGTACATGACCTTCTACATCTTTAGCTTTCTCAACATTTACATTACCTTCGCTGGCTAATTTCACAAATCTTTTTTGACTAGGCTTTCTACTAGGAGAATTACGATGAACCCAATTAAAAGTTTCACCATCCTTTACTGGAATGAAATCATATGTTGAAGATGTAGAATTAGACGCGGTTATAGATTCTGCGCTGGAAAATTCTGTTAAAGGTTCTAAAGGTTCTCTATCCCTATTATCTTTATAATGTTTATGGCTGTCTTCATTTTTGTCTCCCCAAAATACCGAATCTCTCAGCGCAAATGTAGATTTTCTTGGATCCTTCGGTATAGGTTCATCTGGTTTTAATTCTGTATTTAAAAATTCGGAAGTTGATACTGTGTTCAGAGTAGTTACACTTTCTCTGTTTATATTATTTGGACTATTGAATTCAGTGTAATTAGGATTGTATCTCCAGGATTGTCTACTAGCAGGTAATGCATCTAAGTAGAAGGATGAGGTTCTATTTTGGAACGGATTGACCATCGACGTAGTTTTTGTTTGATTCACGTCTGCAGGTGTTATATTTTTATCAGGTTTTGATAGTAGTTCCTCTCTTGATGAAATGGTAAACCTATTACTACTTGAATTATCCGTCTTTTCATTAATATAATTAGAATTAGAACTTGAAGTTGTTGTCGTGGAGATAGATTGTTGATCTAATTTTAATGTGTTGTATTCTGATAAAGTCAAATCAAGGTGACTTAAATTATTCATATCATCTTCAAATGGGTTTTCTAAAGATGTCAGCGTTTGATTTGGTTTATTTGCAGGATTATTTAATAATGGGCCACTAATATCTTTGACTATATCATTCTTATCTTTATTCTTAACTCTGCCACCAACATTGCCAGAACTATTATTAGTGCCGTCAAATGGTCCATTCGGATCCTCTTTATTTCTTGCTTGTTTTCTGGATTTCCATAAGAAAAAGAATACAATTAACAAGATACCAATAACTACTACGGGAATTACTACCCCACATGCGATAGCTACAGTTTTTTTGTGGTTATTGTGGGAAGATTTATCTTGAAAACTTAATGGTACTGTACCATTTGTTGAGGAAGGTACAGAAACTGTGGTTGATACTGAACTAGTTGTAGCTGACCTTGTGGATGTGGTCAACGTGGTTCTTCCTGAGCGATGACTATGATGAAAGATAGAAGAAGAAGTATTGGTTTTTAAAGTAGTATTATGCGATGTTCCATCGACTCCAATGATGGTGAAATTCAGTTGTTGGCTTAAAGAATTTTTTTCGCTATTAAACCAACTGACAGATAATCAAAATTAGAAGGGACCCAACCTTGTAAAGTTAGGTTATCAGATCTGAGATTTAACCAAGAATGGTCTTGTGTAGAATTTGGATATACTAGAGAGACTTTTGTATTTGAATAATCAGTGAATTGCGATGGCAAGAAATTATATTGAAACCATTCATTTCTAATTGCATTAAGATTAGGCAAAGATGCAACTGCAAATACATGAGTAGTAGATTCTACTTCAAAATTCAAATAGACTACATCTCCATATTTATCGTAGATTGCCACACTAAATTGATTATCAGTAGTATTATCAGCTAGAGTCCCAAATAAGTATTTTGAATCAGTTGTGTTTGAAAGAGATACCCATGGTGGTGCATTAACTAAATCAATAGACCTTATATCGGCTGTGTTGATAGGAGACCCATCTAAGTAAATATAGTTTAACGGTAAATCATATCTGAAGTCACCATTTTCAGTTACATTCAGTAGAATTGTATTTTGAATAGATGTAGTTAATTGATGAGCACCGATAATTAGACTAAATGGAATTTTGACGTCAGAATAGCCATCAATTTCGGTGGCAATTAACACTAAATTGTAATACATTTCAGGGGCGATCTCTGAATTAATTACGGGGGTAGTACCAGAAAATTCTAAATTATTTGAATCAAAAAATAGCCAGCTTGGTAAAGGGGAATTGTACTGATCACTCCGTCCATAGAACTGTTTAATTAATGCAGCATTTTCGAAGAGACTTTCATCAAAAGTGACATTGAACACTTCGTTCGGTGGCAGAATTAAACCATCGTTGCCATTTGTGTTACCAAAATTCTTCAGTACAGCTAATAGATTAAAATTGTCAACCAATTTAATTGGGGTTGTATTTGATATAACAAATTGATAGGTACAATTTAATGATGTCATATCTGAATCATCCGTACCTTGTAGAATGAAATCAAAATAGAGATTTGAATTTGTCGTTAAGTTTTTTATAATCTTTTCGGTAACCACACCATTAAAGGTTCTTGTATTGGAATCAAATGAAAGCCAATCTGGTAAATCGAAGGCCTGATATGTTATAGGCATATTTTTATCGGTATTGGATTTATAGGTATCATTTGATATTTGAAATAAGAAGGTTTGATTAGCTCTGATTATTGGTGGGTATTGTTTTGTTATTGGGAATGCCTCATACGGAGCAGCAGAGACTATATTGCACAGGATTAATAGAAAATATATTGAATTGGGAAGTATACTTATTAAATTAATCATTATAGTTGGTTGGTGTTTGCATATGTCTATATATAAGTATCAAATATTGTTATTTATTGTTCTTATTTTTATTGTCAATATGAGTATGATTTTCTACGAGATCGAAAAGTATCAAATTGGAATATATTTACACTATGTAATAATAAATGACGACTAATCCAACTGAAACATTTCTTGTAAACTGTTCAATTCAATAACGGTCCTCGGTTAAAAGGATTTGATAAATGTTACTATTTAAAGAGTTCAAGAAGATATTTTTAAAGTTGTCAAAGAAAGAAAGGAGAAGAGAAGAAAAGGAAAGTACTAACTGATGAATTTTTAATTCATCAACTTATTTTGACATTTAAATTTATTCTTTCGAGTCAAGATGTTGTTTAGAAGATATGTTCGCTTTTTTTTTGTATTGGATATATATGTTGTTTGATTGGGTTTGGCTGTGAAGAACAGTTGTAAGATACATTACTACATTTCGCAGATATGTATACAGAAGTATCTAACTGTCTATTAGACTAATTATATACCCATTTCCCAAGAAGGTAATATATTTGGCGTATCTACATATCTAACAAGGTCTCTTTTGATGAAACATCTAATGGTTCTTCTATTTTCTCTCTAAAAGATAGCTCGAGGATCTTCTAAATATAGACGTGGCTCTATTGAGTAAAGGAAATAAAAAAACAATAGAGATACGAATATTCAGGCAAAAGCTTTGTAAATGGCAAGAACAAGCTATTGTGTTTGAAGGGGGTATTCTCCTCCTTCTTCACAGATTTCTATTGTTAGTGAGTCTCCCGGCATTGTATTGTTGGTCACAAAAATCTTTGTTCATCGCCAAATGTTTTCGTGTCACTAAAAATCTTTTTTCGTTATTTTTATTTTTTCGTCCTTCCCTTTCTGTTTTCAGCGTCGCGTAATTAAATGAAATTCTTGTTTTTCATTTTTGGTTTGTTTTTTTGCTTTTTCTTCGTTATTTATATATTTACATCAATACACTTGTAAAAGTACGCTCTCGTAATGTTGAAAAGTGACAAAGAGAAAACTAGAGAATTGATATGGGTGGAGATAACATATATGTAATGTGTATAAAAAATAATAGTTCGTAAACAGGTGAACAGGAAAGTGTGGCATGTATCAAGTTTGTTTTTTTGTGTTGAAAAACCAGAAAAAATAAAGAAAAAAGAAGAAGTAAGAGCACTGTATTCTTTCGCTTGAATGAGTATATATTGTAGCAATAACACATTAAGGCACTGTTCTTTGATCTTTTGGATAGAAATGAGTATATGCTAAGATCTCCTTGAGATTTCACTTGTTTTCCTTTGCTCAAATGCTGACAGTAGTATGTAAATTCAGTAGTAAGTGCTAAAAATCATATATATATATATATATTCACATATCAATACTATCTTTGAAAATTTATGGTACTGAGGCAATGGTCTATTTGGATCCTTATTAAGACTATTGAATAAATATTGTACATGTAAGGCTACATATATATACATATACCTATGTATATATGTATATATGTATACGTATAGTGATATGCAAGGAAGTTTTACATGTGCTGTCTATCAGCAGTTCTTGGTTTTGCACGAATAATATTATCTACTCTCAATAAAACTTCTGCAGCTTCAGAAGCAGAAGAAACAACGGCATTTTTCAATTTATAACTTTCTATAATACCCAATTCCCTCATGTCTGCTATAACTCCTCTATTCAAATCAAGGCCTGATGTGGAAAGACCATTGTAAATACTCGATCTTAATTTAGTGACTAATTCACTACTATCAAAACCTGCATTATCAGCTAAGATAGTAGGTAATTGTCTTAATGCACGAGCAAATGATTCTACCGCAAGAGCTTTTTTCCCATCCACGTTTTGCGATTCTGTATCAACAGCTTTTGACATTAACATTTCTGCGCAACCACCACCAAGAACTGTCTTTGTTTCCTTTGTAGTTTGAGATAAAACAGATAATGCATCATGTAAAGACCTTTCTGCTTCATCCAAGACCTGATCAGTGGCACCTCTTAGCACAATAGTACAAGCTTCGCCTGCTTTACACCCACTAAACTTTAAAAATGTGTCTTCACCGATCATTATTTCTTCAATCAAATCACATTCACCTAGCTTGCATTTATCTGGCTCATCAAATGTAGAAACAACTTCACCACCAGTCACTAGAGCTAGCCTTTCAACACCTTCAAAGTCTGCATGTTCGATTGAATTGATACCAAGATCACTCATCAATTGTTCTGGGTAATCATAAATCAATTGTCTGTTAATAAATGTGTTGATACCAAATTTCGATATTTTATTAATCTTATTCTTCATCTTCTCACGTTCTGCTTTTTCTAATTGTGCTAATTTAGATGTAGAATCAACTTTAAATTTAGTTCCAAAAATCTTAACTTTATCTGTATCTAAAGAAGTGTTAGCTATTAAAATTTTTGCATGTTCTACTCTCTTTGGTTGATTATTACCAAATTTTTTAGCTAAAATAAAACCTTCGTCCAAAAATGAGTCAGATAATTTACCACCAAGGATCTTAATAATTTGGATGTGCTCTAAGTTTGTCGACCCATTTAGTCTTAAAATGGCATCAGTAGCTAATTTAGCAAAATAATCTTTATCTTGAGACAAAATCTTAGAGGATAATGTGGTCTTGGCAATTTGAATTAAATCTTTTTCAAATTTTGCTTTGTCAGAAGAGTTGTCAACTGCAGCCTTCTCTAATGCATTCAAAGCAGCCTTAGAGGCAATTCTATAACCTTCAATAATAGTCTGTGGGTGGATCTTATATTGGTCAATCAACTTTTCAGCCTCACGTAATAATTCTGCACTTAAAACAGTAACACTAGTAGTACCATCACCAACTTCATCATCTTGAACTTTAGAGATATTAACTAAAACTTTAGCAGCAGGATTATCTAACGGGATAGATTTTAGAATTGTGGCACCATCATTTGTCACTAAAGAGCTATCACTAGAAGCACTTTGTAAAAGTTTGTCCATACCTTTTGGACCTAAAGTTGTTTTAACTAAATCACCGACAGCGATAGCACCAACAAAGGCAGACATACGTGCATTTTCCGCTCTTTCCTCTGTAACTTGATCGGCAAACACAGAATTCATTTTTTTTGTATATATCAGTCTTTAAATATTATTGTTCTGGTTTGACTATGACAATTTGATAAACAATTGGTATGTCATAGGCTTCGAATAGTCTGTTTGATGTGTTAAAGCTTGATATATACAATTCGTTCTTTTTATTTTTTTTACCTTTCTTTCTGAATTTCCTATCATATTAAAAAAAAAGAAAAATGAAAAAAATCACACTAAAAAAGTAACATATAAGTGAATATGAGGGTAACATTCAATCTTTTATTAACAATAAGCAGTATAATAAAATACAAGCGTTATCATTACCATCTTCATATACAATTCTTTTACAAAAAAAGATATGATCTCTAGTAACATGTTTGTTTATACCAATAACATCAACTAATGATTAACACAGTCAAGTAAAATGTCAATATAATTTCTCTTCGGACTGCTAGTAAAATAAATACATAAATATATTTAAAAATATCTACCGTAACAAATATGTGTAACTTCATTCACTTGCAATCTTTATATTTGAAGATAGTGTTATTTTATCTTTAATAGGTTAGTAGGTAAAAGAATGGAGATACTCCCTACTGTTTTATTATGATCTGCTTCGAGTTTTTATTGATATTGTTTGGGTTTGCAACTTATATATATGAGTGAGGATCAACTTAACTTTCTGTGATACAGTTTGAAGCAAATTTTATAGCTTTGAAACATAATTCACCTTCATCCTGTTTGATTAGTTTGGCTTTGACTAATTCCTTAATTAAATTGTCACATATCTTCAAATATTTCATAGATTCATCAAATTGTTCAGATAGGTTTGGAACAGATTTATAAGTACTAAATTCAGTGGCTACTAAAGACATCGCATCACTTTTGTTATTCCCATTATGTAAATATTTTTGCAAAAAGAATTCCATTATAACTGCCATAACTGTGTTAGGTAAACTGCATTTAAATGGCATATATTGTACAAGAGATGATTGCCATTGGAAATTTGTCAATGATAATCTATCAAATTCATTGGATGTTAAGGATGCAACGACTAAAGCTTCAAACATATCATTTAAGTTTTCTCGAATAAAGTCTATATGTTCTCTAAATATCAAAGTTTTTTTATCGATTGGGCCGTGATAAACTGTGGTTGGTTTTTGATCAATTTGGAAGAGTGTTAATAAACGTGATAATATTAAAATATATTTGGATTCTTGTGGATATGTTCTTAAAGTATGGTCAGATAATGAAGAGCGAACATTTGGACGTGTTTCTTCAGAGAGGGACAAGACATCAGTCTTTAAAAATAGTAACAGGATAAATAATTTCTCGTAGTATTCTTCATTATCGTTTAAAACGGCGTTAAAGTGTAATATAATGTTACCCCAGTTAGTTGGTTTCAATGATTTTTTAGCGAGATCAAACTCAAAAAATTCTAACTGAACTAATAACCTTAAGAAACATGTTGATAACAAATCAAATGTAGAGTTTAATTGATTCTCTGGAGTCCCACGAGGAATAATAATAGGTTTTTCGGCAATGAATTTTTTAGAAAGATCATTAATATTATCATATAAAATTTTAATAAATTCATAGATATTGAATGGATTATTTCCAAAATCAGTTTTAACTACAAGGTACTTCAATTGTTCTATAATGGAAGGAGTGACTCTGTTGGTCAATTGTACTTTATTATTATGAGAATACCATTTAACTTGTTTAATTGGCTTCATTTGGAAATATCTGTTAATTTGTTGTGTTAGTAAATTAATTTCTTTATTTTTAAACATGTCAACAGACTCAACAACTAATTTTCTGTAAGAATCTGAGACGCCACCATCTAAAGGTGGTTCTTCAGGGTAGATACCTGTGGTGATAGAATCTAATAATTTACCTGAGATAAGACCAATAGACTTATAATAATAATATTCAGCAGGTAACCTCTGTCCAATGAATTCGTGTACATCATTTGGAATTGGATATGAACTTGTAGTATCTAGTAAGCTAGAAGATGGTGATTTGGACTTGTCCCCTTTATCGTCATTAGAATCATTGTCAGTATCAACATCATCCATACTGGAGGAGTCTTTATTTTCAGAATTATTATGATCAGTACTGTTGCTATTGTTACCACTATTATTATTGTTATTGTTATTATCAGTTGAATATATTTCAACTCTACCATTTGATTGTAATACAGGCATATGTCTCAAAGATGCACAACCTCTTTGATAGAACAAAATATAGTTGTTGCTATTATTAGTAGTAGTTGTAGAGGTGGCAGTGGTTAAGGTAGTAGTATTATTAGTATTATTTGCATTAATAGACCTGTTATTCAATTGGTAAGCATAAAAATTAGTACCTGTATTTAAAACCATTTCCAAAGCTATCTCAAACAATTTGTTATTTGGATAAATTTGGAGAGGTGGTAAAACAGTTGGTTGTAAGTCGTTACCGACAGTCATAGAGATATCGATAAACTCATCATAGGAGATCCCGAAATCCTTCAACAATCTATTTTTATCGATAAATCTGAAATCTTTATTAGGAAATTCCATGCCTAGGATAAACTTATCTAAATTTGGCAACATCAAACAATCGGTTGGACCATAGATGGCATCGATAAAATTGTTTTGTAATAGATAATCTAGTTGGATCCAAGATGAAAATGGGGCCACCTGGTATGTTATATCATTTTCGATGAAATATTTGATCAAATCAGACTGGAATCTCTTTGATTCGATATTTGTGTTCAATCTGAATGGTTCCTGGGGTTTTAAGGGTTGATCGATATAAGAGTGTTGGTTACTAGTGATTAAATTATTCCATTGAGTCCATGCTTTATGTCTTTGAGTCAACATGATTTCTTTAGTAGATTTCAGGTTCTGATTAGGAGAGTTAATAGAAGTGGAAGACATATTGTCATTGTTATTATTATGATGATTGTTATTGTTGTTATTATTAGTATTATTGTTTATATTCATGTTCATGTTTATATTTATGTTGTTGTTGATAGAAGTGGTACTGGTGGAGGAAATTGAGGTAGCCCCTAAAGCAAGAGATAGACTAGCTTCATCGGCACCAGCAGTGAAATAGCTATTATAATCCAATTGGTTAACAGTTAAAGAACCATTAAAGATGAAAACAGGAGTGATATTATATTCTTTAAAGATTTTCAAATCAGATTCCAAATATAATTTCAAACTAATTGGGAACCCGCCAATAGCGTCTAAAAATTGTTCTTTTTTGGAAGACAATAGACGAGACACATAATGATTGGCATCGATACCTAGGGTAGTATTTTTTAAGGATTCGATGGGATGAGTACCGACTAAACCTCTTTCAAACAAAAATTGCTCTAAAGAATTGATAGGCATTATTTATTTGTTTATAATTTTTTTTAACTTCAGAAATGTGGCGATATAGAGGTATGGAAGTATAGGGATGTATAGATATATTTAGAGTTACAGTGAAAGGTTATCAATAAAAGGGAAAAAAAAAGGATAAAAAAAAGAAGAAGAGGATATAGAAGAAAAGAGAATCAATATGTACTTCTAGAGGATGAGTCAGTATCAAAGGATTAAAATGTAATCAAAATAACAAATAAGATATCGATTAATTGTATTGAGGTACGGTGTGGAATGGTATGAACAGATAAACGAATGGATTGATGGACAAATAGATTGACAAATAGATGTTATAGTAAATATATGGGGAAAGGGAAAATAACAAAAAAAGAAAAAAAAACTAGAAAGTAGAGAGAAAAAGGAAAAGGAAAAGGAAAAGGAAAAAAAATAGAAAGTAGAAAATAAAAAACAGAAAACAGAAAATCAATACTTCAGATTATATGTGATGTATATGTATAGAGAGAGAAAAAGAGAGAGAGAGATACATTTCCAAGAGATTTTATGACAACTTAAAGCAGGATGACAAAGAAAAAGGTTCTTAAGAGTTATGTAAGTATAGATAGATGTACCATTTCTTGTATGAATATGAAATGATAGAAGAAAGGACAAATTAAACAAACAAAACCAAAAAAAAAAGGGGGGATATTAATAAGAGGAAAAGGAACCTCGAAATGAGGACAAAAGTCGTCATTATCAACGAATAAACCGTCTTTTCCTCGAAAAGAAAAAAATAAACATGAAATAAATTGAAAAGATAATTGGCACATTCGCATTGGCTGGGAAATGTATGGGTGTTTCTGTAGAAAATGCTTTTTTTTTCTTTTTGTCGTTTTGAAGTTGAGAAAAATAACCCATACATCCACAACATCCTTACATATATTTTTTATTTTGCTTTTGCTTGTGTTTTTGTTTTTTCTTTTTCTTTTTCTTGTTTCTTTTTTCCTCGATTTCTTTGATATGAAAAAGTACTGTTTAACTAAGCTTTAAAATACAAGTTATAGAGCTGTAAACGTTACAAATTTGTAAGCATATTCCAAATCTCAAGTCTCTGAAACTGCATTTAGGGACCATTTCTATTGAATGAATCATAATATTTATAAATAGACATTAGGATCTTCAATATTAATAAACAAACGAAATAGAACACTAGAAAAGGGTTGTTGTTTGTTTTATCTTTTTTTTTTCCTTTTTATTTTTTATTCTATTTAACCAAATTATATATATATATATATATGCAAAGCATTCGTTGATTTTATCAATATGGTATCAATAAAGTTAGTTCTAATCAAATTACTTTCATTTATCTTACTCGTTCAAATTTCCTTTGTCCTTGGGCAAGAATTCGCTATTACTGAAGCTCAAAGGGATAAAAATGGTATAATAGATGTAACTGATGAAAACTTTGATAAAGTATTCGATTTGGTTCAATCACATTCCTTTGGTCTATTTCTTCTTTTTACCACAAACACTGTAGAAATGGGTTGTAGGACGTGTGTCGAATTCAATCCTGAATTCGATTTGATCGCAAAATCTTGGAAATTGGATCATCCAGATTTTATCTCCAATACTGATCCAGATTTGAAATTTTTGTTTGGTAAAGCAGTTGTCCATTCTCCTAAAAATATACCAGATATTTTCAAATTGTTCAGACTACAACATATACCAGCATTGTTCTATTTCTCGCCAGGCTCTGGTTTACATCAATTTGAATCCTTCGACATTCAACATGCGTCTGGTCCTGAAAGAGCTAACCAGATGCTCAAATGGATTAAAAGATCAACAGGAATCAGTGATGACACCGACTTTGTTATCCATCAACAAACCAATTGGGCAAATGTCTTTGTCACCTGTCTTATTGTTTTCTGTTCCACTCTTCTCATCAAGAAAAATCACAACCTAATATTGAAGTTGGTTAGATTAAGATGGATTTGGGGTCTAGCCAGTGTAATCTTTATACTTTTCATGATTAGTGGTTATATGTTTACAAAGATGAGACAAGTACCACTCGCCGGTGCTGATAGAAATGGTCATATTATATATTTTGCAGAAAAGGACTTTCAAAACCAATTTGGTATTGAAACTCAAATCGTGGCTCTTTTCTATGGTATTATTGGTGCTTTAATGATTTTCTTAATTAAAATTATACCAGCTTTAGATCCAAGTAATGATAACACTACATCATCTGACAGTTTTGATATTAGTAACACTAGTATTAGAAGTAATAGTGGCCATAATAATAGTAGTAGTGGTAATAATAATAATAATAATAGCAATAGTAACAATAATAGCAGGACTGATTCTGTTGATTTTAGTTTCACCAAGAAATCTAAGAAGAAGAATAGTAAAGGTAACATTCATATAAACTCACCTTATTTAGTTTATGTTTTAGCTATAGTTGGTACTATCTTACTATACTCATTCTTTGCTGCTTTTACACACATGTATTCGATAAAACAATCCTATCCTTTCACCTTTTTTAAATTGACATCACTATTAGGTTTCTAGAAGAAAGGTAAAATACTTTCATATAAGATTCCATAGTAAAAATCTTTAAGATATTGTTTTGTTGATGTGGATCCTACTTTTTTCTTTTTAACTTTTTCCCATATATATATATATATATATCAATGTGTCTGTATAAATAGACATAGTTTATTATTGTCGATGAAATACATTGTGCATTCTTAGTGTATAAAAAAATATCATATATAATCATAATTGTTTTTTTATAAATTTACACATAGATGTATGTATGTGTGGGAATATGTCCATAAATTACTATGTTTATGATCATCCTTAGGTAAATTGTTCTTCATCCTTTTTCTTAGACTTACGTAGGCCAGTGACTCCAAGAATACCCTTTCCGATCTTTTCTACAGTTCCAACACCAGTACTAACAACAGTAGTACCTGCTCTAATACCTGTACCTAATCCCTTCGCAGCAACATCACTGACCTTTTTTTCATGTTTGGTTACGTTTATTATGTATTTTGGTTTGAACTCAAAATCTAAATGAACAATACCACCATCTTTTCCTTCCAACATTATTGGAAGGTCTATACTTGTTGTCTTATATGGAACTATATCACTTAATCTTATTTTACCCCATCCAATACAATCATCACCTGAGGTAGCATCCCAATCCATGACTTTCACATGCAATATATCCATAATACGGTTACTGATCTCACATGTATTTCTTTCATTCCATGTTGGATTCAAAGTCTTCTTCTCCACATGAGTTTTGAAAATCGAATCATCTTCATCATTTAAATAGAATTTTAGGTATGGATCAGAGAAGCCGTTTGAATCAGCAGATAATAATCTTTCTGCACTCTTTGCAATTACAGTTAAATCGCCTTGATTTGTGATCAAATCAGCTTGAGGTAATTCTTCTGTATCTAGTGGGAACCATTGAGATTGGATTAATAATTTTCCGCTGGCCTCACCGGATAAATTTAATATAGATGGTCTATAATAACAATTTTTGACAATTTCACTTGTTGGAACGGTAACTTCACACAAACAGTTTTCTGCTCTATTAGCATTCTTTTTCTTCGTGACTCTAAATGTAGCTGTAGAATAATCCAATTCTTTGATTATTACATCACCGGTCCAACCATCTTTTATAACTGTGGAATTGATTTTTGGTGAAATAAAACGAGAATGGCCGTTACTATCAAAAAAGGCCTGAACATAGGTGCCTTGTTGCGATACAAAACCATCTAAAACTGATATAGCAAGAACACCAGTCTTGTACTTCATTAGTTCATCAAGGCTCAATTTTTGTTTCTTTTGTAAGATATGTTCAAATTCCTCAACTTCTAAAGTGAGTTCCTCCATATGTTGTTTTTCTTTTTCGGATAATTTTGCTTTTTGTTTCCTCTTTTCATCTAATTCGATTCTCTTCTTTTCAATTGACTTTAAATCTTCAATTTGTTCCAAAGAAAGAATAGGCAATGTAGGATAAAATGAAATAAAATATGTAAGATTACCATAAGCACCCTTCTTAGTAATTAGGCGACATACGTGTGGTTGTTTACCAATAACAGTTTCGTATTTATCATTGTCATCTCTGATAAACAACTCTTGTACATCTAGGTTAAATTTACCAACACTACGATCTTTGTCGATTGTTTCCACATCCATAACTTCTAAAGTAATTTTTTGGTTTGGTGATGTAACAGATACATACATAGGAGTATTCCAAACAGGGTTCAAGGTAGATTCAATTTCATTGGTTCTATCTTTGGAAATACCATTCACTAAAACTTTAGTATATGGATCAATCTTTCCAATTTTCTCCAAATTCAATAAATTATTAGCTTTTTCCACAAAGATTCTGATAGCACCTATAGGTGGGGTATAGGCAACAGAGTTCAAACCAATATCTAATCTTACTGGTCTCCAATAAGTGGAAACCTTTAAACTGCCCCCATTAGAATTCTTTAATGGAATCATTTTTTTATCGATTTCGGTTCTGTCAATTAAGTCATTCAAAGATTGAACTGTGGAGCAAACAACTTCATTCTTTGAGTTCTTAATAACAAATCTGTACATAGTTTTACGACGATCTGATATAACTGCTTCGTATTCTTTTCCATAAGACATTGTACCATTAATATCATTTTTAGTTTTATTAGTTTCCAAGACAAGTTTAGCATTCATATACACATGAATAGAATAGGTTTCTTTCTCTAAGGCTTTTTGCTTTTTTTTATATTTTCTTGTGAGTTATTAGCAGTATCAACTTCTTCAATTAAGGATGTGTTCATACCCTGAATTTCTTCAACCACAATCTTGGCAATACCGGTATTTAAATCTGGTAGTTCTACAACGTCACCATTTGGTAGTGTCTTAGGTTGCAAAGTTGGGAAATATGCTAAATCGAAATTTAAAGTACCAACATTCTTAGAGTTTCTTAGAAAATGCGCCTTCAAATTCTTTTGCGTTGATTTTGTAGTCAAAGTATTTAAATTAATTTCAATTCTACCAAATTGTTTGTCCTTCAATTTGACACGTTTATCCAAAACAGAGATTGTCAGTGGATCAGTTAATGAATTAACTAAAATGTATGAAGTTTCGTTCCAAACAGGATTCAACGTGTCTCTTACAGTATTCGTCTTACCAACAATTTTACCATTTAACTCAAAGGTTAGATATGGATCAACAGATGTCTGTAACAAGTCACCTGACCCAGTGTGTAAATCAGTCGCATTTTTAATAGTCAATTCAATAACACCCATAGATAAATGGGAATTAGATAACAAACTTGGAATATTAAATTGTAACGAAAATGGGGGCATTAGCATTGGGCTTAAATATTTCTTCATCATGATTTTAATAAATGGGTATAACCCTGGTATTGCCATAAGTTCCCAATTGAAAATTGTATTACCGAGGATTTGTGCAATAAAATCAATGTCAGGGACATCTATCAACTGGATGTTAACAGTTTCCACATGTGGAAATGGTGTCATTAATTTGAATCTAAGTCTTGCTTTAACATTAAAGGATAGGTTAGAGACGGAGATTGGGAGAGTTAAAAAGTTAAATAATTTCAATTTTAACAAAACAGCTTGGTTGACGAAATTTTTTATTTGTTTTGCGGTCATATCGGTCAAGTCGTGTGGTGTGAAAGTCACAGCCCACTCCATGACAACAATATCAGATTCAGTGTTTGGGAGGGTTTTGATAGTTTCAATTCTTGGAGGTTTAATACCTAAAGTAAATTGATCGATCCAAAGATTTGTTATGAAACTTGGAATATTTGGATTTATGGCTAAAATATCATTAACTTGATCCACAATAATTTGTGAAACAGATGGTTCTAAAATAGGCCAATATTTGTCCAAGAACATATTCAACCATTCCATCGTTTCATTATCAGTTTCAATATTTTGAACAGTAAATTCTTTTTGAACTAGATTCCTAATGGAAGATCTATACTTTCTGGAAGAGGTTCTATAATATAAAGAAGTGATAACGATTATGAAAAATACTGGAGCTAAAGACCATTTTAACTTACCCATAAAGAACGAAAGGATACCAGCCAAGGCTACAATAGCCAGAGTATGATACCAGTCACCATAGAGCTTTTCTGGAATAAGATTATCTAAGATAGTGTCCTTAGTTAAATCTAATAATAAATCATTTTCAGTTAAAGTATCCTTTTCTTCCCAATGACCCATTTGTTTCCAGCCGACATAGTTTGAAGTTTTCTTTTTTCTGATGGTTTTTATATCAGTTATAGGGACATCATTAATCTCTGTTTCCTTCACTTTATTGACAGTTTTTTCATTAGTCTTTGTTCTTTCCATTTGATTTGCTTTGGACTTAGATATAGAAATTTGGTCTCCACTACCAGCACTAATATTTTTGGCTACCATTATGAAAGTAAATTAATTGTTACTTCCTAGATTCCTCTATCTATTGCTCTTTTTTTTTCGTCGTTTGATTTTTTATGTTAAAAAAATTTTGGTATTTAGAATGTAAAGGTTAGTTAGTATGAAACTACAGCAGCGTTATGTTTAGTTAAAGTACTTTATAAACTGATGATAAGCTAAAAATTTGTTAACAGTCGATGAACTCGACATAAGTATGTAAATTTGTTAGAAACAAGACGTTTTTATTTACTACCCCCTATTTTTTGTTTATTTTTTTTTTGATTTTTTATCAATTGATTTACTGTTTTTCCCTTGTTTCAGATTTTTTTGTCATTTATATGTTTCTTCTTTATTTTTTATTTTGGCAAGCCATGAAGAAAAAAAAAAAAAGGAGAAGGAAAATAATAAAATAACTTCAGATAATAGTGGAAGGAATAAATTTTGTAGGAGGAGAATATTAATACAAATACATAACAGAGAAATGAATAGATGGATTATTAGTCATTGTTAGTGGCAAAATATGTATTTGAGTTTGAACAGTTGCCATTTCAAATAAATCTTCTGAAGAAAATAAAAAAATATGTTTAGATTTATCACTTGAAAATATATATATAGAGAGAGAGACAGAGAGAGATTCTTAATTCTTACATAGTAGCAGACTTGTGAGGTACTATCGTTAGTAAAAGATATTCATAATAAAGAAACTCTAACATTGTCAGTTTGAAAATAATATTAAATTATAATGTATCTTTGGATCAAATGGAAAAATAAAGAGATAGCATAGAGAAAACCTATGATATGTATGTTCATATTTGTTAATGTTATAGAAAGTTATATTAGTCTCCTGAGAGTTTTTTTTCGTTATATAAAAAATAGTTTGATAAAGTATTGTAGTTTTTCCATCACAAAGTTTTTGTCATTAAACTTTCTTTTTTATAAAAGGTATTGTTCAAGATAAACAATTCTTGAAGTAGATAGTGCGATGTTTATATTATAGTTATTTGGTGCGGCTACTATGTAAAGATTTTGCAAATTACTAACATTCTTTTTGTATATGTTTTTTTTTTAAATTAATGAAATAAAACCGGATATTTATCTAAAAATGTAGTCATTTCGTTTATTTCTTCATCATTGGCACCAATAAAATTTAGGTTAGATGGTTCATTATTAGTCTTCATATTTTTATTATATTGGTAAAGACCATCTACACTTTTCATTCTGTTGTGTAATGCTGTAAACTGATCTTAAGTATAATCGGGCATGCCTGCTATTTTATCATTTCTAGTTTTCAATATTCCCCCCTGGTTTGTTTGAACATTCAGCCTTCTTGTTTTGAGACCTTCTATAGTATTTACTGGTATCAAGGGAAAGCAAACGAAGAACTAGTCAATCGAGGTAAAAGATAGGGGAGATAGTATTATATAGATTTTTGATATAGTTATTATTTAGCATAATTATTTTACAACCGTATTGTTTAGAATATTATTTTTACATATAAGGAAGTGAAAAGTTACTGACCTTGAAATAACTCCATTTTATATTGGAATATTATATATATATATATATATTATGTATGTGTGTATGTATTATAATGTAAACAGTATTTAAATAGTTAAAAAAGGGTAGCGTATTATAAGTGTTAGAAATAGTCAGAATAAACTTCCAATTTTTGAATTTGATGTTTAAAAACAACCTCAATAATACTATATGGAATTTTCAATGAGTTAAAATTATAGAACTAATTTTTTTCAATATTTATAATATGATGGTGATGTTTTTATTTTGATTATTTGAAAACAAGATTTACCCTAATTTATATAATAATCAAAATTGTAAAACTAAACCAAAAACCTGAAGTCACCATTTTTGAAATTTTATTTTACAATTTTTTGGATCTTCAAATATAACAAAAATAATCATTTAGATATGCCACCGTTTTCTTGTTTTCCCTTTTGCAGTAATATAATTAAAATTATTTTTGATTGGATTTTGGACCGACATTTATTCAGAAAATACTATTTCAACAATTAACAATAAAAACCAAGATACTTGCATAAAAATACAATACAACACAATACATAGAAATATGCAATCGAAGCTAAGGAAAAAGTAGAATACCACCTTCTATCATTTGATACGAATTTTCAAAATGAATAAAAATAAAAAAATAAACGTTATAACATTTTCATTATTTTTTTTGGCCTCCTTTAGGCCGTGTGATTCTCTTTTTTTCCTCTTTTTCTTTTTCTTTTTTTTTGTTCATTTTTCCCCTCCTGCTTCTTCTTACCCTCCTCTTTTTTGTTTGTCTGTCTTCTTAACTCCCGACGTCCTCATCTGTGTTTTTTTTTTTTTTTTTGAACTCTTTTGTTCTATTTCCCCCTCCTTCTGCTATGGTAAATGCCAGATTGTCAAGTAATCCATGGTTCAAAAATATTGGTATCCTTCAAACAATGAGAAATGAAAGAAAAAAAAATTCATAGTAGAAATAATATTAAGAGTACTATTAATAGATGTCTTTGAAAGATACAAGAAAGCCATTATTCATTAATATTTCAAAAAGAGAATAAAAAGAACCCTACAAATCAACATATGCATATGCATAAGTAGGAAAAGAAAAAAAAAAGAAAGGTACTTATCTCTACACATATACCACATACACTCCTTTTTATTTTTTTTTTAGTATTAGCTCAGCAACCATATCAAAAAGCTTTCTTCTAATAAAGATTCCTTTTTTTTTCCTTTTGTTAATAGATTTATACAAAGAAGTTATACATATAGATAAACATATCTATATATATATTTTTTACAATGGAAAATAAAAGAAATATGAGTAACAATATGTTAATTGACAGTAATGACCATATTAATGATACACTCACCCAAAGCTTCTCACAAATGAATGTGGACAGTCCAAATGAACTAGAACCTCAATTGTCACGACAGCATTCTCGAGAAAGCTACAACGGTAATTTTACAAATAATAGTACGAATAACTTAACTAGAAATAATAGCAGGTCGAGATCTACTTTGATCTTCGACGATGATGACGACGATGATAATTGTAATGATAATGAACCATACTATAATGAAAATAGTGGTGATGACCTCTTATCAAAGACATCTTCACAAATTTCTGAGGAAAGTAATAATATGGCATATAATGCTTCAGATCAACAATTTGTATCTGCACAACAACAGCAGCAACAGCAACAGAATGTTCAACAAGCTAATCCTAAGAATGTCATGGTTCCTGTAGATATCGTATGGCAACAAGGTGGGAATAAAGCCTATGTCACAGGTTCCTTTACCAATTGGAGGAAAATGATTGGGCTGGTTCCTGTACCAGGGAGACCGGGGTTATTGCATGTCAAATTACAGTTACCACCAGGTACTCATAGATTTAGATTTATTGTCGACAATGAATTAAGATTTAGTGACTACTTGCCTACGGCCACTGATCAAATGGGTAATTTTGTTAATTATTTAGAAGTCACGGCACCAAGCCTACAGCAACAACAACAACAACAGGTAGATCATTCAGTTGAAGAAGGAGAATATTCTACCCGTGATGATACAACTTCCCCTGATTATTCAAGAAATCAAAATTCATCCAACAAAAAAAAGAAAACTATTCCAATGAGTACACGCTCTAGAATTGCAATGGAAATTGAACAAGAACCAGATGATATGGGTGATGGTTATTCAAGATATTATGATGAAGCACTATCCAAACCTTCTTTGGAATATACGCAGGATATCCCAGCTGTTTTCACTGATCCAACTGTTATGGAGCAATATTATTTGACATTAGACCAACAACAAAATAATCATCAAAATATGGCATGGTTGACTCCGCCACAATTGCCACCACATTTAGAGAATGTCATTCTAAATAGTTATTCTCATTCACAAGCTGAGAATAATGAAAATAACTCAGGTGCTTTGCCTATTCCAAATCATGTAATATTGAATCATTTAGCTACTAGCAGTATTAAACATAATACCTTATGTGTTGCTTCTATAGTCAGATATAAACAGAAGTATGTTACACAAATTTTGTATGCTCCATTACAATAACACGTGCCTATCAAGGTAATTATGTTAAATAGATATATATCTATGTATAAGTATTTTATCAATTCATTATATTTGGTTTAATAAGGAAGTAATCATATGAAGGGCTATGCTTTTCTTTATTTTTCTAATATAATAGAATCTTTATCACAAATAACAAGGCATCTCTATCCGTGCACTTATTTTTTTAATTTGAAAAAAGGCACATTTTTTAGGTTTATTCATATTTTACATATCTTTTGAAAATTGGCTCGTGTATTCACTTGTTATATGGTATATGTTTTTAGTTATATATATTGTATATTTATTGTGTACAAAATCCAAGAAAAGTTCTTTAATTCTCTTTTACACTTGCAATACAAAAGTGATAATATATAAAAAAAATTTGCAAAGGTTGGAAACATAATGTGAAAAAACTATTAGTCTTATAATATATTTATATTTGACATTTCTCTTTTATGGGAAAGAATAGAAATTTATCACTTTGTTTTGTTTTCATTTATTGATAAGTAAATAGCACTTACTTTATATTTCAGTATATATTGATACTAATAAAAAAATCGCTGGTCCATCTATTTATCCTAGAACACTTGATTTCAGCACTATTAGCTTATTGGGAAATGAGAGTTTTATCATTATCATTTCTATAAGAATTATTTTAAGTTACTTTTTCTCTATATTTTATCATTTTTTAATGTATTACAGTAGTAGACAGAAAGCATTTTTTTTTCTATTAAAATTATTTTTTAGAGATTTGAAGCAAATGGGAATTTTCAAACGAAGTGTTAAAAGTAATAAAAAACCATACATTAATTAGGAAATCTAAGGACCACATATGTAGTTAATAATATAAAATAAACATGATTTATAGCTCAATGATGTTTTTTATACTCTCATGGAAATCAAAGAAAATGCAAATTTTATAAATTGGAGTCAATGTTCCACATACTTTGACATTAAAAATGTATTTTCTAGTAAATTCTAACTTTGAAAATTTAAACTTATACGTTTTATTGACAAATATTGAAAGATCCTTCTTCTTTTTTAAACTCTACTGGAATAGTCCAAACTACAACAATTAGTAGCGCCGCTAAAATTTTATTTTTGTATATTATGTCTTAAGTTCCAGCCAATCCTGTCTTTATTCAAGCCATAAAAGTCCCCCAACTATTTACAGGTTCAACTCGTTCAGTCTTTACTTAACGTGAATTTTTGTTATCCCTAGATCTAAAATTTGATCTTCACCAAATCACCGATGATTTCCGTAAAATTTGTTTCTTTGTTGACAATATTGGAGGTAAAGCTACACAATAATTCCTTAACTTCTCTGCTGATTATGATTTACATTCTACTTCCTATTCCAGCCTAGTCTCTCAATTCACTGACTCCTTTGATGCACAACCAGACGTGTACTACATCAGTCGCAAAATTTGTTCATTAAAACAACATAATAACGTCGACGGGTACATCAAAGAGTTCTATCAATACAAAAACCTGTTACCCAAGGGTGTCATGAGCGAACAGATACTTATAAGTTATTTTATTTAAAGGTTAAAACCCGACACTAGAAAAGCTGTCGTCTTACAATCTCCACCAATATTTCATAATGCCACTGAACTTGCTCACAAATGTGAGCACTGCTTATTAGACCTCATTACAATTAATTACTCAAGTGACGTCTCATCTAACTCTGGTTCCTATCAATTAGATAGTGACGGTGATACCATTATGGCTATTCATTCTTCCAATCGTTACCGTAGAGGTTATTCTACGCATTCTGCCAATGATTCATCTTTCAGGAGGGGAAGATCCCACAACTTATCTGGTACCACTTCTTCCAATAAACGTGATAAAGATGATTTTCGTCGTTTGTGCTTAGAATATAGATTATGTTTCAAATGTTGTAAACCAGAACATCAATCCAGTACTTGTCCAAATGCGAGTTGTCACTGAAAATACTGCTGCTTTTCATTCCAATTCCCTTCTTTCTTCTTCATTCTCTCTACCAAATTTCCAACAATCAAAAAAATTAAAAAAAATCAAAAACAGAAAATAAGTGTTTCATTCAAGAAGAGAGCTGATCTATACACATAATTAAAACATGCTGATAAACATGCAAAAACAAACGACGTTGATACTACTACAATACCAGAAGTTACTATTATTAAAGCTACTACCAAATCATTAGTAGGTACCCATCATGAACGTCCATGTATTGTTAATAAAACAAAAGTCCCTGTGCTGTTTGACACAGGAAGTCCTACTTCACTGGTTAGTGAATATTTAGTCTTCAAAAATGGATGGAAACTACTGGATGCCTGTGGCCTTAACCGGTGAATACGTTAAATATTTTAGTTTATATGTTGCTTGTCTTTTTCTTCTGTTTGTACATAATATATAGATATGTACAGATGGATTATAGAAAAGTAACTAAAGTGTCTTTTTATATCTTTTTCTTTTTTATTTATTTTTTATTTTTTTTTCTTTCCTACATCCAGACACCACATATAACATTGTTTCCATAATAGAGTCTTTAATTAATAAAAAACTTCTTTAATATGCACTGTTCATGGAAATAATTCCAGCACAAAAATATCAAAAAGTTTGTGAATGACAACAGACGTTACCCCAAAGATTCACCAGCTACCGCTACAGAAAGAATCCTGAGGCTTCAAGAGATCATCGCTGTGACTGGCTATGACATTGAGTCACAAGCCTACTACTGTAAGATGCAAGATGTTAATCCTGAGTTGGTGTGTGAATATACCTTAGACAAATTTAACAAACTTCCAACTGATCGTCACAATTCATTATTATCAGATTTCAGAAATTTACCTGAATTTTTGGGAGAGGAAGGTGTTATAGACCAACCTTGATATTATGATTAAATGGAAAAAAGGATTAGGGTTGAAAAATATTGTTAGGGTTTTTGTGATGGTTGTCAAGAAAAAGTTCTAGTTTGGATTTATAGAACTTAGGGTTTGTTAATAAATTACATGTTGATTGTCGAGTATTAGGTAATACAATAATGAAACATTAATGAGGTAATCAAAGAGATATGTGTTCAACAGTGGCAATCATTACAGAATCCAAATAAGAAATTATCAGCCCATGATTTATATATAAAGGACTATCATCTTATAATTTAAATTTGTGTTTTTATCTGATTTATTATTGTATGTAACATATTGTATAAGAAAAAAAAATAAGCAATAATCGTTTAATTTTTCTATATATAACGTCTTTATATATATTTATTATTACCCTAACTATTTGTTCAATAGTTCAATTATCTAAGTCAGTTTTATAGTCCAAACTACAATAGTCTTTGTTGTATAATAGAGAAGTCATTACCACCAAGATTACATAAGATTCTGACGAATCTAGAATTTACCTATTGTTTTAATAAGTCACACATGTATTACTAATGACCATAATAATTGTGCCGTTTATCAGTAGTGCGCCCAACTACCATAACTAGTAAATTGGGGTGCAATTACTAATTCACTAATGTACCTGAATTAGTTTAATAAATTTTAGGGTTTGGATCACTAAGCTCATTAATGTATGAATTTGAATAATTGATCGAGCTCCAGAAAACATATAAAAGGGCAACATTTTCTGAAGTTAAAGAACCACCTTCCATAACCTTTTCTTGTAAATAATTTATGTATTATATATAAACATAAATAGAACAAGCAAGTAACAAGTTAAGTAACTTCGAATAAATATATTAGCTCGATATAAGCCGCACAATATATAAGGCTGTTTTAGTAATTATATTATCGCCTATAATTGATTACTGTCTCGATTATTTGAATAACTATTAATATTATTTGCGTTTCCCTGGAATACACAAAGAATCTCACCATCTTATATTACAACAGTGTTATAGTTTGGATTTAGGACTAATTCTTTAACAGGACTATTGAATGAATAGTAAGGTCAATAACAAATATATAAGAACGTTATATATAGGAGAATTAAGGATTATTGCTTGTTTTTCTATTTATGTTTATATACAATATATAGATTATTTACAAAAAACGGTTATGGAAGATAATCTTTTATCTCCAGAAAACGTTGTCCTTTTATATGTTTTCTGGAGCTCTATCGATTATTCAGATTAGTACATTAATAACCTGACTGATTCAAACCCTAAAATTTATTACATTAATTTAGGTGCACTAGTGGATTAGAACTGCACCCCAATTCTCTAATCATGGTGATTAGTAATACACGTGGAACTTATTAAGACAATAGGTAAATTCTAGATTTACCAAACTCTCATGTACTCTAATCTTTTTATTATGCAGCATCTAATGTTGTAGCACGTGTATGGCTTATTAATACAATAAATAGCTCTAGATTCATTCAGAATCTCATATAATCTTGATGGTTATGATTATTCTATTTCACGATGAGAGGTGTTGTAGTATGGTATGGTGAAGTTCTTTGTGTATTCCAGGGAAGCGCAAATAATATTAATAGTAATTCAAATAATCGAGACAGTAATCAACTATAGTCGATAGTATAATTACTAAAACGGTCTTATATATTAAGCGGCTTATATCGAGCTAATGTACTTATTCGAAGTTACTTAACTTGTTACTTGCTTGTTCTATTTTGTTTATACATAATATATAAATTATTTACAAGAAACGATTATGGAAGATGATCTTTTATCTCCTGAAAACGTTGTCCTTTTATATGTTTTCTGGAGCTCGATCGATTATTCAGATTACTACATTAATGACTTGACTGATTCAAACCCTAAAATTTATTATATTAATTTAGGTGCACTACTGGATTAGAACTGCATCCCAATTCTCTAATCATGGTGATTAGTAATACACGTGGGACTTAATAAAACAATAGGTAAATTCTAGATTTGCCAAGATCTTATGTAATCCAATCTTTTTATTATGCAGCATCTAATGTTGTAGCACATGTATGGCTTATTAATACACTAATTGGTTCTAGATTCATTCAGGATCTTGTGTAATCTTGATGGTTATAACTATTCTATTCCACAACAAGAGGGCAGTGATTCAAGCCATCTTAGTATAGTGGTTAGTACACATCGTTGTGGCCGATGAAACCCTGGTTCGATTCCAGGAGATGGCACTCTTTTTGTAAAAAATGTAATATCCCTGATATTATTGTTTAGAAAAATGAGGGTTAACGATATTTTTCTAAACTTTTCTTTTTGCAAAATTTTACAAATATAGATAAAAGCAGGAGTAACCAACATAAGTACAAAAGAGCAACCAAGAAGAACAAACAACCAAGCAAGCAAGGAACAAGGAACCAAGGATTACATAGGTTTAGATATAGTATATAAGTGCGTACTATTTAATTCTAGTGAACTAAGGATATAGATGTATAGATATATAGGAATATCACATCTAGAGATATAGAAAGAGTCTATATCTTATATCTATCTAAGTGAAGTATTATTGTAATTTCAACAAGATTAACTGTTATCAGAAACATATAACCTAAGAGTTATTACATTAATATTGGTAATAATATTGTGGTTATAGTATTTTGATAACACTTGTGATATATTGTGAACTCTTTAGTCGGCAATGACGTTCTTGTTTTTCATGCTTTCAAATTAATAAACTTTATATCCTTCTATAATGTTGGTGATCTGTGTCGCTTCTTATCTATGGTGCTGTTCGAAAAGCAATAGTATCTTTGAATATTAGTGCAATATACTTTAGTGTATCAATACATAAAATAATATATATATTATAGATTAATAACTAACAAGAATTATTCAACGGATATATAAATCTATATTGAGGGTATCTAATAAAATATATTTACTTGACTAACTAGGCCAATAAGAGAATTATAATATATATTATTTGGTTTAGGTTCAAAATAGTCTAACCCTTAAACACCATTTTAGTAAGTGAAGCTAATGACTAGAATTTTTTATATAAAGCATGAGTTTTGGTAATATTACGTTTTTCATATTTTTTATTCTCTATGGTATTTTGTTATTCTCTATGGTATTTTGTTATTCTCTATTAATGCATAAAGGTTTTATACATAAAGGACTGAGAAATATCTTCAAAAAAAGATATAATAATGTATTTTTTTTGAAACATATAATTAATGATATTAAGATAACAAGATATACCACCAATATTAATATCTTTGGAAATGAGACAACAGAAATGATTAAACATTAAATTGTTAATATCAAATAAAAGATACTGGCTGATAAATAAATCAAGATAAATAGCTATTCCAAACTGGAGTGTAAAAATTAAGGCAATGAAAAAAAAGTAGAATGTTCATTTTATAAACTTTTTCAATGCATTGCAAATAATTATGTGTTTACTTTTTATATAAAAATTTAAAGAATGTTGCATGTAATATAAATACTAATATATATATCAAATAATCATGATAGCTGGTTTCAGTAACTTTTTAAGTGCATTGTCCCACAAACTATACTAAAGGCATAACCAGTATTCTTGTTTATTAGCCACCTAAATATTGTTTTAAATGTATCCTCTTATGAATTTTTCTTACTTTTGTGACAGTGTGGGTCTAAATTAAATTAATTACTGTTACAAATTTTAGTTTACTTTTTTTTGACAAAGATGTCACAAAAAAGATAAAATCTTATATTTATTGTAGATTATATAGCATATAAGTTTCAAAAACTTAGAGCTTACAAAGAAGAAAAGGAAACGATATTTAGTTAAAAATTGATTTTTTTAATAGTAGCAACTACAAGACAAAAAAGTAAACAAACTGACTAAATGGTACAAATATCTATATCTGGTGAAGAGCTTCCACAAGATGAAGTTATTAAAAAAAGTAAATTTCATTTTTTTAAAAGGAAAGGTACATCTAAAGCTTTACCGATTTATATTAGAAGAGAAACATTAACGTCAAACACTCATTCTATTTTAAATAAAAATGAAAAAAACCTTTCAAGAGAAAAATTATTAGATCCAAAGGATTTTCTTTCATATGCAGAATATGTTCAACCTACCAATGAAGACAATACAGGGGCGGCTATTTCCGACTCTGTTCAAAAGATGGAAGAAGCTCAAAAAAAATCAATATTAAATGAAAGATCAATAAACAGTAGAAGTTTTAAAAAGTTGATGCATTCATTTAAAGGAACTAAAAAATTTGCATCAAAGAACAAGAAAGAAGGAGTAAGTCAAAAAGAAGGGACACTTTTCAATATATTTTCTGGTGAGAATGACATAGATAAAAACAATTATTTAATGATAGATTCAACAAAAGAATTAAAAAACTTCAAATTAATCACACAAAACAATTTGAAGATATCAAAAACTTCAAAAAATAACTTGGATAATAAAGATTGTGGTCAATTGCAGACATTTACTAAGAAAGAGGATAATATTTTCCTTTCTGAAAATCCTGAAACAGGTAGAGAAGAAAGAAGTGGTTACGTAAAACTGATCAAATCTAGACCTTGTAACTGTACGTCACAATCACAAGGGGAAAATGCAATCGACATTAAAATAAACATTACAGAAAAAATGGGTAGAAATATTATCAATATTTATAATATGGTAGCAATTGAAAAGGCCTTACCTATACTAGATACATCAGCAATAGGTGATATATCAGAAGAATTGACTAGAAAAATATATATAATGTTACAATCTAGTTTGACAGACTATTCAGATAAGTGCATAAATTTTCAAGAATTGTTATTCAAAAAGGAAGAAAAGATTAAATTGTTAGAAACAAACCTTTCTAGAGTGGAACAACAATTAATAATATCTAAATCCTATGATGTTTTCTTAAGCGACAAAACAATGTTAAAAAAAGAAACACATAATAATACAAAAATTATGAAACCAGCAGGATACCAGACTAATACTCCACCCCGTAGTGAACGTTCAAATAAAAAAAACGATCATATATATTATAGTTTAAAAAACTTGGAGACAAAATATGATCAATTGTACAATGCGTATGGTTGTTTAGAAAATGAAAGTCAGCAGGTTAAAAATCAGAGTATTCTTCTAATGTTTTATAGAGATAAATCTATTAAATTTTTAGAATTATTATATCAACTTTTTGAGGGTTTACTTCATAAAAAATGTCTAATAAAATATCAATTATGTTTGAAAGAGTTAACTTCAAACTATTATTTATATAAAACCAGCATTGTGCTTGGATCTCAAATTGAGTCGACTAAATCAGAAATTGAATATTTTTTTGATGAAATTGCTACAGATGCACTTATGAAAAAAGTGGCTTCAAAACTTTCCTCATTAACGAACAAAACAAAAATATTAGAAGAAAAGCTTCACAATTGTGCAGAGATAACACCTTCTAGGGGAGATGAAGATACAAAGCTAAAAATAAAGGAACAATATGATCTTTCATATTGATAGATTGCTGAACAACAACAGATGACTGTATCTAAATAACGTAATAAGGATTGTCATTCCCTAAATCTAGCTTTAACATTGTAAAATTTTAAAGGAATAATATAGAAATTAACTAAATTATTTAGAGGTTTAAAATTAAATTATTTACACTATATCACTTTACCTCTTAAAAACTCTAAAGGAATTTGTAATAGGGATGTCTTTTTTTACAACAGGAAAGTGATTTTGTTAAATTCCAAACTCCTACATTAACTCCGTTTTAAAATTTTTAAATCCTTTCTCATATTAGTTAACTCCGAGGTTATAGGAAAAAAATTGACCTTTAAATTCTGCTATAAAAGAAGTATATAAAGGGTGCATGTCTGTAAAAAAGCGCATGTATTTCGGATTATTGTGGCACAGATTAAGAAAATCAAACGACGTAGAAATTATTGAATATTTTGAAGATGTTACACCCAAAGACTACTGAAATTACATTTAAATTGAATAATGGTGTTCAAATTCCGGCCTTAGGACTAGGTACTGCATCTCCCAAAGAACGAGCACAAGAGACCAAACAGGCTGTTAAAGCTGCTATCAAAGCAGGCTATAGACATATTGATACTGCTTGGTTTTATAGGACTGAACCATACATTGGAGAAGCAATTAAAGAATTAATTGAAGATGGTGTTATCAGAAGAGAAGACATCTTTGTTACTTCAAAAGTTTGGCCGGTATATTGGGATAATGTCAGTAAATCTTTAGATGAGACTCTAACTGATCTTGGACTAGATTATGTCGACTTGTATCTTCAACACTGGCCATTATGTTTTCAAAAGGTGGAAGATGTTAAAGATGGAATTCATGGAATTAAAGGTCTTCCAAAGAAAGGAGAACGTGAAGCATTGTTTGCAGAAAATGCAGATTGGATGGAAACATATAAACAATTAGAGAAGATTTACCTTGATCCAAATGACAAGAGGGTAAGAGCTATTGGTGTTTCTAACTTCCCAATTGAATATTTGCAAAGGGTTTTGAAAGAATGTGAAGTTAAGCCAACTGTTAACCAAGTAGAAATTCATCCACATCTTCCACAATGGGAACTCAAAGAATTTTGTGCTGAGAATAATATTCTATTGACTGCATACTCTCCATTGGGTTCCACTGGTGCACCAGTTATTAAACTGCCATTAGTAAAAGAACTAAGTGAAAAATATCATATGACAGTTAATGACATTTTAATTTCTTACCATATTAGAAAAGGTACAGTTGTGATCCCAAGATCTTTGAATCCTGTTAGAATTGCTAGTTGCATTGAATTTGCGCCATTAACTGAAGAAGAGATCACATTGTTAGATAATATTGGAAAGAAGGAGCCTATTAGATACATTGATGAATTTTTTGCATCATCTATTCCGGGTTTTACAGGTGAGAAATGATTGAATTATTGCTAGTTTTGACTTAATGAAAAAATAAATTAATATAATTATTGTTCTTGAATTTATATCATATACTATATTTAGGAATATGTTAATTTTCATAGAGATTTTGTGAGTGTTATATATATATATATACTTATAATAATACAAGATAATCTCTATATTAAGTTCCAATCTTTCAGGGTTTCACTTAGGAATAGATCACGATCATAAAAGAATGTGCCGTAAGTCAAAAAACCAATATTTTCATTAAAGTCTTTCAAAATTCTTTCCTCAGTATATTCAGGTTCTGTTTCTTGTGCAGTAAAAATTGAGCAGTCCGCTGGAACCTTTTTATTCGACTGTGGACACTGCTTATTACTGCAGTGGTGCATATACTTTTTTATAGTGTCAGCAGTAGGTATGTTTTCATCTTTCAAAAAATCAATAAAAAATTTTGTTAAACCGCTGAATATTTTGCAGGATTTCTCAGAGAATTCAGTTTGATCTATATCGGCAGATTCCAATTCAGTAATAGCTTTTTCCTTAGCAAGTTTTGCAACACGTGTCATTAATGTAAGGCTGGCTTCATAGATGTTAGATTTTTGCGCAAATGTATTCAAATACAGATCGTCATTTAAAGTAGATTCAGTGATAGTTTTTAATAAATGCACGTAGATATAATACCCTGCATTCCACTTCATATTTTCACGTATTTTACTGTTTTGCTCTTTCTCCAACATTATATGATATGGTCTGTGAAGTACTTCAAGTAACACCATATTGTCCAGCTGTGCTGTTTTATCGTTTAATCTGTCGATAATTTTAAACATTAATGCAAACACAGCGGTATAGAAAAAATATAAGCATTCTCTGTAAATAAAAGGTTGACTTTTAAGAGTACAAAAAGTTCTTAAAATCTTATGTGCATATTCAGTGTATTTTATTATTGATTCCTTTTTTATTTGTCTTAATCTTGCAAACGCATCTGAATTGTTTGCCACATTTGCTATGTTATCATCAATTAAAGAGATAATGAAAAGATTCAAAGTAATTAAAAGGGTCAAATATCTAAAATGATATGTGATAATATAACAGCATATAACCTCAAATTGAAATTCCGGTTTTTGTTGAGTATTTTGAAGAGAGAGAATCTTATAGTAATCTTTGAATGTTTCTAATCTAACTGCAGGATGTAGATTTTCCCTCCATTTTAGTAAACTCATATTAATTGCCAAAGTTTTGTCTAACAATTGATCAAATGATGAAGTGAGGATGCTTTGACTACTAAAACATGTAGCCATTACTTCATCCTCGTATTTACTGACATGGGAACCATAGTACGTTATTAGAAGTGTAAAATATTCGTAATGTGATGCAGCATAATCTACTGCATCTTCAAAATTTGACATTTGCTCATCCTTCTTATTATCATATTCTAATAATGTGTTTAAATCGCTTAAAAATATTTCTTTTGACATATAGGTAGGGAAAGTAGATTCATAAAAGATTAAAGGTGACATTGAAAGATTTGTTGCATTCAACCTATCCAGAGATATACAATACCACCATAAGCCTTTCGCAGAGATGAAATCTTTCTTTGAAAGGCCATTATAATAAGATTTTTTATGTAATCCTAATGCCTGAATGATATAGGTTGCCTTAGTAAAGATATCGAGCCCTAGTTCATTACTTAAAGTAATTGAAATATATTTACTCCAAAGTAATAGAGCCTTTAAGACATATATATTGCTCGAATGGATCATCACTTTATTATAACAATATGTGCAATTACTAAACAATTTTTTTTCTATAGCCTCCATGTATTCAATAGATGGCATGTGGTTATCCTTCCTGATTTGAATACTATCCTTTGAATGTAAGACATAAAATGATTGGATTCCAAACAGTACAGAGACATTAAGTAAAAAAATTTCGGGAAATTCCATATCTTCCTTATTGTAATATTTCTTCACCAAAATGTCGGTTTCTTCTGAGGTTACTATTGGCGTAATAAAAAATAACAAAGAGAAATGTAAACTTTCCAGGATCCTATTAGTTTTTTCAATATCCTCTGGTAGATCAAATAACATATGGTTACCATTTTGATCTTTCTTCAAAAATATATCGAAATTGGTCAATTTTTTCAATTGAATCATATACCATTTCGATATTTCATTAAAATGTTTTTTAATGGGTTCATAAAAATCATTTAAAGTTGAATTTGAATCTTCTTGGTTACTTTTATTTTTCTTCTTAAAACTATCAATTTTGCACGCAATCCAAACCAATTTATTTGATGAAAATAAAGTTGTTCTATATTGTTTGTATTTACACTTAGGTGCAAATTCAACATCAATATTTGGCACTTCCGTCCTAGAAGTGATATCATTGAGCAAACCAATACAATTAAACTCAATATCATTTGATAAATAAAGTTTCCTTAATAATTTATCGACAAGATGATTATTTTTTGTTTCCAATTGAGAAGATAAATTTTCATTTTGTTCAATTTTATCAGTTTGAACGTTTTTGTTGGTTAATCTTTCGATTCTTTTGGCTGCTGAATTCATTTGATCCCTCAGTTTCTTTTTCTTATTCTGTTTATTCCTTTCTAATATTAGATGGAAATTGAAAGTACATGGTCTCTTTCTTTTAATACAGTTATTACATTTACCAATGGTTGGATCCAATGGACCACATTTAATCTTTTTCTCTCTACACGTATCACATGCTCTATTATTTCTTTTGAATTGCTTGTAAGTAGAAATTATCTCCGAATTTATATTAATGGTATTGGACAACTCTTTTTTATCTACACGACTATTCGAAATGGGAATTTGAGAACTATTACCATTGTAGTTATCATTGTTATTGTTGCTGTTGTTGTTACCGATTGAAGAATTTAATACACTATTGAAATGATTTGAAGATGTCGAGACTTGAGTAGGGATGTAAGATGTTGCAAAGGGTGCGATAGTATGTTGATTAGAAACTACATATGATAAAGGTACCTGTTGTGTGAGATTATTGTTAGGATTGATCATGATATTAGTGCCTGTGTTTGTACCAAGATTAGAATTGTATGTAACAAATGAAGGTGACGAAGTGTACACATGACTTGGATACATTTTTATTTGATTTTGATCCTGCATGTGGAAGGATGAGGGGTTTGAGGATATGAAGTTATGATTAGTTTCTGCATCAGTAGGATTATGTTTAGCATTAATACCGTTAACGTTAATGTTGTTGATGATGGGTTTGATAGTATTTGGAATGTTATTAAAGAGGTTAAATGGGTGATAAGTTGATGCAATATCTTGAATATTATTATTGTTTATAGAATCTTGGTTGTTACCGTTATTATTATTGTTGTTAGTATTAAAAGTCAGCATATTATTAGGACCATAGTTGCAATTACTTATGTACATCTATTTGATCAGTGATTTCCTTTGTACGTTCTAAAGCTATACCAATTCTTGGATAACTGAGTCAGGAGAGACGATTGATATATTGATATGGTAATAAAGGTGTATAGTAGAGTATATTGTGGTATAATATAGTATGGTATGGTATGATACATGGTACAAATAGGAAGTGAGCACCTACAAATACAAGTTACACCCAATTTTCAGGATAATCGTTTTTTTTGGCTTTAATCTCCCTGCATTTGTCATATTGTCCAACTTTCGAGGAATGGTGTGATAATTTTCCGCAAGCCAAGACAAATGGAAGAAAAGAGGAGAGGACAAGAGAGGAATGGGGGGAAAGCAAATTCTGCCAAGACCTAAGATTGAATTCTTTACCTTTTGTCCCTCCTTTTCTTTTCTTGCTAAGACTTCCTACAATCTTCTCTCTTCTTCCAGTCTATTGGTGGTTCTGATTGCGCATAAGTCCCAGTTAATGCAGAAAGAATCGCCCGTGATTAGCCGGATAGATAAATAAATAGTCAGATGGACAGTTGGATAGACAGGATATAGGAAAAGAATAGGAGTTATGGGGATTAAAGATTTCATTAAGAATCCATTGAGTAAAAGTATTAGCAGTATCACCAAAGATGAAACTTCGAATTATTTGAAGAGTGATGAAGGTGATTTGCTTACTGTGGATGCTAAGAAATTGATTTCAGAAGAGATCAGACTAACTGAATCTATACATCATGATGAATGCGAAAATTGTTCAGGATTAGATAAAGATGATGACAATGAGGATGAGACCCTCTTAGAAGGAGAAAAAATTTTCTCCAAATTGGTCATTGATTGGAGTGAACCCTTGTACAATACTTCAAAGATACCAAAAGTCCATTTCATTGTTCCAACGTCACAACAAGATTGGAAACATGATGCATGCCAAGAGAAGCCTGGTAGTGTACAAGATAAAATCTCTAATTGGTGTAAGGCAAATTTGGAGAAATATCAAAAGGAAGATATTGGCGATGGACAAACTTTGACCTGTAGTGTCACCTCATTGCCAATAAACATCATGGATATTGAAGTTATGAAAAATACTAAAAATAATGTATTGATTTTACCTCATTTCTTGTGGATCAATGATCTACATTCATCTAAAGTAGACGAGACTTTAAATGGTTTAATACCCGATCTATTATCAAACAACTATGATGAAAAACAGTTACTATCTAAACACAAAAATCTATCGATTGCACATGAGAAGGCCTTTGTATTTATTTGTTCACATACAACTAGAGATAAAAGGTGTGGTGTTACAGCACCGTATTTGAAGAAAATGTTCGACAGAAAGTTACAAAAATATGGGCTATATAGAGATAACTCTGACCTAAGGCCAGATGGTGTCAATGTGAAATTCATTAGTCATATGGGAGGTCATAAATTTGCGGGGAATGTTCAAATATATCTTAAAGAGACAAGAACTTTAATATGGTTAGGTAGAGTCACACCAAAACATGTGATAAGCCTTATAGACTATCTGATTATACAAAAAGAACCTACACTACCATTCCCGGAGAAAGTCCGTTGTATTAAAAAATACAAATGGTGATTAGTAAACTAATTTGGAGTATAGTGTATATAAAATATATAGATACACTGATATATATATATATGTGTGTGTGTGTGTGAGTTTTATGGTTGATAGATTAATGTATTGTTTATATTATAATATTAGTTTTGTTTTATAGTTGTACATGTTTATATATGTTTATTCCATATAATTTATCTAAAAAAATATTTTCTTATAAGGTCAAACCCATTCTTATATTCTGTATATATTTATTGGCGTTCATGAATGTATCTATATATATATATACAGACTTTTACACGCTGATTATGAGTGGGGGTGTACATACATAATAATATATGATGACGGCTCTGTAAAGCTAATATAGCAGGCTTCTTTTCGTTATTTAAAGCAGTAAAGTGTTAAAAATATCATAGAATTTAATCATTTTAAACCAGCTAACTTCCCCTCTTAACAAAATAGAAGAAAAAATGGCAATCAGGCACTTCAGAAGACCTGAATCTATTAACCATACTAGTCTGGAAGAAGATACCAGAAATTTAGAGAAAAAGGCTGTTTCTCGAGATGGATTGGTTTTGTCACGATCTGTAAATGACATATTGGAAGAAAAAGATAGTGACAGCAGTGAGACTGAAAGTAAAAGTGGGAGTGAGAGTGAGAGTGAGAGTGAGAGTGATGCTGAAATTACATATTATAAGCCGATATTGATTAGAAAATCAGAGTCCTCTAAAGATTTGTTAACCAGAGAACCACCCCTCTCAATTAAAGATATTGAAAAGAAAATATTAAATCAAAGAATTGAACATTCTTTAACAGTTACTAAAAACTTATCACTAAACGAAATTAATATTGATCATAACTATACAACTACTGACAAAGATCTGCTGAAAAGAACTTTATTACTTAATGATGATGATACAATAGACCATGATTTAGAAGAAGAGAAATGGAAGGACAGACAACAATTAAGGCTGGATCGTGAAAGAAAGAAACTGGTCCAAAAGCAATTGGAGTTCGAAGAAAGACAAGAACGGCTCTTAAAGAGATCTATTGCATCAATTGTGAATGAGAATGATAACGACAATGACCACCAAATTAACAAGAGATCATTAAACCGGACAAAAAATATAGAATCCAAAAGTCATTTTGAAAAGAGAAAACGCATCAACAGTTTTAAACCACAACGTGTAACTGATACGACTTTCAACAAAGATTTACCATCGTCTTCTCTAAACAAAGACTTAGGAAAACGTAACGATAGTAATAACAGAAGTAATAGTAGTAGTAACGTCAACGAATATTCAATATTATAGTGGCTTCATATAGAGTGAAGAAGAATCGAATTTACTGTTACTAAAGAAGTTGAAAATTAGAAAATCCAACTTAAATTGAACAACAAAAACAGAAAGCATGCATATATATAAAAAAATATGCACTTAAATGAGAACTTATATAAATATATGTGGATACATATATACACATTTGTATGGACATTGATATAATTACAATTTATAGCAATCATTATTTTTAGTGTTATTTATTAGTAGTGTCCTGGAAGATTAATTATTTGAATAGATAATACCATATAACATACGCACCATAATTAATAAGATATTGGGGATGTCGTTAATTCCATTACCATCGGATTTACTAAGTTTTCTAGAACCTTATTTACCTCAAAATAAATCAAATCGAAAACCTTTTGTAACACTAACGTATGCACAATCCTTGGATTCAAGAATCTCCAAAGGTCATGGGATCAGAACTAAAATATCACATGAAGAGACAAAAAGCATGACACATTACTTACGCTATCATCATGATGGAATTTTGGTGGGGACAGGTACGGTATTAACAGATAATCCTGGACTAAATTGTAAATGGGTATCTGATAATAATAACAATGACGATAGCAACTATCAGCATAATAAAACTTCTTCCTTAATGATGTATTCGCCAAGACCAATTATTATTGATATGAAACAGAAATGGAAATTTACGGGATCAAAGATGTGGGATTTGTATAAGGCAAAACAGGGGAAGGCACCTATAGTGGTTATCCATGGTGAACCAAGACAACCTGAGCCTGACGTATCGTATATGATTATGGACTCTCCCACATTTGAATGGGAACAATTGGTGGTTAGGTTAAAGGATGAATATCAAATACAATCAATAATGGTAGAAGGTGGTGCCCAAGTGATTAATACATTGTTGTTAAGACCAGATTTGGTAGATTCACTGATTGTCACTATTGGACCAACGTATTTAGGTTCCAATGGTGTCGAAGTTAGTCCTAAGGGATCACTAGATTTGAAAAATATTAATTGGTGGAAAGGTATCAACGATACAGTTTTATGTGCTACGTTATCCAAAGAATAATATATGATTTGCAAAAGAAACAATAATCATATTACTGATTAATAATTACAACAGTTCAATGTTTTGTTGAAGTATTTTTTTTGAACAACTAGTTTCTATGAATAATTATATATATATACATACATGTATGTATGTGTATATGTATATGTAATTTAATTATTATGATACAAATATTAATGGATAATTATAAATAGTGAGTATTTTTAAGTTTTTGGTATATATTATTTCTTTTTCTTTCAATCCTTCTGATCTAATTTCACTAGTTTGGGTGTTTTTATCAATGGATGAACATCAATACACCATGTAAAGTGGAAAGGCTCTTAATATAAATAGAAATAGAAACCTGAAAATAAATCAAGTTAATAATTTATCTTCTCTGTTTCACATACAAATTCTGTAACTGGCATAACGACCAGAAGTTTCACTCTTTCTAATAATCTTTACAACTTCACCTCTTTTTAAGCCAAGGTATAATGCAACAGGATCAGCTCTTTGGATTCTAGGTAATTGGGATTCTTTTAATCTGTATCTTTTTAATAGTTCTTTTTTTTCTTCTGAACTTAGTCTAATATGTTTTGGGACCAATTCATGATGTGTAATATTGACGACAAGGGAAGCTTCATTAAATGTTTCAATAGTTGCAGGAGGTATAGATGGAACCAATTTCATAGCACTTGGAGTAACACTAGTTTGGTAAACAAAGATACCTGTTTGATAATTTTTTTCTTGGATATGGATAACAAAATTTTTCATAGTCTTCACACCAACTGATGGTTCATCACAGAATTCCACCCAAAGGGAACCCATATCCGGGAATTTACTGATAGCTTCTTCCGTTGGATTAGCTTGGAATGACATCATTTTACGTTGTGGTCTACCCATCCCATCACAATACTTAGCTTTGAAATCTTCTAGTGATAATTCAATTTCTTCTTGTGTAATGAAATAGCCTCTGTCCCTTACCATTTCTTTAACTGTTCTGAATGTTCTCCATAATCTTCTAACATGTCTTTCATTCTCTTGATCCATCTTGTTATTATGTTATGTTGTGTTATGTAGTTATATTGCTTGGTCTTATTTTATTATATTTTATTCTCTTTTATGTGTTGTGTAACTATTTCCTACCTTTATGCTTATACCAAATATATAATAGTTTTGGAAACAATGGTAATAGTAGTGCTGGTACGGAGGGTCCCTTAATAAATATATATCAAAACTAATACATCTTCTTTCATGTAGTTAGTTTCATCGTTCAAGTATTGCCCATCTTCCTCTACACTAAAAATTTCGAATTCATCAGATTTATTTTTATTGCTTTTGTCTCGAAAAAAGAAGTAAAAATGAAAAAAAATTTTCGAAGTCGTCGACAATGATACAAGATATTAAAAGATATTACTGTAACATTGGGCAATCAGACTTGCAATATATGGTTGATCCTAAAAATACAGTTTATCCCAATGATTCACAGATATAGACACTAATGTCTCATATAGTTTTATTTATTAGTAATAAATTTTTTGTTCCATTGTTTTTTATTATATTTACATGGTGATATGAATGATCTAATTAAAGAGATCAAAAGAAAAAGGACATATATATACATACATATATATACATGTATATACATAGATATAGATGCATATACCTTGTTATGCATATGTCGATAAAAAAAAGAAGAAGATTTAACGTTTGACCCAAGTTGGCATCTTTCTAGCCTTGACTTTACCTGGTTTCTTTCTCTCCACACGTCTGTAATCAGTAGTCAAACAACCAGCTTTGTGTAAACGGGATTTCCAAAGTGGATTAAATGCCAATAATGATTTCCCTAATGCTAGACTTATAGCATCAGCTTGACCAGTGCATCCACCACCGGAGGTTAAAGCGTAGATATTGAACTTGCCGACACCTTGGATGACTTGTAATGGGTACATTATGGCTTCTCTATCTTTAATGTTGACAAAATAGTCATTCAATGGACGGTTGTTAACCAATATCAATCCTTCGCCTCTCACAGTGTAACATTTGGCACTTGCAGATTTACGTCTGCCAACAGCAATTGATCTACCCTGGGAATCTAATTCCGGGATCCTATATGTACCATCATGAGTAGGACCCCTCTTAGAAAATGTCGATTTGTCTCTATTATATTTATCCATTTCCAATCTTACTTCCTCACTAATTAATTCTGGATCTAAGGAGTTTAGTTTGTTTAGATAATAGATTAACTGTTTATATTGTGTAGGTTTCAATCTTACCCCAGACCCAGTGATGTCTCTGTACTCCTCTAATGTAATCCAATGAACAGCAGTTTTTTTTTCTCTTGCCATTAGTAATGGATCAGATATATTTAACTTACGAGGTATTTTAGAATATTTACTTAGTAGATATTCTAATCTGTTGATGTTATTTTCATGAACAGGATTAGCTGAATAGAATGTTGGTAAAGTTGGCACTATTCTTGTTCTTGTCACATTTTGTAAAACTGTTCTCATAGAAGAGAATGATCTTAATTGAATGAACATTTCCCTACTATTTTTGTATGAATATGTATGTGTATATGCTTGTCTGGAAAAGAATATATTAATAAAGAATAAAATTACAAGTAAATCAATCAATCAATAAATGAATGCGTTAGACAGCACAAAAGGTTTTAGATGCTTACCTTTCCTTTTTTTTTCTTTTTTTATTTTTTTGAGATTTCAATATTTACTAATGTCCAACAACTACTATATATCGAAGCAATGGGACCCCAGTTACTCTTTCACAGTACACAAGATACATAAATCAGTAAAATAGCCTTTATTTGATCTTTCTTTACTTTTCCTCCTCCTTCTTTCTATACAGAAAGAGAGAGAAAAAAAGAAAGAAAAGGAAAGAAATTCCATTCGGAATAATTGCGGAACCATTTTCTGCCGAATCCTACAAAGTAGTAAACAAAAATAATATAATCATTTTGTGTGATTATAAAGAGATAATAGAGTCATATACAGAAGTCAGTTATTTGCAGTGTTTGAAATGGCAGATATTTCGGTACCGTAGATTAGTTGTTATCAGTGTGTGATATTAGTAGTTAACTGTGCAATTGGTTATACAATTGACTCAACTATGTGCTAGCAAAAAAAGAATAAAAAAAAGATATAGTGGTTACATCATCTTGTTTAATATATAGGGCATTTTCTGTATCTTTGAAAAAGAGCAGATTGCCTGTTTATATGAGAATAGTCGTATACACATTTGACAGACACTTTACTGGGGGAGCTTACTATAACTGCTCCTAGAACTCCCCACGAAGGACACCAACAAAACATCAACAAGAAAACGCCCAGGCAGTAAGACGAGATCACCAGAAGGAAAAAATTAACTAAATATGAAAAATATCATTAAAAGTAAATACTCATTATACATAAAGAGAAAACTTTATCCAATAACTATGAACTACATCAGTTTCTTTTTTCTCAAAAAAAAAAAATACATGACATTAAAAAAATAACTAGGAATAAAATACAAAAAATAATTAATTCACATCAGAATATCTTTTTGTATTCAACTTGCTTATTTAGAGGTGTCAACAACGTATCTACCAACAATTTGACCCTTTTCCATCTTGTCGAAGATTTCTGGTAAGTCAGATAATGGAGCAATGACGATTGGGGACTTGACTAAACCTCTTGAGAAGAAGTCTAAGGCTTCTCTGGTGTCAGCTCTGTTACCGACGTAAGAACCAACAATGGAGATGGATCTGACAACGTGGGAGAAGACTTCAGACTTACAGTAGGCACCACCTGGTAAACCGACTAAGACGACGGTACCGTTAGCTCTGACGTACCTGGTAGAAGCTTCGATAGCAGCTTCAGAGACAGAGACGTTAATAACACCGTGGGCACCACCGTTGGTAGCCTTTAAGATGTCACCGACAATGTCCTTAGACTTGGTGAAGTCAATGAAGATTTCACCACCTAATTCCTTGAATAACTTGGCCTTTTCTTCACCACCATCAATACCTAAGACTCTGTAACCCATAGCAGTAGCGTATTGGATGGCTAAGGAACCTAAACCACCACAAGCACCAGAGATGGCAACCCATTCACCGGCTCTGATGTTAGCTGACTTTAAGGCCTTGTAGACAGTGATACCAGCACATAAGATTGGAGCAACTTCAGCTAAGTCAGTACCAGCTGGGATTCTGGCAGCTTGAACGGCATCAGCAGTAGCGTATTGTTGGAAAGAACCGTCGTGAGTGTAACCAGATAAGTCAGCATCTGGACAATTAGATTCGTTGGATAATTCACAGTATTCACAGGCCATACAGGAACCGTTTAACCATTTGATACCGGCGTAGTCACCGATCTTCCAGCCCTTGACGTTTTCACCCATGGCAACGACAACACCAGCACCTTCGTGACCACCAACTAATGGTAACTTGGTTGGTAATGGCCAGTCACCCTTCCAGGCGTGTAAATCGGTGTGACAGACACCAGAGTATTTAACGTTAATCAAAAGTTCGTTGGCTTTTGGGACTGGAACTGGGATGTCCTTGTATTCTAACTTACCACCGTTCTTTTCGAAGATAACAGCCTTTTGGGTCTTTGGGATAACTGGAGCAGACATTGTTTCGATATGTATTTACTTGTGTGTATTACTAAATAAGCAAAGCTTGGTTTTTTTTCCTCTTTCAGACGAAGGAATTAACTAGCACAGAAGAAAGGCGAGATTCAAAGGAGAGAGTTGCGAAAGAAACCAAGACCCAAGAGATTTTCAAGATTTAGTTTAACTATTTATATAAAAAAAATCCAAGTTAATTAATTACGCAAAATTTAGAATCAGCAAGATTTATTGGTATTTTTATTATTATTACTACTTTACTACCCAATTTTTTTTTATTCCTATTTCTCTCTCCCCTCTACCCCTTTCCTATTCTTGCCACCCAGTTTGCAGACATATTCAACTCTGTGATTATATGACTCTCTATAATTTAATTTTCTTGGTGAGAATGATAAAGCAAGAAAAGAATCGAACATTGGAGATAATAATAACAATAATAGTAGCATGAGGCAATGTAAATTGTAATAGCATGATTGCAATTGAAAGTGATCATCACAATAATATTAGTATACGGATTATATTATCAATAGAGGATAAAACCAAACAAAGAGACTAACACGTTTTATTTTTCTGTGTAACAATCTGTTGATATCGTTGCATTGTTTCTATTTATTTTTTTTTTTCTTTTTTTTTTTTTTTATTTTCTTTTCTGTGTCTGTCGTCTTCTTCTTTTTTGTTTCCGTAATGGACACAAAAATGAAAACAAGCAGGAACTAAAACTTAACGAAAAAGGAAAGTGGACAAAGTATACTCCAATTGTACGAAGATTAAAATAAAAGAAAAAGCACTGCGACATCTTCAAAGGGAAAGAAAACGTGAGAAAAGGAAGAAAAAAAGGGGAGTTTGGAGAAAGGATTAAAAAAAAAAAGAAAATATCTGATCTCATAACATATGAGATTTTTTTTTTTTCAGACACGCAAGTTAGAGAAAATAAAGGAAAAAAAAAGATTTGGAACAGAAAATGAGAGGTAAAAGACCTACCATTTTATATTTGTCTTTCAAAAGCCTTTCCACACTGAAAGAAATCAAACCTAACCCGTTTTTTTATTATTTCAAAGACTATTTACTGAAAAGGTTATTTCTTTTATTTTTCTTTTACTAAATATATCTTTCGAGAGAACATATGTCTCAACATAACAGTAAGTAGGTTATAATATTAATAATAATAATAATGACTATTGGATTACAGAGAAATCACATGCGAAGATTTAATACGTTTTTCTAGAGTTTGTTACTTGATGTAGACAACTAGCTTATTTTTTAAAGAACCAATCATAGTTCTTCCAAAGACCGAGAAGTCTTATCCTTTGGAGAACATGATAACCCGGTATATGTGTGATTGAAGGAGAGATAGCTTGAAAGTAATACTCTTTGCCAATAATATAGATTAGTATTTACTATTTGATCCTGTGGTTCTCAATTTTTGAGGGATAAGCCTAATGATGGTTCTGTGTTGTATCCAGAACCTCATATAATCTGATAATTGGGTTCTAACTCTTTTGGTCAGATAATAAAATAAAAAAGAACCAACCCTAACTCATGTTTAAATTTGTCATAAAAAATAATCTAACATGAGATAAACCCTACTTCTCCCCACCATAAATCCTCGAAAAGATGCAAAAAAGTGTACTTCTCCATCTTTTCGTTGAGTGTCCTGAATATGTTGTCTTGTTTTTCTTTCCTTCTTGCTTCTACAAATAATTTATTCTGTTTTGCCTCAAATGAAGTTTACAAAAAGTATAATAAATTGTGGGGTAGCGTGAAACTTAACTGCTCTTTATTGTTTTGTTTTCTATTTTTTTTTTGTTTTTGTAATTGTGCTCTCAAGTGGAATCCCGTTCGTGTTTTTTCTAAAAAAGGAAATGGATGCTGTAAGATTCCACTAATTGTAATACACCCATACATTAAGAATTATTTAGTGACGAAAAACCATCAAAGTAAATAAGATAAGAGAATTTAAAATTAAAAATAGAACAGTCTAAAAGCTTATAGTTTATATTTTATGTTTTGCTTTTTGTTTTTTTGTTTTTTAGCTTTTTAGGGCACTTCATATTTCTAATTACCACATTAACAGCTACATAAATAAAGAATACTATTTTTTTTAAAAAGTTTAATCTTCTCAAGACTGATTAGCACAAAAGAATATGTATATACGGTTTGTTGAGTTTGTCGTCATTTATTAGCACTTTTCTTTTTTATCAAGGTGACAGAGATTGTTTTTTTTCTTCTTTTCAGATTGGCTTCATGAATGATGATAAGAATAAAATGTGTGTAGAGAAAGTGAGTTTCCAGATTCACATGTAGAAAAGGCTTAAATTGAATATTTGGATGAATGGATAGAATGAAAATAAATAATATTATTTCATAATATTTCTATATTGGCTTTCTTTACCTTTTATTTAATTATTGCATACAAGGGAAAATATTCTTGTGTGTGTAGGATATATAACTACCTTATTTGGACCATGTCGATCCCTGTTCTTGGATCCGATGTTTCTTAGGTTAGTAGTTTAGATAGTAACCCGATCAAAAAACAATTTAGAGTCCGTAATTTCTACTATTGTTTTTTTTTCTTAAATAATAGTGTGCAGTAATAGTGTTTTTAAAATACCGAGTATAATGGTAATCTAGCTCGAAAGATCACGACAAATTATTGGAAAGAGAAAAAATAATAAAGAATTTATTCCTTTTCTATATAATAGTTTCGATTTTCATAAGAAAAAGTACTAAAAATATTACTGAGCCTGAAGGATGTAACTATTAAGTAATAATAATATGGTACTTTCCATATTAACTATTTCCAATAGAATTAAGTAAATATAGATTGATAGATTTAAAGTTGTTCTTGAGGTTAACTATTAGAGTAAACCTAAGATAAAAGATAATTTGTAATATAATCTACTGAGCTAGGTTATATATATTCGGGAGGTTAATCTCGTACGACCAAAATAACGTTCTGCTTTTTTTTTCTATGACTGTCTAAATATAACATATATACCATAGGATCTCATTTATGGGAAAGTTATTCCATTCTTTTGTGGTTCTTTTGGTCTTACATTAATCTTATATTACATTTTTTATATATTTCATATATAGAGAAAGCAAACAAAACATAAACTGTAAATTCATCTATCTTGTTAATATATATCTTTGGTATTTTCTTAAGATAATATATTATTTATTTAATTACTAAATTCAAAAAAAAAATGTTTTAAAATTTTTCTTATTTCTAGTCTTTTCAAAATTAAAAAATTTTATACAAATCGTAAACAGTCAGACCACTGCCTAAACTGCTCATAAGATAAATAAAAAGTAAGAACAACTCAAAAAACACAACTCCCTCAAGAAAATAATCAAAAAGTTTCTTTTTATTGAATTATGCCTAAAAATATCATTAATAATCTAAATTAATAGAACCATGTGACTTAAAATTTATAAAAGCTTCTATTGAAAAAACTCAAAAATAAGAAAAGCTACACTATGTGTTATTATATATTGTATATTAGTTAAATAAAAAAAAAAGAACTAAGAAAAGTAAATTAATATAATATTACAACGAACATATTACTTTAAACAAACTAAAAAAATTTAATAATACCGATGTCCTATTGTTTATTTACATCAACTACACAACTAAATGCTTATAATTATATTACTTGTCTCAAAATGTTTAAAATTTGATAACTCTTGATACTTAGCTATGCCTTTATTTCTAATTGAACAAATTAACCAACAATGGTGTTTTTTGTACTATGAATAAAAAAAGGGGTTTACAAAACTCATTAAGGCTTTAAGCCCCCTTATAAATTTTCACTTTTCCAAACATTAATAATATGGTAAAACAAAACTGAAAATTTTTTGATAACATATCTTTAATACATCTTTAAATGTACATTTTGTATTCTTAGCGTGCTACCATTTACCAATCTTGTTATATTATTATTATTTTTTAAAACACAGTATTCAAAATTCAAATCATCTTTTTTTCTTTTTTATTTATTTATTTTTATTTTATGACAAAAAAACCCGTTATTATATATGTTATATATATATACATTCGTAGTTTTGCAAATATTCAAATATTCTAATAATTAATTTGAAAAAACTCTTTTAGACCTCCATTAATGAACGATTATTTACAAAATCAATAGAAATACCATCGTAGAAACCCGAACTTATATATAAGATAGACAACAAAATAACAAATGAACAGGTATCCGGTATATATAAAATATAAAAACGATATAATCACAAGAAAAACGACCGAAGATACATTGTCTTCTCCACAGGATGTAAAATCACTAGTTATACAAGCGTTTCCATTAGTCAAAGACAAAGGAAACTTACATTTATTTTGGTGTAAAAGTAAAGAAGGACCACTACATCGATTAATAAATGACCAGGATTATACAAACCTTGCCCATTGGCATACACAAAATTACTCTTCCTGTATAAATGTTTACGACTCAATAAATGAAGTAATATTAATTGACAAAGAAGAATGGAAACAATCTATAAATAAAATAAATGAATTGTTTGAGTAATTACATATCTTCTTTCATAAAAAAAATACTCAACACAAGCATAGCTTTAGAGTTTATAAATGAATAGTGTACTTTCTTCTCAGTTGAAGTTGGTGAATGCCCTTTTTTGTTTTGCAGTACTTAAAAATATATAAACATATAGATAAATATTATGTCTTTCTATCTTATTACTAATTACTTCTATATATTAATAAATTAAATAAAAAAAGGTATTTTACCATATCACACCCAAATCGTTTCAGACGAAGAAAAATTTTTTTATGAATTTTTGGAAATTTCACGTTCATTGAAAAAAAGTTTAAAATAAAGAAAACTAAAAGCAACAAGACCATCGACATAATTACAGCTAAAGATCCTAATAAAAAAGCTATCTTCTGATTATTTTATAAGCCTTAAATTACTCAAGTTGCATTTACTCATACAAAAAAAGAATAAGTCACCAAGCTTTTGAAAAAAATGGAAACTGACGCTGAAAAAAATATTGAAATTTGGAAGATTAAAAAGTTAATTAAAAGACTGGAAAGTGCTCGTGGTAATGGTACCTCCATGATTTCCCTAGTTATCCCACCAAAAGACCAAATTTCTATGATTCAAAAGAAATTAACTGATGAATATGGTACTGCTTCAAACATTAAGTCCCGTGTCAACAGATTATCTGTTTTATCCGCTATTACTTCAACACAACAAAAATTGAAATTATACAGTAAAGTTCCTCCAAATGGTTTAGTTCTTTATTGTGGTGATATTATCACTGAAGATGGTAAGGAAAAGAAAGTTACTTTTGATATCGAACCATATAAACCAATTAACACATCTTTATATTTATGTGATAATAAATTCCACACTGAAGCTCTTTCTGAATTATTAGAAGCTGACGATAAATTTGGTTTCATTGTCATGGATGGTCAAGGTGCTCTATTCGGTTTGTTAACTGGTAATACAAGAACCGTCTTACACAAATTCACTGTCGATTTACCAAAGAAACACGGTAGAGGTGGTCAATCTGCTGTCCGTTTTGCTCGTTTAAGAGAAGAAAAAAGACATAACTATGTTAGAAAAGTTGCTGAAGTCGCTGTACAAAATTTCATTACCAATGATAAAGTTAATGTTAAGGGTCTTGTTCTTGCTGGTTCAGCCGACTTTAAGAATGATTTAAATAAATCTGAATTGTTTGATCCAAGATTGGCCGAAAAAGTTGTTCAAGTTGTTGATATTTCCTATGGTGGTGAAAATGGTTTCAACCAAGCCATTGAATTATCTGCAGAAGCTTTATCTAACGTTAAATTTGTCCAAGAAAAGAAATTATTAGACCACTATTTCGACCAAATCTCCCAAGATACTGGTAAATTCTGTTATGGTATTGATGATACTTTGAAGGCTCTTGATTTAGGTGCTATTGAAACCTTAATTGTCTTTGAAAACTTAGAAACTATCAGATACGTTTTCAAGGATTCTGAAGATCAAGAAGTAATCAAAATGGTTGATCCAAAATCTACTGATAAGTCTTATGTTTTAGATAAGGCAACCGGTAAAGAAATGGATCTAATTGAAGAGAAACCACTAGTCGAATGGTTAGCTGAAAATTACAAAAATTTTGGTGCCACTTTAGAATTCATTACTGATAAGTCCCAAGAAGGTTCCCAATTTGTTACTGGTTTTGGTGGTATTGGTGGTTTATTACGTTATAAAGTTAACTTCGAACAGTTAATTGATGAATCTGATGATGAATATTACGATGATGATGGTGAATCCGATTATGATTTCATCTAAGAGAGTAGTGACATATAAGAAAAATATCCATTCTTTTCCTTTTCCCCCTTATTACTATTCCCAACTAGTGTTCTTTTTATCATTCTTCCAAACTCTTATTTTTATCTTATAAGTGAACAAACAAACTTACTGGAACAATCTGATCGATTTCTGCATTAATAAATATCTTCTAATTCAGGTGTTTCTATTATTGTTTTTTTTTGCAACTGTTATTACAATTTTATATATTACAAATCTACAAGAGTCTTTATATGTAGAACTTATAAACCATCTCGTAACTTGTATATTATTAATTATTCAATTATTTCTTTATCTTTTCTTAGACAAGTTTGTATTTTATAACAAAGGTATATGCAATTATATAGGTATCAAGAGATAGTTGTTTGTTGCTATACGAGCAGCATAATAATGCCAAGTGTTGCCTTAAATCTTTGGTTTTTTCTTTTTTAATACTTCTAATGCATCAACTTTATGGTGACCAACGATCGAATCATGTCCTCTCTTCTTAACTAAATCATCTGCAAGATTAACTAATCCCCCAGTTAAATATTTCTTTCTACGATCTTTACGAATTGGTTCATTTAGTAACTCATTCAATCGAGCTTTGGCATATTTCACCTCTTCTTTACTCATAGTTTTATTTAGTTTCTTTGTCTTGTTCTTGGCTAAAAATACATCCCTGATTTCATCATCTGAATCCACATCAATTCCTAAATCGTCCGCTGCCTTTTTTAGCCAATTATCATCTTTATGAAGTGATGTTGATGCAATATCATGATCAGCTAGTTGAGTGGCCAATTCATGACGTTCTCTTAATTGATTCACCACATCGACTTCAATGGGCATTAATGGAACAGTCTTTTGCCATTTCTTATTTTTAACAATTTTCTTATCATTTGATAATAATTTACGTAATTTTCTTAATGGTCCCATTGCTTCTTGTGGTGAACAAATCATAACAGAGACACCTTCATTTGAGCCACGAGCTGTTCTACCAGATCTATGTATATATACATCTGCAGTACGAGGTAGATGGTAATGGATTACATGTTGGATTCCAGGGATATCCAACCCTCTAGCAGCAACATCACTAGCTATCAAAACAGTTGGTTTACCTAGAACGTTATTGTGATGTGCCTGTTTTTGGTATCTTTCTAAATTCTTCAGACGACTTTTTTGTGTCATTGATGAATGAATTTGAAATGATGAAACTTTAAGGAAGTTTAAGAAACTGTTTAATTTTTTCACTGAATCAATTGCATTACAAAAGATTAATGTTTGACCTGGGTACATCATTAAGAAATAATAAACATATAAATCACGTTCTAAAGATGCACACTCAATCAAAGATTCCTTGATTTGTGAACTAACTTTATCTTCTGGATTTGTGTCAATAATAATTGGCTTAGATTTAAAATGAATTTTGTTCATCAAATACCTTAAGACGAGTTCCAATTCATCGTAATTTTTGCTATTTTTGTTATTTTTAAATTTATTTAACGATTGATTTGAAGATAACTTACTGAATAGATCCATGGAAAATGTTGCGGAAAAAATCATTGTTTGCCAATAGGATTTCCTACTATACTTCTTCTGGCGTCTTTGGCATAACAATTTTAAGATTCTTTCAAATTCATCAAAATGCCCATCTTGCAATAATCTATCCGCTTCATCTAATACTAAAGTTTTAGTCTCACAGAATCTATTAATCATTTTATCATTTTTTTCTAATAACTCTAAGAAACGACCTGGGGTGGCAACAATGATTCTACCACTACATTTATAATTCAATAATCTCTCTTGTTTTTGAATAGAGAGACCACCGGTTAAGGACAATATTGCACATTTATTATCACCTACTAGGATTTGCTCTGAAACCCTTTGTAAATGTCTAGTAACTTGTTGTGCTAATTCTCTAGTTGGTGTAAAAATGATACCAATACAACTTGTAAAATCGTTCTCCTTTAACGATTTTACTAAATTTTCTAAGATAGGAATACCATAAGCTAACGTTTTACCAGAACCTGTAGAAGCCTTACCCATAATATCTTCTCCCTTTAATGCATAGGGGATGGCTTTAGCTTGAATCTCTGTTGGTTTTGAAAATTCTAATTTAGAAAGACCTTGTAAGATGGTCATAGATAAAGAAGAATCAATCTTTGTCCATTCGGGTAATTCCATATCAACATCATTTAAATTAATATTTGAAGTGAATACATTTATGGTTAATTCATCGTTTGCACTTTCATATTCACTTTCGTCAACACCTGCCTCATCATTCATACCATCTTTATTTTCCTTCTCTTGCTCATCATCGGTCGATACAGCACTCAACTCACCTTCTTTAATATCATCAAAATTTTTAAACTCAATCAATTCACCTTCACTATACCCTTCATCATTGTCATTGTCATTATCATCTTCATCTACATCTTTATCACTATCATAGTTGCCTATTTTATTCAAATCAATTTCTTCATCTTTAGAATAAAAATGCGCTTGACCATTAATAATCTTAACATCAACACCTTCTATTTCCTCTAATCCATAAAATCCATTGAAATCGTCTAAAGCATCACCAATATCAACTTTCTTCCATTTCAAATCCTTTACATTAATTTCTTTTTTACTTTTTCCCATTATTAAGTATCTTTTAAAATAAAAGACAAAAAATAAAGTTCAAATCTAAGTAATCTGCTTACAATATTTGTTATTCAGTTTTTTTTTGCCAATTTATTACTCTTCTGAATATATATTGTTGTCTCTTTGTGTACACAATTATTAATTATCTTTATATAATCTGATATACAATTAATTAAGCTCATTGTTATAAAAAATTTTTTTTTTTCAAAATCTTTCTTTCTAAAAAATAAAAAAGAGAAAAGTCCTTTTAAGATTTTGAGGAAAAACCCACATAGTTGAATCAAACTCATCGATAGAAGAAAGAGTAAAATCAAAAAGAGGAGGAGAGGGAGAGAAGGAAAATATAACAGTTAAAACTAACAAATATATGTCACTGAATTGTCGAAGGTCTGTATACATGGCTAGGGAGTATGTTAAAAAGGGGTAAAAAAAGTATAACGGGAAAAACAATTGGTCCACATGGATCCCAAATTAAAAGAATTAAACCTCAATCAACAAGAAAAATAATTAGAAGATATCATTTTTTATTACAAAGGAAGCAATTATTATTAAGATGGTTGAATTTCCAAGACACATCAACATTAGAGAGGGATGACAATGAAATTATGGAACTTGTCACATTGAAAAGTCCAGAATTCATAAAAGGTTGGAAGATCCGTGGAGATAGTTTAAAATCGAGAGATTTGAAGATCGAGGAACAATTAGTCAAATTACCACAGAGTGGGAAACAGAATGATCCAAGTCAGTTATGTTTTTACTTAGGATACATTATGAAAGAATTAAAAGATGAAAGTGGAATAAATCTTTACCAGGAGGCTAGTAGAATGGGCCAAGATGCCAACCGTGGTGGAGATTCATCTAAGATACTTATACGATGGATCAAAGAAAATGAATATGATCTGACTGATTCAACAGCGTTAGAGATTGGCTCATTGAGTAGATATAATGTAATTAGTACGTGTGGGATATTTAATAGCGTGACTCGTATAGATTTAAATAATTATAATGATGAAGATGGGATAATACAGCAAGACTTCATGGAACGACCTATACCGAAGACTGATAACAATCGGTTTGATTTAATATCATGCTCTCTGGTATTAAATTTTGTTCCAACACCGATAGAAAGAGGTTCAATGTGTTTAAGGTTCTCCGAATTTTTAAGAAGGGATAGACCCTCGTATTTATTTATAGTGTTACCATTACCATGTATTAATAATTCGCGATATATGACATTAGATTATTTTACTGAGATGTTTGCATCATTGGGATATAAAAGGATAAAATATCATGAGGCTAAGAAAGTATGTTATTTTTTATTTCTTTTTAATGAAGACGGTAAATCAAATGAGTCATTTAAGAATTATTCAAGAAAACATAAATTAAAGGATGGTCCTTCGATGAACAATTTCAGTATTACTCTACCGTAAATTATAGAAAACAGATATATAATCTCTAGATAAAGAAATATACGCTATATATATATATACATTCAGCCTACATTACTCTATGTTGCCTTATTTATTGAATGAACCAATACCACTATAGATGATAACTTTCAAGACAGGACAAAACCGACCATTTAAAGCTATGTATTATAATACTTTACAGCAACAATTAACACCACAACTACAAATATAAGAGGAAAAAAAACAGGAAGGAAACAACGATACTGCTGCTGTTGTTCTTACCAGTCTTTTATTGTAAACTTGCTTGTTTTTATGCTTATTGTTTATTGCTAGTTCTATAGTTCATATGACAGATATCAGAGAGTGAGAAAAAAAAAATAAAAATAAAAATAAAAATAAAAGGGAAGACAACTCTTTCAAATTTATCACATATGTCCGTATCACAGAGTTCATTTCAAAATCTCTATACCACCTCTACCTCTAACCTTTCTATGTTTTAATTTTCACTTTCAACTCCTATCCAATCCAATCTAATATAGCCTATTCTAACCTAATATACTCTACTCTTATTTAAATTTACTCTTTATCAAAACAGTAATATACACATATACATACGCACACACATACACGCCCATACAAACATATATTTATTATTGACAAAACACTTGCCTATAGAAGGATCCGAATTATTTAATATTCTAGAATCTAAACACACCTTTTATTTTACATTATATTATATTCTTTCCCTCATCCTTTTTTTTTCATTATATGTAATTCAATATGCCTCCCTTATCTTCCTCCTCAACAAATTTTAACCCAAATCCATATATATGTGAAGGTTTATCAAAACATCTCTTTTTCAGTAAGATTTTACCCATCCTACCAGTCGAATCAGCCCTCAGAACATGTCAAGAAGTAGAAGAACAAGGCTCTTTTCTTCACTGTAGATCAATAGCAATCTGTGTTGCAATATCAAGAGACTTAAATCCCATTCTAGAAAATGCAATGGATTTAATCGATGAATTATTGGGTAATGAAGCATCTATTATATCTCAAGAGATCAACGAGGATACGGTACAATCCATATTAATTGTTACTAGACTAATGACTGACGTAATGGAATACTATTGGAAATCTAAAGAAAATAATAACAACAACAACAATTATAATTACAAAAATATTTCTATACAATCATTTGAAAAGCAGGAAAAATCAAAAATAAATGCTACAGTAGGGTTTGCTACCAATAGACCAAGCTTCCATAATGTCACTCCAGGCCCCTTAGATCCTGCCATTGCCACAAGAATAGTGAATCTATCAACAAGAATCAAACTACATTCAAAAACTTTCACTATCCTCAAAAATATGGCACTCTATAATCCCTCCAATAATAACAATAACAATAATAACAATAATCCAGATGTTAGTAGTAGTAATTATTATGGTTTTAACAATAATATTATGCCATCGTATAAGAATTATCTAGAAGAAAAAGGTTGGCCAAGTTATGCAGATAAAATTGATACAGCAATAGATTATATGTTAAAATTCGTTTCTGCATCAAATCCAAACGAATTTATAAAATACACACAAACTAAGATTATTACACCTTTAATCATTAACCACATCATTAACGAATCCAATGTTGTTCAGTATTTAGATATATTTGGATCCTTCTATCTCACACATAAAAATGTTGGTAATTTTCTGGAATTAGTCAAAAAAATATCTTCAAATATGAGAAAAACTGTATACCATGTACTATTCTTACATTACACATCTAAATCATTTTTATTTTGGATTATGGAAAGACCAAAGGAATATATTCAACTATATCAAAACCTTCTGCATTATGATAATGAGAATACTGATCCTTCAATTAAAGAGATTCCAAATACCATATGTGTTCTATTTGATAACATTTATTCAGATTTCAATATTTCTCAATATTTAACATCTCTGAGTGAAACAAATAATAATAATGATTCAACTAACCACAACAATAACAACAGTAACAGCGTTAAAAGTAGTGTTTCTTCAATAAATTATCATACAACCGATAAATTTACATCAGAGTCTCCTATGCCAATATTAATTAGAAATCCCACATCTTACAGTGTGTCATCGTCTAGTGAAGACCATTCAACCATATCTTCTTCTTTACATAACAGTAATGACCCTCAAAAGAATTATACATCCAAAAAGGAGGATTTACAAAATTTTTATCCGTTTTCTATTAAGATTGAAAATCCGGAAACCACAAATAAAAAATTTGGCAATACTTATGAATCTACATCACATTCTTTGGTAAATGTTTTGGAATTATACACAAATTTTAGTGATATTAACTTAATATCATATCAATCAATTCTACAGTTTTTATCTATGCTTCTTTTCCTTGATACTGAAGTATTTGTGGAGATTAATAGTATGAAATTTAAACATCTGCGGGATGCAACTGTACTTTCAAGTGATCTCAAAGATAATAATTCCATTAATTACACCTCTAGTACTAGTAATTTCCCTACTACTCCTAATAATAACCATTTAAGTAGTCCTACTAATAAGAAAAGAGGTAATTCTATGAGTCCCACATTATATGAAGATCGAACACAAAGTATTAAACATTTAACATATAATCTAAAAAGATTTACCTCATTAACATCCTCTTCTAAAAAATCTAAACAGATTAAGTTTTTGATTTTAATATTGAAAAATATAAATGGTGTACAACTTGCTTGTGATTCATCTCTCATTGATTCAATAAGCACAATTTTGACAATACTAACTATGGCATCTTCCATATCAATGTATAATTCAAAATTACCTTGTATTCAATTTGCAAAAAGACTATATGCTGTTATGGGTACCAATTTAAGTGTAGGTAAAGATTGGAACACCATGCCAAATAAATTCCTGATACATTGCCTTGACAGACATCCGACAATGAAGAAAAAATTACAACTGGAATATTTTGTGTGTGCATTACAGTTAGAACCGGACGAATTTTTAAAACATCTACATTTAGATAAAGAATTAAATTTTTTGGATTTAGAAAAATTATCAATTTATGTTGAAGGTTTTAGAATATTTTTTCACTTACTTGAGCAACAACCGATAACAAAACAAGTAGCAAAGAATGTATCGAAATTTTTCAAAACCTTATTTTATAAAACAGCTGATTTATTACTAAAGGAATTTCCATATTTTGATGAATCCGTGACTGATATAATAATCTCAATTCTAGATGGCTCAATTTTAGATAAGTTTGAAAAGACTAGAACTTTATCAACTGTTAATGTATCTACTGAAGGAACCCCATCTGAATATAACAATTCTGATGCGTCATCCACTATCTCCTCAAATAGTAAAACTGTTTCATATCAAGATAATAAAACATTAAATAGTTCATGGGATGTAGAGTCAATATTACTAACAAATTTTCATGAAATCAAAAAATCAGATCCAAATTCAAATAAAAATCAAAACAAAGATAATATTTCAAAAACAATCAATATGAACACTACTGATCAAAATTCAACTTCTTTAAAACCTCACACAGTACAAACTAAAAAACATATTCCATTATCGTTACCTTCCGATAAATCAACATCAAATCCATCAAGAATATCCACTAGAAGTCCGTCTAATTCTGTCTCTACTCACAAATTGACTTTTTCTAATGTCACAAAAAAACTATTATCTTCAAGACAGAATATCCAATCTGTGTCTTCATCAACAAAAGCACCTTCTAGAAAATCATCCAGTGAAACATTAGCAAAAGCTATCCCACTTAATAATCTACAAAGCCTACAATCAGTACATAGTAATAATAGTTCATACCTTGGTCAGCTATCTTCTTTATCCTTAGAACACATAAAGGATGCTGATAATGATTATGCACGGACTTTAATGATGATAATTTTCAGTATATTTAAAAGAGTAACAAATTACTTCATACTTCCTTCTAAAGACATAGATGCAGCCTGTTGGACTTCTAAGGAATTTAAAAATATCATCAAACCTATATTTGTTGGTGTTATGGATAAGAATATTGTACTACAACATTCAGCTCAGTCATTTATGGATGTATTAACCAATTATATTGAAGAAGCATGTGAAGATGCACAGGAAGATCAAATAAATGAATTTTATGTTTTAAGCAGTTATACCATTACCTTATTTTCTGCAGCACTATTTGATAGACATGTTGACAATCCAAAAAGATTAGCAATATTAAAAATTATCATAAAATTTTTAAGCATCAAGGCAAAATTAAGGAAAATTACTGCAAAATCAAAGAAGTCAAGCAGTATCATTAAAATAGAGACCTCAGTTTTCCCCATTGTTGCAACAACTCTAGGTGCAGGCCTTTTCACATCACTATTTTGCAATACAAACGACTTTGCCAATCTTCTCAAAGATGCATATTCTTATTATTATAATGGTTTAAAATTCTACAGAAAATACGTTGGAAAAATCAATAGTGTATACCTCTACAATATAGATTTTATTAAAACTATAGCAACAGATGATTTTACTGCTTCAGGCTCTGTTGCATTTCAGAGAAGACTAAAAAATAACATTGTAAAGTATATAAAGTTCCCAGATTCTGTTATCTTAGAGGCTATGAACGCACTATACAACAAATGGTTAGGCTACTCAAAATTAAAAGTTTTAACTCAAAAACAATTAAATGATTTTAAAAATATTGCAGGCATTTTAGCTGCCATATCTGGTGTTTTCTTAACAACAAGCCCTGAAGCTTTAATTGGATTTAAGAAATTCCCTTATTTAGATGAAATGAGAAAAGACATTACAGAAAAAATTGATTACTTTATAAAGTTGCAATGTATCTGGTTAAATGACTCAGAGTTGCTCATAAGAGAGATTGCTAAAGATCTTTTAAGTATAGAATTACATCCCCTTTCATACGGAATACTTTTCAAAAACATTAAGGTCAAAATCGATGAATTAAGTACCATCGATCTAACTTTACCAGATCAGGAATTATCATATATTTTATTAGAACAAATGATTATTATAATTAGAACAATACTGAAAAGAGATGACGATAACCAAATCATTATCTGGTATTCTTTGCAGTTGATAAATTCCATAACTGATATCGTAAAAATTGTTCAAAAAATTGATCATAAGTCGATTAGATATTACAAAGCTATAATTCAAATGTCAAAAATGTTTAACAGTCTCGAATACTCAGAAGAATTTCTATGCATCAAGAGCCATTTTGCTCTAAAAAATAAGTGGATCAAATTAGTGATATCATGGTTTGAAGAAACACTTAATAAAAACTATGATTTTGAAAACATATCTAAATCTCATAGAGATATGGATCTTAAAAAACGGGATTTGGATATATTATATATCGATACCTCAATTGAATCATCCAAGGCTCTTGCATATCTAACAAAAGATGTCCCATTAGAAGTGTCATTTGCTAATACAAAAGAAGAAATGAAACGATCTGCTAGTGTTGTGTTTGGTAACTACTTTACAATTCTACTGAAAGGTTTAGAAAAAAGTACTAATCTTGACAAATATCCGGCTGCATTAAAACACAAGATTAGTTTATTAAACAGTAATTTAATAACTGCCTTAACCAACCTGTCAATTGCAAATGTTGATTCCAGTTTTCAATTTACACTACCAATGGGTTATTCTAAAGATAAAAATATTAAGATTGCTTTCCTAAAAGTTTTCAGTGATATTACCAATAATTATCCATTTCAGGAAAGTTCCTCCAAATCAGCACAACAGAAGGCTGTGTCTGAATTAACTACAATTCTTCTCAAGTATCCTAAATTTGTTTATTTAGGTAGTCTTGTCTGTCCATCTGCTGAGATAGACGCATACGCAGTTGGTGTAATCAATGCCTTTGAAACGATGAATGCAGGTCATATTGTTGTATTGCAGTTAATCACGTCAGAAATACATAATGCAACAAAGTATTTGGATGTCCTAAGAAGAAATAGTTGTGCGACAAGAGCACTCTCCCTTTATGCAAGAGCTAAGGGTAACAGTTATTTGATTAGAACTCTGCGTCCAACACTTCAAGAGCTAATTAACAAAAAGGATTACTTTGATATAGATAAACCTACACAGGAAATAGATATTGAAAAATCTGTTAAACTTTTTTATCATACCTCGATAAATTAACTAATGCCATTGTTTCATCTATTTCCTACTTTCCCTCTGAATTAAGACTAATATTTCAAACTATATATAGAGAAATGAAGAATAAATTTCCCCATTATGCATATTTGTCTATTGGCTCATTTGTTTTTCTGCGATTTTTAGGTCCTGCATTAGTGTCTCCTGACTCTGAGAATATTGAAATATCTTTTGATTACGAATGTAAAAAATCTTTCCTTATACTTGCCAAAGTTATACAAAATATGGCCAATGGTTCTGACGATTTCACAAAATGGCCTGCACTTCAACCCCATGCCAAGACTTTAAAGATATATAATGATAGAATCAGTGGATTCATAAAAAATCTATGTGATACAGATGAAGTTTTTAAAGTACCTGAAAAGAACTTACCAACTTCAATATATTTTGATTACCATTTTATCCATAAGTTTTTATATGAACATGAACTTGAAATCAGAGCGAAAGCTGTGAATGATGTCCATTTTTCACAGAATTTTGAAGCACTAAAAGATTTTGCCAACGTTATCGATGGTGTGTTAAAAAAATTAGGCCTTCCAATGCTAGAGTTATCACATGATTTACCTCCATTTGTAAAAGAAAACATGGAAAAATATCCACAACTTTATGAATTTATGAAAAGACATGCTTTTAAGTCCTCAGTTCATAATGTCGTTGAACAATATTCACCTATACAGGAATCTATGTCTTCCTCTGGTGTACCAATATTAATAATATCTTGTAGACAACTAGCAATCAACATGGAGAGCCTAGAAGATTCAATATACAAGATTCTTCGTGCTTATACTAAGGTTTGGTCAAATAAGCATTGTCTTGTTCTAGATTGTACAAACTTTTCAACAAAACAAAACGAATTCAAAAAAATATGCACTATTCTTTTTTCTTTACTACCAGACATTGTTTTTAAAACCTGCATTAAGGTATACTATATTAATACAACAGATATTTTTATGAAAATATGGACTCAGCTAAGAGTTAGGCAGAATCCATTTATGACATCTAATATTCCGTATGAATTTTTGAATACATCTACAGATCAATTAATTATTAAAGGTTTGGGATTAACATCTGATCTGCTACAAAGTCTTGAGAATACACGCATATCATTGCATGATATTGAGCTTTATGATGAAGAAATACATAAATTCTTTCCAGTTACCCTAAAAATTGGTTATAAAGATTTCCAAATATTACATGAAGTACCAAAAGTTTATGAAATCCACAATTTAAATAAATCAATATCAGTGCTATTAAATGATGTTTTTAATTTAATCGATATTTCTGTAGTAAATGTGTCAAATGTTACTGGCCGTCAAAATGAATTTACAGTAAGTTTTTTTGATGGTAATCGGTTAATTTTTTCTAATGCTAAGTATCTAGAAATTATCAAAATGTTCTATTACGCAGAATCCAAAGTCGATAATGATTATACTGTAATCAACTCAGAAATGATCGAGAAAAGAAATAAGAATAAAACTAATAGAGATGAAATCGTTGCCCATCTTTGTTTAGTAATATTGGTTGGTTTATTCAGTGATGATGAATCCATTAAGAATATTTCGTATAATTTGTTAGTTTCAACACAAAATGCATTTCATCTTAATTTTGGTACTGTGTTTTATCATTCCTTGGAAGTTTATGTTCCGCAAGATACTACAATGTTTCTCTCTCTTATTACCCAATCTTTATGTACTAGTTCTCCTGAACTAACTCCCTATATTTGGAAATATATTGTTGGTGGATTAGAGAAGGGGGTAGTTAACCATAAGGCTATTCCTACTGTGGTAACTTGTTTATCATATTGGATACCAAATATGTATGATTCGTTTTTTAATTTTAGTGACCCAACTGGTCCTGAAGTTTTTTCTCATATTATCCAAGGTTTGATCCGTCTCACATTTAAAGAATCAGATTTCACTGCTGTATACATGCATCAAATTTGGTACAAATTTACAATGGATGTAAACTTAGCTGCATTGGTTGTAGATGAAGTAATTAATCATGCACTAGAGAGAGACTCTGAGAATCGTGAATGGAATCAAGTAATTACCCTATTAACAGGCTTTCCTACTGTTGAAGTGACAAGCCAAGTCCTTCATAGATTTATGAATGTTATCAAGATACTGCTACCATCACTAACCCTAGAATCATACAACCATAGCTGGTCAGAATTAAATATCCTATCTAATATTTCCATTCCTTTATTTTTTGAATCATCATTACTAACTCAAATGTATTTACCAGAACTCCTTTATGTGATATCTTTACTAATAGATACTGGTCCATCTGGTTTAAGATTAACGCTACATAAACTTTTAATGAATATATGCCATTCTTTAACAGTTAACGAATCTTTGGACAATGACGATAGAGAACATTTATTATCAATCTCCACAGCCTTTTCACACCAAAAGCTAAATTTAATCTCAGGTTTTAGTCAAGAAAAAGGTAGATGGACCCCACTTCTTAATACTACATCATTTACAAGCAAAGTAAATTCTCTGGAAACATTCACTTCTAATATTATTCTTTTGATGGAGTTCAGTTCAAAAACAGAAGCATCATTCTGGAAAACAAAATTTAAGAAATATATTCTGGATGCAATTTTTAACTATAAATCATTCTTATCTGCAAGAGCCATGATGATATTAGGTGTCATGAGTAAAAAAAGCTGCTCAGAAGCACTTTGTCGAGATCTGTTATCTGAATCAATGCAAATTTTTGCTATTCCTAAAATAAACGAAGAAACCATGTTTTTAAATATCGCACATACCTTCGCTCTGGCTAAATTGGTGGAAGGCATTGATCCAACATTACCTATTATGAAAGAAATGTTTTGGCTTGCCACTTCACTTATTGGATCTCCTCATCCTGTTGTGTTTGAAGGTGCTTTGATATTTGTTACCAATTGTTTAAAAAAATTATATTCGATACACTTTGAAAGTTGTGAAAAGATGAGCCTTCCATCAATCTTACTCACAGAAAGAAAGTTTGCCAAGAATCTCCTGGACGAGATAGATCAAGGTTTAAATATTGAATGGACATATGCCAATTTCCCCCATATAATATCTTTTTATATCATTAGAGGTTTATCGATTCCGGTTATGAAGGGAACAACCCCTTTCTGCTTGAAATTACTTTTTAAGAATTCCTTTAAAGAATATTCCTTAAATTTAAATAAAAACCACTACTTGGTGTATTTATACCTTCTTTACATATTATCTTCCCCCGAAGAATTTCAAAATATACTACAAGAAGTAAATATGAATGAAAAACTGATAAAGCTAGATAGCCAAAATAAAATTCCACTATGTTTGGCCGACTGGATATCTGGACATTCGTGTATTTCAGCAGTAGCCTTCTATCAAAGTGCAAAACTATTTAGTCTTCCTTTATCAGATGAACCATGCAAATATAGATTTTTACTGATAGTAAAGTATTTACTCGAAAAAAATCCAGAACGCGTTTTTACATATTATTTGATAATAAGAAAGGAACTAAGAAGAATATCTTCTCTAGAAGAGGGGTCAGAATTAGTATTAGTGTGTTTTGATATTATTAATCTACTTGTAGCACGCCCTGAATTTGACCAACAAATCAAAGATGTTGAAAATTATGAAAAGCTTCTAGAAGAGCATGGTTTGAAGATGCTTACTGACCATGAGTTACTTGCTTCAACTGCAACAAAATTGGATAAGACTTACAGATATAAGGCTGACTTTCTTTACCAAAGGAAAAGATTAATAACAATGATTCTTGGAAAAATGACAAACCATAATATCTCATGCTAATTATTTTACTTCTCAATTCTTTTTTAATGAAAGGTCGTCAAAATGAAGTGAAAGTTAGCATTCATCTGATCTATGTTAAATAAGAAAAGTATTTAATATATAGTAAATTGATAATAATTATGTATCGTTTCTTTCCTTTCCTTCTTGTTTCGCATTGTCATACAAAATTAATTGACGACCATTTAAAATAGGCCTTGTAGAAAAAAGAAACAATTTAAGTACGTATAGCAGGACTAGAAATATATACCGTAAAATCTTCTTTTATAATCTAAATATTTTTTCTCTATATTTCTTATTCGTTTCATTTTAAGCAATAAAGTTCCAAAAATAACTACTAATAAACAGACTCATGTATCCAATTCGACAAATCAGATTGCTGGTAACTTATTGCTTATATACTACAACTATTTTATTGACAACAAATTTATTCTTCCTCAATAAAAACTTTTTGTATATCGAAAGAGTATATTAATGGAATAAAATAAAAAACACCAGAAAAAAGATAAAATTACTGATATGATCATTGTTGGAAAATGAGAGTTTATTACTGTCATTTTCATAAGAATTATTTTTAATTAGTATTTCTGTATATTATGTGGTGTACGGATGTACCATAATATCAGGAAGACATTTTATTTTTCACCAAATATGTTTTTCACAGATGTGAAAAGAAATGAAAACTCTAAAAAAAGATTTATAGTAAATTCAAGAATGCATACTGTATACACTATATAATAAGTATATACATGTACTTAGTACAAAAATAAAATAAGCATCTATAACTTAATGATGTCTACCATTACCATGGACGCTGAGCGCTCCAAATTCCAACGCATATTATTATTATTAGTTACAATAATATAATTGAGGATTATAGAACATTTAGGACAATAGGTTATGGTGGCGCAGTAACAGAAATGTGTGAACACGCTGTACAAAATAGGTGGCAAATGGACACGTTGTACTTAAAACACAATAGATAACTTTAGATTCAGATAGAATCTTACGTAATCTCGATGATGTTACCTCTTTATTATACAGCAGGAGTTGTTGTGGAATAGAATAATTATAACCATCAAGATTACACAAGATCCTGAATGAATCTAGAACTATTTATTGTCTTAATAAGCCATACATGTACTACAACATTAGATGCTGCATAATAAAGAGATTAGATTACATAAGATTTTAACAAATCTAGAATTTACCTATTGTTTCAATAAGTCCCACGTGTATTACTGATCATCATGATTAGAGAATTGGAGTGCAGTTCTAATCCACTAGTGCGCCTAAATTAATGTAATAAATTTTAGGGTTTGAATCAGTCAGATCATTAATGTACCAATCTGAATAATCGATCGAGCTCCAGAAAACATATAAAAGGACAACGTTTTCTGAAATTAAAGAACCACCTTCCATAACCGTTTCTTGTAAATAATTTGTATATCATGTATAACAAAAGAGATTAACAAGCAGGTAACAAGTCAAGTAACTTCGAATAAATATATTAGCTCGATATAAGCCGCTCAATATATAAGACCGTTTTAGTAATTATACTATCGACTATAGTTGATTACTGTCTCGATTATTTGGATTACTATTAATATTATTTGCGTTTTCCTGGAATACACAAAGAATCTTACCACTGCATAACATAATGTTATAGTTTGGACTTAGGACCAATTTTTTTTTTTTTTTTTAACAGTACTATTGAACGAATAGTAAGGGCAATAACAAATATATAAGAACGTTATATATATCTAGGAGAATTAAACGATTATTGCTTGTTCTTTTTTGTATTATACAATGTGCTACATATTTATAAATCAACCAAACATATAAATTTAGATACCAAGATACTGGTCCTTTATATATGAACTATGGGTTGATAGTTTCTTATTTGAGGTTCTGTAACGACTGTCACCGTAGATACATTTCTCCTTAATTAGCTATTTAATGTTTCATGAATGTTTCATTTTGTTACATAGTATTCAACAATCATGTGGGATTTACCAACAAACCCTAAGTCCTATAAATCCAAACTAGAACTTTTCTTGACAATCATCACAAAACCCTAACAATATTTTTATAATCATAATATCAAGGTTGATCTACAACACATAACGAGGGTTGTGCTCTCGGTAGCCAAGTTGGTTTAAGGCGCAAGACTGTAATTTTAGTAGTAATCTTGAGATCGGGTGTTCGACTCACCCCGGGAGATTTTTTTAGTAATTTTTGTAATTGTAATATCCCTGATATAACTGTTTAGGGTTTGTTTAGAAAAATGAGGGTTGACGATATTTTTCTAAACTTTCCTTTTTGCAAATTTTACAAACATAGATAAAAACAGGAGTAACCAACATAAGCACAAGAGAGCAACCAACAACGAAAAACAACGAACAGGAAACCAAGGATAACATAAGTTTAGATATATAGTATATAAGTGTATAGTATTAGGTTATCTTAGATTAGGGATATAGATATATAGATATATAGGAATTTTACATTTAGAGATATAGAAAGAGTCTATATCTTATATCTATCCAAGTGAAGTATTATTGTAATTTCAACAAGATTAACTGTTATCAGAAACATATCACCATAAGATTGTCACATTATAACATTTTTGAAATATATTGTAGTAAATGAACACCTATTATGAGAAATATAGGCTTCTAGAATGCTAAAATAAGTAAATATTTCTTGATTAATTGTCTATACATGTTGCATAAATTATACCCTACATGAGGAGTAAACTAGCATACACAGATATACAGATAAACAAACTTTTATAAACAAGAGAAACAAGAAAAATAAGAACGTCGTCGTCAACTAAAGAGTTCATAAGATCATTTATATTGACATCAGGATTTCATATGTCGCAAATGTCAACAATAATTCACATAGATAGATATATGATATAGGTTCATTCTATATCTTGAGATGTAATACTAATGTATCTACACTGATAGAATTAAGTAATATTTATTGTATGATTAATTGTCTAGTTTATTCTTGGTTATTCATTTTCTTATCTTTTGTTCGTTACCTTTGCTTTTTATATTAGCATCTTTTTCTTATAACTTCTTTATATTTCCATTAATAAGTTTTGTTTGTAAAATATGCTAAAAAGAAGAGTTTAGAGAAATACTGTAACTATTATCTTCCCAAACCAATAATCAGAATTTAAACATATCAATATCTCAAATATTAATACCAATAAAATATTATGAAAGACAGAAAACGATAGATAATTTACTGAATGTTTGTAATGGAGTCTATCCTTATATTGCTCATCATTTATCCGTTATTGATATTTATTTTCTTTTGTTTTTTATAGTATCGGTAACTCTTTCTATTTAAATACTATATTATTTTTTTCAATTATTGTTGAATACACTTCTTTAAACATGATTCTATAAGATCCAATTTGATAGGGAAATAAAATCTCCATACAAAAATTAATATTATCTCTAAACGTTTCAAATAAAAAATAAATCACTAAAGAAATGAAAAGAAAAAATTTTTGAGTTAACGTTAACAGGATAATAATAGATAACATAAAGTCCAAAAATAATTATTTTATGGATTTGAATACTACCTTAATAATTTTATTTATAATATATATTTTTTATTTTTATTTTCTTCTAGTTTTTTGTGTCTCAAATACTTTATAGAAACATACAATCGGTGTACCCCTGTAAGTCTTTCTAACCCATCAATATATTACTATATGTAAAGAATATAACTCAAGTAATACAGATTAGAAAAATAAGAACAGAATCCTAAACTATCGTTACGTAAGTAGATACTTAACATTATTGTCTATAATTATGCCAAAAAAGAATAGCAAAAAATAAAAATTATAAAATAAAATACAGACAGATTCATACAGTAATACCTAAACGGAGATACTGTATCGTTTGAGATTTCGCAAATGATAGCTAATCCATACCCTCAGGAAATAAGTAGTATTTGGAAACGTAGACACCTATTGACAATTTTTTTTAGCATAAATCCTATTTCTTTACTTTACTTTTTTATATTACAAATGTTGTCGTTTTTATCAACTACAGAAGTATTCTCCTAAACAAATAAATATTGGCATAAAGGGAAAGGAATACTACTCTATTATTAAAGTAGAAACCTCCTTTTTTATATGTTATTTTATTACTTAAATCTATACTTGAGAAAGGAAACAAAACAGAATCAATTCAAAATAGTAGAGTAACCCATTAACTACAAACTATCCAAAACCATCACGAATGTCATATAATACTTAAATAAATTGTGTACATTATACATATATAATAAATAATCAATGTTGAATCTTGTTATCTGTTACATGTTTATGGCCTGCAACTTCTTCATAATTTGGTAAATCTCCCTTATTACCATCACGTTCTAAATCAATGTTGAAATTACCATTGTTTAACCCATCAACATTAGATGCCAATGGCAATTGATCTTCAGTTGCAACTACATTAGAAATGGATACTGTGGTAGATGAGCCATTGGTATTATTATATGGTCTTTGAGTTGATGTCTCATAAATAACATAAAAGGCATGAATAATGGCGGGAAAGAAAAAGATTAAAAATAACAATAAGTTTAAAAGAAAATCTCTTGAGAAGAAACCCTTTCTAATAATTACCGCGACTGGTGGTATAAATATACTTAAAACGATTAATATTAAATCATCCTTGTTTACAGAGTATACATGTGATTGCATCTTGTATTTTTTAATAATATTTTTGTTTTACAATAACAATCTTACTCTATAACCATAATAGGAAAATTCCCATATATTATAATAAGAATAAGTTTAAGAAGAGAACAATCGTTTGTGACTTATTTTTTGTGCTCATTATTCCACCCTCCAATATATATATCTATAGAATTCTTCCTTATCATAGTCGGAGATCTAAAAAATACTCACGTATGAACGACAAAAAACCTAAAAATCCAAAAAAATAACAAAAGAACAAGAAAACAAAGACAAAACAAAAATACAAAATTCAGAAGAAATTTTTCCGTCTCCAAGCCCTTTTAAATGCTTTATTTCCATTTTTGGAGTGAAAGCGCCTCTATTACCTAAATAGGTAATTCTGCCGCAATTGTGCACTCTTTAAGAATTTCATAATAATCGTAATTATTACTACAACAAATAGTTCCCTCATACTAATAATACACAATTCCTAAAAAAATACAGTATGGTATCTATACACTCTATGCAAATATATATATTTATTATATCTACATATGGATAAAAACACATGCACCCACCCGTCTATATATCTACGTCTATATGTATATCCATATTTATATGTTCAAAATTTTTTATAAACAAAAAAAAATCATAAATAGAATCAAAAATTGTAAGTTAGTTCATTAAAGGACATTAAATATTTATTAGAATTATCTTATTTAATCTATTTGTTATGCCTATTTTCCTTCTCAGCAAACTGCATTGATATTTGTTAGTGTAGCATCATCCATTATCATCATATCTAGTTCTTCTTGTGTCAAATCATAAAGACTGTATTGCATTGATGCCATATTATTATTATGGCTGTTTTTGTTTTCATTGTTATTACTACCACTGCCGTTATGAAGTTGAATATTATGAGAATTATATTCCATGCTTTCATAACCTTTGGCCATATATTCTTCAACCTCACAATATGGTTCTGAGTTTGCATTATATATATTGTTTATATGATTTATGTATCTTGTTTGATTTAACGGTGTGGGTATTGGAGTCATAAAATTTCTGGAAAAAATATTCCTATTATTATGACTATTACTGTAATTATCGTCATTTCTATTTTGATATCGATATTGTTCTTCCATCGGATTTTGTTTCAGTTGACATACTTTATTTTCCATATATATAGACGAAATTGGTGATATTGGTCTACCAGTAGAATCCAATATATTATTTTGATTTATTTGGTGTGAATATTTTTTCCTTTTAAGGGTTTCTGGAAATGGTGATTCCAGTTCAAAATGGGAACATGCTCTTTTTAAAGTTTGTGTTTGTTGGTGTGAAATCATAACTGAATTGAACTTATTATTGTTATTATCTGAAATAATTATTATGTCTTGGATAATAAACGTATATATATTTTAAAATATATGCTGTTGCTAACTTCCCTATAGCCTTATATCCAATTGCTTCCTACTTATGAGATATTAGCATCAATTTTTCAAGCTATATGAACTTTACAACACACTTTAAAAACTATAATACATCAAGTGATAAGTATGACTGATCTAATTGCTTGCATTTAAGAGAAAAATTCTTATTTTTTTTTTATTTTTAATATGTGTGCTATTTCTACCTCATAGTAGAAAAAAATGAAAAAAAAATTTTATTTCTAAAAAAGAAAAAAACGAAAAAAAAAATAAAAAAAAGAAAGAAGTCACACCTTCGATCACCAGATACGAATATTAAGAGAAATATATGCGTATGAGGACGTTCGAACACAAAAAAAATTATTTATCTAACCGTTTTGGAAAAAAAACAGGCTACCCTTACTGAAAATCTCCTAATGAAGAGAATCGCATCGTTACTCTGAAATATTTGAAAGTTTCCTGATCTGGAGATACTGTTACTTGTTTAGGTAATAGTGTGTGGGCATTTTCCTGCAAGATTCACAAACTTTTCTATTGTCTTCAGCCTTTTTTTATTTATAAACAAACAAACAAACACAAAAAACAATAAATGGTAAAAATATTTTACGTTCTTTCGAAATCTATGTTGCTCAAGGCTTGGGGGGGGGGGGGGAATCATAGAGACATTTATTTTTGTATTATACTATGAGAGACGACACTTCAGCAAACTCCTTCTTTAATAACCCTATCGTCTTTCTCTAACGGCTCATTGCGAAACTGCAACTTCTGCCATACCATGGGTTTACCGCTTTTGCAACAAATTTCTTCTTCCTCTCTTTCCTCTCTTTCCTCCTGTTTATTTACATCTTTTCTTTCCCTTACATATTTTTCTTGATTTTTTTTATATCACTCATACATAGTAACATTTTGTATATCAGTTCTGTAGTTTTCTTATCCTAGAATCAATGACAACACAATTCCTGATATAGTCCATCTAATAAGTATAGTAATAGAAACACAATTCACGTACAAGAAAAAAATAAAAAAATATGGCATTATTCACCAAGATATTTTTAAGATGCTTCACCTTGCTTTTCCTAGCAGGTAATACCTTACTATTAATTCTTATCATCTTATCAGGGTCCATGACTAATTACCCAATAGATAGATTGTACTGGGTTCAAGGTGATACTTCCGGAATTCCAAATGCTGCAAATACAACAAGATGGACCTTTTGGGGTGCTTGCTCCATATCCAATGGTATAACTGAATGTGGTGAACATTTATCACCCGCTGCACCAATTTCTCCACTAGACAATTTTGATACTAAAGTTAATGTTCCCTTTAAGTTTATTTCTGATAGAGACACGTACTACTATTTATCTAGATTCTCCTTCTGTTTCTTTTGGATCGCTTTAGCATTTATTGGTGTTGCCTTCTTATTATATATTTTAACTTTCTGTTCTAGATTCATTTTACAAGTTGTGATGATTTTATCTATCGTTGGATGCATTTTCAATATGGTAGCTGTTGTATTACAAACTGCAGTCTCAGTATTGGCCAGAAATGCCTTCCATGATGCTGATAGAAAAGCTAATGTAGGTGCCCCACTATTAGGAATTGCGTGGGCGTCTTTAGTCGTAGCTTTCATTGATATGTGTTTAACTATCTGCTGGTGGTGGAAGGCCAAAAAAAATAATTCCTACAATTCTCCACTAATCAATGATGATCCAGAAATTGGTGGATTTTTCCATAGAAAGAAGGATTCTTTACCAGTTCCTGAACCTCTTGAACCATACTCTGTTCTATCTCCATCTCCTGTACCTGCGAACCCATCATACAATAATGATAATAATTTAAATGTGCCATATCTAGAAGAAAATGCTAATCAAGAACAACTAATACCTAGTGCTAGTCCAGCTTTGACTGCTTCTATTCAACTACCCACCCCAAATCAAGGCTCTATAGAACAAAATCCGCATAAAGGAATAAAATTCTTTACTGTAAGAAAACACAAACAACATATGAAAGATGATGCCTCTGAGGATGATTCAGTATAAGAGTTATTCCATTAGATTCATCTGTTAGCTCTTTCTATATTCCTTTTTTGAATTAAATTACCTCCACTTCAATCCCTCCCTTTGTTAGTTGTACATTATTTATTATGTTATCCGATCCCATGTAAACATTCTTTTTGTAATTGTATTATCGTTCTTATTCATATTTAATAACCCTTTTTAATAATTATTATAATTAATAATACCCCAATTCAAATAATTTAATGATTCATTATTTTTTTGCTTCTATTTTTTTATTTTTCATTTCTGCATTATATAGTTGTAATAAAGACGCATACTCTCTAAACATCTCATATAGAAAATCTTGTTAGATATATGTAATTTTCGAATTGAAATCAATTGATAGGAATTTATCTTATAGATGTAATTTAGAATTATTTTGCAACAGACCATTTTCTATTTTAACACATGTTAATTCTTCATTTTTTGTATTTCCCTTTATAAAGCCTGAAGACATATTATCCATTCATTAGGAAAAGAATAATACTTAAATACACATATTGTTTCAACTATTATATGATTCGTAATTTTGCACATTCATATATATTATATGTTCATATTATTCAAAACATATCAGAATAAAGAAATTTAACTGGTATCATTACAGTACCTCTATCAACATATTAACAACGCCTCTCCTTTTTTACTAGTCAATGCTTAACCTCTAATTAATATTACACGCACTCTATACTAATTATTTAGAGAAACAATATCGTAATATTATTTTCAAAAACATTACCACAAATAATACAAATTATATAGAATGCCTACATATAATTGCTTCTAGTTTCATTCAGAAAATTAATAACATCCTCTATCATTACCTGTTTCCCCATATTTTTACAAACTAATGTCTGCTCATATGATGTTAAAGTTAAGAATCGTTCACATAGATCACCATCAATAATGTTTTTAACAGGTGCATAATAACTCCTATACCTAAAATGATCTCTATCAACTAAACTAATATACTCCTCTGGATGAGAATCTAGTTGTTCTTTTTGACTAATCCAAATACCTTCCTCCTCATTGATTTTGGTATCTTCGATATCATCGTCTTGCATAGTTAATCTTGACACTCTATCATTTAAAATAAGTGATTCCAAATTGGATATGCTTTCTTGTAATTTACTTGCTGTCTTAATTTGTAATTTCGACAATAATGGTAAAAGTATACCAATAGTACCTTGTAAACAACCATACAAAATACACGGTCTATCGGAAATCTGTAAAAAGTCAACAACTGAACACCACATAGGAATATCATTGATGAAATAATGATCTTTCAATTCTAGTTTATATGGTGCTTCCATGACGCTATTATGCAAAGAATTTCCATAATTCATAATTCTATTTTGGTCAATTTCTTTTGGAATTCTTAAAGTCCATAAATTACCAAATTTATCTCCACCAACCACAGTTTGTGAATCAATGAACTTTAAAGTAGTAACATGCCTTTTAACAGTATCGTCAGCAATAGGATACAACTGATTACTCTGCAGGTCGTACTGATAAATAGTTACTGACTCATGAATATCACCTACTGCTATTCTACTATTGTCCCATACATCAATGGCTGTTGTACAGTGCATACTAGCTGATACTTTCGTAATAGATTTTTTTAATAGTTGCTTTTTACCTAAATCATAAAGAACACAATAATTTAAAATGGTGACGAACAGTTTATCATTAATTATACCCATAGCAAATATATCACTTTCCACCTTTGTCTTATGTAATAACGATAGTTCATATTGAGAAACTTTTTTGGTATCCTCTATCTTTAATTGGAACGTCAACAAATACTGATCTCTAGTGGATATAACTAAATTAACAAAATTTTTATTTTTTGTAAAGTGAATAAGTTGTGCTGCAACACATCGATGTCCTTCAATATTGTAATAATCTGAATTTGAGGAAGTATTGAGAAGACACTGATTTGAAGAAAATTTGATAATGCTAATACGGCAATTTTGAACAAATGGATCTTTATGATTATCAATTGATATAATGTGTTCTCCATCGTCAGTAAAAATAAGTTTTTTATTCAGGTATTCCCCAAAATAAACTTCTTCACTTTCATTATCACCATTATCTTGCTCTTCATCTTCCTCTTCTGTAATATTTGATATCGAGTTCTTAATTTTTGCATCTACTATATTAAACCAATGGTCAACATGAATAAAATCTTTAAATCTTCCAATAACTAGTGAGCCTGATGAAGATAATGCACAAACACTATTTCTTGAAATTGTTGAGGTAGAAAATTGAGTTATTCGCTTTAAAGATGACATGTTATCCGTCAATGTTACAGGTCTAATATAATTCATTTGCTTAAAATTATAATCTAACCATACATTGTCTGAATGAATAGTAATACATGTACTGAATTCATTTTGATTATATTCCCTATCCTCGACATTTGACTCCTTTTGTAAATTGTTTTCCTCATCAAAATTCTCTTCCTCCTCTTCAGAATCAGACCCCATATCATCATCTTTGGGTGTTAAAAGAATGTCTTTAACAACAGAAAGAGAAACTGGCTTTGCACCCATGAATCTTTGTGCTGTATGTATAATGTTGCGATCCTTTTCATCAAATTTCGACTTTACATATATACCATTTTTTAGTCCGACATAAAACATATTGTTATTTACAATAATATCATTTACCTCATCATTCAATTGCTGGAAAGCTAAAATTTCCATAAAATTGGGACTCTTTGTATCTAGACAAATAATGTTAATCAACTGATCATCATCTGTAGCAACAATCAAATCACTAGATCTGAATTTATTTTGATCCATTGCAATCTTAGCGATTTTATTGTCAAAGACTAAAGTCTTAGATGATTCCATTAGAGAGTTATTAACTATGTTAAGTTCAAAATATACTACAGTATTATTTGATAGAGCAACAATTAATTGTGTAAAAGTAGCAGTAGCAGTAATGATCTGTATACCTGCAGGTGGGAACCATTCATGGATTTGTTTAAACTCTGAAGTATCTTCTGTTGTCACTACTTGAACAAATTGATTAGCACAAACCTGAATAATTATATTAGGGTTTAAAATGGTCATATATATGGTGGTATCATTTTTCATGATAAAAGGTACTGGATTTGAAAAGGACAATGTCTGCATTGATTCACCTGATATATTTAAAAGAACTGTATAATTATGAAATGCAAGAGCAACGTATGAATGGACATCATCATCTAACCTCTTCTTTATGGTCCATATATTTTTGGGGTTTGGTGGTAAATTAGAGGATACAAGTGTCTCAACAACAACACTGTTATTATATACCCTGATTGAGGAATCTTCATGGCGAGATATCAGTTTGAAAGGAACTACAGCTTGATTAGAAGAGTTCTTAACCACATTTGCAGAAAACATGGGGTTAGATGTGGACATTTTCTTTAATATGCTTAAATTCTGTAAAATTTTTGAAACTGTAAAAGTCTTCTCCTCTTTATTTGACCCAAGACTTTCAAACTGAAACAAATAATTATTATTGAACTCACAATTTGCGAAAAGCAACCCATTTGTAGTAATATGTAATTGTTCGGCCACCGGGATTGTATCAAAATAGCTCAAGATGAATTTTGGCTTATTTTTCTCATTTTGATTTGGAATAATTTGTAATTTTAACAAGTCACCATAGTTAGTCTGCAACAAAATGAAAATTTGTTTCTTAAAAGAACGAAACACATGGGATGTTATTGTGGCAGGATAGTGATGGTCTTGACATTTAGGCAATTGAACTTTGATGTTGAAATCACCTTTTAAGTCCTTAACAAGGAACGAATCCTCTAAACCCACCATAACAAATGGGTTTGTTGTATCGTTATGATTATTGCTCTGATTATATTGACTCCCAACAATATTAGTCAACATTCCATATTCTGCTAAATCAGGTAAGGGGATCAAAATACTTGGCTTCCCAGGCAGTAAATAATCTGCTTTTTTAATTATACAGTTCAAATTCATATCCAACATATAAAATACCAAATGAAAAAGGTTTTTGTTAGGTAAACTATTATTATTATTGTTGTTGTTGTTGCTATTATTTAATACAATTTCCATCTCTAAAGCTGCAAAACATGGATTATCTATGTAGTTCATATCACATGACACTAAATCCAAGGTGATAAAATTAGACCGTATAGCTTCCAAAGGAGAAGATACTATATTATTATTAGTATTTGTATTGGTATTAGATATGACAACATTATTATTAGTAGTATTATTACAATTTAGAAGATAACAATATTTAAACTTTTCAACAGCAGATAACATTAAACACCTACTATGTTTATCAACTGCGATATAATCCATTGGAGACAATCTTCTAATACCGGATCTTGCTATAGGTTCTATACACAGTGTGGATAGAGATAAAGAGAGAGTTTGTTGGTTCCAGACAAATTCTAGGATCGATAAATTGCCCGAATCTGAGGTAATTATCAAATAGTCTATGCTAGTTGTTTGGTTTTTAACAGTCTTAATATTTTTGATGATGGCAAATAAGGGTATATCATTACCAATCTTGGTCAATGTTCTATTTGATAAGTCATACAATTCGATATGGCTCTCTGTGGCTAGACATAATTGTAAATTATGTTTTGAGACATTTGATATGGGATCTATATTAACGAAAGTACCTAGACAGGAATAATTATAATTAGATTGTTTCTTCAAAGTCAAATTATATAAGAACAAATCAGTTTCTTGTATCAACATCTGTATTTTTTTATCTTTTTATTCCTTTTGCTTTACCAATACCTCTATTTAAAAACTTTGTATGATAAAAAAAGAAAAGGAGAAGAAAGGATGATAATAAAATAATCGAGATCCACAAATCAAAGAAATACGTTTTAAATTGTCTTTAAAATGAATATCTATTGCCTTTGTGTATGTATGTATACCTATTATACAAAAATCTATTTGTCTTTTTCTTACTGTTATATTTTTACAAATCTAATACAATATTAACTAATATATAACTACTATTCTCGATCTATGTATGTATGTATCTATCTATTGATGTGTCCTTTGTTTTTAATTTTTTAAGATACTTTTTACATTTTACTTTATTTTTCTTATAATAAACTAGAGAGAGAAGTGTCGCTATCAAAATCTCCAAAAAAAAATAAATAAATAAAATAAAATAAAACAAAATAAGATGACATCGAACAGAATAAAACACAAAGAAAAAATAACAAAAAAGAAAAAAAAAAATAAGGGGAGGACAAGAATTGCCAAAAAGAAGAACAATAAATTTCAACTATTTTTATAGTTTTTGTTAACCGCCCAGATTGCATTTGGTCTTGATGATATTCATAAGTAAAACCATTAATCTAGTTATAGAATAAAGGTAGTATAAACATTTACAGGTTGATTAGTCCTGTCAGATCAAGTCTTTCTAATAACAACGACAGCAACTGCAACTGCAACAACAACTGCAATGAGAAGTTCATCACATACGTAACAGCAGAAAGAAAACTCTTTTTCCCTTTCTCCCTGCGTAAAGTGGGAAGAAGCTGGTGATGATGGCATTTTGCCACGGCGGGAAAAAACAGAGAGGGAGAGAGACAAAAACAAAAAGAGAAAAAAAAAAAGGGGGGGAAAGACGGAAGGAAAGCACATATACGTCCTAAAACATCCCCACACCACAGCCACTGTGCAGAGCCTATTATTTTGAATGGAAGCAATCGGAAATTCTCTCTCTCTCTCTTTTTTTTTTTTTTCTTTTTTGTTTTCGATTTTGGTTTCGTTTCTATTTTTTTTTGCACGTGCCATTTCAAATAGTAGTTTTTTTTTTATTTCAAATTTCTTTGTTTGTGAGCGTGTGTGTGTGTGCTTTTTTTTTTCGCTACTTATTTTTTACACACAGCTGGTCAACTTTCTTATAAAAATGTAAACCATATTCATATGCATATAGTATTACATAATCAAGTTATCTCAATCCCCCCATCGCAATCATCATAGAAATAACTACAACAAAAAGAAATAATTGTTATATAAAAATCACAATTGTGTCTTGTTTTTCCTTTCTTTTGTTTTGTCCTTTGCCACACTGGTCTGTTGAAACAGCTCTAACCCTCTTCTTTTCTTTACCCCACCTTTAATTAACAATCAAACTTTCCATATAATAATAAAATATAAAAGAAAATAAAAAAATAAAACAGCAAAAAACATGGAAGTTTACGTTCGATTATGTGACGATGGCGATCGCGACTATGCTTTTCAAATCTCAAAGGATGACACGATAAGCACGAAAATTAAACATATTTTTAATTCAAATGTGTCCCAATTTAAAGATCCGAACATCAAATTCACACTCTCTGATATCATAGTAACAAGACCAACCATTTTTCATAACTATGAACCAACCTCCTATTGTAAATCCACACATCCAGGTTATCTGACAGAAGGTGGTTGTTTACTGTTCCACTACGACGCCGCTGATAAACAATATTTGGAGCCTTTGGACGAGGATAAACCCTTATTCGAGCAATTATGGCCTGGTCAACTGATTGTTCCACAATGGGACTATAATACCACTTCGGTAGGTATCATCGGCGCAACTCTATTATTATGGCTGTATACAGACTTACCAGACTGCATTTCGCCAACACCTGGTATCTGCTTAACCAACCAACTGTCAAGGTTGTTGATCCCTATAATAGAAGACTATTTCGGTAACCATCAAATGGGTTCTAAACTAAGAGAAGAAATTCAAGTCAATTACTCATCTGTTCCAGCACAATGGACATTTTTCTTCTTGCATGTCCTGAAGATTGCCATCATTGTGCTTTTCACCAGATTAGGTGTAATCAACCCACTGACTTTCAATCCAATTAAATTGTTCAAACTAAGAAATTTCGACCTTGCTAATAGATCTAACGACATGAAGATCACTTTAAAAAGACTTGGCTGGATCGGTTCAAATAGGGCCTCCTATGACCAATATCAACAGAATTTCCATAGCTATATGGTCAAGAAATATGGTGGGACTGTGCCTCTATACAAAGCAGGCCTATTGAAAATTGCAGCTAAACCCGGTATTTCTTTAAATAAAGGTGAAGGTTTCCAATCCCCATTAAACGAAAGATTCACCGGTTCCACTTTCAAAGAAATCACAAAATCAGGGAAATTTATCTTATCTGAAGAATATTTCATTGAATTGGAGAATGTCTTAAAAGCAGAAGTTGAAAATGCTAATGGTGATATTGGATTAATGAACGAACTAGTACAACGGTTTAGGAGATTTGGCTTATACGAACCAAGTGATAAACTAAAGGAATTGGTAAGAAAAAGAAAAGAAATCTCAATTGAGCAATCTAGAATTGATGACGATCTTGCTAAAGTGAAAGCAACTGAAGATACTGCGTCCAAGAAGAAAAACGAATAAGATTCGCTAATTGTCTTCATATCTCTCTTTTTTCTTCTCTCCTATTAACCTTGTATGAAATTTTTGTTGCCATTATAATGCTTATCACTTTAACACTAGAATATTGTTTCAAGATTTCCTTTCTTCTTTTTTCTTTTTTTTTTTTTTTTTACTTATATCTCTTTATATATGAGCTGTAAAGAAATGAACTATGATCCAACAACATTAATAACTTGTATTATATACACATGCATGTATATATCTATGTATATATGTATTTGATTCATTTGTATTCTTGTCGTTTTATTTATTACCTTATTTATTTTATTTGTTTGTTTGTTTCATTCTTTTTGGTCCAGATTACCATGATAATAATAACTTGGCAATGTATTTAGCGAATCTGGTGTCTTTACAAAGATCATTCTACTAAGATCACTTCCTAAGAGTGTCTTTTCCATGACATTTTCATAAATAGAACATGAAATATCTTCACTATCTGTTAAGAAAGGACTATCGGTTTCATAAAAATCTTCAACAACATTCTTATTCGTTTCAAGTAGAGACATCGTTGAATAAAACCTTTTATATTTATACTTTTCAGTTAAATAATCTATATTATAACTTATTGTCAAACAAATATATTCTTTCAACCCATTAAATTTTTGTCTTTTTACAACAACGTGATAAACTCTAAAGAAGGCTAATACGGCTATCCAAAATTTAGTGATAAATATTAACCAAATTAAAAAGGACAATAGCATAAAACTTAATATCATTGCCTCTTCATGGTTATTCCTAACAATCCATTTTACTTTATTCCATATTCCAATCAATGATTGAAAATCTTTCAAGTTCTTATTCTTCTCATTCTTGGTCAACAAGACACTCCACAGAGTTAATCCATTTATAATTTGTCTTGGTGTATCAACAAGTAGTAATTTTGAACAATTCTTCAATTCAAAATACGTTAAAAATGTTAGTTTTTGTTGAAACCCACTTGGGGTAATTTTATCAAACAAACAGAACATAGCATAACTGCGAAGTGAGAAAATATTTCTTGACCAGTTGTTAATAAAACACAACGAGATTATTCTAGTTTTGTATATTTGATATCCATTCACTGTGTCAATGACAACTAAGAAAAGAGAAATTAAAATACAGACACTAAATAACCATTTTGTTATAATAAATGAGACATATGGTTCTACACAGTTATTTGACCATATGTTAAATGCCAATAATTTGATACAGGTGTAAATATCAGAGATGATCATTATTGATTTCAATATTGTTAATCCCCAAATAAAAATGAGATATTGAAATCTTTTTTTATACTTTTTTTTTGCATACAAGGATAAATCTAAATCATCAAATTTGTAAAGACTCTGTGAGTGATTCCAACCTTCTGTATCACAGTTAAAAAACAATAATTTGAATATATCTTTTAAATGCCCCATCACTTTCTCTGCCATTGAGTTAATATGATTTTCACTAGGTAAAATAGTTTAATGAACTCATTAGAGAGTAACATAGAAATCGCACACCTTTATATAACATAGCAAAAAAAAAAAATTAAAATAAAAAAAATCAATCACGAGTAGAAATAACATGCTCTCCAGCATTTACTAACTAACTTATAATAAATTTTTGTTTAAAAGTTTATACCTTATATTTCCATCATTTCAATTTTAATATTTTTTGAAACAAAAATGAAGCAAGGAATAATATGTAATATTCATAATAATTAACAAAAAATTAGTTTATAATGGTATTCCACTATTAGCCCTCATTTATAGCATGTAGGCATTTATTTACATAAATACAATTTGAATGGATGAATATTCAAAAGGTCTACCTTTATTTTATATGAAATGTAAGAAGGTCGTTTTAAGAATATGCTTTTTTGAAAGACTGTCTTAACAAGTTTTTTTGGCATTTGTGTCATCTCATCTTGCAAAAAAGAAAAAAATTAAGACGAAAAATGAAAATAAGCGAAATATCTACTAACTAGCTCTTAAAAGTGAGTATGTAGCAGATTAAGATGTAAACATATTTTTTTGTTAACAATACACAGTAAACGTGGGTATGCTATGATAAAGAGGATAAAGAAGATATTTTTAATACTCAGTAGACCTTATTAGAGTAGTGTTAACAACATATATACCTAAATAATAATGATTGACCAGTCTAATATTAAAAATATCGTAAAAAAATTGGACAATTCATTTATTCAAGATAATCCAGACTTTATAACAGCTTGTAATAATGTGAAATGGAACGATATTAATACATTAAATTTAGTTTTACAGGATATTGATAAACTTATACAAAAATATCCAACTCCAAATGATGATATAAAAGAGGTCTTAACAGAGATACCTCGCCTATTTGTTTCAAAATATCCATTTTTATTTGGTTATTGGAAAAAAATGACAGCTATCGAATATCAGCTATATGGATTAGAGCGATCAGTCAACATTCTTGCTACATCTGTCAGTAAATTCCCACAATGTTTAGAATTATGGTGTGATTATTTAAAAGTCTTAATAGCTAATTATCCAAATGATACAGAAAAAATACGATCTTCATTTCAAAAAGCTAAACAACTGGTTGGTTGGCAATTCTATGCCCATGTGTTTTGGGATTTATATATCACTTTTGAACATAAGCAAGGGACTGATTTAAAACCAATATATGAAGAGATTATACAAATACCTTTACACCAATACGCAAAATATGTGAAACCTTATAAACAGTTGTTAAAGGATGTAAAAGATATTAAAATTTTACAGTCAAAAGTTAAAAGTAATCAGGTTATAGTAGGTGAAATATGGAGATATGAAAGTAAGATAAAGCAAAATTTTTTTAATTTGACTCCATTAGCTGAAGACGAGGTTAATAATTGGGATCAATATACAACTTTTGTTACACAATCTAATAAAACACCTCGATTGATACAGTCAATCTTTGAAAGATGTTTAATACCCTGTTGTTTTATTGAACGTCTTTGGATTAAATATATTAATTGGTTTAAAGGTCATAATTCAAAGCGTGATATCGTTGATTTATACAAATTTGGAATAAATTTATTACCAATGGATAAGAGAGAACTTAGATTCAATTTTTTACGTTATTTAAAAATTGAGATACAAAATAATAAAGAAAAAGATTCCTTTTTATTTAATACTTTTTCAGATCTTTCATCGAATTTAATGTTCTATTATTGTAATGAAACATCCACTAGTTGTTATATCCTATCAGAATATTTACCGATCTTAAAGTGTTCCCAATTCCAATCAAAACTATCAGACTCTTCCAAATTTATACTAAGCAAACAGACAGACTATGTTAAATATTTAGATACTGCTATAACAAATTTTATAGCCTCAAAATCTCCAAGTAATACTTTAGAGCATTTATTGTGTGAAGGGAATTTAGCTATTATTGTAGTCGAATTAATTAAAATGACATGGCTTGTAGTTAAAAATAATGTTCAGACAAGAAAATATTTTAATTTTTTCAGTAAGATGCCATCTATTAAAAATTCTGTTCCATTTTGGCTAACTTATTATAAGTTCGAAAAAGCTAATAAAAATTTTGTTAGACTTAATAAATTCATAAATGATTTAGATACTGAAATATATCTCCCAATTGATGTTACTAATGATATTTTAGAAGACTACCGGACTTTTTATCTGTTAAATTCAAATGCAATCGATTTTAGACAGCATGAGGATAAAAATGATAAAGTTCAATATGTTGACTCATTGTTTTACTCTCAGTTTAAAATTAATAAACCTAAATGGACACCAGGTAGATTGAAGAAAGTATTTTCAAATGAATGGTATAGATCCTCGGAATATAAAGAGAATGGGCACCCTGGTATATTAATTGATAGACCCCAAATTAAAAATACATTAATTGAATATCCATCCAAGATTTTAAAGAATCAAGTTCCAGGTATTCCGACTTTTAGAAATTTAGAGAGGATAAACCAACCACCGAAATATAAAGATTATTATACAGAAGAGTATGCATCGATCCAAAACAGCAAAAATTAATTGTAAGAATATGCATATTTTATGATATACTATATGTATCTAATATATAGTGTAATTAATATTAATAATAGCATTTCAATATTGTTCATTCTATTTGATGATAATTTCTCATATTCTATATGCGTAGAAAAATTCTTAGAAGTGTTCAGGCATTTTCACTCTCAAATTACAGTTGTACTTCTGTTCCAAATTCCTGTTCAAATTTCTCTTCAAACTTAACAATATTGTTCTTATCTGTACTAGCTTGACCTAAATCAAAAAACGGATTTGACTTAACTCTCATATATATCTTCTTAATCTTCTCAAACACAAATATTATTAAAGAGTCATTTTCATTTTCAAAGTTGTCCGATGCATTAAAACCAACTATAATTTTTAATCCAGATGGTTTCATCCACATTCCAAATACTGTAACATTCTCAACTTCAAATAGCATTCGTATTGGTGAATTACCATTTTTATAATTTATTGATATTTGATCCCATTGAAACAAACTACTTTCAAAAAAATCTAAGGATATATTAGAAAACGTGTTATATTTTAGAATTTTATTAACATCCTTAGCTTCATAAGACATGACATGGATTAATATAGGTGTGTTTGTCTCATCTATTAAAGAGATAAAAAGTGGTTTGAGGTTTCCCATTTTATTGCTTCTTTTGATATCTTTTTTGTTATCTTTTTAAGTATTAAGTCAACTGCGAAGTTGGTTTGTTCAAGTCTTTACTGTAGTATTAAATTAGTTTAACAGAAACATTAATTATCAAACAATCCCACAACCACTATTGTTACACATATATACTTATGTAGTTTTGTTGGGATATTGTGGTATATAGATTTGTATTGTATTTTTTTTTTGAGTTGTTATTTTACATCATTTTGTTTTTACATAATTTTCTGGTATGTGATTTATTTAATTAACTCTAATTGCATCAAAGTATCAAAAGAACAACAAAAGTACATAATTAAAATATATAATTCTCTATGTAGCTGAAAATTGAGTGTATAAGAACAATATATATTAATAATTTTTAAGTAATATAAACACCATAATAACTAAATTAGTAAATGACACCAGAAGCAAATGAAGAGAAAAAATATAACTAATTTAATAATGTTCACAACTTCTCAATTTTAGAGACATTATTAACAAGAGCAATACTGTCGGCAGCAGTTCTACCAAATACAACACACTCTAACAAACTTGAACCACCCAATCTGTTGGCCCCATGGACACCACCAGACACTTCGCCAGCAGCGTATAAACCCTTAGCTAAAACATTTCCATTTTTACCAACAACTTCAGCCTTTGTATTTATTCTAGCACCACCCATGGTGAAATGCACCACTGGAGTTATTTCACCAATAAATATATTAGTGTCCTTAGAAATATTTTCACCAAAATTCTTAACTACTAAAGAACGACCAAAATCATCTTTCTCGTTAGTAATGTATCTATTTATGTCAGCGACTAATTCATCAGCTGTGATTGGGAATTTATATTGTTCAACAGCCTCCTCAATAGTAACCTTTTTGATAAGTTGTTTCCACATATAGAAGTCTATGTTATTCTTTAGTACTTCATAGATACCTTCGCCAAGAACCAAAAATGCAGTGTTATTCTCCCTTGGGCATTCTGTTTGGATAGAGGCAGTTACGACATCTCTCGTTGCTAATTCATTGACAAATCTTTTACCAGTAGCCGGGTTTAATAAAATACCACCTAATCCTCTTAAAGCTTCAGCAGCTAAAAATTTATGACCAGCATTGCGGTCATTTGGATCAATAAACCCAGTTGGGTGCACTTGAACTTGGTCCATATCGATCAATTCAGCACCTAACTTTTCAAGAATTCTTTGACCGTCACCGGTTGTTTGGGCACCATTAGTGGTAGGTAAACCAACGGTCTCTGGTGCATACTTAGCTAACATTTCTTTGGAGAAGGAAAATCCACCAGAGCAAAAGATTACATTTCTGGTTTTAAGGATATGATGGTTGTCTTCTTCATCCACATATTCAACACCTTCCACCTCATTTTGGTCATTTAATTTAACATCGACTACTTTACTACTTAATTGAATCTTTACTAAATCTGGTTTTTCCTCAGCAAGGGTCTTTAAATTACCAGATAATTTAGATACAATTTCAAATCCAGGTGGTAACTTGCCTGAGGATCTATGTGTTCTTGCTACTGAATGACCACCTAATTGAGCCAAAAGATCTAATTTGATATCAAAATCCTTTTGTAACCATTCAATAGCTAAGTGCGAGTCTTGAGCCAACTTTTCCATCAATGCCTCAGAACCCCTTTCTTTGGCTGATTTTTTGGTATCATTGAAGAATAATTCAGGAGTATCTTGAACTTTTAATTGTTCTTGGGTAGCAGTATGAGCACCATTGATACCAGAAGAAGCTTTTATAGAATTACCACCCATTGAAGAGTTTTTATCAAGAATGAAAACAGGAATCTCATAATCTCTGACTAATTGATTAGCAGCAGATAAACCGGCTAAACCAGAGCCAATAATGGCAACAGGATCAGACATAGTATTTTGTTGGTATATCTAGTTCAATTTTAAGAGTATACAAGATAGAAGTTACTAAATAGTGAATCAGGTTAGTACCAAAGAACTAATTCGCTTATGAATGTACATGTATATATATAATTGCTCTTGTTACTAAACGCTCGACAGTAACAGAGAAGTGAAACTTTAAAACATAACAAACGAAGCAAGAAAAAGAAACGGGAAAAAATATATGGCCCCGCACCCGTTGCCACGGCAACAAAGTGCAACCACGCACAATAATAAAAAATCATGACTAATACGTTCAACAAACCAATTAATATTTTCTATCAGCCATTTCTATTAACTATATACGTTGTGAGCAAGAGAGGAGATACATCTCACTCGATTCAATAATATATATATGTATATATATAACTATATAATGATCATGAATACTTAAAAGAGAAAATGTAAAGAGGAAATAATAATTTCCCTCACCTATTCTTTTTTTCATCTTGCTTCCTCTTTAATAAAAAATGGGGTATAGTCTATCATGCCACAAAAAAATCAAACATATCGGTCGATCAAGACACTAAAGGAAGAAGAGAGTTGAGTTAAAAATTATATGAGTCTACCTTGCAAACTGGAATTTCTCAAGATCTCTTCCCTGGCTGATCACCTTCGTCCCTCCTTAATAGGGTGATGAGTAAATCATGTATCTATGCATTTCGTAAATACACACGTTTACCCCCCATTGATTCTCAAACGTATTTGATAAACCAGCAAATAATAATCAAATGTGTTGCAGTAAACAAATGAAGAAATAATGCAAAAGAACAACATTAAAATTAGCATTAAAAAAAATTAAAATGAGACAAAATAAAAAAAAAATAGAATTAATAACCCGTTTGAAAAGTAAAGAAAGTTTTAATTAAAGAATATCGACAATGCCACTAATATATTTAAACAGATGGTAACAAAGACATTAATGATAGGGAAATACAAAATTTAATCTATCAAAAAGGAAGAGACTTGACTCAATATTTGTATTTCTTAACTTCTTGAATGACGTTCCCATGAACATCAATTTCGGTAGAAGCAGATCTGTACACTTGAGTTGGACCATTTTGATCACATGGATGTAACTTAGCGTATTCATTAGCTTCAAAGATGGCTTGCTTGACTCTTTCTAAAGTGTCATCACTAACTTGGTAGTGGAAAGAAATTCTACCACCCATTAACTTAACGTTATATTTTAAACCTTTCTTGACTAAAACATCTGGATCCATTTTTGCCTTTCTTAAATCAATAAAGACAAAGTTGGTGTCAGCTGGAGATTCCAATGGAACACCAATTTCGTTACAGTACTTAGCTAAGTTGTGTGCTAGAGCATGAGATCTTAATAATCTGTCCTTCCAGTTGTCTTCAATAGCAACCATAGCCATTCTTGCCATCATACCAGATTGTCTAACACCACCACCTTGTTGTTTTCTGAAGTGGTTGGCCTTCTTGATGAATTTCAAGGAACCGACCAAGATAGAACCCATTGGGGCACCAATAGACTTAGATAAACAAATGGAGATGGAGTCGAAGATTTCACCGTATTGCTTCATTGGAACACCGGCTTGAACAGAGGCATTCCAGATTCTGGCACCATCACAGTGTAATTTCAAACCGTTTTCCATACACCATGCCTTTATTCTAATCAATTCATCTAATGGATAGACAATACCATGCAAGGTATTTTCTAAGGAGATAACTTTAGTTGGGGCACCATGGATATCACCGTCATCTGGGATATAGCGAGCTTTAATATCTTCCAAAGTTAAATAATCACCATTGGCTGGGATAACTGGAACAACCATGGCCTGGGATAAAATTGCTAGACCAGCGGCTTCATGAGTGTAGATATGAGCTCTGTAATCACACAAGATAGAATATGGAGGTTGATATAAATGAGTTCTCAAAGCGATTTGGTTTGATAGAGTACCAGAAACACAGAATAAACCTGCTTCTTTACCGGCTAGTTTTGCCACGTATTGTTCTAATTTAGCAGTATCTACATCTTCACCGTAGACGGCATCACCAATGGAAGCAGTTAAGGCAGCTTGTACCATTTGTGGTGTTGGAGTGGTGAAGGTATCAGAACGCAAATCATTTGCAGCAGAGATATATTCTGGTGGTAATTCCATGTCGGTCATTTGTCCTATGTTAATGTTATTAGAGTTGTGATTTGTGATTATTACTTGACTTGATTCACTATGGGGAGATATATATGTATAGATATAGATATATATTCCAAAACAACTTCAAAATGAGCGTTATATCTTTGAGCAAAGCCAAAGTACGCGTAGCAAGACAAGAATGAAGAGCACAGGAGTTAGCAAGAAATTCCTTCGTTCAAAATTTTTATACACGTTTTATACTTTATATATTTCTTTTTCCTATCTCATCACGCTCTTAACAGTATGTTTTTTTTTTTTCCAAGTTTATGAATTTTTCTTAGGTGAAATTCTCATTTTTTAGTAATAGAATTGAATCATTTTGTTTTACTAATATTTTCTTGTTGTGCTTTTTCTTTTTTTTTTTTTAATTTTTTCTTTTCTTTCTTCTTTGTTCTTTTTGAATTTCAATACGTCTTTTGTTTATTTTGTTTATTTTGTCATTTCTTTTGTCGATTACTTTTTTTTTTTTGTCTTTTTTTTATGTTCTTTTCATCGCTGGAATGCCCTCTGAAAAAAAAAAAAAATAATAAGGCAAAACAAGCATTAAAAATTGGGGAAAAAATGAAAATTTTCTCGAGCACAAAAAAAAAAAGCGGGAAAAATCTAGGCGGAATAATAAGAAAGCTTTCCTTTAAAAAAAAAGGAAAGATGAGTAATTCCTTTGGTTAATTTAATATTTTCCCATTAAACCCTAAGTTTTTATAAGTAAGGACGGGACCGATTAGTTGTCAACCCTATTTTCAGGAGATATAAATCCATTGTCGTAAGTATGATTCCGATTTGGAAAAAAAAAGGTGCATACCTGGCAATAAAAGGTAGTTAAGACTTACTGTTGAAAGTATGGTGTTTAAATTAGTAAAGGAGATACATCTCTACTGCAAAACTTTTGTCTACCCTAATCTGGGCTCACGTTTTACCTTGTAAATGTCTCCAAAAATGTGAAGGTTTTGAATATTTAAAGCAATTAAACTCTCACCTTAGGCTCTTAACAATTTAGGAAATTGCCGGCTTGTTCCCGTAAAAACAAAGAGAAAAATGCTACAAATAAAATAATGCAGCAATATAACAATACCGTAATTCACGGCAACTTCCGAAAAAAGTAATGGTGCCGTTCTATCTCAGGAAGCTTCCATAAAAAGAAATAGGGCGACACCCCTAAATTTGTACGATCACTTATTTTTTTTTTTCTTGTTTTCTTCTTATGTGCATAGTTTCTTTCGTTATGAAATAAACTGTTAAGTTTAAAAAAGACAAAAAAATTCTGTAAATTTTCTCTCACATAAATGGTAGTGTGTTAGGTCTTCTTTTTTTTTCGTTTTTTGTTTTTGTTTGCTAAGCTTCCTTTCTATCAACTGCTCACTCAGTTGAAGAGCAGTAAATTCCTCCTTGAGAAGTATGGCCGATTACTAATAATGTTTAAATCAAAACTGATATACCTTGTTTACGAATCTAGTATCCAGTAAGCAATCTTGTGTTTTTTTGGAGACGAAAACTATACATTTTGTATTAAACACATCTACACTACTAAAAAAAGAAGTGAATATCAATGATTATTTAGAATCATATTACCGTATATATTATGTCATAATGGCCAAAACGTCTCGCGAATTGAAATTTTTCTGACCTCCTAGTTGGCAACATATGTGTCCCTAATATTCTGCGAAACTTTCAAAACTACCATCATGTTTCTCATTGAAAGAGGCTTCTTCATTTTTCATACATCTTTGGTTTTGATTTTTTTTTGTTTCGTTTTCTTGTAAACTACTAATATTCAGCTCTATCTGTTTTTTTTTCTTTTCTTTTCTTTTCTTTTATTTTATTTTATTTTTTAATTACTAGAGGAAAAGGAAACACATGTACAAAGGTAAGATTGTCTTAAAAAAAGAAATAAAGAGAAAAAAACATTATTGATGCAGACTCTTCTATCATAACCTGTGTACTTGGCTTAGCATAACTTGTGATGAATAAACATATTTTTATAACTTGATGTTGTAGAAAATTAAAACTACTGATCGTTAGAAGAAGACGTTTTAAGAGGCGAAGAAAGGAATACAAATAAAAAAAATGTCGAGTGAGGCAAGATTAGAGTATTTAAGATCTATTGCCACAGCAAATGTAATTGATTCACCATCTCCATACAAATCCCAGAAACATCAAATTAAAAAAAAAGTAAATAGAAGGAATAAAGCCGCAAGACAATTAATATCAGATGAACAGAAAAGAATCAATGGTTTGCTAGAAGCTTCTGTTTCGGAAGAAAATACGCAGGAAACTTGCAAGAGATTAGTACCAAAAGTAACATACTTCAATATAAATGCACCACCATCTATGAAACCACCTAAAAAATACTGTGATATAACAGGGTTGAATGGACCATATACATCACCAACAAATAACATCAGATATCATAATTCTGAAATCTATCAATTGATTGTAAAACCAATGGCGCCAGGTACAGACCAAGAGTACTTAAAATTAAGAGGTGCTAACTTTGTATTAAAGTAAATTTAAAAGAATATTAAAAGGTGCGAAAATGGAAATGGTTATAACTAACTCCTCTTTTATACTCAATCACTCTAATATATATATATATATGTGTGTGTGTGTGTATGTAACTATTATGCATTAACTTGTCTTTGGAAAGTAATATTGTAGCTCATGTTGGTTCAACAAGTTTCAAAAATATGATAATAAAATAAATAGGGTTAATACGTGTAATAGAGTAAACTAAGACTACGTAAAGGCTAAATTCTATTTGATTAAATAACTAGTAAATTCGGAAATTTTGTAATTTGAAGTCTGTTGCGTTTTGATTTTCACTAAAAGAGAAAATGAAAAAGAAAAAAAAATTAAAAATTAAAAAACAAAAATTCTCAAAAAGAAAGTGAGAAATCACTGGCAGTCATTTGCAATTGATGCTTGATTAAGATTTGTACATCTTATATATCTATCACTCTTTCTATATATATATATATGAAGTACATCTACAAAAATATTAGTCATAAGCCTGTAATCAATTGAATTGACTATTTTTTACAACTTTTGTTGTGCAACTACATATAATTAACTGGAAAAAAAGAGGTAAAGAAAACGAAAAAGGCAAGACAATACGTCAGATAATCAGGAAATTTCAGCATTTTTTGTAAGATTGCTGTAATACATTATGTTACAAGGTCTGGTTGTTTTAGCAGCCTTGTTATGGTTATTTTCCAGATTATATAATTTTCTGAAAATTCCAGTAGAAAATATCGTTCAAGATTTAAATATTAAAACTCCACCAGCTACTAAAGTTTCAATAGATAAAATATCAACAAATTCGATTACAATCCATTGGGAGAATGAGCCTTTACTTAACCAAGATTTAGATCAAGATGTTAAAAGGGATTTCATTACTCATTACATTGTTTATGTCAATAGTTTACAATTAGGTGTTTTCCCTAACCGCTCACAATCCTTATATACATGTTGTTCTTTAACAAATTTAAATCCATCTACCCAATACCAATTGGATTTTATTACAGTTAATAATATGGGCTTTATAAGTAGATTACCTTCCATCTTTATTATGACTAAATCTGAAAAAGTTTCTGATGGTCATATTTCTGATAATAAGGATGTTGAGATTATTAAAAATAGAAAATGGAGAAAAAATACCGTTTCATCATCAACCTTCACTAATATTTTAGTTCCAAGGGATAGTAATAATGATGATAAGGATTTAGATAATGACACAGTAATGAATTCTATGGACAGTATGAATCTTGTGTCTAATATACAGGATGATTTGACACCATCATATGCAAATTTAACAAGCTTAAAGGATTTAGAAACTTATTCGATTGGGGATTTAAAGAAGATTTTAATATGTGCTCAAGAAGATTTGCATGAGGTGTTGAATCAAAGAACTTCTTATTTGCAAGAGTTCAAAGAATCCAAAGAAGAATTACTCTTAGAATTAGATAATTTAAAAAGTCATTGGTCACATGAATTGGATTTTAGAAAATCTTTGAAATCAAATATTAAATCGCTAGAAAATAACAAACTGTTAGGTGATATGAAAGCTGAAAAATTAAATCAGAAAATTGTTAAATCAAGAGAAAAATTATCAAGAATGAAATCAGATATTGTTAAATGGGAAGAAATCGAGCAAAATAATCTTAACACTGATAACCTTCAAATTAAATATAATATAGTGAATGAGAAATTGAATAAGGCAATTAAAAATTTGGAGACTAAAATTGTAGATATGCAATCTGAAGTAGATAAGCTAGATAAGATGAATAAAGAATTGAATATTTTAAAAAAATCCTCGTCCTCTACAAATCTGTCATCTTTAAAAAACAATGCTTTAGTAGCTAACGATAATAGTAATAACATAGGTAATGATTCATCAAAATATCAACCTGTGAATAATTCAGATGAAACAATTAAAATTTTGAACATGATTAAAAAAATTAACATGTGTGTTTCAAAAGATACAGGAATATTATCACCACAAGGGGAAGAGTATTTGTCTACACTTAATGAAGATAATCAATTAGTGAGACTGATAAAAGAACAATTAGATATTGACCTACAAAATTATGAATATTGGATGAAAATAAAACAAGAGTTAGTACATAAAATTAACTTTCTAGAAGAAAAATATAACGAAATGAATGTGCAAAATAAACAGTTAAGGGCTAGGTTATTGACTCAACCCTATCAAAGTGAATTAAGTGATAGTCAAAATCTTCGACAGCAAATTAATTTTATGCCGCCAGAGTTAACACACTTTAATTCTGGTCAACAACTATCTAACACCGATTCTAACTCTTTCATAAATCTATCTACTTCAAATTCAAACCCAGGTAATGCAACTGCCCAGTTACAAAATACACAAACTTCATTACATCAGCAAAATGCACACCATATCACATCGTCAATATCAAGGCAAGGGTCTTTACTTCAAAGTCAAAATACTCCACAAAGTTTAAGAAAGGATGAAATTCACAATCCTTTATCAACTTTTCCTATTAGCATTCCAACAACCACTACTACTACGACTACAGCAATGGCAAATATTACTGCTAGTGCTCATAATCAATTAAGTCTTCAGCAAAATTACTCAACGTGGTCAATTCCAAATGTAAGTTCCACTACTAGTGCTAATACGGATTCTTGTAAAGAAAAACTTCATAATCATATAACTCAACATGAGGAAGATGGTTTAGATCAGTCTTTTGATTATGATAATGCAAATCATTTTATTACTGGTTTACAAGATATGATATATAATGAAAATGATTATCCAGACGAAGTTAGTAATTATTCAAAGGGTTTCACAACAGACCAATTAGATAATTATTGGACATCTCAAAAGAATTTAAATATTAATTCATCGGCTGCAAATTCCATGAAAATTCATACGGTATCTGATAAAAAACTAGATTCACTTACAAATCCAGAAAATAATATTCAAACTCCAATTACATCACATACTCGTGAATTTGCAACCCCATTGTCTAAATCTCCATTTATGATTGCGCCTGGACAGCCCTCACAAAGTTTATTGGCTGGGACATTAAATGAACAAGTGAACATATCACCTTTTGCCAGTGATTCACTTTCATTGAGACTCTCTGAATCTGCAGGTTTTTATAGGCCACCTACGAGTTCTATGGGGCCGCAGACTGCATCTAATAATCTAACTTCATTATTCAGTAATAATAATAGTAATAATGCATTTTCTCAATCTTTAACACCACGTAATTCAAATCTTTTGTCATCCACACCACAAAATATTCAATTCTCTAATGAGCCATTATCTGTTTCCAATGGTTATCATCAGAATATAGTCTTTGGAACACATCCTTCACAACAAACACCCAATACAACCGTTCACGTTAATGATCTGCCAGTAGCTGGGAAAACCAATAATTTGGAAGAAAAATTGAAATCCCCATCTACAGGACTTTTCCATTCCCCATCATTTAATTTTTTGTGGCATCACAATTCACCAACAAAAAACGTAGATCCTGATGAGCCTACAGGACTTAATAATAATGAGAAAGGAATACCAGTAACTGATGAGCATACGTCCCCTAGACATAAAAGGAATAAAAGTGACAGTAGTAACATTTCAATATGGACTAATAGATTATCATTAAAGAGTAAAGTTATCAGTACATCATCACAAGAAAGTCCTATAAACAATAAATCAGAACATAGAGATTCCAGTGGTAATAAAAATGAAGCTACTAATCAATCTAATTCATCATCTACTGGATCAGGACGTAAGATGTCAAGGCTTTTATCTAGACCTACGATGAATGATATCTTTAAGCTTCGTACTCATGATAATCATTCATGATTGTTAACTTCATAATTGTTAATACAATAAGATTGGTGTAAATATAAATGTATAGACTACTGAAATTATTTATAATTTTTTAAATAAATTAGAGCATAATACATTTGAAAAAATAAATTGATTTTTTCTACGGTTTACCAATTATTTATTGTAACAAACGTTTGAAGATACTTCTGAAATATTTTTTTATAACAAAAGAAATACTTCATAATATGTTTTTGCAGTGATAAAATTGTCAATGGCAGAGTGCACCCCTCACTGTTCATATCCTATATATTTATTTACGCCATAAGAAATATTAAATTGTCTTTATTTTTTCCTTTTCCATATTATCAGATTACATATAATAATTCATGTAATTAGTATATAATATACTGTCTTTGGTAATTAAATAGAGTATTTTTTTAAGACGCGCTTCTGAATAATTAAATTTTATATTTATATTTTTATGTATTTACGTTATGCAAAAAAAAGAACAAAAATAAAAAAATATTTTTAAAGAAAAAATAGTTTAAATAAAAGAAATTAAGAGATGATATTCAGTATACCAAAATTTAATTTAACATACATACAACTAGTTATTGTTTGAAGTTGTGTAACTTCTTGTCTTTGTTTTTGTTATTTTCAAGTAAATGTTTCATAATTTTGTTTATACCACCATCCATCAACTAAAGTAAGCAAACATGCCACGGTTATTTAGTAACTATCGTTTTATAATAGGTGCTGTTGGTGCCATTATGTTATTCTTATTGATAAGGGTATCAAATGTTGGTCAGTCGAATCTTGATATTGCAAGAAACGTAGCGTCTACTATTAACCGTCCGGCAAATCCACCAGATGTGGAAAGTGCACAAGTTTCTATCTTACCTATTCAGGATACACCGGGTTATATTGAGGATCCAAAGGCTGATTCGAAGAATCCAGAATTATCATCTGCTGTAAAACAACAAATTGAGAGCGCTGAATCATCTGTTTTTTCTAGTTCCAGCTCAAATATTGCATGTGATAAGGGGCATCAGTACGTGGTAATGATTGATGCTGGTTCTACTGGTTCTCGTGTTCATGTCTATGAATTTGATGTTTGTACACAACCACCTACTTTAATTAACGAAACTTTTGAAATGCTAAAACCAGGTCTATCATCATTTGACACGGATGCAATTGGTGCTGCAAGTTCCTTAGATCCATTGTTAAATATTGCCATGGATGTTGTTCCAAAGAATAAAAGATCATGTACACCAATAGCTGTCAAAGCTACAGCAGGTTTGAGATTGTTAGGTGAAGTTAAAAGTAACAAGATTTTACAAGCTGTAAAAGATCATTTAGAGAAGGATTATCCATTTGCAGTGGTTGATGGGGATGGTATATCTATTATGAGTGGTGAACAGGAAGGTGTCTATGCATGGATTACAACCAATTATTTACTAGGGAACATTGGAAGTGGTAAGAAATTGCCAACCAGTGCTGTGTTTGATCTTGGTGGTGGATCTACACAGATTGTTTTCGAACCAAGTTTCTCTCCAAATGAAAGAATGATTGAAGGTGAACACAAATATGAATTAAATTTTGGTGGATATGAATATGTATTGTATCAATTCTCTCATCTTGGTTATGGATTAATGGAAGGTAGAAATAAGATTAATTCTGTGCTTGTGGAGACTGCGATAAAGAACGGATTGATTAAGAAGAACGATTTTACTAACATTTACACACTTATAAGCCCATGTTTACCACCAAACATAACTGCACCAAAGGAGAAAGTGAAGTTGAATGACGGAACAATTTATACAGTAATCTTTGAAGGTCCCAAAGTGGCAGCTGGTGCACAATGTAGATATTTAGCAGATCGAATTTTGAATAAGGATGCAATGTGTACCCAACCACCATGTTCCTTTAATGGTGTGCATCAACCATCATTAGTTCATACGTTTAAAGAGACAAACGATTTGTATATCTTTTCATATTTCTATGACAGAACACATCCATTAGGCATGCCATTAAGTTTCACATTGGATGAATTGTATGATCTATCAAGAATGGTGTGTAACGGTGAAGAGACCTGGGAAAGTGTGTTCCAAAACATTAATGGATCATTAGAAGAATTAAAGAACGACCCACATTTTTGTCAAGATTTATCCTTCCAAGTATCATTATTACACACAGGTTATGACATTCCACTTCATAGAGAATTAAAAACCGCCAGAATGATTAACAATAATGAACTTGGTTGGTGTCTTGGTGCATCCTTACCCTTATTAGATGGAAATAACTGGAAATGTAAATTAACACAACTTTAAATTTGAAAGCAAAAATAAATGTGGAATAGGATCAAAGTGAATATTTCTCCATAGATGGAGATAGATCAATAATTTATGTGTGAATGGTCATGTATCTATAACCCTCTAAATGTCTTTTTATTATATACGTATGTATTATCTATATATATATATAATATGTATGTATGTACGTGTGTGTGTATACTATAACTAAAAAGGGAAACTTCGGCCGACTGTATACTTTTTTTCACTTTTTTCATTCGGGAAGAGCAATTTGTGAAAAATGGAAAAAAAAAAGAAAGAAAAAAAACTGTGGGATACTAAAACAGTGTATTAGTGGATGTATGGGTGTGATAATGTCTGGCTTTTAGTTTTTCTTTTCTTTTTTTTTTATTTTTCGTTTGTCGTTTTTTGTTTTTAATTTTTTTGGTTGTGCCATTTTTGGGTGACTGAAGAGTAACAAATTGTTACTGGGGGAGAGAGTGAATTGCTTAAAGGAGGAAGTGCATTTACAAAGAAAAAAACGAGTCACACGATGAGAATTTGCTCTTTTTTTGTCCAAGGTTATATTGCACCTTGTACTTCTGTATATATACATATATATAGATATATATATGTGCATGTGCTTCTATTTCTATGTGTGTGTGTAATCTGTAGTTCTTTGATCAATTTTTATTGATTTGTCTTTAGTTCCTTTAGAACCAACCATTGAAAGGCCATCATAGTGAATTACTATTGTAAAAAGGGAAATTAGAATTGTGTTTTTTTTTTATTTTAACCCTTGTATTACATTAGGTTGTATATATTGGCAACAACCAGTTGATTTGCAAGGATAATAACATTTTTTAGTACAATTAGAATTGTTGTTGTTACAGTTAAATATTGTTTTGTTGTGGTGTGTTTTCTCTTATACGTTTAAGTAGTTTCTTTAAAGAAAAAAAGGAAAAGGAAAGGTAACGGCATTAGAATGATCAGTCCATCAGAAATGGCAGGGGTTACACAAACTAATTCTGTATCTAGTTTATTGAATAGTGATTATAATGATGGTAATGTTAACACTAAGATAGGTGAAACTTTTTCTTCTTCTTATAAAAATGCGTCTCCTATAACGCGCACCAATGGTTTGATTGATAGATTAGACAAGTTCAAATTCGACAAAAATAAAACAAGCAAATGTCTCCCTGTTTTATCACAATCTCACAGTAATAATACTAGTGTTGCTACTAGTGCAACTATTACTACTGCCACTACTGCTGCTGCTGCTGCTCATACTATTGACAATGATGATAATAATGATGACAATGATAATAATGAGATCGCTGTGGAAGAGACGGATGATGAAAGTTATATGAAATATGTTAAGAATCTTGCCGACCTAAATTCTGCTAAGGAAAATTTACGAAAAATATCGACAGCAAGCAGTGATCATCCATTAAAAACAAGTAAGAGTCATGTGGCATTTGCTAACACTGCATATGATGTAAGAATGTTGAGTAAGGATATCTCTAATACAAAGATTAACTTAGAAGTGGAAAAAGTTATCATTATAGTGAAGAAGAATGAAGTTTCTTTAATTATTTTATTAAGAGAATTGGTCGCATGGTTATTGACCAATTATCAACAAATGACAATATATGTTCAAGACATCTTTGAGGATTCTGAATTATTTGCCGGAAAGGAAATCTGTACCGATTCATTCTGTACTTTAGCTAAAATTGGCTATTGGAATAAACAATTCATTGAGGAACATGATCTTTTCTTTGATCTTTGTATAACATTGGGAGGTGATGGTACAGTGCTATTTGCTTCCACTCTATTTCAAAAGCATGTGCCGCCAATGTTATCATACGCCTTGGGTTCATTAGGATTTTTAACAAATTTCGATTTTGAAAATTTTAAACAAGAATTACCCTTAATATTGAATCAAAAGGTTAAAACAAATTTAAGAATGAGACTAAAATGTAATGTTTACCGTCGACACACAACAAAAAAGGATCCTATCACAGGGAAAAAATTGTGTTATATGGAATGTGTGGCTGAACATCATGTATTAAACGAAGTTGCCATTGATAGAGGTCCAAGTCCGTATATATCTATGTTAGAATTGTATGGAGATGATTCACTAATGACTGTTGCTCAAGCAGATGGTTTGATTATTGCTACACCTACAGGTTCTACTGCCTATTCCTTAAGTGCTGGAGGTTCTTTAATTTATCCATCAGTTAATGCTATTGCAGTAACGCCCATTTGTCCCCACACATTGAGTTTCAGACCAATTGTTTTGCCTGATTCGATGAAATTGAAAGTTAGAGTCCCATCGAAATCAAGAAGTACGGCCTGGGTGGCGTTTGATGGTAAAAATAGGGTAGAATTGAAGAAGGGTGATTATATCACTATATGTGCAAGTCCGTATGTTTTCCCCACAATAGAATCCTCACCAACAGAGTTCATTGATGGTATTAGTAGAACCATGAATTGGAATATCAGAGAAAAACAAAAATCATTCACTCATATCCTTTCACGTAAGAATAGAGAAATTTTTGCCACAGAGGTGCATAATTCCGAGAGTAGTGAAGAAGAATATATAGAAGAAAGAAGAGCTAATTTACTGGCATACGGTAGACCACTAAACAGTGAAGAAGAATGTTCTAGTGAGGAATCAGATATAGACGATAGACAACAATGCTCGAAGGTTCAGTAATGCAGATGCCAAGCCATTTTGAAAAAATAGCAATATGTGTGTGTGTGAATAATAGGCCTTTTGTGTAATTTTTCTTTCTGTTTTTGTTGTTTTATATACCTCCTTTACTATATATTCTTTTTTTAAACCAAGTCACAATAGATACATTTGCAATCAGAAACAGTTAAATAAAAATAAAACAAATTGTAACTTATTGCAGTTTGAGGTGTTACTGGATCAGTAGTGATGGATACCTTTGAAAACAGTTTAATCATAAAAATAGCCCACAGTTTCCTGAATTGGAGAGTATCTTTATTGTTTTATCTAAAACAGAAAAATAGCGAATAACAGAACCAAGCATTCGCGAAAAGTTGTGAAATATTTTGTCCTAAATGGGTAAGAGACTCGAGAATAAAAAAAATAAAAAAAGAAATCTGCAAAGCCCTTACAAGAGATCTCATATTTCTTTCTCGAGGAGAAGAGCTGGTGTATAGAGATATAAAAAGAGAAGGATGAATAAGGTCGATGTAATGAAAGCAGGAACATGCTGTAGTCTTTACGTTACGGCTTTGCCTGTTTAACGGTTGAAACTAGCGTTGATAGTTCTGTTCTGTCCTGCCTCGTTTTGTTTTGCTTCATTTTGCTTTCTAGGGTCCTAACAAGATGACTTCCATCTTACATATCTCTACTCTTCTCCTGGTGCTGCTTAATCAAATTTTGGCTACCGAAGTTTATCATTGTAATTCTACGATTTCGTGTCCTGAAAAGTATCCATGTTGTTCTCGAGCGGGTGTATGTGGTACAGGCACATACTGTTTGGGCAACTGTGATCCAAGATATTCCTATTCTTTGAACTCATGCATGCCAGAACCTATCTGCAAAGATGTTAATACCGTTTTCAGCAATTATAGGTCTAAGATTGTTAATGCAGACACATATCTGGGTAACACGAGTGAGGCAGATTGGACTTACTCAGGTTATATTATGGATTATGAAGAAGAAGATGCTTTAATCTTAGCTATGCCAAAATACTCCGGTGGTACTTTATTAGCTTCTACACGTGATATCTGGTATGGGAAGGTTAGTGCTAAATTAAAAACATCACATTTAGCAGGTGTAGTCACTGCATTTATTCTGTATTCCAATGTTCAAGATGAAATTGATTTTGAATGGGTTGGTTCGGAGTTAAACACAACACAGACGAACTTCTATTGGAATGGTGTTTTAAATTATACTAACAGTTTTAATATTTCTACCACTAATACATTCGATGACTATCATACCTATGAAATTGATTGGCACGAAGACTACATAAAATGGTCAGTGGATGGTGTTGTTGGTAGAATTTTATATAAGAATGAGACATATAATAGTACTACTGGTATTTATCAATTCCCACAGACTCCAGCTAAGATTGATATCTCAATTTGGCCAGGTGGTAACTCGACTAATCCTAAAGGTACCATTGCATGGGCTGGGGGTGAAATTGATTGGAATGCACCTGATCTTACAGACCCGGGCTATTATTATGCTATTTTGAAAGAAGTTAATATTACATGTGGTAAAGTTCCCAGTGGAATTACACAAAATGGTACGACTGCATATGTATATACCAACCACCATAGATATTTACAGGAAGATGTTGCTATTGTGAATAAAAGAACATATTTGGGGTCATTGGAAGCTAGTGGTGATGATCCAAATGCAGGAGTTTACAGTAGTTCTTCTTCTTCTACTTCTTCATCTTTTAGTAGAAAGTCGAAGAGTGAAAATAAAAAAAGTAGAAGTACCGACAATTCTGGTCCAACCACGAAAGAATCTACAACATATACATCTACCACGAGTAAAGTCGCTACGAGTATTCAAGTGACATATGTGACAGAGGCACTCTTAATTAATGAGACATTTAGTAGTACAGTAAATAAAAAGACACTATCTGGTAACTACGGTAGCATTAATAAAGAACCTTATTTCACAATTATAATAACATTCCTTTTAAATATATTGCTGGTGTAAACTTTTTTTTTACGAACATTAGATACCAAATTATCTATACCTTCTATTACTTTGTCATATGTATATTAGATTCTAGAACATTATAGTTACTATTGAAATAGATATTCCTCTTATAAATTAATCAAAATTTCTATTAATAGGCCAGGCGTCAACCCTCATGTAATTGGTACCGACTAAGAATAAAAAAGAAAATTAGGAATAGAGACTACTCTAGGAATTTCGATGAATATATATTATGATGGATGAATACGTAATAAGATATATAAATAAATAGATAAACAAATAAATAAGACAACTTAATATTTACAACCTAACATGAAATGAAGCAACAAATAAACAAAATAAAATGAAATAAAATAAAAATGTCACGCGGAAAAATTAAAGTGATAAAATCTTACATCATGTCATTTTCTATTATTTATTTTTTTTTCCTTTTATTCTATTAACAATTAACAATAAATAAATTTGGAATTTTTCTTACACATGAAAATCACTTTCTTTTGTATTTTGTCCCTTTGGTTCCTTTTGTACATTGTTTCTCTTCATTTATTTCTATTTTTTTTTCTTCTTTTACTCTTTTAGAGAGAATGTGGGTTTATATCAAGCACCTACTCAGAGGCAGCCTTTTTCATATAAGCGATTAAGTCTGCTCTGTCCTTTTCCTTCTTTAAACCAGCAAAAGCCATCTTGGTACCTGGAATGTATTTCTTTGGGTTAAGTAAGTATTCGGACATGTTGTTTTCGTCCCAAAGAACGTTCTTCTTAATGTTAGCATCGGTGTATGAATAACCTGGAGCCTGACCAGAACGTCTGCCAAAGATACCATGTAAGTTTGGACCAACTTTGTGTGGACCACCTTCCTCGATGGTATGACATTGTAAACATCTAGTCTTGAAAAGAGTAGCACCTTTCTTTTCAGATGGAACACCAGAGGATCCTTTGTCTTTAGCCATTTTAATAGTTTAATTATATATGTTAATGGTTATGAAGTTTTTGTTTTTGTTTTTGTTTGTTGTGTATTAGATACGTAGATTAGCAATAATCTCTGTTATGATCTGTTTAGTTTTATCGCTTAGGAGGGGCAAGGAAGAAACGATAAACACTTGAAAGCGGAAAATGGTGAAGATTTATACAAGGTAATCCAGACTTACGCTGAAAGGTTGGAGGATGATGACCAACATATGCATATGTATACACACACATATATATATATGTGTGTGTGTGTGTGTTTTTACATCTCAAGGAACAAACACAAGGTTTGACCGATATATAAATTTTATGCTCAGACAATTAGTAAGTTATAATATAGTTATCAAAGTTAAATCACATGAAGTTCTCTCCTTTCCATGTGTCGATGACATAACACAAGCAAATACGCCATTGGACAAACATAGGGGGTTCCACTATTATCGTAGTTTGTGCACAACAATAATAATAACTAGAATGAGGATGAAGATGAGGATGAGGATTCGATCAAGTTGAACATATTAGTAATAAAAAAACAAAAATAGTATTTCCGGTAGTAGAAATCAATTCTTACTGGCTCAATCGACACAACACATTCTAATAGTTTGTTTTGTCTCATCTCTTTTTAGTAATGGTGGCGATTCAAGGAGGGGGAGAGAGAAAAAAGGAGAAGGAAAAAAAAAAGAAGCAAAGACGTGGGTAGAAATTTTCCTTTGTTTCCCTTTTTTCTTATTGTGTGCTTTTATCCGTAATACCCGCAAACCCCGGAGATGTTATACAAAAAAATAATTAAGACTGCTTGTGTGTGTTTGAAGTATAGAAAGAAAAAATGTCATGAAGAGGAATCGAACACATAGATGTGTTAATGATGTAAGGATGTTTTCTATGTTAATTTTTTATCCTTTTTTTTTTTGATATCAAGAAAAATGAAAAACTTTAAATCCAGCTATATAAAAAAAATATAGAAATAACACTACTTGTTTTCTACTGGAAAAAGTCGATGTTATTCAAATTTTCATTTGGGATAAACCCTAAGAGATTTTACACAATGCATCTTTACGCGCCATATAGCCTGTTTAATATAGTTTTCGAGTAGAATATTGTCGAAAAAATATAAAAAATTAGCAATTAACATTTTAAGTTATGTATTTATCAATACAAATATTTGCAAAAATATTTGTATCTTCAGCCAGTGTATTTTTTATAAATTGAGTTTAACATTTTATAATTATGTTTAGAAGTTTTAAGTTACATTGCACATGAAAAAGTTTTAAATGAATAAGTCTAATTCATCCCCTCGTCCCAAATACGTGGTTTTTTACTCTTAGATTAAAGTTAATAACGTTTTGGAAAGCGTTTATTCTTTTATATGATTTAAAAATACCATTTTTTATTTCTACATATAGTTCTAATGTAAGATATTTCTTTACTTTTTCTGATAAAACAGAGACAAAGTTTAAACTAAATAACTTTTCTTTTTTTTACAAACAGAAACACATGAAACAGATGATTAGAAGAATGTAAAGTTATTATAATTAATCAATATAAATTAGAAGGAGAGAATATACTTAACTTGAAAAAAGATTGAATCACACTCTTTGTGAGCTCTAGTTATCTATATTGGAGGTTTACAAAAAGCAAATGGTAATTTAACATTAAAGTACTATTGTTTCTATTCCTTATAGTAAATTCGTCTTCTTTATACATTTGTTAGGTTTTGCATTTAAAAAAAAGTTGCAAGAGTAAGATAGAGACGGAATTTTTAAAAGCTACAGGAAAACAGTATACTTTAGTTAAAAGCTATTTAAGTAAGAAGTATAAGAAAGCAATTCGTTTATGTAACGAAGACATTGTAAATTGTAATAAAAATAAGAAGTCTAAAAGGATGTCACATTTAAACCATTTGTGATTGCAAGTAGACAAATATAATATAGTCATGATAACTCACGACTTTTAAAGATCTTACTGGAATGGAAGAGTAGGTGGTAGAGAAAAAATAGCAAAATATATCAGTTGTGTGGATAATGCAATTTGGCACAGTAATGTTCCGCTAAATATAGCTTAACTATATTCTAGAATGAGTATTTGAAGGTATTTTAGATAAGATTGAATAAAATTGTAAGTATATTTGTTGATTTTATTTGATTTTTGTTATTCTAACCCACATATGATGATGCCATTAGACTGAAAGTATACTTTATTTGTTTGTTTATTTTTCAGATACTCTTTATTGCAAAAAAGTATATTTGTGAAATATTATTCATTTCCTTTTTTGGAAATACCAAAGGAATTTCATATAAAAAAAATTACATTGCTCTTTTTTTTTTGTTTGGATTCCTACTCTTAACAACAATCTCAAAAAGAAAAAAAAAGTAATAATCATGATAGCAAAACTACCATAAGAACAAAGATGATATAGTAACTACTTTTGAAATACGAGATTAATTATTAGGAAATAAGCAATTCAATAAAGACTTATAAAAAAAAGTTGACTTAACGTTGCGACACACACATTTCATTCTAGTATGGTTGGTAAAGTTTTCTTATTAGACATTGAAGGTACAGTTTGTCCAATTTCATTTGTTAAAGATATATTATTTCCATATTTTGTATCCCAAGTTCCACAATTAGTCTCGCAAAGACATCTCTCTAATGATAAAAAAATTGATGAGATTTTAGATTCTTTTGGTATTGAAGATAATGATGTACTAAAGACTCATATCTTGGACCTTGTTTCTCGTGATGTGAAGGATTCAAAATTAAAGTCGTTGCAAGGCTTTATATGGGAGAATGGTTATATTGATGGATCTATTAAAGCACCAATCTATAAGGATGCAATCGAATTGATCTTCAACCCAAGTAATAGGATTTATATCTACTCAAGTGGATCAGTTAAAGCACAAATTTTATTATTTAAATATGCATGTCAATTTGATGATGTTAACAAAAAGTCGATTGATTTGACTCCATTTATTAAAGGTTATTTCGATATCAATACTTCAGGTCCTAAGATTGAATCAAAATCATATGAGAATATACTAAAAGATATTGGTGAAAAGGGTGAAAATATACTTTTCTTAAGTGATAATCCATTAGAATTAGATGCTGCTAAACAATGTAATATTAACGTTGGGCTAGCATTAAGAGATGGTAATAATCCAGTAAAGAATAAAGAAGATTATCCAAATTATACTACTTTTGAGAATTTGTAATATGCTTTGTTTTTTATTTTTCTTTAATTAAAGAAAAATAAGAGGGAAAAAAAGAGCAAGTAAGTTAAACATATCCATGTATTTTCCTTATACATTTATAGTTCTACGCTATTTTAGTATTGTGTAACTTTAGAGTGTCATAATAACGCTGTAAACAATTGATATCTACTTTGTCTTACTTTATTTTTTGTACTTAATACACACATATATCATTAGAAAGTTGATTTTTATACTCTCTTTATATGCTATATATATATGTGTGTGTGTTTATATACATTATATCTGTTTATCATATCTTAAACGATTCTTTTTCTTGTTTCTCTCTCTTACTTGTTTTGTTAGTCTTTTTTTTCTTTATTCTTTGTTTCCTGCTCTTTTACATATTGGTGACTTTTAATTGTCAGCATATTCACTGAATAACATATTGGCAGCAATTTCTTCATTTTTATCACAAGCAAAATAAACTTGGATGACTAAGGACCTTTCAAAACCTAATTCACATAATCTGTTGATGGCCACCTCATCCTCTGGAGTGATATCTAATTGTGGGAGAGCAGAGGCTAACGACCCTTCTGCTTCAAGTTCATGGTCACCTGTTTCAATAGCTTCTGGAGCGGTAAATTCATCCATTGCCTGTAGATTATCACCAACGGCTTCCAGTAACATGGAGATAAAGGCTTCTGGGTTTCCCATTATTTGTTGACGTAATTGTGGATATCTGGTACTTAAATTTTCTAATAATGGTGCTAAAGCTTCAGGATTACCTGATATAACTTGTCGTAATGCTAATAAATCTTCTACAGTTAAACCAATAGACCCTGGTATACCAGAACCTGCCTCACCAGTGGCTGCTGCTGTACCAGATTGTGTATTAGTATTTCTAGATAGATCTTGTGGGGTGCTAGTTCCACTGGCTTGTGCAAAAAGATCTTCTTCATCAGGTGGTAATTCTTCATTTGTATCATTGTTATTATTGTCGTTGTTTGGGGTTCCATTATTGGATTGTGAAGTAGTAGAGGGACTTACTAGACGTTGTTGTAAATGTTCAGGAATCCCCATTAACAAATATTCTACAGCTCTATCAGGATTGTTAAATGCAGCTCTAAGTGCTCTTTCAACTTCTTCTCTTTGATAACCCATTTCCATGATTCTTTCAACAGTTTCATTTCTTTGTAATCCAGTAACAAAGCCGCTATCTTGGTTAGAAGGTTGTGATTGTTGGGGTTGTTGTGGTTGCGTCTCAGTAGTAGTCGAAGTTTCGGTATTAGCATTTGCATTTTCTGTACTTTCTTTATTTTCTGTGGATGATGTTGAGGGTTCAGTGACTTTAATTGTGCCTGCTGACTGTTCAATAGTATTGTTGTTGGTTGTTATAGATTGCTTCTTTTTCGAGATCATTAATATGACATTGTCCCCATCTTTTAAACCTACATCAGTTAATGTTTTATTATCTTGTAAGACTTTCCCAGAGAAGATTAATTTAATTTGTGAGGGTTCGCATTTTTTAGTTAAGGATAATTGTGTTTTAACGTCTTGAATAGTTTGTGACAAATCTAGTTCTAGTGTGGTCTTCTCCTTTTTGAAATCTTTGAATGTAATATTAACCATCATGATTTAGACAGCTCTATTATTATTATTATTAGTTTTTATTTTTTTTATTACTCTATTTCTTTTTAAAAACACTTCACCTTTATATTCAGAAAAAAAGTGAAAAACAGATCGATAAGTATTTACGATGTTTTTTTTAACTATGTTATGTATTTAATCACAAAAAGCTCTTTTAAGATAAGTGTACCTTCAAATTGTTTTGTAATAGTATCATTATCGTTATCGTTACTATTATTATTTGTTGCAAATGTCTACATTATTTCTAATTAATTCTCTTTTTCTTTTTTTGGGTTTTTTTTTGTCCTACGTTAAACGGTTTATTTCGAAGAAAAATTAGTGGCAACAACAGCAACAACAAGAAAGAAAGAAAAAAAAATTTTTTTTTGTTTTTCTTTTTGCAAGCATTAGGGTGTATGGGTGTGATGCCCTAGTTGCAACATAATCATTACTAATGTTTACTATGTGTGTTTATTGTATTTGTGGAATTTATTTCTGGTGAAGAATAGTTAGGGCTTGTAGTGGGGAATAGATGTTTTTCTGTTTTACTGTTCCCTGTTGTTAGGGTTTCACCAATCTTTTTTATTTATTTCTAAGGTGTTTTTTTTTGTTTTTTCCAATCTGTAAATTCCAGAATTATCTGTCAACCTGTTCTATGGTAAGTTATCTTTAGTAACCACTTTATTATTTTAAGAGACGTTAGTTATCTAAACGTTAGTTTATCTAATTAACGATTCGGTTATTTTGAAAATTCTAGTAGAGATTTAGTCAAAAAAAAAAAGAAAAAATAAAATAAAATAAAACAAAGAGATGAAGAAAGAAACTAAAAGATTGAAGAGTAAGCACAAACGAAAAAGATCAACACAAACTTTAATTCAGAGAAAAGTGGCCGAATAATAATAATAATAATAATAATAGTAATAATGATAATAATGATAATAATGATAATATAATAATATTGAATACTACAGATGAATAACGATATTCTTTCATTTCATGTATACATTTTAACGGTGTCTCTTTTTTAATTTTTTTTATTTTATTTTATTCTTTTTGCGCTCTCTCTTTCTTTCTCATCCAACACACTTTGTAATTAATAATATAATACAAGATTATTTCTCATTACACCGAAAAAAAGGACCCACACGTGAACCCATACACCCAGATCTTGCTGAGTACTGAATCAAAGTTCGTTTAGAATTATATTCTCTTCCATGTTCCCTTTTTCCTTTTCCTCTCCCCCCGCTCCCTCCCCTTTATCGGCAGGAAATGCTGAAAGAGAAATAAATAGAGAGAGAGAGAGAGAAAAAAAAATCTATCAACATGGACGAAGAAAGAAAAAAGAAACGAGGAAAATAAGATTTGTTTAGAGGATGAATTTATTACCGATACAACTCTCCTCTCCTCCGCCTTTTAAAATCAAAATATCGTACTTTAAAAAAAAAAAAAAAGTTTCCCTTCTCTGTATTATTTTTCTATTCTATTATTTCTGTTTTTTTCTTTTTCTTTTCTTTTTTTCTTTCTCTGTTGTTGTCGTCGTTGTTTTCAAAAACCCCTTCATCAAAGGAAAAAAAAAAAAAAAAGAAAAAGAAAAAAAAACATTCTTTTTTGTACAAAGTGTTTTTTTTGTTCCTTTGTTTATTTCTTTGTTTTTTTTCCTATTACTATTGCCATTATTTTTCTTATACTGGAAAAATTCAACGACATGATTGAGATTGATGAGGTTGAGAATGAAAGGGACGATGAAGGGGAGAAAAAAATTTTTTTTATATATAAACGTAAAACAATCTTAGCACATGGGTTCCCTTACCGCCCTCATCTCAAGCTTCAGCTGACTCAATTACTTCCACTTGTAATTCAATAGTATGTAGATTAACTCTGAAAAAGAAAACTTTATACTTAGAAAACCAAACATCCTATTTTTCTCCCTTTATCCACATATATATATACACATATAAGATAAAAAAATGTCTGACGAAGAACACAATTTCGAAGTTGCTGATGCTGGTTCCTCTGCCACTTACCCAATGCAATGTTCTGCTTTAAGAAAGAACGGTTTCGTCGTTATCAAAGGTAGACCATGTAAGATTGTTGATATGTCTACTTCCAAGACTGGTAAGCACGGTCATGCTAAAGTCCACTTGGTTGCTTTAGATATTTTCACTGGTAAGAAATTAGAAGATTTATCTCCATCTACTCACAACATGGAAGTCCCAGTTGTTAAGAGAACTGAATACACTTTATTAGACATTGACGATGGTTACTTATCCTTAATGACCATTGATGGTGACACTAAGGATGATGTTAAGGCTCCAGAGGGTGAATTAGGTGAACAATTACAAGCTGCTTTCGATGAAGGTAAGGACTTAATGGTCACCATCATCGCTGCTATGGGTGAAGAAGCTGCTATTTCTTTCAAGGAATCTGCCGGTAACTAAGTTAAGTCTTTTTAAACATATTCTTTTAACCCTTTCTCCCCTTTTTTAACTTTTTTTTCCTCTTCCCCTCACTTTATCCTAAATTTTTTATATATATAAAATTATATTATATTATTATTACAATTATTTATTAAATTTAGTTTATTGCATTGATCTTTAATAAAATATTAAATGTTTAGTCATATGTACATATATATATATATCTCTTTTTTTTGTTAATGCGTTTATTTATAGAAATGCAAAGGAGTATATTTTTTTGATTGGGAAGTGGCGTCCGTGTTTCCCATTGTCATATTGCTGATATAAATAATCGTGGGTGTAAGGTTACTTTATACTCCTATACATTAAAAGAGAAAAATATGTAAAATAAAAAAGAAAAAGAAAAAGAAAAAAGTAAAAAGTAAAAAAAGAAAAATAGTCATTAATAAGGGATTAAAGGTACCTATCCCAATTTTTACAATTTTAATGACTTTATGATGGGAAGAATTTCATGCATGAATAAACGGAAAAACAACTGATTTATCCTTTGAGGATTAAGAGTGTTTTGAAATTGTATGTCTAATAGATATTTTGTTATATATAAATTAGATAAAATAAAATTTCCCTATAATCATTACATATAGATTAAGAAAATGCACAGATGTGACTAGTTTACTTATAAAGCTGGTCAAGAATAATTATTGTAAATATATATATATTTATTTATTTATCTTTTATGTTTCTGTTGGAAAATGAGAGTTTATTACTGTCATTTTCATAAGAATTATGTTTAATTAATTTTTCTGTATATTATGTGGTGTAAGGATGTACCATAATATCAGGAAGACATTTTATTTGTCACCAAATATGTTTTTCGAAGATTTGAAAAGAAATGAAAAACTTTAAAAGAAAACTTAAAGTAAATAAAAGAATGTATACTGAATACACTATATAATAAGTATATACATATATTTAGTACACAATACAAAAAGCATCTATAACTTAATGATGTCTACCATTACCATGGACGCAGAAGGCTCCAAATTCCAACAGTTTCTAGTTTTTTGAGCATATATTTAACCTCCTAAATTATTTGCATTCCAACATTTATTTTTACTGGCAAGGAAATTATTCTTTTAAAATAATTGAAGTGGCACTAGTTTATTAGTTTATAGTCCTTCAGGTAGTATATTTTTATTTTATGTCGGTAGAATTTTTTTTGATGTTACTCATCAACATTGTAATTATATTGAATTGATGAATAAACTTCATAAATAGTGCAGTAGTTGGGAAGTAATGGATTATGGGTCCAAAGAAGAATAGGGAATAGAATGCAAATCACGAACAGCAGAAAATTTAACAAACCACTTAAGTGCTACATCACCAATATTATCAGAAAAAATGAAAATTTTATGAAAATTTTTCAATAATTAGGTGAAGATAGATTCTTAAATCTAGTGATAACAAAAATTTAAGTAAACTAACTGCCGGACAAGTCAAACATGTAAATAGTTGTGCAATCTTGATGGTTTGAATAGAAACATGATTGGTTGGAGATTCAAATATCTTAAACAAAATAAAAATAGGTAGAGATAGAGATGTTCATTGTTGTGGTTTGAACTTCAAAAAAAAAAAAGAAAAAAAAAACTAGATAGTTAGACTATCAAAAGAATAAAGAGAATAATATTAACTATAAAAAAAATGCTACATAGAGGAACTAAAAAAATAATTAATGATTCTTTGTTGCCTTCTGTATAATAAAAATACCTATGACTATAAATTAGTCTCAAGTATAATTTTGTTTGCTAAAATAATCGATCGTTATATATAAATTTGTGGAGTAATAATTTCATTAATTAAATTCTATGGTTCTTAACAAATGTTCGTCTAAGCTCTTTTATCGTTAAATCAAAAAAGGCCTTTCTTTACTAAGAGTATTGTATGTATATTTACTTTTTGGTCTCTTACTATTTGAAACTGTTGGAGCTCTCTTTTGTTCTTAGAGAATGTTGTAGTTCGGACTTAGGACCAATTTTTTTAATAGGACTACTGAATAAATAGTAAGGGCAATAACAAATATATAAGAACGTTATATATAGGAGAATTAAGGATTATTGCTTGTTTTTTTTTTATTATGTTTATATACAACATATAGATAATTTACGAAAAAACTGTTATGGAAGATGATCTTTTATCTCCAGAAAACGTTGTCCTTTTATATGTTTTCTGGAGCTTGATCAATTATTCAGATTTGTATATTAAGGAACTTAGTGATCCAAACCCTAAATTTTATTACATTAATCTAGGTGCACTAGTGGATTAGAACTGCACCCCAATTCTTTAATCATGGTAATTGTTATTAATCTATTCTACAACAGAGAACAGCTGTTGTAGCTTGGTGTGGTGAAGTTCTTTGTGTATTCCAGGGAAGCGCAAATAATATTAATAGTAATCCAAATAATCGAGACAGTAATCAACTATAGTCGATAGTATAATTACTAAAACGGTCTTATATATTAAGCGGCTTATATCGAGCTAATGTACTTATTCGAAGTTACTTGACTTGTTACTTGCTTGTTTTTTTATTTATGTTTATATATAATATATATATTATTCACAAGAAACGGTTATGGAAGATGGTCTTTTATCTCCAGAAAACGTTGTCCTTTTATATGTTTTCTGGAGCTCGATCGATTATTCAGGTTAGTGCATTAAATTAGTACATTAATAATCTGACTGGTTCAATCCTAAAATTTATTACATTAATTTAGTGGATTAGAACTGCATCCCAATTCTCTAATCATGGTGATTAGTAATACACGTGGGACTTAATAAAACAATAGGTAAATTCTAGATTTGCCAAGATCTTATGTAATCCAATCTTTTTATTATGCAGCATCTAATGTTGTAGCACATGTATGGCTTATTAATACACTAATTGGTTCTAGATTCATTCAGGATCTTATGTAATCTTGATGGTTATAACTATTCTATTCCACAACAACAGCAGATTTGGGCAACTTGGCCGAGTGGTTAAGGCGTAAGATTAGAAATCTTTTGGGCTTTGCCCGCGCAGGTTCGAATCCTGCAGTTGTCGTTTCTTTTTTAACTATGTAAGTTCGATATTTTTTTTCTTTGCAGATTTGTTGTTGTTCTGTTACCATTAATGTAAGTGTAATAGATGAAGACCTATTACCAGAACACTAAAATTGATATGTGATTTCCGGTTGTTATCTAAATGCAATGTATAAATTATACTCTACACAAAGAGTAAAGTAACATGTACAGATATACATATACGTATATAAACAAGAAAAACAAGAACATTGTCACTAACTAAAGAGTTCATAAGACCGTCTGTAGTAACATCAGGATTTCATATGTCACAGTAAGTCTTTCATAAAGGGACACTCTAACATGAACACTCGTAATTAACCTATAGTTATCAGTATCTAATAATAGTCGGCTCAGAAATAATATCAATAATAAATCACTTGGAGAGATATAAGAGATAGATCTATTCTATATCATTGGATTCAATATTAAAGATACAACTACATTGATATCACTATATATCTTTTTATCTCACCTTTATTCTTCTTGGTTGTTATTCTTCTTTTATAGGTTAATATTAACTCAGAAACAATTTTGCATAACAGAATAAAAAAATAAACAAAAATTACTTTTCCTAATTGGGGAATATCAGACTGATCTCGCACTTTTTTTTCATTTTTTTTTTTTTTGGATTTGCATTTTTTTTTATGAATTTGAAATATGTATTTTTTTGTAAAATATGGTTTCTTTTTTTTGCATTAGAGATCGAAACCAATAGGATATCAAATAAAAGCATTACTAAAATATAAAATGGAAAGGTGAGCTATTTCAATAAATTGCTTATCACTAGCAACTTGTACGAAAAGAATATTCGTGTTACAATATAGTATTTGGTGATATAGCTGAAGTGCATCTTTTTCATTCTGGCATTTTTTTTAGCTATGTCTTTTGCGGAGTCTACTACGTTAGGAAATACACAATATGAATTAGATGCAGGGAATACATTTGCACCAGATGCAGTATTTAATGATAGAGTAAGAAAATTCCAAGAATTTTTCGATAATTATGGAGTGTACAAGGAGGAAATTACTAGAATTCAGGCATATAATAATTCTGTATCTTTGAATGATAAAGAAGAAGGTTTTGATGATGATCTAGATTTAGATAATGATAAGATTAATAAAAGCAAAGAAACAAGCTCTACATTTAATATATTACCGCAAAGAATTACCATTTCATTAGACGATTTGAGGGAGTTTAATAGAGATGCATGGATTGGTATTTTGACACAACCTGCTTATTTTATTCCACCTGCAGAAAGAGCCTTAACTGAGATGGCATCTACTTTAGAAGATGCTCAAGTTATAAGAAAGAATGGTTTTAACACTGATAAAATAGCAGCAAATAAGCCCTGGAAATTAGCGTTTAAGGGTTCTTTTGGGGCTCATTCATTGACACCAAGAACTTTAAATTCACAATTTCTGAATAAATTAGTATCTATTGAGGGAATAGTTACAAGAACATCATTGGTAAGGCCAAAGTTGATTAGATCTGTTCATTATGCAGAAAAAACTGGTAGATTTCACTATAGAGATTACACAGATGCGACAACATCATTAGTAACACGAATTCCTACACCAGCTATTTATCCAACTGAGGACCCAGATGGTAATAAATTGGCCACAGAGTACGGGTATTGTACATATATGGATCATCAACGTATCACAATCCAAGAAATGCCAGAAATGGCTCCAGCCGGTCAATTACCTAGATCTGTTGATGTTATTCTTGATGATGATTTAGTAGATAGGACAAAACCAGGGGATAGAGTTAATATTGTTGGTGTATTTAAATCTCTTGGTGCTGGTGGGTTGAATCAAAGTGAATCAAAGGCACAACATGGGTTTAGAACTTTGATTATCGGTAATGCAGTGTATCCATTACATGCACGTTCTACTGGTGTTTCAGCTAAAGAAGTGTTGACTGATTTTGATATTAGAAAAATTAATAAATTATCTAAGAGGAAAGATATTTTTGATCTTTTATCACAATCTTTGGCGCCATCAATCTATGGCCATGAACATATTAAAAGGGCTATCTTGTTAATGCTTATGGGTGGTGTAGAAAAGAATTTGGAAAACGGTTCACATTTAAGAGGGGATATCAATATTCTTATGGTTGGTGACCCATCTACTGCTAAATCCCAATTATTAAGATTTGTTTTGAACACAGCATCTTTGGCAATTGCTACTACAGGTAGGGGTTCGTCTGGTGTTGGTTTGACTGCAGCCGTCACTACAGATAGAGAAACTGGAGAAAGAAGACTGGAAGCTGGTGCAATGGTTCTTGCTGATCGTGGTGTAGTATGTATTGATGAATTTGATAAAATGACAGATTCTGATAGAGTTGCTATTCATGAAGTCATGGAACAACAAACAGTGACAATTGCTAAAGCAGGTATTCATACCACTTTGAATGCACGTTGTTCTGTTATTGCTGCTGCAAATCCAGTATTTGGACAGTATGATATCACTAGAGATCCACATCAAAACATTGCTCTTCCTGATTCATTATTATCTCGTTTTGACATGTTGTTTGTTGTTACTGATGATATCAATGAAATTAGAGATAGGTCTATCAGTGAACATGTCCTAAGAACTCACAGATATTTACCACCAGGTTATCTTGAAGGTGAACCAGTGAGAGAAAGACTGAATTTATCACTAGCAGTAGGTACTGATGAGGAAGATGAGTTAAATGGTATCAATGGTCATGATGGAGCTAATGATGATGATGATGAAGATAAAGGTGTTTTCGAGAAATTTAACCCAATATTACAAGGAGGTGCAAAGTTGGCCATAAATAAAGGTAACTACAATGGTAATAAAGTTCCACAATTAGTAACTATTCCATTTTTAAGAAAATATATTCAATATGCAAAGGAAAGAGTTGTTCCACAGTTAACTAAAAGTGCAGTTGATGTTATAGTACAAAATTATGCGGAGTTAAGAAATGATGAAAATACCAAAAAATCACCAATTACTGCAAGAACATTAGAAACTTTAATCAGATTAGCAACAGCACATGCTAAAGTTAGATTATCAAAAACTGTCACGAAAAAAGATGCAAAGGTAGCAGCCAATTTGTTAAGATTTGCTTTACTAGGTGAAGATATTGGTAATGATGTAACATATGATGAAGAACTTGACAATGAAGAATCAGGTACCAGAAGGTCTCCTAAGAAATCCCCAAAGAAAAGACAAAGAGTGAGACAATCTGCAAGTACAAATGCTACTCCATTGAGAACACCATCTTTGTCGATGTCATCATCAATGGTAGCTACACCATTAAAGTCACCAAGTAAGTCTAGTGCAAAATCAAGTCCTCGTAGAAAATTGACATTTGGTCAGTTACAAGAAGAGGGTCACTCAGATGATATAAACGTAGACCGTGAAGGCAATAATATGATTCCATTACCAAGAGATGAAGAAGAAGAATTGGGGCAAAAGTTGGAAGCTGGATTAAGAATGTCTCCAAGACGTAGAAAGAATATTTTATCATCGCTAAATGGAAATGTTAATCCACTGGCAGAAAGAACAGGTACTAATATACCTAATGTCACTCTTGAACCTGTCACACCTTCGGCAATGTTGCCATATGAAGATAATGAGAATACCTCAGTATCAATGGGCGATGTAGAACCGGGTTCAATTTCAACAAGTAGGTTATCACTTATCTCTGGTATAATCGCTCGTTTGATGCAAACAGAATTATTTGAAGATGAATCATATCCAATGAATGCATTACTTGAAAAGATTAATGAAGAGTTGCCAGAAGAAGAAAGATTTTCAGAGGAAGAATATCTTGCTGGTTTGAAACAAATGGCAGATAGAAATAATCTGATGGTTACAGAAGACAGAATTTGGAGAGTTTAGTCTTTATGTATATATATATGCATGTATTTATATATATTTAAATCATTATCGCCTTTTTTTTAGGTGGTATTGTGATGATTTGATTTAAAGTGTATTATTAGTTTACAGTATGTTTTATTATTATTTATTTTTTTATTGCATTGGATAATTATAGCTGTATATATATTGGGGTTAATGTTTGCAGTATATAATGGGTTTGTGTCTTGTTAATGCATGGAAGCAGTACCACCTTCTGTTTGTTTATTTTTTGGTAGCAATTTATTAGTATTACTAAATTTTTATACATATCGTCAATGGGAAAAACTAACTTACAGACCTAAAGATTAAAAAATTAATAAAAAAAAAAAAACTAAATAATGAAACCACTATATTCATACATCTTATTAACAATGTACCATTATCACACATACAAAACATATACTAACTATATGAATACATACATACACATGTATAAAACATCAAGAAAAAAAAAACAACCAAAATAACTTGATTAATAAACTTCATACTTTTTGTTACTCTTAATACGTGGAATACCATTAGTACACTGTTCAAGTTAAATACAAATTATAGTCTCTATCAAGTATTTTGTGCCAGGACAGCTACTTGCTTCCCTAGTGACAGAACTCAAAAACCGTAACGCTATTCTGCAATAATTCAATTTCAATTCATTTAAACTTAGAAATGAGCTAAAATGGTGTATTTTTTTTTTTCACTTTTGGGAATTCAAAAGAAAAAAAAAAGAAAAAAAGAAAAACCCCGCCGACATTTTGAAAAAAGAACGAAAAAACGAAGAAAATAAACATTTTGGCAGATAGTGGAAAACCTCGCCGCAACTTGACACGTAAGTCCATTAACACTTAAAACAAACATTATACCTCTGATTTACACTACTTCTTAATGGAAACATAGACTGTGCATTTAAACTTTCTACATAACAAAACGTTTTAGTAGTCTCAATTGAGTTTAAAAAAAAAACTATATTCCTCAGATAGCTACAACACGCCGAAAAAACATGGCTGAGATAGTGTCTGTAAGAAGTCCTTTAGTGGAAACATCAAAACTATTAACACCTAAACCTTTAACAGCAAGACCTTACACTTTCCCGTTCTTCCCAATTTATGCCACTTTCATTCATATTTATTTTACACAATATGATAAATACATTAAAGGCCCCGAATGGACATTTGTTTACTTAGGTACTATCATATCACTTAACATGTTAATACTTTTAATGCCTGCATGGAATGTAAACATCAATTCCAAATTTAACTATAACACAGTTACAGACTTAGATAAGGCCACCCACGTTTTGATAAAGACTACTCCAAATAATGGTAGTGATGACATTGTTCCCATTCAAAGGATTGTAGAAGAAGGTCATTTACAAACTTTTTTCTCGTTCCAAAAGAAAAGATTCTTATTAAATGAAGATGAAAAAATCTTCTCTACTCCCAAATTTACAATCGATGAAAACCCAAGAGTTGGTGATTTCCAAAATTGTAATGGCCATTCTGGAGATTTAATTCATTTAAGAAGATTATATGGTGAAAATACGTTTGATATCCCAATTCCAAGTTTTATTGAATTATTTAAAGAGCATGCTGTTGCACCTTTATTTGTCTTCCAAATCTTTTGTGTTGCACTATGGCTTTTGGATGAAGCTTGGTATTACTCTTTATTTAATTTATTAATGATCGTCTCTATGGAAGCTGCTGCCGTATTCCAACGTGTTAGCACTTTAAAAGAATTCAGAACTATGGGGGTTAAACCATATCCAATTAATGTTTTCAGAGATGATAAATGGGTGACATTACAAACAAGTGAATTATTACCAATGGACGTCGTCTCTATTACAAGAACTACAGAGGATAGTGCAATTCCATGTGATCTGATATTAATGGATGGTTCTTGTATCGTCAATGAAGCTATGCTTTCTGGTGAATCTACACCTCTATTAAAAGAATCTATAAAACTACGTCCCTCTGAGGATAAATTGCAAGTCGATACTATCGATAAAATCTCTGTTTTACATGGTGGTACTAAAGCTTTACAAGTAACTCCTCCAGAATCTTCATACCATGGTATTCCAGTACCACCAGATCAAGGTGCTTTAGCTATTGTCACCAAGACAGGTTTTGAGACTTCTCAAGGTACTTTGGTTCGTGTCATGATTTATTCAGCTGAACGTGTTTCTGTCGATAATAAAGAAGCATTAATGTTCATCTTATTCTTATTAGGGTTTGCCATTGTTGCATCTAGATATGTCTGGGTTGAAGGTACTAAGATGGGTAGAATTCAATCTAAATTAATCTTAGATTGTATCTTAATTATAACCTCTGTTGTTCCACCTGAATTGCCAATGGAGCTAACCATGGCTGTTAACACTTCCTTAGCTGCTTTGTCAAAATTCTATGTTTATTGCACAGAACCATTTAGAATTCCATTGGCGGGTAGAATCGACGTTTGTTGCTTTGATAAGACCGGTACTTTAACTGGTGAAGATTTGGTATTTGAAGGATTGGCTGGTATTTCTGAAAAAAGTAGTGATATCCGTCACTTGTATAGCGCCTCTGAGGCACCAGAGACTACTTCTTTAGTAATTGGTGCGGCTCATGCTTTAGTCAAATTAGATAACGGTGAAATTGTTGGTGATCCAATGGAAAAAGCTACATTAAAAGCTCTTGGTTGGAAGGTCGATTTTAAAAACGTTACGATTAGTGATAAATTAGGCAAGTTGCACATAGAAAGAAGATTTCCCTTCTCTTCTGCTTTGAAAAGATCATCTTCAATTGCCACTTATAATGGTAGTCTTTTCGCCGCTGTTAAGGGTGCCCCGGAAACTATCCGTGAAAGATTAACTGCTGTACCATCCAATTATGATGACATTTACAAGTCCTTCACTAGGTCTGGTTCTAGAGTCTTGGCTTTAGCTTCTAAAAGTTTACCTAAGTTGACTCATACCCAAATCGATGACTTACCTCGTGATGATGTTGAAACTGAATTAGAATTCAATGGTTTCTTAATCTTCCACTGCCCATTGAAGGAAGATGCTATTGAGACAATTAAGATGTTGAATGAATCTGCTCATCGTTGTGTTATGATTACTGGAGACAATCCTTTAACAGCTGTTCATGTTGCTAAAGAGGTTGGTATTGCAGACAATAAGACTTTGATTCTTGATAGTGCCAGTGAATTGGACAGTCGACTATTATTCCGTAATATAGAAGAAACAGTCACTATCCCATTTGATGTTAATGATGATAAATTTGATTTCGATAATATCTTTAACCGTTACGATATTGCTATTACTGGCCATGCATTAAATGCTCTTCAAGGACACAATCAATTGGACAAGATTATTAGTCATACCTGGGTTTATGCTCGTGTTTCGCCTTCTCAAAAAGAATTCATTTTAAACACCTTAAAAGATCTTGGTTACAAGACTTTAATGTGTGGTGATGGTACAAATGATGTTGGTGCTTTAAAACAAGCTCACGTTGGTGTTGCTTTGTTAAATGGTACGGAGGAAGGTTTAAAGAAGGTCACTGAGCAACGTAGACTAGAGTCACTAAAGAACACTTATGAAAAACAAGTACAATTTTTACAAAAATGGAATCAACCAGCTCCTCCTGTACCACAACCCATTGCTCATCTATATCCTCCAGGTCCGCTAAATCCACATTATTTAAAAACTTTAGAAGCCAGAGGTACCCCTATTACTGCCGAATTAAGAAAAGCAGTTGAAGAAGCCAATTCCAAACCGATCGATAAGACAATCATTAATTCAAATACAGTTCAAGAAAAGCCTACTGGGAAAGACGTTGCATCTTTATTGATGAGTGTTGGTGAAATGGGAGATAGTGATGATGCCCCAACCTTAAAATTAGGTGATGCTTCATGCGCTGCTCCTTTCACTTCTAAATTAGCTAATGTATCTGCTGTTACTAACATTATTCGTCAAGGTCGCTGTGCTTTAATCAACACTATTCAAATGTATAAAATTCTTGCATTAAATTGTTTGATTAGTGCATACTCTTTATCTATAATTTATATGGCTGGTGTTAAATTTGGTGATGGTCAAGCAACTGTGTCTGGTATCTTATTATCTGTATGTTTCCTAAGTATTTCCCGTGGTAAACCACTACAAAAACTGTCTAAACAAAGACCACAAAAAGGTATTTTCAATGTTTACATTATGGGCTCTATCTTAAGTCAATTCGCCGTACATATTTTAATCATGGTTTATATCACTAAAGAGATATACTTAATAGAACCAAGAGAACCTCAAATTGATTTGGAAAAGAAATTTGCACCATCTTTACTAAATACAGGTATGTTTATCATACAATTAGTTCAACAAGTGTCCACTTTTGCAGTCAATTACCAAGGTGAACCATTTAGAGAGAATATTACAAATAATAAGGGCATGTACTACGGGTTATTAGGTGTTGCATCATTAGCAGTGGCAAGCTCTACAGAATTTATCCCTGAATTAAATGAAGCCATGAGATTCGTTCCAATGACAGATGATTTCAAATTTAAATTAACGTTATGTTTAGCGTTAGATTTCTTTGGTTGTTGGGGTGTTGAACAATTCTTCAAATATTTCTTCATGGACGACAAACCAAGTAATATCAGTATTCACAAAGTGAAGGTCCAAGAATAAGGATACTCTGATATACTACTTTTTGTTTTTGTATAGATTTTTATTATTCCTCTATTATGTTTTATTTCATTTAAACAGAACTTTTAAACTTTCAATTGTTTTTAAATAATAAAACAAACAAATGAAATTTAAAAGATCTCTATAGAAACTTTTATATAAAATAGAATTGTTATTGTTGTAATTTTTCCATAGTTTTCTTATTAAAAAAATTCTTTTATGTTATCGCTATTGGTTGTAATTAATTTACAAGTTATTAAATTTTAACATTTTTTTTCGTTTCATATTTTGTTTTCTTTCTTTCTTTTTTCTAATATCACTGATTAAAGAATAACACCTCGCAGTCAATTACCTTGTAAGTACAATCAAGATCTAAAACTACGGACTTAAAAATATTTCATTTCTGCCTTTGGATAATTAATAAGAGAAGAAATGGCTATAATAAGATCATCACTTCATTTGAAGTATAAAGAGGAAGAGGAGGCAAGCTCAGATATTATAAATAGATGAAAGCTGAATAGTTAATATCTCATTGACAAATTGGTATTCACTCAGTCATGAATACAACTGTCCCAATTCCATAGGCGATTGTATTAATATCACCTACTAACTATATAAATAACCCAAAAGATGCCATACCAAGAAGATTTTGAAGTGGAACAATTTATGGATAAATATGAAACCAGTGTTGAATACAACTTAGGCGAAACATGCTGTTATTCTTTGTCTCTTAATGAAATAGCGCAATTAGGCCATTGCGAACCGTTTAGGCTAGACACCAATTTAAGGCTCACTTATGGCGCAATCAAGGGGACTGATAATCTAAGAGAACAGATTGCATCACTCTATGGTCCAGATTTTTCTAAAAACAATGTCCTCGTCACGAATGGTGCTATTGCTGCTAATTTCTTGGTTTACTACTCTTTAATTGGTCCTGAAGACCATGTAATCTGTGTCCACCCAACTTACAATCAATTACACAGTGTTCCTAAAATGTTTAATGCTGCGGTTGACTTTCTTAGACTTAAAGAAGAAGATGGATATGCACCTAATATTGATACTTTAAGATCAATGATTAAAAAAATACTAAGCTAATCATTATCAATAATCCAAATAATCCCTTGGGAACAGTCATATGTGGTGATTTATTAAATCAAATCTATCAATTATGCAATGAAAACAATATTTACTTACATTCTGACGAAGTATACAGACCAATATTTCATTCTTTACCGGAAGAGACAATCAAACCACCAAGCGCTTGTGAATTATATAATAAAGCTATAGTAACAGGATCTATGTCCAAAGCATTTTCCTTAGCTGGCATCAGATTAGGTTGGATTATAACTAAAGAACATAATGTATTGAAAAGTGCCAGTTCTAGAAGAGATTATAACACCATCTCTGTAAGTATGATCGATGATCTAATCGCACAATATGCGTTACAAAATACTGAACCTATTATTAAACGCAATTATAATTTAGTCTTAGACAATTTGCAAATATTAAGTCAATTTGTTCATGAAAACTCTGATTTATTTGATTTTGTTGCTAAACCACAAGGTGGTACTGTGTGTTTGTTAAAATTGAAAATAATGAAAGATGGATATAAATTTGCTACATACTTAGCAGATAAATATAAAGTTCTATGTGTTCCTGGTGAAACATTAGGTATTCCAGGAACTTTAAGAATTGGTTACGCAAATAGTAAACACGATTTATTAAAGGGATTACCATTATTAAAAAAAGCTGTGTTAGATTGGACTGATCAACAATGAACACACACACACACACACACGTGCACCATATTGCTAGACGATTTTGAGACAATTTCTACATATATACTTCTTTTTTCTTTCTCGATTTTTTATACTATTAAATAATATTATAAAAACAAACCTTTTTTTCTCTTGTATAGTAACATTTATTGTTCAATTAAAATAAGACACCATCAACTCAATCATTACGATATAGTATTACCCATATTTATACACTCACATCTATAAAATAAAAATTAAAATTTTTTAATTATGAATTTTTCATCCTTAACAACAGATCCAAATCTAGCATTTTTACATGGTACAGTATCAAATAAATCTCTACATTGAACGATTTTCAACTCCATCATTTTCATTGTTTCAATAGAACCTATAGTAGACTTGATATTATCTGGTGCCATACTTTTAGTAACTAGCAAAACCCTTTGGATGACATTTAATACATCGTTAATTTGGTCTTCAAATGTTAGAGTGGAAGTCTCATCATTCAGAAGTTTATAAGTTCTATCTAATAGTAATGCAGAAAATAGGTCACCAACCCCAGTAAAGTATGAATCAATGTATGGAATACGGAATAAACTAGCCTCTTTATCTCTCATAGACGCGACACAATAAATGTGTCCTTCATCATTGAATAGCTTAGGATCACATGATGTAACTATAATAATTGGTATACTTTCATGAAGAAAGTGTAACGCATTCTTAAGCTGTTCAAAATTGGCAATTTTTTGGCCACATAATATTTCTAATTCAAATTGATTTGGAGTTATTATATCTACTATACCCCTTTCAGATAGAGCCAAATTTCTGTACTCTGGTATAACATCTTCATTTACATACAACTTGCCTTCATCTCCCATTACAGGATCCATTAGCCATAAAGTCTTCGGATTCTGTTTCTTAAATTCAGTGTAATGATGCCCCATGCATCTCACTGAATCTGCATTTGGTAAATATCCTGATAGTAAAGCTTCATAATCATGTGTAAAATTTTGAAATAATCCAGACAATAATTTGTTAAGATTATCCGATTTTGTGATGCTGCCAAAGACCTTATCCATACCATAACCTGTATGATTTGAAAATTGGACTGTGTTACAACAATCTACATCCCAGCCTAGACACTGTAATGGAAAGGTAGCTGCCTTATTTCCTACATAACCATGGACCACGTGCGATTGAGTAGCTAATAATCTTGGCATCTGTCTTCTATTTTAATCAGATAAATTGTACAATCCTTCTGCAATTTACAAAATTTTCCTTGTTTATATTCTTGGCTGTAGTCCAAATGCCAATTACACCCCTCAGGACTATCAAAATGGAAAAGATCCTTTATTATACCTAACAAAGTTTAACTTTTGACTAATATTTATTGAATTCATTTATAATTTTTATGGTCCAAAACTCTCGTTGCGATGACTAACTTCGAAAAAGCCGATTTCAGATTTCTAAAATTTTCGCCTTTCCTCTATTTCATTTTCTGTTATTGAGCAAATAGACAAGAAAAAAGGATCAAGAAATCAAAAGACAACCAGAGAAATAGATTAAGAAAGACAACGATTAGTAGAAACAAAAGACTACTACCCTTTCTATTAAAAAGAAAACACACACATACATGTACATAAACTTTACAGCACAAATCTACATAATACATAACAGATCTGTATAAAATTACTGTAATAACATATCTATTCCTTTTATTTAGTAAATTTTAACAGTGGAAAAACATATTACATAAATTCTTGACAAAGTTTGAAGCTTAATTTCTTACTTACAGACTTCTTCAATTCTTCTAACGTGGGTGGTAAGACTTCAGTTAAAGTTTCGTCTGATTCACTTAATAATGTCGTATAGATATTTTTAGTCATTTTATCAAAAGAATCCCATTTACTTTCCATCTGTTTGATAATTACAAAAACATCTTGATCCTTGATGATTTTTGAATCATCAAGTAAAAATATTGGATAAAGAAATTCTGCTATTAATATGACTAAATAATACCTTGGCAAATATTGAAAATCCAATAATAACATCAAGAGATTTAATGCATTTGTCCAATCTTTTTTATCTCTTGCAAGAAAAAACTTATAAAGAATGGCATATGGAGCCAATGTTTGTCTCATCACATTTGTGACAACATTTTGTAAAACCTCTCTTGAAATAACAAACTCACTATCATTTGTATAACCATCGTTGACAATTGCATTAAGCATTATATCATCTAATGGACTTCCTCTTAAAAGTGCAGCTTCAAATAGGGTCCATGAATATTCTTTGACAAAATTAAATTTACCGGCTTTACTATAATTTGTCATAGCTTCAATTGTCCTTCCTTCATAGATCATCGTACTTCCTAACATTGTATATAAGGATCTTGAAACTTCTGGCAATTTCCATTTAGCACAAATACCAAACATCCATTCAATATCATCATTAGTTTGGAATGGATAATGTAGTAACAACTCGGATAATGTATCTCTTTTACAACTAGATTTAACCTTAGGATTCAAGGATATCAAACCGACGGCAATAGCCCACAGATCTTTATTATCAGTGGAACATAATTCAAATGCAAAATTCATTAACATATATGATGCCATACCATTTCTTGGATCAAAAATATCATTGTTTTGTAAAAAATTGTTCATGATTGAATCATAATTTTGAAGATCCACTTCATTTTCATATGTATTCTCTAGCAAACCTTTTGCTTCTACCAAAGCTGCAGTGAATGAAGCTGTACATGTGTTCAAAGATTCTAAAATAGGCAAGATATTATAAACATTTCCGTTAATAATATCACAACAACTTTGCTCCCATGAACTTGTAACATCTAATGGGTTTGCGTTTAACGATAATTGTAAATATTCTGCAGCTAATTCCAAGGATGGAATATAATACAATAGCATACCACAGAAAGATTCATACCAGGTTTTAGAGGCAGCTGTTATTTTATTTTGATACCCACTAATAAGTAAAAGTGTATCTTCAATGTAATCACGTAATTCACCAGACACATTGGTCTCGCTATCATTATACGTTTGACTTAATTCTAAAGCAAGTGCCTTCCATTCTCTAAAAGTGTCCATCGAATCCATTGGATAATTTTGAACCAATTGAACTAAATCCTTAATTGCATTTGATGACACTTCACATATGTTTTCCAGATAAGGTATAATCTCGGATCTCTCAATACAACCTAAAGCTTGTTCAAATAAACCTCTTAATAACAATTGATTCAATAAATTCCAAAATAAAGAAATATCAAAAACGTTCTTATCACTATCATTTGACATTTGAAATATCTGTTCAATGTATACAGCGTTTGGTTCACCATCAGATCTATTAACCCATTTCAACAGACTCTGAATAAATCTCTTTCGTACATTATCAATATTTGGAGTATCTAAATCGAAAAATATTAGTTTCAAACAGTTAATAATAGTTAAAGAATCTTCTAAATCTAGATATTTATTTGTTAATTTTGAATCTGTTTTAATTGAATCAATATAATTTTCTAGTTCAGTAATAAATGTTTCCATAGCTAAATTTACTGTAGCCGTATGATCCTTTTCAAAACTCGAGGTTATAACACCTATCGTCGGTATAGAATAAACTTTATTATCACCCAAACTATCATATATATCGAACACTCTTTTAATATAATTGCAATATGATTCTGAAGTATCCATTTTAGGTAAAGAGACAGGATAAAGTCTTGTATTGTCTTTCTTAACAACAAAAGCCATATTTTGAGATGATATTGGACCTAGCTGAAAATGTAACTCTTCCTTTTCTCCTTTCTTTATAGGTAAATTACTATCTGGAGAAGTAAGCTTCATCATTAATTTACCTGTAACTGAATCTGTTAGAAATGAATCCTCATAAGAAGAATCACCATCATCAACTTGCTGTGTGTGAGTGTGAGTTTCAACTTCATTATTTTTATCGATATTGATGAAGTTCATAGTATCAACGTCCATTAGCATATTATCCAACGGTTTCTCAGTCATATTTGAACGAATAAATAGAGGAAGCGGAACCAAGAAAAAGTATATTTGTTGTGAATTTTTTAGAGTAATATGTATATTTGGTTAAATATATTTATTTTCTTCTAAATCTAATTCTGTCTAAAAATTATAAATCCCAACTCAATTGACCTAGAACTATAAAGGGTACACTTTCTCTTATTTCTTCTGGAGTCTGATGTATCTCATAAACTTTCATAATTTAATTTGTTATTTCAATTCTTTTCAGTTCTTCGATTCTGCTGTTAGATTTTTTGCCTTTTGCTCTTTTAATTCTTTTTTTTTCCGGAGGGATAATGAAAACCTTTCAGATTACTATTCCGCAACAGATCCCGACTTGAATTCCGCATTTATATTTTCCAGTTTTTTTTTGAAATCGTCGAAAATTTTCCAAAAAATCTTACGATGACCTGCTCTGTTTCTTTTTTATTCTGTATGATTATTATTCCCAATAACATATTGGATGTTTTATATTGATTAGAAGAACCAATGACTCAAAAAACTATACATGCCTGGATTCAGACCTTTTTGTCTTAGATAGCATTTCTAATTTACTCTTTGCCTTGCATGGCAATTCATTTCACAAGTAAAATATATCATTATCGCATATATATGAACATTACATAATATAAAGAAAAGATGGAATCTATAACTTCCGCAGAAGAATTAACCAAACTGTTACGTGCTAAGAATACTACCACTGCTCAAGTGTATGACATTGTATCAAAATTTAATAATCTACCGATATATTTCCCACACAAAGAGATTTTTGTACTTGAATTAATCCAGGATAGATGGAATGATCAGAAAAGAGATGATTTTAAAGTTGATTATAAAATATGGGAATTATTTAATTCAATGTGGATAAAGATCAAAGATCAAAATCTATTGAAAAAGCTATTTAAAAATCTGAAATTTGGCTCATTACTAATTAAATCTTTAAAATTGATCAAAGATTCAAATAATTCAAGCCTTTTTTTGAAAAATCTATTGAATACAGTTATATTAATTAATTCAACATCCACAATAGATATATCATTTGAAAATTCTTGTAAGATTCTTGCACAAATATTAAGTCTGTTATCTTTGAAAAACAGTGGAAATCAGCTATCTGATAATGACAGAGACCAATTAATTACTGAAATTATCTATCTATTAGATATCAATAATGTAACTGACATAAATAGTAAATTAGCCAATGTTTATACAAATGAGCTGCTATTAGCCACATTAAAATATATTATTCAGTTCCAATCTAATTCTGTCTCAAATTCTGGTTCAATTGGGGTTTTAAGACATTTATTAGATAATTTCGTTTTTGCAGATAATTTGCCATCTTTGCAATTGTTAAAAAGGTTCTTCAAAAATCAATCCGAAAACGTTGATAAAGATTCAGCCATATTATTATTTAAAATATCGATATCATTTTTATCAAGAGGTAACTTTAAACAATTAGAAGAAGTTTTTAATTTTGTTGTTGCTTGTCAACCAAGGGTTACCCCAATCCTTTTAAAAGAATTATCTACATCCAAAAAGACATTATCTCAAGAGTTTTTAGAAAATTTATTCAATACCACCTTAAAGAATGCTAGAAAAAATAGTGATCATTATAACGATCCGGATTTTTGGTCTTTATTATCTCATATCCTAGATCTAGATATTGAAATTGGTATTAAAGATTTTGATATTTTATTGAATCTAATAAATGATCAAAAAAATAGCAATGAATCTTCCACCATGAATATATGGTCCAAAGTCATATCCTGTCATATTAACGCAAGAGAATACCCTGAATTTTTATCCAAATGGCAATCTTATTGTTATAACTATACAGAAACAAATAAAGATAAACCACCGCTTTGTTTTTTATATGACAAAAAATATACTGATTTTCTAAGTAATAACATGGTCACGTTATCAACTACCCAAATAAAAGATCTTTTTAGTGATATGGTTGATTTAATAACTGGTGAAAATATTATTCATAATGACTTTAATAAAAATTTTTTAAGGGTCTACTTATCTGGACTACCTAAATTGGAACACCATACCCTGATGGACATTAAACCAATGCTCTCTAAAATCTTTGAAACGGAATCTTCAACTGATCTTTGGGAAATAAAATATTTAATAATGGATGTATATGATGATATTTTACCAATTGAACAACTTACAGATTTCACATCCAAAACCTTTACAAATTTAGCAAGTAATACTGGCTTATCAAGCAACCTCTTCTATTATTTCTTTAAATTAAGAGAATACCAAGAATTTGATTTTACTACTATTGAAGAAGAATTAATTAAATATATCAAATCCACTGATAGCAATACAAAATCTGTAATACTGTTGAAACTTTTTACTAACTGGTCTTCTATTATTAATAGCATTTTTTCAAGAGATAATATCAAAACTTTGGTACATTTTCTTTGCAAATCTCAACATATCCATATCTTAAAATCGTTATTTTTAAATGGGGACTTTTTTGAAGAAGAAAATATCATATTCTATTTGGTAGATGAATTGATACTATTATATGCTGATGAGAATGCTATCATCTACTTGAATTCTATCCCATCTCCGTGTATTAATAAGAGTGCCAGAATTTCACTTATCAATAATTTAACGTCAAAAGAAACATTAACAGATTTAGACATTTCTTTCCTATGCAAATTGCTGGAGAATCCAACCCATAAATCAGTCTTAGAGACAGACTTTAATCAATTGAAAGACTTTATTTCTAAAAACAATAAAAATATTGATATATTCACCACAATTTGGAATAATTATACTTCTCAAATCAAAGAATCTATTAGCCAGACTTTTATCAATATAACTATCGATAATATTCTACAGAACTTATCAAATAGTGAAGTTGCGTCTGTTTATCATCAACTGGCTTTGAGTGTAATTCAAACTACACCAACTGATATTATTGATAATCTAAGAGATATATATACTCAACTATACCTTGAAAAAATAACACGTCTGGATCACCTAGATGAAAACAAACGTCTTTGGATATTAAACTCTTTATACCGAATCTCTAAAGTTATTGTTTTCAATAATGCTCAAACCATTGAAATCACTAATATTATCACTAAATTAGTGAATGACAAGAATGCAATGTCAAATATAAAACTGTTAGAGGCATTATTTTTATTATATTGTTCATTGTATAATGAAAGCTTAATTTATTTGTATCCACAATACATGACACTTAGAGGGTTACATGTATCAAGGGAACCTATGTTACTGGCCTTATCTGATGTTTTAATTAAAGTGAAAAAAGCAAATATTGCCGATTTTAATGACGGGTTCATTATGACAATTAATTCAATCAATGAAGATGGCTCAACCTTTTATCTTGATTCAATTCTAGAGCTATATGAACTTCAGATTAATCATATTGAAAAAGCAAATGTTGTTGGTTGCCATTTGTTTGTCAAATCTTTATCAATCCTCTTAACTAACCTTGAAAAATTTATCACATTCTCACCTCATGTCATATCGATTCTAAAAACTTTACAAGCGTTAGAAATATCTAAACCATACCTTTTCAATCAATTTGCTATAGAAACACTATTTCCATTATCATTAAAAATCAATCTATTATTCATTCAAAAGGGTAATAGCCATAACAATGAAATCTTCTTAAATTCAACCAAGATCATATCCAATGCTATCTTAATTCATAGGGTCAAATTATCTAATCGTAACCATTTGGTAATTTCTTTGTTCTGTCGCTTATTGGAAATAATTTCAAGGAGTAAAGAACTCAATTTAAATATTAGTTCAACCAAATCGTTAGCAAGATTAATTACAAATTTTTGTGAACCAAGCAATATATCAAACAATCAGTCTAATAGTAAACAAAAGTTAAACTCTAAGGTTAGTTTAATCAAACAATCATTAAGAAAACATGTTCCAATGATATTAGTGAAATATATTCATTTATCAATCAATAATCCATTTGATATTCAAGATAGAAGTGTATTATTGCCATCTATTTATAGTGTATTCAATCTACTATCACAAAACGAGTTGAGTTTAGTAAATTCTATCCTTGACAACTCAAGTAAACAATACTTCAAATCAGTATACAACGAATATAAAAGAACTGGTAAGTGGCATGAAGATTAAATGTATAAATATTATTATTATATACAAATATATATACATATATTTATATAAAATATAGAACAAAAACTTATCTAAGTCATAATATAATAAGCAAATAGAAAAAACATCATTTTTTATTGAAACCGGATGCTGATAGACCTAAAATATTAAAAGTACTAAACTAACATTACAATAATTTAACGCACTCTTTTGTTAAAAAGCATATTTAATACATTTGGAAAAAGCTAGCTATCATAAAGTAAAGTGTAATTGATATGTTAAAAAGCCCTTATATTATTACAATAGCATTATAGTACATCGTCCATATATATCAACTCGAATATCTATAATCATTCGTTGTACAATTAATCAATTTTTTTTAAAGAACAAATGATATGATCTGACTAATTTCATAACTTCTATTGAACTAACTGTAAAGAATGTTTTACATAAACTAATTCATCATATTCGAACCACACAGATGCACAATTGCCTTCCGGCAAAGTATTTTGAGTATTAAAAGAACCTTCCAGAAATGGCTGAATAATTGGTGTCTCTTCTAGAGTTGATAATACATAAACCACTCCACTTTCTCCTAATAAAAAAAATAATGGGATACCATAACTTTTATCCCCAAAAACCGACTTTTCGAAATTTTGCAATATAGGAGTTATATTAATTATTCTCACTTTGGGCCTAAACTTAATTATTGGTCTAACAACTATAGTGTTATTTGGGAGATGCTCTAAGACATCATCCCACAAATAGACAAAATTTTCGGAATCTACCATTGCACAAAGAATTTTCTCACGATCCTTCCTTTCGATACAATTTTGAAGAAACATATATTTTGTAATATGCCCAGATAAAAATTGGCTTGATGCATGATTGTCATATGAACTATGATTCTCTATTCCAAGAGTGTTTCCCCATTGTTTCACTGGATCCAAAACCTTGGTAGCTGTTTTAATAATTATAGCATTACCAAAGATCCTTGGCCTAGTTTTTAGTGCATGTTTCACTAACTCTTTATCACCTGTAATTGAATCACTGTAATATAAACCATGATGTGGGTTTATCAATTGAAGTAGTCCATTTTGGAAAAATCCACCGATATTCCAAGATCCAGTTGAAGTAGAAATAATATTTTTAGTATCAACTTTTACCTTCCCCTTCTTTCGAGTTAGTGTAATCAAATGAAATTTTCCACCTGTTGTTATGCATATCTGGACAGTCCTGCCAAAACTAGAATAGTCTGTGAAAATAGAAGTCGCCACATCATCCAGTTGACCTTCCTTATATATTTGAATTATTCTGCCATCCTCAACAGTTAATAAAACCCAGCTTGAACCACATGACGGTTTTCTATACGTTATAACAAACCAATCACAAGGGAAAGTTATTTCATATGAAGAATTAACTATCAAAGGTTCCATCAAGACATATTCGATTAAATCAATATCACATATCTCTTTTGTACTAATTATTTTCATAGTTTCGTTATGAAATATAGATACATGAAGCCCCTTTTGTTTCTTTATTTGGGGAATAGTCTTATCTTCAAACACATATTGAGATAGAACCAAACTATACCCAGGTCTTGAATGTAGGGGTAGCAATCTGAGTGCAATACCCAGTGGATATATGATAGAACGAGCTGATACTGTTGCTTTTATTTGATTTTTAAAGGTCAACTTATAGACCTTTGAATTATTAGCCAATAGAAAGATGTTGTCACTGATATGGAAAATACTTAATGGATGAATACCCAAATATAATCTTGCAGGGCGAAGGGACTCCATATTAATAACCCAAAACTCATCATGATTAAATAAAAAACAATAATTCTTGAATATATGTACCTTAAATAGTGTTCTGTTTACTGATGATATTTTAAAGTACAATTTGTTAAGCTTTTGATTATAAAAATATGCATTACCATCGGTAGATAAAAGTATTGGGATAATTATACGGTGTACGTCTGAATACAGATGAGCATCAAAAATCTTTAAATGATTCGAATGGATTTTATTTGTTATGATCAGTTTAAGATCCTTTTCATCTTTAGATACGTGCAGATTTGCCATTACAATGCAGTGATTATACACTATAACAAAACAGGGTTTATCTTTTATTGGGACACTGCCAGCATTTGTATTGAAATTGATAATTGGATCATTCCCAATAATAAAATCAGTCAAATCTTGATTTAGTATAGGTATAAGGAAATCAGAAACCTCAGATTTCCAACCGAGTAATTTAATCTTATTAGATAGCTGGACAATAAACATAAGTTTCCCAATGCCCACTAATCTATAAATATATTGATCACCAGGCAAAAAATCACTACTTACAGGAACATTTTTTTCAGTATCAGGGAAATAAAGATAGTATTTATTTCTGGCTCTATAAGATATAGCACCTGGAGTGTCCACCTCTTCTGCAACTATATCATTTGAGTGAACAAAATTATGAATTTCTGTAGCATCAGGGAAGGGTAACTTCCAAAGAAGTTTTAAATCGACTTGATTTCTTGGAATTTGGTATGATAAATTTTCAATAAATGGTACTTTACCATGACAGATTCCTGTTAATAATACATTATCCAAGATGGAGGAATTATTTGAACCAATTGACAATGCGTCCAAATATGATTTATCTTTTTGTTCCAGATTAGTAGTCCCAATATCATGTGTAAATATTGGATTACATTTAATATGCCTTACAAAACTATATTTAGCCATTTCTTAGCGTCTAATAAATAAATGCATATTTCTTTGTAAAAATTCCTGAATCCTTTCATCCATCATATATACATATACGCATATATATTCCGATACTGTTTTGTACTTTTTAATCTAGACAGGTTTTCACATAAAACCCTATCGATACCCTTTTTACAGTTTAAAATAATAAATAATAGGCATAGTAATAAAAGAAAAAAAAAAAAAACCACCCACACACACATCCATACACCTACACAATCCAACAAATCCCGCAAAATCATCACTGTCTTTACAAAATTTCAATTTCAATTTCAATTTCTATTATAAAGTCAACGGACCAATCACAAAGAAGGAAAAAAAAAAATAAATAGTCACGTGCCTGCGTGTCCCCAAATTTATGTTTGTTTTCCTTTCTCTCTTTCTTTCTTTTCGTCACTAACTAACAATAATTCAAAACAGTTACCTTCATTTGTTTCTCACTTTCTTTCTTTTCGTCACTAACTAACAATAATTCAAAACAGTTACCTTCATTTGTTTCTCACTTTCTTTCTCACACTATCTCTCTTCTCTTCTCTTCTCTTCCCTCCTCCTCCTTCTCCTTCCGCTCAAGTCCGAGATTTCCTTGTGGTGGTTTGGAAGAGATAAACAGAATTGGTGAATAGAGGACGAATTAAGAGAGAGACCAAATAAGATGAAAAGCCAGAAAGAAAAGGTCCAGTAATATTTAAATAAATTGTAAATGCGCAACAAGATTTATTACTGTGTCAACTGCATCGTTAGTAAGTTCTTCTTGCTTCCTCCTAAAAGGAGAGAATGTTTCACTTGGCATATGTGCATTAGACGATTCAGTTGGAAATACGTAAAGTTTTGTCTCTCTTAAATTCCAATTACTATTTGTGTTCTAACTTGTTTGTCAACTTTTTCTTTTTATATATTTTTTCCCCCATTTTCTTTTAACTCCATATACTTTTCAGCCTTACAAACAATTTCCTCTTCATCATCTTTTAATTTTTATAATTTTCTCTCTCTTTATTCAATGAAGAGTAACCTTCCAAACGCCTGAAAAAATAACTGAATCAAATTTATCAACTCTCCATATAGAAAATTCTTTATATTCACGTAAACACCTTCAATCTTCCCCTCATTTGCCAATCCAAACATTTAAAGTAAAGAAACAAGGAAAAAGGAAAATAAACATATATATATATATATTAAAAAAAAACTACTCATCCTCTCAATTATAACAACATAATATAACAATATAAGACACATATACTAAACCAAAAAAAACAAAAACAAAAACAAAATATGTTAGGCACAAAAACTATGTTAAGAGGTCTACAAACCACCAATAGTATCTCAAAAAGATTAATCGCTCAAAACTTAACCAAAATGTCTCTTTCTACATCATCAAGACTACTAAAGTCGACTTACAGAATCCCAGATTTTGGTGATGTCGTCAAGGAAAATAGAACCAATGATAAGTCAAGAGTCTACACCTATTTCATGGTCGGTTCCCTTGGGTTACTATCTTCTGCTGGTGCCAAATCCACTGTGGAAACTTTCATATCTTCAATGAGTGCCTCTGCTGATGTCTTAGCTATGGCTAAAGTCGAAGTCGATTTGGCTGCTATCCCAGAAGGTAAGAATGTTGTTGTCAAATGGCAAGGTAAGCCTGTGTTCATTAGACACAGAACTCCACACGAAATTCAAGAAGCTAACTCAGTAGATGTCTCTGCTTTAAAGGATCCACAAACTGACGCTGACAGAGTACAAAAACCTGAATGGTTGATCATGTTAGGTATATGTACCCATTTGGGTTGTGTCCCAATCGGTGAGTCTGGTGATTTCGGTGGTTGGTTCTGTCCATGCCATGGTTCCCATTATGATATCTCTGGTAGAATTAGAAAGGGTCCTGCTCCATTAAACTTAGAAATCCCAAAGTATGAATTTAAAGAAGATAAAGTTGTTATTGGTTAGAGTTTAAGATAAACTCGCATACCCGCACACATACACCCCCGCCCCTCACACACACACACACACATATTCATATGTACATAAATGTATGGATGTATACACATACGAGTATCTTTTCTCTTCCTTTCTTTGACAACCCCTTTATAAATTTTACTTTCTTATCTCTTTAATCCTCTATTATTCTTTTAGATATATCTACTCTTTCTGTTTTTAATATTCCGTGTTTAATATCACTACACAAATTAGCACCATACGTATAAATACAAATCTTATTTATTTATCCATATTATCATATTATTTATTTATTTATTTACTTATTTTTAGTTATCTTATTAACTTAAAAGTAATTATTCTCTCTCTCTCTCTTTCTTTTTTTCCATCTTTTTTCTTTTTCCCTGTATGTAGTAGTTATACTTTATTACTACTGTATATTATTTGCTATGTGACCTACTCTATATAAATATATATACCATTTCTCTTTCCCTATTTGCTCCATTTCCCCCTCCACTCTTCCTTATAATGTTGGGTCATCTTTAATCACTTCATATAAATCATCTGGAATATTTTCCCAATTTCTTACTATCCAATCATTTATTAATGCAATCAATTCATCTTTTTTGTCGTTTTCATCTAATATTAAAGTATCCAAAGTCTTAATATTTAATAAATTAATATTAAGTCTTTCAAATAACACCTCTCTAACATATCTTGGAACATTCTTAGGTCGATAATCCTCATTGAATTTCATTATCCATATAATTGACCAATGCAATTCCCCATACTCTGGAACACATCTAGATCTACCTAAGTTCGGTACATATCGATTTCTCCACTTACCTTCTTCATCCTCCACTCTTATACCAATAGGTAGAAATTCTAATATCCACCAAAATAATGATACCCATGTATTAATCTTATAGCAATTCGCCACACTCTGACTGCTATTATAATTATCATTACAATTATGGTCTTCCTCAAATCCGTTCTCCAGTAAATTATTGACCGTATCGTTTATATCTCTAATCATCAAACCTTGATTAAAACTCTTATTAACTCCACCCATGATATTTGTGTTTTTTATATCTAAAAAGTCATGCAGACATGAAAAGAGACTATTCTTTGAACTATATCTTTCTGCAAATCTATTTATCGATCCAGGTTTAAATTTGACTCCATGTTTAATTGCCTCCGCTATCATCCATCGTAAAGAAAGATTACTGATACATTGTCCATCACCGGAATAAACCCCGCCACCACCACCAACATCAGAATGATCTCCAGGGAACCATTTTTCTATCAAATCAGGGGATATTGTAGAATGGCTACTTGTATTATTTTCCATGGTCCATAGATTCATTGAAGAAGAAGGTAATTCTTCTTGTGATTTTAATACTTTAATTATTCCAAGATTGTCATTTTCATTATCAATATTGTATTCCCTGTTTTTGTCATTTAAGCCTTTGATACTCTTATTTGAATAAACAACTTTTCTGGAGGTAAAAGTTAATAATTCAGTTGGTGATAAGAATGAATTAATTTGATTTATCAATACTGTCTGCTCTGTGATAGGAGTCCACACATTGCTCAAATTAACATTCTGCAAACTACTGAATGAACTATTACTTTTAGAAGATTTTAAAGTAAGCTCAATCAGTGGATTTTTTCTAATTTTCTGATTTATTTTAGACTCACCTTCATTGTTCAATAACGGCTGTTTTTCATTACTTGATAAACTTGCTTTCAAAATCGGAGTAGCTACAACTGATTTAATAATTTCCTTTTCATATGGCTTATATTTTTTGGAGAATAATATTGGTTCGTACGGATTTGGTGTAAAACAAAATTGTTTAAATTTGCCTCTTCTTTCATCCAAGGAGACAGCATGCCGTACATGTTTAATAATATTTGATCTCTGTGTACAAGGAAACAATCTATCTCTACATAGCCCAACCGAGTTAACTGAATCAAATAAACCTTGGAAATAAATTTTAATCGGATAATCCCTGCAGAAAGTCTTGGTAAACTCTTGAATCAAAGTTGTCATATAACTGGGTTGTATAGGTTGCTCAGCAAATTCCCAATTTTCATAGATCCGCCATGCCATATGAACCATATCTTCTAACCCAACATTCAAAAGACCTACTCTTTCTAACATACCAGTCAGAACTCTAGCTATAAATGCACCACGAGAAAACCCAAACATATAAATTTGATCATTAATCTCATAATGCCTCATTAAAAATAAATATGCTGACACAATATGGTCATCTAAACAAAAGGCAAACATAGAATCTAAAACGTTTTTCAGTCTGGACCAAGAAAGATATCTCGCCCAGGTATAAACTGCATCAAAGTCACCTGAAGTACCAATACCAGGCTGATAATAACATAATTGAGAACGTGTATCCAAAAGTCGATATATTTTCAATACATTGGTAAAAGGATCCGGACCAAAATTTTCACAAGTCCCATCAAAACATAAAATAATAGTTTTACCCATTTTTCTTTCTTTTAAACAAAGTCTGTCCTTCAAAAAGGATGTTTCCAATTTTTTCTTTCTACAATGGTTATATATATATAGGATAGTATTTGTTTTTATTTATTCCTTCTGTATCACTCCTTTTGGGGAATTTGTGACACTTTTTTTTTTCTGACACACTATCTTATTTTTTCCCGCTCATTTTTATTCCTATCCATCAAGAAAGCATTAAACAAAAAAAAAACAAGAATAAAAAACCAGAATTAGTACTATACACCACTACTCATCTCTTCTTTTAAATTGACCTCTTGTCTATTCCCTTAGTCCCTTTATATATATAGAAAAAACTTTTTTATACCTAGTGAAATGTATATTTTATTCTAAAAAATTGAATATACACCATAAACTATTACCCAAAACTAACTCGGTCACCAGACACTTACATATATACTCATCTTTTCATTCCATTTCTTAAATAGAATATAATTTATGTGTTCTCTATAGAGAAAAAAACTAAGAATTACTCATCATATTTTATATTCTGGGAAGACATATCTCCTATAATAGATCTTCATTTATTACAAATGATCAGATCTACCTATTTTTATTTCAGCATGTAATATCTCTGATATTTATGAGTTACAATTTCGACTATTAGTTTGGAAAAATACCAATGGCTCTCATTTTCCTGACTTCTTGTTTTTAGGATATTTTTACATACTAATCTTATTTTAGGAAATAAGAAGAAAAAAAACAAACATATAAATCAAAAGTAACCAACGGAAGATAAAAGGAAGACTAACTAATAAAAAGAAAGGTTAAGTATAGACTGTGTGTTGTTTTGGTATATTAGTATATTTATTATTAGTACTAATTTCTAAATCAACTATTATCAAAAAAAAAACTATGATGACTAGATAGTTATTACATGAAGTAAAAAAAGGGGCGAGCTGGGAATTGAACCCAGGGCCTCTCGCATACTCGGAACGCGATGCCCAAAGCGAGAATCATACCACTAGACCACACGCCCGAAAAGCACATTTTTCCCAGACATAATTGGATTTCTACAATATGAAAAATTATAAACAGTCTTCAAATTGTTGATGAATTATCTAATATATATTTTTTGGTTTATTTGGTAACCTTTCGGAAATCATTATCTTAGTACTATATTTGTTATAAGAGTTATTTTTCTTCTAGCCTTTTTTATATTTTTTGTGATGTATGGAAGTGTGTCGCCACTCGACACCCATACACCAGATAATCTCGGTTGTTACTGCCTTTAAAAACCATTAAAAAAAATGTATTGTTTATTATGCACGGCAATGATGAATAAAGCAAAAACGAAAAAAAAAAAAAACAAAAAACAAAGGAACCAACAATAGCAATAAGCAATTACAATAAAACGTTGGTCGAATTTTTTTTGTCCGCCTGTTTAAGTTCTGTTTTGATAACGGTGGATTCAAACAAAAGACATAAGAAGAGAGCAAAATGGACATTTTTACTTATCAACAAACAGATTGATTAGCAAGAGAGATAATAGACCAATGGCATAACCAAAACCATAACTTGATAACTTTATTAGTATATATCGTTGCTGTTTTAAATATAGATTATATTTGGACCAAGTTTAGGATAATTCTATTCTAATTCAGTGTAATTTTTATTTAATCTATTTCAACCGCTAAAGTGATCGCTAAACGCAAGAAGTAGCGATGACCTATTTGTTATATAAGCAGGACCTAACATCCATTCCAAAAGCATGTCAATACAGTTAATATCAAAAAGGTGTTTTCTTTCTTTTATGATGCTCTTTTTATCCTTCCTTCATATCCAACACAAATTACTAAATTATATTTCTGGTTTCAAAAGAGAAAATTGAATATCTCTATAACAAATACGCATACACAAGCAATAACGAAGATGACTAAGATTACCACTCAATTGGAAACAGTAACTGAACCACATTACAAGTACATTAAAAACCGTCAATTGGCTATAGTTCAAGCACCATTCTGTGGTGGTCAAGGTAAGACTGGTGTAGAAAAAGGACCTAAATATATGTTGAATCATGGATTGGAATCGGATTTAAGGGAACTTGGCTGGGATATAACTGTAGAATCTCCCCTAGATGAAGAATATCTTCAAAAAATGATGGAGAAAGATGCTGTTACAGATCGATTTAAGAACACAAAAAGACCTGGACTTGTCGGTACCACTACAAAGACTATCTACGAAAATGTGTCTAAACTAGCTCAAGATAATAAATTCGTTTTAACATTAGGAGGTGATCATTCTATTGCTATTGGTACGGTTAGTGGTGTCCAAGAAGCTTATTCTGATCTTGGATTGATCTGGATTGATGCTCATGCAGATATCAATACCTTAGAATCAACTGACTCCGGTAATTTACATGGCTGTCCTGTCTCCTTTTTATTAGGTTTACATAAAGACATTGAATGCCCTGAATCATTTAAATGGGTTCCCGGTAAATTAAACCCAAACAAAATTGTCTACGTGGGATTAAGAGATGTTGACAAAGCAGAGAAAAAAATTATAAAAGACTTAGGTATAAAAGCTTTTTCAATGTATCATGTTGACAAGTTTGGTATCAATAAAGTCATAGAAATGGCATTGGAGTGTTTACACCCTAATGGTGGGAGAGGTCCCATCATGTGTTCATACGACGTAGATGCTGTAGATCCGCTTTTTGTTCCAGCTACAGGTACTCCAGTTAGAGGTGGGCTAACACTAAGAGAAGGTTTGTTCCTTGTTGAAAGATTAGCCGAGACTGGTGATTTAGTCGCTTTGGATATCGTTGAATGTAACCCAGATTTGGCTATAAATGATATCCATGTTTCTGACACAATTTCTGCTGGCTGTGCCATTGCAAGATGTGCATTAGGCGAAACTTTACTATAAGATTTTCTATTGTATATATAAAATATTCATGACCTTGTTATATAATGTCTTTTAATGTAATATATAATATTTACTTAAACTGCCTTGCTCTCTTCCACTTTTTCCTTCCACTCTTTTGATTTATTATTACTATATCCATCTCCTATTTCATGAAAAAAAGAAAAAAAAAAGAGTTAAACCGCTTTATTCTTGTCTTCTGTATATAAATATCTTACTTATTATTTATATGGATACTTGAATATTATTGCTATAGTTCTTATCTAAAGAATTATCTATTTCTTGTTCTTTTCCTCTTTGTTCAGTAGTTTGGTGATAATTGATCAGATTTTAACAAAATATCAGTTTGCCTTAAAGACATGCTTAAAAACCTTCTAGTTTGTAAGCCTAACCAAATTACCATCATTTGCCATGACTTTGTCTCATTCAACAATGAGTTATCATTTATTTCTTCTTTACCCTTTAGTAAAGAATATTTCTCTCTGTAATATTGACTCAATAACGGTATCGAAGATTCAAAAAGGTCTAAATTAGGATCTAATTGTCTTCCAATCCCTTCTAATAACAATATTGCCACTACAATTGACACAAAATCAGCCTCCATTTTGACGTGGTGTTGTCTGACCATAAAGAACATTTCATTTAACAAATTTCCAATCGAAATAGATCCCAGGGAAAAAGTTTGTATTTTAATCTGAGTGACAAGTTTTTGAACTTTATGTGAAAAACCTAATGGGTCAATTGCGCTGCTTGGTATACGTGATCTATCTATCATTAATCTACCTGCTTGATATCCATCAAATTTCGTAAGAGACTGGAACAAATCCATGAAGTTTATTCTATTAGTATTATTCAATTCTGTGACAAGTCCTGCATCTATAAAACATATTTGAGGTATATATGAACGTAATGCTTTTCTTAAAATATCAGTGAACTGTGGAGTCCCATAATTTTGACTCAATTGATCAACAATTGAATTATTTATTTTTTCTGTGGATTTATCCATAAATCTTATCATGACATTGCCTGGATGTAAATCTGCATGGACAAAATTATTTATAATCATCATATTTAAAAATGCCATGACAAAGGGATGACTAACTTTAAAGATATCGATATCATTCAGATTATTCTTCTCATTTAAGAGTTGTTCCATTGGCAATGCATTTATATATTCTTCAAACAAAACTGTTTTTGTGGTATACTGTAGTAATGGTTTAGGGAAAGAAACTAATGGATCGTTTTGGAAATCACGGTTAAATTTATCTAGATTCATTGCTTCAATACGAAGATCTAACTGCATATTCATAAAAATAGAAAAATTCCTAACTTCATCGGTCAATGATAACCATTCCATAGTTGGAACCCTACTAATTAAATTGGCTAAAGTTTCCATGATTCTTAAATCTATATTTACTATATCAACTACGTTGGGATGTAGTATTTTAATCGCAACTTCATTGGATACATGATCATTACTACTACTATTATCATCATTATGTTTCCATCTTGCTTTATGTACCTGTGCTATCGAGCCACACCCAATTGGTTGAGTATCAAAACTTTCGAAAACATCATACAAATCACCAACCTGAAATAGATCACAAAGAGTGTCAATTGAATATTGTATGGGATGAGGCTTAACATTACTATGTAAAGCAGACATAACATGACAAAAATCGTTAGAAAATAAATCATTTCTTGCAGATGCCCATTGACCCAATTTAATAAAACTAGGCCCTGCATATTGACATAAAGATCTTATTAGTCTATACCATAATATCTTATCCATTAACGATAAAGTAACGATAGGATACGTTAAAAAGATAGGTAAAAGAACAAAACACGTCAATTCTAGAAACCGTATCATTGTATGTATAGGAACAACGATATTATCTTGACATTTAAATTTAATCTTTAATAGTAATTTTAATATAGAGGACGGGCATTGGTTCAATTGAGCTTGTCTTTCTTGCAGTACTTGGGTTTCTTTTTCTCTTTTTGAAGATAAGTATAAACCCATTTCATATGTATCACCATCCGGGTTAGGAGCCAATATATTGGAAGAATCGAAATTTGGATTCAAATCCAATTGAACTATATCATTTTTATTTTTTGAACCATTTAATCTCTGAAACCCATAAGATTGTCGTAATTTCATTGAAAGAAGTAGTCCACCCCCACCACAACCCACAATATATGCTAAAGGTTTCCTGTTATTGATAATAAAACTTCGAGTAAATTTAAACATATTTGAATATTATCACTACTGCCTCTACTTCTATTATATTTAGTTGTCACTTATGATATAATTAAATTGGATTTTTGTACATACTAATAACTGAAACATTATGTACGATCATATATGTATTGAGTATATATAGATTTTCTCTCTTTGTTTATACTTCACTTCATATCGTCTCTACCTGCCCCCTCCTCCTTCCACTTCCCTTTTTTTCTTTTTTCTTTATTTCTTTCTTCCATTTAATTTTATTTTCGTCCAAATCCTTTAAATCGTTTCAAGTAATAATAATTTATTATATGCTATTTACTACAGGCATCCAGGCATCTACATAACCACACATACAGATATACATATACATACATATACCCATGTACATATATATATGTACATACATATTATAGGAGGTTAGAACTTAATTAAACTGTTATATTATACAAATATTGCAGTGTAACATGATTATAATTGCTCTTCTTTAATAACGTCTATAAGCCAGTCTAATCCCTCTGTAATCCCTTCACCTTTAATTGCACTAGATGCCACAATAGACCAAGATCTATCTTTCAAATCAACCAAATTCAATTCTTTAGAGACTTCACTAGCAGACAAAGCGCCAGGTTGATCCTGTTTATTTGCAAAGACCAATAGAGCACTGTCCTGTAATTCTTCCTCAGATAACATCATATGCAATTCTTTAGCTGCGGTAGCCATACGATCCTTATCTGTGGAATCGACAACAAAGATGACTGCTGCAGTGTCGGCATAATAACATCTCCAGTATGGTCTAATGGAAGTTTGTCCACCCAGATCCCACACGTTCAATTTCAAATTTTTATAAGTCAAAGTCTCTACGTTAAAACCAATTGTGGGCTTAGTGGTCACCACTTCACCTATCTGTAATCTGTATAAAATCGTAGTTTTACCTGCACCATCCAACCCAAGGATAAGTATCCTCAATTCTTTATTTGTACCCCATAACCTATCGAACATACTACTAAAATAATTACCCATTTTTATTTATTTATTTGCTTATTTGTTTATTATTGTTTATTTATAACCCTGTATTGTGTGACTGTTGTATAACTGTTGTGAGTGAGCTAATATGCAAATACAAATACCAATGCAAAATTTCCAATCTTTCCCCCTTTACCGATATTACAATATTTGTTATATTACGATATGTGCTCTGTTGTATATTATACGTAATTCATTACCACCGTGTGACCCTGTATGATGCGGCACATAGACACATAGGTGCGCACACACATACTCAACTATCAATAACTTGAACGTAGACATATGTAGATCCATCTAAACACCAAGATTATTTATCATAGAATTTCTTCAAACCCAACAGAAAAATTTGACTTTCCTCAAAAGAAAAAAAGAAAAAAACGAAAAAGAAAAAAAAAAATATATATATATATACACACCCACACACCCAACAGCATTTTTGAAAAGAGAAGAATTACCCTTAGAAAAAAAAAAGAAATTAAATAAATAAATATATATAAATATAAATAACGAGCTGCGACAAAAAAAAATGAAGATTGGACCCAGGGCAAGGTTAAATAAAACAGACTGGAAATATATATAAGTCAATAGGTACCTGAAGTAAGCACCTGTGCAGTAGTTACATCTAGCTGTCTATTCCTTTTTTGTTTATTTATTTCTTTCTCTTTTTTGACAATGGATGTCGACAGAACAGTTCCCAAAAATGTGACTACTCCAGTAACTTTAAATAATGAGACAGGCGAAGTGATAGTGAAAAAGGCAAGTGGTAAGATAAAGGTTAGAACTGGTCAAACAGTAGAAGATTATCTAGATCAGAGGAGCCAATTCTGGCTGACTGATTCAAAAGAATGTACAAACTTGAACATGGGTTGGATGTCTGAGAATTTCGATATTGATGCATTGTTATCATCTATAGATACGTTAAAGTCATCTAAACATGAAAGACAGCGTATTATCGATTATTTGGCTTGGTTATTCTACTATAATAATAATAATAACAATAGAGAGTTCTCTCAATTGATTACAGATAAGATAATCCCTGTTTTTAACGATATTAATACAGAACTAAAAGGCAAAATAAAGAAAGAAGTAACACTATTGGAGAGACTTTCCAAACTAAACACTGACGCCAATACTAATAACATAAACACAAAAACTGGGGGAAATCCAGAAGCGATGAGCATCTGAGTGAACAAAGTTCTTCTACAATGAATCACATAAAATCCGAACAATTCCTTCTGGGTTCGATTTTGTTTTGCTTCCGTTTTTTTTTCTTTTTGCTTTTTTTTTTTTGTTTTGTAAGAATCGGACTTAAGTGAATAAATATTTCACATTTGGTTTGAGACTCACGGATAATATCATCCTTTCTCGTCATTGCTCGTTAAGTTTCTCTATAAAACCAAACACTATGAGTCCTCTGATTATGATAAAAACACAGTTATTGGTTGTGTGCTAATAAATCCGATCAACGGTGAAACTTCTATGTTTTTGTCCATACGTTTTCTTTTATATATATATATATATACAAGTAAGGAAACTCCAATTAAAAACAAAAAGTTGTAATCCATCAATAACATAACATAACATAACATAACATAAAACAACATGATATTATCCCGATATTTCTATAAAATGATATCTAAACAATATTATCGTTCTTTAATGACCTTTGAAGGACAAGTAGCAGTTGGTGGTACAAATCAAGTGCCGGCTGAAGAAAAAATATCAACAATTTTTGGAAATAGTATAAAGGGTAAATCCTCATTAAAACCATCTAAATCCACCAGTAGATATATAGTAAATGCAGATTATCGTATCATCGCCGGTGTCAAAGTACCCAATAGACCGAAAGAACCCGATAATTGCTGCATGTCTGGTTGTGTCAATTGTGTTTGGGAATATTATAACGAAGATCTTAGACATTGGCAACAGAGGCGTAGGGCTGCTATCAAAGAAATCTCCAATACAAATGATGTATGGCCAGAAGACTGGGATCCGCCTCTCAATTCACTACCCATAAAGAATTTACCAAAAACTCTACATCCTACAAAATTAAAAATAGAAAAACAGGAATCTGACAACAAAATCATTGATTCCAAACTACAATCGTTAAAACAATTGTTTCCTAGTAGAAACACATCATTACCACAAAGTGTCATTGAAGCTAAAAGGCGTAATCAGTTGAAAAAACAACAACAACAAGCTGAGACAGATGAAGGTTGGTCTGATGTCCCAATATATATTAGGGTGTTTGCTCAATTTGAAAGAAAGAAACGTTTACAGAAGCAAAAGGAAAAACTAGAGAGAAGAGCTCAAGAGATAGTTTAATAATTTACCACAATTAGGAGTAGAATTATAGCCAATGCAACATTACAGCTACTTAATAAAATAAAATAAATTACGAAAAAAAATATCCCTTTTATTCTATATATATACATAAATAAAAACTATCACCACCTTGTCCTATATCATCCTCAATTACAAACGCATACATTGTTAATATATTCCCAATTTCCTTTGTAATTTACTTTATTCATTGTTTATTTCCATTTCTTCCTTTTCATTTCTATTATTTTTTTTTTTGACATCTTTTTTTTTTTACTTTCTCACTTTTTCTTGGAGATCCCTCGAGCATTTCAGCCTTTTCATCTATCCCATCCCCCATTCCACCCTTTTATGGGATCAATCTCGATGCATACATATACCAAATTACCATTATATCTACGTATGCAAATACAAAAACACACTTAAGGGTATTTTAAATTTCAAACTACAAAGTGATTGAAGAGGTTGATTTCTTTTTTTCCTTATTTTTTTCTCTTTAATGAAATAATTGAAATCGTAGTAATAAAAATAATTATTCCACATATTTTCAAAATATACATATATATTTTGTTCCCCCCCTTATCATGCTGAGACCACAACAACAAAAATGGTTTTACAAATCATTTCTATCCAGAAAATATCTTAGTATACTATCAAAATTGCAAATGAGTTTCCCCAATAAGAAAGTTATTGAAAATAAATTCCACTTTGAAGAAGTTACTACATCTATTAATGACGCATTAACTAAATATAAATCTTTCTTAAACGATACAACGAAAAATTCATTTGTGATCAATGGATGGATTGACTCCCCTGTAAAAAAAATTGGTAACAAGTTATATTTTGCTACTTTAAGAGACCCATATGGAACTAGAATCCAATTAGTGGACAAACACGAGCCATCTCTCTTAAAAGCATGTAATAGTGTAGAGAGTTGTGTACAGATCAAAGGTCAACTGAGTCTAAAGAAACAACCTAAAAAAAAATCCAACTAAAACCCAATCCAATCAACAGCAAGAATATGAAATTATCCTATCTGATTTAATAACACTGAATAAAGCAAGTGTTAAACCCTCTCAATTAATCGATCAACAATATGATAGGAAAGTCTTAAAAACAAATTATCCCCCTGAATATAGATATTTGCAACTGAGAGTCCCTCAAAAACAGCTTTTGTTGAGGAAAAGATTTCAAGTTAATCACTTTATGAGACAATGGTTATATGCAAATGATTTTATAGAGGTAGAGACACCTATCCTTTTTAAACCAACCCCTGAAGGTGCAAGAGAATTTGTTGTTCCAACTAGAACAATAGATAAAGCCTCAGGAAAACCACTATTTTACAGTTTAACACAAAGTCCTCAACAATATAAACAATTATTAATGGCAAGTGGAATCCCTAGATATTTCCAATTTGCAAAATGTTTTAGAGATGAGGACTTAAGAAAGGACAGACAACCGGAATTTACTCAGTTAGATATGGAAATATCCTTTGTCAAAGATACAAAAGTTAGAAGTTTGATTCAAGAACTTATTATTAAGGTTTGGACTGAAAAAGGTGATTCAAAGACTCTTTATACCTGTGATTCGAATAAATTAATAGATTCCAAGATTACTTTAACACTAAATTCAATGACATATAATGAAGTGATGACTTTATACGGAATAGATAAACCTAATCTAATTGCTCCTAATTTAAAAATAATCAATATAAGTGAAATAACTGGTTGTACATCAGAAGATAACACTGATTTCCCTATTATAGAATGTCTTGTATTAAAAGGCATAATCGATAAAAGTCATATAGAAAATGACTATGAAAATCGCTGGAAACATTTATTAGATCCTAAGAATTATAATTTCAGAGCTCCTTTTGGCGTTCCAATCACAAGTAACGCACTTTGTAAAAAGTGGTTTGAAAAGGTTCCATTATTATCTGCGATAAATAAATGCCCTAATTCAAAGAATATAGTTGAAAAATTGGATGAATCATTAAAATTGTCACCAGGTGATCTAATTTTTGTATCAAATAGACAACCAGATCACGCAATCTTTGAAAATCCAACCCCTTTAGGTAGACTTAGGCAACTAATATTGAGTAAACCGAAAATGAGTACTCTTTTCAGAGAAACTCCTGGGCCTAATGATGATGTAGCAATATGGGTTGTAGATTTCCCCTTATTTTCGCCAGTAGAAGAAGTAAACTTAGGAGAGAACCAACAATATCCAACATATATTAAAGGCAAATACGTTTCAACACACCATCCATTTACGATGGTTAAGTTATCTACATTAGAAAATTTAAAGAATGATCCTTTGAAATGTATAGGAAAACACTATGATTTAGTTATGAATGGTGTAGAGTTAGGTGGCGGGTCTCAGAGAGTCCACGATCATGAATTGCAAGACTATATCTTCAAACATATTCTAAAAATAGACAACAGTCATGAATTATTCGGACACTTATTAGAAGCTTTTAAAAACGGAACACCACCACATTCGGGGTTCGCTATTGGATTTGATAGAATGTGTACAATATTATTTAATAGAACCAGCATCAGAGATGTTATTGCTTTCCCTAAGTCAATTACAGGAGCTGATCAGATAATTAAGAGTCCTGCATTAGTGAATGATGAATTTTTAAAAGATTATCATGTAACTCAATTTATTGGCAACAATAAACATTAATGGCTTTTTACAGAATAATTATTCAATATTTAAAAAAAATGATAAAAAAACAATATTAAAACAACATTTTAGAATGTCACTCTTGTTCAATTATTCAGAAAATACATATTCTTTTTTATTCATGTATATAATATTTATCAAAAAAAAATAATTGTGTTCCATCATATTATTTTGCTCCTTTTTATTATTATTAATACTTTAAGATCAATCATAAAGATAATATATATATATATATATATAGACGTGCCATTACATATATTATGATATCTGTCACCAGTTAGAATAATGTCAATAATTAATAAAGTGTGCTATCCAAATAATAATTAACAAAAGATTTAAAGTGAAGAAGTTCTTTCAACTTAAAATTTCTCTGTTCTTCCTAACTCAGGGCAGTAACATCTATCTCTTACACCTTTGAATTCGGCTAACCTTTCTAATCTTTCCTTAGGTTCTAAAAAGTATTCACCGCTTAATACAAACGTACCCCAGTGTACTCCCAAAACATTTTCAATATCCATATCATACATAATTTTAATAACTTCTTGAGGATTAATATGTCTTGGTTTTTGATGCCATTCTGGACAGTATTGTCCACAGGGTAATAAAGCTAATCTGCAGCCTCCACCAAATGCCTTTTTTATTCTAACGTAAAGATCTTTAACATATCCAGTGTCACCTGCATGAAAAAGAATTGGCTTGTTCTTATGTGTTAGCATAAATGAGCACCAAAGACTTTCATTTGTATCTAAAATAGATCTTCCTGACCAATGCATTGCTGGAGTAGATGTAATATTATATGTATTACCATTCTGAGTTTCTAGTTGACATGTCTCCCACCATGATAACTCAATAAAATTTTTAACATTATTTTTCATGAAAAATTTGTTCATACCCTTTGGTATAATCCATAATGTGTCATCTACATTTTTCCAATGGTTTAAGCTTTTCAAATCCAAATGATCAGGATGATTATGTGACACAAGAATGATATCTGGTTGTGGAATGTCTTCAATTGTACATGGAATACCTGTTATTCTTTTAGGACCTAAAGTTTCATGAATTAAAAAATCACTAAAAAGAGGATCTGTTAAGATCTTAAGATTATTATATTCAATATAATTACATGATTGACCCAACCAAGTGCTATATATAGGTATTGAATTTTTATCAACATTTTCTAAAAGGGGTTGTCTTCCACCATTATTTTGGTTCTTCCCCTTTGAAAACATAGTTTTCGTCTCCTGCTGATCCAATATTTTATAATTTATAATACAATCTTTCTCCATTGACAAATTTCCATCTGAATTATCAGACTTAGTCCAATGGGGTTTATGAACAGGCATTAATTTGTTCATTTGTCTCTTATCAGGTGGGATACCACCCCTATTTCTTTCAAATAATTCTATTATTCTGTTAAAGAAGAATTCGTGTATGGTTTGGATTCTATACTCTACAAATGGATTTTCGTATCTCCCGAGGACCTGTAATGGGGAATACTTTATCAAGGTTGTCTCTGTGTCTCTTAAAGATCCTCTATTAGAAATCAAACTATCACATTTTTGACGTCTATATTCTATCTCCTTTGCTGTAGAAAGAGTAACATAAATTGCATAGCCTGTATATGGTACTAATAAAGTTAATAAACCTTTACCAAACCATTTGGTATATTTATATTTGTTACGTGATTTTTGGTCATTTCTTTGCTTCAAAGAAAATGGCACAAAGGAACTACAATCTATATTTGTTTGAACACTCCTAATTGGACTAAGCCATTTAATTGACTTTAGACCAGTATTTTTCGTTATTGACAATGGTGTTTCCTGTAATAATCTTATCTTAGATAAATGAAAATTGAATTTATTCATCCACATTATGTAAAACACAATTATGGTGTGTATTGTTTATTTTGTTTTATATCCAATTTTACATCCACAGAACTAATGTAAATCCAAAAACATACCCGACTGATCCAGGGTATGGTTCCCCAGTGTGTGAGGCTGCTATTCTTTCGATAGTTGGCAGTGGCTGTGATGAGAATCACATACACCCATTTTAATAGTATTAAAAAAACTCTTGAAAAATTTCTTAAAGAGGAAGAAGAAAAAGAAGAAGCTCATCGATCTTTGTTCTTTAATGTACAGACTATTATTCAAGATGTAGAAAGGAATAACAAGTAGCATATACTCCTGTATCATTTAGTGCAAGCAAGCCTAATAATACATACATTGATAACCTTTAACAAACAATAAGAACAATTCATAGCATTTCTTTTAATAAAGGTTTAGTATTAAATTATATATATATAAGCGAACAAGATGTCTTTTAGAAAGAGAGGTGAAGTGATAAACAGTGGAACTAGAAATAATAACCCTAATTTAATTAAAAAATCTATATTACCAAACAGGGGTGGTGTATTGCCAAATAGAGGTCCAGTAAGTGCCATAAGAGACAATGTTAATAGTTCCCGTTTAGCTATTCCTGGAAGACAACCAGTATTATCACGAGGGCCCATTGCTAGTAATGGACCTGGCTTAGATATTGTTAATGGAATAAAAAGATTAAACATTAACAAGGAAAACAATATTGATGGTCTTTCAATTGATAAAACAGAACAAAATACAAAATTATTAATGAATCTAAATCATCCAGGTGTAAGGCCATCTACAGTAAGCCATAATATAGTCTCCTCCACTGGTTGTTACGATTTGGATAAACTTTTATCCCATATGGGACTACCATTAGGTCATTCCTTGTTGATTGAAGAAGACGGTACTACAGACTTTCAATCCATTCTTTGCAAGTTATTTATGGTTCAAGGTGTAGTACACAATAGAGTCAGTAAAAGTGAAAACCCAAATATACAAGGCAATACTCATGTTATTGTACTCTCTATGAATCAACTTTTAACCAAAGAATTACCTGGAGAGTACAAGGGATCCCGTAAAGAGATTAAAAAATCCAAAATTCAGGAAGAAGAATCAAAGTTATCTGTCTCCAATTTAGCTCTTCAAGAGGCCAGGTCACAACCAACAAGGTACTCAGATTTAAAAATTGCTTGGAAATATAAATATGCTGATGAAAACTCTGGTAAAAAACGCTCTGTTGGCAGCAACGACGAGAATGGTAATGATATTCAATCTGAAGAATATAAAAACTATATATCTCAATTCGATATAACATCAAGATTGATGCCTGCAGCTACACCTCAGGAATTATCCTTTGTATCTCCTTTACAACCCATTACAAAAATATTGAATCAATTAGAATCTTTAATTGAGAAACATAAGAACAAATTAATCAGAATTGTAGTGCCATCGTTTTTACACCCAGCAATGTATCCACCACAAATGTATGCACTAGCAAATGCTATAGGCTTATTACATGGACTGAAGAGTATTGTCAAAAAATTTGGTAACCGAACAATAATGATGATGACAGTCTCAAAAGAACCATTATCATACCTGGTACAGAATCAAATGGAGTCCTTATTTGATGGTATAATTGATTTAGAACCATTCCCACAAGAAATGCTACAGTATTTGGAAAAAGTATATAAGAGTCAACCAAATAAGGTGCAGCATGGGTTAGTTCATTTAATTAAATTGCCAGTATTTAGTGAGCGTGGTGAAATGCATCATAGACATGCGGAATATGCATTCAAGAATAGTAAAAAGAGTTTCAAAATTGAAGAATGGTCTATTCCAGTGGATGATTCAGTAGATGATACAGATGAATCACATGAATATGAAAAAAACAACGTATCCTCGCCATTAAATAATAGATCAACTCCAACAAGACAGACAAAACAAAGTTTTGACTTCTGATTCACTAAGTTTTATATAAGCATCATTCTGTGTTTCTTAGGTATATTACTCATTTCATTCTATATATATATAGTGTTTATTATCATACTAATAATAAAATTTACAAATATTATTATAAGTTATAAATTGCTCCACTATTAGGAATCATATACTTTTTTTATGTGTTTATCTTTTCTTTAAGGAGCTCAGAAAAGTTTAATCCTTTTAATTTGATTGCAATTGCACAATCAGTTAAATAAAAAAAACTAAATGAAAATAAAGAAGAAAACAGAAGGGGGAGTAAAATATAATACATTGTGATATATATTCAATATAGCAATTTATACTAGAATTTATATTTAACTGTCGACAGTCTAATAAAGGAAGAAACATAAAGTAGTTTACAAAGCATATACAACTTTTCGACATCGTAACCAGATATGAAAGTTTTAAGATTCAACCAAGATGCAACATGCTGCGTAATAACACACCATAAAAAAGTATGTATCTATAATTGTGATCCCTTTGGTGAATGCTTTTGTATAGACTGGGAAGAAAGTAGCAATAAATATGACTATAATAATGATAACCAAAGTGCTCTAATTTTTAGTTATAAGAAGGGAAATAATGATACTCAGACCTCTGTAAACACTCATAACAAAAGCAACGATAGAAGTGAGAGTATTAATGAAATCTTTGGAGAAAATCTACAACCAACTCCTTCATATACCAAAAACATTATTAATGAATATGATGATTGCATAGTAGAAATGCTATTCTCCACAAGTCTAATGACTATGACTAACGGAAATAAAACAAATAAGAGAAAATTGAAGATAATCAATACAAAGAGGAAATCTACCATCTGTGAACTAATATTTCCTACAGATATCATTGACGTGGTAATGAATAGAAAAAGATTATGTGTGCTTTTAAGTAGTGATCAAATTTTCATCTATGACATTTCGTGTATGAAATTATTAGAGACAATCAATTTATGGGAAAATAAGATAAATTCACTATTCTCAATCAATAATAATAGCAGTAATGATAACAATAATGGCACCTGTGATCATGATAACGATATTAATAAATTATTACAAAATCAATTAAATTCCAAACATGCTATAGAGCAGCTCGGATCCAACAGTAAAATTAAATCAACTTCAAGGACAAAAGGTAATATTACCCCCAAGATTGCATTAAGTAACGATGATAGAAGTATTCTAGCATTTAGTACTTATCATCTCACCAAATCAGACCCTAATAATCGTGTATTAAGAGATGTTATCATTTATGATGCAATAAATACTAAACCAATAAATTATTTAAATAATGTTCATAGGGGAAACATTACCTGTCTTGCAATAAACCAAGATGGAACATTAATCACTACAGCATCAGAAAAGGGCACAATCATAAGAGTTTATAACACAGGAATTAATACCATTAATTCAAATAATAAACCAAACAGTAGTATAACTTCAAATCACATTCAATTTAACAGTAAGACGCCTCTATTATTTGAGTTTAGACGGGGAAATCGATCATCTAATATATATCAATTAACTTTTAACTCAATGTCAACATTAATTGGTTGTGTGGGTGATTCAGGAACTATACATATCTTTAAATTAAATGATCTATTTAGATATAATGAAACCACAGATCGGAACGTCTCTGATATTGACCATGGATTATATTTATTAAACTCAAATGAAAATAACCAGGACTTTGATATAAACGAGAATTTTGATACAGAATATAGAAATAAATCAAATTTAGACAGGTCAAGGCAAGTAGTACATTTTTTATCAAAAAAATCAAAGCAAATATTCCAAACCAAAATTTGCAAAGAGATTTTGCTCATATTAATATTCATAATGCCAATAATAGGTATTATCTAGGATTTCCAGAAGAATTCCCAAATCAAATATATCTTGCTGGAGACGATGGACAATTTTTTACTTATGCAATACCTCAAAGCTCGGGTAAGTGCATTTTAGTTAGTAAAAACACATTTTTTTGAGGAGACATATTAAAGAATATAATATTATTAACTTGGTATCAAATAAGTACATTTATAAAGATACCTTGATATATATAAATGCATTTAATGAATATATATATAGATATATTTAATCTATTCATGACAATAATGTTGATCATTCTTTTTTTATCATTTAGATTCTCTATCTCTCTTGCTTTCCCCCTTTATTTTAGAACCAAAAGTATCGTTTATACCAAGGTTGCTTTCCAGCTGCTTTTAAACCGGATTTTGCATCTAATAATTGTTGTAATTGCTCCTCTAAGTTATTTATTTCCTTTTGCAATTCATCTTCCCTACGATCATATTCACAATACCACCAATAAAATTGCCATCCCATATAAACAGTAGAGCTCATCAAAAAAAGTATCCAGGCAGGTCTGATAAAAGGTTTTAAAGTATTTTTCCTAATTATGTTCTGTTCCTGATCCAATTGTTTTAACATCTTTAATTCATTTTCTGCATTCAATAAATCTGTTCTTTCATCAATTAATTTTTTAATTAACCGTGGATCGATATCCTCTAAATTATCAATTTTATTCAAGTGTTCTAACTTTGTTATTTTATATTGTTGCCAGAAAGACCTTAAATGTATATATCTTATGCCATAAATAGTAGATACATGACTACTACTATTGTTGGATAGTCTTTTGATTAAAGGTTGATATTGTGATTGCCTTTTGCTAACTCTTGCAATCATTCTACTTATTTTTTTGTCCCATGTGTTTAAAACAGAGTTTCTATTAAAATTAGATCAGATGTTTGACTTATCTTCCTTACCGCTTCTTCTATGTCTTTTAAAACCAGTCATGCTTCTTAATTGTACAGTTAATCTTCAAACTCCTTTATATTTTCTTCGAAACATTGTTTATTTTTCGCTTTAAAGGGATATTAGAAAATTCGTTATTCATAATTCATCCCCCGTCTTCCATGTGAGAAACCTAAGCTGAGGTTGAATCAGTTCGATCATTAAAGGTGCAAGATCTATCTCAAAAGGAAGAAGTAGAGAATAAAACTATTGACAAGATATGTACCATTGCAGACCACTAGTGAAAAAGATTTCAAAAATAAGGTCAATTATAAGAAGATTCTATTCTTCACAAGCAGTCATCTCTGAATTAGAACAAAGAGAATTAATTTCTCAGATATCAAACCCTAAGCATCAATTAATTGAATCATTAAACAATGGAACAAAAATAAAACTGTACTGTGGTGTTGATCCAACTGCAAGTTCTGTCCACTTAGGTAATTTAGTACCTATGATGGTTTTATTACATTTCTATATTAGAGGCCATGACATTGTCAATATTGTGGGAGGTGCTACTGGACAAGTAGGTGATCCAAGCGGCAGAACTACAGAAAGGTCTGAAATGGTCCAGCAAGAAAGAAACAATAATGTAGAAAATATCAGTCGTCAATTAAGAAGATTTTTTCAAAATGGTAAAGAATATTATTTAAGGAAACAACAAAAGAAAAGTAAGATCACAGATATAAAATCAGATTTAAATGGTGGTTTAGGAAGACACTTTGTTTTAAATAATTTAGATTGGTGGAAAGATGTGAAGATGTTAGATTTCTTAGCAAATTATGGAAAATATATAAGAGTACAACAAATGTTGTCTCGTGATAGCATAACTTCACGTCTTTACGCTACTAAAAATAATCAAAATATGAGTGATGGATTAGGTTTCAATGAGTTTACATATCAAATTCTTCAAGCTTATGATTTTTTCCATCTATACTCTAAAGAAGGCGTTACTATTCAAGTTGGAGGTAATGATCAATGGGGTAATATTGTTGCTGGTATAGATCTAATCCAAAAACTAAACAACAAAAATAATGGATTGAAACAGACGAAATTAGGACCCTATGGGATCACTGTTCCGTTATTAACAACTGCTAATGGAACCAAATTCGGTAAAAGTGCGGGAAATGCAATTTTCATTGATCCACAAATGAACACACCTTTTGATTTATATCAATTTTTTTATAATACTTTAGATGAAGATGTCGAAAGGTTTTTAAAGATTTTTACCTTGTTACCACAAGAAGAGATTGAATCCATCTGTGAAAAACATTCTCTAGATCGTTCAAAACATCTAGGTCAATCTGTCTTAGCTAAAGAAGTAACTGAGTTGATCCATGGGGCTAAAGAAGCACATGATGCAGAATATATTTCAATAGTTTTATTCCGTAATTTAAGCACCAACTCTTCTTCCTCTACTATCACCGTCACTACTGACATTAATGCAAATACTTTAATACCCATTTTAACTAAGATGGGTATATTATATAAGGGACAAAAAGAATGGGATCTTTTAAACTTATTAGTGCAAATAGCTAAAATTTCACGTAAAGAGGCTAAAAGAAGAATTGAACAAGGTAGTGTTTCTATTGGATTACAAAAAGGTAATGTGGTTAAAAATAATATTTTACCTAATGCATGGAATAAACATTTATTATCTGGCAAATTATTGATATTACGTTTAGGAAAACAAAAAGTTTATCCAATTTTAATGAAATAAATTGGGAATTATGAAGAATAACATGTTTACTTTTTAATAGTTGAATATGTTATGCTTTTTTTGATAGTAAGATCATTAAAAAAACCTGTAAATAATATTTAGAGTGTAGTGTACTCTAACAAATATACATGCAACTATATAGACTTATGTGTAATGAAACCTGTTATTAAGACTACATTTTAGATCTAGCCTGGAACCGTTTATCCTATCCATATCCAAATATTAAATGTGATAGATAGAACTATAGAAAGATAGTCTGATTTATGAAGAAAAAAATAAAGGATAAAAAAAACAAAAGGTATCAAACCAAAGAAACACAACTTAAAGGAAAAGAGACAAAAAAGGAATGTTTGAAACCTATTAATTACTAAAATCCTTTTGAGCACGCTACTAAGCTTTTCACAATTTAGTGTTGAGGGACTTAGCTGTTAACTAAATAGATGTCAAATAAGAGAAGGCAGTGAAATGCACACACACATATATACACACACATATATATATATAAAATGAGTGATTCAATAGAATATGATAAATTGGCCCAAAATTTCTTGCAAAAGTGGAAAGATTACATATTATTATATTTTAGGAGACCATCTGATGCTCAAGATATAAACCATTTCAAACAACTTATAAGTACGAACCCAATAGCTAGAGATATAGCAAACAATGCTCGTCGGCTATGTCATATATATGACAACCCAGAATGGCAATCTAAGGTTTTTGAGACTTTAGATTTAGATTTAATTTACTCAAATGTAGATAAAATGCCTTTGGATCATGAGGATCAATATAGCGATAATTTAGTGAAAGAATTACTACGATATTTTAAAAATGATTTTTTCACATGGTGTAATAAACCCAAATGCAAGCAATGTGGAGTCGATTCATACCAAGAACCAATTGGAACGACAGCTTCTACGATTGAGGAACAAAGATTTCAATGTGGGAATGTAGAGTTATATAAATGTCAACGCTGTAATAATATAACTCGATTTCCAAGGTATAATGATCCAACAAAATTGTTAGAGACCAAAACTGGTAGATGTGGTGAATGGTGTAACTTATTTATGTTAATACTGAGATCTTTTGGTCTTGAAGCAAGGTATGTGATAAATTTCGAGGATCATGTTTGGAATGAATATTATTCTCCGTATTTGAAGAAATGGGTTCATTTAGATTCATGTGAACAATCATTTGATGAACCACATATATATTCAATTAATTGGAACAAGAAAATGAGTTACTGCATAGCATATGGAAAATATGAAGTAGTTGATGTTAGTAAGAAATATATTGTTCAAAACCAGCTCCCAAGAGATAAAATCAGTGATTCAAATCTTAATCTAGTATGCAGAATAATAACAAAACAATTACAGCAAGGATTAAATGATTCGGAGTTGTATAGAGTTTATTGTATGGAAGAACAGGATTATTTAAACTCCAGAGGAAATACACAAAGGAAATCCAGTGAAATACCACGTGAAGATAGAATTGGCAGAAAAAGCGGCCCAAAGGAATGGACTACAAGTCGTGGTGAAGATGGTAGAACTTAAGATAGAATCTACATAAATAAATAATAAGGATCTATTTGTATATATATATATATATATATATATATATGAAATATCACATCTGATCTTCAGGAACATCTTCTAAAATTGGTTTTGTCGAGACACCAGAAGAAGAGGTTTGTTTAACTTCCTTAATTGTCTCCAAAATTTTATCTTTATCATTATTGCTATTATCTTCATCTTTATTTTTATTTTTATTCTTATTCTTATTCAAAGCTTCTTTTTTCTGCTGTCTTTTCTTTAATCTTTTCATTTTCTTCTGGTAACTGTAAGTCTCCAAATCACCAAACCCATATAAAGGTCTAAAAGAATCCACGATCCCACAATCTTCAAAGAAATTTGGGAATAGCCAAAACAAACCAACACTTTTTTCGCCTCTAGTGAAGGGGTATGACAAAACAGCCAAGACCAATCTAATAATGGCAATAATAAAGAAAGCCACGATGACCCATAGGGCACCAATAGAGATGTAATAGGTAGCTCTACGCATTTTCAATGGCCACAATGGGTAACAGACTAATGCTAAGATAGTTAGGATGATACCAAAGACAATGACATAATCCCATATAGATTTAGGGTTATAATTCCAGATATAGTATTCGTTTGGCTGTAAGATTGCTTTATCTGTAGAAATCAAGTTGGGGTAATCTTTGCTTGGTTTTAAATTATGTTCTTTAAGTTCATTTGAATGTAATTTTTTAACAGGTAGGATGATTTGGTTAGAGATTAACATAATAAAGATTTGTTTAGCTTTGTCTTCATCGAATTCATGGGTCTCAGAATTAATAACGGATGGATAGATATCTGGTTGATTAGAACATTTATTTATATATTCATTAGAGTTTAAAGCTCTTAGAAATCTTTTATAACGAAAGAAATCGGTTGGATTATTTTGGAACAACCCTTTTCTTTGTTTTAAAGCCTCGTGTTTACGTAAAACTTTAGCAACTTCGAACACAGATTGTTGTTGTGGTGGTGGTGGTGGTTGCTGTTGTGACTGATTCATTTTATTTTATTTCTTTTCCCGTTTATCTCTTTATGTTTAATGAATTGTCTTTGATTTCTACCATTCTCCTATTAATAATGACAATAAATATAAGTATGTATATTCTAACATTTCAATTAATTTGTTTTACATAGTACTATATGAAGAGATTATTTCTTTTCAGAATATTTTAAAATATTCTAGTTTTGTCTATGTTCGTGTAAAAAATAAACAAGAAAAAAAAATAAGTAAATAAGTAAGTAATGTTTCATTTCCAATTTATCACAATAAACGGTATTAAAAAAAAAGAAAGAAAGAGAGAGAATAAATCTCGAATATATCGTTATTAACGGAGTGACTCTGATAAAAGTAAAACAAAACAAGACAAAACAAATAATAATAATAATAATAATAATAATAATAAAGGAAGAAAAGGGACAGATACAGATACAGACACAGAAAGAAGAATAGCTAGATTATCATAGTAACTTATGCTATCAGTGTCAATTATGTTCTAAAACATTACAAACACTTAATAGCTCTCTATTTGTTTAACAAGTAAAAAGAGAAAGAAGATGCTTGAAAAATAATGTTTGTGAAATATCAGTCGATGAAACTAAAAGCTAATACTTTTGTCATTATTATTATTATTATTTCCTTATTCGTTTTGAAAATCCGTATTTAATGATAGAAGATAGGTATTGTTTTTGTTTTCACCTCAGCTTCGATTGCATATTTCTATGTATTGTGTTTCTATGCATGTTTCTTAGCTTTTATTGTTAATTTTCAAATGGACATTTTCCTGAAAAATATACAAAAAAAGGGGTGTGCCTGTCAATTTTGGTGGCAAATTTCCCACCGACAAAAACACATTTTAAAAAGACATGCTGTGATTTTTAAGATATATATATGTATGTATATATAATGAGAAAACATAGTGAGATATATAGAATGCTACACAGCAAGTTAATTTAACGTCTATATATATATGATAAGATATCTTTTTGAATATAGTATCTCTATATAATTAATATATGTGTCTTATTTATATTGGATTAATAAACAAAAACAAAAAAAATACAAAATTAAATTAATAACCTTGTTTTCATTTCAAACACAGACATCTTATCTTTACCATCTTGAGGTTTTGTCTATGTTTAATTTTCACTACTATTATTTTCTTGCTTGGGATACAATTATTTGATCTTTTTTTTTCTTTTTTTTTTTTTTTTTGATGAACAAAAGAAAAATAAAAAAAGTACACGAGTTCGATTCTTTAATGATTTTTTAAACGATAAACAACTTTAAAGATTTGATTTAAAAAGTACGTTAAGAAATAAGTAAAGAAAAAAAGAAAAAAGTCTTACCAACAAAGTTACTACTCAAATAGAAACGCAAAATTTATGATTGCCCAGTAGATCTACTCAACAATTGTATTTTCTGTCTATCTATCTATCTATCTATCTATCTATAATAATGGATCCATTAGTAATTAAATCATTTATAGATAATCCACAGAGATGGGATGCTACTAATGAATCCATTTTGAAAAAACCATTTCTACATATATCACAGCAAAGGGGTAAAAAGTTTAGGACCAGATTAATCGACATCTTTAACCAAATATATCAACTGCCGGACCAGGTTCTAACCACTCTATCACAAATCATCGAGATATTACATAATGCTTCGCTTATGATCGACGATATTGAGGATAATTCTCTTTTAAGACGAGGTGTCAAAACATCGCACCTTGTATATGGAATACCGATGACGATAAATTCCGCAAATTACATGTATTTTGTCGCAATGAACTTGATACCAAAATTGATTATCCAGAACAATAAAAATGTAAATACAAATGTAAACATGAATATAAATGGTAAATCATTATCTACTAATCATATTCAAATTCAATTATACAGAATATTTAATGAAGAAATCTGTAATTTGCATAGGGGACAAGGCATGGATATCTATTGGAGAGACGCAAACGTTATCCCAACAGAAGAGATGTATATGAACATGGTTATCAATAAAACAGGAGGGCTATTTAGGCTAACAATACGTCTAATGGAAACATTATTTACTTTTTACACTGGGCATAATATCGAAAATAGTATGATACCAATCTGTGAGTTGCTCGGAATTATATATCAAATTAGAGATGACTGTCTGAACCTGTCGGATGAAACAATGACAATGAATAAAGGTTTCGCGGAAGATATAACTGAAGGAAAATTGTCGTTTCCAATAATTCATGGACTTAACTATGAGAAAATGAATATTTCTGAAAAAAACCGCTTTCTTCATAACACTATAATATCAAAAACTTCAAATATAGATGTCAAATTGAAAGTTGTCAAATTCCTAAAAGATGAAAGTGAATCGTTGGATTACTCTAAAGACACAATCAAAAACTTAACAATCATATTAAAAAAACAGTTGCAGACTTTTTCAACTAAGTATTATGAAAGCAACATTAGCAATGACCAAGATTTTCTTTCTCCGTTGTATTCAATTATAGATTATTTATCATCATTTTGAAGAAGTATATTTTATCTATACTAAAAGAAAAGACAATAAAAAGAAAAATAAAAAAATTATCCCATACGTCTTACTAATACAATTTTAATTTATATTCTATGGGTATGCATAAATATTTAGATATATACATATAATGAAAAGTAAAATAAATAGGTAATTTATTATTATTATTATTATTATTATATATAATATATAATTTTCCTATATTAAGCAATATTCATTTAAACAGAACATCTTTTACTTTTCAATCTTAACCAAATCATTCTATTAATTTTTGGTAGATTTCATACATCTCACGTAATTGACAAATATTCATATTTTCGAATGGCACATCTTTATACTTACAATATTCTTCCATCAAGGTGATACCATCGGTTTTACATTTCAAACATAACGTTTCTTGGGTATTTACTTTAGTATCCTTTAGTTTATTATGAAGGGGTGATGAGTCCAAATGTAGTAACGATTCTGTTTTTTTATCAACTTCTGCGAACAATTGTAGGCTATTCTTAACTGGATTTAACGGTCCAACAACTGTCTCTTGATAAACTGGATTATATGCTTTTACTTTACTAATTATGTGTTTCAATGAACCATCCAAAACAGATTTTATGCCTTCGTATGAATTACTTCTTATTACCGAATCTTCATTTTCTATCAGTTTTGGTTCTCCCGTATAGTTAGTCCAACCGAAATTTGAAGTATTTGAATTGACTAAATCTTTATTGTTGATTTTAGGTATATTTTGGCTCTCAATTACTTCTATAGTATTTTCAGTTGAGGGTAAAGTAATAATATCACTTATCTTATTTTTGAATAAAAAACATTCATCTTCAGTTAAATTATTTTTTAGATGATTGGGTAAATCATTTAATGTTAATCCCTCAAGATACATTAGAGCTGCATTCAGATTGGTCAGTGCAAACATCTCACTCTCTATTAATTTCTTCTTGTATCTAAAAAGTTTAATAAATTCTTCATTAAGAAATATGTTCTTAGGATTTAATTTGATAATATAATATATCAAAACTGATAAGAAATCATCATTGGATGTAGCATTACCTTTTTGACTTAATATATTATGTATGTTTAATAATTTTGAAATTTTTTCATAAGGGGAAATACATTTTATTATTAAATCTGTAAAATTATTATTTATAATATCGTGCAAATCACTATTATCCATACTTACAGTATCTGATATACCCAGAAATTTAGTTAGCTCAGTGTTGCTGCTCAAGTATAATCTATTCAAACAATGAACCTTTTCTCCTAATCTTTTATCAAATTTGATATATTCAGGGGTATTTTTAAATAATGTCTTTACACTAAATTGTTCTTTATTATTTTTCAATTGATTGTTATTACTAGTACTATTCATTATTTCAACTGGGGTTGCTGAGGTCCCAACTTCTATCAGTTTATTGAAAACACCTCTCTCACATAACTCTAAATATCTCGTGCATTTGACATTGATTATAGCATTTTGTTTGATTTGTTGATCAATTTCTTCTGGTGATAATAATGGGGTTGCGTTATTCATATTTGTAAAAGAACTAGCACTAAATAAAGATGATGATCTTTTGCTTTTGTTTCTATTAATGTTGCTTGTTGCACTGTTACTTCTACTTCTTGCAAATATACTGTTTAACCCAGAACTAAGAGCTTCTCTTGCGTTGATAAACGTATTTGTAGAATTGACAGATAGAGTCATTAAATACACGTATACAGATTTATCAAACTCTGTATAAAAAGACTGAAATATAGAAACTAACTGTGATATGGACAAAGGACTGACATATTTTGGCTGTTTCAAATCAGTTATAAAAAGGTCAATATATTTTGTCAGCTCAACAGGTAATTCTTGGATTTCAGATCTAATCCTTTCAATTTTTGTGGATGTCAATATTTCCTTCTCAGATGAACTGGATAGATTACTGTTTAAAGTAGTATCTTTTCTTAATATCCCATTCACTAAATCAGTATTGGTATAGGTACTTGAAGTTGGTGACCTAGAAGTTTCTTCATAGTTATATGATTCCTTTAATGCTTGCTTTCCATCAAAGAGTTCACTATTAATTGGGGGTGTATAAAATGGTTTCATCTTTAGATTCAATAATCAAAAATAGATAATTGGTAGGAAATATCTTTTTTCTTCTTCCTGTCGTGCTTAAAATTAACTTACTCCGTTAACAGGAAATATTTTGATGAATAAAATTATCTTATAATAGTTTTTTGACTACAACATTGAATTCCTCAACCGTTTCTCTTCTCTGAATAATACTTACTTCTTATAGAAACTTCTAACTTGAATTATCTTCAAGAAAGATATAATATTACCAAGATCTACCTTTTTTGTACATCTTCTAATTATTTCTTAACGTAAAACAATAAATGAAGATCAAAAAACGTTTTATATTTTTGATCTTGCGTCACAAAAAAAAGTTATATATCTAAAAATATGCGTATATAAATTTCATTACATTCATTAGTTGAAAAAAGTAAGGAGAACAATCCCATTATCTTTTTTCTTCATCATATAGGAGAGGGAATAGATTAAAGAAATGATCTATACAAATGGATCACATATACTCAGTACATGTGGAGCAGTGTTTATTTTAAGCTATTGCATATTCTTTTTAATTATTTTCCAATTACTTTTGGCTTTATTCTTAAATAAGGATAAATAATAAGGCTATAAATTGCTACTAAATAGACAAAAAAACAAACAAACAAATAAACCTATATGACATATTATAAATTAAAGAGACCTCACAGTCCCGTCAATAGTGGCGATTCTATTGGGATATTAGATTATAAACGTATTAAATTAATTGAAGATTTTGAAAGGCTTTCTTTATCAGATAATAATGTAGTTAAGTATGACAGGGACTCTTATATTAAAGACATGGGTAACCCTGTAACAAAACTTGTTAAGGCAAAGATTAACCTTCCGAAGTCAGTTAAAAATAAAGTTATTAGAAAAATATTGTCTGCACACCGAGATAAGGATCAAATGGATGGCGAAGTGCTTATTTACTCCAGGATTTATGATTGGATAAAAGAGGACTCTATGAAATTGATTCCGTGGGTAGATTGGAAAGGTACAATATATAAAATGTGGTTACATTGGTATCAAAATACTGTGTGGAAGCCAACTTATAAAAATTATTTACCTTTGTTCGATAATGAAGGCGATTATGATATTATGCATAACTTCAATGAGAATAACTCAAATAATCACGCCAAGCACATTTTGGACAATATAGACATGGATATAGACATGGATTATTGAATTTATTTATTATTCATACCAGATGATGTTCTTTTCTATAATATACATTCCTTTTCAAATAGTTTTAATCCCTTGATGACGCTAATGCTGCACTTAATTATAACGTAATTCTTATGACTTTTTCTCTCTTTCTATATACGTAAATACGTACATGCATATTTAATATTATTCGAGTTGAATTTCATAATATAACATATATACATACTTATTTTCATTATGCAAAGTTGAATTTTTAACTTCTTTTACTTTATCATCAGATATTAACCAAAAAGGTGAACTTTTCACAGTCTTGATAGTTTTAAATTTTTTAATTCCATGAATTTTTGTTTTTTCAATATCTTTATTGTTTTGTATATCATCTATTCTTTCAATTATAGTCGGTGCTTTGTTTATAAATTGTTTATTTTGATTATTAAAAACTAACTTAGGCTTTTGCTTATAACATTGATAATGTCCTTGATAATGTGATCCAGTGTGCTTTACCATAGCCTTTAATGAATATTTCATTTTCTTCATTTGAAAATTGCCATCTTCACCTAGATTTTGCTGATTTAGTTCTAGTATTTCTGGGAATGTGACCCGACAAGAGTTTCTTGCCATTACCATTCCGTTATACATTGATCTCGATAAATGCATAATAAGAATTTTTGGCAGTTTTGAAAAGGCTGACCTTCTAACTATAGTAGTCTTCATTTTACTAGGAACACATCTATTTTTATCGTAATTTTTAATATAATATAACAAATGATTAGGTATATCACTATTTATCTTTAGAATAGGTAAAAGAGCTTTTAATTGACATATATTCTTGTTTTCAAAATCGTCATTATTAAAGTTATAATTTGCTTCGTTTACCAATAATGCAGAAACTTGACAATATAAACAAGAATAATCTTGTATCATTTCATATCCATCATTCTCGATAATTTCTTGTAATGAGCACTCATATCTTTGAGGGACATTGAGTTCCCACATAAATTGATCTTGCTTTTGAATCTTTGATCTTTTATGACAGCTCATGCAGAAATAATGTCTGCTAATTGTACCCTTAAATGGGAAGTCACATTTAATATTTTTTAAAATTCTATTATCACTATATTCATATAATATTTTATTTTCTTCACATAATCTTTGTAATAACATTTGCACGAATTCATGTGCATCATTTTGATCTCTGGATATTTTACTTTGAAAAATTCTTTCTAAAGATTGAACTATCTGAACATTAGATATTACTTTAGGCTGACAAATAAGTTTTTGCAGATCACCACATACGCTACATAAGCTTTCATGTAATAAACCCCTAATATTTGTCTTTGAGTGGTTTTCTGCTTCTTCTGCAATTTCAACTTGTTTAAAAAATAACTGAATATATTCATTTAAATAAATAGTTAAATATTCAAGCGCACTAAAGGCTTGTAAAGAAGAATTGATATAGCAATCGTTGCCTCTATTTGAAATTCCTGTAGTATATTTATCCCATCTTTCACTATCTATATCTACTTTAATTAGTTTAATACCTAAAATAGCAAATAATATGCCCTTAAAACTTGGGTATAATATATAGATAGATGTTGCAGAGAGCACACCATAGGTAAGTTGTTTGTATGTTAATTTTTTCAGACCGAATAAGTTCAAAACATAGTTAATTAAGGACATATTTTCTTTTCGAAGTTTTTTTCTAGTTAACTACTAACATATTAAGTAAACTAGGTTCCACTATATATTTCTATATATATATATATATACTGTAAGTATATATACCATGAAGATCTTTTGAAACAAGAATCAACCGATCTACCATTCACTTATACTCAATCTGAAAAGATTAACTATAACCTTCAATAAACAGCCTAATTATTAACTACCACTCAGACCCATACATCCACTGACTATATAATGTTTGAAAAAAAATCTATAATGCAATAAGTTGTCACCATATCGTTACTCTATATGCATAATACTTTTAAGGCTCTCTTATGATCCATCACTGCCGTAAAGAGTGGCCCATTCTTCATATTGTTTCAAAGACTCCTTTGAAATACTCTTCCTTGCTGTATGCATAGCTTGGCGAAAATCTTGTAGGGAAACAGGACGAACGTTCTCGAAGTTAATTTTCATTAAATCATCTCCAAGATCTCTAATAGGCTCCATGGCAGCTTCTTTAGCCAAACTAGTAATATCTGAACTAGAATAACCATCTGTCATTGTAGCTATAACTTCAAAATCTTCCATAGATAAGCTATTCTTTTGATAGTTCATCAGTTTCTTTAAATGGTTCAATCTTGTTTCATAATCTGGTAAAGGTATATATAGTCTTCTTGAGAATCTACGTCTCGCTGCCTCATCAATTATCCAAGGTAAATTGGTTGCTGCAAGGACCAACACCCTATTATCCAGACAAATGTCCTCATGAAATGTATTACATTTATTATTACTATTTTTTTGTTATCAAGTTCTTGGTTCTTATTATCATTATTATCCCGTGCTGTGGAGCTGGATAACTCGGACCATTGTATCAATAATTCTGTTTTAATTCTTCGAGATGATTCACTCGAATTTTCTGATCTATCTCCCAATAAAGAATCGATCTCATCAATAAATATAATAGAAGGTGCCAACCTTTTAGCTAAATAAAATAAGGCTCTTACTAACTTTTCAGATTCACCCAAATATTTTGATAATAAAGAAGATGCACTTATACTGAAAAAGGTAGATTTAGATTCTGTAGCAACCGCTTTGGCTATCATAGTCTTCCCTGTACCAGGTGGTCCAAATAACAGCATCCCTCTGATAGGTTCCCTTAAACCTTTAAATAAATCAGGCCTTAAAAATGGATATACAACTGCTTCTTTCAAAGAATTCTTAGCCTTCTCTAAACCAACAACATCATCCCAGCAAATAGAGGAATTAGAAACCATAATGTCATTGACAATTTGTTGGCATGCATCAACGTCTGCACCATGAAGAGTCTCCATAATATGTTGTAATCGCGACTCAAAAGAACTCTCTAATTCAGATGAGTTAATTGAGTCATTCATTGTGCGTTTAGATATATATTTTGGCGAAATAGAATGCGATGGATCAGTAGGCTTAGAATTATTGACTTTTCTTGTTTTTTTTTCATATTTGTAGGTAAACTATTAAATGAACTAATTGATTTCACCACTGGAGAACCATAACTCAATATAATGGATTTTTTATTATCAGCCTTTTTCGGTATCATATCTTTCTCATCGCTTTGATTTCTTTGAAGAGTCCTATATATATAGTTGTGAGTTTGATTTGAATAATCTGAGTGATTAGATTTTTGAGATGCAGTCCAAGCAATAACCGCTGCACGGTTCATATCTAACGAGCGTCTATCTGAACTATTCCCCCCAGAAGGAGATTCTAATGATTTTCTAATAGAGATATAACTATTACCGTTATTTTGAGGTTCGGTCACATGGGATCTATTCTTTATGTCTAAACTTCGCCTCGTTGAATTATTATTAAGATGAGATGATGATCCAGATACTATTTTTGCATCAGTTTTACCATTTTCTTGTTTACTTTTAGTTATTTCATTTCTCAACTCATTTATTCTCTTCTCATTTTCTAATTCAAGACGTTTTTGCCTAATTTTTTGTTCTTTTAATTTCCTATTCATCTTTTGTTCGACCTGTTCTTTAATTCTTGATTCTAGGATTTTTTCCCGTTTATCCTCTATCTTTTTACGTTCTAATTCCTTTTGTTTTCGTAACCTTTCTTCTTCATTCTTTTTCTTTAACTGTTCTTGTCTTCTCATTTCTTTTATATGTTCTACTTGCTTCATAATAATTTGATCTTCTCTCTTATCAATATCTTTAATATGTATCTTATTCTTAGTTTTCCAAAATATAAGCTTTTTATTATCATGTGTTTTATCATATTGAGTCAGTATATCAACAATTTTCCTCCTTCTAATTCTAATATCATTTTCTAGTATTCGAAATTCCTCGAATAGTTCTTTACATTGTACATTCTCTAAAACCCACTGGTTCCATCCATCAGTAATGCCGAATTTTTTTTCAATTGTACGAAAACCAGAATCCAAGTAATTTAATTGAACTTCAAGTTGCTTATATATCCTTTCTAGAATTTTATGTTCGCTCGATTGACTTATTTTATCAAAATCTTCAAATATATTCCCACATTGTGTAGCCACAATTGAGTATAATAATTGTAAGGCTTGAAAAATCGAGAGATGTTTTGGTATAACAAACTTTTCATGAGCCATCTAGATCATCAATAACTTGGAAGAAAAATAAAAAAGTATTCTATATGAATTCTTCTTGTGTAATGTAATAAATTTTCAATGCTGTATGTTTAAAAATATTTTATGGAATTTTTAAAGCAACCAATCTTTACTTTTATATTTTTTGTATGTCACCTACAATATATTACACATAACTTTTATTATCATATCCCTCCTTTTCTTTTTAAAGTACTGGTCTGACATGACTCTTCAATTTTGAATATCTTAATTTAATCCGTGCATAAAGGATATTGTCCAAAAAAAGAATAAATGCAAAAAATTTATTTATAATTTATTTAATACAAAATAAATACAGGAGTCATTTTAACCCCTCTGCCCTGTTCCATTAGTAATAATAACTTTATAAGTCTATCTACTTCTTTATATATTAAAATGCATTATATATAGTTAAAAGTATTACATTTTACTTAAAACTTTTACAATTTTATATGGAGGGAAATACAAAAATAGGAAGAAACACAAAAATATGATATATACTAGTTTGAGCATATTATTATGTGTTATCCTTTTCTGTTGTAGTAGAGTTATTTGTGGAAGATGCATTGTGAGAAGCAGGAGTCATAATGGGTTGAATATTGTAAAGTTTACTCCTAAATGGCAATACCGGTATAGTGGCGGTATTTACAAAAGATGTTGTACCATTTTTCCTATTCTTGTTCCCATGCCTTGTTGAATCTGCAGTATTTGTATGCTTCCTTTTACTATATTTGTTCTTTTCAAACTCAGTCATTTTCTTGGTTTGCCATGTATTAAAATCTTTAAAAATACAAAGTTCTTTATTTTTCTTTGTTAAATTTTTAAAATATAAGGAAAGTGAATTTAAAGTTAAGCCATTATTTATTCTAAACTTTTCAAGGTCACCAACTATGATTTTTCTTACTTCTTCTCTGGGCTGATCTTTAGAAAATCTGCCCAAACTCACCCCTCTATCACACTCTGTTTCAATATATTGCATAATAATTTTTCTAGTGGGGAAGAAATGGGAATCTTCAGTCACCTTCCAACGTCTCCAACCATATTCCTCGATTAATTTTTTTATTGGAGGTTTACCATTAATACCAATATACCATTCTGCATATAAATCCCAGATTGTTTTATTCTCTCTAGAAAGTTTATATTTTATATTTTGATTTGGACCACCTTTTGATGAATTTGGTGATTTTTTCTTTGTTTTGGAACTAGATTTTTGATTATTTTTATTGAATGTTTTTTCTTTTATTTTTTCCTTTTTTGAAAAGATTTTATCCTTCACTTTCTTTGACAGAGACTCTGAAGATACTTGTATAATATGTTCCTTTATAAGTTCGTTACTAATACGTTTGAATTTTAATGATTCATCTTTTTGAGACGGCATATTATTAACGTTAGATACAGTTGATGAGGTTTCCTGATTAGAGCCCACAACTGTAAATTCTTTTATTATTCTGATTCTATTTTTTTGACTGTTATTAGGGTTCTCTGTTTTATTAATTATGCCCTGTAGATTAATGGATGTATTATTTTCTTTTGTATTCCCTAGTCTTTCCGGATCATTCTTTTCCAAGCTTTTAGATAAAGAGCCCGAACTAGAAATAGTATTTTCAATATATCCTTGTATATTTTTATTAGAATTTCCACTACTATTAGCACTATTATCATTATCTTGATTTTGAAGACCTGCAGGAATAGCATTTGGTGGAGATACTTTTTCGAACGAAGATATGGATGGATCTGTATTGATTTCTTGTGGAGTATTGTTTGTAATTGTGCTATTTTCCTCTTGAATTTTTGATATAAGATCATCTCTCATTTCTACAGTTGTTCCAGCATTATTTAGTTGGGTTGATGGACTTTCGGAATTAACCCCAGATAAATTATTGATAAAATTAGTGGTGTATTTTTGAGTCAAATCTTTATTAGTTTCTAATGTGATAGGTGTTTCTATTATGGTAGATGTACTCTTTCCAGATGTCTGTTCTTTAGGACTATCGATAGATTTGTACAGTAAAGAGTTTAATGCTGTTTGTGAAGGAGTTGGCCTATCATCTAACCGTGTTCTCTTTGTGAAAGGTGAATCTATACCAGAAACAGAGGTAGGAGAATGCCCAGAAAATGGAGTGCCAACGGATCCAAATGATTCATAATAAGTTTGTGGTAGTGGTAATTTTCTTTTTTCTTTTGAACCGGAGTATAATTGACTAATTTCTTGACTCAAGGACGAATTTCTAGATAAGGAATTCCCTATTATTTTAGGTGATACTGTTGATATTGGTCCCTTCGGTGATGGTGCTGTTTGAATGACTTGTGCTGCTGTTATTTGAATATTACTGTTATCTAGATTCGGTATTACTTTCATCGGTGCCAGTATAGATGAATCCATCGAATCCTGAGTTTGGACATTATTAATTGAATTATCTTCCCTATTATTCGTCGGACTTTTATTTTGATTGATGTTTCCACGTAATGATTCAATTATATTTCTAAAGGATGAATCATTTAAAGAGTTCTTATCTATAATCAAAATTCCATTATTTACTCCTTCAATATTATTTTTCTTTGCTAAATTATTTTCTTTGGCATTATTACGTAGATTAGTGTTCAAAACTGCGTTTTGACCAGATAACATTTGTCTTTGTAACTGGATCATCTGGGAACACATTGAAGACAAAGTACCTAAATCAGACTTTAATTGTGCTACTTGTTGGCTTAATCTTATATTTTCTATAGTCAATTTTTTTGATAATTCTATAAATTTTGTATCCACATATTGGGATAATTTTTGTGTAGAATTATTCAACGTTTGTATACTAACCATATCATTATTCAAATCTCTCGGTATAGAAGAGTTTATATGAATATTATTATTTGAATTCTCAGTAGCCGAAATGTTGCCATTATTATTAATGTTATTATGATTGAATGGTATTGTGTTGTTTTCATTGTTTATCAAATTATTAATGTTATTGTTATTGTTATTATTATTATTAGAAATAAGTATATTGCCATTGTTTGTATTTTCAAACCCCTTAAATTCATCATCGTTTAGTAATTCAGGTATGAATTTACCCATAAAAGACACGATATTGGGTAGTAATAAGGCATGTTGATTTAAATATCTTAAATCTTGAATTATTATTTTGCCCATGAATTCAAATAATTCGCATAGGGAATGTAAGATATAATTGGTTCTATCTACAGCTAAAACTTGCCTTTTGAAACTATCTAACCATGGAAATACTAAATTAATTAAACGATTGGAAACTTCAAATAAAGTTGATCTTGGTATCTTTGATGTTGAGTTGACATTACCATTGAGATGATTTTGTATAAAAAGCATTGGATTTGGATCATATGTAATATAATTTGGGTCTAATAGCTTAATTTCTTTATAATTGTTTAATGTGATTACATTATTTGAAGATGACCATCTTATAACAAAATAAACAGATAATGCAAATATCGGACATTTAGAAATATCAGGATCCCTTGATATTGTGTTAAAATATTGATAAGTTTGTAAAGTATCTGAATCATTAAGTTTCCTTAAAGTTAAAGAATCAGGATATGTTTGATCTACTATTAAATCAGTCACTTTTAAACTCAGAAGATCGTTAAAATTGACTTTGTAATATGACTGCAAAATATATTGGGTAATTGTGTAAAAATTTGATACTGTTGCTAGAGCTTGATCATGATTATTGGCATTATTAGTTATTCGTGAAGAAATATGTTCTTGTTCTGATAAAAATGACTGCAATTTGTTAGTATTTGGATATTTATTGTTGTTGTTGTCGTCGTCGTTACTATCATGAATTATAGTTTTGTGATGATTACTAATATTTTTATTTATATGTACAGGATTTTTATCATAAATATTGTTACCAGGAGTTTTATTATTAATACTAGTTAGTTCCATATTTCTAAAATTAGAAAAGAAATTCATACCCTATGATAAAAAAATAAAAAAAAATTAATACAAAAAAAGTTTCCTTATCGTATATGATTATCTATTAATGAAATGTTTAATAAACCTAAGTAATATTTTTGGTAAGCTTTAGTCGTTAATTCATTTCTTTTTTTAACATGAAATCATTCCCATCCTAGATTGTAAACTATGTCCACACGTTAATTGAAAAAAAAAAGATAAAAAAAACAATTTCAAATCCTAATACAATATATTGTGTTAATCTTTTTGATATTCTTGTAGTATTATGTTTCAGCTATACTTCGTCTATCGAATCGAATTTCTGTCACTTTTTAATAATTGTTAAGGGAATAATGTACTATATTTCCAACTTTGATTACTTCAAACTTTTTTTAAGGGTTTAGTTGTTTAATTAATCCTAGTACTAAGAATTTTGACTTTTCCAGTAAGATTTACAATAACATCAAAAATATGCAGTACAAAGTATAAGAAAATAGAACAAAAACTAGTTTGCATTAAGCTATTGTAAGTATTTAGTCATTTTGCAAAATTAGGCTAGATCTAATAGATTAAAAACAACAGATAACATTCTTGCCAATTATGCTAATGCTAGTAACAACAACTTTCATTAAAAAGATGATTACAAATTTCAACATACCATAATAAGAACATTATTTTTACTATTATGCCTGTTTTTATCTCGATATTTTTGGATTCTCTTTCTCACTCGACCACTTTTGATACGATCAGTCCGTACCTTTGTCTATTCCCTTATTGTCACTCTATTTTTATTTTTACAGATTCCTGTAATTCTATCACTTGCTTTTCTTTTCTTTTTTATTTTATTTGTTTAAATTCTTAACTAAAACAGTTCACCTTGACACACACTATTGGATAACAACCAAGATATATTAAGTTGTTCTTGGGCAGGTTTTGTTAGTTCTTTAAAAGAAACACTTCCTAATAGTACAATTGGATGATTCTGATCTCTGTTGGAAAGTTATAGAGAGCTTCCTGTTCAAGGTTATCTGTATTGGTCAATGATTGTTCAGATGAGTAACTATAATAAAAGGAAATTAGACAAGAGAACGAGAGAAGAAGAAGAAAGAAGCACTAAGCTTTCACGACTTCTTCTATTTTCTTTCCTTTTTTTTTTTTTTGAATTTTACTTTGTTGTTGCGATATAGACCAAGACCAAGAAAAAAATGGGGAACTAAAAAAGGGGAAATTAAAAATATACAAAAACAAAACAAAAAACACGATGCTGATGGGTTATGGGTTTTTATGTGAGACATGCAAGTACTTCGTAATATACAAAAAGTTTAGGATTGCATTATTAGGATTCAATAATGTTGTATGTTGATCTTTTATAGAAATGATTATAGATAAAAGATTCTATTTTGAATAAAAAACATATACTTTATTTATTATGATAGGATTGGTGTCTTCGTGTCCCATAAGGATAATATCTCTGGTGTCTTACATTTATAATAAGTCTCCCAGTACCAAAAGATTCTTGGTAAGATAGCAGTGAATAAAACTGAAAATATGCCAAATATTATCATGCTACTAAAACCTAATGATATATTGATATATGAATAAACTATAATATTTGATAGCAATGACACAGGCAAATTTGAGAGATTTATAAGTTTAGGTAGAAGTATATTAATCTCGATGCAAAGCAGTAGATAACAGAATACGTGTGTTGTTGTGGGTAACCTAGAGGATAGCATTGCAACATTAGCTAATAGAATATTTGTCGGTAGATTTTTACTATATGTTATATCCTCTACTCTATTAATTTGTTTCTTACTTGTTATTCTCTTGTCACTATTATCATTACCATTGAGAGTAATGTCTTTGTTGTTATCATGATTATTGATATTGTCTTTGCTTGTCATTGATTTAAATACCGAAAAAAGATAATATATTGTCAACCAAAAAGATATAACCCATATGGAATCTGTTGATGTTGTTTTTGATAATGATTTCAGTACAGGCGATAATGTCAATATTGTAAAAATTATTATAATGCTAGATTTAATCTGCTTATTTGTTAAATATTTGTACTTCATTACACTTATTATTGCAATAATGCATGAAGTTAAAAATGTGAACATTTTAGGATCATAGCTGTATTCATATATTGAATGAAATGTTATGAATAAAAAACATGTATTTAAGATTATAAAATAAAACTTCAGAAAATCCTTACGTATCTGGTCGTAATTATAATCAAGTTGAATGTCTTTTAAATTTTCTAAATATGATATAAACTCTGGATCTGTATAATTATCTGGATAGTCATCTTGTCTTAACCAAAGTAACCTTTTCCACTGTTTAGGCCTTATTTCTTTTGATACAAAGTTCTCATTGTTCATGATTAATTGAGGTAGTAGCAAAGTGATCATATATTCAAATACATGCCTATATGTATACAACTTTTTTTAATAAAGAAGGCCTACAAAAACGTTAAATATAGACGATATCCTATCGTATCTTTTTATCCTTCTTTGTTTATGATGAATGTGGATCTTATGTACTCAAAACCAAATCATTTTCCCTATGTTTTATAATGTTCCCTTCCTACTATTATATATAGTTTAAGAAAAAAAAATTGAAGTATATAAACATTGTTTTAAAAGCTTTTTTTTAAAAAAAAGAAAAAAATAGAAACAAAAAAAAAAGCAAATGTGATACTCTTAGTGATAAAAAAAGAGGAGGTAAGAACATCACAAGTTACACCTTTAAGAAAATATATATGTGTATTTTACCTATGCTTGTGAATAGGTTGAGTTAAATAGTCGGTATTCTATGTATTTTTTTCCGTTTTTGTTTTAGGTTGGTCCGTTTCATGCATATGTGGGTGCATGTATATTTTGTTAATGTTCATAAGTTATAGATAGTAAACTTAGATATATTTTTGATTATGTCACTTGAACTAGAAAAATTAGAACGACGGGCATCAGTGATTGTTAGAGAGTCAAGTCATAAACATGATGGGTATCATGAGGATAAGGAGGACTTTGAGCATGAATATGAATTAGAAGATTTGAATGGGGAAGAGATGAATAATAATTTACTAGTAGGTTTGAATATTATTCACAGTAACTTTAATGAGATGAGAGATAAAAAAGCACATGCCCGTAATAGTATATCCATAAGTACAAACAGCAACCAGGGGATAAATCCATTTAATAACAGGTTTATGCCACATAATTCTAATAGAAGTGATCATGCTAATATATATAGAACTGCTGAAGACAGAGAAGAAGAGGATAAACAGCATACAGTGGATTATGAGGATGATTATGAGGATGATGATTATGATGGATATTATAACAATGACACAAATAATGGAACTCTGTATAAAATCTTACCTAGAACTTTACCAAATAGCGATTTTTTTATTGAAATTGAAACTGATAAGGAATGTACAACCTCTAGTAATTTAAATGATTCACATAGATATATCAGAAGATATAATCGCATGTCTAATCGATTCCCTCTGACAAATACTAATGTAGAAACTGGTAAGTCTAAGAATTTCATGGGCAAACCCAGTGATGATTATTATAATGGAAACGATATAAGCCCATTTAGATTTCATAGATTCAATTCTAGTGTTGGTTATTCCACAGATAATAATTCATTAATTAAGGTTACATCACATAAAAATGATTACTCTTATAAATTTGGCCAGAATGTTTGCCGATTAGTAGCAAAGCCTCCAGTTAATAATCAGGATAAGTTGTTAGCTGAAATGGAAGAATTATATAAAGTTAAGAATAATGCTACTAATATGGATATATATGATTCATTTCCAGAAGGAATAGAAGAAAAATTAAGAGATTTGCGCCACTCTCATGTTAAGATCATTCAATTGTTAAGAGAAAGGGAAGCTAGGGCCGAAGAACAGCGGAGACGGGCTCTTCAAGCCAGCAATAACAATAATTTCGCTTTGGGTAACTTGAACAACAATGTTACAAGTGATAAACCTATGAGTGAGAACGAAAATAAGAAATATATAATTGCAACACATAGTGCATCCAATTCAGGTGATAATAGAGGTGGCACAGGATTGTCGAAGGCTACCTCAATTGGTGGATCATCTAGAAACCAATACGCAGCCACAGTCTGGGGAATGACTGCACCGAGTCTGATGAATAATCCTGAAACTAAAAAATATGTTAATCTTTTAGTTGATACAATTAAAGAACTATAAAATATAATCAAGGAAATAAAAAATATTGTATTGTACTTTTCTATTCTTTCATATTCATATTGCACTTTTTGCTTAAAATACTCCTAAAAACATGATATAAGCTGTTAAAGCATATTCATACACGCACGTATATAGATTTATAGAAATTCACACACTCATATACACATATGTGGGCATACACATCATATTGGCCTTTTTATACAGCATTCATTCTATATTATGTGTTCGCTGTAATTTTAACCAATGATAGATCATTTTTAAATTTTACAGTGTTTTTTTGTTTCTTTTTAAGGATTTTTCTCAATTTTTTATATTGAATTTTTTCCCTAGTGAAAAGAACTTTAAACAAAAAGGCCCTTTTAAATGTTTAATACTGTAAATACACACATTTGGTGCAGTTGTATCAGTTCGTATCATGTCGTTACTTACATGAAGTTATCTGGACGTGTCGGTACAATACATATATTAACATAGTGTTAGACTTAACTTATATTTCAAGTTGAACATAGTGACTGCTTTGAGTATTGTTAAAATTCCTATTCAGTATTCTACGTTTGCTGTAATTTGATTTAATTATTTACTTTCAAAATAAGTTAAAGGTAAGATATTACTAATCAGAGAACTGAATATTTCTTTTTTATATATTTTTTTTGTTTTCCAAAGTGTATTAGGATGAGTTTAAGATCAGCTTCGCTGAAGGTCAGTAAAAGGACCTTATTAAGAGCAACTGTGACTCGTTCCAGTCTATATAATGGATACCGTTACTTGTCATCATCCCAAGTTACGCGCAAGCCATCCAATGAGCCAATATTAGATCCAAAGTCTAAAGCCCAATCTATTATTGATGCTCTTCCAGGTAATAGTGCCTTAGCTAAGACTGGTGTGTTGGGTACTTCTGCTGCTGCTTTAGTTTACGCTATTTCTAACGAATTATACGTTATAAATCCAGAAAGTATTTTATTGGCATCTTTCTTGGCAGCTGGTGCTTTATTAGCTAAATATGTGGCACCTGCATACAATAGTTTTGCCGAGTCCAGAGTTAAGAAAGTTTCTGATGTGTTAAATGCATCCAGGCAAAAGCATATTGATGCTGTCAAGGATAGAATTAACTCTGTCTCTACTTTACAAAACGTTTCTGAAACAACTAAAGTTCTTTTTGATGTCTCTAAAGAAACTGTTGAATTGGAAGCAAGAGCATTTGAATTGAAACAAAAGGCTGATTTAGCTCACCAAGCTAGGTCTGTTTTAGATTCATGGGTCAGATATGAAGATTCTTTGCGTAAGCTAGAACAAAAGCAAATTGTTGAATCTATTATTAAGAATGTCGAAAAGGAACTAAAAGATCCAAGGTTTCAAGATAAGGTTTTACAACAAGCTGTTACTGATGCTGAAAAGATTTTATCCAATTTAAAATAGAAAATTGAAAGTAAGTCTTTGGTGGTGATGATCAATATTCTTTTTTTGTGTGTTTATTTCTCATATTTTTAAGTCTTTTCACTTCTTTATTTTTGTTTTTCAGATAATTGAAAGGCATCATGTGTTTAATACATGTTTTCATTATTGTAATACTTTTTGTTTCTTTCTCTTTTATACTTATCTGTCTACTTATATATATTAATATGTCTTAGATATTCTTTTCTTTTTAATAAATATGTGTACTTTAAAAAGTGACTATTGTTTGCAACTCTATGTTAAGACAATCCTTTTTAGATTCCTTCGTATAGGAACAGTATATAGATCATAGAGAGGTTGCACTAACCATACAACTTTTTCAAAGAATGCATCAAAAATCCCAAAAATATTCATATACGTGTGCGCAATATTCCTTTATTAATTTTTAGAGATTGTACATGTTAATTATATGAGGTATGTTATATATATATAATTTTAATTTAAAAATATTATACATATACCAAATAAATTAAATGAAAGTTTCGTATGGAACTGGGGCTAAAGTTTGTGGAACGTTACCTTCAGTAGAAACAACGTGAGCTTCTCTTGGTTGAGCTGGTTGTCTCTTTAATTGGACTGGAACACCTTGGGCCTTGGCTTCAGCTCTCTTGGCAGCATTAGCTCTAACTCTTTCCAAGAATTCAGTTCTACACTTAGAGTGCTTAACGTGTTCGACTCTAATGTTTAATCTCTTTTCAATGTATCTGTTACCGACCATCTTGTTGATGATAACACCAACAGAGGACTTGGTAACGTTGTAGACAACACCAGTTTTACCTTGGTAAAACTTGTGTGGCATACCCTTTTGGATAGAACCATTAGCCTTGATATCGACAATGTCACCAACCTTGTAGACCTTCAAGTAAGTAGACAATGGTATAGTACCATGCTTTCTGAAGTCACGTTGGAACATGTAACGAGTACGAGATCTTAAACCGTGACTATAAAAAAACAATTGCAATAATAAGTATATTACAGGACACAAATTCAAATGTAAATATAATGCATCGAATTCATTTTAAAAATAGAAGTTAGTAACGAATATTCTTCAATTAACAGCATATAAGATACAGTAATTTGTATACGGCTAGTGTGGCATTATTCCGGCATTACATAATGAATTCTTCTCTCTTATAAATAATTACGGACTTATGTTTCTATGATCTTTGTACCCGGTAATAAAATTATATTGCCTTTCAAAATATATAGGTCTTATGTTACTCTTCTATGTTATGCAAATCTAAAACATTCATCTTTTATTATTTTCTCCTATGATAAGATCTCCAATTTTTAACCACTTCAACTATTGATCAAATTCCTGTAAATTCACATTGGATTTACATACGATTTACCCATTTTTGCTTATAGTTCTTGTGTTGGTCGCCTTTTTTTGGCTAACAGTAATCGACTCTCCTAACCCCACTATTTCTATATAAAATAGAGCACGTACCTTCTTTATTCTTTTGTTGATACTACAATACACTTTCACTTTTGGTCCTCCCATACAAACTTAGGATGCGCAAGAATAAGGTGATGCTGGGGGATCCCTTAGTGTCTGGAAGGAATTGGTGCCAAATGTGTAGTGTAATGCGCTCGTCACCATGAGAGGCAGTGGACCGTTCATTCATTACACCCCAAACCTTGGTTAAGAACATTATGGAGAGTGTACAACATGCTCATAAGTCGTATCGTGTTCCTACTGGACATTAAAGAGTTGGACCTATGTGTTTTTCCCCTGGTAAAGTTTATTTTCTGAGTTACCTTGAGATAGAACGGAAATCTATATTAATTATTTGGTAAGCCTGAAAAATAATTTTATGTAAAAAAAATATGAAAGATATATATTTCCTAATATGGAAATAATTAAAAAATGACAAAAACCTTTTTCTGTGGTATGGGTGTTATGATAGTCATACAACTTCTTTTTTAAAATCGCTTAAGTTGTAAAATAGTTGATAAATAATATAGTTGTCTGAACAATTTGTGCATTGGTATTAATAGATAAAAAAAAAAAAAGAGGGTTATATTTTTAAATTGCAAAAACAGAATATCATTATGGTTATGTAAGATGCAAAATTGCGTTTTTATTTATCTATATGGTACATATATGTCTATTTAAGTTCGGTCAGTCAATTATTCATTCCTCTTCTTCCTCACTACCTTTAGAGTTCCTGCTTGCATTCTTTCTAGCTACTCTACCTGGTCTAGCACCGCCAAATGGAGAGGTAGAAGCAAAATCAATGTGCTTTTCAGAATCCAATCTAACTATAAAGGATGGAATGTTAACGATTTGTTTACCAACCGCAATGTGTCTTTGTGTTATCAAGACTCTAGCATGGTGAATAGATTTAGCTAAACCTAACTTGTAGACCTGTGTTTGTAATCTTCTTTCCAAGAAATCTTCGACCTTCAAAGCTAAAACATAATCCAATTTCTTCTTATCTTCAGATAAAACACCTACTCTAACTAGTCTCCTAATTAAAGCATTACCTTCGAATAATCTTTTTGGATCTTTTGCATCCCTAGTCAAAAGATCTCTGGCAGCACGACGGATTTTTGACAACTGAAAGGAAATCCTATATATTTCTCTCTTGTTCTTTAAACCATATTCACCAGCTAATTTCAATTCAGCATCCAGACGCGATGATTCGTATGGTCTTTTTGGGGTAGAGTAAGTTTTGGAATAAGTATTTGGGGCTCCTATTAATAAAGTTAGTCGTCGAAAACGATTATTAGAAAATGTTAGTAAAAATAAAATTCACTAGGATGACTACAATGGGGAGACCATCTGGCACCACTATATATAACTAAAGAAAAATACGATTACTATTTACGAGGATATTTGAAGCCATTTGTCGGCAAACATGCATGTGCACAAGAACCAGAAAGTCAAAATAGAAGAAAACAAATAGTCATGATAGCTTCGTGTTTAAATACTATACCAAGCACATAATCATTTGCACACATTGTGTCATTTACATCAAGCACAGACCATTACTCCGTTTGGAGGAGTAATAAATAGTAGAAAATGATTGCCTGAAGTGTCGGGATTCAGGAATCTATCAACTATTCTATCTATACTAGAGTGTGTTTATATATTAAGTGAAAATGGAAGACGGTATAGCCACTACTATACTGTTGTATCTGTTTTCTTTCTTTCTTATCTTGTTTTCGACTACGAGGGCCCGAATCCTCTACAAGTAACAAGTGATTAATCGATACGATTAATCACTTGTCACTTGCACCATCTATATATAAAACGATGGAATAAATAATAAACTATTCGACTTAGTGAGAAAAAAAAAGAGAGAGCTGTTAGTCGGTTATGTTAAAACATACTTGGCATTGCGAATGGACGATGTGTTGTTTAGAAATATAATTACGCTTGAGTATTTATGCTGTACCTCAAAAAGCCTAGAAGAGCTTATGGCCTGCTGTTTGAAGAAGGAACTTAAAAACAAAATTTTTGGAAAAGCGAAGTTTTTTAGAGCTTTTATATGGAAAAAGGAAATTTAGTAAAAAGACAAGAATAGAAAAAGAACAATTTTTTTTTTGAATTTTGCAAAAAAAAAGAAGTGCAATTTCCGAAAAAAGCAATACTGATTATTTTCCTTTGATAACTGCATAAAAATAATTTGTTGATAATTATGAGGCTATTGAGCCACTAATGAATTTGTAATAACTTGTATGACACAAAGTATCATATCAGCGTTACCCTCACAGATAAAAGAAAGTCATATTTATTAACAAGAAGGAGTGTTTTTTTTCTAAAATGATAATAACCTTTTGTAAAGATACGTGAAGTAACTTGTATACAGGATTTTAATTATATAACCTTATATAGTAGCTTTACACATTATATGGACGCAAGTGGGATAAGATAACAATAAAAGACGATCACAAGTTTCGTAACTATCGTTTGGTCTCGTTGTGTTTTTGATCATGTAGATTATATAATATGCATTTGACAGCCCAGGTGTATATAAAAAGAAGTAGTTTAATTTTAGCTAACTTTGCCTGTTATTTCAAACTAGAATTTTCAATGAGCACACGTAAGAAGTGATTCCTCCTCTTCAGACTGTGTTCCTCAAAATCAACATTGTAAAGAAAACAGACAAAAAAAAGCCTAAAAATGAAGAAGAAACACGAAAAGACAAATTTTCAATCCTTTATTTTTTTTGTTTTTTTGTTTTTTTGTTTTTCTTTCCAAACAAAATGCGTGTTAAAAAATCGCGTAATTTCTCTATTGTTCGAATTATTTGTGACTTGAGAAAAAATAGAAATTTTATATAAAAAGGATTTGAAAAAAAAAAAATAAAATTTGAGCCTGCGAAGGATTTGGGAGTTTTGCGCAGTTTGCGAAAGCTTCCTCGTAAACTTTTTTTCCATTTTTCATCGCTTAAAATCTATTTTTCTAATCGGCGGCTATTCTGCATTTGGACAAAGGCACTTGTTTTCTGTTTAGTTTTAACTTGCTTCATTAGTTCCTTACACAACTAAAGAGCAACATAGATAGACAAGTACTGGGTTTACTTATTATATTGTCATTTTCATTTTATTTAAGTCATTGATAGACATAGACTATTCATATTCAAATTGCATATTCCCTTTAAACGGAAAAAGTTAAACATTTAGATTTTAGTATTTATTTTATTTTGCATTTGTTCCAATCTATCCAGGTATCCTTACATTCCTCTTTTCCTTTTCGTCCCTCCCCCTCTTTTTTTCGTAAGTTAAAAAATACAATAAAAAATAAAAATGACTTCTAAGATATCTAGATTAGATAGGCAGGTTCTATTATTAGAAACTGGTTCTACTAAAGTAGTCAGAAATATGGCAGCAGATCAAATGGGTGATTTGGCCAAACAACATCCAGAAGATATCTTGGCATTATTATCTAGAGTATACCCCTTTTTATTATCTAAAAAATGGGAAACAAGAGTCACTGCCGCAAGAGCAGTTGGAAATATTGTTCAATATTTGTCACTTTGGGATCCAAACGATACAAAAGAAGATGTAAAAAATGAAGAAAGTATGACATCCGAACAGGAAGAACAAGAAACTGCAAAAGTTAAGTTAGAAAATGATAATAAGGTGAAAATGGAAGAGTTCAAGCAATATGATAATGACTTTTTCCTTGAAGATAATAATCTTTCATTATTTAGTTTATCAAGTTGGGATTTAAATGCTTTATTCAAGTCGAAAAAAGTGTTGTTAGCCGTAGATATTAATAAATATAATGATGAGTCTACTACAAAGGACGGTATACGAAGTTCCAATTTTGATCTTAATGATAAAACAAAACAAATAAAAGTTGAACCATCTGCAGACATGAAAATTGAAAATGAAACGAAATCTAAGAAGTCAGCTAGAATGTTGGCCATGGCAAAGAGAAAGAAAAAACAGCAAGGTAAGTCGACTTCTACAAAACCAATTGATATTACCGAAAGTTCAGTATCAAAGTCCCTCTTGAAAAAACAACAAGATTATAATAGTGAAAATTCTGATTCAACACTGTCACCAACAACATTCACTAATCCTAAATTAGAATTCACTGAACAGGCAAGTCCAAATAAACTTATGTTGGAAACTGTCACTGCTCCTATTTTAGAAAAACATGAAAAGGTGGAAGGACTTGTATGGGAGTTGCAAGGTATATATGAATTATTATTAGCAAACCTTTTAGCCGATTCATGGGAAATTAGACATGGTGCTGCTTTAGGACTGCGAGAGTTAATAAAAAAACATGCCGCTTGTGTAGGTAGAATAAAAACCAAAAGTAGAGAAGAAAACAACATTAGAAATAGGCAGTTTTTAGAAGATTTAGCCGTTAGACTACTAACAATATTTGCTTTAGACAGATTTGGTGATTACGTTTACGATACGGTAGTTGCACCCGTGAGAGAATCAGCGGCGCAAACATTAGCTGCCTTATTACTTCATGTCAAAGATAGTTTGGCATTACAAATATTTCGTATCTTAGAACAATTGATATTGCAAGATCCAAGTGTTACAGGGTTACCCAATAAAATATGGGAAGCAACACATGGTGGTTTATTAGGTGTACGATATTTTGTGAGTATAAAGTCATCTTTTCTAATGAAAAATAATTTATTGAATGATGTAGTTAACATAGTATTATATGGGCTTAATCAATCAGATGACGATGTTCAAAGTGTTGCGGCCTCTACTCTTTCTCCAATCACTGAAGAATTTTTAAATATAGATACTGAACGTATTGATTTAGTGTTGGCCACTATTTGGTCATCTTTAACTCATTTAGAAGATGATTTGTCATCGAGTGTTGGTTCAGTAATGGACTTGTTTGCTAAATTGTGCCAGTATCCAAAAGTATTAGATATTTTAAAATACAAAGCTTCAAAATATCCGTCTGAATGGTCATTTAAGTCATTGGTTCCAAAGTTATACCCTTTTCTTCGTCACTCCATTTCTTCGGTTAGAAAATCAGTTCTTAATTTACTTAATGCATTTCTTTCAATAAAAGATGATTCTACCAAAAATTGGTTAAATGGTAAAGTCTTTAGATTAATATTTCAAAATATTCTATTGGAACAGAATACAGATATTTTAAATCTTTCATTTAACACCTATATATCTTTGTTGGACCATTATAATCAAAAGCATACAGAAAAGTCTATTGATCATATTTTAGGCAAACATCTGCAACCTATTTTACATTTGTTAAATACCCCTATTGGAGAGAATGGCAAAAATTATAGTATGGAAGGACAGTATATTTTAAAGCCTTCTCAACATTACCAATTACGCCCCGAAAGAAAGAGATCTATTAATGAAGCCACTGCGGAATCCGCAATACCACCTCCAACAAACACTGAAAAAATCAATATTGATGCACCTATGATCGCAGGTGATGTTACTTTACTGGGGCCAACTGTAATAATTAATACAAGGGTTTTAGGTGCAAAAGCTCTAGGACGCACTTTAGCGATGTTTCAAGAGACAACTTTACAATCTTTTTTTCTAATATATTAGTTAAATGTTTAGAACTTCCATATGCTACTCCAAGAAATTTGGTTGCTATTGTGATTTCAGAATTTTGTATAGCATGGAAGGATCATCATCAAAGCCAAACAGTTCCGAGTTTTGTTTCAGCAATATTCAGCAATACTATGAATACTCAATTACAGTCACCTGCTCAATTACCTGTCTTCCGAGAATTGATTCACAATTTGAAAGCTTTGAGAACACAATGTCAAAGTTTACTTGCAGCATTCGTTGATGTTGGTATGTTACCACAGCATAAGTTACCTAGTATCGCAATAGTTGTTCAAGGTGAACCTGATGCAGGTCCTCAAGCTTTCGGTATTGATACAGCAAAGAAAGTTTATAACGAATATTATGAAAAGTTGTTTAACTCCCTGGGTAATTCTTATAAACTTCTTGCAAAAAAACCTTTGGAGGATGCAAGACATCGTGTATATATGGCCATCCAGGCAACAGAGGAAGCTAGTAAAAAAAGATCTATAAGTATGCTAGCTAATTACGCCTCTGCAATTTTGTTATTTGATGGCATTTTACCCAAGTTAAACCCTATTATCAGATCGTTAATGGATAGTATTAAAGAAGAACAAAATGAAATGCTACAAAATATTTCAGGTGATACTGTTGTTTACTTAATTTCAGAGTTGGTCAAAAATGGAAAAGTTAATGTATCCAATAAAATTGTCAAAAATCTGTGTGGTTTCTTATGTGTTGATACTTCAGAAGTTCCAGAATTCCGTTCAAATGCCAGTGATGAGGATGAGATTTTAACATTATTAAAAGAAGATACATCTCTTGCTATTCACGATGATGTGAACCTGTTAAAGATGGCAGAGGTTGCTCAGATAAAAAGAAAAGGTGGTTTATATACTCTTAACAGATTACTAAACTTTTTTGGTGCTAATGTCTTTACCGTCGTTCCAAAGTTAAAAGAGTTAATGTTTGATCCCCTTGAAAAATTAGATGAATTATCAACTCAAAATTCATACAATGAAGTACTAGGACAGTATTTGGTTGATGCTTTGGGTATTTTGAGAGCAATTTATCCGGACTTAGATAATAGTATAAATGAAAGTGAGATCATACCAAGATTCCCACTATTATTAAAATTTTTACGTTCTAAAATTTCAGTTTTACGTTATTCTGCTGCTCGTACTTTTGCTGTTATTGCAAAGCACTCATCAGTGATCGTTCTTCCATTTATTATTAAAGAAATCCTTCCTTTGATGAATAATGCAGGCTCTGTAATTGATCGTCAGGGCAGTACAGAGTTAATTTATCATCTATCTCTATCTATGGATACTGATATCTTGCCATATGTTATTTTTCTAATCGTTCCATTACTTGGGAGAATGAGTGATAATAATGAAGCAGTTAGATCGTTGGCTACTACTACTTTTGCCACTATTATCAAACTTGTTCCTCTTGAAGAAGGTATCTCAGATCCAGAGGGTCTTCCAGAAGATTTAATGGCAGGACGTGAGAGAGAGCGTGATTTTATTCAACAAATGATGGATCCATCAAAAGCCCAACCTTTTAAAGTTCCAGTGGCAATTAAGGCAACTCTTAGAAAATATCAACAGGAAGGTGTTAATTGGTTAGCATTTTTGAATAAGTATCATCTACATGGGATATTATGTGATGATATGGGTTTGGGTAAAACGCTACAAACTATTTGTATTATTGCCAGTGATCAATACATGAGACAAGAAGATTACAAAAAGACCTCATCGGTTGAAAGTAGACCTTTGCCCTCTCTTATTGTTTGTCCACCATCACTTACTGGTCATTGGGAAAATGAATTCCAACAATATGCATCTTTTTTGAAAATTATTGTTTATGCAGGAGGTCCCTCTACACGTCATACATTACGAAGCTCTTTAGGTTCTGCTGATATTGTTGTTACCTCATATGATGTTGCAAGAAATGATATTGATATTATTACTAAATATGACTACAATTACTGTGTCTTAGATGAAGGCCATATAATCAAAAACTCTCAATCAAAATTATCTAAGGCTGTAAAACAAATTAATGCAAATCATCGTTTGATCCTAACTGGTACTCCAATTCAGAATAATGTCGTAGAGTTGTGGTCATTGTTTGATTTCTTGATGCCTGGCTTTTTGGGGACTGAAAAAGTTTTCAGGAACGTTTTGCTAAACCGATCGCTGCATCTAGAAACAGTAAGAATTCTTCAAAGGAGCAGGAAGCTGGTGTTTTAGCGTTAGAAGCCCTTCATCGACAAGTTCTACCATTTATGTTAAGAAGATTAAAAGAGGATGTTTTGTCAGATTTACCTCCAAAGATTATTCAGGATTACTATTGTGAGTTGAGTGACTTACAAAAGCAACTGTATGAAGATTTTGCTAAGAAGCAAAAGGCATTTGTACAAAAGGACATTGAGAATACAGTTGATATTGAAAATAAACAACATATTTTCCAAGCCTTACAGTATATGAGAAAATTATGTAACCATCCTTCTTTGGTGTTGTCTCCAAATCACCCACAAATGAAACAAGTTCAGGAATACTTGAATCAAACAAATATGGATTTACATGATATTGCTAACGCTCCAAAGTTAGAAGCCTTACGTACGTTACTTTTTGAATGTGGTATCGGTGAAGATAGTAATGATAAAAAGTCGAGTACTTATATGACCAGTCAAAATGTCATTTCCCAACACAGAGCCCTAATTTTCTGTCAGTTGAAAGATATGTTGGATATGGTAGAAAATGATCTTTTCAAGAAATATATGCCATCTGTTACATATATGAGATTAGACGGTAGTGTGGATCCTCGTGAAAGACAAAAAGTTGTTAAAAAATTCAATGAGGACCCATCCATTGATTGTTTGTTATTAACAACAAAAGTTGGTGGTTTAGGGTTGAATTTGACAGGTGCTGATACGGTTATTTTTGTAGAGCATGATTGGAATCCAATGAACGATCTGCAAGCAATGGATCGTGCGCATAGAATAGGTCAAAAAAGGGTTGTCAATGTCTATCGAATAATTACTAAAGGTACTTTGGAAGAAAAGATTATGGGTTTGCAAAAATTTAAGATGAATATTGCTTCCACAGTTGTTAATCAACAAAATAGTGGTCTAGCATCGATGGACACAGGACAATTGTTAGACTTGTTCGATACTACTAACGTTCCTTCTCAAGAAGCAGACAGTTCTAAAATTGAAAATAATAAGAAGATGGAAGACATCGCCAATGAGACTGGTTTAACAGGTAAGGCTAAGGAAGCGCTTGGCGAATTGCAAGAACTATGGGACTCGTCTCAGTATGAAGAAGAATATAATCTTGATACATTTATTAAGAAATTACGTTGAATTTATACTTTCAAATGTTATATATCAAACTTTTTCTGTAATTATTATAGATACAGCAATGTAACACTAATTGTTTTAAAGTATGTTAGTAAATACTCTAGTCTTGATGTGGTTTATTTTTTTCTTTACTATTATTGTATCACTGATTATCTTGTTGCGAATCTACGTGCTGTTTTATTGTAGAGGCTAACGCTACTAAAAAATCGTTGAAAGGTACTGGGAATTCACTAAAAAACTCTGATAAACAAAGTAAAGGCAGTTTTCGGATAGTTCTACCACTTAATTTTATTTTCTGTGTAAAAAACTTGTTAGTAGAAAAATGATTTTATTTTATTTTCGAACAATGTCGGTTTCAGTTTGAAGTATGTATACATACAACACATTCTTGTGCTAAGATATCTATTATTTTAAGATATTTTTCTTCTGTACATCTTTTAGTAGGTTTCTTTGAATTAATTATTTCAGTATCGAAAAGTGAGTTGACTATTGAAAGTAGCATATTGGAAACAGACTTCACAGAGGGATTTTCAACAAAAAAATTCTCATCTACTCTATCAAGAAATGCAGCATCTAAACATCCTACTAGATTAGATGTTGTTAGAATTAGAAAATTTTCATATGACTTTAGCGAATCTATTTGAGTTAATAAGGTGTTTACCACACGAACACTGTCACTGGACTCATTTTTAGATAAAATATCTTTTCTTGAACCAGCAATTGTTTCTACTTCATCTATTAAAAGAAATAAAAAACAATTTTTATACTCTGGAGAGGAAAGAATTTTTCTCAAGTCGTTAAAAATACATTCTAAGTTTTTTGAGGACTCTCCAAACCATCTAGAGAACATTTGTGAACAGGATATTTCAATTAGTAATCCTTTACATTCCGATTTCATAGAGTCCACAACAGTAGTGTGCTTCTTTCTAATTATCAATTTTTGAGAAAGACCTTGACAGAGTGTTGTTTTTCCTGTACCAGGAGGTCCATGAAGTAAAATAATTTTATTATTCACTAAAATTTTAGCAAATTCTCTTTTGTAGTTACTGGTTTTTAAATGATTAGCAATTTCCATTGAAAACTCTCCATAATTAAATAATTTTCTCTTGATGTCCTTTTCAAAAAATAGATTTTCCCATAGTCCTTCAAATTTTTGGCAGGGAAGTTTAGTTATTGTAATATGTTTTAAAGTATTGGAAGAAAATTGTTGAGCAATGTCATTAGCCCCTATCAAAAAAGTCGAATCTTCCATGTTATTAACATTGGCTATAAAATTCTTGTTTATATTTTTGTCATCAATTTCAATTTTGGTAAATTCATCAGTTAAAAAATTGTTGGATGTTAAAAAAGAGTTAGTTTCAGGGAGGATATAAAAACAATATCTAAAATCTACATCAGTAGAATGAACGAATCCTCCTAGTTTATAGTATGTACCTTTCAATAGAGAGATTATAGTAGACTCTAAAGATAAACTAGATTCAACTGAAGTATTCTGATTTTGCAATCCATCAATTGGTGCTTCCAGTGTAATCTTTTTAATAAAAATTGAAAAAAGTAAACTATGATTTCCCTCATTAAAACAAAAATCCTTACTATTTGTATAAAATTGATGATAAACCACCTTTAAAAAACTTTTGATTATCAGAAGTTGGGTTTTTGTTGGTGGATCACTAATCTCCAAAGTTCTCTCTTCTTCCATTAATATATTAGCTTGATTCACTAAGTCAAACTTAGTATTCTGGTTAGACCACACTCTTAACCTTTTTTGAATCACCTCTTGAAATATTGTTAAATATCTTTGAACACCTTCTTTCAAATCCTTGTCATACTTGCCATTCTTATTTTTGGACCTCTCTTCAATAATGTGTTGTACTATCAACTCCATCGCTGATTTCCTCAATTCCACATCAACTATAGTCTTCATTATTTATTATCACTACACAAGAAACTCAATTGGGTTATTCTAGTACGTTTACTGTAGTTTATTGTACCATCAAACACATTCATAGCCGCCTTTACTTTTCTTTTTTCCTTTTTAACTACCTTTATATACATATACCTTCTGGAATATATAAAAAAGACTTACTCAAAAAAAGCCGTTTATTAATGTATTTTATAAATTCTGTATAAAACTTATGATATAGATTTTTTACAGTAGCTGATACAGTTTATTCAAAACTACTAATAACTTCTATATAATCTATCTGTTCTCCATTACATTTACATAACCTCTACCAGGTTTCTTTTTTCTTCTACTTGCTGTTGTAGCTGCTGATATATTCAAAATGTCATCTAAGCCATTTGATGCCTTACCAGCTAAGTTAACAGGCTGGCTACTACTTATAGATGGAGGAAGTTTAGGCGTTGCAGAGCTTTCCGTAGACGTAGATGCAGAAATATTGTTAGATGCTTGATTCATGGGTTTACCAGAAAGTGGATTAACTGGTAAAACCATACCTGGAGGTGGACCAGAGGGTGCAGATGATAAAGAATTAGTGTTTGGATGACTGAAGCTAGGACGAGGAGTAGTTTTTACCACTGTATCTTTACGTTTCACAATCGGTGGAGGTGGAGGTGCTGCCGCTTCCTGCATTTTCTTCTTCTCTTCTTCTGTGGCATTCTTATTGACCCAACGTTTCAACTTTTCATCATAATAGAAGTTGTTTTGATAACCCAACTTGGCTTTTACAACCTTTTTCTCATTAGGATCTTTCTTTAACCAACTGAACCATCCTGCTTTTTGAGAACCAGAATTGTTCTTTTCTACTTTCTTCTTAGTTTCAGTATCTTTCTTAGTAGCAATAGTCTCTTTATCCTCATCTTCATCTGAATCATCCTCAACCTCATCATTATACTGAACATTAGCTTCCTCTGAGATTTTTACTGATGGGACACCTTGTGCCGCAGATGACGATGGTCTTATTCTAGGCTCAAAACTATCCAAATTATCAGCATCCATACCAGAAACTGCAAAACTATTGTATTTTGTAGAATTAAAAACAGGTTTCTGTCTATCAGATTCATTCTTTGTCTCTACAGTTAATGGTTGAACTAAAGGAATAGAAGTTAATCCTTGTGGTGAAAAAGGTGGAATAAAATTATTTCCCACTGGAATTGAAGTGGCCATCTGTGCACCTGGAGAGGGAGAAATTGAATTTTCTGCTACATATGAAACAGCACGTGTAGTAAATGTTGAAAGCATCTCTTTACGGTCCTCTGTAACGGATGCAATTTCATTTTCAATACTATGGGATAAATCGTTGTGTATAGCATTTGAAGAAAGTATTTTATCATCTGTTATAGAAGAAACGGATTCTGATAGAACTGGAAGAGGCATTTTATTGTCTCCTATGGATAGTTCCACACTATTATTCTTTAGTTGCTGGGAATCATCAATATTAACTCCTTGCTTACATACCTCATTAATTCGATGAGAAGGAATATTGTCTTGATTAGTGGAAACTTCTTCAATATTTGAATGTGCTAAAAGAGAAGCATCACTATTATCAACTGGTAATGGTATTGACTGTAATTCAGTAGACACATCTTTTATTACAGGCTCTACAATATCAGTCTCTTTTGGTTGCAACGTTAGTATACTAGGTTCTTCCAAGGACTCATTTCTTTTTTCAGAAACCATTGCATCTGAAATTTCCTTGTCATTTTGTTTTGCTGGTTCTACATGATTGAAATGACTTGAGATATTCACCGGAACAGAATTATTTGTACGAAGCGAATACATGGTAGTTTTAACTGGGGAAGGTTGTATCTCCTCCAAGATATTAGATGTGGATAATGTTTGTGACTTAGGAACATATAGTGATTTTTCTATAGGCTTTTTAACAAAACTATATTTCTTTGGTGAATACATGACAGGTCTATTTGTAGTCTTACCAATGCCCATAACAGCAGGAGAAGTCTCTATGTTACCGCCAACATAGTTGTTGATGATATTATTAGGTGATGATTTTATGATTTCTTCATTTCCCACTACGTATTTACCAAACGTATCACTAGGAGTTGGTGATGCATCCTCATCACCACCAATGTACTTATTGAAAGATTTATCCAATTGTCCCCAAACGCTGCTTAATTTCGGCTTGAGTAACCAACCGGAATTGGAACCAATCAAACGACTTTGCAACTCTCCCAACCTGCTAGACAAATTAAGAGAAGTAACATCTTTCTTGTTTAATTGCTTCAATCGAGAAGCAACATAATCAGAATATTTAGTAGCCAAATTTGAAAGTCCTTGTTCTTGTAGATACATACCATGATATATTTTCTGAGGCAGTAATTCATCATAGTCAGACGATTTAGAATTTTGCACCACACAATAGTATTGATAAAGTTCTGACCATACTATGCTTTGTACAGAAGTAGGATTTCCAATATAATCAAAAGTTACATCTGAATCCTTTAGAACTGGTATCATACTTAATGGTACATCAACAATCATAAACAAAAGAGATGCAACGAGTTTAAGTCCTTTGTGATACAAAAAGATAGCAAGTTCAACAAAAAATTCTATAATAACCGGAGGAATTTTGTTATCACTATCATAATTACTGCAATGTTTCAAAACTGCAGCAACAACTGTCCTCCAATTATCCACAATCCAAGTCGCTTTCTCATTGTCTGAATAAAACTTCTTAATTACTACTTTAGAATTCCCCATAAATGCATGGAATATAAGTGACAACAAATTAATACATGTAGGATTATTACCCTCTTCAACGAAATATGAATCGACTGCATCTACCAACTTATCTTTGGAAATCAGAGAACCGATTAATAGTGCCATCGTATGGTCCTTATGACCCAACGCATCTCGCAAGGCGGTATTATAATCACCAACTTGAAGTGAAGCAAGAATTCTCATTTGACCAATATTATCTAACTTATAGGCATTTGGTTGGGAAATGTTTAGATTAAATGGTTGAGACAAATATGTTTGTAATTCATATGTATTATAAATAACCTCTGATATATCATTGATTGAACAATTAAGAGAGAGTTTAATTTGAAGAATTTTCCAAATCAAATATTCATCTGAATTTGTATCTAAATTTGTTTCTTCAATAATTGTAGACAACCATTTCTCAATGTCTTTCTGCTTAGATTTCTGTGTTAAAGGTCCTGGGAATGATTTCAATATAGGATCTGACTTAATAATAGAATCTAAACTGACAACTTCTAACGAATTAACCACCGAAGTAGTGGTAGCATAACTACCCATGGAAACGGGAATACCATATACAAGCTTACTAGAAGAATTAAACTGGAAAAGAGGGAATTGACGAGAAAGCAAAGCATTATTATCAATTTCTAATATCATCTTGTTAGAATGATATTCTGATTTTTTATTATTATAGCTTCCTCCACTAACAGACTGTGACAAACCTGTGCCACTCACTTGATGATTAGAAAATGAATCTAGTTGTGAAGTTGCATCTAATCTTTGCGATATGTTTTCATTATCATTAATTGGATGAGGAGGATATTGTTGAATAATTCCTAAAGGATTGATTTGTGAAACTGTTTGTTTCATCGTATTTGGTTTAGGAGGAATGGATGTGGCAGGAAATGGATGTGGAATGAAGTTAGATTGAATAGTCTCTAATTGTTGCTGATATTGAGGATGAACTGTTGGCGCGTACCTTGATGAGTTTTCATTACTGTTTGGAGAATACAAACTGGAGTTTTTACGTGCATGATTTCCCTTCGATGTAGATGAAGTATAATTCAACTTAGTGTTAACAGGCGAGATTGTCATAGACTTACGTGGGTTACCATTGGATGGAGGAAAATTATATTGAGAAGGAAGAGCTTGAGCTGATTGTAATGTATTTGATGACCGAGGTGCATATTGTGATGACTGTGATGCCCTTTTTGGAGGGGCAGCATTAATTTCTGTTTGTGGGGCATATATATTTGACCTTGCATTTAGCTGAGCACTAGATATAGATGAATTGTTACTGAAATTCCTTGCATTTCCTTGCAATGGCGGAGAACTCATGAAAGAAATCATATTATTGCTATTAATTGGAGAAGTGGGAGAGACAGGAAGATTCAAAGATGGAGGGACCACCCCAACAGGTCCTGTTAAAGGAACAGGTTGTTTAGCAGCAGCTTCTTTTTTAATAACTGATGCATATGGGTTTACAGGCATTGAAATATTAGAAACAGCATCCAACGACTGGTAACCAGATGTAGACCGAATAGAAACAGATACATTTCTTGATGATTTCATAGGTAGAAACGATGTATTATTTAATTTAGGACTTGGAATCCCGACAGGTTTAGCATGAACAGGTTTTACTTTATCAGCAATCAAATCCATTGGAAAGTCATAAGCATCTGACTTTTTCTTTTCAACAGCAAGTTTTTCAATAACCTGTTGTGTATTTTGAGAGTTCAAAGATGGTCTCGTTAAGCCTTGACTTGATAATTGGATAGTAGAGCCTTGGGAAGGCTGGATATTAGAAGCTGGTCTAGAAATATTATTAATTTGCTGAGGAAGAACAATACCAACTGTACCACCCTGGTTTGAAAGAGTATTTTGATCTGATACCATCATATCAGAATTGGTAGGTGTATACCTAGAAGTTGTATGAAATTGTTTTTTTGAATTATTTCGAGAAGTATTATCAAAGGTAATTCCTTCACTTGATATGAAGCTGTCAGATCTATTGACATTCTGTGTTACCAACTCATCTTCAGATTCTAAGAAACTATCATCATCATCATCTAAAAGATCGTCATCGTCTTTTAAGAAAGAAAATTTCTTAAAGGAATCGTTAACAACGGATCGCGAAGGCTCTAGATTTATTTTTGTGGTCGATGCATCTGTAGGTTCGACTGTATGTGTAACAGAAGTTAGTGGGGAAGAAGGAACATTGTTATTTGTTTCTTTCAACCAAATTTCGTCAGTCTGATCTATGTCCTTATCAAATAGATCTGATGTGTTATCTACCTGCTTGATATCAATATTTACTTGAGAATTTTTATTTTCATTATGACTCGTTGAAGGTACAAGAGCGCTAACTGTGTCTACATCATGCTCAATTACACTATCATTAATTTCTGTTTTCTTACTAGCTTTATTTTCAATCCAAGGTAGAAATTCTTCGTTATTATCAGTAGTAAAAAGCTCACTCACATCTCCTACTAATTCTGGTTCATTTTCATTACGTTCATCAGCAATATTGTGATGATATTGTTTGTCTTTATTTTGATACAATTCCTCATGCTGTTCCCATGGCATTAACTCATCACGTGGACTTGATTCAAATAAATCATCATTTATGAATTCTTGAGTAGTAAGATGATTTTCTGAAAATGATTCAGGTTGTGTTGTAGCACTTTCTTTATGTGGAAAATCCATTTTGTCATTTTTACTTATATTAGAATCTGTGCCCAAACCTTCCGAATTAATTATAGTAGGAAATTCAACATTCTCTTTATTCAGCCTAACCACAGTTGACTGGTGTAACTGTTCATGATTTTGCATTTGTTGTTCTTCCACTTCTTGGGATGTTTTATCTTCAATTTGTATAACAGTATGTGTAGGCAGAGGTACGTTCTCTTTAGCATCTGTAGTTGACGAATTAGTAAACTGTACTTTGTTTTGGGTGTGTTCATTGTCTATGAATGTCTCATGCCCTACTATTTTATCCCCAAATTGCTCCATGCTGAGTTCATTCTGTTTTTCCCCTATTTTGTCCATTGTTTCATTAAGACCATTGCCTTGTTGCATAAGCTCACTTTCTGAATCATCAGCATCAATAACCCCTTCACTTAAATCAATTCTTTCAACTCCCTCTTCATTGTATTCGTTTAGTGACTGAGCATCATCTGCCTGATTTAAAGTTTCATTTACATCATTATGAAATTCTAATTCTTGTTCTTGTACATCCTTTTCAAAGGGTGCTTGATGTGATCCAACTTCCGATGATGTTTGTTCAACAACTTCAACAGATATTTCTGATTCTTTTATAAAGTTTGTTTTATCTTCCTCTTTCTCTTCTGGTATTGTTATTTCCTCTTTCTCTTCTTGAATAGTACTACCTTTATTTAATGGGGTATTAGATCTTGTATTTACATTGGTTTCATCAGAAACTGTGCTGCTTGTCAAATCTAAAGTATTATTTTCAGTAGTAGCTGAATCTGTACCTGCAGTTGTTGTTGACACATCAGTAACGGTTGTGTTAACAACGATAGTTGTCGTAGCCGCAACAGCAACAGCAGCAGCGGCAGCAGCAGCCTTCTTTTGTTTCTGTTTCAATTTTTTTTTCTGATTCTTCCTTCTCTTTGCCTCCGGTGTCATATCCACACAATATACTTTCTTTTTCTTTTATAAATAACAATAATCGAGATCAAGACGTTAAAGAAAATTAAAATAAAATTCGGTGAGCTAATGATATTTTATACAATTTGTGGACTGATGTTTATTATTATCGTTATTGTAAGTCTCTTTTTTTGTATGTTGTGTTTAGTTCATTAGCTTTATACACTTATACCCATTTCCTTCTTTCATGTTCTTGCTAAGCATCCTTTAAAAGTTTTATAAATAATATTAATGAATTGGCTCTCGTTAAAATGCTTTTTTTTATATTTTTCTAAAGGAATTTTCCAATTTTAGTTTCCAGACGGTGGAGGTCATCATGAACGAAAAAGACCGGGAGAGACAGAAATCTTTGAAAAATTTCGTGAGAATTTTCCAAAGGGCTCTACCAAACAAAATGGGAAGATGCGATGGATAATCAAGTAATTTTAGCTGGTGTATATCAAATGATGTATATTGGGAGTGACAACCATGTTTGATACGATTATGCCACTCTTTGAAAACAAATTTCCAGTGGCTAATAAATTTTGACGAAACCGAGAAAAAAGGTCAAACGATAGCAAATACGAAGTAAACCATAACGTTAAATTGATAAGAAAGATGGGTCGCCGTGGGAAAGGTCCAAAGACTAACCAAACCAAGAACTTAGCACCTGAAAAGGAAAGATTTATCCAATGTTGTAGTGATGTCACCTTAGAATTGACGCAATCATTAACAAATGGGTCGACGAGAGAAATCAATTTGAATGGATTGATCACCAAATATTCAAAGAAATATAAATTGAAACAACAACCAAGACTAACTGATATTATCAACTCCATACCTGACCAATATAAGAAGTATCTTCTACCCAAATTAAGAGCCAAACCCGTCAGAACTGCTTCTGGTATTGCTGTAGTTGCTGTTATGTGTAAGCCACATCGTTGTCCTCATATTGCCTATACCGGTAATATCTGTGTTTATTGCCCTGGTGGTCCTGATTCCGATTTTGAATATTCAACACAATCTTATACTGGTTATGAGCCAACATCCATGCGTGCTATTAGGGCAAGATATGACCCATATGAACAGGCACGTGGAAGAGTAGAACAATTGAAACAATTAGGTCATTCTATTGATAAAGTTGAATATGTTATCATGGGTGGTACTTTTATGTCATTGCCCACTGAATATCGTGAAGATTTTATTACCCAATTACATAATGCACTATCTGGGTTTAATGGTCATGATTTAGATGAAGCTATCCGTTACTCTCAACAAAGTTTGACCAAGTGTGTAGGTATCACTATTGAAACTAGACCAGATTATTGTACACAGACCCATTTAGATGATATGTTAAGGTATGGCTGTACCAGATTGGAGATTGGTGTCCAGTCTGTATACGAGGATGTGGCAAGAGATACAAACAGAGGCCATACTGTGAAAGCTGTCTCAGAGATCTTTTGTCTGGCTAAAGATGCTGGGTATAAAGTAGTTGCACATATGATGCCAGATTTACCTAATGTTGGTATGGAAAGAGATTTGGAACAATTCAAAGAGTATTTCGAGAACCCTGCATTCAGGACTGATGGGTTAAAAATATATCCAACTTTAGTTATTAGAGGTACTGGGTTATATGAATTATGGAAGACGGGTAGATATAAATCATATAATGCTAATGCATTAGTTGACCTTGTAGCAAGGATACTTGCACTAGTGCCCCCATGGACGAGAATCTATCGTGTCCAAAGAGATATTCCAATGCCATTGGTGACATCTGGTGTGGATAATGGTAATCTAAGAGAATTGGCATTAGCTAGAATGAAAGATTTTGGTACCACATGTAGAGATGTTCGTACCAGAGAAGTTGGTATCCAAGAAGTGCATCATAAAGTATCACCAGATCAAGTAGAACTCATTAGAAGGGATTATTATGCAAATGGTGGATGGGAAACCTTCTTGTCATATGAGGATCCAAAGAAAGATATATTGATTGGCTTATTAAGATTAAGGAAATGCTCATCTAAGTATACATATCGTAAGGAGTTTACATCACAGAGAACATCTATAGTTAGAGAATTGCACGTTTATGGTTCTGTAGTACCACTACATTCAAGGGACCCAAGAAAATTCCAACATCAAGGTTTTGGTACGTTATTGATGGAAGAAGCAGAAAGAATTGCTAGAGAGGAGCATGGTAGTGAGAAATTATCCGTCATATCGGGTGTTGGTGTCAGAAATTATTATGCAAAATTAGGATATGAATTGGATGGCCCATATATGTCCAAACGTATTGTTTAAGAAATATCTATATATATATAGTATATGCATATACAGTGTGTTTAGAAACCAAAAAAAAAAATATAAATAAATAAAGAATAGAAAAAAAAAGGGAAAAGAAAGAGAGGTGAAGTTTATGATGTATAAAAGGTTTTATATTTATTTGTTTGCTTATTTATTTACTTTAAAAAAATATATATATTTAAAGTTTAAATATGAATATATGATAAATATATCTATGTTTGTATATATATATGTATGTATATGAATGAATTTATAGGTATGATAATAATAACAAAAAAAAAAATCAGATAAAATAAAGAACAAAAAAAAATAACAGCCAAAAATATGAACACAAAATGGCATTGATTTGCATATTATAATATGTCAAAATTCATAGTTAAAGAATAAAATAAAGTGAAACATCAAATAAAAAAAACAATCAATTAATCAATAATCATCAACCTTGGGTCTCTGTATTAGAATTAGAATTAGAACTGGAATTAGTTTTAGTATTGCTATTAGCATTAGAACCGTTATCGTTTGGAATAGATCTATGGCCATCAATGTTTTTCTCTTTTTCGAATGGACCCCAGAATGTTAAAGAATAATTTGTGTTAATTGCGAGATCATTCTTAATAATTTCAGGTATAACTCCCCATCTCCAAATAAATGTGAACTGATCACCTTGCTGTAGATTCAATACTCTTAAATAATGCAAAAACACCAAATAAGAATAGACACCAATCCCAGTTAAAAGATGCCACCAACCATGTAATTCCAATAGAACACCCAATGGTAGCTTCAAATAATCTCTTCTTATATGAATCCACAAAGGACAAAACAATTGGTCTAATTCCCAAAAGATAAAACCTAAGGAGAAAGTTATAATACCCATGCCCATAGTAGTATAAAGATTTTTTTTAACCAAAGGATCTTTAGTCTCTAGAAAGATGGCAAAAGAACTTGATATAGCCACCACAGTCAAAGTTAGAATCCCGTAAAGTACTTGAAACAACAAAACAACATGCCATACCAGATACATGTAAGTTAGAATAGTAGTAAATGAGAAGACAGTCAATGCAAAGAGTAGTTGTCTTTTCTTTGAGGCTTGTTTTGTTTTAGCTCTCCAAGTCTTCCAATTAAACTCACAAAAGACGCTCCAAGCAGGTATAGAAGTAGCATAAACCATTGGTAATTCATCTAGTAGTTGAAATCTATACTTCAGAGTCATATGGAACAACCAAGAACCGACACCAACAAGTGCAAAGCCTAGCCCAATTAATAAAAATCTGAACTCTAATCCATTACGATAGGCACACCATGTAGAATAGGTAGCAGTAAGTAAAAACATGGAGTTAGATATTGTGTTTGACCATTCTGCAATATATGGAGATACAACATAATTTTCTTCACACCAATCTATTATAGAAGTAGTTGGACCCCAATATCCATCAACTGGTTTATTTGGATAAGACCACTTTAAAAAAGACATTATAAACTGTTTCTTACGAATAATAATCTTGTAGTCCTTTTATTTATTTATTTTTTCTAGCTTCGAGGATTTTTTTAAGATATACTTGTAAATATTTATGTTATTATTGGTGCTAGCACGTAAACTTATCTGTGTATATAAATATAAATATATATCTATGCTTGTGCGTGTGTGTTTAAGCTTGCGTGTTTTTAACTACCTACGAGACAGTCGATAGAAAAAAATAGAAAGAAATGAGAAAAAAAAAGAAAAACAATAGTACAGATGAATTCAAAGACAAAAGACTGGATAGACACATCGTATGAGACCTGAAAAAGAAAGAAGACAAGGCTAAGGATCGAAGTATATATGTATATATATGTATATATATACATACATATATATAAGATTTGCGAGGTGACTAATAAATAAATAAGAAGGTAAAGCAAACAGACATTTGCGAAGTTAGTTAACGTTGATTTGATAATCATAGATTAGACCGATATTAACCATGAGATATGTTCTGTTCACCAATACTAACACTGGGTCTTTATTTATTCCCTCCTTTTTTCTTTGTTCTTTTCTTTTAATAATGTCTCGTTCATTTGTAAACTGAAGAAAGCCGTAATCATAACGTTACACACACAAAGAAAGAGAGAGGGAAAAATTCACTGCAATAGCATACTATTCTTTTCTTTCTTTCTTATGCTCGTTCAAGCTTGGGTTTCCTCTTTTTGTTTTTGTTTTTGTTTTTGTTTATATTTTTTATTTTTATTTTTTTCGGAAATACCTCTTGGAAGAAAAGGGGGGCGAGAGGAAAGGGAAGGGAAAAACACAGAGGGAAAAAGAGAAAGAGAGATGGAGGGAGCCAGACCGGAGGGATAAACAAGACAAAAGAGACAAAAAGAGACAGAAGATCATCTGTGTATATGTGCGCATATGTGTATGTGTGTGGGAAATTTGATATATTTAGATTTCAAGGAAGAAGGGAGGAAAGGTCTATCGGGTTTGTCTAATGATGTCTTCTTACTTCTTATGAACATTTGCTTAGTAATGTAGTCTAATCAGTTTGTGGATATAAGAGTCCGGACTGTTTTTCTTTTCTTTTTGTGTTAGCAGACATGTTTATAATATAACTCTGTTTTTTTGAAACATTCATATCGCTTCAAGTACCTATATAGATAAAGATAAAGATATAGAAAAAAATGCAAAAGCAAAACAAAACAAAATAAAAACAAAATAAAAACACAAGCTAGTCCCTGCTTAACTAGTAACTATCCAAATGTCTTGGTCACATTTATAATGATTTATTCACTTCGTGGCCGCCGAATGTCTCTCCTTTGAATCATATACATATGTATGTTACATATATGTGTGTATAGAATGTATACATGATAGACATCCAATAAAAAAACAAGGGGAGACACTGAGTACATTATTACTATAGTGTCAAATCTCACAGACTTTTATGGACATTTACGTTATGTTTATGATGCATGGATATAGAAATATTTCAATATTAGGTAATAAGTCTTTACTATGGGTATGTCGAATGCTAAGAAATGCATCAGTAGTTGTTAGTTGTAGTGGTAATGATAATAATAATATCATAATAGTAGGCTTTGTCTTGTTATGATCTATTTTTAGTAACCAAATCTTTTCCAAAAGGGGAAATTTAATCTCTTCAATTTTTTTTAATTGTTTTTGTTTTTCTTTTCTTTTCTTCAGGCGAACAAAAAAAAAGTTAAAAACACAAGAAATTTAAATAAAATCCACAAAATTTCTATCGAAAGAGAAAAAAAAAGAAAAAAAAAAGAAAGAAGAATAAGATATTTTTTTTAACCTGTTTTGATACGTCATGTAATAGATCCACTCGATGGAAAACTTTAATCAACAGATCGCTTCCAGTTCTATTTATATTATATACTGTAGTAACCACTATTATAGAACAAATAGAACAATCAACAAAATATACCAAAAAGTTTCAAAATAAGAACATCAACAACAATAACAAGAAAAAAAAGAGGAAGAAGAAGAAGAAGAAAAGAAAAATAAAGTCTGACGCTGTCTTACATTTTTTTTGTTTGTGGGATACTTGAAACTCAAATCTTATCAAATACATTCATTAAATCTATTGACTCATTTTTGTCTTCCCCATTTCTCCATAGTGAGAGGAAGTAAAAAAAAAAAGAACTCTTAATTCTACAATTATATATAACTATTATCTCGTACACACGCAGACACAAACACACACACACATACATACATATATATATTTTATCAACAAATATGGGTAGAAGAAAAATTGAAATTGAACCTATTACAGACGAAAGAAATAGAACTGTCACTTTCATTAAAAGAAAAGCAGGTTTATTCAAAAAGGCACATGAATTGGCCGTATTGTGTCAGGTTGATGTGGCTTTAATTATATTAGGCCATAATAATACTTTCTATGAATTTTCTTCAGTCGATACAAATGATTTATTAGATCATTATCAAAATGATAAATCCATGTTACACGATATTAGAGATCCAAGTTTTTATGGAAAAAATTTTGCTAAAAAGAAATGTATTCATAATCATGATCATGATCATATTACTACTACTACCGCCACCATTAACAACAGCACAAAAACAACAGCAAGTGCTGATTCTAATCCAAAAAGTATGACCAACCACAAATCCAAGAGATCCTTAAGTTTATTAACAAATTCCCATTCTAATCCTAACCACTTAAATAAAAAATTTAGAGTTGAATTAAATAATACTTCTCACCCTATCATGACTAATAATAGTTCTAACACTGTAGGCACCAAAAATTCTCTATCAAATGTTATTGACTCAAATTCTTCATCCACTTCAAAAGATGCAAAATTATTGTCTTTGCTAAATTCAGATTCCAATTCCAATTCCAATCCATCTTCTCTGTCTTCTTCCAATTCACATAAAAAATCATCTTCTCGTCCAATTTTAAGAGTGCAAATACCACATAGCAACATGACAATAAACAATACCTCAAATAATAACACAACAAGTTCAGCTGATTCCATCAAAAATGAATTCTCCGATATTAATCCAAATGTCTATGGTAACACGTCTCCACAAAATTATAGAATGTTGTCTTCAGACATAACAACTATAAATAATCAACACATTAACCTTTCGAAACAATCAAGTATTTTAAATAAAAATTCTGATCCATCAAATTTACTGAAGCATAACCAAACCAACTCAACTAACACTACTGATAATGCTTTAAAAATGCCGAATAGTAGCACTACTTTCTCCTCTACTAATGGCCTTCTACCGCTCTCCGCTATGTCTCCGTATATTGCCACACTTTTACAAAATTCTAACTTTCATCCCCCATTGATCAGAACAAACACTAATAATATAATAACTACTACCACTGCTTCCACCAAAACAGCTACTCCAACAGATACTCAGAATGGGATTAATAAATTTGGTTTAAAATTGAATATAAATAAAATAAATTCTTCTCAAAAATATCCTCAACAAAACATACCAAATAAACCATTATCTTCTATATACTCCCTTGCATCCACTTCCAATTCTTCTCCTCACAATGGAAATGCTTCTAATATCAACAGTAATAATAACAATAACAATAACAACAATAACACCAGTAATACTTCTTTATTATCAGGTCCATTATCTTCTAAATATATCAACGATCTGATGATTCCATCACCCACTGTTTTCTCGAATTGGAATGTAAACTTAGGTATACAGAGCGCAGGAGCTAAATTGACAGTACCTCCTAATCCTATTCGTCTTGCTAATAATACTAGTATTGCAAGCACACCAATATCTAATTCTAATATAGGTACTACTATTGGCGCTACTAACTCCACTATCATAAATAACAATAGTAACAATAATAGAAGTAATAATATGAATGATGTATCATCCTCATCCTCATCCTCGCTAGTATTAGTGGCACAAGGATATGATTTAAATAATGGTAATACAGGGCTTACTCCATACATAGGAATTGGACAGACCCCGTTGACTAATAGATTCTTCAATTTTTCAACAAGTGACATAAATTCACCAGATACACAGGTTAGAAAGAATGAGACATTAACTACTGCAACCACACCAACCACTAATACTACTACTAGTGTTACCACTACCACAAATATTCCTAATAATGTAAATAATATAAAAACAGAGAGTATAGATACTCCTACACTAGATAAAGATAATAAAAATTGAATGCATATATATATATATATAAATTCCTTCATTCATTGATTATTTGGACACCATTCAAAAAGATGGGAAATAGTCTCTATTTGATTGTAAAATTTATTTTTTTGCATATTCTTATTTATTGTAGTTGTTATTTAGTAATATTTATATCTACTTACTTATTGTATTTTGATTATATTATTTAACGTAAGGTAACTAATTCTTCAGCACTAGTTGGATGGATAGCCACACAGTTATCAAAATCTTTCTTAGTGGCACCCATTTTGATGGCAACACCGAAACCTTGTAAGATTTCAGCAGATGCATCTCCAACTAAATGTAAACCAACAACCTTTTCTTCGGGGCCAGCACAAACTAACTTGTATCTAATTGGCGATTTATTGGTTAACATTGAGTAATACATTCCCGTGAATTTTGTGTTATATATTTTCAAATTCTCTTGTCCATATTTGGCTACAGCTTGAGCTTCAGTCAAACCAATGGAACCAGCTTCTGGATGTGAGAAAACTACGCTTGGCACATTGGTATAATCTAATTTATCGTTCTTAAATTCCTTTGGACCAAACAATCTATTAGACAACTTTCTACCTGCAGCAATAGCCACAGGAGTCAATTCTACATTACCTACAACATCACCTAATGCAAAGATATTTTCTACATTAGTGTTTTGATATTTATCAACGATAATTTGATCCTTTTCATTTAATTTAACACCAACATTTTCCAAGCCAAGACCTAGTAATGATTTACGGCCAATGGTCCAAATCAACTCATCAATGTCTTCTAAAATAGTTTCTCCTTTATTAATTTCAACAGTCAATTTTTTATTTTCGGGATTTTTAGTGATTCTAGTAACATTAGACATTTTATGAATGTTCACACCTTCATGGATATAATGGTCAGTAATAGTATGTTGAATAGATTCATCAAATTTTCTTAAGACAGTTTCACCACGAATAACTAAGTGTGTCTCTGTACCTAATCCATGGAAGACACCAGCTAATTCTACACCGATGTAACCAGCTCCAACAACAACAACTTTCTTTGGCTGCTTTTCCAATTCAAAGAATCCATCAGAACTGATACCATGTTCATAACCTGGAACGTTATATGGGAAAATTGGTTGACCACCAGTGGCTATTAAAATCTTGTCACCAGAATAGGTCTCCACAGTGTTATCTTTCTTTGTAACTTCAACATTACCATCTTTGTTAAATTTAGCCCAACCAAAAGCAATATCAACACCTTCTTTGGTCAAATTTCTTTCATAGATCCCATTCAATCTTTTAACATATTCATCTCTTTTGGCTTTAAACTGTTCCCAATTGAAAGTCAAATTTTCTTTAGTTAATGCGTATTGTTGAAACAAACCATATTCATTAGCTTGCAACACCCTAGTAGCTAAATCTGAGGCATTCCACATAACTTTTTTTGGAACACAGCCAACATTAACACAGGTGCCACCAAGACGTTTTCCCTCAATGATTAATGTTTTTGCACCATAAGAGGCAGCTCTACGAGATGACGCAACACCACCGGAACCACCACCAATAACGATATAATCGTAATGTTTCTTAACGATAGGAGCCATTTTTTTCAGGATATTGTTTGTTATTGTTTTATTCATGTAAGAAAAGATAATGACTGAAGTTATTATAGTATTATCACAGAAGGCGCACACGTACCAATGTCAAAAATAAAAGGAGAATAAAGTTTTTGATTGTTATCAATACGACTCAATATATATTTATATATAGTTCCAATTTTGTTTCGAGAAAACGGATCTTTTCCTCCCTTCACTTGTGTATTATGTAATGAAATAGGTCGAAAAAAAAGTTTTTTGTTCCGAGTAAACATAGATACACTAAAGATTAATCACCAAAACAAAAATAACTAACGTAATAAATATACAAAATTCATTTAGCAGTTGGCTAGAAGTGTATGTGCCTACGTAAATGAACATAAATACCATCCTTGTAGGTTAAACAAGTCCCTGTTGAACATCGCAAATATATAGTGGATACTTTACTTAGTATATCAAGTTTAATAAATTAGGTCAGGCCATTATTAGTGTTTAGTCCTAATTCTCCTTCGTAGGATGAAGATTCACCAGTATCGTCCTTTTTTTATAATTAAAAAATTTGTCTTAAGATCTGTTCTAGCCACTATAAATTTCAATATCAGTTTGTCTTTGTTAATTGATATCAAAGAATTGCTATTTTTATATGTGTAACAATTATATTTGCTTTAGAGTATCATAGTGTCAATAAGATGATGTAATATTTACAAGAGACAAACGATCGCACGTACGCTACTAATGATTCTTAATGTTCCAACTAGAACATACTCGTCATATTGAATTCTATTACACGTAGGATCTTCATGATCTTGCTCTTATGGAGAAAGCAGTTTCTCAAAACTCTTGGTAGAAATAATAAACACAATTTGTTGCTGCTGTTAATGATGATTATTGTTTGTTTGTATATTCTTTTCTTTTAAAATATAAAACAATAACTGTTAATGATATTATTGTAAAAAGGTATTCCATTGGTAGAAATTCTCATAGATACTATCATCTTCGTAATTTTGAAGCACTCAAGGACCAAGATTAGTAAAATATTATATTTTGTATTATCTATCAAAGAAAGATAAGATTGATCAGCAGCACATATAATGGAAACCATGAAAAAAAAACATATGAGCATATATATAACTAATGTGTAGGCTATGAGAAGAAATATAATAAACCAGAAGATATACCAACTTGCATCACGAATACAAAAAATATGGGTCAAATTAGCTTAAAAATATTTGGGATTTTCATTTTTCAAATTAGAAGGGGAATCTAATAAATTTAAATATGAACTTGATGTGTCAGTTATATCGATCTTTTGTTATATAATATCTGATTCTACTTTTTTGTTTTCTACTTTCAACAATAAAAAATAGCAAATGGTATGTACACTATAGGAATCAAACTAAGTTATCAAAAGCAATGATAAGCCGTATATATACTTATATTCTCAAAATTTTTACAGATCGGTAATTCTATTGATACATGTCAAAAAAAAAAACTTTTAGTTATCTATCAATATTCACACTGCACACAAGGTATACATTCTCTCTTGGATAATCTATCAAATGTTAATTAATGAAAACCTTCAAAGAACAACACTGTATTAATACTGTTTTTAAGATTTCTATTTTTTGATATCATGATTATGACAATTTTAAAGATCGCATAGTACAAACGGAATTACATGTACCCTTTCCAAATTGCGAGAGCCCAAGCATTGCAAAATTTTGAAAAGATAATGATAAAAACTAAACAAATTTAAGAATAAGATAATAACTAGAGAATGATTATTCTAATTAGATATAAATAATATTATACAACTATTCACATTATAATATACTGTTACTATGTAGTGTTTAAATGCAACGGAAGGAAAAACAAAACAAAAGTAAATAAATAAAAAAGATGCGAATTCATAATAATTGAATCATTGTTCAGGCACTCAACGAGGGTGGTGCAGTACTTGTTCTGTTTATGCTGTTTTCTGATTGAGACAAAGTATGCATATTTGATCTGTCCGGTGAAGATATTGTCAACCCCATTGTATGTGATCTGGATCTTCCAAACAAACCGGCATTGGTTATAGTGTGTTGTCTTTCCAAATCATCAATAAGACTCTCTTCGTCTTCTGTTTCCTCTTCCCTCATAAACGAAAAGTCGGTCTCTGGTTGTGCACGTGAAACAATAGGCTCCAATTTTATCTCAGAACTTTCTGGGACATATTGTGCAGGTTGTGTTAATGCATTATATGATCTTTTTCCATACAATATTAAAGTGTTACTAAAACAGAAAATCGACCATAAGATAGCCACAGTACCGTATATTGTCCCAATGACTCTAAATGCACCCATTGGGACATACTCATTGTATTGAGTGTATATTTGACTTGAACCTAGGGACATGGTACCCATAGGGAAAGTCATACCCCAGAAACCTTGATGGAAATGATAGATACGTGTGTTGTCACCCTTAACACCAGCATAATTCTTTTTGAATATGAGATTATAGCTAGAAGGGTAATGAAAGTGAAGAAATAACCCATTGATAATAGCGACATACTTAATATCAGGCCAAGTACTTTAAAGGACCAAGGTACAGAAAGCAAAAGAATGTTTGTTGGATCCTTTGAATAGTATTCTTGTGTATAGAGAAGGACATTATCTGTCAATAGTAGGATACCGTAGGCACCTTGACCCATTGGACCTAAAACAAGAAACATTGTAAACACTTGAGACATTGGTGGGATCTTAAAAATGTAAAGAGACCAAAAATATATCCCGACTAGAATAAAGACAAATATGATAGCGTGTAACCAAAGCAAAGTAGCGATAACCATAGTCAATAGTTGGACATTCCTATTCAATGTTATAGTGGCTAAATCGGACATAATAAAGATAGAGACACTAGAAGAACCAACAACTAATGGGATGACAGCTAATAACAAAATACTTTTCAAATGTTCAGCGGCCACTTTTTCAAATTTGAAGTTCCATTTACCTAAACCGTCTTGGAAGTAATAATTCTGCCAAATTAAGAAAGTGATCCCCCATGCAATAAACATAGATACGACAATATCATACCACCAAAGGACATAAACCAGCCTAAATATTCGTTTAGCCACTACGATTCTTCCCTTTGTGTAGAAATAATTACCCAGAAGGTATATATAATTAATAATAGTGACTAACCCCATTGGATAGGTTCCCCAAAAGACACTTTTAGTCAAATTTCTAAAATATTTATCAAAATATTGTTTTGTTGAATAGTTTTTGGAGAAATAAATAAAATGTAGGAAAAACATGAACTGTTGGAAAATGAATAATAGTACATTAACAGCAAACATTATATAAGAACATATCTCCAGCCAATGAGCAGGATAGGGGAACGAGTACAACAGAGTAGATGAAATACCTATACCCATATTGAAAATGAAGTTAAATGGATCAAATTGGCCTAAGAATCTATTGAACATTGTCAATTTGACCAATTTTTTTGAAGGGGTAGTAGACATGCTCATTGGGATTGAAGATGATTCTTCATTCTTGTTCGTCATTATCACAGTATCTTGATCTATTGAGGTTATATCACTTCTATTATTACTATAGTTGTCAACGTATTGAGACATATGATTATTTATTTGATTAATCTATAATATGCTGTATGATGTATTGGCTGATGTTATGTGATGTTTTTGGTTTAACTTTCTAGTAAATAATTATTCATCGTCTTTTATTTTTTTTTTTGCCGAAGGAAAAAAGACAAGACAAAAAAAAAGAGGATAAAACTTTCAGAAAGATCTCAGCCCTACATATATATATATATATATTTATATTTAAACATATATTTATATATAAATATATAAACAAGAATGTTGGACATAAAAACACGTAATAGGGACATAAGAACAAAAGGAAAAAGATAAAGACAGATCAATACAATACATTTTCAGTATTGTTATTATGACTACTATGATGGCTTTCACGTAGTTACAACAGAAAAAAGTTGATCAGTAGTTTTTTTTATGACTATAAATCAAGATTAAAAATATCAAGAAAAAAAACCAAAAAAATAACAAAAGAGCGGACACTTCTCATACTTGTATATGCTGCTATTATTATTACCACCGATCTTATTATAATTTATAGCTCGGACCTTTTCGATATGCACGAAAAGAAATTTTTTTTGTAGACATTATTAATTATTTTATCTTGGAAAACGAGGAGAAAGCAAATGAAGACATGTTATAATCTATCAAACAAAATTAAATAAGTAGAAGAGTTGGCAAAAAACGTAATGAAAAAAAAAAAATGAAAAGGGATCCTTTTATTTTAAAGTTTGTCTTAATACCGAAGAATTTGTATTGTATTAAGTTTATCAGTTCTTTTTAGGCTTGGAAAAAATTGAAAGAAGAAAAAAGTGGAGATATTAGGAAAATCCGTTTTCCGTTTTATTTAATTTTCTTTCTTTTTTCTCCTTTTCATTTTTTTTTCTTAGCTTGCATGAAATAAAAAAACAAAAAAGAAACTATTTTGGTTTTCTCCTTGCTGCTTTTGTGTCTTCTTGGTAAACTCTGCATCTCCGGTATAAAGCATTTTATTTTGTAGACATTTCAAAGTGCGCTGTATGGTTTTGATTGGTGGCTCTTTGCAAAACAAAAACAAAAAAAAAAAAAAGAAAAAAGGTTTCTTTGTAGTGTTTTTACTTCTGCCTGTCTATCCTCGTGACCAAAAAAACCGCTAGTTTGAATTAAGATTTGAAAAGTGCCGACCCCCTGAAAAAAAAAAGCAAAAAAGAAAAATTTAAAGTTAAAAAAATTACAAATAAAAAAAAGGGATTGTAAAATGTAACACCGACACACACACAAAAAAAAGAAGACTAAAAGGAAAATAATATTTTGGATTTCTGTAACTTTAGAAATTATTTGAGGTTAGGAGTTTGCAGAAGACATCTTGTAATTATCTTTACTATACAATTTCTCAATTTTAACTTTAGTCTTACGTTTCTTCGGCGGGCTTTTTTTCTTCCATTTTTCAACTATTGTAAACAGTATTTTTTTTGTTTTTGTTTTTTGTGTCATAACCAAGAACGGGAAAACATTATTTTTATCAATTTATTTTAGGCGGAATAAAAAGCCTGAAAACATGTAATGACGAAGATTTTTTTTAAAAAAAATGCCTTGGTTTTATTATGACTTAAACATCTCCTGCATAAATTATACTTTTGTCCTATTTCCATTCTTAGTTTAACAATGATTTTTATCAATATAAAATACATATATAGATATAAAACAACTAAATTTACTTTGAATGACTCACCATACTTTCATACAATTAATAACAGCAAGTTAGAGCCTTAAAAATACTTATTTTTAATCATTATTATTGTTGTTGTTTTTTAAGTAGTTCTGTTTGACATTCAACGTATTTTAAATCAAATAGTTGACCCAAAAAAAACTACCAATTACTTTAGTATTTTATGTTAACACATTTTTTAAAATAATAATTATTTAATCTCAAAATAAAACGTACATTCCATGCAAAAATCTCACATTCTATAGAAGAATTTAGAATATTAATTAAGACGGTCTCCTGTTTTGAAGGAAATTCTCTTTTTTTTTAGAAGAAGAAAAATTTTGGCGAAAAAAAAAACAAAAAAGAATTCTCCTACGTGTTTTCAAGATCTTTCGTTTAAACGGATCGGATCGGATCGGAAAAAAGAGAAAAAGAATGGAACAAAACAATAGTCTATTTTTCTTTGTATTGTTTTCTCTCTGTATTGTTCATATGATATCATTTTTTCTTTTTATTTTTCTTTTTTCAAATTGTTTTGTGCAAAAATAAAAATTAATATATTGATGAAGCACAATAACTTTTAAAAAAAATAATGCTTGTTTCTGTTTACTTTGTCTATTTAGAAAAAAATTTTTTTTAATTGTTTTTTAAAATTCAAAACAAAAAATCAGTAAATAAATTATTTGGTATAGGCTCTTCACGTGCACTTTTTATTTTCCTTGTGGTTTACTATCATTCTGCGTTATAACCAAGTTTAAGTCCCTTTTTTTTTTTATAAATGAAACCATTTTTATGATTCCCACTTCTTCTAGTAATAATTATGGTATAATTTATCAGATGTTTGTAAAGATAAGAGATAAGAGATTATTTTTCTTTAATTCTATGTTAATAAAATTGTAAGCTTTACTTTGAGTTTTCATCTTTAATAAGAGAATTAAATTTGAAATTCTTGATGTAGAAAAAACTTTCCAATCTTTGACTCTTATATATTTTAAGTCTCTAGAAAATTTAAAAGTTACAGTATTAATTATTTAATACTTATGGTTTTATGATTTAATAGCTTTGTTTGTTTGAAAAATGGTCTCATAAAAATAAAATAAATTAAAATTATATATTGTAAGAGGTTATCTTAAATACTCATCTGGGACATGGTTATTAATTATATATACATATAAACACTTATAAATAATATAGTTATTGATTCTAACTTATAAAATCAATAATGTAATTCTCATTTTGAATATCTTGATATTCGATCAAAAATCAAAGATCTTTTTAAATGAACTTCCAAATACTTTTTTTCACTAAAATTAATTAAACAATCAGTAGAATGCATCCACAGCGTCATCTAAACGTTTTCGTTACTCTAACTCCTTTACCTTGAGATTAAGTATTATCTATAGACTACGTATTCCGGGATTCCCAATCAAGGTTTTTTTACAACTAATAACTATTTCTATCATGTGTATAAAAATAAAAATTAAATGGAGTTAAATAATGGAATATTATGAAATTTATATGAAGGATGCTTTTCTTTAATGTCTGTATCTATGTTTGTATTATTTTCTTCATTATTGTCGCTATTTTTGGATTTATGTTTCTTTTTCCTCATTCTAGAAGGCCATGATAGATTATTGCTTTTCTCTCTCAATAAAGGTTTATCTATTTTTCTACAAATTGATTTGAGTTCACTCATATTTATATAATCTGGATCAAAGTGAATCTTCCCATTAATATACAAATTATTACATTTTAGATCCCTTACAAGGCTCGAATCAATCCCATGGATATTTGCAATCAACAAAGTGGCATCTTCCTCATTTAGTTTATCCAAATTTTCCTGTTTAGCAATAGAAATCAATTTTTGTTGATCCAACACAGATGAATACTGTGAAATATCATTGATGTAATCATGAGATCTGGCATTTCCGTCTTCTTTATCTATTAGTTTGCGGTATGACACTATTTTTTCCAAATTATAGGAAATCTTTCGTAAATTTATCATATCATCAGGGAACTTTAAATGTTTAAAATGCTTTGGTCCTAGCAATCGAGGGGTCTGTAAATTTTGATAATATAATTTCTGTTGTAATTTGATTAAACGATTTAAATCTTTTAAATAGTTTTCCAAACAATCAATTGGCATTGTTTCAATATTATTTATATCTTGATGTGAATCGACAGTTTTAAGAGCAGGTCTCTTCAAGGAGACATTATTAATGATATGTTTTAAACCTTGTATGTTATCTGGCAAGATATTCTTATTAATGAGTAAGGAATCAATAGGAGAAGTTGGAATTATATTGTCTGTTGAGGTTGCCGTCTTCATAGTAGCCGGATATAAATCAGGAATGGGGGGACCACCTGTTTTCAATCTTTTTATGTCTACAGTAGTTTTATTAGGTTCTGTCGTATTTTTATGTTTTAACTTTTTTACTGAACTTTTTTCTGATTGATTTATATCGCCTAGTTTCGATTCTCTTGATTCTTCCTTAATGTCTATGTTTTTTTTTTAGTTTCTTTTTCTTGTACATTCTCTACTTCCTTGGTTTTCTTTTCTACAGATTTTCTACGAGCTATCTTTTTTGTAATAGATAAGTCCTCTTTTCTTTTTTGTTTAATTTGAATGTCTTCTTTAGTGTTGCTTTCTAGATGAGGTATTGATAAAGAGTTTTCATAATCCAGCCTTTTACGTTTTCTTAATTCCATCCAACTTTATTTGTACATGTAAATTTTACTTCGATAGAATACTTGCAATAATCTATACAGCACTATTTCTATGATTTACTGTATAATCCTTCATCGATACTTGATTTACTGAATAGATCTATTGAAATTGTTTTTTTTATACCTCCATTATATCCAAGAAATGAAGATAGAATTTTTTTTCTCATATATTTTTTTTTTCTTTTACAGCAAAGAAAATTTAATATCATTTTTCAATCAACATATACGCAAAAAAAAAAAAAAAAAAAAAAAAAAAAGAAAAAAAAAGAGAGAAGAAGAAGAAATATTGAAGAAGATTCAAATTATGTATTGGTTAATGTTAAAGTTATGCGAGTTAAAATGTGTTAAAGAGATAGTAGCAGTAATGCTACTTATACTACTTGTGTATATGTGTATATGTATAAGATTGTTACTATGAAAGTATGGGCGTAAGATAGAAAATACAAAGTTTAAATATTTTAAAGGAAACGTTATTATTGTTGTTACTTATAGTTATAGTGGTACTCTGACTTAACTAATGAATTAAGGAATATGTATATATCTCCCTTTAATCTACTAATGATCTGAACTGTCCATCTTGAGTCAAGATATTGGCCATCTTCAATTTTTCTTGTTCAGAATGGAATTTGATTAAAACGTGGATATGTGACAAATCTTTAATACTTTGTAAACTCAAATAATTGACAAACCACACATAATCATCGCCGTATGATAGTTTGTATTTGTCATGTAAAGTCTTCGACAAAAACTTATCAATGAGTCTCTCACATTCTGGGTTCATATCGGGATATTTATTATGGTCAATGTTGATACCATCGATATCTGTAGTGTCATTTATATAAATTGGTAATTTGATCTTTGACCAAATCAAGAGATGTAAAACGTTTGGTTCATAATTGTAAGGAAAATCGTTGATTGTGACCTTAAATAACTGTTTGTTTGTTAAAATCGTCTTTAATTGTTGTTGGGCCGTTACATATTTTATATGATTTAATTCATAAATTTCATTAGCATCCCATTTTAAAATCTTTTGCAATATGAATTGGGAGACTGTTATATGTTGTTTTTTCAATTCATCTTTATGTTTATGGTATCTATCCGTTTGTTTTTTGGACCTTTTTAATTTAAATAATTCTTTTTTATTGATATATTTTATAACATCATCCCATGGAATTACATCTGAGGCAATAGATAGTTTCGTTGGATGTATAGATGTATTATTATTAGTTAATGTCATAGTACAGATGTTCAGAATAGTCTTTTTTATATATATGTTTATTTTTTGCTTCTTTCTCTATCACTTTCTCTTTGTTTCCCTCTTGACCTTAGACTTATGTGAAACCATTAGTATAGATATATATTTAATCTTTAGAAGTTTTCCTTGAGGAAGGTTATATAGATTTTCTTTTGAGTAGAAAAAAAATATAGAAGGTTAATAGAAATTTCTCCGATGTATACCGAGAACAAATCCAAGGGATTATAATACAGAATCACAAATGAAAAATAAATGAAAAGAACAATTAAACTATTAATAACAAAATTGAATTAAAATGCATAATAAATAAATAATCGAATGTATAAATAAATAGATAGATAGATAGATACTTTTTAATATGAAAAAATGCAACATTTTAAAAGAGCCAATAATGGTTGAAAAGTAATTCATATCATTTCACTTATAATAAAGCGGTCGAAAAAAAAAACAACAAAAGTTCAACTGAATAGAATAAATAAAGATAATGGTATAAATTATATCAAGCGGAAGGATCTGTGATATAGACAGAAGTTTGTTTGTTTGTTTGTTTGTTTGTTTATGGTTTTGCATTTCAACAAAGTATTCTTGGTCTTGATCTACCTTTAACTTGTAATCCTTGAGAATTTTTCAATTTATTGTTTATTATTGATTCCCTCATGGAGACTGCAAATGGTAATGTGAAACCAACAGATATAAGAAATATATTTAATTTGCAAATATTTGGTAGACTAGGTTTTAGAAACATTTCAGTCCTATTATATGTTATAAACTCTATATCAAAAAAAAACAAGTGTACTTCTAGAAAAAATCTGCGTCTGTGGGTTGCTGATTTATTTCAGCGTGAAAAAAAAAACGGTTTGGTAGGACAGTATGTCTGTAGAATTGAGGGAAGCTTATACAGAAAAGGGTAATACTGGGAAGGAAAACAACAACATTTCTGGTACATATCCATATCTTCTACATCCTATATATATATAATCTTCCATTGAAGCTAAAATGCTCAAGACAGTAAAAATCTCATCTTAATTTGAATTGGTTACCATAGAGATGAAATATATGAAATTAGAAAAAAAATTTTTCTTTATTGTATTTTTTTTTTAGCTTCAATAATTTTTGTTTTGTTTTATTTTGTTTTTTCTTACGGGATTGATTTTTCCGTCTAGCCAAGTTTGGGAAAACAATGTGTGCCTACTATATCAAATTGTATTATTTGTTTTTCTTTTCTTTTTTTTTCAAAGCCGTTTTTTTGACAAATAATAGCAGAATGGGAGTGGGAACAACTCAAAGATCGACCAATCACAAACTAGAACATTAATAATATTGGTAATATAAACGAAAAAGGAAAAATTAGATGGATACTATATCTGTCGCTATGGTTACGGGTGTGCCAAAGACTTTTACCCACACATAGATTCTTAAGAAGAAAAAAGAAAAAATAATGGACAGACAGCTGGTTTGCTCAATGAGAACAAGTATTAGAATAATAAGTACTGGGTAATATGTGCAAATAGTGTTCTTATTTCTCATTGATATACCCATTTATCTAGTTAATTAGTATCTATTCTCTCCTTTCCTCGTTTATATATACAAACTGTTGTAAATTAGCGCTTATATAGATTTGGTAAATTGGATATATTTTCAATTTCTTTCAACAATAATTACTTGGTTTTCTTCTCTCTGGTATCTACTAAAATCCCATTATTCGAATTCATTTTATTCTAAAATGCCCTATTTCAGCATAAACATTGTTAAATATGTGATATTGGTTGGAACATGTCTCTGAAGTTAAAACATTGAAGATAAATGTGCAACAATCGGGTATAGAAGGAAACTTATTTAAGATACACGTAAAATTCATTTATTTATTTTTAATCATATTTCAATATGATTAAAAATATCTTTGCTAATTTACTTTTATTGTCTTAAATAATTAAACAGTTATTAAAGTCTTTATTAAAGAATCCTTTAAAATGAAATAAGTTGCATCTGTGTATATTATACTTTGTATGTTGGGTATGTAGGATAAAAAAGAGTCTTGAAATATAAATTAGAGATATAATAGTATGAACATTTTATTGTGAGTAAACCAAAAACTTATAAACACTATTAATATTTTATTATAAGTTTATATCTTTTTATCATGAAGTTTAATAAAGTTTTTGATACTGAACCTTTATATTAATAAATCATGCGGTAATAATGAATCATTTTGTATTCTCTTATATGGAGTATTTATTTATCAAAGGAGCGTGTAATACCTATTTGAAAAATAGTTTTATCCTTTGAAATATCTTCTAATTATTGTGTCTTCGCAAAATATTATCAATTTTTGGTTTGTTCTTCTCTGCCTGCTAGTTATTTGAAAGGATGCCAATTTTAACTGAACGTGCAAATATATTTCAAATTATGGCACAATTAAAAAAAAATCCATTTTTGTTTGTAGACTAAACGTTGATTTTCTGTAAGTTGTCTTTATTTTTTTCATCTTTTTAAAAGAAATTAGTATTTGATATGTAATCCAGAATCTTTCTATCTACACCCAAATATTTCAATTTTCATCTGATTTTAATAAACAAAAAAGAAAATTATTTAAGGAATAACAGTTAGTGTCCTCTGCCTTCATATCTACACATTCCTCTATTATTCATAATGTCATTACCCACACATCTGACACTTTGTTTTTTGCTATGTCATATTGTTTTTTTTGCTCTTTCTCATTGTGAAGAGATTTTGAGTCATTTTTATTTTCATTTTTATTTTTTTTTTTTTGAAGTAAACTGGTTAATAGGACTAAGAATATATTTGTGAATCAATTAAGAGACAAATTGGAGGGCTTATACATGATACAAGAATTAACAAATTACCAAATAGTAGTAATCAGTTGAATTTATTTAATCCGTATAAACTATGCTATTGTATCCTCTATCTTTTTTTCTTTAGAAAGGAACTAGCTAAATAAGGATAAATCAGCCCCACACATGCCTGTATTATTCTATATCCAATGTCTGGATACCCTGTAATATCTTTGAAACCAAGTTACAACTCCGTGGTAAGGGGTTGTCCAGGGATACCCGAAACGTTACCAAGAATTGAATGTCAATTGCAGCTTCGATCAAACAACGGACAACCTTTCACAATAGATAAATTAGAAATAATGTTATTAACTGTAGAATCGTTACATCATAACAATCATTTAAATCTAACAAATTTTGTATCATTGCATAATGATACAAATAATTCTACTGCTAGTAATAATAATAACATTAATGGCAGCAATCACAATAATAGCAGTAGCGGTAATAATGATAATATCAATAATATGTATTTAGATTCAATATCCCCATTAACAACTTTTGAATCACAAAGTATAAATTTCCGTAATAGTTCATTGAAAAAAAGGAAGGATAAATTAGAATGCATTACAATTCATTATAAAAAGTCTTTCACTTTTAAGAATGATGGTAAAGATAAAAAAATTATTGGTATTGATATCCCACTGACTATTGCATTACCTGATGATATTAAAGAAACAAACTATAACGATAAATTTGGGAATTGTTATACATTGTTTGACTGTAAAGCATTCTTCAATGGTAATGACTTAAAAGATTTCAAACATTTGATTAATATTGAAAGATATTCATTATTACCATCAAAATTACTCTTTCCTAGTTTGGAAAGAACTGTAGATATGTTAGATAATAGATTTAAAGTTAAATATAAAATTGAAAATCCATGTCTCAGTAATGATGATTTATTAAAATTGAGGATTACTTTTAAACCTAATGTCAAATACATATCTGAACAATCTCAAAAAAAATCAATATTGTTTAATAAAAAGATTAAATTGAAACATATTACATTTCAATTAAAAGAATTATTAGAGATTAATGATAATATATATAATAACAGCAGTAATAATAACAATAAAAAAATGCCAAATCCTATTTCATTTTTATCATCAATAAATAAGACTGAGAATGTTTTACAAGTACTGACCAGAGAAGTGAACCAAGTGATATCAATGAATGAGATCTGTTTATCATGTGATCTTAGAATCTTTACAAAGAATAGATTCTTTAAAAGTTTTGAATCGACTTTTCAAGAACCTGAATTTTTATATAAATTGCCAAAATATGTTGATAAGAGATATGGTGATAATGGTCAATATAATAATGATTATAGCAAAATGAACTCTAACATTAATACTATTTTTTTGCAAAACAAAAATAATAATATTCCATTTCAATATCATACTTCTATCACCACACTAGGTAATTTTTTTAATATTACTCATAGACTAACCATGAGATTTAAAATTAGTGGTGGCAGAGGATTTGAGATAAACCAAAATTTGACTGTGACCCCTTGGTCACGCTCCAAATTAAAATATATTGAACAGTTGATACAACAAGAGAAAGAAACTGCATACTTTGCCCAAAAATTTTATGGCAAATTTGGTAGTATTATAAAAAAGAAAATAGATAATAATAATAATAACAGTGGTAATGGTGGTAATAGCAATGGCTGTACTAGTAGTACCTATATATTAGAGTATCCATGCTTACCTTCTGTAGTATATTATTATGATGCGCAAACTTTGAATAAATTTAACATTATTTATGATAATTCATGCGTACCACCTAAAAGAATCCCCGTAATACAATAAACTAATAAAATACATCAGTTTCCTTTTAAAAAAAAAGTTAATTATTTAGGGAAGCATAAATTCCTTTAAAAACTGTGTGTATGATGCACATACAGAACAATACTATGAAAGGTCATGATAAAAGGTTAGCTACCTTTCTCCAAAGACAATCTGATAGATGTTTTGTAACTTTTCTTTATATAGATACATCAACATTTTTGTTTCTTCAAGTTTTTTATTTTCTTTATTTTTTTTTGTTTTGAATTTCATTTTCTTATTTTAACAATAACAAATCATTCTAATAACGTATAAAAGCTTTTATAAGCTGCATCCAGGTCAAATATTAGTTCTCTTATCTCAGTATCGGTTAATTGTTCATCTACTTTCATTCTATTAATCTTCACAATCCAATCGACTAATTTCTGCCTGTACTCAAAATCTTGTCGACTAACTTTATTAATACTTAATAATAATTCTGCCATCAGTGGATGTAGTTGATCCTTTGCTCTATAATTTAACTTCAATGCATCAATCAAAGTAATAAAGTTACCTGTAGCCTCAGCAACATTTTTACCGTTAAATGTCTTATTTTTATTGATATTAACTTTAATTTTATTGCAACGAATATCGTCATTCTTGTCATCAATTCCTTTATTGTTACCATTATCACCATTATTATTGTCAAAATCATCATTTTCATTATCATCAACAATGGCATGCTCTACAGTCATTGGTATACCTCTTTCAAGTCTTATAATGGCATTGGAGGCCACAATGTTATACCTCTTCACAAAACTATCTAAATCCTTGAACTCTTTTCTAACTTTTGCATCATTCAAATAAGTCTTATACTGAGCCAATAATTTATTTACAGCATTTGTATATTGATGTGTATCAACAGAATCCTTTAAATATGCCTTCTCTACATGGTCCAAGGCTATTATGATGGAATATATTTCAGATAATGTTTCAATAGTTTCTTTTCTTTGAGATGTAATGGATGTATCAAAGAGGGGTACTTCACTATACAATTCAGCTGGAAACGCTCTCGTACTTCCTTGAGTCCCATAAAAATTTACTGGTGCAAGGCCCGACATCTTTTGAACCCACTGAATGGTTGTTAATAGATATAGTTAGTAATTTAATTATCGAAGAAACAAATCAAAGTGCAGTGCTATTCAAGTGTGAAAGATGTATGCATATATATACAAGAATGTACATGTTATTTGTTATTATCTTTTTTTTTCTTCTTTTTCTTCTTGAAAGTGTGATTCCTTTTTATTTTCCAAAAAAATATCACAGATGTCATTGCTAAAAAGTAAACTTTAATGCAATCATATATCTACTGTGTTATCTATTTATTTACGTTTGTTAGTCAAAGAAATACCCAAAAAAAGGAAAAAAAATATGATATGATCTAGTATATGTATGTATAGATATATATAAAGTAGAAGTAGAATATTTACAGACATACATATTTCTTCTCTCTCCAAATCTCCTACTAGTTTCCAAACTCTTACTAAATTTTCATTTTTTTATGTTCAAGAATCTATTAATCATATTTACTGGAGCACAAGACTCCATTACTCATGCATAATATTGTAGGGTAGCAAGAATATCAACCAAGATGAACAAATATGACAACTTTGAAGCTAGCCTTTAAGATTGAACTCAAAAGTTTTGATCCATAAAAAATATACTAAATGTTTTATACTAAGCAATAAATTCCAATTTTAATTGCATGATTCATTAGAGATTGTAGACCTCTAGCTTTCAAATGCTGTCTAATTAGTCTTGAATCTGGATACTGCTAAACACATCATCTTCAATGTCAGGAAGTTGAAATATTACCGCAATCATCTAAATTATTAATTATACAGCTATGTTCCCTTCCCTGAGAGAAGAAGAAATCATCAAAAGTATCGACAAGATTGCTGGTCTTAGTAATATATATTTTAAGGATGGTTAGTGTAGTGACAAGTACTAGACGACAAGCCTATGAGCTGTGGGGTAGGACGACGATTCTTTTTTCAGCGGAGATATACAAAGAAGAATTGTGTTATGTAATGTAGAATATCCTATATTATACATTTGTACATGCATATTAAAGGAATGGAACAGAAGACGAAAGACAAACCAAAAAAATAGAAAGTTTCAGGTTTTGGTTTTTCCCCTTCACTGACATTTTTGTGCCGTGTACAACGACATTTTCGGTTTCGTTGGAAGTGACATTGCAAGAGAGTACCGTTTTCTTCAGAATTAAAGATGGTTGGTGAAACTTTTGGAGGAAACAAACAGAAACAAAAAATATAGACGAACCTGTCTACAGAGTTTGCTCATTCTATCCTTCTTCCTGTCTCTTGGGATTTTTTTCTGTATCCCAGACATATTTGATTTATCCTATTTTAATTGATCTCATTCGTTTATCCACTTGCCTTTTGCTCTTCCTTTCCCTTTTACGTATCCCACGTTTATGCACATCATCACAAAACAAATAAGTTTATAATATCATACAGAACTTCTTTTAAACCATTGACTAGATACTTTCTGTTTTCCTGTATTATTGTCTTCTTTTTCATTTCACTTACACTTTTTCTTTTTTTTTTCTGCTTTTTTTTTTTGGTTGCACTTGTAAATAGTTTGAGCTATTGTTAAATCAGATTAGTGTCATGTTATCTAATTTTTTTAAGACCAGCACCATCACTTCAAATGTTTTGTTTGCTTCTAAAGCCATTGTTCCAAAGTTGCAGTCATTACAAGCCAGTAACAAGAGGTTAATTTCTACAAGAAATAGTATTCTTTTACAAAAGAAGCAAGGTAAATCTTCAGAACAACCTCAATCTATTTTGACTGATGATTTATTGACTAAAGCTGGGATAGATATCGATGATCCTTCCCTAAGTACCAAGAATGGTCCACAATCTAGTTTTAGTGAAACAAATGACAAAAACGCTGATAATCAACAACAGAGTGGTGCTGATGGAACTCAAACAAAGAAATCCAAGAAATCAAGAAAGACTACCACCGAAATCAAAAGAGAAAGATATGCTAATTGGTTCTATATTTTCTCATTCTCTGCAATTGGTGGATATGGGTTATATATGACTAGAGATTGGGAAGATAATGAACCACAGGAATTAAAAGATAAAGTAGCCAATGGCTATACTGCTTCTTTGATGTATGGTAGATTCAAAGCTAGATTCAATTCCATCTTTACTTATTTCCAAGAACCTCCATTCCCAGATTTATTACCACCTCCACCTCCACCCCCATACCAAAGACCTCTAACTCTTGTGTTGAGTTTGGAAGACTTGTTAGTTCATTCGGAATGGACTCAGAAGAACGGTTGGAGGACTGCCAAGAGACCTGGTGTTGATTATTTCCTTGGTTATTTATCTCAATACTATGAAATTGTTTTATTTTCTTCCAATTACATGATGTACAGCGAAAAAATAGCTGAGAAATTAGATCCACTACATGCTTTCATTTCTTATAATCTTTATAAAGAGCACTGTGTCTATAAAGATCATGTCCATATCAAAGATTTGTCCAAATTGAATAGAGATGTCAATAAAGTTATCATGATTGACACTAATCCGGATTCTTATAAACTACAACCGGAGAATGCTATCCCGATGAAACCATGGGAAGGTGAAAATGATGATAAATTGATTCAATTGATCCCATTCTTGGAGTATTTAGCTACCCAACAAGTGTCCGATGTTAAGCCTATCTTAAACAGTTTTAAGGATAAATATAATATCCCATTGGAATTTCATGACCGTGTTAATAAATTAAGAACTAAATTTGTAGAAGAACAAGAAAAGAAGGCACAAGGTAATTGGGCATTACGTCTATTAGGCGTTGCTACTACATCCTATAATAATAGCAAATTCCCATTGGATTTGATTCGTGAAGAGGGTGAAAAGAACTATATTAGATTCATGAAATTGATTGAAGAAGAAAAGGAGAAGATGAGAATTCAACAAGAAAAGATGAGTGGTCAAACTTTCACTTTGAAGGATTATGTAGAAGGTAACATACCAACTCCTGAGCAGCAGATGGAACAACAAGCAAAATTACAAAAAGAGGTGGACGAAATTTATGAACAAAGAAAGAGGGAAAGAACTGAGACTAATTAATTACACTATCAAGGAAAATAAAAAATAAAGAATATGGCTGGTACTATTTTATTACAGAAATATATATTTTTTTTTATTTTTATTTTTGTTACCTCTTGCCTGCTACATAATCTCTAAGTTTTATTTCCGTTTAATTTTACCAATGAGTTTTGGATTATGTACTATAAAGTCTTATTATTTCCTGCATACTAATATATCATGAAAATGTGTAAACATACTAATAACAATTTGTATATAATAATATAATGTATATGTTGAGCTTTTTTCATTCCTTTTCCCATTAGTATCGACAAATTGTTATAATCTGATGGTCTATGTTTTTACAGTGGTAACTAAGCTTTATACTGAAGATAGTCGGTTTTGAAATCATTTTAGTGTTAATTATATACAAATAATAGAATATAAACTGTTATTTAGGAATATTATTAACATATTGCTAGAATATTTTATAATTTGGGTATATATAACCAGATAAAGTGGTTACTAACTTATTTGTATATTTTCGTTAATACAAAATTTATTTATCTCCCCCATCCATCTTTTTTTTTTCTTTATTTTATTGTAATGAAAAGTCTTTAGACTACGCTTATAATAATAGTATCATAAAATTTGTTACCTTTGAACAATCACTATTAGTTTCAATTTCTTTTTGTTTCCTTACTTTCTTACTTAACTTTTTTTATGGATTTGATATTTTTGTTTTTCTCGTTAAGGAATTTTCTATAATTTCAATATATTTTAGAAACAGTCTTTCCCAAAATTGTTGAGATAATGTTTGAACAATATTCTTTTCATACAATGAGCTTAATGAACATCTAAGCATATTCAAAACATTTACCACCGAAACCTACAATATATATGTAATTTCCGTTCTATTGTGGATACTCTATGTTCTGTTATGTCTTTCAATAAGTTCATATTTCCTAATGCAATAATCCCACAAGTGTTGAAACAATACTCTTCCTTCATCAGAACAAATTTAACTTCAATAATCGCTATCAAATGTCTTCGAAATTATTCAATAGTGACAGATGTTACTGCTACTAGGTTGCTGCAAAAGAACCTAATTCAAGCTAATAATATGCTTTCTGGGTATGGTTCAGGTGTTATTGGGTGTACTGTACTCGATATTAATGGGAATATAGATAAATCTTTCAATGAAATGAAAAGAGAGGAGCTTGTATCTAAACATGGGCTGCTACCAAGAGATTTAAGAAAGATTGAAAAATCAAAACAGAATGATCTGGTTCCAAGTTTATTAGTAAGGCAGAATAGTATACTGATAAGTCTATTAAATTATAAAGCATTGATTCAACCTAACATGGTTATTACTTTCAATTCTATTGGTTCTGGAATATCGCTACATTCTTCTGCACATGTTTCCTTCATGAATGATTTACAGTCAAGATTGAAGAATAGCACTACAAATGAAGTTGGATCAGACCCATTACCATATGAATTTAGGGCTTTGGAAGCAATATTTATCTCTGCTCTATCAAACCTGACCAGTGAATTAAAAGTGTTGTTAGCAGTATCCGATGGTGTTTTAAATGATCTGGAGTTTAGCATTACGAGAGATAAATTGAGGCTCCTATTGATTCAAAATAAGAAATTGAGTATATTTTATAAAAAGGCAAGTTTAGTGAGAGAATTAATTGATGATCTACTAGAACAGGATGATGTATTATGTGAGATGTATTTGTCAGATAAGAAATTGGGAATTGAACATTATGAGGATGATCATACAGAGGTTGAAATGTTGCTTGAAACTTACCATAATCATATCGATGAATTGGTGCAATTAGGTGAGAATGCAATATCTAACGTTAAAACAACTGAGGAAATCATCAATATTATTTTGGATTCCAACAGGAATCAATTAATGTTGTTAGGAATTAAATTTAGTCTAGGTTTGTTATCATTAGGTTGTGCAATTTTTGTTGGGGCTGCGTATGGAATGAATTTGGAGAATTTTATAGAAGAAACTAACTATGGTTTTGTAGGAGCGTCTGTTATTGGTGCGATAGCAACTATTTGGTTGTACGTGGTTGGTGTCAGAACATTACATAGATTGCAAAAAGTGTCGTTACTTCATCATATGAATAAAAATGTCAAAAAGTAAGAAAGATTTAACAGCAGTTTTGTGCCTATATTGAAATAAGATGATAGTTATTAAGTGTGAATGAATTATTTTTTATATTATTAAAGTCATGAAAGGATTATTTCTGAGAAAGCTTAGATTTTGATATTTTTAAATTGTTTTTGTAATTCATAGTAAAACAGATGTTAATAATACTTGATTAATTTCTAATGTTATAGATTACTTTAGGTATTTACATCTACACTAACTTCAAACTTCTCTACAAGAAGAAAAGAACAAAAAACAAAGAACTTAACATGCATTGGTTTAATATTTTAAATGCAATCAGATTTGTGTAGCACTATTACCGACAAGAATATTTTAGTTGTTTTAATGACAGTTTTTGTGAATCTATACGAATTTTTTAGCATCATGTTAGATTTAGGTAAAAATGAAAAACATGATATACAAAATTAACTAATACCTGATGTATTTGTTTAGAATTTACTTGAGGTACAATTGATGTATTATTTAATTATAGTAATCATAACTTTTTAAATTCCTTTTCTTGGTAACTCAAAAATAAATTTACCAAAATATAATTACAGATAGTTTGCATTTAACGTTGTAGGAGAAGATATTAAAAAGATAATCCAGCAATTGATAAGGATAAGTCCAGTAGAGTATAATCATCTAAGTTTATATGATATATATAAGTTGATCGTTCTTAACATGGTAGTTTTCACTCAATAGTTTAATTAATATGGTGTCTATCTAGTAGAAACTTCTCAACTATTATAGTATTTCTTTATTATAAGTTATTCACAAAATTTTTTCTTATGTGACATAAGTTATCCTGTAATAACCCTAGTTTTGATTACAAATGCCAATTAAAAAATTTTGAAATAATATAAATAAATAGAGGTATAGGATTTATAATAAACCAAGAATAGTAACAAGAATAGATATTTAAAATAGAAAAGAATGTATTGTATCTTTTTTGTTTGTCTGTCCTTTAAGGTCTCCTATATTCTTGTTATAATAACCCTTTAAATTATTATTCTACCACGCAAAACCACATGTCACAAATAAACTCTTCTTAAAAAACCGCACAAGGCAAAAAATTTTACAAAATGAATTAAAAAAAAAAAGAGTTATACCCATGATCCGGGTCACGTGACTTAAAAACAATCTATAAAAGCTCGCACTCAGACTCGAACTAAGGACCAACAGATTTGCAATCTGCTGCGCTACCACTGCGCCATACGAGCCCCAGACAGTTGCTCTTCAGCATAATATGAAGTTATTACAGATTTAGTATTATTAAGGGAAGTGTTAGAAATATTAAATGAATAATTAATTAATAATCGAGACAATAATTGATATAATAGATTAATTTTGTTGGAAATTGGAGCACTCAGCGTCCATGGTAATGGCAGACATCATTAAATTATAGATGCTTGTTGTATTGTGTACTAAATAAAAGAATGTATACTGAATACACTATATAATAAGTATATACATTTATTTAGTACACAATACAACAAGCATCTATAATTTAATGATGTCTACCATTACCATGGACGCTGAGTGCTCCAATTTCCAACAAAATTAATCTATTATTGTCCACCTATCCGTTTGGTAGTGTTTCAGCTAGTTTTGTTCCATTAGTTTAGCATCTGTCAGTTTTAATCTATTCTTTAGATAAACCTAATTGCCAAACCCTAGTTTACAACACCTCACTAAGATAATTTGGTGGAAACTGTTTAAATGGAGAGGTCTGTTTTTTAGGTTATTTGAAAATGATTTGTAAAATTATTTAGTTACATGACACAGAACGATAATACATATAATAATATGCGGTTGTTGGATAAATATATTGCAAATTTTAATGCAATAATCTGGAGTCTATTAGAAATTTCATTTTTAATTGTTTTATTGTATATTTTTGTCTATGATTTAGATACGCTATAAGACGAACATAAAATCAGGCCATAATATTTTTTGATGTTAATTTTTTGTATAATTTTTTATCGATATGGTAGAAAATACACAATATGCCCATTAGGTTTTTTTTATTAACGACTACTTTCAATATATTTTCAGTGATATAAAGGAAAAAGAAATTTCAAGAAGAAAAATATTGTAGAAAAATAAAAACAAGGAAGGACGGTTTGTGTTTGTTAATAAATATGAAATATGTAGAGTAATTTTTATTATTCGTATTGTCTGTTAATAAATAAAAAATCAGAATTACTTAGCACTTAAGTTAAGAAAAATATGGATACTATATCAACTACTTTTTAAAATATATATAAATGTAAAGCACAATCAAATAAAATATTTAAACAGAGAATGTGAAAGTTGTTTCTTTATGTACCTTGTCTTTTCTTTATATATAATTTTGGTTCGAAAATTAGTAGTAGCAAATTATTTGGATATTTACTATTCTTACATTAGTTTTTTTGTATCATAATATCAATTGAAATATCGGATTTCTAAAAAAGTAAAAAATAATTATCAATTTTAGATTTTGATTATTTGCTATGAAAAAGTCTTTGTATTTTTTGTTTGTATCATTAAGTTTATTATCAAAACCTATTGAGTTTTTGGTATTCTTTCTATTTGGTAGTATTCATATGAATTTTGCTTTCAAAAGGTTAGATAGTTTTTGTGTAACATTTTTTTAGGATTGTAAGATTATCTCTTTTAATTAGTAAAAACTTGCTCTTCTATCAAAACGTTCAGGCAGTATTGGTGTAACATTTTATGTATTATAAGTATAAGGCGATTATAATCACTACATCTTTCACTTAAAACATTTAGTTTATATTAAACTACCATGACGAGATTTAACAGTTTAGGATACAGTCAGATAGTGTTTTTTTTTTATTGTTTAAACAAAAAGTAAGAAATGTGTTTTCTGTGAAATTTTTTTTTTTAATTTTGACTTATTTATTATGTCATTTACTTTCTTGTAAGTAGATATTGCTTAATAAATTGAATGCTGGGATTCTTTTTTTTTTGTTTCCTTTTCTCAATGAATTGGTAATGAAACACGTCTTGTTATAATAGGTCAGAAAGGTCAATTGTTTTTATTAAAATATATTTCCCAACATTATTTAACCTTTTGATAAGTTTAACATTTTAAAATACCATAAAATATATATGATTTTTAAGTAGTAACTTTTTGAAGGGAGGTTTCAGATGTTTTTCACCGGTAGGATATTAACAAAAAGTTTTTTTTGAACTGGATTGTAAAAAAGAAATCAGAATAAACATTTAGTGATTTTATTTAGATTCACTATTACTTATTCAATTACAAGTTAAAGAAAAGTGATAACTATATATATACTTCTGTATTCTTTGTATTATGTGAATTGTAGAAAACTTTGTCATTAAAATGACAAAAAATAGCATTTACTAATTGCATGATAGTAATATATGGAATTTTAATTAATACAAATGTTAGTGTTAGCATGTTAACTACGGGTGGTGTTAATTATTAGTTACAATTGCAAAGATACCACGTACCTTAGCTCTTGAACATATATATTACATGTAAAGGTTAAAGAAAAAGAAGATGCGTTCAATATGACACAGTTTTATTACTCATCTCACTTTTGCAAATACAGTGTAAATTTTTTTACTTTGATTAGTCAACAGAGAAAAAAAGAAAAGAGAAAGAAATGGAGTCAAATCAATTTGTAATAGTTAGAAATAAAAAATACAGCAATATAACTGTAAAAAGGATAATGTACATACTGATAAACAAATAGATATAGAGGATCAGTTTAGATTGGTTCTAATTATAGGTATATTTTTATTTTCATCGATCGAAGATATAACAAAAAAGGGTAGGACTATTTTTGTCACATTTATATTCAAAGAATCACATAATAGAACTACTTAATTTATTAAAATAAGGATGTTATTTGATAAAATTGCTTCACCACGAGTTATTACTTCGATATCACGTTCTATATTATATCGTCCACAGTTAAAATTGTTCATGAGTACAGAGATTCGTAAGGCAATTGAGGATGCCATTGCTTCTGCTCCTGTTGTATTATTTATGAAAGGTACTCCAGAATTTCCACAATGTGGATTTTCAAGGGCTACAGTGGCTCTTCTTGGTAAGCAAGGAGTAGACCCAGTTAAGTTTGCTGCATACAATGTCCTTGAAGATCCAGAATTAAGGGAGGCAATCAAGGAATTTTCTAACTGGCCAACTATCCCTCAACTATATGTAAACAAGGAATTTGTTGGTGGCTGTGATGTCCTTACTAGCATGGCTAGTAGTGGAGAGTTAGCTGATCTTCTTGAAGAAGCTGATGCTTTAATATCTGAGGAGGCAGAAAATCCGCAGGTCGAACAAGAACAAAATCAAGATATCAGCAAGAAGAATTAAGTATATAATCATTCATTCTTTTGGAGAAGTAAACTGTCTATTTTTATACACATGTACATAAATACAAAGAAATTATTTCTGTTAAATAAGTACAGCATGTTTCAAATTATGATTTAATGTGTTCCTATGCCTTTAGTCTTGTAAATAATTGATGCTTCTTATTTATAAACTTCGCTCCAAGTATATTAAACAATCTATTTATCTATTTATCTATCATTCCAATAAATAAAATAAAAAAAATAGTAAGATAATTAATACACAAAGAGGTAAGAACTGATAATTATTTAATTTAATATAATTATCGTTTTATATAGGGGATATTTTTTTCCTAATCTTCGTCTTCATTTAGTTTAATCTTTACACTATATTGTGTAAAAGGAAAGAAAGAAGAAGAAGTTACTCTTTCTTGTTGAACAAAAAAGCAAAAAAGGTCTTCCCCATGTAATTAACATTAACTGTTTATCTAACGAACATTTAGTCAGAACATTTAGTCAGAACATGTAGTCATAAGTAGAAGACCCTGAGGTTCATCCATTACGTTTGTTCGTAAGACGTCTTTTCAATTCAGATTTTATGATTAATGTTTTTTTCTCTATGAAAATTGTTGATTTTCATTCTTTTCCTTTTTTAGTGTTCAATTTTTTAAGGCTTGTTTTGTTCAAATAGTTGGGGTTGTTTATTTTAAAGCAAATACAGTTAAACTTGGACTTTAAAAAAAACTTTAAGAGAGCATTTTGATATGACAGTTTTTAGTGTGTAATTCTGTCGTTTTTATATTAAAAATTAATCGAAATCTGAGTTAAAATAAGCAAATAAATAAGTAAACAAACTGATAGAAGAAATAAATAATAATATATTATTAAGTTGGAAAATAATAAGTAGTATATTAAAAATCAATAAAATATTATGACAAATAGGTGTCCCATTCACTCCGGCATGTACTAGCTATTTTTTTTTTGGAGATTTGTGTATATTCTTTATCCTTTATGACTATCTTCAAATATTATAAATATAACTAAGTATAGAGTAATTTTAATTCTTTGGTTTTTGTATTTTTCGTAATATTTCTTCTGTTTTACAGTGGTTGTAATAAATTCGAAATTGTTTCTTTAATTAATGGCTTTTTTCAAGAAGCTGTCTTATCAAATATTTTGGAGTTTTATTTTGAAAAATAAATGGAACTACTAAAAGGTATTATTTACTTTGATGCTTATTTATAGTAACACAATATTGTCTTAATGTATAGCCAAGGCAAAAAGTACAATGAATTATAGCATATTTGAAATTTATCTTATGTATATACATATTTGAAGTTCTCAAAGGTAATATTATATACAGAAAGTTTGCTAAATTTTAGTCCAGATGAAATATTTGGTTAATATCAAGAATTTATCTGGTTAGAAAAAATGTTTGGAATTCTTAGTACAAATTAACATTTGTGAGTGAGTTACATATGCTTACTCCATCTAAATGATTAATATAGAAAAATATTAAAAATTGGGAGTTCATGTGTGTTTATAACATAAAATTATTAGGACAAAATAATTCATTGTATGAAATATTTGAAATCTAAATTTTGAATTATGTTTTTTTAAATTAAGACGTTAAAAGGTGAAAAAGATATTTGTTGTTGCTTATGAGTTTATACTGGAAGAGTTAATTTATTTTAATTTACCTATTTCTCTGTTATGTAACTATACTCATGATACCGTCATGTATTTTATTTTTATTAATTTGAAATGATGAAACTTTTTATCTCTTCCAAAAACTTGCACTCTCGAAGTTTGAATATGGGATGTATGTTCAATTGATTTTGTTTACCTTTTTTGTAAATATTTAAGATAATACTTTTTTTAGATTACAAAAAATTCAATATATGAAAGCAACTTAATTTATAAATAGGAATTAGATGCTTTAATCTATTAGTCTTAATAAGAATCGAATATAAAAAGTGATGTAATTTCATAAGAACGTAATTAATCAGTAGGTATAAACAGTCTATAAACAATAATATATAATTTATCTATTTGAAGAATTGATAATTAGAAAAATCTAATGTTTCGTAACTCTTTCCTTATCTTCTTTTGTGGCTTTGAAGATATTGCTTTCCTTTTCATGTCTTTCTTTTCTTGGACCATTGAACCATCTCTTAAAGTCCAAGACTGACTTCAAACTCCATACTTTAACTCTCATAACATAGTAGCAAAGTAACATAGCGATAACATTAAAGCAAATGTAAACCCACATAAAACCAAAATTTCTCCATCTGTACTTCCACTTAACGTTGAATTTGGCAACAACTTCATCCGCAGTCTTGTATGGACAGTATAGACAATCTGAAGTAGCATTTGGTTCTAATAAATAACCACTATGATCTTTAATATATCTTGATAAATAGGTACCACATGTTTGACCCTCTGGTGGATCCATTCTCAAAAATTCATTAGGACCACAAGTTATTTTCTTGTTGTGAATGGCAGGAGCAACTAACGATTGAATAACATAGGTGAATGGAGAGACATCAAACATAAAACTCCAAAATCTTGGAGCTTTTCTTTCCGGTTGAAGAATCCCACAGAATAACATCATAGCAGCGAATAAGTTAGAGTTGATCATCGATGCTGATGGAACGTCTGGTGACATGTAAAGAATCCACAGACCATAGGTAACAAAGTAAATTGGGAAAATGAGAGCATAGAAGAAATAGAAGTAACCAGCTTGTGGAGCAGATGAATTATAACCAGATGGCCAGTAGTAACATAGCCAAACGAAGAACTGACAAATCCAAGTCCACATTAATTCGACAAGAGTGTGAGATAACAATAAAACACTCCAATGGAAGGTATTTGAGGCAGCTTCTCTTACTTCATATAGTTCCCTCGAATCGTAAGCAAAGACGTGAAGTTGGTTAATCATGGCCAAAGCAATAACTAATAACATGAAGGTAGAAGAGAAGGCTAGAGAAGCACCACCAACAGAATGATTAATACGAATATAGGATAAACCAATAAATAATGCACATGTGACACATTCTAAGAACTTAGCTCTAATATAAATAGGAGACCTCCAGAATTGAATTAAAGTTCTACGAATCACACATTTCATTTGAGTTAAATAGGAAGCAGCAAATCTACTACCCAATTCAGGATTATCAGAAGTTGGTTTACTTGGAAGATCACTATGTAATTGTTCGATTTCTGCTCTTGCTGCAGCACATTCGGGTGAAGCTAACCATAATTCGTGCCAGTCAGTATTGACGGAGGCAGTAGCACCAGCCCCAATACAGTTTAAGATATATTCAGCAGGATTTTCTGAAATACCACATTTAACACCAGACTGGCGTTCGAAGTAGCTTAATAAGGTCGAGGAATTTTCACCAATATCACCAAAATAGACCATTTTACCACCCTTTTTCAACAATAATAATCTATCAAATTGTTCAAATAAAGTTGCAGAAGGTTGATGGATAGTACACAAAATTGATTGACCAGAGTCGGCTAAAGCTCTCATAAATTGAACAATAGACCAAGCAGATTGTGAATCTAGACCAGAGGTAGGTTCATCTAAAAATAGCAGTAATGATGGTTTTGCAACTAATTCAACACCAATAGATAATTTTTTTCTTTGTTCAACATTTAAACCTCTACCAGTTTGACCAATATATGCTTCTGCATAATTCTGCATACCTAACAATTTAATAACCTTTTCCACATATTCATATTTCTCTTCAAGAGGTACAGATTTTGGTTGTCTTAATTCAGCGGCAAATCTTAAAGATTCTCTAACAGAAAGTTCCGCCATATGATTATCAGCTTGGGCAACGTACCCACAAGATCTGTTGAAAGAAGCAGGTAATGGTTTACCATTGACCAACATATCACCAGTGATAACACCCATATTAATTCTTTGAGCCAAAACATTCAACAAGGTTGTCTTCCCAGCACCAGATTCACCCATTAAAGCAGTCATTTTACCAGGTTTAACATAACCAAAGACATCAGATAGTAATTGTCTAGTTGCACCATCGTAAGGAATAGTGTAGTTTAGATGATTCCATGTAAAAACATCCTTAGATGCAATGACTTTTTCTAGATCAACACCTGGACCATTTAATGCTTCCATCATTTCTGATCTAGAAGCAGTTTTACCTTCAGCAGATTCAGTCCCAAATTCCGGCATATGACCTCTCTTGTAAAGTAATAAGTCCCCACCAGAAGAGATTGGTTTCAAGAACTCTGATAAGAAAACATTTGCACAAATATAACCAAAAGTCCACACGACATTCACACCCCAGTTTCTCCAAGCATGTCTGTAGCCAAAGTGATATTGATGGTCAATGTAAGCATCACCACTAACATATCTATTACCTTTCACAGCACCAGCAGCATTACATATTTGATTTGCGATGGAGACATTTTTATAACCTGGACCACTTGGAACTAATTCACTACATAGCATTTCTCTTCCATGGAATTCAGTAGACATTAAACTTTCAAAAGCATATGTTAAGGGGTCTAAGAAATGAATCCATTTAATCCAATGATGCATTTCACCAATAGGTAACACGAACCCACAGTAAATACAAAGAATCATCACCCATAAACCACCAATGGCATGTGCAGTTACTGCATCCGTCGTTAAAGTAGCGACGAATTTAAAAATAAAAGAGGTACATTGTTGAATAGTTAGTAGATATAACAAGTATTGGAAAAATGCACCTGCTTCATATTTCAAAAGAGGAATCCAATATGTAACCAAAGATAGAATTAAGATAGCAACAAATTTAGTTGGTAGTTCAGTAATGATTTCTTGTAACGATTCAGCAGATAAGTGATACATAGAATATGACTTGTGTTTCACAATAATTGGTCTTGTAGCAAAGGAATTACCAATTTCAGCCAAAGAAGTAACGGAAGCGAATAATAAGACGTAGAATAGAAGACCACCACGAGAATAGGCACCACCAGTTGTTGACTGACTCTTGTTATCAATTCTATGGAACATAGAACCGATGATTAACCCTTTAATTAAGAAAGAAGATAAATAAACTTTGGTATAAGTGGAATCACCTTTAACTCTTTGGAACCCACGAATCATACAATAGTAGACTTGAGTCCAATAGTTGACAACATATTGAGAGCTCTCTCTTTGACCAGCTTGTAATCTTTGTTTCTTGGCGATTTGTAATCTATCTCTTGTTTCTTCAATTGGATGTCTTTGGGTATAATCGTCATATGCAGTAAGTAATTCTTGATATTCAGGAGAGTTTAACCAGTATTCTTCAAATTCATGACTAGATTTTGGAACTTTATCTTCAAAGCCTGGTTTGATGTCTAAGGTTCTGTTCTCAAAATCTACAGTAACAGATGTTAAAAATTCTGCAGATGTCATTCTATTTGGCTTGATCCATCCCATTCTTTCGAAGTAATCCACAGCTTTATCAGCAGGGCCAAAATATATTTGTCTACCATTGTATAGAACAGTTGCCTTATCAAATAATTGATAGATGTTTTCACCAGCTTGATAAATTGCAACAATTGCAGAATTATTCATCATATTGGTAGCTGTTCTAATAGCTTGGGCAAATTCTAATGCAGTGGATGCATCTAAACCTCTGGTAGCATTATCCCATGAATATATTGAGGCACCCATAGCTTGAGCTTCCACTAAAGAAACTCTTTTTCTTTCACCACCAGAAACCCCTCTAACAAAATCATTACCAACTTTAGTAGCATAAGTATGTCTCAACCCAAACACGGTACACCACATATCTCTCATATTATCGACATATTCTTTTCTTGTCATATTATCGATTCTAGTACGTGGGGTTTTACATTTAAGAGCAAAATCAATAGTTTCTTTCACAGTGATCTTGGGGAAATGGAAATCTAATTCAGGACAGTAGATAACATAACCCTTATACTTTTCCATCATTTCCTTTTGTTCTAAACCATCATAGGAGAATTCACCACCAACAGATACAAAACTGTCAGTTTCACCAGAAAGAGTCTTTAGAAGTGTGGAACACCCTGCACCTGGTCTACCAACAACAAATAACATTTCACCGGACTCTACAACACCGGTACAGTTTTGAATGATGTTTCTTAAAGGTGTATCATTTTGTTTTTTAAATTTATTGATTATATGTTTTGGCCAGGTGACCATATCCCTTAACATTTCTTCCACAGATGGACCAAAAGCAGCAGAAGCATCGATACCTACAGTAGTGACACCTTTGAAACCAATACCTGAATCACCAGGTTCAATACCTTGTTCCAATTGACGGGATCTCAAGTAGTTCAATAGGGATCTTAAATCAAAATCTAATTCATTAACTTCGAACGCATCCATTTCTTTTTTTGTCTTTGTAGAAATGACTTTGGCTAGAGATTCTAATTTTTCTACACCGACTTCATTTGATAGCATGTGTGAAATGTGTCTGGATAGTTGTGAAGTGACGTTTAGTTGTTCATCATCCATATGCATTTCATCATATGAATGAATAGACTCAGCATACGAATTGGTATCACCATCTTCTGATTTGGACGATATGTCCCTTTCTTCTTTAGAAGACATGGTCCTATGTTGATATGCGTATGGTTGTTTGGGGTGTTAACTTAAATAACGTGAGATACAATGAGAAAGAGTCGTATAGAAGGAAAGATGTGTTATTTCATGGAGATATGGGTTCTTTATATATTAAAATGTTTTGAATGAGAAGTACCATTATATTTGACGGCTTAGCTATCTTTAAAACTATAGCATATGAAAAAAAAAGAGACGGTTGTTGTCACATTGTGGGTCAATTAGGAATGGTAGGTTCTTAAGTCAAATAATAATATTTGAGAAATATATTACAGTTTAATTGACTATACTTACAAATTGATAAGCAAGTATAAGAGCCGATCCTTTAATTACTTAACCAAAAAAGTAAAAAGGTATTGCAGAAAAAAGAAAGAATAACTACAATTTTCTTTCGATGAGCCGTCAAAAATCTCTATAGAAAAAGAATCAACCGTCTGAATAAAAAAAAAAAAGAAAGAAAGAAAACAGTAATAAACGGAAAAAGAGAGATTTTTTTTGGATGGAAGTGTTTCTTGTATATCAGCCGAGGTTGACAGGTAGATTTTTTAATATGCTATATTTAGAAGACGTCTTTGATATGAGACATATTGACTCTAAAATGTGATAATTTATTCTGGACTTACTAGTTTTAACTCATCTCTTATCAAATTCAGTCATATCTAATAATTTGTCGGTCTTATGCAGTAATTGTGTGAGGGATACAGTTTGCGATTTTGATACTTGAGTGAGTCACAAGGGGTATTATATTGTCTATATAACTTATAAGTAAAGTAGAAGAAAAAAAGAAAGAAAGAACTGTTATATCAATTAAATCAATTTATAATTATAAAATATCTATAAATGTAGGATCTCAAATTGTTACGAGAACAAAAATAGATGGATGATTATTTAATACATGAGGAACAAGATCTTAACATAGATAAATTCTAGATTGACTCCTCCTCTCTCTCTCTTCCACAATGTGTAAGAATATAAAGTTGAGATATTATTATATCTCTAACAATTGTAAGAGTTGGTAAAAATAATACTTCTAAATGTGTTAAAAAATGAAAATAAAAAAAAAAGAATAAAAAGATATTTACAACTTGAGTCTGAAAAATTAGTCTTGGAAAATGTGTTACCATATGTAATTTGTGAAAGTTTGTAATACTTGACAGAAAGTCTTAAAGGGTTACACAAATTATATTCTCTTTTATTATACTTTATTATTCCTACGGAATCTGAGGTTTAAAATTACAAGGAGTTATAAAAAACTGTATTAAATAAGTACACATCGCATTAAATTTTGTTATGTTTGGCCTTTATTATTAAATAGGGAGTTGAGAAGATATTTAATAATGTTCTTAGTATCAGGATATTGAGAATAGGCAAAGTAATATCATTGTGATTCTCTGTCTAAAGATGAAGGAATACAGTTAAATTTGGAATTATCTAACTGTCAGACGGCGATTAAATATCAAGGTTTCTACATGCAATTTTATTTTACTATATATCTGTATTTAGTCATTATGAAACAAAAAAAAACTACTCGACGTGGTTCTTGTTCTATAGAATTTCTTACAATTAATGACAAAAGGCAAATACGGGTGTCAAAAATACATGTTCCTCTACATATAACTTCCTCAGAAATAATCTTAATTAGGTTTTTAGTTGTTTTTTTTATAAATAGTTATTAAAAAGAAAAAGCTTTTCTTTTTTTTTCTTTTTTCTCTTTAGAAGATTCAGTGAAAAAATTTTACTTAATCTCATAAACCGTGTAATTTAAGTCGGCTCATATTTTTTTTTTATTTTTCTTATTTTTAGGTGACGTTGCACTTTTCATGTAAGGGCCGAAGAAATAAGATAGTGATTTGCGACTCTTTCGGTGACGAATGTAAATTAACGAATTATTTAGATATTTCTACGGCTCTTATCAAAAAAAAGCACTTATTGCTGATTATGGTAAAGTAATTACATTAGGATTATGGATACATAGGTAGGTATGAATTATTTATTTAAAAAATAGATAACTTGCCCTGTTTGAAATGAGTTTTGTTAGCTGTTTACAAAAAAAAAAACAAAAAAAAAGAAAAAGGAAAAAAGAGGGAGAAAGAATAGTGATAAAGAAGGAATATGAATCTTGTATGCTAATCATATATATGGTTTATTGACTCTAAATGAATTAAGTATATTCAATGGTATTATATGGATTGTCTTTGAATAAGTTATTTGCCGTTCACTATATATTTATATATTAAAAACACCTATATTAATTACTATTAGGATTCATCTTGATGTTTTTTTCTAAATCAATCATATACATTAGATTATTAGAATCTTTTCTTAATCTAGATGGAGCTTGACGGTTGTTTTTATAACTATGGGATGGATGATATGAACTGTTGTATTCATCACTGTCATCATTTAAGTTCACATAAGCTCTACTATTTGAGATGAACTCTTTAATGGAATTCCATATAGATGTTAAACTATAGTTTTTTTTGGAGCACATAAAACAATAAATGGAATATTCACCATATAATATCACGAAACCAATAATGAATCCAGCCACGACACAGGATAAAATATGGGTTAGGAAAGACTTAATAAAGTCGGCATCATCAAGATGCCAGGAACTTCCCTTTGAAATAGAAAAGAAAGAGTTTGGATAGTCCTTATAATCCCATGGTTGTAAGATCCGTACACTTCTTTCTGAATCTATATAATGGTAACTTGAATCCCAATATTGCTTAATCTTTTCCCATCTTTTATACTGTTTCCATACTATACTAATAAAAACAGGACCAGTGGATGCCATGATTGTGAAGTATGGAGCAAACCAGTTTTTATTGTAATGTTTTAACGAGTGTATAGCCTTATAGAAAAATGGATGATTTGGAATGGCTCCCATTACATCATTTGATACACCAAATGGTGCTGTCTTCCTTAAAAAGACAGGATATTTCAATAATGGATCAAAATTACGCTGACACGTATCATCCAAATCGACATATATCCCACCATATTTCCAAAGAACGAAATACCTAATAGCATCTGCTTTTTGGATTGGGTATTTATAAGACTTCAAAACTGGTAGAAACCAAGGAAATTCTCTTCCGATAAACTCCTCAATCATTTCGTCCGTCCAAAGAATATATTTATAATCAGGATTTAGGTTTTGGCACTTAGCTTGGCCTGCTTTCCAATGCGATGGGATGTTTTCATCCTTGTAAGTTTGGTGTATGATTTTTGGTATCAGTATATTTTCATTTAAATTGTCTGTTGACCATGTGCTGTTCGGGGCAATATCTTTACTTGGTATGCTATCCTCTATGGTGTTGTCAATGATCAACATATGAAGATCGAATGTATAATATAATATGAATATAATTAGAAAAAGGTTAGCACATAATAATATTTTTAATTCTCTTCTCATGATGTAGAATATCTTGTCATATATGCTTGTAAAGGATTATAAAAACTGATAAAATCAAATTTATTTTGGTAAAGAATGGATAATATTACAAAAAGGGACTATGCTAGTGAAGTATTTTTTTTGAAAGACTATTGCTATGAGATGTTGATGCTGCTAGTTGTTTTATATATATTATATCTATTTAATGAATATTGAGAAAAATGGATTAGTATGTGATAGAAAAGTTTAGATTAGTGGATAGAACTTTAAAAAAAAAAAAATGAAAATGATAATGCTGGTAGCTATATTTAGCGAATTAGTATTGAAATAGGATACGTTAGATGATAATAATTCTGATTGGTTATGCACCCCTCTTAGGATTCTGACTGGAGAGAAGAAAGAAGAGAAGAAGGAGAAAGAAATTATTATGGAGAGGCAGCAAGATGGGAGAGGCAGCAAGATGGGATAGACAAGTCGAAGAAGACAGGGAAATGAGGAAGAGCGGAACTGTATAAGGTTGCGAGTATATATAAAGACCGACAAAATGATCAAAGGATTATATATAGCGGATTACAGACAATCTTTTAACGATAATCTGGAATAATGAAATGCACAAGAGAGAAAAACAGTGAAGAAAGGGCAAGCACATGGTGAGTTACAAAAGTGATATAACGTAAATAAAGATAAAGGACAAAAAACAAAATAAAAAAAAAAAAAAAAAAAACATGGCTGTGCTTCTTTGTCCTAAAGGATAATAGATAATGACGACAATAAGAAGAAAATCCGAAGGATATAAACATTAAACCCGGGGGGAGGCGAAGCAAATTCCATCCCTTCTTTGTTTGTTTGTTTGTTTTTTTTTGTTTTTGTTTTTTTTTTTGTTTTTATTTTCATTTTTCATTTTGCTTGGTATGACGCGAAATGATCTTGGTACGGATTTCAGGGTTATTTTTCTTTTTGATCGATAATTTTGTTGAGGTTTATTAGATGATCTCAGAAGATATAAATTTTATTTAATGGTAAAGGATTTCGAGTGGCATGGAGAATGTAAGGTCTACCTAATACAAAAATCTTTCTTTTGCAAGATTCTGTAAGCAGCCATGCATTATAGATCTGGCCGATGGGAAAGAATTCCCTTATTTTTGGTTTTTTCTACGGCAAAGCTGTGGTGTGTCATTTCATGTAATATATCTACTTAAGGGCTATCTTGGTTTCAGAATGGTATATGTTTGAATTCCTTTTATTATTTTTAGTAGAAGTATAGGCTGTTTAATTTAAGAGAGTAAAGGAATACAAGAACTTTTCTACAATTATTATTTCTTGATGGTCCATGGAGGATGTAGGTTGTATATGAATAGGTGAGTAGATTGTCAATCTATTATAGGAAGAGAATAGCTGATTATACAAGTAAATTTTCCAAATACTTTAAGGATGTATGTCATTAATGTTAGAACCCTAATTATTCTCATCAAGATCCATTGATGGAAAAATACTCTTCTAAATGGTGAGGACTTGTAAACCCTAGATATCTAAACTACATTAAATTTGCTTTTGTTCTAACAAGAGAAGAATTAGATTAAAAAAAAGAAAAAAAAACCATAAACACGAATTTTCCTTGCTTTATTGTTATATAAGCGACACGAAAAAAAAAAAAAAGAAAAAGAAAAGAAAAAATGGCTTTTTCCTGATCGAGGAATTAATAGGAAGGAGAGAGACTTGCTTGTTCATTTTATTACGTTTTACTGTAATTTTATTATTGTTTTTTTTTTTCCTTTTGGGTTCTTTATTTTTTAACTTCTATGTGGGGAGGGGCAGAGAAAGAGAACAATGCGGGGGATAGAGAGGGGTTTTCTATTTTAAATAATATTATCGATAATTTATATGCTTGGACATCTATTTGAAATTGTATATTCTCTTCTATGTTATTTTTAACTCAGTCTCGTTTATTAGTGTCTAACTGTTATCGAATCTTTAGACCAGTCTTTCATTTTTCTTAGATTAATTCTTTATTCGATTTAATTCATCAGGAACATCATAGTAACCTCTAACAGATTGCTAAATATCTATGTTTAACATCGATTTTTCTTTTTTTTCTTTTTTTTTTTTTCATGCCTTCCTTCACTTATGTAGAATACTAAAAAGAGGTATATGCGTATGTATATAAGACTTAGCGAACTACGTGTATATAACAATAATATGGATCGATTCTTTTCATCCTCTTAGGTTCTTACAGTGTGGGATGGCACAAATATAAACGTGCAAACATTCATATATGTGTATATAACAGTTACTGCATTAATAATAGATTATCTAATTTTTCTTGTGTTAACTGAACGTTCAAAGTGTCTTTCTCCGACTGATTCATTAATAATTGATATTCTAGATTTGATTCAATAGAAGAGATGAAATTATTTTCTAATTTAATATTTATTTCTTCATCCTCTTCATCTACTGATATTAATTTATCTATGGAGGTAGTTGTATCCAGCCCAATAATATGAAATATTGAATTTAGTGTATTATTATAATTAATTGTATTCTTACTAATGTTATTCTCTATGTTTTTGTTAATAATATTATTATCTTTATTACCTTGATCATTGTTATTATTGTTGCTATTATCTGGTTGTCTTTCATTGTTGATAATAAAAGAAGACGTTTTATTAATAGGATCAACTAAGTGAGTAGTAGTAGTGGTAGTGGTAGTAGAAATATCGCCAGTTACAGCAGTTATGGTAGACTTTGACGATACTGCGGCGATTCTAGGTGATGGAGTCCTTTGGGGATAACTGCCATGTTCAAATCTTGTATTGCTGGTAGGAGTAGTGTTATTATAATGATAGTCAAAATGTGATAAAGTTGAAGAGGACGGTGAAATTTTATGTGTTGAATTAGGAGATTGTTGTTGATGCAGATATGATGTCTGACTATTATGTCTGTGTTTTATATGATCATTGCTACCATTATGAGCAGTGTGATACTTAGAATACGGGTGACTTCTGTTACTATAATGATATTTTCCTATATTACGAGAGGAAGAGCTATAATAACTATGACGATAACTATATCTTGGACGTTGTGTATGCTCTTGTTGTAGATATGAGGAGAAAGAGGAAGAGGAAGGAGAAGAAGAGGAGGAGGAGGATTTGTAACGGGATCGTGGGGTTCTAGAAGGATCCGTATCTAAATTTCTGTTTTCATTGGTATAATTATGTTGATAATGATAATTATTAGGATTGTTATTATTATATCTGTTTTTGTTGTATTCACTCATTGGCACTCCTGTATATACTTATATATCTACTAATGTATTATTCTTAACCTAACTTTGATGGAACAGGTTTAATTCTGAATTCTGAAAAGCAAGGGAAGAGGCTATCCACAGATGCAGGTAAACTTTGTGTGCGTGTGTGTGTGTGTGTATGCTTCATAACGTTCAGTTTATCTAGTTGTTATACTTTATTTCCTCTTTGTTTTGTTTTTATTTTTGTTTTTTTCTTTTTTCTTGTTTGCTTCTTTATAAAACTAAATCAGCAGGCACCGTGAGAAGTGATAGAGCTTTACAGAATAAACAGTTATTTTTTGGAAGGATTTACGTTTATTTTGTGCGGCAGAAACGGAGACAATATGGTAGCGGTACAGGAATGTGATTTTTCTTTTGTTTGTTTTTTTTTTCTTTAATTTCCTGCTATTGTTATTGTTCATCAGATTATAGAGTTTGAATATATCCCCTATTTTTGTTTTGTTTTGTTTTGTTTTGTCTTTCTTTCTTCCTTTTGGGGAGTATTAGGGGAGGAAAGAAATTTTGTGAGTGAATTTTTTGGTTTTTTTTTTCTAGTTCATTACAGTTATAATTAAATAGGATAATTAAATAGTACAGGTGGTATGCTTCGATGATATTCACCGGCAATTGCAGTTTTAAGTGTGTTGAAAGAAGTGGGATGAGGAGGGTGGTAGACGAGACGAAAGATTTAGTGAACAAACAAGTTTCTTTTTCTTTCGTCCTTCTTTTTCAAATTATATTTATTAGTATAAGGGGAGGGAAATAGGGAATCTTCATATTGAAAGTATCATAATTCAGTTTGATTTACCAAAAAAACACAAAAAAAATAAAGAGAGAGAGAGAGAAGGTCGATTTAGAACAGGCTATTTTGGCATTTTAACACCAATAGTTTATAATATAGATATCTTTAAAATTCATGTTTCAATGTAACTCTTTGCTAGCTATATAAAGGGAACAGTTTTTTTTTTGACAAACGATTATTTTATTAATTATTTTTGGGTAAATCCTTTTTTATTTTTTATGTTATTGCATTTTTAATGAAATATTATATTGGAATCAATTTCATCTTATCATCTCTTATCATAGAGTCGTATATATGCGTATATATGTTTGTTTTGTTCACCTTCAATAATAATCTTATTTGATTCTTTTATTATAAGTTATTCTTATTTGGTTTTTTTTTTTTAGTGAAAGGAAGAGCTTTTTTTTGTTCACATCTTCCTTTGTGTTCTTTTGTAATTGTTGAATTTTCAAACAAATATTAAAAAAAAAAACAAAAAACAAAAAAACAAAAAATGAATTATGATCATCAAAAAATAAACAATTACCAATATTATTATCAGAAAAATAACAACAACAGTAATATCAACAATAATAAAACGAATTTCACACCAGAAAAGAAACAAGTTATTTTAGAACATTTACTAATCACTAAAAAATCAACCCAGCAAACGAAAAACTATTCTCATGTTCCATGTAAATTTTTTAAACAAGGCAAATGTACTGCAGGTAGTTCGTGTCCATTTTCTCATTCATTAGACTTTAATGAAGCTAATAAAAAACCATGTAAATACTTTAAGTTCGGAAACTGTAAGTTCGGTAATAAGTGTGCTAATTCACATATTTTATCAAATAAATATATTTCATCATCAGCATCAACATCCACTTTTGCTGCTAATAAAACATCTTTCTCTTCAAGAAAATTCGAAAATAACAGCTCTGCTAATACTACCACTACTACTTTTACTACTACGAATAATAACATAAACCAGTTTCTTTCTTCCTTGCCTAAAAATAATGAAACACTAACGACAAATTATACCTATGAATATCCTGCATATAATCAATTGATATCCAGATCATCCATTCCTTTTACACCACCTCCCTCTTCCTCCTCCTGTTCCTCTTCTTTGTCTTGTTCTTCGCTTGATTCACCTAACAACATCATACTAAAATATTTTGATAGTTTCCATTCTACAACAAATAATTATAATTATAACTACAGTGAAAATAATACTAACATTTACACTAACACTAACACAGCTACCAATAATATCAACAAAAATTTTACACCAATCATGTTTACCAAGATTGAAGAAGAAGAAGAAAACAGGGCTGGTTTAGAAGACATAGATTCAAATGATTGTTATTTACACTATTCTTCAATTTTAAATGATTTGGAAAAAGAAGAAGAAGAACTGGAAGAAGAAAATGAATTCATCTACCAACAACCACCCTTCCAGTCTCCAACATATATCCAATATCAACATTTTAAATTTGATGATTTGTAGGAAATAAATAAATAAAAAAAAGACGAAAGAAAAGACAAAAGACTATCGAAATTATATTATTTTCATCCAGTCTGCATTTTTACTATTACATAATAGTAATATATATATATATATATATATGCATCTATTTCTTCTTCTTTTCTTATCTTTCATTGCTTTAATTTTAGTTCTCTTAAATTTTTGGAATGTCTCTCCCAATTATGAGGAAATGGTATACCTAGAATATCATAAAATTTTCTTGAACAAGTGCTATCGACAAAAGTCATATCACTACCTTGATCACACTCACAACGGTATATATCATATACAGTGTCATCAATTGGACAATTGGAATAATCATCATTTTGAAAACCTAAATTATCTAGAAACTGGAAAGATTCTTCATTTATCAATAGAGTGATCGCTAAAGTTTGAACTTTATTAATTGTCCAAGCATTGTGGAAGATTGTACCTTCTTTATCAATGATTTCGAAATATTTTTGATACACTTTAGACCTCCAGAAATTTAGATTTGAAATAGAAAAGCCCTCTACTAGTAGTTCACATTTATCAAGTTTTTTATCATTTTCTTTTGAGTCTTTCCTTAATAAAAATAATTCCAAATTAGTCTTTCTAATAATATCCTTGTGTTTTTCGTTTAAGAATTTATAATATTTTTCGTATTGGAAATCTGGTAGATTATCTACTTTACGTGACCCAGACAAACCGATCAATTTTTTGGAATCCTGCATATATCTAAATACATCATAGTCGACATCACAGAACAATTCAGTGCCAGGTTTAATGTACCACATCCAATCATAGTTTGACATGAAGCTCTCCAAAGGTAAAAACCCAGTGAAATATCTTGTCCAGATCTTGTATTCTATTGATTCAATATGGGGTTCCAACCGTAGAATGTTCCTTGCCTGCGCTAATTTACCTACATCGATCCATTTTGGGATGGCCCAGAACTGATCTGAGACCGTCTCTAAGAAAATCTTTGTTTTCTTGCCACTGTTACTTTCATTACTGACAATACTACTAGTAGTATTAGTATTATTGCTTCTAAATATATTATATTTTTTCAATCTGTCTACCCATTCGGTATTATTAAATTCTTTACCATCAACACTGACCAAGATCCATGGATATTGGACCCAATTGTTAAAATGGGCCTGCACAGAGTCAATAGTCTTGACAATATCGTTAATTTCCGAGTCTGAGACGTACATAACCAAGGACCCCTTTGGTTTAAACCCGTGTCTGGCCAGAGATTGAGCAACAGAGCCCTCCAAAGTATCTTCGAATTGAATAGATGGTATCTTCTCCTTGGACGTGTGACCTTTCAGCCATGAATCCTTCCACTTCTTAACCCTCTGGGCGACTTTTCTGTTGATCTCGTTCTCTTTCCTTCTTTTAAGTTCATCAATTGTTATATTTCTGTTAACCTTAACGATATTGTCTTCAAAGAAGATGTCCTCGTCGTCACTGTTGATGTCATTATTGTTGTAAGAATTGTAATAATAGCCATCCATATCGTCATGAACATCTGTATTTTGAGAGGATATCAGAAGACCTTGTTGATACAATTCGTTTATCTCATAATCGGAAAGATCCAACTCAGAAACATCCATATGATAATAATAATCGTAATCATCATCACTATAGTCATTAGTATTATAATCATAATCATAATCATTTTTATTATCATAAGCATAGTTATAATCATAATTGTAATCGTTCATACCATAGTTATTATTATTATTGTAATTTTTTAATCTTGGATCTGCATTAGATATGGAGGAAGGATTATTGAAAGATGAATTTGAGGTTAAAGTCAAAGCCAAAGCGATAGCGATCAAAGATATGAAAATAGCTTTGAGTTTATTTCTTTTCAAAAGATCCAGAATTACATGGATATACCTTAATAACAGCCTTAAGTCGAATAATATTCTTTTATTATTATTATTATTATTATTATTATGCCGTTGTGAATATCCATATTCATATTTATGTTCATGCTTATGTGCGTAAGCTTCATTAGTTAGATTTTTATATTTTTTATTCCCGGAGGAATTTGTTCTTGGCATTATGTTTTATTTAATATTCTCAGATTTTATTTACTGCAAACAATAATAGAATGAAAGATAGATAGATCAGTATAAGAGGAAATCTCTCTGTTTCTTTTCCTTTTTTCCTCACCATTTATAGACGGAAAGAGGGAATGAACAAACATTGAAGATACAATAAGTATAAATATGCATATATATATATACACGGACAGATATATAGATGTTTGCACATATACATATATACATGTATGCATTCGTATGCGCACACATAATCACAAACGCATACCATAAATATATATATATATATTTATATTATATTACGGGAAAAAGATGTGTTTAATTGACAACATGAAAGGAAAAGATACTATAAAAAATTTGCAATCAAAATATATCTGTCAAACAAAAAAGAAATAAAAAAAGAAAAGACAGTAAAACGGAAAAAACAGTAAAGAAAAGAAAAAAAAAACAGCCAAGATCCACAATTCTGTTACTTTTTGTATGTGGTGTGTGGATGTCTTTGCATTTGCTCTCCACTTCACCTGGTATATTTTCCCCCCTTCTCCCCGCAACAACACACCATCTCCAAACATAGTGGAGTCCAGCCAAACCAGTAAGAAAGTTGCCAGAATCCGTGTCTATTCTCAGTAAAGTCTCTGTCCTCCTTTCTCCTGCTTGTTGTGTCTTGGTAGATAGATGAGCAAACTGTGTGACAGAATCTACTGCTTTAACAAAATTTATGGAGTCTGTCTGTTTTGCGTTGCGTTGCTGTTAAGAATCACAGTGAACGGCTGCAGCTGCACCCACACACCCCGCCCACAGTTTCCCTTTTTCTTTCTTTTTTTTTTCATTTTTTTGTTCGATGCAAGGATGATTTGAATGTGTGAGGATTAGTTGATTCATTCATTCATCGATATATTATGTATATATCTATATATATAAACCTACGTATATGTATACATGCATGTGTGTTCTTGTTCTATTATCTTCATCACTGTTATTTAAGAAACAAATAACCTAACAAACAAATATTCAAAATAAACTTATATTCACTAATTAAATATCTTTTCCACTTATGAAAGAAACATTAATCAAAAAACAAAACAACATACTCAACTACATATTAACTAATAATCTCATACATACAAACCACAACACAGATAGGATCAGTTGTCACAATACCAATACTAATACCAATATCAATAACATATATCTCCCTGACGTAATTGCTTTATCTTTTCCTATCACATCTTTAATTAAACAGAAATCTATGGTCTATGATTTGCTTCCAAACATTTTGAATTATTCTACTACTTCCGATGGCTTTCCAAATTGGTATGCGTGACATCTCTAATACTACACCCTCCTTCAAAAATATCAAGAACAACAACACAACTATAACTGATATAGACCATTCTCAACTGATGGAGTTCTATTGGGACATCATTCTACTAATAGAATCTCAGTTCCTTTGTAAAGAGATCACATATAATCAATTCAAACAATTCAGAAAGTTCTATCTTATAAACAACATCTCCGAAAAACTCAACAACAACAACAACAACGACATTCACCCCATTAAGAAACATATACAACCCCTATGGAGATCCATCGCAGACACTTACCTTTTACTATATTTCAATATTCCTATACCAAATTCTTACCCCTTCCTACTGTCCAAACAAATCAACGATATCTTGAACATCATCGTCCCTGCAAACTTCAATACCCAATTCCATCATATCATCGCAAACAACAATCTAAAGAACTGGTTGATCTCTCTGCTGGAACTAGTAGATGCTTGCAATTGCACAGAACTTAGACTGTACCTTCATAGAGACTTGAGTTGGAACGATACAAAGGTCCTGTTGAAAAACTTAAATTGGATCAGTGGCAAGATTCTACCTAATGAAGACAGAGACCGTTTTAATGATTTAACTTTGGACGATCTCTTGTTAACTGATGAAAATTTCATCGTTTTACAATTCGATATATGACATTTTTTATAACCAGCCCATCCCCAGATCATCTCTATCTACATCTATATCTATATATCAATATCTATATATATACTATTAAAGGTTTCTTTTTATTATCTCAAAAGGAAGGGAAAAACTCAAAGGAAAAAAAAAAATTCAATTATATGGAATATAATAGAAATAGAAATAAAATAAGATTATTGACATATATATATATATATATACAATTATATCTATTCATACATATAAGAAAGAAATAGTTACATTCACACATACATATATACATATACATACATACATACATATAGATATAATGTTTCATCTATTCCAAGGTTTATATAACAATTGGAACAAAAAAGAACAGTACTCAATACTTATCCTAGGCTTAGATAACGCAGGCAAGACAACATTCCTTGAAACCTTAAAAAGACTATACAAACTATCTTCAAAGGAACTAGATAAGATTGTCCCCACGGTAGGACAAAATGTCGCCACAATACTTACCGAACAGAAGATCCAACTGAAATTTTGGGATGTTGGCGGTCAAGAATCCTTGAGATCCATGTGGTCGGAATACTATTCTCAATGCCATGCTATTATCTTTGTGGTGGACAGTACAGATAGATCCAGGATAGATGAGTGGAAACACACTTTGACTTCCATAATGATGAATGACGAAATTGAAGGGGTACCTGTCCTCATGCTTGCAAATAAACAAGATAAACAAGATAGAATGGAGATTCAAGATATAAAAGAAATATTCAACCAGATTGCTGAGCATTTAAGTGCACGAGATTCCCGTGTATTGCCCGTTAGTGCCTTAACTGGTGATGGTATCTTGGATTCAATGACTTGGTTGATACTCAGATTACAAAGAAATAAAAAATTAAGACCACCAGTTTACAAATAAACTAATAACCCAAGAGCAATCACCAAACTAAATTAGATAGACAGACGGACAGACAGACAAACCTTGTGCCATCTTCATTTAATTCTGATGTCAAACCCATTATCTTCTCTTTTGTATTATTATAATATTAGCTTAGTTCTTTTTCTTATCTTTTCTTTTTTCTTTTATTTCAAACAAACATACGCAACACATATGAAGAGAAAGAAAGATAGAGAGAGAAGGAAAGAGACATATATACACACACATCTATCCAGTATAATATAATATAATATAATCTGACATAACATAATCTGACAAAACATATAATGTATAGAATGTATATAAAATTTTGTGCATCTATCTATTCTTCAATATGATAAACTAAATAGTTTGGTAAGCCATATACTTCATAATTTAATCTCTTAGCCATCTTAGCAAAACCTTCAGTCTCAATTAAATTGTAAAATGGGAAATTTGGGAACATAGCACCATCTCTATGGACCTCTGCTTTCACTAAAGTACAACCACCACCAACTCCATCAAGAAGCATTTCCTCATTGACAGGGTTATGCGGATCATAGAAATGTGCCATCAAAGGTCTGTAAGTGGCAATTTCTGCATACCCCTCCACAATAATTTCATCATCACTCATTTTTGAAGCTATTTCAAGACCTGTTGCACTTTCTTGCCAATTATTAAAGTCGTATGGTCTAATATCATTCTTCTTCTCTTCTACATTGTAATACCTTTGATAAACATTAGCTGCAAGAACAGGTCTATTATGCGCTGTCATATCTTGAATTAAATTGACAGGTGTTTCCACAATATCTGCATCTAACCATAAAACCCATGAAGTGTACGGACTCAAGGTAGAGAATAACAATTCATTCCTAGCGGTTGCCATAACAGATCGTCTTTGTTTTTGAACAGCTAATGCATGTCTTTCTTTTTCCTCCAATTTTTCAAAACTTAAAGATTCTTGTCTCAATATAGTGATTTTTGAAAATCTGTCATTTTTCTTGCTTGCTTGAATCTTTTTGACTGCAGCTTCCAATTTTTTCAAAGCTACATCACCACTAGGGGACCTTGGTATAATAAACCCTAATTCAATTAGTTCACGTGGATATGATAATTGTAAAAGATTCTCCCAGTATTTTTCATGGAAAGTTTGCATCGGTGTCAAAATTAATACATGCTCCTTATTAATTGCTGCATTTGCTGTAGAATGAAGTTTATTCAAATCAAAATGAGCAATATGACTCTCTGGAATAATATCTTCTACATGATCACTAAATAACCAATCTCTTTGTTCTTTATAGACATATCTTGGCATTCTATATTTTCTGGTAAATGAAAAATACCATGTATTTTCAATCTCATTAGCCCATTTTTGATTTATGATACTATCTACATTTATGCCTAAAATATTATCATATCTTTTGGATATTATAAAGAAAAACGAAGTAAAAAACACAAATGGTAACAATAAAGCCCATATTGGATGCTTTTTTAAGCGATATTTCACCAGAGACCAAGAAATCATTGGATACTTTCAATCTAATCTTTGTTTTGCCTTACTTCTTATATAGACAGCTCCAATGTAGAGGAAAAGAAGGAAAATATCAGTGAATGGAGTAGGGGAAAGAAAGGATAAGGCTGTAGAATAAAAAAGGATTAGAGTAACAGCAAGTTATTCCTATTAGCAGATGTTTTCGACTTATAGAATAACTCTACCACAACCGGACAAAGAATTTGCACTTCACTTTTTGATGTCTCTTTCTTTTCATAGAAAAATATTAGCAACCGATTGCTATTTTGTTTTTTTCTTGAAATTTTCCAGAATAAAACAATTTAAATTTTCGTATGAAATGACAACATAACCCTTAGTTTTATTTTTATTTCCCGAACATTTTTTTGAAACCCGTTTCTAGTGATTAAAGGAATAAAAGAACATAAATGAAAAGAAAGAAAAATTGTCCATTTTATTTTTGGTACTATAAAACATGGTATATATCGTGCATGAATACGAATATCATTTTATATATTGCAACGGCAGTGTCTATTTGTGTTGATATAATAATAATTTTGTTAATTGATAGGATAAACTGACAATTAAATATCAAACACAACCTTCTTTTTTTATATTTTTTTTTTGGTTTTCCTATTTCGTTTTTCTTTGCTCATAAAATTCAGTATTATTAGTATTTATTATTTATCTGTGACACTCATTCCATATCTGGTTACAGATACTCATGAATATTTTCTTGTTTACATCTCTATTACTTCTTTGTAAATATTCAAAGGAATATTGATTATCCAGTATTTTAATTTCTCCAAAAATTACACTGTTATTGTTAATAACACTATTTCTGTTTTCCACTGATGCTGTGTCATGTTGAAACTTAGTAAAAATAGGTGTTGGAACTGCCCCTTCTTCAATAGCTAAATCAGACTCTTCAATATTATTATTGTCATCACTATCATCGCCATCATCATCCTTTTCGTCCTTTTGAACGCTATTATATCTTATTTTATTATCATCGAGGCCATTTTTACCCATCTTTGTCTCAAACTCTGAAGAAGTATTACCAGCTTTCAACCCTAATGAATATTCTGATTCCGTTGCTTGTCCAATATCCTCATTATTATTACTATATTTCTCATTATCATCGCCATCATTATAATGATGATGTTTCATAATGTCATCATATTGTAGATATGGCGGGACTGAATTTAAGAACAATGTTGGATCTATCATATCTGGATTTATTGGTGCATTGGAATTTGGGTGGATGTTCCGATAGTAGTTTTGATAGTAATAAGAATAAGGATGACAAGGCGATATAGATGCCATATATGGTGTATTAGATGTCGAAAAAGGTGCTGTAAAAGGTGCTGGAACGGGGGAAGGAGATAGAGATGAGAAGAAATTAGGCAATTGTGATGGTTGAATAGCACTCGTTGGGTATACCATATGAGTAGAAAAAGTGGGAAACAAACATTGTTGTTGTTGTTGCAGCAATGGCGACTGTGCTGAAGTCTGTAGAGGGTTAGTCCCATTCTGTAACTTTTGTGAGGGATACAATGAATATGCATTATGATTCTTCATTTTATTTCGTAAATATGGTATTGTGGAAAATCTTGAATATTTTTTAGTTAATGGTACTTTACCTAAATATCGAACTCTTGGTTTCTTCAAATTCTGATTTACATCTATGCCCCTATATTTATCTTGAATTCGATTCTGTAAATTTTGTTGGTGTTGGTGTTGATGTTGATTTTTATTTTGTATTTTGTTGCCTGGTTGTATACCTAATGGTGGTGGAATCTGTTTTCTCTTTAAAGAAGTTTGATTCATTTTGTTTGTTATTAGATTTTGTACTGAGCTACTACTACTACTACTACTACTACTACTACCACTACTACCACTACTACCACTTAATCTATCTTTATTTAATCGCTCTGATTCTGACCCTTTGAAGGAGGAAGAAATCACGGAAGAAGTTGAAGAAGAAGGTGTTTTATTCTTGTCTTCTGGTAAATCCTTTTGAAATGGTTTCTTATCTGTAATAGCAACAGGGGAAATTATATCTTCAATTTTACCATCTGCACTTGCCTTTACAATCAAATTACTATCAATATTTGTATTTATGGAATCATTTGAAACAATATTCTCTGTCACATTTGGAGAGTGTATTGTAGTAGTTGATGATACATCTGTATCTTGCCTTGTTTCTTCTATTGGTGTCACTTCTAGCTTCTTTAGTTTGCAGCTACTATTACTATTACCACCATCACTATTACTACTACTATTACTATTATTATCTTGCGTCTTATTCCTTAAGTTTGATCTCATATTCTCTTGTGCCTCCTTTTATATTTCGACTAACTTTTTGTATACCTTACAGAAACAAAATAGGACCTTATTATGTGAAAAATTTTCCAATTCTATTTACTTCTAATATAATTAATCATATGATAAGATTTTAAGAAAAAAATATTTGTATATATACATATATATATATATATATGCATATATATAATGTATTTTTATTTTTATGATTATTATTAGTAAGTTTTTTTCTTAGAACCTTTTTTTTTAATTTTTTTTCTCCTTCTCTGACACTTACAAAACAAACATTATGAGGTTCTTTTCCCTGAAGCCTGATTCCACGTATGCAATTTCAAATTATCTTACGTCTAATTGCATATTCTCTTTTAATAAAACAAGTTTCAAGATAAAAAACGATAAAAGTAAAAAAAAAAGGCTGATCTGCAATATTTTCGTTTCTTTTTCTTTTGTGTGTGCCTGAATCAAAATGTTTGCTCAAAAGAGAATGCAAAATATGAGAAAGAACAAAAGAAGAAAGAAAAAGATCTTGAAACACCGCAGTTTCCTAATCAGGTTAAAAAGAGACTGTGCCCTAACTCCTGGTACTTGCATTATTTAGGGTTAGGTGTATGCTCTGGACAATCATTTTGACAAGAAGAAATTTTTTGAAAAGTTTTTTTCCAAACACACATTTTTCTTAGGGTTCGTGCCTTTTTTCCATTTTTTTTTATATTTGTTTCTACCCTTGAGGAGAAAAAGAAGAAATTATTGGATTTGAATTAAATAAGGCATTTTTTTTTATTTCTTCAAACTTGTTTATTTTAAATACTATTACACAACGTACTCCTTAATCATTTATAAGTCTAGCATGCGCTTGTTTTATCCTATATTTTGTGTTTTTTACCACTTCTGTTCCTCTTGATACTCTAAGTGAACAGTCGCGTCACACTCACTGTATAACAACAAGCGAGATGTCCTTAGGTACCTTATATGCTAACTTTAGAGCTAGATCTATTGTTCCAAGATCTTTAGTGAACTATTTGAATTTAGATGTTAATATCGTCGATCCAGCTACCAATGAAGCACAATTTGCTAAGGATTTCCCATTGAAGAAAATCCCAGATTTCATTTCTCCAAAGGGTTACAAATTAACCGAAGTTATGGCTATTGCCTACTATCTAGTCAACTTATCTGATGATGCCAAGAAGCAAAGCCAATTATTGGGTGCTACTTTGGAAGAGCAAGCTCAAATCATGAGATGGCAATCCTTGGCTAACAGTGATCTATTACCAAATATCGCTTTTGTCTTCCGGTCGTTAAAAGGTGATAAACCATATGTTAAGAAATTGGTTGACGATGTAAACAAAAATTTGGATGGTTTTGTTAATGTCTTCGAAGAAAGATTAAAAGATCACACTTACTTGGTCACTGAAAACATATCTTTAGCTGATATCCTATCTGCTGCCGCTTTTGTCAGAGGTTTCGATTATCTTTTTGGTACTCAATGGAGAAAGGAACATCCTGCTATTGTTAGATGGTTTAAGACTGTTATCGCTTCTGATATTTTAAAAAATGAATTCAAAGATTTCCAATTCATTGATGAACCTTTGAAATACAATCCTCCAAAGAAGGAAAAGAAAGAACAGCCAAAGAAGAAGGAAGAAGCTAAGCCTGCCAAAAAAGAAGAAGAAAAAAACCAAATAACCCACCAGCTCAAGAAAAGAAACCAAAGCATCCATTAGAATTGTTAGGTAAACCTATTTTTGTCTTGGATGAATGGAAAAGAAAGTACTCCAATGAAGATACTAGACCAGTTGCCCTACCATGGTTTTGGGAACATTACAATCCAGAAGAATTTTCTTTATGGAAGGTTGAATATAAATATAATGATGAATTGACTTTAACTTTTATGTCAAATAACTTAATTGGTGGGTTCTTTAACAGATTGACTGCCTCCACCAAATATATGTTTGGTTCCATGGTTGTCTACGGTGAAAACAACAACAATGGTATCATTGGTGCCTTTATGGTTAGAGGTCAAGATAATGTTCTAGCTTTCAATGTGGCTCCTGATTGGGAATCCTACTCTTACACTAAATTAGATCCAACCAACGAAGATGACAAGGAATTTGTTAACAACATGTGGGCTTGGGACAAGCCAGTTGTTGTCAACGGTGAAAACAAGGAAATCGTTGATGGTAAGGTCTTAAAATAAAAGAAGTTTGTCATCTTTATTTTCATCTACCTCATCTCTTAACTTAATTCTACGATTATATCCCTAAATAAAAACACAATTTTTATGTTGATTTATATATTTATATATCTACATGTGTGTATATCTATATTACACACATAACAATTTTGTCTTTTAAATAGTACTAACAGTACTGTTACTATTTGCTCACCTTATTATTGTATTCCAAAAAGGTCTTCCTTTCATGATGATTCATTATCCGTTATAATAAGTATTGCTCTAACTTTGAATTAGTTAATTTCTTGTATATACATCATAAAAATGTTCACCTACGTAACCAACACAAAAGGAACAAAATGGAAAGAAAAAACATAACAGAAATTTAATGAAAAAGAACTTTCCACTGAATAATGTATAAGTATTCTAAACTCATAATCTTACAGAACATAATACATTTATTTACAATAAAAACCGGGGAACGATATAGCTTGTTTTGCATTTATGTAATAATTCAATTAATATTAGTCTAAAAAAAGAAAAAGTATTCTTATATATGACTATATAAGAAAATTATAAAAGTAAAAAAGAGAAGTAAAGAGTATATATATCAGTATATTAATATATCAATATATCCATACATCATCAAGTATTGTTATCAATATCAATATTATTAATAAGATATATTATTGTTGAAACATGCCAGAAAATGAATTTCAAGTAACCATTGATTCAATATCAGAACAAATAGTTAGAAATTTGTTACATTCAATAATCCAAGATATTGTATCAAGAGAAACTGTTAGACAAAGACAATTACATGATAGATATCCCGATTTTAAACCTTACTATTATGACCCAGATGGAATACTAGATATTAATGGATTACCAAAACAACAAGAGTCGTCACAATATTTTCTTTGCCAAAACTGTAAAAGAGAGATATCCGCCAATAGATTTGCTGCTCATTTACAAAGATGTTTAAATAGAGGTCCACGAAGATAAAATCATTTTTGTGCAATATCAAAGTCCCTGCATTATACTGCATTATACATATACCTACACACATTAATAAATATACTTACATATACATATATATAATTATAAACAATTTTCATTAATATAAAGATTCATATATTTAAATAATCTGCAGCTAATAATAATTCCAACGATATCTCAGAAGGCACATCAAATTCAAAATTTGTTATATCATAATCTTCCTGTCCATTTGATTCATCTAGATATTTAGATTTCAATTCTAAATATTCAATAACTTTATTTAACACCTCTGGATCAATATTTGGCAAGTCTATTTCATTTTTCTCTTGGAAATGTCCTTGAATAATAGCCTTTAGGATTGGTGATATCATGGCTGCATTTTCAGTAATCGTACATTTTGTACCATCTGATGCAATCAACGTTATTCCGTTATCTCCCTTATCCATATTAACAAAATTGAACTATTCAAGCTTCACCTTAATATATCAATAAAAAAAAGATCTAAACGTACCTTTCTAGTAAATATTACTGCTATTATTATCACTAACCAATACTACAGCAAAGATAACCTTACTCTCAGAATGAGGGTTCCTACTTTATTTTGTTTTTATTTCAACATCAACTATATTCACAATGATTCAGCCATGTGAATTCAAATAATCACACTTCATAAGTTCTACACTCTCTCCCCTCCTTATTCTTTAATTAGTGAATCACTTCTGTGTATTCAAATCGTGTCAAAAATTACGCATTATAGTTTCATGTTTTTTAGATTTTGCTTTATGTTTTTCCTTAAAACTCTATTATATTTGTTAAGATTGTTCCTATTTTACCTGAATAGTACAAAATTATACATATGTAGATACCTCCACACACATATATATACATAAGTGATTACCGCTACAATCTATTGATATACAGTTTTATAATATCATTTTACTATTATTCATTTCCAAAAGTTATATACTGAAATTAGACAGTTTATTCAGAGACATATAAACGATATGAATTCAAATCCAAGTTTTAATTGGGAAAAATTGCAGAATATATATTACAGAAACAGAGAATTGACTACTCTAGATTGGCCAGATATAATTAAACATAAATTTACTGGCGATGATAGTAGTAAACGATTGATATTTTGCACATCTTTATGTTTTATTGCTATATTTATTGATGAAAACATTGAAATTTATGATCACAAAGGTACCCTAATAAAGACTATTCCAATAAGATTAATTGGAAAGTCTCAATTGGTTGATATTCAATTCAAAGAAAGATTGGGATTAAATTTAGTAATTGTAATGGAAGACTCGATTAGATTAATCCAAAATTGGGATAAGTTAGATATCCAAGTAATAAATTTACCAATTGATGTTGCTGACACTATATGGGATTATAAAAACGATGTAGTTATTTTAAAATCAAATCAAGATATATGGAAAATTAATTGGGATGAAAAAACTTTTGAATTGTTGTACAAGAATAAAAGTAAGACCCACATATCCTCTACTAATACTAGCACTGTTAATAAGAAAAATAATATTACTATCCCTAGTAGCAATGATCCACTAATTCTAAGTTATAAATTATTGACTAGGAGTCACTGGGATACTTTTCAAAATAATAAAATAATATTATTAGATATTAATCATATCTTTGAATTTGACTGTACAGAAAGAAAAATGGTACAACATAAAAAGCTGCATAAATGGCATCTATTGAGTGTATCCAGTGATGGTAAAATATGTCTTTTTAATTATAAATATAATAAATTTCGAATATATGAGAATTTTTTAGAAGATCATTTAACTGAAGTTACGTTAGATGATCGCCAATCATCACCAAAATATATGAAATGGTTACCGAACAATTTAGTTGGTTTAATATTTGATGATGAAGTAAAAATATACTCCAAAGATGGTTCATATATCACATTTTGGTACCCAGATTATATAATATCTGTAGATTCCGAAATAGACGGGTTGAAAGTTATCACCACAACAAACATAAATTTGATCACCCAAGTGATGCCATCAACTGTGGGGATTTTTAAAATTGGATCTACAGAACCTGGTGCAATGCTATTGGATTCGTGGAAATTAGTATCTGAAAATCCGGCAAAGGCTATTGAAAGATTAAATCATTTTAATTTAAGACAAGCTGTAGATGATTGTATTGATGCAACAAGAGATGAGTTTGATCCTAATATTCAAAAAATTTTATTAAATGCTGTTGTATTTGGCAAAAATTCATTACCTTATAAATCGTATGATTCAACAAAATTTGTCAAGACTTGTAAATTAATGAAATTATTAAACACATTTAAATTTGTCAACATTTTCTTATCTGAAAAAGAGTATGAATTTTATGGATTACAACAAATAATTAAGATTCTATTTTTGATGAATCGATATGCTGTAATTATAGAGATTATCAAAATGACTGGAGAAAGCAAACTATACCCAATATTATTTTTCAATTGGTGTGCGACAAAGATAAAATTATCAAGCGATCTAGAAGATGATGAATTATTAAACATCATTCAAAGGCAATTAGAGGAACTTCCAAAAGGCGTTCAAGCACCTATGTCTAAGGTTGCCCAGGTGGCACTTTCTGAAGGAAGATATACATTATGTCGCAATTTATCATTATTAGAATCTAATCCAGTAGGTAAAATTATGACATTATATTCATTAGATGATGACTCCATAGCTATAAAAGAAGCTCTAAATACTGATAATCCAGAATTAATAATTTCATTATTATTAATATTAAGAGACAAATTATCACCGGCACAGTTGGCCAAATTATTAATATTAGATGCTTCAGATAATCAATTATATTGTTATTATAATAGACATAACCTCAATTTCTTAATGGATTTCTATACTCAAACTGATAAATATTTAGATTTATCGTATTGTATTATTGAACAAGGGGAAAAACAAGGCGATATTAATGCTATTCTCCCACAAGTAAAAGAGTTATTCAATAAATTCACTCATAAAAATTCATTAGAGACGTATGATGGATTTTCACTATCAAGAAAAATACAACTAAATAAGTTCCAAGAGTTACTAACGAATATTCTTGGTTCAGATTTCACTCAATTTACATTAGATGAGACTCTATACAAATTGATAGAAATCAAGCAAGATAAATATGTTAAGGAGTTATTGAAGACTTTTAGAATTACCGAAAGAAAATATTATCATATCAAATGTAAAGCACTTGTGGAAACAGAAAGATTTGATGAATTGTTACAATTTGCTACTGATAAAAAGTCACCTATTGGATATGAAATATTTTATCGAAGATTAATGGACAAAGGTCATAAAGAAGAAGCCTTAAAATATATTGACATGATCCCTAATTTATCTACTGAAAAAAGACAGCGATTAATTCAAAATTGCAAATAGTAGGAACAAACAAATTAATCCAATAAACCTCTTTTCTTGTGATGATTGATTTTTTCACAGAGTTTTACCATATATATTCTTTCACATGAAACTTCTTCGCCTATTGTAGTTTCCCTCCTTCAAAAAACAGTTAAAACTGGTTTTTCTTTTCTTTTCTTTTTTCTTATTTTAAATTTTTGCTTCTCCTCCGAAAGAAAAATTTTTGAGCCAGCAGAAGAGAGAATGAAAAAATTTTTTTTAATAATTAAGTTTCCTTTAACTATTACGATGAGCTGACTTATAGCTCTTGACAATAGATAATTCTATGACAGGCCTTGCCTTATTTAAAAGATATTTTAATAAAAAGGTGGAACGAAATTATTATTTTAATCACCTTCACTAATTGCAACAGTGGAACAGTGCATTGTACTCCAAGATCACTTTAATTATTATATATAAAGTAGATCCATCCAAAAATAATAATAATAGATATATACATACAAAATGTCCGAACTTCAAGAGAAGTCTACACAGGAAAGTGAATCTGATAATGGTTTAGATATGAAAACGTTGTTTGTCAGATCCATTCCAATGGATGTTACTGATGAACAATTGACTGAATTCTTTTCCAATTTTGCCCCAACTAAACACGCAGTCGTTGTAAAAGATACTAATAAAAGATCTAGAGGGTTTGGTTTTGTAAGCTTTGCCACCGAAGAAGATGCACAAGACGCTTTGACTAAAGCTAGGAAAACTAAATTACAAGATCATCTATTAAGAGTCGATGTTGCCAAGAGAAGAGACCGTTCTAAAAAAATGAAACAAAAGATACTGAAGAACAGTTCAGTACTTCAAAGCAAAAGAGTAAGTCCAATGAACAAGAAGATACTAGTGCTGTTAATAATGAAGGTACTGAAGACATTTTAAAAGGTAAACCGAAGTTAATTATTAGAAATATGCCTTGGAGTTGTCGTGATCCAAACAAATTGAAAAAGATTTTTAGTCGTTTTGGTACTGTCATTGAAGCTACTATTCCAAGAAAACGCGATGGGAAACTTTGTGGGTTCGCATTTGTCACTATGAAAAAAATTAGCAATTGTAAAAATGCTTTGGAAAACACTAAAGATTTAAAAATTGATGGTAGGCCTGTTGCAGTAGATTTTGCTGTTCAAAAAAATAGATGGGAAGATTACAAGAAAAAACATAAAAGTGATGAAGTATCTGAGGATTCTGAAGAAGAAGAGGATATATCTGACAGTGAAGAGGAGGAAGAATCATCTGACGATAGTGATATCTCTTTAGACTCCGATGAAGAAGTTATTGATGACGAGGCAGATTTAGATGATATAGAGGAAGATGAAGATAAACCAACTAAGCAGCACAGAAATAGAAGAGAACAATTTTCTATCTTTGTTCGTAACGTTCCATACGATGCTACAGCAGAATCATTAGTAGATCATTTTAATAAATTTGGGCCAGTTAAGTATGCTTTACCTGTTATTGATAAGGAAACCGGGTTAGCAAAAGGTACTGCCTTTGTTGCGTTTAGGGATGAAAAGACTTACAACTACTGTATTGAAAATGCACCTGCTGCAGGTGCTACCTCCTTATTAATTGATGATGATGTTTTACCCGAATATGTTTATGAAGGCCGTGTTCTTTCTGTAACTCCTGCCTTAGACAGAGAGGAAGCTAATATCAGAGCTGAAAAAAATGCAGAAAAACGTAAACAAATATTAGGTAAAGCTTCTGGTGAACGTGATAAGCGTAATTTGTATTTATTAAATGAAGGTAAAGTTGTTGAAGGTTCTAAATTATCTCAGTTACTGACACCAAAGGATATGGAAATTAGAGAGAGATCATATAACTTGAGAGTAGAACAACTAAAAAGAAACCCATCTTTACATTTGTCTTTAACCAGATTGGCTATAAGAAATTTACCAAGAGCTATGACTGATAAAGCTTTAAAGGCACTTGCTCGTAAAGCGGTTGTTGAATTCGCTACACAAGTTAAAAATGGTGAAAGACATCCTTTAAGTCAAGAAGAAATTACCAGATCCACAAGGGAAAAATATAAATTCATGACCCCAGAACAAATTGAACAACAAAAAAAGAAAGATAAGAAAAAGGGTGTTGTTAAGCAAGCAAAAGTTATTATGGAAGTAAAAGGCTCTACTGTAGGAAGAAGTAGAGGTTATGGCTTTGTGGAATATAAAGATCATAAACATGCATTGATGGGTTTAAGATGGTTAAATGTTCATTTAGTTACTAGAATGGAAGTGCTTGATGGATTAACAGATGAGGAAAAAAAATTGATAGATTTTGATGATACAAAAGGTAGACGTTTATGTGTAGAATTTGCTATTGATAATTCTAATGTTGTTAAAAGAAGAATAGAGAATACTACAAAGGCTAGAGCTAATGCTAAGAGAAAGAAGGAAGAAGAGTTAGCTCAACAACATCAAAAAAAGCAAAAAACCGAAGAGACAAGTCAGAGTAAAGATAAAAATAATGGCATGAGTAGTGATGTAAGGAGACTTATAGGGTTTAAAAGAAAGAAAAAAATGCTAAAAAATAGATTAGATAATGCTGAAGCTAAATCAAAGCTCAATTCTTTAAGTATATATCATTATTCATTAAAACATATGCAGATAAAAATAGTTACATTATGTATTACATCAGAGAAATATCATATCTAAATAAATGCATCATTAATAATGGGATATCAAAATATTTTTGATAAAAATTCTATTATGACGTTAAGAAAATGCAAAATGGTAAAAATGTGAAATTGTATTTTTAAATAGAAAAAGAAATGACAATATAATATAATTTTGATAATATTAACGTCTTTTCTTTCTTGAAGGTTCAGAAACTCTAGATCCTAATGGTAATGATCCACTTGACACAGCTGCGGCTGCAGCTGCAGCCGCAGCCAAGATCCTTCTATTTACACCCAAACCACCTAATGTTGTGTTATTACCACCATGAGCCATCATCTGAGATTGCGAACCTATGTTCCTAGATTTGTGAGAACGTCCAACATTCATGATATCATTATCTTCTGTATGAATTCTTCTTGCAGGATAGTGATAATTCAAACCTTCAAATATATTTTCACTAACAGGACTATCACTGTTGGTAAAATAACCATGATCTAAGGCGACAATCGCATCGATCCTCGCTATGGGATCATAAGCAAGTAATCTACGAAGTAAATCTAACCCTTGACTATCTCTTCCACCAGTTGAATGATACCACGCAGCTAAATTTTCTCTATACTTTGGAAATTTAGCCAGATTTTCATATTCTGGGTACTTGTGTAAATTTTTCCAGATCTTAGAGCTTGGTGTCCCAAGAACTTCCAATATTTTTTGCATTTGATTAGATTGAAATGGTACACCTTTCTTAGAATCCATTTTAGCTTCTTCTCCTTTGAATAGAGGTTGTAACCCCATTAATTCAGCAAATATACATCCAATCGCCCATACGTCTATTGCAGGTGTATAATGTCTAGCTCCAAGTAACAATTCTGGTGCTCTATACCAAATAGTCACAACTACTTTATCACCTGTATATAATGTCTGTAAAAGGTTTGAAAATTTTCTTGCTAAACCCAAATCACCGATCTTAACACAACCATTTGCAGTAACCATAATGTTAGCAGGTTTCAAATCTCTATGAATAATCCAGTTTTGATGTAGAAAAGACACACCATCCAATATTTGCCACATAATAGACTTTATCATTTTTGTTGATATCAATCTTTTCTTTGGATGAGAGTGATAATGAATAATTTGTAATAAGTCATGTTCTGCATATTCGTAAACTAAATAAATATTTTTCCTTTCTAAAAAAATTTCCACTAATTTAGTTAAATGTTTATTATCAAGTTCTCTACATAAAGCCATCTCTCTACAAGCACTCTGTGATATTCCAATATAATGTACTTGTTCAACACCCTCCTTTTCACTTTTAAACTTCTTAATGGCATAAAAGATTGATTGATCCTTTTTTCCATTAGATGTCCCAGGTTTTAATATCACTACATGCGTGCCATTGCCAGTAACACTAGAATTATCTTTTTTTGAAGTGTTTTCTAAATTTGAATTAGCATGACTATTTGTGGATCGCATAATATTATTGTTATTATTATTACTGCTATTATTAATATTACTTGCTCCAGCATGTGTAGAAGTATTACCAGAAGCAGGTATGCTTTTTCCAGAAGTTTTTATATTTATTCGGCTTGCATTACCGCTGTTTTTATCATTTTTATCATTATTATTATTGCTAGTATTTAGCTCTGAATTTTGAGCAATTCTGTATTGTTGCTGTTGTATTATATTACCACTAATACCATTGTTAATAATGTTCGATGCTTGATGGTGAATCTTATTATCTGCATCTCTCCTTGAATTTACTAAAATATCAGCAGTTCTTGGTTTATTTATATTATCAACGGTGTCCTTTAAACTAGGATTTACCACTTCACGACTTTTAGCTTTATAAACTTTCCCATAGGTCCCAGCTGCAATATAACCAATAATTTCAAATTTCTCCAAAACAGAAACCCTTGCACTGTCTTTTCTTGATTTGTACGGTCCAATTGTGAAAACGTCATTATTAGCCATTAACATTGGATTTCTACCATGGACAGTAGTATTACCTATTTGTTTTTTACTTAACAGTTGTGACTGTGTATGATTTTGCCAAGTATCTCTATTACTTAAATTTTGTTGTAAATTTTGATACATTGGATAATGGTGTTGTCTGCTTGAATATTGTTGAGAGGTAATTCCATTGAACCCTTGAGAGTGTCGTTGATATGTATTGGACGATCTTTGGTTATTATTATTATACATGCCCCGTGAGATATTCCACTCAATTATACTCTATATATTAAGCTGATTATAACGTTTTTTTTCTAGGTGGATTTCTAATACTTGGGTAAAATAGATCAAAAGATTAGACCGTATCTATAAAGTTTAGCTTAACTTAGACGTGTCCTCTAATATATAACCCTGAAAGAAAAAAATAATTTATAAATTTACTCCCAAATATTCTACAATATTAATACAAACGTCTATGTAGTATAATCCTCCCTTATTAAACGAGAATTGCTTATGATCAAAGCGACAGTCTCCCTATGTTAATTACAGTCATCTCTTACCACACAACAAGGTGATCCATAGATTTTTTTTAACTGTGTATTAAATTTACTTGATTCACCGAAAATTTTGGATTGATAAGCGATTTTTGGGCGGTTTCTTATCCCGCCTAAAATATACATAAGGAGTTTTTTCTACTAGAAATAATACTCTATGGCGGAATTTGTGAGGACTTTATAACCGCATAAAATCAAGTTATCTGACTCTAATCAATACAGTGAAAAGAGAATATATAAGATCAAAACTATGTTAATTGGTATTTTTATCTATTTGTGTGTTTATATTTAGTCAATATTCAGTCATACAATGATTACATAAAATGTTTACAGTAGATGATACATATTTTCACTACTGTTACTACTGATATTTAGACCAAATTCTCGTCAGGAATAGTCTTAATTCACGGAATGGGACTATTAAGTACCTGCCGAAGTATGGAGCTGCCCAAAGACTCACAAACATTCTTAAGGGACCCATAACTTTTACAATAGAATAAGAAATAGCCCCTGTAATAATTAACTTATGTTTATCCAACGGTTCATATTTATCTCCGACTAGACGCTCGATAGCTTTATTACATTTAACTAATAAGGGATTACTAGATTCAGTAATGTTGAATTCATTCCAAAAATCTGAATGGTATAATATGTACCATATCATAAATAAAGGGATTACAGCAGTCAATTCGTGTAAGATGAAAAACGTTGTTATGGTTGGAATAGTTCCAGTTTCTTTTAATTTTTCAAAATAATCATTAAATTTAGGGTTACCATTCAGTTTAGTCAATATCTTCGATTTTTTGATGAATTTTTCTAATCTTTCCCTCTCCTTTACTTGTGAAGATACCTTTGGTTCTATGGATGTTGTATATAACCTATTAGCTGCATTATAGCATGCTATTTTTAAATTTGTTCCTATAACGAAGTTTACTGATGGGGAAACAACAATTTTGGGCCTTTGAAATAAGACAAAATTCTTGTGATTATTAAAAGCCAGCTTATTGAAATACATTAATATTTTATATCTATCGAATGTCTCACTTCACCATGCATATGTATGTATTCTTTCCTGATACCCACAAATCTTAGCAAACATGTTGTTACTACGTGTGTCGTTTAATAAAGATTTTAGGAGACACAAAAATATAAAAAACTGAAATAAAAGAAACAAAACAAAAAAAAAACTGACGAAAACAGTTTTAATACTTTAATTTCATTTTATAATCATTTTATATTTACAAGAATTTATATAATTACACTTGACTCTTGCTTTATTATCACATAAATAAGTACCATGTATAATAAACATAATTAACTATGATTGACAACTTGGCCACATCTATGGCAAAGTTCATTTTCTTTTTGTGCAGCATGTTTCCAACATCTTGGGCATTTAAAAAATGGACTCTCTTTAATTTCCATTTTAATATTGCATGACTCTATTTTAATTAAATTACCACTTCTGGCTTCTAAATCCTTTATATCCAATTTCTTAATCTCAACAGAGGTTACTTGTAAGATGTCTGTCAACTCTTCAACATCTAAACAGATCTTATTCAGTGGATCATTCAAATACAAGACCACTGCCAACTGACTTGTTTTGGTAAGTGTTTTCGATACATTTTGCTGTTCATTTTTAAATAATTTCAAAATTGGTAACTTTGTATTAGAAAAGGTTTCCATATCGTCACGTAGAGAATTAATATTTTTGAAATTTGGAACTTCCAACCCAATGATCGAGTCTAAGTTATATTTCGCTTTTTGATTCAACTTCCAGCCTCTCCCTAAATGATTCCAAACCTCTTGCAATAACACAGGTAAAATAGGTGTTAAAATATGTCTATAAGTGTTTAATATATGATATAATGTGGTCTGAATCTGTTTTCTTTTCAATGAATAGACACTGTCAGAATATAGAGTATCTTTTGATATATCAAAATAAAACGCAGACAATTCATTGTTTAAATGGTATTGAATTAAACTCAATACTTTTGAAAAATTATATGTCTCATATGCCTTTTGACAATCTGTTAATAATTGTGATAATTTACCAATTGTATACTTATCAATAGGCCTTAATTGATCGTATGGCAAAACTTGATAATCATCACTTTTATTTAAATTACCAAGTATGAATTTAAATGATAATCTTAATCTTTTCAAAGAATCCGCAACATGATTAATAACTACTGAACTTGCTGTAATATCGTTGCTAAAATCTGTTTGTGCTACAAAATATCTTAATCCATCAATCCCAATAGAAGGTAGTTTAAGTTTCTGATTACCCTTTATTATATCGGTTGGTGAGATCACGTTACCCAAAGATTTAGACATCTTCAAACCTTTTTCATCTAAAAAAATCCATGTGTAACTATAGTCCTAAAAGGGGCTACAGGTTTCATATCTCCTAAATTTGCTGCGATATAGGTTAATAAAGAACTTTGAAACCAACCACGATGTTGATCAGTACCTTCTAAATAAATATTTGACATGGGCAAAGGTATATTATCCAATCTTAGAGTATTTTTATAAAAATTTCTAATCACACACCAGGATGTTCCCGAGTCAAACCAAACATCCATAGTGTCTTTACCTTTTACATATTGAGATGCTAGGTGTTGATAATCTTCCGGTAACCATTTTTTTATATCTTCTCCTTCCTCTGAAACAAACCAAGAGTTAGTGTTACCTTCAATTTTAAACTTTTGAATGATATGAGATATGATTTTGTCATTCATTAGAACAATACTTGGATCATCTTTATGTTGAAAATAAGGAATTGGAACACCCCAGACTCTTTGCCTTGAGATACACCACTCGTTTCTATTTTTAATAAATGCTTCTAATCTATGTCTACCTCTTTGAGGAATGAAATTGGTTTTATGTACAACATCATATGCAGTATCTTTAAGATCAGTCAAATTAATGAACCATTGTGGGGTAGATCGAATGATTACAGGACGTTTAGATCTCCAGTCATAAGGATAAGAGTGTTTATAATCAGATTGCGAAAATAACATCTTCAATTCAAATAATCTGTTTATTATTACATTAACTGTCTCTTCATCTAATACATTTCTACCTTTTGAAGTATCCAATGGATCTGCTAAAAATTGCTTTAATTGTGGATTGTGGAACTGATTTAAATCATAATTACCATATGAATCCACAGCAGAAAATATCTCTAAATTGTTCTTAAACCCTACTAAATAATCATCTGCACCATGCCCTGGTGCAGTGTGGACTAACCCTGTACCTGTAGTATTAGTGACGTGTAATCCAGGCAATAGTGGATATTCCTTGTCATTCTCCAATAGTGGATTACAATAATATAAATTATTTAAATGCTTCCCGTCAAATGTTTCCAAAATAGACCATTCTGAATCATCTATAGGAATAGTATTTAAAGTATCCTTCGCAATAATGAGGTAATCATTTGCAGAATTGTCATGTACTAAACAATATTTAAATGATTCATTAAAACATATAGCTCTATTAGAAAATAAGGTCCAGGGTGTAGTAGTCCAAATCATACATTTAATTGTTTTGATTTTATCTAACATTTGAGAAGGTGTATCGAATATAGACTTAAGAATTGTTTGTGTAGAAAGTTTAGTTAAAGGAAATTTCACATAAATTGCCTTTGAAACATGATTTTCATTGTATTCTAATTCACTTTCAGCCAATGCAGTTCTTGTAACAGTCCCCCAATAAACAGGTTTATTACGTCTTTTTATGAATCCCTTATTGAAAAATGTTTTAAATATCAACAATTGATCAATTTCATAATCCTTACTCATTGTAATATAAGGATCATTCCAGTCAGTCATGATAGCAAATTCTTTAAATTGTTCCATTTGTGTTTTCCGGGTATCATCTGCGTGCTTCGCAGCTATAGATCTAATTTTTATTGGATCTTTCAAAGAATTGGACATTTTTTCAGGTAGTTTGTCCAATGCTTTTAATTCAATTGGTAAACCATGACAATCCCAACCTGGTTTATAAAAAATATATTGAGACTTTTCCAATAGATAATACCTGTTTATTATATCTTTTAAAATTTTATTTAAGGCGTGACCCAAATGAAGATCACCATTAGCATACGGAGGCCCATCATGTAAGACAAATAATTTATCTTTACAAAATTCGAATTTTTCTTTTGGATCCCTTAACTTTTCTATTTCAGAAATAAATTGATTTAATTGTTTCTTATACGTTGTATCAGAACATTGTGGTATTAACTCTTTTAAGCATTTATCTAAGGATGATCTCGTGGGAAACGTTGTTTTAGGAAGATTTAAAGTGTGCTGAAATGAATGTGCCTTTTTATCTGTAGAAACCCATCTAATAGACCTATATATGTGCCGACATGCTTTCAAATGATGAAGCATTCTTATTCCTTCAAATACTGTCTCTTAAATTCTATCTGTATCTATCTCCCAATATAGATACTAGATTTACTAGTGTGCGACTAGTTATACTTTTCCTGAATTAAGTCTGGATACCTTTAAACATAGAAATGTACTTACAAAGATGCCTCCACTCTCCTCCCTACCTCTTTATTTCTCTTTTATCAATTTATGTATTGTGTCTAGACGTCTCAATATCATGTCGAACTATCTTCATTACCATCATCTCCATCCAAGCTTAACCCCTTCCTTCCTCGACTTTCTTTTTATGTTCCTAAGATCTTTCCTCTTTAGGTGACAATTTTCCTTATTAAGTAGAGTATATTCTAAAGAGGAAAATAAAAGTAATAAAACTTACTCGAGGTAAAAATTCTTGATGAATTCCAGATATCGTGGTTTTTTGTCCTGTTTCTTTTTTTTTATTTTATTTTGTTTTGTTTCTTTTTTTCTCTTTACTCATCATCTTTGTACGCAACGAGTGAAGGAATGACAGACTAAGAATGATCTTCTGAAAGTAAGAAGAGAAGACAGAACAGTTAGTAAGCGTCAGAATGTTTCCCACACTATTCAATTATAAGTAAGGATCATTACCTATGCGAGAGAAAATGGATGTAACTTTTACACACAATTCTCGGTTTGAAGTGATAATATTGGCATTTTGTCTAGAGTTTTCAGAAGAGTTATCCGTACATAAACAAGACCAAAAAGCAATAATCAATCAAGAAAAAAAATCCATATTTATCTAAGCTCACTTAACTATATTTTAGCAGCCTATACTTTCTAAGTTTCTATTCTTTTCCTTGCTCTTCTTCTGTTCGGCAACTTACATTTACCACCCTATTACTTCTTTTCCATTCTCCCTTATTCTCTTTTATTTTAACAGCAGTAATGATAGTTCATACATTGAAGGAACAAACTGCTCAATTGAATAAATTTATGGTTAAACAATTTATTCGTGGTATCAAGTATAAATATATTAATCTGTTAATACCAGATGAAAACATCGGATTGAGTACTACAAAAGTATTAGAAGCTATAGATGATAATAAATTGATCTATTTTTTAGAGACAATGTTAAAAAGATCTCAGGCTACCATATCTCAATTTAAAAGGATCTGTTGTATTATAATCAAATTTTTAGAGTGCTGTGATGCTGAATTCAATTATCTAAGGAATTTGAAATTTAATTTGAACAAACTAATCGTTGTTGCATTTATAATGAGTAATGTCACAACTGGTTCTAATGAAGGTGAAATGATACATGAAAGAGAGAAATGTTATCAGTTATATTCAAGAATTACTGGTCTATCTGTCAAAGAGTTAATCAATTGTTGTTCTATTGTAAGACCAGTTGTGGTACGTCGTACTAGAAGGCAGAAACTATTACTCCGGCGCAATAACAATCAAACTGGAAATAATATGTTTAATTCAGATGAATCTTCTTCATCACCTTTAATAACTAGTACCACGTCATTGCACCAGATTCATGGATCAGCACATTCTCAAACAGATGATGATAATAATAATAATAACTTAGGATCATTTTTTGAAAATACTATTGCTTTCTCAGTTTCTGCAACAACAAATAACCATATTAACACCATTAATCCATCACTAGTTTTGAATTCAACTATGGACAGTCATTCTAATATAACAAAACATGATAGTAATAATATTCATAATATCCACACAGATAGCCACCATCATCATAATAACAATAATAATGCATCACTTATTTTACAGGAAGAAAATATAACTAGTATTGCTTCCTCTTCTCCAGCAACAACAAATTGTGATAGTGATGATATTTTACAAGATAGAATACAAAATAAATATAATCAAGGAAGCAGTGATTATGTTCTACCCAGTGAAATTGAACAATTTAATATTATGGGTCGAAAGTTAGTTATGGATTATTTTAAGGTTGTATAACTAGTAATTGGTCTATATTATATATACATATATATATTTATAAATATGATAATAAAATATATGTACATATATATATATATATATACATTCATTCAGATGAAAAGCTTATTCACTGACTCACTACATATCGTGAACACGTAATTATCTTGTATAGTTATGATACAAAAGCTTCTCTCTCAGACAAACGATCATGCTCATACCTATTATTTAGAATTTATAAGTAATCTACTCAACAAACTGTATATTTAATAGAACTCAACAAATATTATCTTTATTTGACATAATATTTAATTACTTTTCATTTTCATAATTTTCCTGGCAGTAGTCGAATATTTGAATGTGTTTGAAAAAACACTACATTTATTAAAATCACCAAATATTAAGCTCTTATGCAAATTCTTTCGATATTATATGTATAAGATACTCTTAGAAATTATTCGATTCGCATAAGGAATAATGAGAAATTGGTTTTTTTGAAAGCCTTTAAAACATTTAATCTTATCTCAATCCATGAAATAAGGGTTATATGAAACTGCAAAAATTGAAAATTATTTACTCCATATACAATATCTGTAACTTGCTATATTTCTTACATTTTAGTTCTTATTTCCTATGTTAAAAATGTGAAGACTATTATCCATAACTGAAAACTGTACTTACAATAAAACTTTAAAGTTTATAATAAAACATAATATTTCAAAATACTGTTGATTTATGTATTCAATCTTAAATTACACATTCTTTACATAGTTATTATTTTTTATTTTTACCAAATCATTGTTAGAAATGTCCAACGATACGTTTTCTATTTACTTCAATAATAGTTTTATAATGTTTAATAAATTTTGCATGCATTTTAAGTTAAAAAGTAGCATTTCGATAGATTTATACCATATACAACACAGCTACTATGAAAACTGAGAGACAATATCATCTACTTTTGTTCGTCTTGGTATCTCATGCTATATACTATTTGACTAAATTATCCTAATTTGAATCCAAAGGATTACTTTTTTTTATCATTAACGGAAAGCAGAATACCAAATACGGAATATATTTTCCGTTAAGGCGAATATTAGTCATTTATGAATGTATGGGTCTTTGTCAAGAAATGAAAAAGAAACAAAAGTTCGATGACTCTTTTTTCAATCTATGAAATCAATCAAATACACACTTGATTTTTTTCATATATTTATGAAACATTAATCATTTATGAAATTTAAAGCTTAAGCATTTTGGAGACAGTATGGAGAAAAGATTCGTGATATTGGAGGAATCAACCATTACCAGTCAATAAAAACTGGACAACTGATCACCCAAAGACTATAGTATAATCTAAACGAACAAAATGTCCGAAGAACTACTATTTATTAGGCAAGCCATAGATGCTTTAGTGTCTACATCAGAAGAAATATCTAGTGTCAATCCAACTATACGGGAATTATTAGAAAGAATGAAACCAACTAGTTCAAATCAAAATATAATTAGCTATTCACTTAATGGCAATACTAACAATAATAATAAGAGTAAGAGTAGTAGTAATAATGATGCAAATAATATAAGTAATATATCGCCCCTTTCTCCAGCTCCAACTGCCATGTCATCATCGTTTTCTGTAGCTAATAGTGCCATGCAAGAAAAATTTAAATATGTCATTCCTAATCAAACAATGATGGATGCGATGAATTTTAAACCTATTAGCATTCCTTCTGTTCTTAATGACAATATTCCGCAAATAAATAACACACCAATAGACTCTCAAATATTATCTGAAAATCTTGCCCGTTCTACACAAAAATTGGGTCGTAGAAGAAAGACAGAAAAACCGCCTGAAGAAAAATTCTATTGTAATAAGTGTGAATTAGTATTTACCAAAATGTCTGAGTTAAAACGACATGAAAAAGGCCATTTGCTTATATTACCACATATTTGCTCGAGATGTGGGAAAGGTTTTGCAAGAAAAGATGCTTTGAAAAGACATGGTAATACGTTGACCTGTGATAGAAATAGAAAAAAATTGAAAGAGGCCCTCGGCGACAAATATGAAGAATATATAGCTAGAGCACATAGAGATGGTATAAGTATATAGTTATCAATATTATTATGCTACTAGATATAAACCAATTAATAATTAACCGGTTAGTAAAAATCATATTTAATATATTTCATTCAATATCAACATATCTGGTGCTTATATAGATCTAGGTATATGTTTAGAAAATTTGTTATTTGACATAGAAGGGAATAAAAAGTAAGAAAAAAGATTTAAATCCGAATAATTTGATTTATATATATATATTTATTTTTTCTTTTGCGCTTCCTCAATCTTTTTAGCTTCCTCGAATTCTTTAATCTTAGCATCCAGTTGAGATAGAGCAAAATATGCTTCAGAACCTAATTGCGGTAAAACATCTTGAAACATATCATCTAAACGTTTTAATTCGCCTTTACCATAGATAGCAGAAACATTATATTTTGGAGCAACTTCAAATTTTTCTAATTTGTCAAAATGCAAAACATTACCATCTTCTTGAAAAAAATTGGCTTCTGCAATATCACTGATTGTGACCCCACCCATTTTATGCATTTGATTCATTAATTTTGGTTCATCCGGAAATAAATGTGTCTTCTTAGTCTGTTTTCTTCTGGTACCACCAACCTTATTTGCGGATGATAGCTTTTGTAATTTTGCTAATTTAGCATGATCAATAGGCATCTTTAAAATTTGTTTTAGCTTTGTCTTTCCTTTCTTTTCTTGAGCTTTTTTATAAACCAAGGTATTATTTTATTACACTAATGAAATAAAGCTAAAAGAACGATTAACTTTTTTTTCTTTTTACTTTCTTTGATCTGTATCATTATTTTCTAACTTTACAAAATACAAATAGAACCAACAAAAAAAAAAAAAAGGTTTTTATTAAATATGGTAGTCAATCACAGTTTCGCTCTTTCTCTTTATCTCTTTTTCTCCTGTATCAATATATGTAATTCATATTTTAATTATTTTGTTTCTACAACATCATAAAAGATTTTTAAAATTTTCACATTTTTTGCAACTTTTCAATTTCCGATGATCCTTCATTCATTTTTGTTCATTTTATACTATTGTGTCGCCTATTGTAGTTTTATAATAGTATATTTGTAGTATTATGCTGTATATATCAATAGTTGATCTCTCTCTGCTTTTCTGAAGTGCATCAATACAAGCCCCATATATAACATTAAGATCCATTGATTGAACTTTCTTAAATATCAAATTTCTTAAATTGACCTATCATCACTCACGAAAGATTTAAACTAAATTTAACATAAGTATTTCATTCAACAAGATCATTAAATGAAATAACAGAACTTACCACAAAGGGAAATCTTTGAAATAATGAAGAAGTAAGCTGTGTTAAAGATGAATTGTTAAATATCTAATTATTAGCTTACCCATAATTCCAAAATATTTTACAATATGTCAAAAACAGAAAATTCATATAAATGAGTGTTAAAAAGTAGAACGGCTGTTAATGCTTTAGGATGTAGTGGCCATGATATATTGATGTTTAGACTTCTAATTATTAGTTTAGAAAAGAATTTTTAAACAAACCTTTATGATTGAAATATAAGAAATTATAAAAAAAAAAAAGTGAATATATATGGTAGCAGTAATCAACAAAGATAATTGCGTAGATAGGGCATGTTATTTAGTTACTTATAGCTATACTGGTCCAACTACAAGTTAATGTTACACCTAACACTATAAGGCGCATCTACATTGTATATGTATTTTCTTTATTTTATCAATATAAATATATTTCCAAAGTAAACTGTTAGCAAAATCTCGAAACTGTAAACTTATCACATTAAGTAAATTACAGATGAACTACACTAGATATGAAAAACTGTTTATCTAAATATATATACTGTATATGTAAAGATAAAAAATACGAATGTCGTTATCGACTTAAGAGATTATAAGATCGTCTATAGTAACATAACAGTTGGCTATGTCATATTTTTCACGCAAAAAAAAGTAAAAAGAAAGTGCTCGAGGTGGGGATTGAACCCACGACGGTCGCGTCGCTTATCATGAGAGAACCTCTAACTCCCATAGGCATAGAAATTCCACGCGGCAGACAGAATCACTATAAGCACGAAGCTCTAACCACTGAGCTACACGAGCATTTTCAAGAATGTCGTAAAATAAAGATGTTATTACCATCAAAATTATATAATATTCTGAGTGAATCTAGAATTATCTATTGTTTTTGTTAAAACATAGACAGTATATCTGTTCGGTTTCTTTATTAAAAACTGTTTTATTGTGTCGTTAATAATGATAATTAGAAAAGAAAAATATTTTTCAAGAAGAAAAAATTTAAGAAGAGAATCAAAAGAAGAGAGATCAATTTATATTTATGCATAATCATGTTATATAATTATATACATTGTTTTTTATAGGTTTTTAACAAACCCGAGATCCAATTTACTAATAAGTTAAGTCATGACTACAATAAATACAAATGCTACTACTTTCCAAGAGTTATATAAAAAAAAGAAAACCAAGCAATAAAATTACAATTTATAGTACCACTAACCTTCTGCTATAAATACCCAAAAAACTTATGATGTCACCGATATCCTTTTGTAAGTTATATTATCTTATTATATTAATCTAAAATGAACTCTAATAGAATTTTTGATTCCGAAGTTTTGCGTCAACAAGAAATTATCTAAGAATATACCTAATAATATATATGCCATGCTTATAATCAGGTAAAGATTAATCTCAATTTTTTTTTTTATTTTTCTAAAATATCTTGCTTCTTTAAAAAAATACCAATAATTTATTAAAAACAATCTTTAATAAAAAAAATTATTGAGAATATATTACACATTTTCTAACAAATATCTTACAACACGAATAAGGTATCAGCTTTTTTTTTTTAAGATAGTCCTCTAACTTCTAAGTTTAATTTAATTATGCATAACTTCTGTGCACCTTTGAAGACCAACCCTTCATATAATGCTTTGTTTAACAAGTACGAAAAATATTGCAACATCATTTCCAAATTTATTAAAGAGAACTCTTTATCATGCTGTTGACAAACAAAAAAATAGCTCTACACAAATCCGTTTTAATTTTGAATTATTTGCTGAGGATGAACCATTTGTATTGAAAAACTATTTAGTTACTTTCAAATATTTACTAAATCTGTTTGATTGTTATTACTTCTAGATTTTTTAATAAATAATAAAAAAGTTATAGCTTTACATACTGTAACAAAAGATTACACTATGTTCAAAAAAAAAAAGAACTTAAGAATTGAAAAAACATTTCAAAAGTACATACAAGCTTCTCTAAACTATGTATGTGTATGTAAGGATTAACAAGCTGAGTGATAGAGAATGAACCAGAGAGAATATACAACTGATGTATACCATTATTATTATTTGATTAAAATATATGTCTGTTTTATTTACTCACTGGAGTATAAAACTTCTTCCTTATACTCAAGAATAAATTGAGGGGGCTCGTCTTATACAGTATAAATATTGGCTGATCAAGATAAAAGAGGAGTTAACTAACAAAATAAAAGAGACATTTCTTTCAGAGTACTTATAAAAATATTCTTTTTTCATGATATTTATGTTCAGCAACCTTATAAGTATAGAAACTGAAAGAAAAAGAAGGACAAAGATATTCCATTAATAATTCTATTTCCCTTTTGCGCATCACCTCCAGACTAACAAAGATTTTTGTAACAAATTTTCAATTCCATGGTTTTCCCAAATTAGGGTTTACAAATCTTTTGGAGAAGAAGATTCAATAGAGATCTAATAAAAATTTCCAAAATACTATGGTTTTAGGAAAAACTACTTTTAGGATCCTCTCGTTTCATTTACTTTTTTTTAACTTTTAAAATTAGGTGTTTAGGTTTTTTATTATAATTTTTAGAATCAGAGCGAAAGATAACTATACAAAAGTTAGATGTATTTTAGTAAGTAACCATGAAGAAGCAAACCTTTGTTCTTTAACACTTACAACCACACTGCAATAACTTTTTTTTTTTGATTTTTAGTCTATAAAGGAACTATTTATTACACCAATCTTAGATGAAGTGTACTATTTTATTGCAGTTACTATCTCTATGTGCTTTAAACGAAAAATATGTCAACCTACAAACGAATAACCCTATTACTATTGTCCGATTTTTTTCGTTTAATTGCCATTTATATTGTTATTTTCAATCCTTTTTTTACACCACGAAACAAAGCAAACAAAAAAAATCGCAAAAAAAAGTACAACAATGACAATAAAAAAAACAGATAAAGACAAACCAAAAAAATAAAAAAACCACTAAACGATTTCAAGAAATCACATTCAAAAAAGAAAAGAAAAATTTTTGATGTGGAGTTGTGATGTTTTTTTAACCTGAAAAAAAAAAGGAAAAAAAATATGAGTTTGATTTTGTTAAGACCAACCCTGAAAAAAAAGAGACTCTGCATAGTAGTCAACAAAGGTGTCTATATGTGCCTTCGATTCTTTTTTTTTGTTAAGCAATTTAATTTAATCGAACCACATAGAAAAATAGATTTATACACTATTGATATAGGTATTTTTATGTTTAAACAAGTATGTACTTCTAGAAAACATTCCATTTCTAATATATACATATCTATAGTATATAACTTCAAATCCCCAGAAACAAAAGTAAGATCTATCAAAAACTTAGTAGAAATGAGCAATATAATCATCCATTCCCAGTAAACCCTAAAGATATCTTATTACTTTTATACAACTTCGTACAAACCTATTTTTATTCTTTTTAAGCTCGTTTAAATAATGCCCTTTGCTTTTGTTTTTGTTTTGTTTTTTTTTTTAAAAAAACCTTTTTTCTCTTTTGATATTTTTTTTTGTTCTGCATAATTTTTCACTATTATTGCTCATCACAGATGCCACATTCACCACAAACACCATCGCAACTTTCCGACCTAGTGGTAATAATTAAAACCAACTTATTCAAAATTGTTCACATGTTGCCATGGAAATAACCATAGATTTGTTAACAAAACAGAAAGGTTGAAGATCTTTTTTCTTTTTTTTTTTTTTTTTTTACTTTACCTTTAACTCCTTTTTCGCCAGGCTTAGCTGAAAGAATATTTTAATACAATATCCTTGTCATTGATTACATCAGAAAAAAACAACAACAACAAAATATAGAGCCATTCATTTATCTATAAATCCAACACCAATTAATAATACTATTGTGTATTATCATCTACTATTGTAATAAATACAAAACATTGGTTTCAACAACCGCTTTTTTATACTTAGGTGAATTTATTATTAATAAGAATACAATCTGTTAAAATACGCTAAAAAAAAAATAAAAAAAGAATAATTAATTTATTTTCATCCTTTCCTTCTCATTTAAATTATAGTTTACCTCTTTATATATCTATCTTCTTTACTTTAAGGCGAATGGAAGACATGGAATATTAAATTCATTGAAATATTTTTTAACTAATCGAGTTATCTTTCATAAAATAATTAAACTTCGTTCTTCCTTTAGATCATACAAAATAAAACACAAGTTAAGATTAAGCAATATTATTGATCAAAATTAAGTTTACCATCAAAAAGAAAGAAAAAAAAAGACCACGTACCTATATATAGAAAAACAAACAACAAATATAAGTTAACAATGGTTAAACCTGTAGAACTAATAGATATAGGCGGGAAAAAAGTGTCTAAAACATCAACAGGTAAGAGAAAATTCCACAATAAGTCTAAGTTTGGCTGTGATAACTGTAAAAGACGTAGAGTGAAATGTGACGAAACCAAACCAGGATGTAAAAAATGTCAAAATATGGGGTTAACTTGTGTTTATTCTCCACCACAACCAAGAAAAAAGAGAAAACGTACCATAAAGACTCCATCCACTACGGATAATACTTCTACCCCTGAGACTAGACCATTATGTAATCCTACTGGTATTAAATCAGAAACACAACTTCATCAACCAATACTTGATTCAAACCATACAATACCTACCACCATCACCAGTACTACTACCACTGCTGCTGTTGCCAACACAACCACCCCTGCAACTGCTACACTGCCTTCACAAAAAGAAATAAATAGTTTATCTGATCCATCTGCAACAGATTATATGAAAAAACTGCAGCAGTTACAATTTCTTCAACAACAACAAGCAATACTACTGTCTCAAATAAATTCTTCTATGATGAATAAAAAAGAAAATACCCCTGAGCCTCAAAATTTACCCAAAACTACTATTACTAACAATAACAATAATAACTTCAACATACCCTCTGTTCAAGAAGGTATTTTATTACCACCACTTGTTGCCAACAGCCCGGTTATACCTAACCTAGAAACGCACATCACTTCATCAATCGATAAAATGTCATCAAATCCAACTAACATGAACAGCAATAATAATATTTGGTCCAATACGTCATTAAGTTTAACTCCAAAGCCCAGTGATCAATCTTTAGGAATACCAATGCCTGGGGGGTTGAATAACAGTTTTTCACCAAATAAATTTAATTCTAATTCTATGAATACATTGACACCATCGACAAATAATATTTACAAATCATTGAATAGTCTTCCTAATGTATTACCTGTGACTGGTTCGTCAAATAATGGCAATAATAATACCAGCAACAATCTCAACAATCATACTATGCCTTTAAATAATATAAATATAGTGTCTGGATATGAACAAAATTATTTTAATGCTGAATTACAAAATTTAGCTAATTCCAAAAATATCAATAATATCTCCTCAACACTGATGAGTTTTTTTAGTGGGAATAATAATGTACTTCTAAATGGTAATGTTGATTTACTAACGTTTGGTAAGAACAATAACAGACCAAATAACAACAATAATAATAGGTCTTTAAAGGCTAATAATGCAGAGGTGGCATTGGCTAACATGCAACAGCAACAGGAGGAACAACACCAAATTACATCGAGAAATAATGAGAGTAATACTAATAAAGAAAGCCATAATAGTAAAGTTTCGCCTAGTATAGAAGGGAATCGTATAAATCCAATTAAAAACATATTAGATGAAACCACTTTATCAAATGTATCAAACCCATCCACTGAAAAAAATAACATTCCTTCTAGTATTAATACCAATAATAAAAATGATGATATAAATTCGAAATTGAGAGATTCTCAAATTGATTATTCCATAAGTAACAGTAGCAGTACACATAGCATCAATAGCAACGAATTACAAATTACTAAATCTAATAGTCCTATGAACTCATCGTCTGGAGAGCAGAGCCCCTCATCTCTGAATACTATATCCAAATTAATTGAACTATCAACGATTGCAAAATTAAATTTAGTGGATATTAAACTGTTTCATCATTATTGTACCATAGTATGGAAAACAATTACTGCTGCTGGGATATCTGGACCGGAGGTTTGGGAAACATATATTCCAAATCTAGCATTTGACTATCCATTCCTTATGCATACTATTTTAGCATTTAGTGCCTCTCATTTATCAAGAACTGAAACAGGTTTAGAACAGTATGTCTCGTCTCATAGACTAGAAGCTTTAAAATTATTAAGAGAAGCTGTTCTGGAAATATCAGAAGAAAATACTGATGCACTGGTTGCATCATCTCTAATTCTTATAATGGATTCATTAGCAAATGCTTCCAATACCACGACATCAAGTGACTCTAATACATCTGCATGGATTTTTCATGTCAAAGGTGCTGTTACTATTCTAACTGCAGTATGGCCATTAGCAGAATCTTCTAAATTCTATAACTTGATTTCAGTAAATTTAAGTGATCTAAGTGACGTCTTAAGCCAGGAAAATAGAACTATTTCTGAGTTAGTTTGTTTTGATGAAAGCATATCTGATCTTTACCCTGTAGAGATAGATTCGCCATATTTAATAACTCTGGCATATTTAGATCAATTGCATCGCGAAAAGAACCAGTTGGACTTTCTTTTAAGAGTCTTTGCTTTCCCTGCTTTATTAGATAGAACATTTTTAGCACTTCTTATGACTGGTGATATTGATGCGATGAGAATTATGAGATCTTACTACAAGATGTTGCATGGGTTTACAACCGAAGTTAAAGATCGTGTATGGTTCTTAGAAGGTGTGTCTCAGGTGTTGCCACAAGATGTTGACGAATACAGTGGAGGTGGTGGTATGCATATGATGCTTGATTTCTTAGGAGGTGGTTTACCCTCAATGACAACCACAAATTTATCTGAATTTATGTAATAATAGCATATAGAATTTATTTTGATCTTTTATTTCTGTTCTTTGATATTATATAAAGTTGTATCTATTCCTTTTTTTATTGAGAAGTAACTTTTTTTATATAATGACTGCTTTTATATTATTCTCGTGATCTATAACAAAATTCTCAAGTATAGTTAGATATTCACAAAGACAATCCGTTTTTCCTTTTGATTTTTCAGAAAAGATGAAAAAGTAAACACGTTTGTCACCGTAAAAATTTATTAATCATATTGGGAAATTTAAACGTCACAAACTCTCTAAATACCACAAAATACAATGATTGAACCAAACAACTATAGAGACAAATGTCGAACAATTATGAGGATTGGATAGACACCTGTAATATAAAATTAGCATCAATTTTCAAAGATTTTTCCACTAAGGAAGCTTCAATAAAAGGGCTTATCGACATATTTAGTTTGATATTATATTTACCTCCGAAAGAAATAATTTCTCAGATATTTTATCACCCTAGTATTGATATTGTAAACAGTTCTAAAAATCTATTACTCAAATATTTCAATTTCACTTTTGGTTTAAAAGCAAAATGGCTAGCTCGTAAATTGAAAACAAACCAAGAAAAAATTATATTTATCTTACTTACTAAATGCTTCATGGGATGTGACTATTTTTATCAGAAAAATTATACGAAAGCGTTTGACTCCTTTAGATGGTGTCTTAAATTACTATATTACTTAGAGAAACAATATAACCATCATAAGAACATCAAAGTCAATTTAAATACAATGAATGATATTGAATTATTTTGTAATATATACTGTGCACATTGTTTTTTAAAAGATTATTGTGAAAATGGAAGTTTTGAATGGATGAAGTTAAAGGAAGATAAAAAAAGTGTTTTAGATGAAAAAATTATTTCAGAGAGTTTACTATATGGTATTATAAGATCATTTAAGGATTTTTCAGACACATCCAAGTCCACAACATTACCTGAAAAGTACAAAGTAAACAAAGTGTTAGAAGTTTTAACAGAATTACAGTACTTCATTACTACTTTAGAATGTAGTTTAAAAGAATATGAAGTAGCAGACACACAGAAATATTTTAGACTTGCATTAAAAGTAAATCGAAATTCTTTAGTAGATATAATTGAAAAGACTATTGTAGTAATGAATTCCAAACTTTTTGAGGATCCAAGTATCATAACCACGATAAGAAATCTCATTAAGTACATTACTTTACATGGAGATGTCCAGGTAAGTATATTATATTTTTTCTATTCTCTTTATTTATATTATTTAAATCGGTTTCCCCATTATCAAAATGTGGCTCTTGTCCAACTAGAAAAAGAGTGTATCGAATTTGCTGCACTTGTCTGTCAAAAAGTAAATGAAGACACTATAATAAGGCTTAATGCAGGTAAAATTACTGGATCGTTGCCTCAATTTTTGATAACACACAGTAATGGAAAGTTAATAATGGTAGATACTTTCACAAATCATAACTCAGAAAAGGAGCAGTTTCATATTAGATTAAAACACATCCATGTGTGGCAAAGACACAACAGTACAAAAAAGAAAGATAAAAAGACAGATTACACTTCTGGTTATAAATGGTTTGATGACTGGGCTGAATATTATATCAAAAACTACAATAATAAGTTGAACTCTGAACTTCTTGAAATATACGAGAGAGTTTCAAAATCTAGATAAAATCTAACCCGTATATTCAAAAGTATAATAGTTTTGATTCAAATTGTTTATGTGTATTAATAAATATCATTAAATTTTAAATGTATCCAAACTTAACTTCTTTTTATAATAAGTATTTCTTTCATCATCTAATTCTACAAAAAATAAATAGTTTAATATTATATTTTCATTTTTTTACTAATGATGACTTCTTCATTTAATGTATCATTAGAAGAACGTTTTTGGTTATCTAAGATTGTCTTTTCTTCTAACTCATTCACTCTAGTATCAAGATACTCTAATAATTCATTAGTAACTTCACCCGACTTAATACTTTCATAATTTTGAGAGTATAAATGTAAACTGATTTCCGCGTTATTGTTAGTTTTTTCATTTTCATTCTGCTTCGCATCTTCATCTATTACTGACAAAATTGTTTCTTTTTTAATTTGTAATTTATTGCCTTTATTACTTTTCAAATCAAAAAAATTCTCTTCTAGTATTCTATAATCTGTGAAAAGATTCTGAAACTTTTCTGGATCAATGAATATATGTAATCTTCCTTGAAAGAAATTTTTTGGATATCTAAATTCATTATCTACTTTTTCTTTATATTGTAAACCACAGTATAGTAACGATAGAGCAACAAATGTATATCCATCACATAACAATGATATTGGTTGTGTCACAGCCTGAATAATAAAATTTCTTGCTTCTTGTAAAAGTTTAGGAAATATTTTCATAAACTCTTGTGGCAAATCATAATCTCTATTATACCTATAGTATCCACTAAACATATCTTCAATAATTTCTTTTGGGTTGTCAATATTCAAATCAAAACCAAATATACAAAGTATTCTTTTCTCATTTTCAATTAATTTATCCTTTACTTCCCATTTTAATTTATCCATATTAAACCTTTGTTTCAAATTGGGTATAGTTTGGAACAAAAATTCACAAGTGGCCTTCACATAGGCATCTAATGGTCTATTATTTTCTGTTGTTTTACAAGCAGTTACTAGAATAGCTTGTGATATATGAATACAAGTTAATAAATTGCTTGGCAACCCATTAATATACCAAAACCTGAAGAATAGAATACTTGAGGCAGTATAAGTGTGATCGAACAAATTCAACTTTTTCTTCAGAGTATAAAAATATAACAGACATTTTTCCATAATCTTTTCAGTTTCATTGATTGGAATATTTTGTTTTTCATTAATTGTATTCAATCGATCAATAATCTCTTTACAAGTGAATATCCATTGATTTGCCGGAGTCTTTATTATATCCGGCCAAAATTGTCTTGCGTTAAATTTCTGTTGTTGCTTAGCTGGAACTGTGGGAGACTCTGAAAAGTTAGTTATTTGAGTTTGTAACTGTGAGGAGGATGTGCCATTTTCCATACTTTTAGACTCCATTACAGATATTTGGCGTTCTGATCTTAAGTAATTAGGACTTGTGGAGAAGAAAATATTATATAGTATGGGACAAAGTAGTAAAAAGTTAATAGCCGTAAATAAATATTTGTAGTACTATTTAACAAACTTGTTTATTTACAAGTACACCCACAATTGGTTGTATATTTATCCACCTACCTTCCTTTTAAATGCTAGTATCTTTTACTAAATATTTAGGCTTTACTGGAACATTCTAATAATTCATTCCAAAAGGTGCATTCTCAAAGACCCGTTGAAAGTGATTCTTCAAAAAAGAAAAGAAAAAGGAAAAGAGAAATAGTATTCAACCCTGAATTAATAGAAATTGATTACTTTTAAAACTCAAGTTATGTGTTTCACAACCCTAATTAATTCATTCTTTCCAAACTTCGATTAATTTGGGTAATCTCAAATCTTTTATGTATCTGTTTGGCATATGTTTCTTTTGTTGTGTATTACCAAGACACTCTAATGAAAATGTAATATTGTTATTTATATGCTCACTATCATTATCATTCATTAGCAGTGCATCTGGTTTATTATGTGGATAGGCTATATCGCAAAGATTATTATTATTTAATAAATATGCTGCAAATATACTACTAAAAAGAGTTCCCCATTTATTTATTACAAAATTCTCAGCTTCTAATGGCACTTTAAAATAGAGTAATTCATAATAAGAGTTAAAATCATCAAAGCTGTAACCTAAAACTTTCAATTTGTCATTAAAGATATCTCTATTTTCAGTGTTAACGTAATAATGAACATTAACTGGGGAAAACAAGTTCAACGATTTTGCTTCATTACTTTTAACATGTTGAGACCTCAAAAATTTGTATGAAATATCCCCAATTTTAGCACAATAAACACCAGGTTCTTTAATAAGCTCATGCAGATAACTTACAAAAAAATAAGTGTCCACTTTATTGGTTCCATATGATTTTAATTGAACGACAACTTTGTTTATGTATCTGGCATAGTTTATATCTTTAACACATATCCAAACATTAAATGGAATAGTAAATAGACCATATCTATTTGAATTTAACCGATTCCTACAAAAATTATTCATTGGTAATATAAAATTATTACTACTAGCAGCATAGTTAAATATTGAGATGGGCCTTACCAAAAGACTGTAAATAATTTCCCATGAATCACAAATATATTCCATTGTCTCTATGGAACTAAAACTCAAATTATTTTGGCTATATAAACTCAACGTTGATGAAAACAATAATTTTCTGGAATATAATCTAATTGAATCAAATTCTTTAATGTAAGACACCAACACAAATAAAAAACAAGAAGAATTCCAAATTGAGTGATTTAAAGGAACCAAGTTTAAAACTTTATGTTTGAACCAATTATTTCTAACCAAGTATATTCTTCTGTTAATTAATCTTAGATTTCTGTTATCACAATAGCTCAACCAACAAAATAAAAGTTCATCAGGTAAAGACAGAAAATTGGTCATTGTATATATTTCCCTTTCCAAATGATGGAATAGTTTAAAAATTGTACTTATTCTTATAGTACTCTAATTAAAGATTATATTCTTTCAAGAAATTCGGATCGAGAATGTATCTCTATTTCCTCCTGCTACAGTATTACCTTAACTATTCAACTATGCAACATATGTAAAAATAGATAAAATATATATATAAGGAAATTTGAGGGAAAAACGAAAATAAAAACTCCGAACGGAATTGAAAGTAGAAAAAAAAATAAAAAAAAATTAAGGCAATGAAAACAAACAAACAAATAAGTGTATAAAATAATGTGGAAGCTTACAATAAGAAGAAGTTTTATAAAAATAAAACAATAATTGTTGAGAATGAGCGCCTGTATTCATTGGATATATAGTAAACATTCTCAATATTATATTAAAACAGATTTAGTACACAAAATTATGATAAAGTTCTTCACTTTCTTTCTCTATATACAACATAAAAATAATAATATACAAAGATTGTAAATAAGATAAAAATAATGTATGATGAAATCCTTGGCTTTATATATGCTAACATTAAGCCATTTTCCTCTACGAACAGTAAGATATTTAATAAACAAACTCAACAACTTTTGGTGACTTCTCAACAATTATTACTCAACAATTTATTGTTTAGTGTCTGCTAGAATCTTATTGTTCTATTTATTTCATTATAGAACATTCTATTTCAACAATAATAACTTTGATTTCACAGATATACACTTTTTTTCTATCTTTCTATCTACCTTTGTTTTCTATTGTTTATATTAGAAAGTTACTAAATCCTATTATTTTATTCCTTGCTCGTTATTCTTTATCCTTTCCATGTAATGGTTGTCACTTACTCATTTCATAAAGAGTTATATAAATGTATTATAAATATAGTAATATGTTTAGTGCTAGGAAGATTTGTACAAAAACAAAACTTAAAAAATAAAAATAAATAAACCAATTTGTTTGGTAGTTAAATTTCTCCTGAGATGGCAAGTAATAGTCTTTTTAGTATATATTTTCTAATCTTGATCTGTTATTGAAAAGAATATAAAATTTTAGAAATTAGTTAATTTAGATTAACTTCTTTAAATGTAAACTGTAAAAATCCTAGTTAAAAACCATGAAATGCATATTTTCTTGAGTGATATTAGATATTAAAGCATAAATTTTGCAATGGTTAAGCCTCTGCACTTGAGCTGTAGATATATTCAAAAAATTATCATGCTAGTGACATATTATTAAAAAACACATTTAACAGATCTCTGATTATTGTATGTGTATGTTTCAGAGGTAACTATTTGCATTATTATTTTTATTACATCTATTAGGTTCTATCTAATAGATTAATCTATAATAAGAATAAAATACAATATGAATGCTATAATTAATTTATTATTTTAGAATCAACAGTTGTATAACTTGTATGTGTTTATATATAATTAATGTGTATATTTTAGAATAATATTTGAAACAATTTTTTTTGTTTGAAAAATCATTTCCTCTTTAAAAACATATTCTTAGTTTGATTTTTTATTAAAAAAAGCGCATATACAAGAATTTTAGGGCCTTTTTCACTAATATATTATTATTTCTTTACAATGTTTAGAGAAAACAAATAAAAATTTTTTCTTCAAATTCGAATACCATTAACCACAGATGAATTATAGAATATAAGTAAGATTTATCCATTTTACTCGACACATACAAGTGCTAACTCTGAACACAATAATGTTATGGAAAAATTTTAACTTCTTTATCCTTTTAGAAAAATGAATTATGTAGTATTGTTCCGTTTTAAAAACATTTGGAATCATCTATTAATTTTTTGTTTAAATATTAACCTAAAACTACTATTAAAAACTTTTTCCTTTCTAACTATATATATATATATATATAAACGTGAATTTATACACTGTAAGTCAGCAACAATTCGAAGACTTTATAAATATTAATTTAACAGAATTTAATACTTTATCTTCTTCCAATGATAAAGCTATACAAACTTCTGAATATACTGTATATAATAATATTTTGGGGTTTTCAACTAAATTACCCTGTTTTGTTAAAAAAAAGACTATTTTATTAAACTCGAGTTAACCTCAATCTATTCCTTATCTCTTCTACTAAAAAAAGTCAAAAAGTACAAACGACATACAATATAAAATCTCATCTATGATTTTTTATTCAACACTTAAAGTTTTAGTAAATTCTTCTAATAAAAAAACTCAAGAAAATTTGCCAAGAATATTATTACCTTGGTGTCAAAAATAAGGGAACAAAACTATGTATTTATTGAATCAAATTATAACAAACATTATAAAAAAATACTGAATAATTCATGTTATAGGTATACTTAAGTTGTTACTACTCTTTGTAAAAACAATTGTTCCGAAAAATCATTAAAACTTAAGAGTGGAGAAACGTAGTTTCTTACTTCCAGATAAAATGAAGACATGCCTTACAATGATTTCAGGCTTGTATCACAGTACCATGTTATTACCTTAACTAAATGTTTAATATTATTTTGCATTTAAATAGTTTATTTCAAGAGTATTTATTTATTTGCTTTTTTAGAGGTTTACCTACCTTTTTCATTTTACCTGACAAATAACCATAAGGGTTTACCATCTAAACAACTGAAATTTCAAGAAAATCGGTTTGTTTTCTTTATTTATGCGTTTTTTGCTCTCCTTTTTTTGCTCTCTTGTTTTCATTTCTTTTTATAATTCAGGGTTATTAAGTTTTTTATTCTTTTTTCCCTTATTCTCTTCTCTTAACTTAGGTTTAAAATAATTCCTCTTCTATATTTCCTCGACCCCCTTTTTTTTTCTTTCTTTTTTTTATTTTTTTGGAGAAAAGAAAAATTTTTAGTTTATTTTGTCGATGAGCTTTAGAAGACCTGCAAACAAAAGGAAAAAAAATTAAAAAGAAATTTCCTGGTTTGAAAAATTTAAAGATGATATAGAGATAAATAAAACCAATCAAAAAAAGAAGTAAGTTTGTATTCATTAAACAAATATACTTATACACGTATATATTCCTTCATACCTTCATAAACTTCTCTGTCTAGGTCATAAGATAAAAATATAAAAAAATAAAACCATACTGAATTAAAAATTAACCAAGAAAAGGAATAATAACGATAATCATCATTTTGATCCATTTCATATAGATATTACATTGCACCTACTTCTACTTCTATTTTAATCTATCATTGATCTTTATTTATTTATTTACTTATTTACTTATTTACCAATTAGGCATTTAATTAATTAGTTTATATTCTTTGTATACAAACACATTCGCACACACACATTAAATATATTTGAGTGCTCTATGGTAAGTCAAAAGAGTCCTAGAAAAAATGTGGTCTTATCCACTTCTCCAACCAAGAAACAACCGTCAATTCTAGCCACATCAAAAACAACTATCACCACTAATACAACACAATCAAATACTAAAATATCATCTAATAAGTTACCGATTAGTAGGCCAAGACGATTTAGTCTTATATATAGTTCAGATGAATCTCCTTTAAGTGATGTAGAAATGAATGGTAGTTCTTCTATTCCGACAAATAATAACAACTCTACTGAAGATAATCACATTGGTGACGATAATAACAGAAATGATAATAGTAATAAAAATAGTAATAAAAATACTAATCACAGTAGTACAGCTATGAAAGGTAAAATGATATCTAATAATTCAACTGGTAAAAAAAGTAAACTTATAGAAAACAGTTCAAAGAAAATTTCACAATTAACATATAATAATACCAAAAGCAACTCAACAGACACCGAATATTCTAATTATGCCACAGACGATGACGATGTATCTAGTGAAGAAGAAGAAGAAGATGATGATGATGAAGACGAAGATGATGATGATAGTGAAACAAGCTCAGATGACGAAACCATTGATTTTGTTAAATTAACAGTTCAAAGAAAAAAGAGCCATGCAAGCGTTAAATGCAATGAAAAGAGGTAAAACCCCTGCCAAAAAGAATCCAACGACTGCCTTTTCTAATATGCCAATAAGTAACACTACCCACTCCACGCCTACTGAGTCAAATGATATGAACAGTAATAGCATGAAACAAACAGAGCATTTGATTCATCCCTCCGGTAAGAATAAACCAGGTATCACATATTCACAATCGAATAATCTTTCTACTACTAGTGATAATCAAGATGACAACAAAGAAGAAGAAGATATTGGTGAAGAAATATCCGACAAAGACGATAAAATAAATAAAGATTCAAATGCATCTTCATTTATTAAGAATCAGGTAGATGAGATGCATGTGCCAAAATTTTCTGAATCTGAGGAATCTGATTATGATATAGACCAAGATGCATATTTCGATGTTGTAATGGATAATAATGATACTGCAGGTGAAATTCAAACAGGTCTAGACACCTCTGACGATGAGCTGCCCATTCTTCACGAAGAAGAACAACAAATAGTGGCTGATTTACAAAATGATGATTCTTTATCTTTTGATGGTAGTATTCATGAAAATCCATCTGATTCTGCAGATTTAGATAGTCCCATGTTGGATAATGATTCTTATCATGAAAATGATCATGATAACAACAATTCTCATAATGACTTTGATGACGACGACGAAGATGAAATTATGTCTGATTTTGATATACCGTTTTATGAAGATCCAAAATTCTCTAGTCTATATTATTATGCAGATAATTCAGAGCCAAAATTAAATTTAAATACTGATTTACCATTAATATCAAATGATAAAAAAGAATCCAAACATCAGAGAAGAGAGGCTAAGAAACGTGAATTGAGAGAAAGATTGAGGTCAAGGAAGTTGTTAAGGGAAAGAGTAAAAAAGACAGCTAATGTCTCAGGGGACGAATATATCTTTGGTGTTTTTTTCCGTAGTGATAGTGACGAGAATGAAGATTCAAAAAATAATGGCCACAGTGGAACTTTAAAGAACAGAATAAACATGGATAAATCTTTGAAACAGTTGAGTTCTTCTGCATTAATAGATACTTCTGATGATGAATATGACAATATTTTATTAGATATTGCTCACCTACCAACCACTGATGAAGATGGTGAGGGGGAAGAAGATGATTCACAAGAAAATTTAGGAAATAATCCTGGGAAACATTCTAAAAGTGCACATAATAAGGATGGATCATATTTTTCTACAGAGTATTCTGATGGTTCAATGGATGAAGAAGATGACGACTATGGCTATGATAGTAGTGTTACAAACATTTTTATAGATATTGACGATTTGGATCCTGATTCATTTTATTTTCATTATGATGATATTTCTTCTTCAGACAGTAATATTTATAATTACCATCATAATGAAGATAATATTAGTGAGACAGTAATATACCCCGATGATGAATCTACAGATGAAGATGATAATCTTCCATCACCAACTACAAGGAACAAACTCACTTTCACCAAACCCAAAGAGATTGTAAGTGCCAATGTTGTTGGCTTAAAGCCACCGAAATTAGGTACTTGGGAAACCGATAATAAACCGTTTAGTATTATCGATGGGTTATCAACCAAATCTTTGCATTCCTTAATTCAGGCACATCAACAATTAAATGATTCTAATCAAAAACATGAAGCACAAGGTACAAATAATGTTGTTAACAAGGAAGAGAATAATTCTGCAGGAGAAGAAATGACATTGAATGAATTGCTAAACATGAGTGAATTAGAAGATGAAGAAGGTGATAATAAAAATTCATACCAATCATCTCTTATAACTGAATGGTATAATAAACCAAAAATTCCACTGTCCGCATTTAGAAACAAGGGAATTGATTACAATGACACTACTGAATATATGATTCCAAATCTCTCTACTAAAAAGATACCCATCGGCTATATTGGAGTTGAAAAGACTAGAAGAAAACTAGATAAGATAAAAGAACTACAAAGAAGAAGAAATGAAAAGAAAAGAAAATTAAAAAAGAAAAGAAAAATTCAAAAACTGAAAAGAGAAAGAGCTCGTATGGAAAAAGAAAAAGCATTATTAGGTGATGTGTCAAGTGCTGATTCTAAAAATATACAGACTCTTGTTAATAATTCCAATGAACAAACATCAAATAAGATCGAAGACATACATCTCATAGATTCTAATAACATGGTATTTTCTGATAGTAACACTGATTCCAGAAAAGACTCAATCAAGAGTGTTGGCATTGACGAAATCCATCAGATCTTAAGCAAAAGTGATGACAATTTATTAGATGATCATAATATTGTATTGGATTATCCAGATGTCATGGATGATCATGAAGGTGTCATAATAAATGATGCAGATGCCGATATTTTAGCCTCATTAACTGCACCTGTTGATTTTGGAGATTTTAATAACAAATCTTTATGGAAACAACGTAGACAAAGTATGGCAGAAGCGGTTGCAGAGAATATGAGATTTACTAAAAACGGTTTATTTAGTGAATCGGCTATTGCAGATATTGAAAACATAATTAATCCAAATAATAATAGCACCAATGGATTTGAGCTTAATGAAGTGCTTCAATAGTTAGAAATGGCTTAACTATTCATTTGCTTATATATAATTGAAATCACTTCTTATTACTTCTGTTTACTGTGGTGCCATCTATCTTTTTTTCTTACATTGATATAGATTTAGGATTTGCATTCAAATTGATTTTCCCAATTATGATGTCATACAGCTTTTCTTGTAAGGCATCATTAGACAATGTACTAAAAAAATAGTGAATTGACTGAGTTTTTACTAATACCCTCTAATTATATAGGATTGACTTTTATGGATAGTTGTTCCTCTTACTATTATTACTTTTATATATTATTTTTTTTATTCATTAAAATTAGCATATAGATTCCATTAAACACTTCTTATTTTTATTATTTGGTTTAGTGTCTTAGGATAGAAGCCTTTAAAAGATTTTGTATATGAATAATGACTAAGAGTAGATATAATGTCACAAAGAACAATGACCATTACCATTTTAGAAGGATCATTTTTTAGTACCGCTTTATAATCCTTTAAAAATATTGAATTTCGTGGAAAATGACCATAAATTTTTTACAGTCCAAATGAAAATGTTTAAGAAAAATAGTATGAATTAATGATGAGCATCTCATCTCATCTCATCTCATTTTTACAAGTAGGCTGGATACATACTCTTCATCATTAATGATAAGGTTCACATTAGATAGTTATCAAGGTATTTTTTGTTTTTGAAAATATTGTTGAGGGAAAATAACATTAAGAAATAGTGAAGCAGAAGTAAGTCAAATTATAATGAGTTTTAAAACAAGTTTCAAAAATACTGAATTAGATCCTATTTATGCAGGTAGTAGTGCTATCGCTACTATTAGTGAGGATGGAACACTTTTGGCAACTCCAATTTTAGATGAAATTAATATTGTTCAACTAAAACCATCACAAAAGAAACTGGTTACAATATCAAATGATGATGAACAAGAAATTACTGCTTTAAAGTTAACTCCAGATGGTAAATATTTATGCTACGTGTCTCAAGCACAATTACTAAAAATTGCTGATATAGGAACTGGTAAAATCATGAGATCTATGAAAATTTCCTCCCCTTCATATATCATGGACTCCGACCTAACCTCCACATTGGTGGCAGTTGGTGGTACTGATGGTGCAATTATAATTGTTGATATTGAAAATGGATATATTACCCATTCTTTCAAAGGTCACGGTGGTACTATCTCTAGTTTAAAGTTCTATGGTGAAATTCATAGCAACACATGGTTATTATGCTCAGGTGATACAAATGGTGTCATCAAAATTTGGGACCTTGTAAAGAGAAAGTGTATTTATACAGTTCAAGAACATAACTCTGCTGTTAGAGGTATTGACATTCGTTTAAAATCTGAAGACAGTGATTTATTAGAAATGATCTCTGGTGGTAGAGATGATATTATTAACTTGTGGGAACTAAATACTAAGAAAAAATGTACTCTTTTAAAGACCATACCTGCACACCAACAGGTTGAAGCTTGTGGCTTCATTAACGTTGATAGTTTAAGAAATATTGTCTATACTGCCGGTGGAAATGCAGTTTTACAATTTATTTCCTTGGACAATGGCGCTATAGTGAGAAAAAGCAAACAACCCATTGAAGAATTGTTTATAATCGGTGTTCTTTTGATAAATAAAGGCTCTGAACTGTATGCTGTATTTTCTGATCAATCCTTACATTTCTTCAATATTGAATCCATATTCAAATTAGAGAACAATAAAATGGAATTTGCTTTCTCTAATTCTATTGCTGGTAACCATGGTACAATTGCAGATATGAAATTTGTAGGTTCCAATTTGAATAAGTTGGCATTAGCAACCAATTCTCCCACTTTAAGAGTAATTCCTATTCCCAATGACATGAATGAAGACCATTTACCAATTGATGTTGAAATGTATGAAGGTCATGAAGATTTACTTAACGCGGTTGATTCTACAGAAGATGGAGTATGGTTGGCCACTGCATCTAAAGATAATACAGCTATTGTGTGGAGATACAATTTAGAGACCAACAAATTTCAACCATATGCTAAATTTATAGGTCATTCTGCTTCAGTTACTGCGATTGGATTACCAAATGTAACTTTAAAAAATTGGCCTGAATATTTATTAACTGCATCGAATGATTTAACTATTAAGAAGTGGTCAATACCTAAACCAACAGGGCCTGCATCTATTAACGATAAGATACACACATTAAGATCGTCCGAATATACTCGTCGTGCCCATGAAAAGGATATAAATGCATTATCCATATCACCAAATGATTCTATTTTCGCTACAGCATCATATGATAAAACCTGTAAAATCTGGGATCTTGATACTGGTGAATTAAAGGCCACACTAGCTAACCATAGACGTGGTTTATGGGATGTTTCTTTTTGTCAATTTGACAAAATTTTAGCTACATGCTCTAGTGATAAAACTATTAAGATATGGTCTTTAGATACATATTCTGTTTTAAAAACTCTAGAAGGACATACCAATGCAGTTCAAAGATGTTGTTTTATTAATAAACAAAAACAATTAGTAAGCACTGGTGCTGATGGTCTTGTTAAAATTTGGGATTGCTCGAATGGTGAATGTATGACAACTTTAGATGGTCATAGTAATAGAATTTGGGCTTTATCAGTCTTAGACGATGGTAATTTAATAGTAACTGCTGATGCTGATGGTATATTCCAATTCTGGAGAGATTATACAGAAGAACAAAAAGAATTAGATATTGAAAAAGAAAAACTAAAAGTTGAACAAGAACAATCTTTACAAAACTATATAGCAAATGAAGATTGGACCAATGCTTTTTTATTAGCCATTACATTAGACCATCCAATGAGATTATTCAATGTTTTAAAACAGTCCTTAGACTACATTTGTGAGGAAGATAATAATGATAATACCATTGTTTTTAATAAACAATTAGATCAGGTGATATCTACTTTAAATGCAGATCAATTGTTATTACTAATGAAAAGATGTAGAGATTGGAATACCAATGCAAAGACTCATATCATTGCTCAAAAGACTATAAGGTGCATAATGTTACACCATAATATTTCTGAGTTAACTGAAATACAGGGGATGATTAAAATTATAGATGGTATTATTCCATATACACAAAGACATTTTGCCCGTATAGATAACTTAGTAGAGCAAAGTTATATTTTAGATTATGCCTTGGTTCAAATGGATAAATTATTATCCTAAACAACAAATATCATTTTACCATAATCAAAGAACATATACATAAAGATATATATCTTCAACTAGATAGCTAAATAGATATCATATGGATCCAGTTACGGTGATTATATTTTGTATAATAGATGTAGGGAATTTACAAGAGACGCTAAAGATTTTAGTTATTATTTTTTTTATAATATTGTATTAGTGCTTTTTTGGCTTGCTTCATTTATGCCATTTTTTATATTAGTGAAAAAAAATTTGATGTGATGAGATAAAAAAGAAAATAATATGGCATATTAATCTGAAATCTAGAATCCAGTCCATAAAGAATCAATTCAATAAAAAATTATATAGAGATATATACCCAAAGATAAATTGAATTTATACAAAAAGACAAAGTACAAAATGTCCCTAGGTGAGGCAAATTTAATTAAAAGTAAGAGCAATAAGAAGTCTAGAAGAAAAAAGAAAAGAAGAACTACCGATATTTCTGATTCCTCTGATTCTGATTCTTCATCCTCGTCCTCAGACAATGATGTTCAAGTGGATGATGGTCATGATACAAATGGTATTAATACTAATAATGAACAAATAGTGGACCAATCCTTATCAGATATTGAATTATCAGACGATGAACTTCCTAAGAAATCTCAATATAACAAAGAATTACTTTACCAAGACACCAAGGAAAAGCTATCTAATATACCTTATACTATTACAGAATTAACAGAAAGATCGAATCAAAACCATAAGTATGATAATCATAATACAGATTTAAAAAAAGTAGAAGAAACATTAAAAGAAGCCACTACCAATATAAATAAAACTTTGAATAAACCTATAAGTGCTGATCTACAAAATGAATACCTAGGAATGTTGTTTCAAAATTACGGTGATGATATTAATTCTTTAAGAAATGCACCCGATTTCACTAATAAATCATTAGTATTACTGGCCAATGTTCTAAAAGATGGATCTAAAATGTTTGATGTAGACACTTTAAAGACTATAGTAGAATCAAAATGATCCATATCTGTTCATACATATATATATATGTAAATATACTAGGTTATAATACTTCATTGTATTTTATAAAACAATATAATGAACACAATAGTTATATGATGCGATATTTCAAAGATACTAGAAACAGAACAAAAATTAATACACTTAACACATCTCTATTATAGTATTACTAATTATATAGAAATAAATAAAATATAATATATTTCTACGATATCCACTCTCTTCCATACGAAAATTTCATATAAGAATCTTAAATCAGTAAAAACAATAGTAACAGAAAACCTCCGAACAACCCAAAAGTATCAGTAATATTTAACAATACAATTGACTATGTCATGTATTAATAACCTTGCATCAATAAATAACAGTTTGTTTACTTTGATCTCTTAAAAAGTCCTGTGAAAAATTTAGATTTACTCTTCTTGGAAAATGTACGTGAGGTAATTTTTGTAATTTTTGGTTTACTATCTGTAGAAATATTAGTGATACTTGCAGAAGTCATTGGCATATTGGTATTGTTTTTGATAGATTGTTCTTGCTGTAACAAAACATCTTCAGTTGGTGTAGCTGAATCAACAAGTTGTCCTTTTGAATTACTAAATAAACTAGAAGAATTTGTCACATTTTCATTTGAAATCCCTTGATTAACTCTATCATCTTGATTTTGGGAAAAGATTGCACCTGTTGTGGGAACTGTTCCGTTAGGGAAATGATCCAAATTCTGTTGTACAGGCAAGGTCGTAGTAGCACCATGAGATACATATGGTTCTACCTTTAATGGTGGAGGATGAAGTTGATGTTCATGAATATTTTCTGCTTTTGCAACTTCAATCTGTTCAACCAATCTGTTTTGTTCTTGTATCTTTAATTTATCCTTTTTAGGTGGTTGATAACCACTATTTTCATTTGAAAATTGAACCACTTTATCAAACACATTCCTAATCTTAGACTTATTCTTTTCAACATTAATTTTTGGACGATGTGGAAACTTATACTTATGTTTAGGATTACTTGATACTGGTTCCAATTTTGGCATTGGAATAACATTATTGGAATCAAATGGCTCTTCTGGATGTGCTGTTAATAATACTCCATATTGAGCTTCACTTCCTGGTTTCTGTTGTATGTCAACTTTACTTGATTTTTCTACTGAAGAAGACTGGTCATTAGTATCAATTTTTCGCACATCTTCCTGATTATCATGCACTTTTTCACCCTTTTGTTCATCAACTTGATTGCAAATAGCATCAGTGGTAGATTCATTCTTTGTCTGTTGATCGGAAACAACAGTAGATATAGTTGCCGCATTTTCGTTCTTTTGAAAGTTTATTTCATTATTTAAGCTACTATCACTTTGTTTTTGTGCTTTATCAATAGAAGCAGAAGACACCATACTATTTTGATTTGTAGACTTTACTGGGTCGTCTTTCACTATATTTTTGGATTCTTTAACAGTATTCTTCTGTCCTTGTCTTTGTCTCTGTATCAACTTCTTCTGGGCCTCATTAAATCTCTTTTGTGCAAGTTCCAAAGCTTTAGCATACATATCTTCATCAGATAACGCCTGCTGCTTTTCATTTTTAGAATTATTGTGAGTTGGTGAGTTTTGTGATACTGAATGTACCCTAGATTGAGAATACGGTAATGAGTTAATAGAGGTTTGCCCGCTTGAACTATTAGTGACTGTTTTCGTCATTGATGTAACTGGAGAAGAAGAAGATATTACAGCAGATATATTCTTTTCATGCTTATTCTTAGAGAATAATGATGACCCAAACAACTTCAAGCTATGCTTATTAGTGCTATGAGGCGTATTATAATAAGGTACAATTGATTCTTTAGGAATAGATTGATCTCGTAAAGTCATTCTGGAGCCCATTGTACTTCTTGTATCACCATGTACTGTATTAAATTGACCAGATGCCCCAGTACCATATGTATTGTTATAAACTTTTTCTTTGCAACTTCCAATGCCTTTATGTACATTTCTTGTTCTGTTAAATGCTTTTTAGGTATTTGTCGCGATGGAGAATGTGACGATGATGATAATGACGGCTGTATTGACCTACCATTCTTCTTTCCTGCATTTTTCGTATTTACTGTTGTTTCATCCTTGCTAACAGATTGGCGATTAACAACGACTTTTTCTTCACTGGTCTTTTACTGGTCATGGACGTTCTGTTATTATTACTCTTATGGGTAGTTGTAGAGATAGACGATCCTTTGGATATATTCGATTTATGAAGAACCAAATTCTCCTTTGAAGACGGCATAGATCCCATAGTATCAGAGAATTTAGATAAACTACTTGTTTCATCCAATGGAATTAAACCAGAAACATAGGGATGTGTGAAATGCTTATTTTGAATTTCCATCTGGTCGAATTTATCATCAACGGTGTATTCCTTATTTTCGTCCTGGTAATCATCATCGTGATGATTATGGATATTACTATTATATCCTTTTCCATCATGTAAATCTTTATCAAGCTCCTTTTCGAGTTCTTCAATTTCATCATCCTGAGAAACTTTCTCATCTTCCTCTACAATATCGTCGAGTAATAAATTATCATATTCATATCCTGGGGTTCCGTCTATTGCTGTTGAATCATTCGCACTCGTATTATGGATGTTGTTGTTATTCTTCATATTTATATCATAAGCTGTTTCCTCAATAATTTCTTTTGGTAGTGATAAATCTTCATCTAATTCCTGCAAAGTCCCATTATCCAAAGTGTCATCAATATTATTATAATGAGAGCTATCTTGTATAAGTTCATCGTGATACGAATCGGTTTCATTGGTCAGGGATAAATTATTAGTGTTATCATTAGTGTCCATAGTGTTATTGCCTATATCATTTAACATTGTTGAATCATGGTCTTCATCTTCAGTCATATTAAAATTATCACTAAACTCATCAAAATGTTTTTGAATAGAAGGATTTAATAACTTGTTATTAATATTATTATTGTCATCATCGTCAGCAAGTTCGTTTAAGGGAACCAAATTTGTGGTGGTTGTAGTAGTTTCAACGTATTCGTATCCATCAATACGTTTTATAGTCTTTTTAGTGATGGAAGTGGTTCTTCCAAGTGGATCAGTGACCCTTGTAACTGTAGTAGTGATGGAGTTAGTTCTAGATGATTGACCAAGAATATTATTAGGATTATTTATCTGTTGCTGTTGCTGTTGTTGCTGTCTTTTAAGCCTTCTTGCATTACCATTTGAAGTCAATGAATTCAACCTTGAACTACGTCCATTTGTAGAGGATAAACTATTTAGTCTTCTTTGGTTCACGGCAGTCGGTATTGTTGTACTACCAGAAGATTTAGAACGAATATTATTATTATTATTATTATGATTATTATTTCTTTGTTTCATAGAAGATAAATCGATATTTCTATCAAACGTTGATCGAGATCTCAAAGAATAAGTCTTTTTATAGTTAATATTTGAATCACCATGATTATTCTCATGCCTACCTTTAATTTTTTGTTTGCTTTGAATATTATTATTATTATTGATTGTTTTTCTTCTTAGATCTTTAGAAACAGAACGAGTATTAATATGGATATTACTGTTGGTGTGGGGAACATGTGTGTATGGATTAGAGTCATATATCATGGATTGAGTTCTTCTTGAATTGAAACTGTGGGTATTTAAGACAGGACTATTGCTACCTGATCTGATAGCAGCCGCAGCAGACGCAGCTGCAGTGGACAGTCTATGCGATTTATTATAATCTAGATTATTCTGTTGATAATAGTAATCGTATCTCGAAAGATCTGGCACTCTACGTTCCTTCTTAATAAATCCAAAAACCATATTGCAAAAAAAAAAAAAATAAACCAAAAGAAAAGAAAAGAGAAGAAAAATAACAGTAGTATTCTTAATGATAGTTATATGTGTTTCTTCCTGTTTTAATAAACCAAACCAAACTTCCCTTTTTTTTATTGAACAACTTTAGTTGATAAACTTATATTAACAAATGATAATTACTTAGTATATAGAAAGAAAGAATAAGAACAACAATAACAAATAAGAAAAAAAATTAAAACAAATCAAACCAATTGACTTCTATTATGTGTAATAGAATCATATATATATATATATATATATATATAGTTCATATATATATGAAGGTGTGTATGTATATAATCAAGTGTTCTTCTTCTTTTTGATTTAATCTTTTACCTTGAATAGAAACTAAGAGAAGTAAGCGTATCCCTATATCATTATTGAATGGAGTAGAATGATTGCAACTTGTGCTGCATTATGTTTGCACGGACTGTTAAACCTTTAAAACGAAAAATAAAAATAAAAAAAAGACAGATAACAATGTGCTTAGTCGAATTGAATTGAAAACAAACAAACAGAGAGTCTTGAAGGGGAAACGAAAAACAAAACAAAACAAAACAAAACAAAACAACAACGACAGATTTTTTTTTATTTTTTTATTTTTGTGTGTGTGTAGTTTGCTTTGTCTGCCATCGCCGCGTTCGATTGTTTTGTTTTGTTTTGTTCACCAAAGGAAAAAAGAAGAAATGAATAAAAAAAAAGGTCTACATCATTTTCTACGAAGTATACCCTTATTTCGACAATAGAAGAAAACGACCCTTCCTAAAAAAAAAGAAAAAAAGAAAATGAAGACAAGAAAAGTTAGGACCTGTTTATATTTTATCCCTATCCTGTAAGGTGCAAAATGAGGGTACAGTAAAAAAGGAAAAAAACAAAAAAAAAGAATGAACATTCCATCATGATTTCACATCCTTGGCAGAATTTGATTTAATTTTTTTCTTTTTCTTTCTTACGTAATAACATTAGCAGAAGAGAAAGCACAAGGGAAATACTATGCTACAGCCTCCGATCGAAATAAACAAAAATAATAATTCCTGTTGTTTCAATAGATCCCCTCTATCGGACTATCCAAATAATTGACAAAAGTCGATTGAAGCCATTTAATAAGAAAACAATATATACATATATACATATATACATATATACGCATGCACAAGTATCATCAAATAACAAAAAAGGTACACACTAGTTTGTTTCTACACACTTTCAAATCTGTGATTTTTGGATATTTTCCCTCGTTCATTCTCTATCACTCAGTTTGTGGACCCATACACGAACGTAAACAGTTCAAACATAGCTTGCACACACACCTCTTTCAAAATATCCTTTACAAAACCCTAACTTTAAAATGGGGACTATTGTAAACCAGAAAGACCTAAAAGGTTGTTTCTCATTCAACCTTTTTCTAATGTATAATTTTTTTTATATAGGGCTGATGCACTTTTCCAATGTTGGAAGAAAGTTTTACACATAGGTTTTACATGAGATATTCTTTTTTTTTTTTTTTTTTTTTATTTTTTTTTTCCTGGGAGAAGAAGAGGAAGTAAGTGGAAATAAAAAAAATTTTTTTTTAACTTTTTGAAAGTAGAACCTAACACGTAAACATAAATAAAGAACGATAAAAAAAATTAGTATTGTAAAATGACGCATCAACGTGAAAAAGAAGGAAAAAAAGGACCAAAAAGAAAGAAAAAAAAGTAGGATACTAATATAGAATAATAATAATAATAATAGTAATAATAACAATAATAATAATATAATTTACTTGAGTTCGTCATAGTTAGTACATATATGGCGATGTATATTTTACTTTCACAGTCATAGTTACTTTTCTTGAAAATATATCCGTAATAACCCCTCCCCAAATATCCACGTATATAACTGTTAACTAATGGTTGATTCTACTATGGTTGGCATGAAATGGAAACCAATTGATAATATTACTAAGAAACAGCTACCTTCCTCAACATCAAACTCAATTTCAACATCAACAACATCTTCTGTAAAGAATGCATATCCAGGTCAAAGCCCACGTTTATTAAGTAACGGTCAATCTGCTATCATTCAAAAACAACAACAAAGTAATCATAAACATAATAATAATAACAAGAATAATAGCAGATTTCGTTTATTTTCAATCAATCAATTTAAACAACATGTTAAAAAAGAACAGATCGAACCGGCTTTACCTTCAATCACTACAAATACGTCTTCATCTTCTACCACTACTGTAACCAATGACCTCAATTTCACTGGCGCCAGCGATAAATTAAACAAAAAAAAGACCAAAATAATAATAAAAAAACATAACACAAGATAATACTACCACTCCTATTACTAATAATAACAATAACAACAACGACAATAGCGATGCAAATAAAGTCAAAAGTGAAGTTCATATCGAGAACGACAATGATACTGATCATGTCGAGACGAACAAATTGAAGAAAAAAATTAAAAAATTACATAATAAAATCGATGGTTATAAACAAAATGAAATCTTATTCAGGAACAATACTAATATCATCACAAAGGAAATTCTAAGTAATCAATTTGAAATTTCAAGACTTCATGGTCAATTGGAAACTTTACGAGTTAATAACCAGAATTTAAACAGTTTGAATAATTATCTGATTAACGATTTGATTACTACAAAAATAGATTTCCAAAGAATTAGAAATAATCTTATCAACAGCCTTCATTCAAATCATTCGACTTGTTCAGTTAACAACCTTGCCACTAGCATTACGCAATCGCAAAAAATAGATATACATGGTATTAAAGATAACGATAAAGAAGAAGAGGAAGAGGAAAAGAAAGAGGAAGAAGAACAACAAGAAGTAGATCAAGACAAGCAAAATCTTCCCAACACTTCATCACAAAATAACGATATGGTTGTCACAAAAGCCAATTTACAGAAATTGGAAAATAATATAATGATGAGACTGAATCAATATGAAGATTTACAAAATTCTTTAGAGAATCAAATCAAAGAAAATAGCCATTTATCAAATATTAAAGATCTAACAACACCTATGGAATCTCCATATATTAAAAAATTGAAGGAAACAATTGAGACATACAATAATGATCTGAAAAACTTACACGCTATATTAAATAACAGAACGGCAAATTATCAAATTTTATTAAATAAATCTGAAAAAGCATTTGCTGCATTAGAACAAAGAAGAAACATTGACGTAGCAAGTATGAGAGACTATATCGATAAATCACAAAAATATATGCAAAATGCAAGTATATATATTGCAAAGTTAGAAAAGGAGAAAAATGAATCAAATATATTAATCAACGATTTACGAAATAATGTTACTCAGCAAGAAACAAAATGGCAAAACGAAGTTGCTCAGTTAAAGGCAAAGTTGAACAATATCAATGCAGACAATAACAATACTAACAATATAAATACCCTTAAAGCAAATTATGAAACTGAGATCAAAAAATTGATGCAGGAGTTACAAGTAGCACAAAATGCGCAAAAAACAAAACAAGCAACGATAGTTTTATTAAACAGTGAATTATCCAAGGTTAAAAATGAACTATTAGCTGTACATCATTACCAAACTCTAAATATTCCAAACTCTGATACAGTAAGTGAAATTATTAATAGCCAAAAGAAAAGTTACGAAAGTTTACTTGATTTAGCCAAAACTGAACATAAAAGAGAAATGAGCACATTGAAAACACAATATTTAGTGTTATTGAACCAATATAAACAAATTACAGCTAATATGAATCAAACATTTAATCGTGATTCTCCTATTATTCAACTCCTAATTAAAGAAGAACGTCAAAGATTGTTGCGTGATGTACAATCATGTCTTAGTATCATCTCTAATAATCCAAATATGAGAGATCAAATTGGTAAAACTGATGTATTTAATGCTATAAATATATTAAATATGGTTACATCAAAATTGCTCAATCCCCCAGATAATCTCCAATTTCAAATAAATCAACAAACTCAAAACAATACAAATTTACTTCAACAAAATACTTTTAATAACAACAACATTAATAATAGTAACCAACATCAACCAAACATAATAGTTAAAAATAATGTAAATAACAATAAGAATAATAATCTCAATAATAATAGTAATGCTAACAATACTGTGTTCCAACAAACTAATATGGTACTAGCAATACAAGACAAACCAGAAAATATTAATAATTCAATCTCAAATAATGCAATTAAACAAAACGCATCCAGTACTCCTTTTTATACTGTACATCAGAATGTAAATAATACTAATAACTCTAATAACAATATTATCAATACGGAAATTGATAGTACCATTAATTATCAAAATCTTCCAAACAATAACAAAACTATTATTAATAGTAAAGTTACATCAAATAACATCTCTCCTGATATTTCTACTAACACAAGAATTATTACTAATACTCATACTACCACAAATAATCAAAATACAATTAACACTTTAGTACCATCTTCATTTACACCAATAAATAAAATCAATCATGTAACCACCAATTCAACTAATAACAATTTTGGTGTGATATTACCTACTTCAACTACAAACACACTCGATAATAATAATCATATTTCTAAGAATAACGTAAATAAAAATAAGGAGACAACCACCACTACGACTAATACCACAACTGCAGACACTAATAAACATATTGAAACCATTAAAATATCAGACAAAGTTGAAAAAACAACTTCTAAAGAAAAGGAAGAATCATCCCAAACAATATCAAATTCTTCATATAATCCTGATAAAACTACAGCACCATCATCTTTAAACTCATTCACTAAAGAAACTGCTGCTGTTTCTACGATAAACTCAACAAAAACAGAGACTCCTCTAGCAACAAAGGAACCAACTCCAACATCAACGAATCAAGAAAACACGAATAGTATAAATAATGAACAAGAAAAAAATTCAGCATCAATGCCACAAATACAATCACGTAAAGAAGTGGTACCATCCACTTCTACAATTTCTACTAATACAACTGCTACAACTACCACCACCGCCACTACTACTACTACTACTACACCCATTAGTACCATTGAGACAACTTTAACAATGAATAACAAAGCTGATAACTCAACGAGGTAAGAAAAAAATTGTCCAATATGCCATATTAACATGTGGGCTTGTATATCTTCCATCCACATACGTAAGTAAGTAAATATGTAAGCAACAGCCTTAAAAGAATTAACATATAAATACTTTTATCTCATTTTACCAATTATTGCAAGGACCTACTGACTGTATAAAACGACAATTACGATGGCTTGATATGAAATAAGCTTACATTAGTGTTCTGAGCAAACAATTGAAACTATATTTATTACAATCTAAAATCATGCATTTCCTTCTTTCTCCATTTAACATTTTATTCGCACATGAATGTGTTCCAAAAATGAATACTATTACTACAAAGCTACACTCTTAAAAAAAATCTCTGTCTCTCCGATTCTCTTATTATTCCCTTTAAAGTTTCGTTTTTTTCCCCTTTTTGATGCTCGAGTGAAGAGTTTTTTAAAAAAGCTGAAACAAAAAAAGAAAAAAAATATTTGTTATTTTTTCTTGTTTTTTTTATTTCTTAGTCATTCTAAATTATCGAGGTTGATGAGAACAATTTTACCAGATCTCAGGAATCGAGAATATTACTATCTTATTAAAAGACATTCGATATTGTTTCACGCACCGTTAGCATTAGTTATTTTATCTTGTTGAATAGTGATTGTTCATATATCAAGCAAGAGTAACTTATATATCTATACACACACGTATATATATACATATACATATACATAAATATACATATAAACTGTATTTTGCAATTTCTGCTCTGTACCTAACATGTCCAACAGCGATAAAAAACAATCCGGTAGAGCTCGTCTTTTAGGTTCTGCTTCTGCAGGTATATTGGAAATTGGTGTTTTCCATCCAGTAGACACGATTTCCAAAAGATTAATGTCAAACCATACTAAAATCTTAAATGCTTCTCAATTAAATTCTGTCATTTTCCGTGATGCAGCAGAATACTCAATTGGTAAAAGACTATTATCTTTATTTCCAGGTCTGGGATATGCAGCATGCTATAAGGTTTTACAACGTGTGTATAAATATGGTGGTCAACCATTTGCTAATGAATTCTTAAATAAACATTTTAAGAAAGATTTTGATTTAGCATTCGGCGAAAAAACTGGTAAAGCAATGAGATCTGCTACTGCAGGTTCCATGATTGGTATCGGTGAAATTATCTTATTACCCTTAGACGTCTTGAAAATCAAAAGACAAACTAATCCAGAAGCCTTTAAGGGTAGAGGTTTTATTAAAATTTTAAAGGATGAAGGTATTTTCAATCTATACAGAGGTTGGGGTTGGACTGCTGCTAGAAATGCACCAGGTTCTTTTGCTCTATTCGGTGGTAACGCTTTTGCTAAAGAATACATTTTAAGCTTACAAGATTATTCTCAAGCTACTTGGGGTCAAAATTTCATTTCTTCTATTGTTGGTGCCTCTGCATCTCTAATTGTTTCTGCTCCATTAGATGTTATTAAGACTAGAATTCAAAATAGACATTTTGATAACCCAGAGAGTGGGTTCACCATCGTTAAAAACACTTTAAAGAATGAAGGTATCACTGCATTTTTCAAAGGGTTAACACCAAAATTATTGACTACTGGTCCTAAATTAGTCTTTTCATTTGCATTGGCACAATCACTAATTCCAAAATTCGATGCCTTACTAACAGGTAAATCCAATTAGTAATACCCATTTATCATAATTACTATTGTTTTTATGCTTATTATTTGTTATGTGTTTTGCTGATGATAGTCTTTATTTTTTTTTCTTTTTTTTTTTTTTATAATCAAATAGTTTTATTGGTGAATTGGATCAAATTGTGATATTAAATATTTAATTAGTAATCAGGTTTATATATATATATATGTACATAAATGTGTATAGTGTAAGAAGACTTGTGCATAGAGACAGAAAGTGTATATATTTAATGCTAAATGTAAATGATGTATTGAAATTAATAACAGTGGTATTAATGTAAATAGTAGAAAAACTTAAAAAGAAAGAACTAGAAGCCAGAGCACAATGAAAAAGTACGGATATACTTTTATTGAAGGGGAAATCACTGACGCTTTAATCATTATAGATTACTATAACTGCCATTTAGTCTATGCTGCCTTAGGTAGAAATAAATTTGATCTATTAAAAACAGCAAAATCAGATTTCAATAAACTATATTCAAAATCAAATGAAAAATATAATTTAATACCCCTTAGAATCGATAAAGAAAAAAATGGTTCCATGGATAACACAGATATTGTAGCTATAAAGCAGTTGATTGATGATTACAGAAACCTTTTAAATAGTGTTACATTTTATTACAATACAAACATTAAATATGACATAATATTTGGCACCCCTTTTCAAAGAAAAGTTTGGAATCAATTACATAAACTAACACCTGGTAAAACGATAAGTTATGGTCAATTGGCTAAATCAACTATGGGAAAACCAAATGGACAAAGAGCCATAGCTAGAGCTTGTGCATCCAATAAATTAGCATTAATAATCCCATGCCACTTTGTAGTAGACAAAAATGGTAACTTCAAGGGATATAGATGGGGAGTTGATATTAAACGAAAACTATTAGATAAATTATCAAGTAAGTAAGGAGAAGAAAGATAAAATATATACACGTAGTCAGAGGCTATTTGTTTAAATATATATATTTATCTATTGTATTTAGAGATAAGTGCGCAAATCTATATTTACATGAAAAAAGAGAGTTAATGATTATATTTGACTGTCTTGACTTCTTGATTTATTCATTCAATTGTTTATTTTCAGGAGACAAATTATCCTGGTGAATGGATAAAGATCCAACTAAGTTATTAGACAACAGTTGTAAAGTATCAATCAAGTTACCACCAGCATTGTATGATAATTGAGATACCAACATTTGGTACAATTGATCTTGAGTAGCATTGATTTGATTGAATGCATTAATCCAGTCAAGATTCAAGACTTTCCCCTCAATAACACCACCAAGTGGGATCAATTTACCTTTTGAATTTGAAATTAATTGAACAATTGATCTCATTATATTACAATCAGCTTTAGGGTACGCAATTATAGCAGTTGGACCTTTAATCAATTTATTTAATGGATGATTGACTATCAGCTTGGAATAATCTTTTTTCTTATCATATGGTGCAACAGGATCCTCAAGATTCATATTTTGCAAGAAAACTTTAAATAAATTATTTCTTATATGAATAAAGCTGATTTTATTTTCATCTTGATCGCTGATATTTTTGGTAATATTCGTTAATTGTAATCTTAATTGATGATCTTCTTGTTTCAAAAGATTATTATAATGACAAAAAATAATCATTTTATTATTATCCCAAACATTTTTATATTGATCTATCAATAAAGTTTTCTTAGAATTCAATGGCTTGACACTTAATCTTAAGTTTTTCTGTTTTTTTGAATTTGAAACTTGTTTTGCAGTAATTATTGGTGGATATTTAATACTTAATTTAAACGCATCAGTATGGAAACCTCTACATAACTTATTAGAGATAAGGCTTAACCTGTTCATGATTCCGTTCCTTGCTTACCTTCTTTCCTCCTAATCTCTAATTTTGTAAAAAAAACAACTACAACAAAAACTAAACGACCAACTTGTTCAAATGTATTCTCTAAACTCTTGTAATAATATATAAAATGTTATGACCACACGGTTGCAATCACCAATATCCCCACGCGGTACATACCTATAACTCTATAGTGTATTTTTCATGTAAATCCCTATTTTTGATGGTTCTCTTCATTTTTTGTTTTTCCTTTCGATGCATAAATTTTTCAATTTCTTCGGGCAGAAGACAAACATTTTTCCACAAATGGGGAAGAATTGAACATTTCAAACTAATTGATGTAAATATTTACATGCAAATATTGAACAAAAAAAAGAAATTTCTACAGTGAAAACATGTTCACCAGGTATGTATTACATTACATTAGACTATATGTTGATGGATAGTTTCATGTTCTAAAAATTACTGTGAGATAATAATACAAGAACATTTGTTAACATATATTTATCTAGAATAATCAATTTGAATAAAAAAAAAAAAGAAAAGCTACTATAACTATCTATCACATATCACATGAATAAATAGATGGTTTTTTGGTAAAGAAAAACAGTTGGAAAATAGACAAGAAGAGTAATAGTTCTATGTTTATTCGTTTGTATTAATAGTATTATTTTTGTATTTTTACATTTTTTTTTGCTTTTAACTTGTTTATAATATAATGAATGATACAGATAGATACAATAATTTTATTAATTTATACCCTAGTGATGAACCAAGTAATGGTAAAAGCAACAAGAATGGTGCTGCCAATCTCACTGAGGGAGTCAGTCAAGAAGATTCAATGTTGCTTGATAGATTCATGACAATATATCGACTAATTATTAAAGATCATCAAACTTTTACACCTGAGTTACAGCTACAATGGTGTGAGATATTGATTGAGGTAGCCATGAATGAAGCCTTTATATCTCAATACACAATAAATGGAGAAAAATTACCACACAAATTAAGTCAGCCGAAGATGCTACAAAACCAAAATATCATAATTGAGCATTCGATGAAAGTGATAAGTAAATTGATGAGGTTGAAATATGGACCATCATTTTATTTGATGGGCTGTCTATTTTCAAACAAATATAAGTTTCCAATAACATTTTTGGATCACGATGATTCTAAGGCATTAAAATACTATAAGATGGGAGCCAAGTTGAGACATGACGAATGCTGTTATAGATGTGGGATATGTTATGAATACGGGAAAGGTATAGATAAAGATATTGACCAAGCCATTGAATGGTATAAAAGAGGCAGTGAATATTGTGAGAACCATAATTGCATGTTTCGGTTAGGATACATATATCTATATGACTTATGTGATATTATACAATGTATGGAGTGGTTTGAGATGGCCGATTCATATGGATCATTCCATGCATGCTTTGAGATGGCTAAAATATATGAATTTAATGACTTACCTGAATGGTTACAAATACAATTGAATAAGAATATCAAGAATAACAAATTAGCATTAAAATATTATTATAAATGCGCTAACAAATACAATTATTCTTTAGCACAATGGAAACTTGGATATTGTTATGAACGTGGATTACTGGGATTACCGGTAACAGGAGTAAAATCTCTTGCATGGTATTATAAATCGGTGGAATCAGTAAAGAAAACCAATACTAACGATAATAACAGTAACCAGAAGTTGAATATAATGAGCATGTTAGGTATAATAGGATGGTATATTACAGGTATTCCGGGTGTATTAAAACCTAATTTCAATCAAGCATTAACATGGTCTGAGAAGGCATATGCATGTTTACAAAATAATACGCCACCAGCAGTACGATTGAAAGTGGAACGTGCACACAACGTACTATCATCGTTGCAACAATCCACATCCTAGAACGGATGTATTAATCTAGTGATGACACCTATATCAATATACAGGTAAATGGAGAAGTGTGTGTGGGGGGGGGTGAAGAAAATACTTCAAAAACATTACGACAATGTTATTTTTGTTGCAAGAAACGCTACTCTTACAAGTTGAACCCTGGAAATGCACAAGCACAGTTTCAACAAGATGCAAAGAGAAAATGCGGAGAAAAAGGGACAAACCAGAAAAAAAAAAAGGCAAAAAAGAAATTCTCGCAGAGGCTTGAGAAAATATGTCGGAGATACCGGATAGATTACATATTCGATGAGTCTATAACAGTATATATATAATCACATGTAGTATTTGCAATATATTAATAGGATCATACACAAAAAAAATTCCAATATCGTTTGAATTATTCGCCGCCTTGACGTTGAATACATTAAAATAATAATGAAGGATGCCCCATGTTGTGAGCTAGATAGAAAAAAAACCAAACTATGATAAGTCTTTACTTATTTCCTCCAATCTCAATGTTTGATCAACTATTTTGATTTCATAGTTTCTACTTTTCATGTTTCTTATGTAAGTGACTTTCATCCGGTTTGCAACAAAATGAAAGAGAACAATCAATCGACACTGATTCTAGTTTCAAGGAATAACATAATATAAAAAAAAATATTTTACATTAACTTCCATACTTACGTTATTCTTTTATTTTTTTCTTTTTTGACTTCCATCTATTCTATATTCTTATCTACGATAAATATCTAAGATCAAAGTTAATATTTTTGTCATTGTCATTATCGTATTTATACAGCAGTGAGAATTGTCATTACATTGATATATCTATTTTTATAGCTAGAAAGCTCCATTGTTAACATAGGCTATGACACTGCCAGTATGGTGTATTAAATTAAATATTTATCGATAAAAAGGAAGAAAAAAAATAAAATAAATTTAGTATATAGGTGTGGTTGATTCAGTCAAAAAGATGAAAAGAAATATGACATTTTCTGACACATTATTATTACTAATAGAGCAATACTACTGTTGTTAACACCTTTTTCACTGCTTAGTAAGATTTCTTCTGGGGCTGTTGGCTAGCCAGAAATGACTAACAAGAAATTTGTTCCAGGAATACATACATCATAACACCATACCTATCAAAACTTTCAACCAATCATGTACAAGAAACATATTATTGATATTACACACTATGTGGTGTACGGATTTCAATTTTTTGAGTCACGTGAACGTTACATTTGTTTTGCTTTTCATTTTTTTTCCCATTTCTTTCGTACAAATTCCTAATCGACAAATAATGAAGTGATTAATGAGATGGTTTGTTCTTCTTTTTTTTTATTTTTTTCTATTTTTTTTTTTCTTTTTCCAGACTGATTTGATGAGTAATGTAAAAATGTGAAATAATACATATATTGAAAGTTGATTGTCCTTAAACTTCAAAAAGATTAAAAGACGCTTTGTTTCCTTCATGTACTGTCACTATTATTATCGTGGTTTATACTTTTATATACTATTCGTTCTCTCTTTCTTTCTGTCCCTTTTTTCCTTTTTTCCTTTGGAGTTTCTCCGTCGAAGTTATTGAATATAATCATATTTAACTGCACTCTCAAGATAATCGACTTGGATAATAAGCGTACGTATCTACGTATCTGCATGGCTAAAAGATAGGAATTGATTTTAGTTGTTCCAATAGCTTACCTACTCACCTATACACACACTCATACGCTATTCTTCTACTCAGTAGTTATTAATCCAGAGTTAACCCAACTTAAATTATTTTTCCTGTACATATTGTTTAATTCCTGTCTGTACAATCCTTTTGGTGGTTTCTTCCATTTTGTGGTTTACATTTGCAAATTCTTCTTAATTTTTCATTTCTTTTTATTTTCTTAATCGCTAAATTTTTATTCCTTATTACAATTCTTTTTCACAGGAGGTAATGACTTTAAACCAGGAAGGTACTTCTATCTATAATTTGTCTCACCATATTCCGACAGATACAATTACTATTCCCTCTGTTGCAACTATATCAGCTACCAACACGATCACTGACAAGAAGAAAAGTATGACTAAAACAATTATTAACATCGGTGGAAGATCCTCTAAGTTAGCAGTAATACAATCTGAATCAGTTAAGCACTTGATCGAATCAAATACAGATAACCAATATCAATGCAATATTATTTCTAAAAAAACCCTAGGTGATCAAATCCAATTTAAACCATTGTATTCCTTTGGTGGCAAGTCTCTATGGACAAAAGAGTTGGAGGACTTATTATATTGCGGTAAGGAGTCGAATCTTGACCATTCATATTGCATCGACATAATTGTTCATTCCTTAAAAGATATGCCTACTAATCTGCCTGATAATTTTGAATTAGGTTGTATTGTGAGAAGAATCGACCCCACTGACTGTCTTGTCTTCCCACAAAACTCTATATATAAAACTTGGGATGATTTACCTAATGATGCTGTGGTTGGAACAAGTTCGATTAGACGTTCGGCTCAATTGAAAAGATTGTTCCCGAACTGGAGATTCAAGAACATTAGAGGTAATATACAAACAAGATTAAGTAAATTAGACAGTTTACCAGCTAATCCAAATGAGAGACATGAATTTGACGCTATTGTACTAGCTTCTGCCGGTCTTATCCGTTTAAATTTACAAAATAGAATATCTCAAAGGTTACCTACATATCATGCTGTTGGTCAAGGTGCTTTAGGTGTTGAGATAAGGAAAAATGACCAAAGAATTAAATCAATTTTAAAAACTATAGAAGACATAGAGTCTACTGTCTGTTGTCTAGCGGAAAGATCTCTTCTACGTACTATGGAAGGTGGTTGTTCTGTACCTATTGGGGTGACATCTTCTTATAATGCTGAGCAGAAAGAATTAACTTTAAATTGTATTGTTATTGACTGTGATGGTGTTGACTTTGTGGAAGATTCAATGACTGTGCATATTCATGACATGTATAATGATTCAATTAAATGTGGTAAAGATTTAGCCACTAAGATGATGAATAATGGTGCTAGAGAAATTTTGGAGACGATCAATGCATCTAGATATTTGTAATACCTGTAATTGTTTATAATGCTGATTGGAAGATATGTAATGACAGTTATTTATATCTATCTATTTATTTAACTATCCATTTATTTATTTACTTATTTATTTGATTTAATTGTTTTATTTATTTATGAATATTTAAAGGCTAATTATCACAGTTACGATGAATAAATCATCAATCAGCCTAATGTTACCCCGCCTTCTCTGCCATTTCTGTTATTTTCTAATTTTTTTTACTCTACCATCTCTGGGAAACTTTTAATGGTACCAGTCATCTGCCATTCTTCATAAAGGATCCTTAATCTTGCAGCACCTACAAATTTCTTTTCACTCACTAAATTCGTCATTTCATTAGCTATCAAATTTAATAACTTCACACTTTGATTCCCATATTTTTTGATAAATTCACATCCACATGCATCCCACCACCCACCAAGTATCACAAAATGTGTATTAATTAATAAAGATTTAGGCAAATTAGCCATCCTTGCCACAAGCCTCCAACTGGATTCAATATTCCATAATTGAGATTGCTCTGGATCAGGCAAATTGACAGAGTTTAATTTTGTAATTGTAGAATACAACGTTATCATCCCATTCATTCTTTCATCATAGGTAGTGTCGTTTTCCCATTTCCCATCACTTTTACGTTTCCAACCCATATTGATTCTGCGTTGTTCAGTGTCTTGTAAGGATGAGTAGCCGATAATGTATGGGCATTTTTTGACAAACCTTGCCATTAAAAAGTCTGATAATTCAGGGTATTGATTCAAAAGAAAAATTGTTAATCTTGCCAATGGTAATGCACTTTCTGGTTTAACACCAATCTCGGATTCACTTTGATGCACAATTGCCTTTGCAACAAAATTCAATATCCACTTAAAGGCTAGCGGGGATGGGTTTGTAGTGGAGGTGGTGGCATCCTTACACTGATTAATTAACGTCACCAATTCGTTTTGAATTAATTGTAATTGTTTCCAAGAATTTGTCAGTTGACCGAATTTTGGATTAATCTTTCTTTTCTGGGCCATAATCGGTGATTTAATTGGTTTTTGAGCCATCTTTATAGGTAATACAATTTCATCTTTAATTGATTGGATTTTTTGTTTATAGGACCAAAATAGGGATTCTATTGAGTCTCTATTAGTTATATATTTGGCAGATTTTGCCTTTTTCAACTGGTTCAATTTTTCTTGTTTGGCAAGTTCTGCCTTCTCTTGTTGCAATTTAATTTCTTTTTCACGTTTCAACTGTTCTTGTTTCTTTTGTAATTTTTCAGCTTCCAATTTAGCTTCTTTTTCAAGTCTCAACTTTTCCTGTCTTTGCCTTTCCAATTCTTTTAATTTATTTTCCTCTTGACGTTTTTTTTCTTTACGTATATAATCTACTTGATTATTATTAATCTCAGACAACTGTTTAAATTTATTCTTTAATAACAAACTTAACGATTCAATCATACTTGTATTATCTACATAATGGTGGACTTTAGAGTCAGATATAACAGAAGAAAAAGATTGAGAGTCCTCTATACGCGATTTTCTTGGCCATGAATTTTCATTAGAAATGTGGATATTTGATATATATGGTTCGTTGAGCGTAGTGTTAGGCAATTTATTAATATCAATGACCAATCGTTGTACAAGTTGATCCAATTCTGGATCTAAAATAGTATCCACATTTGTCTCCCTGAGTGCAGGATTCCTTATATTAGTGTGTAATGAAGAAGTATCCAAGTTTGAAATTGATGACGTTAAAGTAACTGAGCCATTATTCAATTTTGATTCAGAAACCAAATAGTCATCTAAACTAAATCTCATGTTATTATTATTATTATTATTATTATTATTATTATTATTGTTGTTGTTGTTGTTGTTGTTGTTGTTGTTGTTGTTGTTGTTCTGATAATAGTATGATAAATCAAATAGGACACTAGATAAAAATAGTTTAACCGATATACTAAATTTACAGTATTTTCTTTGTGATCAAACAAATGTCTTACTACAATGTAATAGAATTTGTCAATATCTTCAGAGCAATGTGATCCTCTAATCAGTTTACTTAAAAAAAAAAAAAATAAAAGAAATACTTAGGGTTTATTTTTCTTTTTTCTTTTTTCTTTTTTCTTTTTTGTGATAAATAGATCACTTCATACAAAAATGCGGTTTTGTTTCGGAATAATGGCTTGGCGGCAAAATCCGCAACAACGAATCAAAAAAAAAAAAGAAACTAAAAAAAAAAGAAGAAAAGAAAAGAAAATTTGGGTTTTAGGACGATTCTTCCTGTGTGGTGAAGACTTAAACAACATTTCTAAACTGTAGGATCGCTAGCTGGTTCATGAATGAATAAATAAATAAAGCAAATAAAGCAAATAAAGCATTCTAATATTTAGGTGAAGATGGGAAGTAGCAATTGGAGAAATCGTAAAGCAAGAAGACAAATTAGAGAGTCGGATTTACCATCAGGTGTCCCACCACAAACTGGTACAACATTTAATATCTGGTACAATAAATGGTCCCATGGGACTGGTCCTGGCAATGGTGTCAACAATTCGCATAGATATGTTTCACCTTTCAGGTTGGATCCCGCTAGGGACTCCGGTGTGACGGATTCAGATCCTGACTGTAACACTTATTGTCTATATTTTGCAAGAGGTTGCTGTGTAATTGGATCTAAATGTAAATATTTACACCATATACCAGAGATAAATAGTGATGATAGGATCGGACGGTCCAGAGTCAAAGACTGTTTTGGTAGATTGAAATATTCACATTATAGAGACGACATGAGTGGTGTAGGGTCCTTTCGAAATGATAATTCGACTTTGTACATCGGCGGTATATCAAATGCCTTAAATGATATGAGCTTAAAACCCATACAGATCGAAAATAGACTGAAGTATTTGTTCGAGCCCTTGGGAGCAATCAACAAGATACGATACTTGGAAGATAAAAATTGTGCATTTGTTGAATACAAGTGGTCTATCAATGCCGAGTTTGCTAAAGAAGCAATGTCTAATCAAACTCTTTTGATACCCAACGATAAAGAATGGAATAGACGCATGGATGGAACTGGATTACTTGTTAAATGGGCACATGAAGACCCTGATCCAATTGCCAAAAGACAGAGAACATTACAGAGACAAGAAGAATCAATAAACCTAATGAAATCTATACTAAAAGAATATAATCCCCAAAACAGTAATATAAGTACAACCAAGGGTAAGGAAGAGATAGAAGACAATAGTAACAGTGGTACACACAGTATTCAATTAACGAAAAAAAGAAAGTTATCCAAAGAAAACACACATGATGGGAATGAAAATGATGCTAGCAATAACAACGGCACTACCGCATCACCATTACCGTTAATATCTGGCTACAGTTCGTCATCGTCGTCATCATCTAATGATGATGAGTAAATAAACGTGCGTGTGTAATGATCTAGCGTATATGTAGTTTTTTACGTGCAATGTTTTTATTGTCACAATCTACGAAGTAATGAACTATTAATGCTTATTCTTTTTTTTTTTTTCCTTTTCATTTTTTTTTTCCAAAGATACAAATCCAATTTGAACAGTTTAGAGTTGCAACGGATGAATAACAAGAAAAGGCCATTAACTTTGAACTAGAGCAGTAGCACACTGTTTCCAGAATAAGGTCTAACTATTAATAAGTCAAAGTAAGTTTTTCTGTTTGCCTCTTACTTTTACTTATATAGATACTTTCTTTCCGTGTACGTTGCAGTAGGCTCTTATACAAAAACGTTATTTTTCTTTTTTTTTTTTTTTTTGTAAAAGAATACAAGACACAACATACTAGGTGTTTAAACAGAATTAGCAATTTGTAATCTTTTTGAAGGAATTCTCTGGGTTTAATATAGGCAGATTCCAATGTTTTCTACGGAAAATAATAATCAGGATAACATTGTAGCTAATACTGGCACTGGCAGCGGAAGTGGTGGATATAACACAAGCAACAATGCAAGGGACAGTTTTAACGCCTTTTTTGATTCAATGGGCGCTAATCTTAATAATAACAATAACAATAACAATAACGATAATACTTCAAATGACTTTTTGAATACTCAATCGTCTAATATGGGAATGGGATCTCTATATGAGCAATCTATAAATATGAACAGTAACAATATTAACAATAGTAACAACACTAATGTCAACAACATTTCTCCTTCACAGTATAACATGGCATCAGCCACACCACAACAGATTCTAATGTTTAATCATAATAGCAATAATACAAACACAATAAACCCCGCCTCTAGCAGCAACAATATTAATATTCAACCACAACAAGTATTATCTACACATGGATCACCTGTTCTATCTAATGCATCACCTATGATCGGAACCATTAATATGAATAATAATAATAATAATAGTAATAATAACAGTAATAGTAACAGCAACAACAACAACAATAATAATAATAGTAATAACACAAATAATCCTAATATTACAAACAGAACTAATAATAATAATAATAATAATAATAATAATAATAATAATAATAATAATAATAATAATAATAATAATAATAATAATAATAATATTTTTCTTGATAGAAATCATATATTAGCAAATTTACAACAACAAAGATTAATTGAGTTACGACAACAACAACAACAGCAGCAACAGCAAGAGAGAATACAAACTTCTATGAATTCACCAATTACAAGTAATATTATATTAAATAATAGAAATAATAGTAACATTACAAACAATTCTCCTATGACAACGACATCCTCCTTGAATACTCCAAATAACAACTATAATAACATAAATATGACTCCAATGAATCAATCTGCAAATTTGACTCCACAGCAAAGACAACATTTACAACACTTGCAACATCAAAAGAATATTTTACAAAGTTTAAGTCCATCTTTACAACAAAAAATATCTATAGAGGTAAATAATAAACAATATGAACTATTCATGAAATCTCTAATTGAAAATTCAAAAAGGCGAAATGCACCTTTACAATCCATTCCAGAGATTCAAAACAAAAAAGTTAATCTATTTTATTTATCTTTGATGGTAACAAAAAACGGTGGTTACGAGGAAGTTACAAAAAAACAACTTTGGAATCAAATTGCTAATAAATTACGGATACTGGACCCACAACAATTACAAATGATATATTATAATATTTTACTAGGTTATGAAAAATATATGAATACAGATGAAGGTAGAAAAGAGTCCTTAGCAAAAAAGAATTTTTTGCAACAATTTTTACAGGAATTATTAAGAAAGATTCAATTAGAAAATGTTCACCACCACCACCAACAACAACAACAGCAGCAGCAGCAGACAATGAATCCAAATCAATTTAACGATATTAATCTACAACAGAACAAGCTTCAAAACGTATCAAATGTTAATCAGAATATATCATTTAATAATGATATTGGTAATAATACAAATATACCTGGGGCTGGCTCACCCAATTTCGTACCAACTACCATGAATTCAGCTAATATGTCTGCAAATAACCTAGTATCTAATTCACTTAATATGGCTACGCCAAATTTAATGTCTGTAAATTTAAATCCCCAAATGATACAGCCATCTAGTTCAGTAAATCTTTCTTCAGAGATGACAACTAACAAGACTACTAATAAAAGGGGTCCGAAGAAACCCAGGAAACCAAGACAAAAGAAAAAGACTAAAAAAGAATTGGAATTAGAAAGAAAACAAAAAGAAGAACAAGAGCTAGAACAAAGAAAATTATTAGAAGCACAAGAATTACAAGAAAAAATAATTTTAGAGCAAAAAATTAAGCAACGTTATGAAACAGAGTTGGCAAAGCTACCAAAAGTTTATAAAAGAACGTTTATTAGAAATTATAAACCAAGAGAAAGAAAAATAGATTATACAAATGGTTATGATATTAATTACATATCACAAATTGGTGAAAAAATAAACTCACATAAGCCAATTTTCTTATTTGCACCAGAACTCGGGACGGTAAATTTGCATGCTATTTCAATGTCATTACAGTGTAACAATTTAGGAGAAATTACTACTGCCTTAAACACCTTATTAGTTTCGAGTGCAGACGCTCAACTAAAAATAGCCTTAAATCAATGCCCATCCTTATTAAATTCTCTAGCAAAATTGGCAATTAACTTATTAGATGATCTAACCCATATAAAAAAATCATCTGAAAGGAAGATATTGCGTGATAAAAATTTATCATTTGTATCTGATTATGCAGACCAGTATGATGTAGAAGGATACCTTGATAACATAAGTACTTCCTTTTCTGAAGGAAATAAGTCTATATATGACACATTTAAGGAATATGTAACATTGGCAAACGTTGGTGTGACTGATTCCAAAACTGATAAAGTTATTTTGGTAGATTCCTTAACTGGTTGTGATATTGATCAAATTGGGATAACAGAAAGAACCATAAATATTGAGGTTCCTTCTAATTCAGAGATAGATTCCATTGTTCTTAATAAAGAGGATAACAATTTTGATAAAGTCGCTCATAAATGGACATCACGTATACCATCAATCAGATCCCAATATGATATTGAAAATTTATCTATTTTTGTACCATCCTATATGGAGGCATTAAAGAATATTAGATGTGAAACCGACTCACCTTTTTCAAAGATTCATATAAAAGGTGCAGATGATGTTTCTATTTTAATCCTAGATCAATTATCCACAATCTCTATGATTCTTAGAAATATCTCCTTTTCTGATATAAATTCAATGATCATGTCTCAAAATTTCTTTTTGAAAAGATATTTCAATGACTTAGCATGGCTTTTATTTACAGATAGTGCAAAATTTAAATTTCATAGGAAGTTATTTAATTTCAAAAAGGATATGATTATTACCTTGTCTAATATTTCACACCATTGGAGAATTGAATCATATACTTTTACAGTAACATTAATTTTGTTAATTCTAAGCTTTGGATTTTCAAAAAAGAATAGTGCAGAAAAGGATAATTTAACATATGATGAGTACCCATTAAAAATAAGTAATTATCAGAGTTATAGTGTGGATACACTGGCTAAGTTGCTTTCTCTTGAACACCCAAACAGACAATATTTAAAGGTTGTATTATTAAACAACTTTAATGATAAGAATATAACAATTAACGATGACGTTAAAATGGCGAAAAGATTGATTTTAAAATATAATGAAAACGGTGATCTGTGTAATGATTTGATCAAGTACCTATTCTCAATTGTTCCTTTCCAACAACTAAAAGAAGACCTATCCCTTCTTAAAAGCATATCACCAGTTATTTCTCAGGTTTTGACTAGTTTGTACCATCTATTCTTATCTATAATTGAAGAAAATAACAATACTAGAAATAAAAAAGAAAATATCTTTTTAGAATGGTTGACAGGTAGTGAGAATTTGGGAATTAATTTTAGAAAATTATATGAGCTTTACCAAGAGTTATTGAGTAAGAAAGAAGAATATCAATCATTTTATAATAATTTAAATTACAAGATTATAAGATTATTAAGACTGTTAATATCTGAAAGTGCACTCGATCCTGCTTCATGTCAGAAAATTGCAGAATTTCCTTACTTACTACCTTCTGAAGCTGATTTATATAAGATTATAATGCACCCTTCTAGTGATGCAACTTTTGCAAATGAAATGAGATTATTTTTGGATTTAAGGAATAAAATTTTAGATGAAATTTAGATATTATATCTAATACTAAACGCTTCCCCAAATTTTGATATATGTTTATCTTTTGTAGAAACTTAATATATTTATTCCATAAATATGTAAATAATATATAGTTTTAGTATGAAGAGTAACATAATGATGCACTAATCATCTTCTTCGATTTCTTCTTTTTGTTTAGCAACATATTCAAAAACCTTATTAGCGAGGTTTATGTCTCCAATAATATCTGTAATTTGTTGTACAGTCATATGTTGCAATTTACTATAAGTTTTTACGCTTTTACGAATATTGAAATAATCTATCTTAGATAACCCTGGAATTTTTAATAAATCTATGAATAATTCAGTTTTTGTATTTGATTTATTTGCTTTATTAGCAGCGTTTTTTCTTAAGTTTGTACCATAGGAGATAGCTACTATTGGTTCTGGCTGCTCTCTCCCCATCTTTAACTCCAGTATAATATTAACACTTTGAAGTGGAGAAGATGACCAAATTATTTTTAATGTTGGAAAACGTGTCACTATTTTAGTGAGTTGTAATTGTATTTCATACTGAGATAACTTACTAGATATGGGGTGTGTACTGGAGTTGGTTTGTCGTTTATAAGTACGTCTTTCACTAAATGGTTCTAAAGAAAATGATTGACCTTGATCAAACTCAATTAATAAAGTTGGGTACTTATAAAATTGGATCATTTTCCTACATTGTGTTACCAATCTATTATTTTGTAAAGAGCCTATTAAATCGGAAACAGATTTTCTTTCGATACAAATATCTGGAGTAATTACATAATCACCAACTGATAGCATACAAGGCACAACCCTAATACCATAACGAAAGAGTAAGCCAGGTAATGATGCATTAAACTCGCGAGTATCAACAATCACAACGTCTTGGGTATATGTTTGAAATCCTTTTTGGCCACCTGCATTTCTTGTATTTCTTTTGTTTAATCTGGCTAGTTTTATTTTTCTTTCTGCTAAATTTTTAAAATGGAATAAATCTTCAGTTGTCTCGTAATGATGAGCTAAGTTAGCGTTTTCTTTTATTAATTTTGTGAATGCATCCTTCTCTCTTTTTATTGCAGTTAGATGGCTTTGTTCTTCTACACTCTCACCATAATACATGAAAAATACTTTTGGTAGAATGCCATCATATGTGGCTCTATATATTTCTACTCTTCTAATAAATGCTAAGTCTGGCTCATATAATATGATATGAGAACATCGAAGTTCCTGTAAAAAATATTCGTCAGTAATATTGCAAAATCTTTCAATGATTATTTGATCACTACTGTCTATAAATCCAAACTGTTCTTGTCTCTTTTTCCAACCCTCTTCTTTTAATTGTTCATAAACTTCTTCATCAAGCACATGATCTAATTGTTGTTCTATTTCATCTATTCTAGATAAATTTTCATTTTGTTCATCTTCTTCATGGTCTGATAAATAAATGATATCTTCATCTCCCTCCTCATCTGTAAGATTATGATCTGCTAATTCTTGAGTGAAATCTGCCTTCTGTATTATATGTTCGATTTCACTATTAATTCCTGAGTTTCTTAGTCGCTCCACAGCTGCTACGGCTGATGCACCTCTGGTTCTTCTTCTATTTGTACTTACTTCTTTCTTGGCAAAAGTTACACTTACATTCAATTCCTGATCAGAGGTTTCAATTTCCTTTTTTTTAACTTCATTAACTAATTTTTTACGTTCTTCTCTTAACTGTTTATAGATTTCCAATTTCTTCATCAAATAGTGCCTGAATCCATTTGTTGATTTAGATACTTTAAGAATCTTAGATAATTGTTTTACAGTAGATTTGTCATGACATACAATTAAGGTAGGTCCCGAATTAGAATGTAACAGTTTTTCATGAGATATATCATCTATTATGCTTAATAATTGCTCCCATTTAGGTGCTTCTTCCAAACAGTATTCATCATTAAAAAATATTCTCTTTCTTGCATAAGATATAATTAATTGAGACTCTTCAGCCATTAACCATGGAGACTCCGAATACTTTCTTGTAACCGAAGGTTTATTTGCATCCAAATTTAATTGAATTTCTTCATAGAAATCAACACAATCATTCGATATCAATAATTTTAATAAATGTTTTAAAAATCTGATATCTTTCACTAATTGTTTAGACTCATAAGAAATTCTATGCCAGTTAGGTATCATAACCGTATCTATTGATTTTAAAAAATTTATATCTAATACATTATCAATATTCCACCATTCTATCGACAATTCTGGATTTTTCCTGTTTAATTCATCAATACATTTTTTTAAACATCCCATTATACCAAATTGGGTCTGTGACATTGATTGTGTCATGTTGACTTTAACCTCTATAACATTATTATTAGTAGAAGAAGAATTTTTATTTAAAACTGAAGAAATTTCAAGACGAAATCTCGGCCATAATAATACTCTTTTAAACTTTAACTCATTCATACGTCTTAATAACGGGGAAAACTCCGTGATAAATGCTTCTGGACATTCTGAAAACCCTTTAATAAATCCCCATCTATTTTGTGTTCTATATATTTCAATGATAAATGACTCATTAGAATAATCACGAAGAGTATCCACATTTAAGATAACCATTCCTGTAATTTTATTTGGATGCAGTATACCTGACAGTAAATCTACAATCAATATGCGTGATGTAACGTTTATTATACCACCTTGGAGATATAATTGTCTTCTCTTGTCAACACTTACGGCATCTGCAGTGACGACATAATACTTTCTTTCATTTAGTGTAGTATTGTCATATTCCTTATCCTCTATGTCATTTCCTGGTGAACTGTTTATATCTAACCATGATAATTCTTGTAATTCATCAGACAATCGCTGATTATCGTTTGTTGTTGCGTTCATAACTATAATAAGGGAATTTTTCAATTTATTTTCAATTTTTATTGGTGTGGCTAATATGTATAATAGGTTTGCCACAACACTAGATAAACCTAATCCCTTTCCCAAAATCATTAGAGGATCGTCTGTGTTAAGACAACTTTGTAACATTTCATATTGAAATGGGAGTGAAAGTGATAAATTGATATCTACTAATCGAATTTCGCTTAAATCAGGCTTATTTTCTAGTTTGTCAATAGTTTTATCTATAGGGATCAAAGGATATAAGAGAATATCTTCCTCTTCTTCTTCTTGCTTATTTTCTTGGCTTATTGATATTGTTTCATTGTTTGTTTCTTTATCAGCCATATTAGAATTAACATTTTGATCTCCAGTTAAATTATTTGATCCTTCCTTAATCTTAATAGTGTTTGTTGTTATATCATTGATTTTATCAGATTGCAAGTTACTAATAGTATTTCTTGTCAAATCTTCATCCTGCATAGACAATTCTAATTGAAGGCCTTCTATATCGGAGTCACCATTTTCTACAAACAAAGTTTGGGCCATTTTGTAAGCAATTACTTGTTTAGTAATATCTCTTTCTTTAGTTTATCTTATTTCTTGTTTCTTGGTTTTAATCAATTTGAGATGATTCTTTATTCAAAAATAAAAGAAAAATAAAAGAAAAAAGAAAAACCAAAGAGTTTTCTTCCAGTTATACTTTGTCAGTAGTCTAAACCATATTGGTTAAAATTATGTTTACGACCTGATACTTCCAACCACAAAATCTAGAATACCCTTCATTTTAACCTTGAAAAGTATCGAAATTTACTTTGACAAGCTAAAATCAAAGTTCATTTCATCTTTTAGATATGTTTCCCTCTTTAGGTAAAACAGTGAAAAGTTTCATTTTTTATTCTTCATTTAAAAATTTTTTCATTCCAAAGAAAAATAAATAAGTAAAATGTATAACAAACCTAGTTAAAGCAGTATTGGCATCATCGATAGTAAATGCGTTAAAGTTGTAAATTCGTATTATTATTATAATTCAGAGTTTTCCTGGATAGTAAAGAAAAGATCAATTGATTTAGTGTATGGAAAATTATTGGAGCTAGGTTTTTTTTTCTTTGGTTTCATATTCTATCAAAATTACAAAGTGAAGTAAACGTAAATAATAGTATAAAAAGAGAAGAGAACAAATAAAAAGAAATGTCGATTATAGAGTATTATAACAGTAGGACTGACCCTTCTATTTCATTGGAATTTTTTCCGCCAAAAACAGAATCAGGTAAGAATATTCTATTAGAGCGTATCCGCAGAATGAGTATCATGGATCCAAGTTTTATAACAGTGACATGGGGCGCAGGAGGTACCACAGCTACAAAAACTATTGAGCTAGCTTCCGAAATCTCTAAAAATTATAGCAATATACCTGTGTGTATGCACTTGACTTGTACTAATATGGAACCTGAACTTATTGATAAAGCTTTGGAAGAATGTCGAAAGGCAGGAATTAGAAACATACTTGCGCTGAGAGGTGATCCACCTATAGATTTAGATGATAATATTAGTAATGATAATCGAAATGACCTACTACATGATGCAAATAATAATACAATGGATGAAGATGTTCCAGGATCTTTAGAAGTACCAACAAGTTTTATTTATGCTTCAGATTTAGTTAAGTATATTAAATATAAATATGGAAATGAATTTTGTATAGGTGTAGCAGGTTACCCTGAAGGGCATTTTGATAGCTCTGGTGAATATGATCAAGATCCTATCAGAGATTTAGCATATTTAAAACAAAAGATTGATGCAGGTGCAGATTTTGTCATAACACAATTATTTTACGACGTTGATAAGTTTCTTGAATTTGAAATGATGTTTAGACAACAGGTATCTAAGGACATACCATTATTTCCTGGTCTAATGCCAATAAATTCCTTTCATTTATTTAATAGAGCTGCAAAATTATCCCATGCAACGATCCCAGCAAAGATACTTGATCGATTCCCCCCTGAAATACAATATGATGATGACTCTGTGAAATCCATTGGTGTTGATATTTTGATAGAAATCATAGAAGAAATATATAAGAGAACGCAGGGTCGAGTCAGATGTTTTCACTTTTATACATTAAATTTAGAAAAAGCAATTGCACAAATTGTATCTCAATCACCAACCTTATCATATATTTTGGAAGAAAATGAAACGGATGGTATTGGTGCTGATGATAATAATTATACAATATTATGTGATAACGATAGTAATGATAATAATGTAAAAAATTTCAGTAATTACGACGATAGGGCCACTATTAAAAGCCTTGATGAAAATAATCTTATAACAGAAGATGATGCAGATATTATATCAATGGATGATATAGAAAGTAATATTTCCTTATCTGGAGATTTCAGGAAAAGAAGAAGAAGATCAAGTGTAATATCTGTGGAATTGATTAGAAATCGTGTATATATTCATAAACAAGATGAACCTCACATAACGGAAAAAATACCGACTAAAAAATTTTTAATATCTATCTCCAAGGGTAAAGGCACATTAGGTCGCCATGCTACATGGGACGAATTTCCAAATGGTCGTTTCGGTGATTCACGTTCTCCTGCATATGGTGAAATTGATGGTTATGGTCCTTCAATCAAAGTTAGTAAGAAGAAAGCATTAGAACTTTGGGGTCAACCAACTAATATATTAGATTTAAAAAATATTTTTATTAGACATTTAGAAGGATCAATTGATGCAATTCCATGGTACGATCAAGGTTTATCTGCAGAGACAGCATTTATCCAGGAAGAATTAATTCAATTAAATGAAAGAGGTTATTTGACGTTAGCATCACAACCTGCGACTAATGGATCGTTAAGTTCAGATAAGATCTTTGGTTGGGGTCCTAAAAATGGTAGAGTTTATCAAAAAGCATTTGTAGAAATGTTTGTTTATAAACAACTGTGGGAAACTGTGTTGAAACCTAAATTAAAACATTATGGACGTCGTATTGTCAGTTATTATGCAGGCGATTCTCAGGGAAATTTTGAAACAAATTTGGATCCAAATAGCTCAAATATTGTTACTTGGGGAATTTTCCCTAACAGTCCAGTGATTCAGACCACAAGAATTGAGGAAGAATCGTTTAAAGCTTGGAGAGATGAAGCATTTAGTATATGGTCTGAATGGGCAAAGTTATTCCCACGTAATACACCACCGAATAAATTTTTAAGACAAGTACATTCAGACTATTGTTTAGTGTCAATAGTTCATCATGATTTTATAGAACCTGATGAGTTATGGGAAATCTTATTGAATTGAAAGACAAGAATATTTATATAATTGATAAAATTTATATACAGTTTGATAAAAATTAGTTACATAGAATTATCAAAATATAATGTGAATTTGATGGCTTTATACGAGTCATTGAACTTTTTTTTTTTTCATTCTATGTAATATTCGATGTTTTCCTTTTTCGTAAAGTCGAAGTTGTAGTAGCATTGGTTCTATCTCTATTTAACTTTGCAGTTAGGTAGTCCTTCAATTTTAAAGTTCTGTTTTCATTCCAAATTCTATTAATGCCACCAAGAAATACTACATTCGTATTATTACAAAGAATAAACATATTTTTATTAAAAACTGTACCCTTTTTGATAATTATCTTGGCTCCTAAAGCACAATTCCACCACTTTATTTGAAATGTGTTAATTGCAAAAAACACTAAGCCATTTCTCCCTTGTATGGTGAATCTAAACATATCTTTTTCGTTACTAGTTAAAGTATTATTAGAGGAGGATAAAGAAGAGGAATCCTCCCTGTCCAAATCAATCTGTGAAATAAACTCTGGTTTCTGACGTTTCAAATTTACTTTGCTTGCGTTTAATCGATCAACACGTTGTGTTTTTGGGTCAAGTTTTGTATTAATGTCATCCAGTTGGGATTGTTTAGACTTGGATATATTCTCTACCATTAATATCTGGAAAAAAAGGTCCCTATCTACAGTAGTTATCGATTTATCAGAAATATCACTTTCATTCCATGGGGCACTTTCATATGCATTAAGTAGTATTAGATCTCTTTGAGACAAATCATCTTTTTGTGAAGGTAATTCAATCTCAGAAGTAATGTCTTGCGATATTATACTAGACATAGACGATTATTGTGAAGCAAAATAAATATTTATTTAGAAAAAAGGAAAGAATTGTTGTTCTGAATGATAACTGTGCAAAAATGATAGTAAATATTTTCATTGTGGGAGTGAGAGATACCTCTCCTTATCTTATATATTTCAATAATTGTTAAAGATCAAAATGAAAATTATTTTTCTATCTTATTTTCACTACGTCCCACTTCTTTTTTTTTCCTCTTGTTGTTGTTTTTTCCACTGTTTCGATTTCATAGAGTTAGGGTTTCTATAACAATTCATATTAATATTTTACTAACCCTAACAAAAGAATAGGTTTTTTTATTGTATTGGTCTAAGGGAAAATGATCAAGAATTAATCCGGAAATAATTTAATCTCGAACGAATTAGAAAAGAACGAAAAAACAAAGAGTGGAATAAAAATGCTGAACAATAATATTATTAAGAAATATGCGCGATAGATAATGGGTTGTGTCAAACGTTGTCGCATTGTTTAAAACAATTGTTCCGTTGTTGATCTTTTCGGAAAAACTACTTACTTGCAATCTTGAAAACTTTGGTTTTTTTTCTTTGTTTTCTTTCATTCCGTAATATGTTCATTGCCTACTGGGGAATAATGTGACTGATTCTAAGAATCTAGTGATATAAGTGCGTTTGAAATAGATTACTTTATTGTTAAGAAATAATATTATATTTAGAGTTACATAACTATTCTAACATTGTTACTGTCCAAGAAATATTCTATTGTAAGTGAAATAATTGAATTTTTTTGTTTTGTTTTTTTAAGAATCTTGTTGTCTTGAGAATAATCTTACCATTTCCAAATATATCATCGTTATTTCTACTGAAAACGAAAAGTATTGAATTAAATTAGACAGGAGACAATATATCTTTTTTGAGTTTGAAAAAGAAACTATATTATTTGCACTAAATGATTCATTATGTGAAGTTAGACTAATAGACTAATCTTTGGTTCGGCATATTTTTAGTTAAAATAAAAAAAAGATTTTTAACACTAACTAAAAGAATATTATTGATATCACAATTGAAATAACATTATATCAAAGCTGTATTAACTATTTTTTTTATTTTAATAGTAAACATAAGAACAATCTTGATAATCCTGCTGATAGTAATGATTATTTATATTCCTTCAGGATTAATGTATTATATGAATCAGAATAATGTTTTAAAAAATCAAATGTATTTAATTATAAAAATATTAGTTTTCTTTTTTTTTTTTTTTTCAAATAAACGATGTTATAATGGTTAAGTTTTGGATCCTCAAGACATATTATTACTTTTTTTTCTTTTTGAAAAGTGTTACAAACCAAAAAATATTGGTACTAATTAGTAATAAAACATATTTTGAATGGTGTATTCACATAATTATCTTGTTTTTATTTAATTCCTTTTTATTTTATTTTATTTTTAGTTCAATGAAATAGTAACAACTAAAAAAGTCAATTAACTGATTATTTATAAAAAAAATTTCTTTAATAACAATATCTGCGACAAATTCGAGACAATCATTTTCTGTAAGAAATCCTAATTGGAAATCTTGAAATACATAATCCATGGGTAATGCCAAATGTCAAGGTGCAGGGTTTGAGACAGTTAAAACTCTGTGTTCAAAGCTGTAAGTGTATTTGAATGGACAAGCGATCTTCAGATTAATATTGATGGCAAGTTACTGAGATGTTTATTTAAGAGACCTATGATTATTGAGAGATAAGACTAGAGGTAATTATCAGCATTAATATTCATATTCTATCTAATGGGTTCTGTCTAGAGGATAAGAAGAACAAGATTATTGAGAATAATTCTGACTAATCTATTTATTAGTTTAGAATTTACCACTATATAATTTGTAATTGTTTATATATATATATATATATATATATAATATCCATACTTTATTATACTTCTTGCAATAGTCCTTACACTTTCTTCATAACAAACATATATTTATATTTATTTTTATTTTTATTTATAGGTGTGTCTATATGTATATATTCAGTATAAGCCTGTTTATTTAATTATTTATCAATAAGCTACCAATCTAATCGCAATATAAAAACAATGATAGGAATGGTAACAATTAATGATGAGAAGAATATAAATTTTTTAAACAAAGAAAGAAAGAAGAAACATAAAAAAAAAATAAACAAGAAGCAAGATATTTACACTCTTTCAATAACAATGGAAGAAGCACCACCACCACCGTTACAGATAGCAGCAACACCAAGCTTACCCCTTTCTTGATTCAATATAGATAATAAAGTGACTATGATTCTAGCACCAGAACAACCTAATGGATGACCTAATGCCACAGCACCACCATAAACGTTAACCTTATGTAATTCATTTAATTCTAAGATCTTTGGGTTGGCAATACCAACGACAGAGAAGGCTTCATTAAATTCGAAGTAATCTATATCATTCAAAGTGACGTTACTGTGTGCAAGAGCCTTTGGAACAGCTAAGGATGGAGCCCAAGTGAAATCCTTTGGATCATGGGCAGCTTCACCCCAACCCTTGATGACACCTAATGGTTTCAAATTCAATTCATGAAGTTTTTTAGCAGAAACAAGAATTAACACAGCAGCACCATCATTAATTGGAGAAGAGTTAGCCGCAGTTAAAGTACCATTTTCTTTTTGGAAGACAGTTCTAGCATTCTTCAACTTGTCAATGTTCAATCTAGCTGGTTCTTCATCTTGGTCCACTATTATATCTTTTTTACCATATCTACCTTTAATGGTAACTGGGATAATTTCTGCTTTAAATTTACCTTCAGCTTGAGACTTTTGAGCTTTTTGATATGATTCAATGGCAAATTTATCTTGTTGTTCACGGTCAATTTCCCAATCTTTAGCACACTTTTCACCATGAACACCCATCGCTAAATTGTCATAGGCATCACAAAGACCATCTCTTTGTAAACCATCGACTAACTTAGCGTCGCCAAATTTAGCACCACTTCTGGCAGCTGGCACATAGTATGGAACGTTAGACATGGATTCACAACCACCTGCAATAACAACATCAGCATTACCACACAGGATAGATTGAGCACCTAAGATAACAGCCTTCATACCAGAAGCACAAACCTTGTTAATGGTGGCATCGACAATGTGATTACCAATACCAGCATTTAAAGCAACTTGTCTAGCAGGAGCTTGACCCAAATTGGCGGACATGACATTACCAAAATAAATTTCATCAAAATCTTTTTTTGGATCCAGCTGTGGAACTCTTTCTAAAGCACCTTTTAATGCAATAGAGCCTAATTCGGTAGCAGAAAGAGAGGATAAAGAACCTTGGAAGGAGCCTAATGGCGTTCTAGTAGCGGCAACAATATAAACTGGATCAACCATTTTGTTTTGTTTTTTGTTTCTATAGTATTGTTATTAATGACACCTTGACACTAGATAGTGTTACAGATTGATAACTTTAATCTAACAGTGATCTAAGAGTGTTAGTAATGATAATAAAGAGTCTTAAAAAAAAAATAAAAAAAATATAAAGAGGAATATGATGTTAGGGCACCTTTTTATAGTTTTAAATTTATATATGTGTTTAAAAAGTTTCTTAAAATGTTGATTCTTACTGTTCCAAAATGGATAAGTTACAAAACTTTTTTTTCACTTTTGTCCTCGAGATTAAAGACCGAAAATCGCAGTCTTCGTTTATGACTTGATCTTTAAAACAAAAAAGTGTGCGGTACGACAATAAAAAAAAATGCAAGCCGAAAAAACCGTGAAACTGGTAAAGACGGCTTTTTGCGTAGTGGTCGGCGGAATGTTACTACAACACGGATATAAAGAGTTCTTATTTACTAATGCTTGCTACTAGATTATTTACAGATATATAAATTATATAAAAGATTAAACTACGTAAATGCGATACATGGGAATACCTATCGTTTCCTTAACGGAACTTCAGCAGATATGGATTACGTTTCAAACGATCCAACTTCTCAAATATAATTAATTCACAAAAAAGTTTTAAATCTCTTGCTGATTCTAAGTCAACAAAATATTCAGGATATCTATTACTTAACCAGAAGAATAGCATTATAATATTGTATAATGACTCATATTTTTCAAGACTTACAGATTCATCAGGAATGTATTTATAAGATAAGTAATGGAAAGGAATCTTGTATGATAATAATCCACGAGTCTCCCCTCGTGCAATAGTGTCACAAAAACCAATAAACGCCTTTTTCACTAGGGCAGTATCCTTGACTGGTGCTGTGCTCAGTCTCAATTTATCAAAAAAGGATATGTCATTCATATGTTCAAACATCGATATTGCTGACAGTTTATTACTTAAATCAGATAATTCAAATATACTACTTTCATCTTGTTCTAATTGTTTTGCCAATGTACGTAATAAGAAACTCACTTTCGTTCCTGGTGGATATCGTATCATCAATTGGGAACATATTTCATCTATGGGCCAAATGACCACTTTGTTTAAATTTTTTACTGGAGCTTCAATACCAGATCTTATAACTTCCAATGTTTTTCCATCCATAGCAGTGATGTATCCAACAGACTTATTATCTGAATCTCGATTTCTGCAGCCATCGCTTGGAGATTTTTTCGTGGTTTGTGTGTTGGAGTTTGATTTAAATCTACCAGCACGTCCACCAATTTGTTTTATCTGCGAATCACTCAATTGAATCATCTCTGATCCATTAAATTTCTTACTAGTCGTAAAAATGATTCTATCTATACTAAGGTTCAATCCCATTCCAATAGCATCAGATGCTACTAGAATATCATATTCCCCACTGTTGAATAAATTGGCTTGTTGTACTCGGGTCTCAGGTGGTAAACTACCATATATAACAGCGACTTTAAAATTTGTCCTTTTTTCAATATCCAATTTTAAATCAAGAATTTTCTTTTTCGAAAATGCAACAAGACAATCGCCTTTACGCAATTTTTTATAGTTATGTGCTAACGATTTCTTTTCAACATTTAGTTTGCCTAATCTATCATACTCATTTAATATTAATTTGTCCCCCGTCATCTTCACTATCTTTTTCAAAATATTGTATGTACTTGGTTCACCACAAACATGAACTTCTCTAGCTTGAACACCTAGCAATGCATTGGTCCATGCCCAACCTCGATCTGGATCAGCCATCATCTGAATCTCATCAATAACCACAACATCAAATTTGGTGTTTAATGGAATCATTTCAATGGTACCAGATGTGATCCCAGCTTTATTACCCATCGAATTTAAATCTTCTATAATCTCTTCACCAGTTAATAGATTACATCGGATCCCCTCATTACGAAATTTGTCATGCACTTCACGTGCTAATAGACGCAAAGGTCCTCCATAATAACCTTTTTTAGCCTGTTTCAATCTTTGTAATGCACGAAAAGTCTTACCAGAGTTTGTTGGACCTAAATGCATAATAATATGGCGTTTCATCTTTCTTGTTTCATTGAACCATTGTGCAGGATTTGAAATATCTACAGTGTCTAATGTATCAGTATCATCCAGTTGTAAATTAAATGGTATAGTTTGTTGTTGATAAATATATTTGTAACACTGAGATATTAGGTAATCATATTTATCTTGTGTAGTAATTATTTCGACATTTTTACCTATTAATTTATTCCAGATCAAAATATCAACATAATCCACTTCAACTAAATTCTTTACAATATTGGAATAGATACATTCTAATGAGTTATAATCAAATAGATAGTCGTTGTATTTGCGTAACGATGTGTTGGAAAGTTGATAATTGGTAAGTTGATTAAAGATGTGTTTCTTCAATTTAGCCCAGGCAATATTCTTCAGTTGCAACTCTGTGTCATGTTTAGATATAATTTCGTCATTGTACACACGTTCCAGTGATATTTGTAACCTACTTTTTAATTCAGGATATCTTTTAAAGATTGGTATAACGTTTTTTTGAATAATCTCACCTGCTTGATCCATAATAATGGAGCTTTTTTTGTCAAAAGCCTTGATTAAATGATTTTGAAGTGCCCAACTTTTATCATTAAATATGGTATTTAAAGTCGAGTTTTTAATTTTATTAGAACTTACAAATGAGTTATATCGTACTAGATTCCATTGCAAATCATGATATAGAAATCGTCGTTTATTTAAAGTAAATCTTCTCACAGGAGCCAGAAAGGTTCGACGAAACATTATTAATTAGGATTAACGAAGAGTAAATAATAACATACAATTTTGTTATGATATAAGTGTATTAGATGTTTGCAGAAAAATATGAAATGGTCTTTAGATTTTGTTTATTTTCATATGCAGAGAGGCATTTGCAGGTGTATATACATCTAACATTCTGGGTATGCCAGTAATTCTTTTATTATTTCTTTTTTTTTTTTCGAAAAATCACTTTAATTGAAAAGAAAAACAGCATCTCTAAAATGTGAAAAATGGCTAACATTAGTTTTTGGACAGAGAAATAAGAAAAAAATAGAAAGCAAAATAGGAGATTATGTACGTAAACCTGAATGAAAAATCTTTTTCTCTATATTAATATAGAATTATATATCAACTTATTCATTTATCATATTTATATGTAGTGATAAGTTATAAAAACTAATCTTTAATTACAGACATCTATCTGCCAATCTTGAGACTTCATAATAGGATGATTTTCTTTTTATTTCGTTTTTTTTTTTTTTGACATTGCTAATGACCTCTTGGATTTCTTTTGGTAAGAGCCATAGTATTCTGAATCCAACCTTCTGCTCCTCCCTCTTCAATAATAGTCTCATAAACTTGCATCGTAGGGAACTTGCCAAGATAGGGGTTTTCATATCCAATCAGAGCTGCATTTCTTGTGCTTGGTATTCTTAACATTTCCTTTTCAATTTGCCAACCCACTTTCTTAGCAATTGACTCAACGTGATCCACTAATCCCGCATATGTACTATTTTTGACTTTTGAATTTTGTTTTTTATTTTGACTATTACTATGATAACGTACTCTTTGACCGGAAAGGTTATGTGAGCAACAAGGGATTACCATAAATGGATAACCAAGTAACGGGATCCAACAAGTTAATTCATCAGAATGATTTCCAATAATAAATGTATCCTTTGGATACTCTGCAATGTTAACTTGAGGTGACTTTAATAAATCATGACTTGAATAGATTATAGTGGCTGGTGCAATATACTCGTGTGCAACTTTGACAGGAAATAGACCACCATTGTGTTGTATATGTGGCATTCTCTTCCTTACCTCCGGATGTGGTCTTATTAAGACAGATGGAATTATGACTTGTTCCTTTAAACAACTTTTGACCTCTTTTGGATAAATATTCCATGATTTCCGCTGTCTAGCATCAATACCTATACCATTTATACCTTCTTGAATCAAGATATAGCATAGCACAGCATTTCCACAACCAAGGTCCCTAAATTGTATCTTTTGTTTAAAGTTTTCACCATATATTTTGATCCACAATTCAATTAAAAATGCAGCTATACCAATATCTTCAAACACATGTTTCTTTGGATCAGTTGATTCTACCCAATTTTCCACCAGAAATTTGGAATATTTTTTCTTCAAATTGGTGTAACGATCTTGAAATTTTACTTTTTCTACGACTTGATCGTGATTGACTCTTTTTTCATATCCTTGCATAGTTCCTTTTGAATGTTTGAAAGATGTTTGTAACAACCTATACGCTGTTCTGACTACTCTTTCAGATTCATCAAGCAGTAGTTCTTTCTGAGTCCTAGCTTGTTGCTCTTTATGTCCATTATTATTATTATCTGTGTTTTCTGTTACCTTTCCTGTAATGTTATTATTACAAGTATTATTATCATTATTATTATTATTATCATTGTCATTATTGTCATTGTCCTTAAATGGGATATAATGCACTGAAAGATTCTTCTGGTGCAATAGAATGGCCACAGCATTAACATGAGGTATATAAAACGGGCATAAATCTTTCTTATCTAGATGAGGTTTATAAATGATCAACGAAGTTTCGGCATGCGTAATACTGTTCATAACCAGACAAGTCTGGTTCATTATTGCATCCTTATATGGATTTCTTGGAATAATTCTTCTAACAATTTCATATTTTGTTACTAACTGTAACGACTTCTCAATTGGCACTTCACGTAACTTCATATCATCGATCTTGATCATTTTGGCATCAGGGTCGTTTATTTCATACGTATTTCTTGTTGAATGTATCAAATTATGTTCTAAAGAGACTGCATATTCTTTTTCAGTTAAGATATCTGCTCTCAGTATAGCGGTTGAATTAATATTTGGTTCTCTAATAATATTCAGCATAGCTTTTTCAAAATGAAGTTTATCAAAGGGTACTTTTTCAGGTGTCGCGTACATCGGGACCCAAGAGTCTCCAAGAATGCTCTTTTCATTGACACAAAATTTGAAACCATCATTTTTATGCACTGCCACTGCTGCTTTTGCCATATTTATCTTTAGCCTTGCTTAATCTAACAATGGTAATAATAATAAGAAGAAGAAGGAGAAGAAAAGACACAAAAGTCTAGATGGATAAACTTTCTTCTGTGATAATGGTGATTACAAAAAATATAAATAATTAGAAGGATACAAATATGGCATAGTGTTCTAAGATATAATAAAATAGCGTTCATGACACTTTTTATTTCTTTTTTTTTTTTTTAATTCAATAATAATAAGTAAAATTCTTTCGAAGAGCATTGAATTTTCTGAAATTTTCAGTCTCGCAATATTTCCATACTATTTTTTTTTGTCGTTTGTATGTGCGTTTGTTTAATCTTTTTGTTTTTTTTCTTTTTCTTTTTCTTTTTGGAGTTTGTATTTTGTGAATTTAGAAGTGCAAGAACGACAGAACAGATAGAAATGAGTGAACATGTCTATGTGTAGATTACATTCATGTAAAAAGACTACAAAAAGTATAATGTAACATAATATAATATAATATAATATAATATACGAGGTTATAATTGATGTTTGAAAATTATTAACGGAATGTGTAATCTAATGAATAGCTTTAGAGATATTTGATTATGATTTGTTTTTTTTTTGTTCTTTATCACTTTTATATATCCATATTTTTATCAAAGGATAATGATCCAAGCTGTTTACTATCAAAACCAATCAGATCCCACACCATTGACACAAGGTAGGCTAAAATCTTTTCATACACATATATACAGATAAGCACGCACACAGTATATATTTCTGTTTGTGTTTGTAGTTTTGTGGTTAATGCTTCCAATGGCTTTGTGCTCGAGAAACACACGGCTTATGTCATCAACAGCCGCCTTTCCTACTGCTTGAGACAGGTATTACCCTTTTAGGAAATCGTGTTAGTTTCCATGACAACGAAGAAAAGAAGCGGAGAAATTTTTTTTTTATGTTTGATTTTAAAAGGAGAGAAAGCCGAAATCTGAATCAAAATCTGGAAAAAAAAAAAAAAAAAAAGTAATAGTTAGATTGAAACTGGTCTGAAAAGTGAAATTCTATTTCATTTGTCTGCAAGAAAAGGAGCAAAAATCCAAGAGGATCAATAGTCAATATTTATCTGAAAAGAATATAGAGCAGTTTCTTATTTGTTTTAGTAGTTGTGTTTCAGTTGCCAATTCACAGCCTCACTGTTGTTGTTGTTGTTCTTTTTCTTTAATTTTTCTTTTTTTCTTCTTTTTAATCCTACACATACAGCATAATATAGTAACTACATCCATCTTTCATGTCTGCATCTCAATTTAAACAACTGGAAAAATTAGGTAACGGTACATATGCCACGGTGTATAAGGGTCTAAATAAGGCTACTGGTGCATATATTGCTTTGAAAGAAGTTAAACTTGACTCAGAAGAGGGAACACCCTCTACTGCTATCAGAGAGATTTCTTTAATGAAAGAGTTGAAACATGAAAATATTGTGGCCTTATATGATGTGATCCACACAGAAAACAAACTAACTCTAGTCTTTGAGTATATGGATAATGATTTGAAAAAATACATGGACTCAAGAACCATTGGAAATCAACCAAAGGGTCTTGAATTGCATTTAGTCAAATATTTCCAATGGCAACTGTTTGAAGGTTTATCTTTTTGTCACGAAAATAAAATCTTGCATCGTGATCTAAAACCACAAAATCTGCTAATAAATAAAAAGGGTCAACTGAAAATAGGTGATTTTGGTCTGGCACGTGCCTTTGGTATCCCAGTAAATACCTTCTCAAGCGAAGTTGTCACCTTATGGTATAGAGCACCAGATGTGTTAATGGGGTCTCGTACTTACTCTACATCCATCGATATTTGGTCCTGTGGTTGTATTCTAGCAGAAATGATCACGGGGAAACCATTGTTCCCAGGTGGTAACGATGAAGAACAGTTGAAGCTGATTTTTGAAACTATGGGAACACCAAATGAATCAACTTGGCCTTCTGTTGTATCTTTACCCAAATACAGCTCAAACTTCCCAAAGAGACTACCAAAAGATTTGAAATTGATTTTACAAGCTCATTGTGATTTCCCAGTAGAAGATGTTGTTGTTAATCTATTACACGGATTATTACAACTAAATCCTGATATGAGATTAAGTGCAAAGCAAGCTTTGCATCATCCATGGTTTGATGAGTATTACCAAAGTCCACAGTAACATGCTTTCTGTAAAGATGTACATACATACAAATAAATAAATGGTTAAATAAATAAATAAATTTACTAATAACAACTACTTAAATATGTATATAAAAATCATTTCTTATTTTTTTTCTTCTTTTCTTTTTATTATATAACATTCCACTAAATAAGAATAGTAAGTGTTATTTATACTTTTTTTTTCATGATAGAATATCATCTATTGCCTCAGTATTCCATAAGTCATTGCTCCAATCGATATTAAATTCATTCCAAAACTGATCAGTTATGGCTTGTAAATATTCATCGGGGTTATCATACCTTTCCATGGCATCGACTGCATTTGATGCATTATCATGCTTAGGATAAACGTTATTTAATAGAATACTGTTACTGCTATCATTATTGCCGGTGTTGTTGTTTAATATTGGATTCAATGACAGTTTAGGGATTTCTCCAGAGCCAAAGCTTTCTGTTGTAAAGGGAGCTTTATTCTCCTCGATTTCTTTTGGAGTACTTTTCTTGAAGTTTCTGGGATGAGCTAATGGAACCAGTTCGATATCTTTATCAATCCAGGATGACTCCACTTGGCTACGAAATTCTAATGTCTTTTGAATGATAGTTCTGTAAAGTTTTTCTATAACCAACACAACATGTATGTAATGGGACCTTTCTAAAATTTTTTTTAATTTGAAACTTACTGGGTCAGCAATATGTGCAATAAGTTCGCAATACACATCATATGCCTTAATTAAAGAAAGTTGTCTTTCGGACGTGATAGATAGCACAGAAAAGTCCCATTCTGTATTGGTATGTTCTGTGTCTTTAGCCAAGGAATCGTCATTAAACCGACTTATTTTATGGTATAATAATGGACAGAATACAGATGCTACTCTAGGAAGTAAACCATTAGTTAAATATAACATTAAACAAAGATATGGTGATAACGATGTTTCTGTTTCAGAAAAACTATTAGGATGATATTCTTCATCTAACTTAAAACACTTCTTCAAAAGGAGAATGTTCATTTTTAATAAAATAAGACAAGACTGTATTCCAACATCTCTCAAAAGTATTGACCTCTCATTGTAAACTGCAAACCGTAATGAAACAAAGGAAAGAAACATCTGTAAAGCAATCGAGAATAATCTAACATCTCTAAATTGAACAGATTGAAATTTTATTTCCTCTGTAAACATTTGTAATGATGGTAATTCATTTTTAATAAAATTAAATAAATCAATACAATATTTTTGTAGATTTGGTTGTCCTGTTGGATTTGTGATAGTAGACATCATTGTCCTTGCAAGTTTTAAAAATTTTATTAATTTAATCTTATAACTAGAATATAAATCATGTTCTACAATAGCATCTTCATTCAACCAAGCAGCTACTATAGACAGTGGTTTTCCTATATGGAAAGAAGATTCTAAATCCAAAAATAAAATATGCAACCATAAATTTTCCAAAGAGTCTAATGTTCCTACAATATTCTCCTGACCAGCATAAAGCTTTCTGATATCTCTATTTAAACCCATTCGGATCGCTATTTCTGAGGTAATGTTTATCAAATTAACTAAATTGGAATTATCACCATCTGTATTAACATATAGTTGATATTCACAACGTAGTGCAAAGAATTGCAATCTTTCAATATAATAAATTTTCGAACCAACTAAGCCTGTAACTCGTGTTATAAATTGTAGTATTGATTTTGGAATATTATTTTTATAATGAGCAATACAAAAGATCATTAACACTACTGCAATTTTATAGTAATCAATTTGTTCTGAAGATGCTAATATTAAATGAGATTTGTCACTGCCAAGATTATTGAAGTTATCAATAAAATGTCTTGAAAAATAATCGTCAATAACATGGTGTCTGTCTAATATATGATTCATTGGATATATGTCATCATTTTTGTCATCAAAAAATCTATTTAATATGGAGGAGCACTCTTCGTGTGTTGGGAGATCATTACATATTTCCAAAAATAAGTTATCCTGTCCATAATTAGGTGAATATGCTAGTTGTTCAGATAATATTCTATTAGACAGTTTATTTTTTTTATAATTTTCTTCATGTTTTTCTGATCTATGTTTAATCATTAATTGATGGAATTTTTTACCAAAACCCCATTTATCTTTAATAACATATGTTCTCATGGAGGTGGGTCCGTAAAGTATTCTACTCCCTGAATTTTTTACTTGTAAATATGTAAATTCGTACAGAGGATTAATTGATTCTTTGATATTAGTCCTTGTAGTTTTGATAACGTTCATTCGAGCTTCACTAATACTATTAATCTGACTGCTCAGTTGCTGTACTTGTCTCTGTAGATTGTTAATTTCATTCATAAGTATATTGGTTGTAACGTGTGGAATTGCTTGTGTTTCATTTGTCAAATGGTGCAGTTGTGGTGGTGATGGTTGTTGAGTTAACAGGGGTGAATTATCAGTAGACTTTGTAGTGTCAACATACGTGCAAGTTTGGTTTCTAACTTTACAGCTTGAACAAACGGGTTTCTCTTGGTCACATTTCAATTTTCTTTTCCTACAGAATAAACAGGATCTAATTGTTTTCCTTCTTTTAAACTCTGATGACATATTAGCTAAATATAGATAATAATTATTTGGTCAATATTTAAATCAGTCTAAGTTCTTGTACTATGAAAGCATTGTAGGAAAAGATATCATGAAAAGATATTTTTTTATTTGATGAAACATGTATTTCTTTTTTTTTTTTTGTACAAGTCAAATTAATATTGTTTTATAAAGAAATGTCAAAGTCACATTTAAAGTAAAATATTTTGGATTTTGCGAATTTCCTACAAACTGGGCTTAAGAAAAAAAATAATTCAATACAAAAATTTCACAAGTAATTATTTACTAAATAAAATAATTCCCAAAGAAAAGCATAAATATTATACGTGAAAGTTGCATAAGTAGGTATCATTATTTACAATTTTATAAAAATTTCAAAGAATATAAAAATATAAAAGTTATTTAACATAATCTTTTAACTACTTTATAGATGAGAATCAAAAAGTTTGGTTCATATTGTCTGTGTTCAAAAAAAGACTGTGAATGTAGTTTGTTATTCTGTATAGGTAAGAATGTGGCTGCATTAATAACATATTCGCTTTACTAATAGAAACATACATTTTAAAACAAAATACCTTCATGTGTAAAATATAAAATCTTAATCATGCTGACTTGGTGCTATAAACAATAAGATGAAGAATAATTAATTTTCTAGTAACGTAGTTATGTATATTTTAGATAAATATTTCTACTAAAAGTGTAAATAAATGTATTATTTAGAGATAATGGTCAAATAATTCGTGAACATCTGTTTGTTTCAATAATTCTTCCCAACCTGTGTTGTAATTTGACCAAAACTCATCAGTTATCTGTTGTAACATAGCAGATTCTTTTTCATCAATCAATTTTTTACTTTCGTTTTCAATATTTTTTGTTATGCTTTTCCCATCATCGCTGTAATTGGGTGATACTGGACCTGAATATGTAGTAAAGTCGTTACGTATCCTTCTTGGATCTTTTTTTGGGAAGTCTGTATGATTGTCTATTGACCCGTAAAATTCTTGGTTTTTAGGACAATTATTTTCGTCAGTCTTCATTTGAATTTGTTGAGAATTCATGATCATGGAAATCGGGCATACACCTTTTGCAGTAGATTCATTTTTTATTAGGTTTTCATCTAGCATCTCCTGCAGATTTTTTGTTTTAGAATCATTTAAACAAGTGTCTGGATTGGATTGAATTGAATTGTTTAATTGAGAAATCCAAGTAACTTCAGTAATTTTTCTATACTCCATACATTTTATTAATACTTTTCTAAATGTTAATTGTAAAGTATTAGTCACCATAAAAAAATACGAATTATCCATTATTTGCTTTTTTAATGGATTATTTGGGTATAGCCATTTGTCAATGAGTTTACTATATATATCGAAAGCATCCAGTACCGGTATTCCTGTGTTTCCAATTCTTAGAGTATTGGGATTCCAAGTGGTATGCTTTTGATTGTAGAATAAGAAATCATTATTTGTAAAGACGGTTAATCTATAGTAAAGAATAGAACAGAAAATGGTTGACGCTCTAGGTAATAATCCGGTAGCAAACCAAATAGCTTGTGAGAAATATGGGGTCAGATTCCATGAAACATGTGTTAACATTTCTGAGAATCGCTCTTTATCTAGTTGAAAGCATCTATTTGTTACAGCTTCTAACATGTGAAAAGCTATCAAAGACATGTGAATAGCTTTATCTCTAAGTTCGATGTTTACACTTTTTTTAAGAGCGGAGTTTAAAGAATTTAAACATAATATCAACTCTAAACAAAAGCTTGCCACTCTCATATCACTAAAACTGACCTCTGCTAGTTTTTCAGCATTCACAAAAAACGATATAGGAGGTAATTCTTTTTCCATGAAGTTTATAATATGTTCCACTAAAGCTTGAAATTTCGGTGTGCCTTTTTTAGAATTCAGACACTTTAATATTTGCCTCCCCATCTTTGTCATTCTCATTATTCTAGTTGAATGAGGATCTTCACATAATATATCATTGTAATCTAGATAATCTAGATCGATTTCATGAAGTAGCAATGGTTTGCCAACTTGGAACGAGCATTCAAGGTCCAAGAAAACGATCATTTTCCACAGATTATGTATGGATTTAAGGTTCCCTAGTACATGTTCTTGGTCCTTATAAATTGTGTTGATATCTCTATCTAGCCCCATTGTTATGGCAGTAGAAACCATATTGCTAATAATATTGATGGCATTTGAACTGTCACAATCGGATACATATGTCTTTAGATAATAACAACGTAATAACATGAATTGTAATCTTTCAATGAAAAATACTTTCGGTGACACTTGTCCAAGTAGATATAAAGAAAATATATCTATTGATTCAGGACAAGATTGGTAAAAATATTGTAATGTTATGATTTGAATAATGACAGCGACTTTGTAATAATTTTTCTTGCTACCTGCAAGTAAATTTTTGATTGGCTTATCTCCATTCGGTAGAAGATTCTCTGAATCAGGAACAAAATATGTATAAAAATCGTTAACCACTTTGTATCTATCTAAAGTTGAATTGACTAAACGTAAATGGTCATATGATGGATCAAAAAAATTCTTTATAATTTCAAGACATTTATTGTAAGGGGGTAGATCATGACATAATCTTTCTAATAAAGAACTGAATTGGGTATCGTTTTGTTGTTCAATGTATTTTAATTCATTCAAATTTGAAATGTTACGTGATTTTTTCCATTTATTTCTTTCAAACTTTATTTTGACCCATAATTGATTAAATTTGTGAGCAAATCCTGACCAATGTTTATGTAAACTTGTTCTCATAGATGTTGGACCATAGACAATTCTCCTTCCAGATGTTTTACATTGTAAAAAATAATAATCATTTAATGGATTAGGCAAATGTTGGTCAAAATTTTGGAATATATTTTCATTATTGCTATAATTGATATTATGGGTACTATCATTGTTGTTATTTATAGTTAAATTTGGAGACTGATTTTCATTTCTTATTTGTTCATTTGGCATTACAGGGGAAGATACATCTGTTTTGAGAATTTGATTATCAATAGAATTATGTTTCATTTCAAAAATTTGTTGTTCCAAAAATTGAACCTTTGATAGTAATTCATTAGTATTCATGGAGCTTGATGGTAAAGATGATATATTATTATTGTTTTCATCAGCATTATTTGAAGGGTTAATAATTTCAATACAATTTGCGATTTTTTCTGGTGTAAACGAACTTATTGCAGGATAAGTGCAGTCGTACAAATTTCTTGATTTACATGAAGAACAAACAGGTTTCCTCTGATCACACTTTAATTTTCTTTGACGACAAAACGTACATGATTTAATTGGTTTTCTTCTTCTTTTAACTTTTTTAACAGTTCCGTTTGCTACCACATTGGGTATTGTCATTGCTTATCTTATAATATTGTATGTTAACTTTTTTCTCTAGGTCAGTTGTAATTAAAGTAGGTGGAATAGTGCTATTTGTCTAATAGGCACTGCGATGATAGACCATCTTGAAGGATTTTAAAAATATCAGATATATTTAGTATTATTTTATTTAGCCGTCTGAGGATTTTTTCGTTTGTGATGATATAACGGAAAAATCGGGAATTACCTAAAACGAAAAAAAGAAAAAAAAAGAACACAAAATTTTTCACACAAAAACTATGAAGATTTTATTTATTTTTTTTTCTTTTTTTTTTGTATCCTTTCTTAGTAACAGCCCGTATATAATGATCAAAGGCGGATATTGTCCTTTTGAATTTAAGTTGCATATGCGGGTATTGTTTTTTTCTTGCAGGTTTTTGTATTGTTGTATCTCAAAGAGAAAGAGAGAGAAAAAAGTGATGTTTTATTATTTCAATATTCTTCGAGATATTTAAACTGTGAAGAAGGAAGTTAGTCTTTTAGGAATTATCTACTGTTAAAGAAATTTTGATTCAACAGAAAATATTGCATTTTGATTGACCATAGATATGAAAAATGGTAAACAAATAAAAATGAAAGTTTTTATTTTTTTTTTGAGAAAATAAGATAGTGGCTATGAAAGGAGAAAAGAACTAATTAAAGTAGTAGTTATTGTTTTAATCTTTTGTCTATTATTCTGCTCCAATTATGGAACTTTCTATGTACTGGGTATCTATCAATTGAAGAGAAAACAAATTTTATATAGGAGGTTGCTTAAAATCATTTTTAGAAATTTATTAGTATTTACTAAAAAACACTTATTTTAGATATTACAAGTAATGTTTAGTAATATTTCTAAAATATGAAAGCTTGTTGTCCAAGGGATACTTATCTTAATATATATATATATATTGCACGTTACAACTTTTAAAACTAAATTCTTTTAATACGGACTCTACAAAAATAGTAGTGAAGAATCAATAAATTATTTAACAAATGATTATCTCTGACAATTTTTTAAATACTTAATAATAATAAAAAATATAAAACTCAAAAATTAGATATTTCAAATTTTTGAATAGAAAGTGTTGAGAATGAGCGCCTTTATTCATTGGATATATAGTAAACATTCTCAATATTATATTAAACAGATTTAGTATACAAAATTATAATAAAGTTCTTCACTTTCTTTCTTTATATACAACATAGAAATAATAATATAGAAAGATTGTAAATAAGATAAAAATAATGTATGATGAAATCCTTGGCTTTATATATGTTAATATTCAGCCATTTTCCTCTACGAACAGTAAGATATTTAATAAATAAACTCAACAACTTTTGGTGACCTCTCAACAATTATTACTCAACAATTTATCGTTTAGTGTCTGCTAAAATCTTATTGTTCTATCTATTTTATCATAAAACATTCTATTTCAACATACCACCCATAGATCAATTCAATTTTAGTAGATCCAATTCTCAGTTAACTTGGCAAAAATTTTAACACTCAAAGGTTTTGTAAGAATATCAGCAACGTTTTGACTTGTGTTAATATAATTCACTGATATATTATCATTTTCAATTTCTTCAGCAATGCGTAAAACCTTAGTACCATAAAATTTATTCTTGATTTTTGATATGTCTCTTACTTTGATTTGATGGAGACTAGTTTGACTGTCAGTTAATATTGAACACCTGACCTCCTTGTCTGATATAGCCTGAATTAGAACATTTAAATTTCTTAATCTTGGAATTGCTTCACAAATTGAATAAATTTCACTTTCGGTAGAAGAGGTGCATGTAATTGTTGACTTAGATGACCTAGCACCAATCAAATTTCCATTTAGATAATACATATTTCCAAATTGTGATTTCATATCGTGTTGATTTGCAAAAGCAGCATCAGTTACAGCAGTTAAATAGTTAATGTTGGAGTTGGACGTCTTGTGCCATATGAGCCGTTTGTTCCTTGTTGACCAAATAAACTGAATTAGTTGTTTGGTTAGACTCATGACTTGTTTTGATGGATATAGAGTATGTCTAGCTAGCGTGTTGACATAATATAATATATCATATCTGTACTTGTAACCGACATATGAAGCTAAACCGATTGCTTTTTGTAGCCATTTCACCTTATTCTTGTACTCCTGCTCAGTCGGATAAAATTCCCTTTCTCTTATAATTTCATTAGGTGTTCCTGGGACTTTTCTACTTTTGTTAAGGTCTACACGTAGATTCGGTAGTTTTTCTTCTAAAGATTTAGCCATACCCATTTTCATGGATAATCCTTTAATATATTCTATTTCCAGACCGAGAACATCATATTGATTAATCTTTTGAGCACCGTCATTGACAACTTTGGTTTCGAACTGTGATTGGAGTTGAGAAATAAGGTCATTTATTAGTTGACGATTATTAGTTAATAATACCATATCATCGACAAAAAGACATAATATCACGATTGAATCATTGATTTTTTTATAAAATACACAAGGCCATCCTGGTACAAAATTCATATGACAACTATTAATAATAAAATTGGTTATCTTCTTATACCAGTTTGCACCAGACTGTTTCAAACCGTAAAGTGATTTCTTTAGTCTATGTACTGTATTTCGTAATCCTAAATGGGGTGGAGAACGAATGTACAGTTCTTCTTCCAATGGAGCATACAAGTAAGCAGATGATATATCTAATTGTATAATATCATAGTTGTTTTGTAAAGCTATTGATAGACAGGACATTAGAGCGTAATGGTGAACAGTGTTTGACATCAGATCTGGTTGATAAGTCGAAGCTTTTTGTTGGTCTCCCCTAGCAACTAACCTGCATTTGTGATGACCATCTCGCTTGACACTAAAAATAAACATAGAGTTAATAATTTTGGATTTGTCTACTTCTGTAGCTTCAATAGTTTTTACCGACCAGGTACCCATTTTCGTCAGCTGAGATATCTCTTTATCATATGCTTCTTGGAATTTTTCTTTTTCAATTGGATCCCTATTGTGTGTGATTGCTTGAAAATATTGTAATGGACCATGCTGGTTGTTCTCTTCACTGCTGACCTGGTTTATGGTGTGGCGTGTAGCAGCAATGTAATTTACTGCATATGTTTTTGTAGTTTTCCTACGTTTACCAATACGTGCCTTAGTTCTTTCGTCCCTGTCTCGCTTCTGCCGTTCTTTGGCATCGACAGGTTCAGGCGTTTCTACATTGGTGTTCTTTTGACGATTACCAGATCTTGTACCACCCAAGGTACTATTGTCAACGTAGAAATTATCAGTAGGAATGGGGGTGAGTTTTGATGAACGATTACTAGATGGTGGTGTAGATGAAGATGTAGTATCAGTAGAGACAGCAGTGGGCAGTGGTGATGATTCATCAGAAGTAGGATGAGATGAAGGTTCAACAAGAGTTAAGGGTAGTTGATTAGGATCATTGATGTCGATGGGAGTGATTAGTTCCTCTAAATCAGAAGAGGTGGGATGAGTAGTGTGGTTGTTAGATGGATTTGAATTGGAAGTAGTATTGGTGGTGATATTCAAATCAGCATCAGCATCATTTTGAATTAAAATTTTATCTTCAAAGAGTGGATCTTTGTTAACGAGGGAAGATGATTTGGGTGATGAGGATAGAGTAGATAAAACTGTATCTTTATGATTATCAGAAGGTGTGGCTTCAATTTCGTCCTTTGAAGATGTAGTATGTTCAAATTTTGATATAAAAGTTGTGATGAGATCGTCGAATATAGAATCATCATATTCTTCATTTTCATGAATATCGACGTCATGTTTAATTGGAACAAAATTGGATGAGGATACCACCCTACGTTTAGTTGGGAGGTAAAATAAATAGCCATAAGATTCAGCATCTGGTATTAGAGCAAAACCTTTTTCACCTCTGACATGTAATTTGGAGGCAGTTTTATTGAGGTTAATAATGACCGGTTGACCGAATGGTAGCAGTGACTTGGTATCAAGTCCTAGTAAACCGACTTTAGACCGAGGTGAATCCCTCATAGAATTGTTATATATGGAATTACGGATTATAGTTGCATATTGCACAGCGTAATACCATAGGTGGTGTGGGAGTTTTGCACTATTCATAATAGTACGACAATCATTTAATAATGTTAAATTTAATCGTTCCGCAACACCGTGAGCTTGGGAATCACCTGCGTCGGTATAAACAATTTGAATACCGTTTTCAGAAAGAAACGTTTTTACTGCAGAGTTGGTGTACTCTGTTCCCCGGTCAAACTGGAATTTTAATATGGGGGTTTTGAATTGTCGCTCAATAGTCGCAATAAAGGACTTGAGGACATGTAGGATCGTTGCATCATCTTTCCTTTTTAGTAAATAAGTCCACTTAAACTTAGATGCCTCATCAGTGAACGATATAAACCATTCAGGTTTTGTAGCCACAGTTACTGGTCCAAACAGGTCAGAATGAATATATTGAAATGGTTTGAACACCTGCTGGTATTGCAGACGTGAACCAACAATATGTGGTCTCTTCCTGCTTTTTCCTTTGAGACAGTCCTGACACTGAAAATTGTTAAGGTTAGACCAATCAATTTCGTCTATAGATAGATTATTGAAGGTTTTATTTTTGATGGATGTATAGATTGACTGAACATTGACGTGACCTAAAATGCGATGAATCATGTCTAAAGGAAATTTAGTTTTTAACGCATTTACAGATTTACGAGTTGCAGTAGATGGAAATACAATATGATGATTGGATAACCAATGTAAACCATTTGAGGAGTCAATGTTTGCTGCAACATCACCATTAGCATCTTCAATGGTGTTGAGACGCTCGTTTAAAAACAGATGGTGAGAACGGAGATCACTAGTAGATAAAATGGTGTGATCAATTGTGGGTGTGTAAAAGGCATGAATTTTTATTTGGCTGCCATTTAATGTTTTTAGAATTAAATCACCCTCTTGATCGTATGGGATATCCGTGTTGGAGCATGAGGTTATTTGAACAGATTCAGGATGAGAGTCACGAAGATTGTGCAACATCTCTTTATGTTTTACAAGGGTAACCGTAGCACCGGAATCTAGCATCATATAATATGCAGGATTTAGTGAAGTTGAAATAGGCCTAAGTAAGGTTGGATCGACTGGGTTATTTTGTTGAGGAATAGAGGTGCTATTTGAATGGGTTTTAACTTGGCTAACCTTTTTAGAACGAGCTTTGGTAGATTTGGCTTTTGGCTTAACTGTTGAAGGAACTGTAGTATTTTTGGTGTTCAACACAGTAGATGTGTTGTTTGCTCGTTTATTCACTGATGGATTTGTTGGATACTGTTTTTTTGAAGAAGATGGAGGATTAGGGGAAAAATGTGGATCGGAAATTTGTGAAGCTTGATGGTAGTATTGATATTCTCTCTTGATAGAAGAGAAAATGTCGTTTATAGTATATGGGGTATCACTCTTAAAAAAGTGTTTAGAAATGGATTCGTAAGTACCTGTTAACGTATCAAGAATTGTTTGTTTTAGCAGGTACTCGTGGGTTTGAAGATCCGTGGGGTTCAATTGATCAATTAAGTTATGGAGATAACTTGTAAATTGAAATGCTGGGTAGCCACCATTATATTTTAAAGATCTAATAGTGTTGATAATGGTATTGACATTACTGCGTTCAATGTCGTATGTCATGGCCTGACGAATAACATCATAGGGATGCATTTGCTTGTGAAAGCATTCTTGAACCCAATCGGGATAACTGCTCTGAGGAACAAGGGTGAAAAATAAATTAATTAAACCTTGAGATTCTTCTGGCGTTGGATCTCTTACAGTACGATCGTGTGAATCAGGAACCAAATCTTTTAGACCAGAAGCAATCAAATGTTTTATTAAGGAATGAACCCAGGAGTTAAATAGACCAACACTAGAGCAGTAAAATAAAGTAGTTGGAATGTATGGGTTGTTATATGTACATGAATGGTTAGGTGAACCTGGAAACATTGGTTGGATTGGATTGATGGGAGAATAATATCCCGGTAGTTGACCATAATAAGGAAATGGCATATAAGCGAAACCAGTTGGTTGTTGGTAACCGTTTATTGGAATATGATGGTCATATGATGGACCATTAGTACCAGAATCAGGATAGGATGACTTTCCAGCCTGAGAAGGATTGTTCGGCGTGGAAGAACCGTATGGAGCAGATTGCTGATCTGGAGAAGCATTGTTTCCAGATTCCCTAGAAGATGGGTCAACATCTGTTGTAGCATTTAAATTATGTTCCAACTGAGGGTTGGATGGGATGTTGGATGCAGTGGAAGCGTCTTGACTGGTATTTATGTTAAAAGCTTTAATACCAGCGCCCGTGGAGGGATTTACAGCACTAGGATCACTAGTGTGTCCAGACAGAAAGCTACCATGTTGAGAATGAGCGCCTTTATTCATTGGATATATAGTAAACATTCTCAATATTATATTAAACAGATTTAGTATACAAAATTATAATAAAGTTCTTCACTTTCTTTCTTTATATACAACATAGAAATAATAATATAGAAAGATTGTAAATAAGATAAAAATAATGTATGATGAAATCCTTGGCTTTATATATGTTAATATTCAGCCATTTTCCTCTACGAACAGTAAGATATTTAATAAATAAACTCAACAACTTTTGGTGACCTCTCAACAATTATTACTCAACAATTTATCGTTTAGTGTCTGCTAAAATCTTATTGTTCTATCTATTTTATCATAAAACATTCTATTTCAACAGAAAGAACTTGTAAATGGAGCATTATATTGTTGAGAATGAGCGCCTTTATTCATTGGATATATAGTAAACATTCTCAATATTATATTAAACAGATTTAGTATACAAAATTATAATAAAGTTCTTCACTTTCTTTCTCTATATACAACATAGAAATAATAATATACAAAGATTGTAAATAAGATAAAAATAATGTATGATGAAATCCTTGGCTTTATATATGTTAACATTAAGCCATTTTCCTCTACGAACAGTAAGATATTTAATAAACAAACTCAACAACCTTTGATGACCTCTCAACAATTATTACTCAACAATTTATCATTTAGTGTCTGCTAAAATCTTATTGTTCTATCTATTTTATTATAGAACATTCTATTTCAACATATATATACTAAAACCCGCTTGCTCGTTTTAGGAGAAACTGGGCTCAAGACAGTTAGTATGCAAATAGAGACTTCCATGAAATCATAGAGAGAAAAAAAATAAAAAAACAAAAAGAAAAATATTATATAAACTCGATACACTTCACTTCTATTTATGTAAATAGATTGATATAATACTATTTACTAAAACTTGATTCCTTTTTTTTAAACATACATTTATTGAATACAAAAAAAGTGATTTTTATTTTTACCTATAAATATTAATCACATTAAAGAGAAAGTGGAGAATGTCTGAAAATGAAGTATATATATTCTACTATGGGTTAAGAACACAGTGAATTATAGAAAAAAGTAAAACCAAAAATAAATGAATCTATGTTGAATATTTGAAGAAAAAAAAAATAATGAAAATTGAATCCAACATTAGACTTAACTACTAACACAAAAAACTTCAAATAAAAAAGTAAAAAAAGAGAATAGGTTGTTTATAATAATAATAATAGAATATGTAAGAACTCTAAATTGTTAAAATGAATTCATTATTTTATTTAGTAACCTCAGTAACTACAGGAATGCTTCAAACGAAGTGGGGAATACAGCAAAAAATTAAGAAAAAGTACAAGAAATGTTCCTTTCTATTGTTTATTGAAAACAAAAAAAGGAAAATATGAGTAATGTTTTTCATCTATTGTATTTACTTTTAAAGCTATCTAAATAAGTTAGGCAAGGTTATTTTTATCTAAGCTTTGAAATGTATTCATATATATGAATACGTTTGCTGTATATAAGGACTTGTTAATACTATTAAAAAGATCAGAGCGGTATTTTTCTTATGAAAAACTTCGGATGTAGATCAAAATGCCATTTTAGGGAAAAAGAAACCTTTGTTTTTTGTTAAAATTAAAGCAACGTTCCATATAATAGAAAAGATTTTTTTATAAAAAAAAACAAAAGAAAATTCCCACAAAATTTTGATTTCTTCAAACAAATTTTTTTCTTTAAAGGCAACGGACATAAGGAGACAGAGATGTGTGAGCAAACGCACACTACTATCAGTCCATATCAACGATTGCTAATATATTACTATAGGGTATTAATATATATATATATATATATGTACATATTTATATTTATTTACTTACAAGAGGGCTGTTTGGTTGGAATATATAAAAGAAAAAAGAAAACAGTTATAATACTTGAACATTACCAAGATATATTATCGATTATTAGCAATATCAAAATTAGAAGAATTCACCTAGATAGAAAAAAGAAAAAAAAGAAAAAAAGAAACAAACAATTTTGCCAATATTATGTCTCTGTTGTTGCATGCATACAACAGTAGCTCCACGATTACATACTTACACTCTTTGTAAAAATGTTGAGATGTATGCTTGAGGCTTCTTGAAAGAAAACGTCTTCTTCCTTTTAACTGCCCCGACTTCTTGCATCAGTCCAACCCAAAAAAAAAAAGATAATAGGAATAATAATAGTAATGAAAAAGCGGGGAGTTAATACAAAAATAATGGAAAAAGAGATTTGGGCGAAAACAGTTGTGAAACAATTTCCGTAACGGAATATGCACGGAAAATGACATAAAAGGAAGGCAAAGACGAGCAAAATTTTCTGTTTCTACAAATTGCAGCCTTTACGCGTTTAAATTTGTGATAAAAGGCTGTAACTAAAGGACGATATTTGTCTATCTTTTTTTCCCTTTAAGCCTCAAATCAAAGACACTATTTCTGCTTTGTTTTTTTTTGAATTTTTTTTTTTTTTCGTCAATCTGACAGAGAATAAGAAAAAAAAAAGATAAAAATAAAAAAAAAAGAAAAAGCAGACAGTTTTTCGAGATTTCGAGGCGTCGCTTTTTTTTTTTTGCTCGAGGGTGGAAGGAAACAACTTTTTAGTAATGTCCTCCTTTTGTATCCTCTATTATATGCCGACGTTAAAACTAGGCTCCTTGGTATCACTGTTGATGTTATTGAATGTTTAGAGAAATGCTCTTATTTTATTTTTTGTTCTTATTTTTTTTTTCTTACACATTGAACTTCGTCGTTGTCGGACAAAACTCTTCGTATTAGATCGATCAATTTTATTAAGAGAATAACAAAGCTAGTACTAGTTTCTCCTCATATTTTTGTTTTTTGGTTTCTTTTTTTTTGCAGGATTTTGCAACAACCAAGACTATTTTTGTACTACTTTGCTAGACACTATTTCCTATTCATATTTTTTTTTGCTTCCCAGTATCATTGGTAAAAAAAAAGTATCGAATTAAGAAAAAAAGAAACCTCTTTTCACTGAATAAGGATAATTGAAATAAAAAAAAATAAGGAAATAGACTGGTAATATCTTTTATTACCAAAATAGAATAATTTTAATATTTGATAAATAGTTTTAGATTTCTTTCTTTTTCTTTCACTTTTTTTTTTGTTTCCATTTTGCATAAAACCAAGATAAATACATTGTCTCATCCTTTTGTTTGCATAGACATATCTATATATTTAAGAATATTATTTTATCATAGAAGTAAGAAAATCAAAATAAAAAGGAGAAAGAAGAGATCAGACATATTAAATGATGGCTTCTTTAAAAGTTCTTCTAGTTGGTGATAACCCTAATATTATATTATTAGCATCTAGATTCCAATTGGCCGATAGTGTAGATCTTTATCACGTTAGTGATTTAGATTCGAATCAATATGAAATCGAGAGTTATTCCTATGGTTTAGAAACATTCCAATTAACAAATCATTTCAATTCAATAAATCAATTAATTCAAAATACAAACAAAAATGTGCTTTTTGATTTAATTATTCTTAGTGCCATCTCTTTACAACAACTATCTACGATTTCTTCTCAATTATTACCTTTAATAACTAATAGTACAAAAATATTTGTTGAAAGTACAGGAAGTGTCCAATTGGAACCATTTGTTAGAATGTCCATTAATTCTAATCATAAGATTAATGTATTAAGTATTATATCAGATTTTGAAATTCGTCATATTAAATCTGTTGATACTGATAAAAGAATAAATGTATTCAAACAATTTGGTGCAAAAGGCAAACAAAATACAATTTATTTAGGTGACAGCAGTTCTAAAAATTATAGTTCCACAACACAAAATTTATTGAATACTTTTGAAAGATTATTTAAAAAACTATTCCCAAAGGAATCAATAAATTTATGCAACTTTTCTTCTAAACAATTCTTAAAAGTTCAATGGGAGCTATCTTTAACACAAATATGTTTTGATCCACTTTTAATTATGTTAGAAGAAGCTAACCCTCAAAATTTACCTAATTTGATTTTAGCTAAACCTTTGATATCTGGTTTAGTCTCTGAAGTGATTACTTTAATTAATAAAATGGGTATAGAGTTAAATCCTTCAATGAATAGCGAATCCAATCTCTTGAACTATTGGCAATCATTATATTCAGATGAGATGCCACCATTAGTATATAATTTTATCAATAAAACATCTCCATTGAATATTGATTTAATTTGGTTACAAATTATATTACTTGCAGATGATCAAAATATTAAAACCCCATATTTGGAATTTTTATATTCTATGATGTCACAAATTCAAAAGATTAATAATGGTGAATCTAAATGGTTTACAAGAAATTCAACTAATATTAAAGAATCTAAAAACAACAAAAGTGATGAAATTATTAATGATTTAAAGATTAAAAATAACACGTTAGAAAAAGAGATAAGTCAATTGAAAGAAAATTTGAAATCCAAGAATAATCAAATAAATGAAAATAATGTTAGCATAGAACAATTGAGAGAGCAGTTGAAATTAATTAATAAGGATCATATTATAACTGTTAATAATTATGAGTCCCAGATTCAGAAACTAAATTATCAAATAAATGAATTAGGTTTGAACCAAGGTGTGAATGACAACAATCCAAGTATTAATAACAAAAAGGTTGTTACAACGAATAACAATGATAATAGTAATAGTAATATGGGTCATGGTGATGGAAACAAAGTTGTTAATAGGAATTTGGAAAATGCACAAAACTTTTCAAATGGGTATAAAGCTACTGGTACTCCAAATTTGAATGATTTACAAGATATGGCTATTTTTGGTGTTTCATATGGTGATTCCCCGATAAGAAACATGAATACTTCTAAAAATAACGACCAGCAGGAGCAGCAACAACAACAACAATCCATAAGTTCTAATGTTATTTCTTCCTCACAAAATATAAATGCAAATGGTGGTGAATCAAGTACATCACTAAATAAGATGGAAGAAAGTAGAACCTTACAAGAACGTGAATTAGATTTAAAAAGAAAAGAATTAGAGCTACAGGAACGTGAGTTAGAGTTACAAAGAAGAGCACTACAACAGCAACAATATGCCGGTAGAAAACATAATATGATTATGTCTAATAGTCAGTTACCTCCTCAAACAAGTAATCAAATTATTTCCAGAAATCAACCATTGAATCAAGTCCCACAACAAACTCACATATCTAACATGCGTCAAAGTAGAGGTATATATGGAGCTAGCTCTGCTTCTGTTTCCGCACTTAATTTTAATGAACCGATTTCATCAGGTATGGCATACAGTGGTAATTTGATACAACCACAACAAGCACAATCGCAACAGCAACAGCAACAACCATTTTTACACACGATCAAACCAACAAGTAGGAAAAACAGAGCAAGTAATATGCTAAATCTCCGTAATCCTTCAAGTACTAATATAAACGCCTTCCAAAACAATATGATAAATAATGCTCCCCCTTCTGTTAATAGTCAAAGTAGATTAAACTCATTATCAAGTCAGAGCATGAATTTTCAAACACGTATGAGAAATACGCAACAACAGCCGCAACAAAATATCCATAGTGCATCATTCAATAATTTGAACTCCACAGTGCGTGCGAATACATTGCAACATGTTCCAGCTAATTTTAATCAACAACAATTGCAACAACGGCAAATTAGTACTTCCTCTGCGGACGTGGATAATCTTGGGAATGTTTCTATGAACTCAGTAGTGCAAACTCAACTTCGTCCTGTTGGAACGACTTCTAATGTTAAAGTAATACCTAATTTTCAAAAACAACAACAGGAGCCAAGTCCTCAACATAACCAAAACGAACTACATACCCAACAGTCTTCTAGTGTACCAATCCAATTGAAGACACCTTCATTACCACCAAGTGTGTCTAATGTTGTAGAATCATCACCAGCTTCATTTACTAGCAATAATACATCTCAGAGTGTTGAGAGTGGCAAAAGTAAGAAAAAGAAATTTGGCTTATTTAAGAAGAAAGCTAAAAAATAGATACTTGCGAAGTTAATAAAATTTTGGTGTAATACTGTTAGAAGATATTGTTTTCAAGGGTTGAAAGCATTGTAATCACACTACTTAATAGATTAGAAATAACCAACTCACTCATATAGTATACGTGTATTGTATATAATGCATTAGTGCTTTTTTGTATATAGTGTAGTTACTTTTATTGATAAATCATTTTTACATTCTATGAAAAGTAAAAATAATCTAAATTTAATGAGGAGAAGTAAGTATACTTTCCTCATATATAACAGAGCTATGGCTATTAATCACTAGCACAAACATTAAAATGGGATAAAAAAATTTGGTAACATTAATTTAAATGACGTATCCTCACTGATTGCTATCCGTTGATTATGAATCTATTCAACGGCATATTATAAGAAGATACCATGAATAGAAAAACGAAAGAGAGAGATAAGCATCCATGTTTAGTAATAATAAGGACTAAAAAGTTTCAATAAATAAATACATTGTTTTCCAAATTTTTATATTATACATGTGGTAGATTGTTTAATAAATAAGATATCTAAACTATTTTTGGTATGATTTAAGATTTAATTTATTTAATTTAGTTATACACTAAAATTGCTGTTCATAGCACAATCAGAAAAAATTATACTTTATTTTTTTCCTATTCTAGTGAAATGGTTATTAAGTGAAATAAGTGTTACGCAAAAAATTTAAAAAGCCACGATTTTTCTCCGAATGTCCGCAATATACTATGTGTAGTTTACTATATTAGTTGATTAATTCAACTCTAGATATTTTTAAGCATACATAATATATTTTGAATATTGGTCATTCATAATTTAGTATTATCTTAATTTTTACCATTAATGAGGTAAAGTATTTATACTAGAGAAATATTTCTTTTGAGAAAAGCAGACATTGAAATTTTAAAACTAAATTTAATAAATTTCAATAGGTGAAGTTATATAAAGTCCTTACAGTTTACAGTAGAATCAGACATTACACGGCACATTAACCGACTGAGCAAAGAAACCTTCAAATTCAGAAAGTTTCTATATGATATATATTAATATATAGCAAAGCAAGAACAAAATTGTTGATTTGAAACGTATTTCAAAAGATTCATTCTTGAAATGAATTGCTAATGAAAAATCCGATTTAGTTTTAAAAAATATATATAAAAATACATAATGCCAGAAGATTAAAACTATGAAAATCATTATATCACAGGTGAATAGTTAATACTTGTAAAAAAATATGCCTGTGATAGTTCTTTCTCAACTATCTATATGATGTTGTGCAATTCCTCTTAAGGTAATCTCTCTAAATTCTGTTATATATTGAAAATTCACACATCATGTGACATATGAAATCTCGATGTCACTATAAACGATCTCGTGAATTCTTTAGTCGATGACGACGCTTTTGTTTATCTTGTTTGTTTAACTATGTTTATCTGTATATCTGCGTATGTTAGTTTACTCCTTGCGCAAAATATAGTTTGTATATCATATATAGACAACTAAGTAAGCCATATTTATCTATTTTAGTGTCTAGAAGAGCATATCTTTCGTAATAGAATTTTCATCTATTATACATCATAAAAATATTATAATATCAGGAATAGTACTGTAATGTTCATTGTTCCTTGGTGTTCTTCTTGGTTGCTTTCTTGTACTTATGTTGGTTACTCTTGCTTTTATGTATTTTTGTAAAATTTTGCAAAAAGGAAAATTTAGAGAAACACCGTAAACTGTAATAGATGAAGCGATTACGAGAGATATACTCTTCTAGACGCTAAATAGATAGAAACAGCTTAAATTGTTGTCTATATATGACATATAAACTATACTCTACATAAAGAGTAAACTAATATACACAGATATACAGATAAACATAGTTATTGTAACAACTCTTAGGTTATGTGTTTCTGATAACAGTTAATCTTGTCGAAATCTCAATAATATTTCACTTAGATAGATATAAGATATAGACTCTTTCTATATCTCTAGATGTAGTATTCCTATATATCTATATATCTATACCCCTAATCTAAGATAACCTAATAGTATACACTTATATACTATATATCTAAGCTTATGCAATCCTTGGTGCCTTGTTCTTTATTCTTCGTTTTTGGCTGCTCTCTTGTACTTATGTTGGTTACTCCTGTTTTTATCTATGTTTGTAAAATTTGCAAAAAGGAAAGTTTAGAAAAATATCGTCAACCCTCATTTTTCTAAACAAACCCTAAACAGTAATATCAAGGATATTACAGTTATATAAACAAGATAAGCAAGAAAAACAAAAGCGTTATCGTCGACTAAAGGAGTTCACAAGATCGTTTATAGTGACATCGAGATTTCATATGTTACATTAAACCTCATTTTTCTAAACGAAACCCTAAATAGTAATGTCAGAGATATTACACACTGCACAACAGCACATTACAAAAAGAATGGTTCCTAGCGGGATCGAACCGCTGATCCCCGCGTTATTAGCACGGTGCCTTAACCAACTGGGCCAAGGAACCAACTCCAGCGATGGAGTGTGTTGTAGTATGGTGTGGTGAAGTTCTTTGTGTATTCCAGGGAAGCGCAAATAATATTAATAGTAATTCAAATAATCGAGACAGTAATCAACTATAGTCGATAGTATAATTACTAAAACGGTCTTATATATTAAGCGGCTTATATCGAGCTAATGTACTTATTCGAAGTTACTTGATTTGTTACTTGCTTGTTATTCTCCTTTTGTTCATATATAATATATAAATTATTTACAAGAAACGGTTATGGAAGATGATCTTTTATCTCCTGAAAACGTTGTCCTTTTATATGTTTTCTGGAGCTCGATCGATTATTCAGATTACTACATTAATGACTTGACTGATTCAAACCCTAAAATTTATTATATTAATTTAGGTGCACTACTGGATTAGAACTGCATCCCAATTCTCTAATCATGGTGATTAGTAATACACGTGGGACTTAATAAAACAATAGGTAAATTCTAGATTTGCCAAGATCTTATGTAATCCAATCTTTTTATTATGCAGCATCTAATGTTGTAGCACATGTAAGGCTTATTAATACACTAATTGGTTCTAGATTCATTCAGGATCTTATGTAATCTTGATGGTTATAACTATTCTATTCCACAACATCTTCCTCTCTCTCTTGGGAACCTTGTTTCCATAATTGTACGAAATTGTCAATTAAAGATTGACCAATATTTGTTGGGAGTAAGTTAAATTCTTCTACTGGATATTCTACTGTAATAGTCGGATCAACATCTTCCATATGACAATAAAACACTTTGTTATCTTTATCGTAACCGACTACATTAATAATTTCATGTACTCTTAATTTCCTTTCGGCAGCAGTATTAGGCGGATCTTTTGGATAGCGGTCTTTTCTACGTTTTAACGGTTTTAGTTTTTCAACATTAATAACTCTGTGAGTCTTTTTCATCGAAGGTAAATCTAATTCGTAAGCATTGTCATTTATTTTCTTAACTACCTTAAATGGGCCAACGTATATGGGTTGTAGCTTTAGATATTGACCTCTCTTAAAATAAGCATCACGATGTAGCAGTACAAAATCACCAATTTCAAAGGTAACTTCCTTCCTCCCTTTGTTATGTGTAACTTCCATGTTGATCTGATTCTCAGTTAAGAAATCTTTTGTGCGTAAAGTAAGTGCTTTCAACTTTGTGGCTAGTTCTTGTGTTGAATCATGACGGGAAGAAACAGCATCTCCTGTAACTATGATTGGTTCATTAGGGATGTATCCAATATCTACTTCAAAAGGAGCTGTCTTGGTTACGCGATTGGGAGTAGAGTTATAGACGAATTCGATGTGAGGAAGTAAACGATCCCATTGTCTATGATTGTTACCAGTATAAGTCTTTAATAACCTATTAAGGATCTGTATTGTACGTTCAGTTTGACCATCTGTTTGTGGGTGATTTGCTGTGGACATTTTCAATTTTATATTCAACCTTTTTGCCATTTCTTGGTATTCTGTAGAGGTAAAACGAGGATCTCTATCTGAAGTAATGGAATATGGAAATCCATGGTAAGCGAAAATATAACGGAATAAAGCATTAATAACGGAAGTAGTATCAAATGGGTAACTACCAGCAATTAAGTGAGTTCTTTTTGAAAACATGTCGACTACAACCATAATCATGTCGTTACCTTGTTCTGATTTAGGTAAACCAGATACAAAATCTATGCTAATATTTAACCATCGACCTTCGGGAACTTCAGAAGGCATCAATAAGCCCTGTCTATTAGGGCGATGAGATTTAATCAACTGGCATTGTATACAGGAAGAGACATATTCATTAACAGAGTGGTGTAATTTTGGCCAATAATAACGACTTGCAATTTTATTGTATGTAACGGTTGAACCGAAATGACCACCATAAAGGCCATGGTCGTGATATATTCGAAGGACTTCATTTCGTTTAGCGTTGGGAACAACATAGCGTTCTTTAAAGTAAATAATATTGTCATTAATTGTAAAACAATGGCGAAAGGTTCTTGATAAGTTCAATTTCTTCATATATTTCTTGAACAATGATGAGTTGCAAATGGGTAAGTCTTTTGTATCAAGTTTGGTAATATAAACAAAACAGGCAGCACATAATGGGTCAGCTAGGTATTCTTCGTACCAATTTTTCGGATCTAATGTGACGGCAGCATCTTCAATAGCAGCAATATTGTAATCTGCTCTGGAAATAGCATCAGCTACTACATTCTTTGGACCTGCTAAGTATTCTAGTTTAAAATCATATTCGGCTAATTCATTTAACCATTTAATTACTCTACGAGAGGGTTCTTTGTTCTTTTGTGCCGTTAGTAAACTAATATGGTCTGTTCTCAATATAAAATGCATGCCATGAAGCATATATTTAAAATGTGATAAGGCTTCGACAATGGCTAGGAGTTCAAGATCTCCAGCAGAGTAATTTTTTTGAGCGCCTTGTAAAGTTTTTGAAAAATAACC